GTGCATGGGGGACAAAGGAGACGTCAGACACGGTGAGAACTTTTGAGGTAAATGGGTGCACAAAGCGGATAGTCCCAGTACCTTTAACGACCAGAGGATTGGATGAGATCCCAGTAATGCAGCCAGACGCCGGAGTAAATTCAGCAAAATGAGACCGCTCATTTGAAATGTGGAGTGTAGCACCAGAATCCAAAATGTAGCTCCGACTTGGCATAACTGAGTCTTCTCTTGAGTTGAAGACTGCCCAAGAGATACCAGAGATAGATTTGGATGAGGAGTTGACAAGAGCTGCTGTATTACCACTAGAACTGCTAGCAGCAATCGGGGCAGCAGCTGGACAATCCTTAGCAACGTGGCCTCGTTTCTGGCATCGGTAACACTTCTGCTTATTAACATAAGGTTTCTTGGAAGTAGCTGCAAATACTGAACCCTGCGTTGTAGGAACGAGATCCCGCAGAGTGTTCTCAACCGCTGACAACGTAATGTTCGGAGTTGACACATCTAAAACTCGAGCATTCGCTTGGTCGGACTTAAACATCCTTAAGTAAAACAAACCCATCACTTGGGTAATTTCCGAGGAGTGGTTAAAGTGAGCACATATATCTCTGAACAAGGACAGAGCACTTTCATCACCGGCAGACTTACTGACCGAAGCATCACAAGCTTTATTAACCATAGCATACAATTGACGTGATGTAACCTGGGAGTAATCACGTCTAATCAACATAAGTAAATCAAGTCCGAACGCATTATCAGACTGATACTTTAACAACACTTTTGACGACACAGTATTCAACAGTACAACTTGAATTGCATTGTTCAATGCAACTTGGAGCTGCATAACTAGAGTGTCGTCTATCGGTTCAGCTGGAGGTAACATCATATCTCCAGTTGTAAAATAAACGTCAAGGCCAGCACCCTGAGTGGCAACAAGCATACCAGTGTAACTGTTCCATTTAGGATAGTTCATAGACGAAGAAAGCTTCAAGCTCTCATCTCTAGGGCAAGTGAGAGCGAATTGGCTCATAACCTGTTGTAATCTAGCTATTCTATTATGAATATCCATTGTATATGTTCACTTTTTCTTATGTTTGTTGCTTATTAATTTATAACTAATATAACTAGCCTACAAACTAATATTCTCAAACATAAATACAAGGGACAAACCTCTTGTATTTATACACTTACACCTTCGGTTAAACTTGCCATTATTCATTTATCATGGCGGCTAACTTTCCAGTTTTAGATTACTTAAGATGCCTTATCATGATAAGACTCTTATCTCTTATCACTCGATCATGATTGGCTTCGGCATCTTATCTCAACAGCTTTGGGCTCAATTTTTATTAACCATGGCATTCCTTATCACTCTTCTTCTGTGCGTTACAAAACTTTTTCCTAGCAATAATGTAAAATAATTTGTATTAGTACAGCTAAGGAATCGAAATTATAAGTATGGTCCCTTGGCCCAGTTGGTTAAGGCGTGGTGCTAATAACGCCAAGATCAGCAGTTCGATCCTGCTAGGGACCATTAAAAACTACTTGGGCGTGTGGCGTAGTTGGTAGCGCGTTCGCCTTGCAAGCGAAAGGTCATCGGTTCGACTCCGGTCTCGTCCAGTCAATTTTTATATTGGTTATAACAGAATTGTACTATAGTTTTATAATAAGGACAGATCCGCTGAATTTTTCTCCTTCGTGAGCAAATTGTGAGTAAAAGTGGTTAGCAAGGCTTACCGCAATGTATGCATGATTCTCATGATCAAAATACTCTATGCTATCGTAAGCAAAATTCGTAAAGCCTATGCCTTTGTCAGCAATAAAAAAAGGTTGAATATTCGTATATTCTTCAAGGTTGATATTTTGATCAAGTAACTCTTCCACGTCTAATTCAAATAAAGCACCCCTGCCATCATTGAAAGAGCTACTTCCAATTACTACTAAAGAGTCTGATATTTTTACCATCGAGGAACTGAATAGGGATAATACGAAGTTTTGACTTTTTTCCGTTACTTCTGCTGTCAACTTTGTTACCAACTCAAAATTTCCATTCTCTAGCTTGTACAAATATGCTAAGCCACATAAAGGGCAGATACTATCAAAAGAGTAGCCTGCACCCGAAACAATAATCCATTCAGATTCATTTGAACTTCCTGTCAAAATTCCATTGAAAGCATAGAGAGATGTTTTTTCGGAAGCCCTCCTTTCTGGAAAATCAGATGTGAAAAAACCTTGACCTTCATTGGACAACAATCCCAAAAAAATTTCCGACTTTTTATCAAAAACTGCCACACCACCTACTGAGTTGAGCCCAATAAGAACCAAATCTTTTGTGGTAGCAAAAGATACACCAAACTGATCATACTGATTTGTTTGATGCAAAACCTTTGGAGTTTCATATGTTTGGAGTATTATCGAATCGATGTTTATCACGGGCACTTCTGTATTAAATGAATATTTTAGTCTATGACAATAATTGCTGTAAAATTTTTTTCCATCTAAAATTACCACCAATCCTCCTTGGGATCTTGAACTGCTGTCATCAGAAAACATGGATCCCAAAACCAAATCAGGCCAGCCGTCACCATTCAAATCATAAGGAAGTTTGCTCAGAATAGTCCATTCTTTTATTCCATTACAGCCCAAAACTGTTTCTGCAGAGCTGAATTCTAGTATTGCCACTAGCGAGCCATACAAGAATATTTTGAACTGTGTCAGACCAGGCTCAGAAATCACTAGAAATTCGTGTCCTTTTAATTTCCATGTGAATAATTCGTCTCCAAAACGTGATGGAAAATCGTGAAGAAAATCAGAACTGGATATGGGCCAATTAGAAGGGGCTATTTTGAAACCGTCTATCCCAAGTTTCTGCCCAAACTCTTTACTATCATGAAGTATTTCTTTCAATGGTACTAGGTACACGGTTCCATAAAAATCTTCATAAGGTGCTGATATGGCAATAGTTGGCTCACCAAGAAAGTTACCAACTTTTATTGAAGTACCAAATTGTGAGTTACGAATTCCTGATGAAAGGTACAAATTATTACTGTGAGGGTGGAGAGAACGTTGCAACTTTGACGGGAAACTGCTTATGTAGTTTCTTGAGGTATCACCTAGGCCCTGATTTTCAATTGAGTGTTTTTTGAATACAGGCCGACAAATGTTCCATGCTTCTGGAATGTCAGTAGCCGTAAACCATTCGTCTAGCTCTTTCATGCAGATTGCCAAAGTATTTGCGATCTGGTCAATTCCTCCGTAATAGTAGCTATTCAATAAAACAAAAGTTAATGGGGAGTTTTGTAAATTGAGGCTAAGCCTGTGGTTTGTAGCACGATCAGCCAAAACTGCCATTACCTCCCCTTGAAGAGCGGAAAATCCTCTGCCCATACAGAGTTCCATTTTTGCTTTTGTTATTTCCTGGAAACCTAACGAGCGGTAAATTTCGACAATGTCATGTGTGGGATAGGTCCATTCTTTTTTATAAAACTCCACTAGTGCAGAAAAGTCAGTATCCGACAAATTCTCAAATTCCCTGTTCAATTGTATAAAATCTCCATTAGTATCCAAGTAGTCGTGGGCAGCCTGAAAATTGCCATCAAATTCTACTTCCGAAATCATCCTCATCAAACCTTGGTAAGAGTGTAAAGAGTGCCATGCCACATCTGCTACTTGGTGTGTAAAAACGCCATATAAAAAAGCTTTCAAGCTTTTATTTTCTAAACCCTTAGATGCATACCGCTGAACATAGTATTCGACGGCAGCTTTCAAAAATGGAGGCCAATGTGCGTTTTCTGCAGCAAGTGAAAGACCAAAGCAATTGTAAAAGGCATCAGGATGGAACGAACCAGCATAGTACTCACTCTCGAATCCTTTCAATGAGTCAGGGATGCTGAACTTAACTCTTGACGCGATGTTTAGATGCACTGCTACACCTGCAGCTTGGATATAATCAATTTTCGCAAATAGTAGTACCCAGAATAAAACAACGCCAAACCTAAATATCATTATCACCACAGCCTATTAAGTTACTTTGCCGCAAACATGTAGAAGGAATCACTCTCATGTACAATCTACTTGAATTCCGTGCATAATAAACGAAGATAATTCGTCAAGCTACGACAAAAAGTTTAAAGGCGCAACTTGTAGGCTCAAATCTCCTCCAGGTTCAATCGAAAAATGGGGCTTATTTTTGTACATGTTTCAAAAATCCCTTAAACATTATGTTTTTTGTAGTAGAAAATGTTCTGAAAATTTATAGATCAGCAACTGAATAGCAGAGCCATGAGCAGAAGCGGTGATGATCTACAAAACCCATTTTGTGGATTGTACAAAAATAAGTAAAAGTTACCTTCTGCTTTATGATCAATTCTACTTTCTAATTTACTTTAGGATGAACTCTGCTTCATAGACCCTGTTGTCTGATTGATTTGAGGTCCTGGACCACTAAATTTCTTCATTGTAGTTGCCACGAGGTCAGAAAAGTTCATAATTTGCTAGCCTCCGGTTTCTGCTGATTTTGCCCTATTGACATCGGATACGCTATTTTTCTTTAAAACAAAAGCTTGAAACTAAATGTAGTTGTGACCTTTGTAAATCACTCTCAAGGAGAATGTGTTGAATGGTACGACGGCTTAGTTGTGGTGCCCCCAGCTGTTTAGCCAAATGTTGAGAAAGTAAGAAAGTTGGGACACGAACTGTTGCAAAAAGCGAGATTAGCATCAACATGAAAAGGATGGGGCATAGTTCTTTATCGAAGTGAGGACACTGCTGTGACATCTTCCACACTTGATATACAACATCTCAGCGTCGCTATTTCACAGTATAGGCCTATTCATGGAGTTGGAGAGAGCATTGCCCAGATGGGTTATCGTTATATGTGGCGTTACTACCACATCTTCAATATTAGTATCATCACTAGGTATCTTTTTGCATTTGAGAAACTACCGAAAGCCATTTGAGCAGCGTCTGACTGTTCGTATATTGGTACTGGTACCTTTGTTTTCCCTTTCCTGCTACTGCATGTTGATGAGCTATAAGGTAGGAAGATTAATAGAACCAGTACGTGAGATATATGAAGCGTTTACTATTTACACTTTCTATAAACTATTAGTGTTGATGCTTGGTGGTGAAAGAAGAATCATTCTAATGACAGTGGATAAGCCTCCCACTTCACATCCTTTTCCTGCAAGTCTTTTTTTGAAAAAGATCAACATTTCTGACCCCCAACAGTTTTTGACTATCAAACGTTGTATATTGCAATATGTGTGGTTCAAGCCTCTTTTGTACCTAGTTATATTCATTACAAGTGTTCTAGGGATCTACGATGTGAATGACGTTTCTTCAAGTAGTATCTTCGTGTGGATAGGTGTATGTTACAATTTAAGTGTTACAACATCATTATATTCCTTAGCTATGTTTTGGAAATGTTTGTACGACCAATTGAGTGCCTTCAAGCCCTGGAGAAAGTTCATGTGTGTCAAGCTCATTATTTTTGCATCTTACTGGCAAGGTATAATAATTGGCCTTCTCAATTGGCTTGGTGTTTTTAGAGAACGGGAAAAAGTTGTGCTCTTGAATTCAAGCGGCAACTTGGGTATCCAGATACAAAACGGCCTATTGTGCTTTGAGATGATCTTTTTTGCATTCCTACATTGGAGCTCATTCCCATACACAGACTTTATTGTTCTGAAATACCCTGACGCTGCACGAATAAAACCGTTGGTAGCCCTGAAAGATTGCATAAGTATAGGCGACCTAATTCATGACATCAAAATCACCACAATGTATGGTGACAGTTATAACTTAAGGAACTTTGATTCCATTGCTGATTCCACCGTTTACAACAGCTCGGAGACCTTCAATCAAAAGATATACCAAGGTTTGAGAATCTCAGCAGATGGAAAGAAATACTGGATAAATGTTGATGAGAACGGGAACGGAGCCTCTTCGGACTCACATGATAAATGTAGTGAGAGTAGTAAAAAAGCAGCTAGTGCATCTTCCAGGAGTATTCGGGGAAAGAAGAGTAAATCAGGGATAATAAAAAGTGAAAATATCGAAAACCAGGCCCGAGTTCTACTTGGAAATTCGAGAGATAGTGAAGACTCTCAAAAAACGAACTCACTAACCCCATTGTTAAATAAAAAAAGCGACAAAGATTTGCAAAGGGGTTATGTGAGTAATATAAGTGACGTACTGGAAGACCCTACATGCTCAATATTCACGGCAGATGAAGAGCTTTCAATTCCAAATAATACAATCTCTGATCAGTATGGTTTCAGCGAAGATCTTAAGAAAGATGAACGTCTTTACCAATACGTGCACAATCATTATATCCCCGAACAAGAAATCAATTACCCAGTTGATTACGATTATAATCTTGTCGAATACTCAACTAGAATTAGCAAGTTGAGACAAAAAATTCAAAATGACCATAGCAGTATCGAAACCGGCTATCGTGATATTACGTAACCCACGCTCAACATGATTGCTGAACTTTCTGACGTGGCACTCTTTATAAATGAAATGAGAGGATAAAGTTGAGCTTTACCACATTCACGTTTCAAGAGGGATACCAGACATATATCTATAGAGACCAGCAATTAGTATAACATGCATGCATTTACCGGGTTGTGTATGGCCGGATTGCTTATTTTACCGGCCTCAGCTTTTTTTGATCAATTTTTTGCCCAACAGCAACGTCAACAGCAACAACCACAACGATCTCATGAGGATGAGTATCTTTCCAAGGATTGCGGCAAGTATTTATGTCCAGACACATTAGCATGTGTAAGTAAACCAGTTGATTGCCCATGTCCATTTCCGAACAGTCAGCAGAAATGCGTGTTTCCTCCACACCCTAATAATGATCACGACGATGGTTCTTACATCTGCATAAGCAAAGGCAGCCGAGATTGCAAATTTGTGGTAGACGCGTACAATGGATTAGTTTAATACTAGAAACTGCTGATGTGATAAAGCGAAGGTATTTTTAAATTGTTATAGCGGGATAAAATCTCGGATAAAATGCAATATATAAACATATGTAAAATTACGGAATGGAATTGGTTTCACATTCTAGTTCTCGAAGGCGCCCAACGCCTCCACGTTATTTCATTGACCACAAAGCTATTCAAAAGTTTCAAAAAGTCTTTGTCAACCAGATAATCCTCCCACTTACTATACCACTCTTCGCTTCCCATGACTGGACCGTCAACAAAACATAAAACCAAGCTTTTTTTTACCCCGGAAACCACTCTTGAAATAGCTGAGTAATCGACCAACGTGTCACCATAACTATCGTAATTGGAATCATTTTCGTTGATCACTTTCACGGAGAACTCTGCATGCGAGAAAGGAGGTCCTCTAGTGTACAATACCCAGTCGCAGCTGAATTTCAACCCCGGCTTAACACACCATCCTAACGACTTGTAATGATAATAGACCACGTACTCATTGATTATTACGGGGCCAAAATTTTCAACTAATAGTTCAACTAGATCGTTGAATTCGATGTATTCATTGTTAATTTTTACTCTGATCCGCTTCAACTGGAAAAGGAATAGCGTCTCACAAGCATCAAGCTCAAGGTACTCTAGATTTCTAATGTTGTTCGAGTCAATGATCACGTCGTAATCTTCCATTCTCAACTCTTCACTAAATTCAGCACTATTGTAACTGTTGTTTTTTGATGTAGTGTAGTTGCTATTGAAGTTATTAGCAGAGAGCCTATTGGCGTTCGATCCATTAGCTGGAAACGACGCCGAAAGCGGACTGCTGGTACGACTCAATAAAAGGTCTGGGTTCACTCCATGGGGGCCTTTGCTCAAATCATCCTTCAACTTGCTCAACCTTTCCCTTTCAGTCTCCAGAATTATTTTATCTTCGTTTGAAATCTCGCCATGAACTGACCTCAGTTTAATGTCCTTTTCGAGAGCAAAGTAAGCCTCACGTTCTCTTTTCCATGCATCTCTCAGCAACCTTCTATGCTTTGTGACTTCTTCGCTAAACAGATTTTCGTCTGCTTTGGCTTCTTCAAATTCTCCAGTATCTATTTTAGACTTCAAGGAAGTGTCGATTCTCTTTTGCATTCGGCCCTGCCACGTTGGCTCGCTCCGACTTAAAATACCTTTACCATAAAAACCGTTATCCCATATGTAAGTCATGTCCTTGGCATTGAAGACTTTGAAAGAAACGTCTGTATATATGTCAAAGACAACATCAATTGGTGTTTCTGCCAGAAATCCAATAGTATATATATGCTTCAATGTATCGCATACTGATTCTAGCACTTCATAGGGAGTAAAATACCTGTTTGAAATATGGACAAGCGGAATACTTATGGGTATAGGACGGGGGTATTTGCGGTTGTTGTATTCACGCTTGGTCAGCTTCGACATTGTTACTTATGAGTGGTATACTGGGCTATGGTGGTATATCACTCCTCAATTGCACCTTAGTTGCACCTCAATTGAAGAAGAAAAGAGATGGGAAAGACTAAGCATCTACACTACAAAAACTTCTTTTCACTTACATCATCACTACCTCTTCTATCTTCCCACGCACTCGAATTTCTCTTCTCACACTATGGGGCGTGCTTTTGCTACTGGTAACACATTACCACATTTGTTTGGCTTATTCCAGACTTTTGCCTTTTTCGATTTATGTCAGATACCGTTGTAGTCTATAATCTTATCCTCCATTAAACCAGCCCGTTGAAAGACGGGGGTATATGTGTCAGGAAAGATGTTTAATTATCATCATATTAAAAAGTCTAAAAGCTGGAAGAAGCCAATAAGGTGTCCGTTGTTTTCGATACAAACCGGCTGGATGTAACGGAAGCAGCACATTCTCCTAAACGTACTACAAACGTACACTTCCAGTGTCCATGCTTGCCTTGCCCTACACATCGGTTTGTCCGACAACCTATCTTGCAGAGGGTCTCCTTATTACAGTGTGAAATTAGTTGAAAAAATAAATGCGGATTACTGGGCTTTTTATACTGCAAAAGTTAGACCTTCGCATCAAACATTTTTCAGCAGGGTTTTTCTTCGAGTCTACAGACAGAGAAAATGGATGAGTTGAGGATGAAGTTTTGAGTGTACGTTTGACAGAGGCAATCGTCTCTATGGCATCTACCCTATTTAGGAATTTGGTACAGCAGTTGGCGAAAAACCTGAAATCAAGAAACCATGAGGAAATCCCCTATCTGCTGAACACTTACTGTTCGGTTGAGCAAGATTGGACTCATTTTGCACAAGAACATAGCGATCTGGACACGAAATACACCAGGAATAATCTCTTTTCACTACCGGATAATCTTGGCCAGGTGTTGCTACTTACATGGAAGCCTAATTCTGGATCTAAAGTTCATAATCATCCTCAGTCAGAATGCTGGGTAAAACTACTTGGAGGACAAATGGAGGAAAAAATTTATGATGCTAGCCAGAAGAAAATAGGGATGCGAAGAATCTTGCGGGATGAAGTTACCCACATAAATGATTCCATGGGAATGCATTCAATGCATAATAGGTCTTTGAAAAATTACGCTTTTAGTTTGCATGTCTATCATCAGAGTCGTTCGGTTAACACTGGGCTTGACAGCGGTATACTCTGCACGGAATCACATCATGCAAGCCAAAGAGGGAGTCCGGTGACACATTTAGATTTTCAGCAAGAACTTTTCTCGAAATAGTTTTTTAAGAACTTTATAATGATCGTAATAAAAAGGTTCTAAAAAGTCTGTGACGTCAGTTTACACCAGGTAACTAATTACTGACGTTCCTGGCAAAATATTCAGTCATATCTCCACTGTTATCGCCATATAGACTCCTACGCAATTTGATCAGCGTAACGCCAACATCATATCTCTTCTTCTTGGTATCTTGAAGTCGTTCTTCTAGTTTCCCCTTGGCATATAAAAGTTTGCGTACCTCGACAGAAGCATTCGCAGCCTCGTATCCGTTGTAGTTCATTCCTGATAACATCTCCTTAACGTATGCAATTTCACGTTCAAGCTTGAAATATCTTGTGTCTAAGTCATCAGCTTGACTTTCCAGATCCTGAATTCTTGACACCATTGCACGTTCTGAAACTCCATGTTTTGCAGTCAGCGGTGTTATGTTTCTGGAGAGGTTCCTGTACTTGGGATCGTGCTTGAAATCTTCTTTAAAGTCTTCCTCCATCATTGGGGTGAGGGGAGTTACTGGAGCATTCAAATCGGCACTACCAGCACTGCCCCTACTACTATTGCTATTGTCGTTGCTGTATCTGATCTTGTCTATTTGAAGAGAAAAGGTGGGATTCTTGATGTCATATTCAATCGCACGCTTGTGAGAGGGGCTCGCTAGATCTTTTGTGCTCCCATTGAAATGCTCGAAAATGTCATCGTCTTCGTCCTTGCTGCCTGGGTTTGGTCCCTTTCCATGAACATCCTGTTCATCACTTGAAAAGGTCTTGATAGATGCACTTGAGCTGAGGTCAGCAAATGAATCATCGACTGCATCGTTCACATCCAAAGTTCCCGAATTAGATGGGATATCAAAACTTTCTAGTTCTGACTTGGATGTATTGTTCGTATAAGCTTCACGATGGGCAACTGCAGGAACAACTGGCGAGTAACTCTCTATTGAGCTGGATATCGAATTTGGTGTTTTCTGCAGTTCTTGCTCTTCACTTGCTTTAGCAACAGTTGGCGAAAGTTTGGCATTCTCTTGCCCACAGGGTGGCGCCAATTCTGGAGTTGCGTTATCAGAAAGTTCATTCACCATGATGGTATAAGATTGCTTGACGTTGTTTGGTTTCTGCTTTGAAAGTGTACAGTCTGATTGGGGTCTACGGTGACAAGTAACAAGTGTAGGTAGATAAATAAGAAAGTGTAAAAGTAAACATTGGCGCACGAAAAGAAAAAAAAACACTGACACGAAAATTCGTTGTGAGGAGTCTCAATCTAGTTAGTAACAGAATTAGTATACAATAGAATAGCTGTATATGTGGATAAAGGCCCCGTTAGACGAAGACAAAACGAACAAAATATACAATGAATAGAGCAGCAATATGAAGAAAAAAAAGAACTGTTTGATTGTTCCTACAGTTGGGTAAACTTAAAATGGTAGGACGAAGTAGTATCTATTTACCGGTCGAGCTCAACGTAACGGTGGCGACGACGCTGGTAATTGTGATGGTGGTGTAAGGTGCGTCATCGGTGTAGGAGGCGCTCTGATTATCTTCCGCGTACATCACGTAGCAGGTGCCGCCTGCTGTAGCCGTGGTGTAAGGGAAGTAGGAGGCCTTGGAGGTGGAAGGGCTGGAGGAAGAAGAGGTGACAGAGGATGAAGATGAAGATGAAGATGACGATGAAGAGGAAGAGGAAGATGTGGAGGTGGTCTGAGAGATAGAGGTGGTTGAGCTTGGGCTAGGAGTGGCGGATGAGGAAGATAAAGTGGAAGTAATGGTCGAAGAAGTGGAGAGCGAGGAGGATGAAGAAGTCGATGAGGATGAGGACGAGGATGAGGACGAGGACGAGGAAGTCGAAGAGGTGGAGGAGGTGGAGGAGGTGGAGGAGGTGGAGGAGGTGGAGGAGGTGGAGGAGGTGGAAGAGCTTGAGGTAGACGAGCTAGTCGACGAACTAGACTCGGAGGAAACGTATTCCGTGACGGAGACGGACGTGCTTGTGTATGTTTCTGGCTGCTCGGAGGAGTAGGAAACAGAGTCCGAAGTTAGCGTCTTTGGCGCATGGGAGGTGACGACCTGTTGGAGGTAAGTACCGGTGACCCCGTTGACCTCTGTGGTGACTGTTCTGTAGCCGGTCGGGTTGACCGTTGTTGGCAGAGTCTGCGTGACGGCAGCAGCGGTCACGTACTCCACTGCTCTTCTTTCGATAGGCAGTGCAGACGACAGGGCAAGGAAGAAAAAGAAAAGAGAGAGGACAAGTCTGTTGGATTGGATAGACATGTTGTTGGGAGAAATGAAATAGAGTTTGTTTGGCTAAAGGAGCGAATGTTAATAGTTGGTAATAGTTAGTGGGTTAAAGGAGTGACTGTAGCTGTAAGAGCTAGTGGAAGAGTTTCAGTTTGTCAGTTTGGGTGTTTTAAAAGAAAGAATATAGTTGGTGACAACTGCTGGGTGGAATTTTTGGTTGGGGTAGGTATCAAGGGTTGCTTGTTTGCTAGGCGAGCGTGTAGTTAGCTGGATGGGAGACTGGTCACTTAGATTGGCATACAAAAGGAAAAGAAGAGCGGAAGCAAAGAAGACCTGTCCACCGACGCCTACTTCCTGTGTGCCAGCTGCAAACCTTCTCCAGAGCCAGGCATCTCTGCAGATATATATAAGACCCCCGTCGACACAGACCCGCTGGCCTGACCTGCTCCCGCTGTGCCTGGCCCGAGAAACCAGCCTCCGACATCACCCCAAACGGAGCCGTCTACTTGCCTCTTCGAGTCTCCCGGCCCTGCTGGAACCCCCGTGGAGTCCCCACTGGCTATACTTTGGTCTTCAACAGATCCAAAAGGGTTTTCGAAACAGGTTGGCTGGTCTGCAGTAGTTGCCGCATTCGGACAAAGAGCACGGCGCTACCTCGGAGGCACGAAAAAAGTGGCAGCTTACGTAAATGCGTAGCTTCAGGACACGTCGTGCTCGTTTCACCAACGGGCGAGGACGACGACGACGAAAAGACGACAAGAAAGATAACCAAGGAAAACGACAGGCTCAGCTGTTTACGGGGATGTTCGTTACAGGGCCTCCTGAGGGACATAGCACAACACTCGACACATCGCAATGAAGCTCGCTCTTCTGTCGTCCATTATTACCCTTTCTGCCTGCGTGTTTGCGGCCGACGCCGTCGAAGAGGCCAGCCCTGAAGCTGCGGAGATTGTCACCGACCCTAATTTCGTTCCTTCTCCTGAGAAGCCGTTCAACTTCCTCATAGACTACGAGATCTCGTTCAAGGAGGACAAGGAAGCTGGTGTGATTGGTGACCTGTACAACGGCGAGACAATTGAGTTGGCGTACAACTTCCGCTCGCTCGAGCCTTCCGAGGTGTCCATCGTCGGTGTCGGCGGAGAGCTGTTGGACCCGGTCACCGGGATCAGCTTGGCTAACATTACCGCCTCGCAAATTGGCCCGATCGCCGTTGAAAACAACCAGCTCGTGAACTTCACCCAAAGAGTCGGCATCAACATGGAGCCAAGAAAGTACCTCTTGGTGCCAGCCATCTACATCGTCTACCAGGACCAGTTCATGCTCTTGGGCTCGACAAACAAGCTCGTCAACATCGTCGACCCAAAGATCTCGCTGTTCAACCCTCAATTGCTTGTCGCCGAGTTGATCTTGGGCGCCACCGTTGCCGGCATCGTCTACCTCGCCTACAACGCCTTCGCCGGCAAGTACTTGGCCGGCGTCCTCCCAGAGTCCCTGCTTCCTGTCGACAAAAAGAAGAAGAGAGCCTCAAAAGCCGCCAGCGGCGACTCAAAGGAGCCAGCCACAGCCTCTAAGGCTGACTACGAGTCGTGGTTACCTGATTCCCACAAAAACCTGACGAAGAAGTCGAAGAAGAAGCTTTGATGGCGCTTGCTACCGGCCTCTAACGTACACTGTACTCTACCTCAAGTATATATAAAAGCGTCCCCGATGCAATTAATAAACAATAAACTGTATAACCCGTGAACAAATCCAGTTTGTGGCGACTATTGTTCTCGCCTCACTTCCCGGCGGAAAAGAACCTCAACATGAATTCGGCCACTCTTCGCTGAGCTCCATCTTCAGGAGAAACCTTCACGTGCGTACACGGTCCCTCCAGCCCCAGACTCCTTCGACGGCAACCAAGCAGCAATGTCCGTCACCAATCAACTCCCTCAAACGACCTATACGCTCAACATAACGTCCAGAGGTCAGCTCAACGCTATGTCCTTCGAGGAGTTGTCCAAATACAGAAAGGAGCTCGACGAAGACCTCTCCTTTCTATTCAGCTACCTTAAAAACACCCTCCACGCAGATATGGATACGCCGTTGCTCTCCGGCGACGGGTTCCCCCGGTCCGACATAGACATCGTGCAAGTCCGTTTGTGTCGGGTGAAGATCATTAAGTTGCAGAACGACTACAAGTGGATCTCGGAAACTCTGCTCGACAAAATGCAACAGCAGTTGGCAAAAAATGACTAGTTTTGTATACTTCTCTGATCTATGACATTAGCATCATGTCTGAAAGACTACGATCTCTTTTCTAAAAACTCGTGAAAACACGAAAAAATCTCGATTAACGTATCTAATTACTACTCATACACTATTTTTTTCTATACCGGGGATCGTGGTTAATAGCCTGTAATGCAAGTACTCATTTCAACCACCGTGCAACGTGCTCGTGAAGGAGACCAAGTCTCCATCATCCAAAACACACTCTTCCTTGTCTTCCAATTCCCAGTCCGTATCGTTCACCAACACTAAAATACCTGGTCGCACAGTGCCCTCCTGGATGAACATGTCCATATCTTTATCATTTGTGATCATCTTCTCCGCAAGGTGATCGATGAGATCTCTGATGGTGACCTCATCGTTATCTTCATTCCGTGGTTGGACGACGCATTTTGTGTTCCTCACGCCACCAAAAACCTGGTCTAAACCGCCCAAAAACTCTACTTTAACGGCAACCATTATCTGATAGCTTCCTTGTTCTCACTCAAATCAACCCTGTCCAAGAAATGCAGCCTTGGATTTAGCATTGTCCTCCATCACAACTGGATCAAATGAGTGGGGTCTCTGAAAAAAAAATCAAATTTGTCACGTTTCCCTGCCTGTCCCGATATAGCAACCCAGCCGAGATGTCTTCGGTTCCATTATGATGACTGATTGATTTTTCGTTATGCGGAGTAAGAACTGGTCACAGATTTACCGGCTTAGTCTCTAGATTGCAGCTTCTGGTACGTCTTTCTGTTTCTCTGCTCCAAATTTTCTGCTTCTCTTCTGTTTCTTCTATAGGTCCTTCTATTTTGCTCCTTCTCCACACATCCGATCAACAAAAACCATGCCTATGCTCAAAGACCCTTCAATCAAGTACAAGCCGTTCGATCCAAAGCTCACGCTCAATGATCGGCAGTGGCCGTCTAAGTCCTTAACGAAAGCCCCAAGATGGCTGTCGACGGACTTGAGAGACGGTAACCAGTCGCTTCCGGATCCCATGTCCATTCCTGAAAAAAAGCTATATTTCCAGGAATTAGTGAAGATCGGATTCAAAGAAATTGAAGTAGCGTTCCCGTCGGCTTCTCAGACGGATTTCGATTTTACCCGTTGGTGTGTTGAAAATGCGCCTGACGATGTCTCTATCCAAGTCTTGTCTCCATGCAGACCAGATTTGATCAGAAGAACAATCGAAGCTTTGAAAGGAGCTAAAAAGGCAACTGTGCACATCTACCTTGCCACCTCCGCTTGCTTCAGAAACGTGGTGTTTGGAATGACTCCTGAAGAGACACTTCAAAAGGCTACAGAATGCACTGCTTTGGTCAGATCCTTGACAAAGGACAACTCCCAAGATGAAGTCTTCAAGCAGACACATTGGGACTTTGAGTTCTCCCCAGAGACGTTCTCAGATACGTCTCCGGAGTTTGCACTCGAAGTATGTGAATCTGTGAAAGAGGCCTGGAACCCGTCGGCTGAAAATCCAATCATTTTCAACTTGCCTGCAACTGTGGAAATGGCCACTCCCAATGTCTATGCTGACCAAATCGAATACTTCTCACGTCATATCTCTCACAGAGAAACGGTTTGCATCTCATTACATCCTCATAATGATCGTGGTTGTGCCGTTGCAGCTGCAGAACTGGCCCAACTAGCAGGAGCTGACAGAGTGGAGGGCTGTTTGTTTGGGAATGGTGAAAGAACTGGTAATGTTGACCTTGTTACTTTGGCTTTGAACTTGTACACCCAAGGGTATTATCCAAACTTGGACTTCTCCGATATGAGCAAGGTGATCGAGGTAGTCGAGAAGTGTAATAAGATTCCAGTCCATCCAAGGGCACCTTACGGTGGCCAGTTAGTTGTCTGTGCATTCTCAGGCTCTCATCAAGATGCCATCAAGAAAGGGTTCAAGAAGTACGAGGAACAAGTGAAGAGTACTGGCGACATCAGCTGGACCATGCCTTACTTGCCACTTGATCCAAAGGATATTGGCCGTACGTATGAAGCGATCATCAGAGTCAACTCTCAGTCCGGTAAAGGAGGTGCCTCTTGGATTATTTTAAGAAATCTCGAGCTAGATCTACCTAGAGGTCTACAAGTCGACTTTTCAGGACGAGTCCAAGTTGAGTCGGAATGGAAGGGCAGAGAGCTCAAGACCAAAGAGATTGTGGACTTGTTCAAAGACAAGTACTTTCTCTACGATGTTCAAGATGAAGCCGACAACGAAACGGTTGCCATGCTGGATATCTTCAACTTGAAAGACTACACCCTAACAAATGAAGGTAAGAATAGAAGCATTGTTGCACTTGTTTCTTCCAAGAGTCAGGAGTTGGAATTGAAAGGTTTGGGTAACGGTCCGATTTCTGCTCTTGCTAACGCGATTAGCAACTACTTCGGCATCACCTTTGATGTCGTTCACTACAATGAGCACTCTCTCGGTAAAGATTCTAACTCCAAGGCCGTTGGCTATATTGGGGTCCGCGTTGGGAGCCACGAACGGATTATCTGGGGTGTAGGTGTCGACGAAGATGTCACCGAAGCCGGCATGGTTGCTTTAGTCAACACCTTGAATGGTTGTATCAGAGACAAACTCGTCAAGGTTTAGTTTATCTAGGGTGAAAAGTTTTTTGTATACTCACATTTTTAATCCTTAGAGCAATATCTCTAGATACCGGGGCAAGCTTGCCCTTCAGGGAACTTCCCGCTAATCACAGGCAATGTTCTTGCCAACAACTGCCTCTGCTAACCCTACCCTGCCATCACAGCCCTCCAAGTCCCAGCCCATGTCTACGTCCTGAGAATAGCATTAGGTCATGTTTACGTAACGTCTCCCTGAGTGGTAAACAGAGCAGCGATGAGAAGACCGAGGGAGGCTCTCTATAAATATACTTCAGGATACGTAAAGGTATTTATAGGGTGCAAGTGCTCCAATTCCAGGATATTTCGGTCTACATTGCCCCCCTGCGCTTTCAAGGTAAGACCATTTTTAGCTTCTTGCAATCAGCTTACAGTGTGCAACAAACACCGAAAAAATAGTTGTGCATTTGCCAAGGAGAACTTCAACGGAGCCGCAAGGGTTTAAGCCTCAATGGAGTTGTATATCAATGATAGCACGCATACTTTGGCAATATGCTCAAACAACTATGCGTTGATTCTTGTGGACAGCTTGCAGAATCGTGGAGTCTATGCAGGCTCTTCCAACTATTTATACAATCATAGCCACTCTAACCATGCTGTGAGTCCAGATGGAACAACTCCGAAGTGTTTGATTGAGTTTGTGCCCAGGAATACAGTTCCGTTGCACACCTTTCGACGGTCTCCAATTGAGTTGTACGGCCTCTTGGGATTGATATGTCTCAAAGGGACCATGTATGTTGGATTTATCAGTGGCAGAGCGAATGTCGGTCCGTTGATCCCACAGGTCAATGTCCACCAGTTGGTAAGTACCATATTTGTCAGTTTCTCAGGTGAAGTTTATTCACTGTACAACCAGTATAGCCATGGATCTCATTCGCAACAGCCCCTGCAACAGCTGCAGCAGCTGGAGGAGTCATATGAGGCGATGGAGTCGTCATCATCGGCTTCCAGAATTACATCCATCATGAAATTGCTTGAGACAGGTACATTCTACTATTCGTATGATACGGATTTGGCAGTTAAATCACAAGATTGGGATATTGCCAACAAATCGGACTACACTTATACAACAGTCCAGAGTTTACAGGATGATTATGCAGGAAGATTTGTATGGAATAGTAACTTGATTAGCGAAGTATCCATTTTCAGAGGCCGTTTAGCAGATGAAGAGAGAAAAATTTTTGACCAGGGCAAATTCTACATAACGTTGATAAGGGGATACGTCCACCGAGAACCGTTTGATGTTCGTGACGATAGTTGGATTACGATTATCTCAAGGCAAGATTGCAGAAAAGTAGGACCCTTGTTTGGACCGGCGTGTGTGGATGATGAAGGTAACGTTGCAAATTTTGTAGAAACAGAACTAGTGGTTTACACCGGAGATAACCTTGTGAGTTTTACAATAGTGAAAGGAAATGTCCCTCTTTTTTGGAAGTTGGACACACATCTTCTGTCAACCAAAATTGAATTCCCTCGATCAGAAGATGCTTCAAAACATGCGTTCAATAGGTTTTTCGAAACTCTATGCACGGAGTATAATATGGTTTATGTTTTAGACGCTTTGAGCTCGAAGGGTAGCCAGCCTGAGTTGAGTGATAGGTATGCAAATGCCATCCAGGAGTTACAAACTGATTACAAGGAACTCTCAGTGGGCTACAAAAAGCTGACTTACGGGGTGTCTTTGGGAAACAGGTTGAAAGGCAAAAATGATTATATGAGCTTGCTATTGCAAGACGAGCAAATCCACGCTGCACTGCAAAATTACTCGGCAAACCAATTTAACTTCAAAGAATGGAAGCAAAGTTCAAGACAGTTGGGTGTTTTTCTTGTAAATACATTGGATTCAAATGACAGAGCAAACCATGTTCAATGCAAAATTAGCGAAATGATTCTCGAACATCTTTTCGGTACAAATTTCACGCCCGAAGTTTGGTCAAAACACAACTTACTTTGGGTAATGAATGGTACCGCTTTGGGAAAGTTGTCAGATACTTACAATGCATCTATCAAAACCAAAAACAAAACTGGAGGGTTGATTGGTAAATTTGCCGAGCAGGGGAAGAAATACGCCGAGCAAAGTAAAAAGTATGTTTCAGGTGGACCAAATAATATAAACGGGTCTAGTTCAGGTAGGCAGACCCAATTTGACAGGTTATTAGGACGTAAGAATAAAGAATTTCAAGTCGAATTGATTGACCCAATTCACGATTATGTTCTCGAAGGACTCAACAAAAGGCGCAACGAATTTACCACTATCAAAGATCTTCTTATCTACACTGTCACCTTCAACGTTAATGCGGTTTTATATGACGGTGACCTCAATGATTTATTGTTTCCTGAAGAGGAAAGTTACAGCAAGTATGATATTATCACGATTGCTTTAGAAGAGGTTATAGAATTAACACCAAGTAAAGTGATGTCGATTGATTTAAGTACAAGGAATTTTTGGGAGCGAAGATTTAAAGAGGTCCTCAACAAAAAACATGCCAAAGAATATACACTTCTTAGAGGAGAACAACTTGGGGGAATCCTTCTGTTGGTTTATGCCAGTATTGAAATTATCGATAACATCAAGAAAGTGGAAAGTAGCGTCAAAAAGACAGGCTTCAAAGGAATAAGTGCAAACAAAGGTGGTGTTGGTATAACATTTACATTTTCAACCCATTCAAGGCTTTGCTTTGTTGCGTCTCATTTAGCAGCAGGGCAGAGTAATAGCGAAGAACGGCACCAGAATTATAATACAATTGCTACAGGTTTGACATTTAAAAGATGTAAAAACATCAAAGATTCAGATATTTTGATTTGGATGGGCGACTTAAATTACAGAATAAGTTTGCCAAATGAAACAGTTAGAAAGATACTTCAATTTCGGACGCCAGCATTTGCGCTTAGTAATCACGACATGAATCGTAGTAATGAAAGTTTTGTCAGTGATGAAGGGCGTAGTCCTGATGATGATAGTGCTAGCCTATTAGAAGAAATTGACGACGGCGTCAAAGATGATTTTTTTGAGGAAGAAGAAAAGAAGATTGAGAGAGAGAACGAAATTGATTTGGAGAATAGGCTTGCAGAAGAGCATGACATTGAACTCAAACTCCATGATGAAGTATTTGATAGGCGTAAGGAAGACGTAAGTGAGGGGTCTATACTGCACCAAAAAATTAACGACAAAAGCCTTGAGACTGCTGACCCGAACTCTATTGATGCGGGGGAGGCCACACTAACCAGTGCCAGTAAAGAGTCATTGGGATCAATTAACCTTACCAAACAGGAAACTATGAACGAAAATAATATTAACAGTATAGGACAAAACTCAAATGGAAGCAAAGTTTATTTGAATGAAAGTCATGAGAAACTGAGTAGTTCACACACTCAACTGAATGTGAATGAAGAACAGAAAATTATAGAGCAACTATTCGAATATGATCAACTAAATGCGCAAATGGCAAATGGACAAACATTTCCTTTCTTTGATGAGATGGAAATTAGTTTCAAACCAACTTATAAGTTTGATAAAGGAACAGACTACTACGATACTTCTGAAAAACAGCGTGTTCCCTCATGGACAGACCGTATTTTAACACACACGAAAGATAAAAATGTGACTTCCTTAGAACAAGTGAGATACAATAGCATTCCAAAGTATAAATTTAGCGATCATAAGCCTGTCTATGGAATATTTGTGGCCAAACTTGAGATAGTTAATGATTCTAGTAAATCTGTTATTGAAAAGCAATTATACGATATAACTAAGCAAAAGCTTTATGCAAGTGAGACTGGCGGCGTTTTATTGCCTGGCATACTCAGCTCGCTGATGTCAGAGTCTCGGTCAAAGAACTTGGTAAAACGTGGGTTACCTCCTCCATCGAGTAAAGATTCAAGGTGGTGGATTTCTAAAAACAAGGATGGGAATATGAGTGACGAAAAGATAGGAAAAGTGAAAGTCAGGTTTCCTGAGCTAGATAGTGGGGAAAAGATGATCAACCCAAATCTGCCGAAGAATCCATTTACCAAAACAACCGAACCACTTTTTGTTGTAAGGGAAGGGTTATAGACTATATATATGGGTAAGATCTAGAATAAAAGGGTATAAAAGTAATTATAAAGGTGTTCATTATATCGAGGTGTGTACAGATCTTATGGTTGTCAGCAAGCCTGATTCTCTAAAAATTAGAGAAAACAAAAATAACGAATTAAACGACAACTGCAGGATTCGAACCTGCGCGGGCAAAGCCCAAAAGATTTCTAATCTTTCTCCTTAACCACTCGGACAAATTGCCAATTATGAAGCTTAAAGAGGTGTACTTTTTCTACTATTTAATATGCTGAGTAATAATACTTCAAAACACTGGAACGCCCAAGCTAGACTTCAAATATATAGATGCTAAGGGATTCTGTTGAGTTAAAATGCCGAGACGAATGAGGATCAATCAAGAAACAAGAGATCAGAGCCTTATAAAGACAAGGCATCAAAGATAAGGTGCCGTAGCCAATCAGGATCTAGAGACAAGCTATCTGGATGGAGAAGAGATAAAAGTCTAGTAATGACAAGGCATCTAAGTCTTTTAAACTGGAAAGATTAGCTGACGGATGAGTATATAAATAGGAGAGGTGTGTCACTTGTTTGTGTATGGAGGCATTCGTTTGTAAGTTAGCTATATTAGCTATATTTAAATTGCAACAAACATAGCAACAGGTATACCACTGATAATGGATATTCCATCTAGAGTAAATAGACTACAACAAATTCATCCTCGCATTTGTGGTTGAGATGTTAAAGTCTAGTACTCAGTTAACAAAAGTTTTAAAAAATATAAGCAAAAAATATCGAATCAAATATGATAAAAACTTCATGGCCAATCACATGCTGACAACGTTTTCAAGGTAAGCATTTTTGCAATGAGCAAATGCCATATTTCAGAAATGAAAACGCCAAAAAGCTGACAATAGTGAGCGGCCTGCTGGGTATCCTCTTTTGCATTCCATCACTATCTCCACAAGGCATAGAGTTGCTCTGATCAAAAGTAATAGCGAACCTTGCTGCAAAGGTCCAGATTATCAGCAGTAAAAAGGCTACACAGGGTTTACGCAAGGCTTTAGATCTGCAAGCATATTTCCTTCATCTCCCGCTGCAGAACTTGATGATCAGCATACTTTCTTGTATAGTTTACTTCTACTGCTATTCTGGCAACTGATCGAAAATTTTTCTTTGGACCTTTACCTGTTTCTGTAGCCGAATTTTCCCTGATCCACGCTAAATGAACTGCTGCCCAGACAGAAGTTTCTCATCTTACCACTGCTACACCCTTTACTACTCATTTCTCTCCCAGTGTCACCTTCTGGCATCATCCAAGCAAGATGTCGGCCACGGCAAACAGAGCTCGATTCAAGTCCGTACAGGCACCGGTCTTTGCCGCCTCTCCTACTTTCTTACAACAAATGTGTCACCTACGCGTTTGTTCGCCACCCATACAGGTGACACATTCGTCTTCGTCTCCGAACTCTGCAGAAGACTCTCTCCGTCTCCTCTCGAGGTGACTGAACCCGTCAACCCGTCCTCGAGGGCCGTCTTGAGGTGACTGAACTCGAGGCAAGCGCCGGTCTTTCCCGAACGGGAAAGTTCTGCAGCGCGCACCGGTAGCGCAATCTCCCCAGGGTGATAATGAGTCAGATAGCGGCGGCCTCGAGCGTTTCGGCTGTATCGAGTTACTTAACGTGACCACTGGCCTTTTTTTTTCACCCCTGTTTATTTTTTCACTTTCGGGCTGTACTGGTACTTGTGCTGCTTCTTTTACGCCTTTTTTTCCGGATTCTTGCCGCTTCGTCTGCTCTCTTTCTTCCTGCTCCTGCAACACTACAAAGTTTCGAAACAGAACAACAGATCACATCCACAATGTCTGCAACGAACCCCTACGCACCAAACCCTAGTGATTTCATATCCAACGTGCCGAGATTCGAGGTGATCGACTCGACGTTGAGAGAAGGTGAACAGTTTGCCAACGCCTTTTTCACGCTTGAGAACAAAATCAAAATTGCCAAGGCTTTGGACGACTTTGGCGTAGACTACATAGAGCTGACTTCTCCAGTGGCCTCCGACCAGGCCAGAGAGGAAGTTGAGGCGATCTGCAAGTTGGGCTTGAAATCCAAAATCTTAACACACATCAGATGCCACATGCACGATGCGAGAGTCGCTGTGGAGACTGGCGTTGACGGTGTCAATGTTTTCATTGGTACCTCGAACTTCCTTAGACAGCATTCCCACGGTAAGGACATGTCGTATATCACCAAGGCTGCCATTGAAGTTATAGAGTTCGTCAAGTCCAAAGGCCTAGAGGTAAGGTTCTCAACGGAAGACTCCTTCAGATCCGACATCGTCGACCTTCTCAACATATATACCACTGTGGACAAGATCGGGGTGAATAGAATCGGTATTGCAGATACCGTCGGGGGTGCCAACCCAAGACAGGTATACGAGCTCATCAGAACGATCAAGTCGAGTGTGAGTTGTGAGATCGAAACCCACTTCCACAACGATACCGGCTGTGCCATTGCCAACGCATACACCGCCTTGGAGGCCGGTGCCAAATACATCGACACCTGTGTCTTGGGTATAGGTGAGAGAAACGGTATCGTGCCAATCGGAGGGTTCATGGCCAGAATGGTTGTCTCTGCTCCAGAGTACGTCAAATCCAAATACAAGTTGAACAAAATCAGAGACCTTGAGAATCTCGTGGCAGAGATCGTCCAGGTGAATATACCTTTCAACAACCCAATCACGGGTTTCTGTGCATTCACTCACAAAGCCGGCATCCACGCAAAGGCTATTTTGGCAAACCCCTCCACCTACGAGATCTTGAATCCTACCGACTTTGGATTGACGAGATACATCCATTTCGCAAACCGCTTGACTGGATGGAACGCAATCAAGGCGAGAGTGGAACAGTTGAACCTGAACCTCACTGACGACCAGATCAAGGTGGTTACTAATCAAATCAAGCAGATGGGCGATGTCAGGCCATTGGGTATCGAGGACGTTGACTCCATAATTAAGGCCTTCCACGCCAAGGAGAAGGACAACACCAGCAACGCAAACGAAAACGAAAACGAACAACCAGGTGCCAAGAGACAAAGGGTCGATTGATTTAAGGAGCACCTTGCGGCGAATTTAACTAAAAATATTCTTTACTCTTCTCTTACTTTTTTTCTTCCACCTTCTTTATTTATACTCGTAGACTGTGTTTCACTTCTCTGTGCTCATGTTTGAACAGCTTTATAAAATACACTAATACTACTACTACCGCTCAACTTCAGCAGTAAGCAGCGTGTCACGTGCATGAGCTGAACCCTCTTGAAACCCTCTTTTTTAAGAAGAGACGCAACTTTTTTTTCCCTCGCTTTGCGTGGTCTCTGAAAAATTCGGGCGCTCCTCACTCCCTATATAAGCTGAGCGGTCCACCTTTACTTTTTACACACATACAACCTCCCCTCGTCGCAGGTTACAACGGAGATTTTACTTGTTTCCCTTTAGCAGTCCTTTATTAGTCAATCACAATGCCAAGTATGTTTGTCTTTATTGTCCTGGTTAGCAATAACCAGAAGTTTAGATGCCACTTTCATCCCTAGTCGGTTGGATATTTTTTTCCAGCTGGTTAGTATAAACGATGTTTGTTGGCTTATGAAAGGATTCCACCAGCTGATCCAATAGCAACGCATCTGTATTGCTATAATCTGCTGACAATCCTTTATCGGGTCACGAGTTCTACTTCTTATGTTGCGGAACTGAATTCACTGTCTTTTTCCTCCTTCACGGGAACCGGAGAAAGCGTCGAAACTCTAACTGATATGCTAAACACCCGACACTTTAGTATATCGACCTACGGACAAGGAGTGATGATTCCCTAGTGAATTGTTTTTTTGTTTAGGTAAAGACGTTTTCTTCAGGTTTGGTAATGCTGACCTTTAGTGCTGCTGCGTTCTGCGCAGTACCGGTTAGCGTTATTTGTGAAGGGGGCTAAGGCTGGTAGTTTTCGGTTCCGTAATCATTGTAGCAAGTATTACACGCATTCCCGTAGTGATGTCATTCAAGCCTTTGCTGAAACACATTCTAACATCAACCTTACTTTTCCTATCACTTTGTTGTACCACAGGAGCTCCAAGAAACTACTCCAAGACCTACTCTGTCCCAAAGAGACCTTTCGAAACTGCCAGATTAGACGGTGAGTTGAAGTTGGCCGGTGAATACGGTTTGAAGAACAAGAAGGAGATCTACAGAATCGGTTTCCAATTATCTAAGTTGAGAAGAGCTGCTAGAGACTTGTTGACCAGAGATGAAAAGGACCCAAAGAGATTATTCGAGGGTAACGCCTTGATCAGAAGATTGGTGAGAGTCGGTATCTTATCCGAAGACAAGATGAAGTTGGATTACGTTTTGTCCTTGAAGATCGAAGATTTCTTAGAAAGAAGATTACAAACTCAAGTTTTCAAGCTCGGTTTAGCCAGATCCGTTCACCACGCTAGAGTCTTGATTACCCAAAGACACATTGCTGTTGGTAAGCAAATTGTTTCTATTCCATCCTTCATGGTCAGATTGGACTCCCAAAAGCACATTGAGTTCGCTTCCACCTCTCCATACGGTGGTGGCAGAGCTGGTAGAGTTAAGAGAAAGTCTCAAGCTGCCAAGTCCGAAGAAGGTGCTGAAGAAGACGAAGAATAAGCGTGTTAACTTTATATGTCCTATATAAACTTGCCTAGCTTATTTTTTATCTACTAACAACAGCTCTTTTTTTTACACTCAAACCCCCCTAAATGTCATTTTTCCAACTCCTTGCTTTTTATACCATACTTTTCTAATTGTAAATTACTTAATATCGAATATCAAATACTGTCGACATCATCAACATTCTATTTTTATGATACCAAACTGGTGTATAGTCTTTGCTCCTGTCAATATTACCTTAGCAGGAATCTAAAGCAATGAAGCGCTGTATTCGTGAAAAAAAAACTATCACGTGTGTATAGAGAGGGTTAAAGCCCTTACACCCACACACCTTTGCTAAAACAGTCACGCCGCTGGGGAAATTTTTCTTCCCGCCGCCTTTCTACGGCAAATCTCCTCGCGTCCCTTCCTTCTCCTGCCTCACCGGTGCTGTCACTATAGGCAGAGAAGATACTATTGAAGATATTTCACAGCTTAGTTAGACTTTTCAATAGTTGCTACAGTATATACTTCAAAGACACAAATCACTCACCAGGGTATATAATTAATTCAAAATGGGTAAAAGGTATGCACCACATTGTCTCCTTGATGAACGAGAAGGACATGAAAAGGGTTGATGAAGAAACCTGAAAGTTGGAAGAACAGCAGTTTAGAAACCGTTTGGCGAATGGAATAGTTTCAGCAGAAGAGTTTTACAAGAGACATTATAATCAACTGTACAAGTGCAAGTGAAAGTTGTCCACAGAAGAAGACATGAGATTGACATTATCCTCGAAGTTTTGTAATTTTGGATTCTATCATTCTGAATAAATACAATGACTAGTACCAGGATTGTCGAGTTCATGAATGAGAGACCACCTCTTATCTGCGAGAGGAATATTCACAAAGGAAAATTCACTCACTTCCCTTTAGACTGCATTATAGAGATAATATAGACGCTCAACATATAACGTACTGGAAAATTGTATCACTGCAACTGTAAATTGCCAGAAGCCATTCCCTTTTTACACATTGTTCTACCACCAACAGTACCGCATGCTCCTTTTCAAGAATAGTCACGATCCTTGATTCACTATCCAGGAAGAAATACTAACTTATTTGTAATCAATTTACACCTTTTATTACTATAGTCATGGTTTGAGATCTAGAACTCGTTACGCTTTCAGTCGTGACTTCAAGAAGCATGGTGCTCCAGCTATGTCCACCTACCTGAAGACCTACAAGGTTGGTGACATTGTTGACATCAAGGTTAACGGTGCTATCCATGACGGTATGCCATTCAAGTTCTACCACGGTAAGACTGGTATTGTTTACAACGTCACTAAATCCGCTGTTGGTGTTATTTGCAACAAGGTTGTTGGTCACAGATACATTGAAAAGAGACTTAACATCAAGATTGAGCACGTTAAGCACTCCAAGTGTAGACAAGAATTCTTGAACAGAGTCAAGGAAAACTCTGCCAAGAGAGCTGTTGCTAAGGCTTCTGGCGAAAAGGTCCAATTAAAGAGACAGCCTGCTGGTCCAAGATCTTCCAGAGTTGTTTCTGGTGTCCCAACCACCTTGGCTCCAGTTGCTTATGAAACTTACATTTAAGAAAGTTGTTCAGAAGTTATATTTTTCTACTACTGTCTATTTGTGTCTTTATAAGTTAAGTTAATAATTCCTCTTTATTTTATAGATAAGAGAATATGCTTTGCGAATAATAAAACCGTTCCATCTTCATCCCCATTACCTTTAATGCAATTTCAGTAAACCAAAAAGAGTGAGGCCGGCCGGATTTAAAAATCGAGAAGTGTAATTTTCCAGGCCAGATTTTCACTCAAATTTTATCATGAATTTTTTTGGCAGTACAGAATACATCGTTAACTCCTTGTATAACAGTTGAAAAGTAGATAAATCCTCACTGTTTATCCCTCTGTGCACTATCATCTAGCTGTCTTTGACTAGTCGAAAGGGCAAAGAGAGCAGCATTCCCACTATTTGCCTTTCAATAGATTGTAAGCTCGTCGAGGTTGAATTGAGTTACTCTTATCTCTTCCGCCAATCAAGTTTTCAGCATGTCAAATAATAATAATAATAACAATGTCAACAATCAGAACGCCAATAGTAATGATCGTGACAACAAACTGAAAGATAAAATCGTTTCATTTGAACAAGACATTGAGGCAGCTGTCCCGTACTTAGCCTCAGATGAAAAATCCTCCACTTTAAAAGAAGCATATGATACGATATCTCAGGATGCGACATCATCCAACACACAATTGAAACAACAAGTTGTGGTTAAACCATGGGTGCATTTTGTAGCGGGTGGTTTAGGTGGGATGTGTGGTGCTATATTCACGTGCCCGTTTGACGTTGTCAAGACTAGGTTACAATCTTCGGTTTACAGAGAACTATACAGTAGCAGTGTTTCTTCGAAAAATTCAGTATCAACAGCTGGTAAAGTGCTCACACACTTTAAAGAAACATGCTTGATTCTTAATAGTGTTTACAAGAATGAAGGGCCACGTGCTTTGTTCAAAGGTTTGGGACCAAGTTTGGTTGGTGTCATTCCCGCAAGGTCAATCAACTTCTTTACATATGGCTACAGTAAAGATCTATTGAAACAGTTTGATTATTTCCAAGGAAAAGAGACATCTTTCATGCATTTGCTTGCGGGAATCAATGCAGGTGTTGTGACAAGTACTGCAACAAATCCAATCTGGTTAATCAAGACAAGATTACAGTTGGACAAAGCGACCAAAAAAGAATACAAGAATTCCTTGGATTGTATCATGAAAATTTTAAAGAATGAAGGTTTCTTTGCATTGTACAAAGGTTTATCAGCATCATATTTAGGCTCTGCAGAGTCTACCCTTCAGTGGATTTTGTACGAGCAGATGAAGTCTTTCATTCACCAAAGGTCGGAACGACATGTACTTGAAGGTAAGGTAAGAACTAGTTTTGATGATGCGACAGATTGGTTTGCTCGTTCGGGTGCTGCCGGGTTTGCCAAATTGATTGCATCATTAATAACGTATCCTCATGAAGTCGTACGGACAAGATTGAGACAAGCTCCAACTGAAAAAGGTAAAGCCAAATATACTGGATTAGTACAATGTTTCAAGCTGGTCATTAAGGAGGAAGGTTTTGCTTCAATGTACGGTGGTTTAACTCCTCATTTGATGAGAACCGTTCCTAACAGTATGATTATGTTTGGTACCTGGGAAATTTTCACCTTACTATTTTCCAAATTATAAATACAGCTGATTATAAGATGGGTAAATGTGGTCGAATGAGGGAGAAAATCAAGTCAATGAGAAGATCAACCAATTCATGTATGTAGGTGTCAAAGTGACAATCAGCTTTATCTTCCTTCATTGTGGCTTCCTTAATTCACCATTTAGTTATAAATCTAATTTCCCCTTCTTCACTTTGTTTCTTGTTCATAGATCATTTTATTCATTTTCAACTTTGGGTTCGGGTTTGCGATGGCGCCAATTAATGTGTCATCCTTTTTTCTTTTCATACTTTTCTTGTTGATAGTTATACATATTGTAGAGTGTATCATTAATGGCAATTTCATGGTAGATAAAAATGATCAAAAGATAATTTTCGAAAGTCAGTATAAATGGAGGACATGAATTAATACGCGTTCTTATCTGAATTACCAAGAATTGACACTATTATCACGACTTGCTACTTTATTTTCTGCTACAACGTTTACGATTCAAATTAAGATAAACCAAGACAAAGTTATGTCATTCAAGTATGCACTTGTGCCATATATCCGTGCGCCTGAAAAACACCCGAGTGTGGTTCTGTACTATGACGAGAATGTGTCGATAATTAAAGACGCCTTTCCTAAGGGCAAAGTACACCTGTTGATATTACCAAGAAATGAAGAAACAAGCAAGAAGAGGTCTCAAGAGGCTTTCAAGGATGAAAAGACGAGGAAACTGCTAGAGGGCTATGTCAACCAAGGGGTTGAATTGGCACACAAGGCATTTAATAAAACGTGGAAACGGATAGATGGGGATGAACAGAAGAAGATGAAAATAATTGTGTGTTGCCACTCTGTTCCATCGTTGAACAACCTGCACATTCATGTGTTAACCACGGATATGTGTGGAAAGAACATGAAGAACAAAAAGCATTACAACAGCTTTACAACGGAGTTCGCAATAAAATTTGACGAGTTTCCCCTAAAAGAGGATGACTACAGGCTTCAAGATAAAGGCAGGTGTGAGTCGTTGCTTAAGCAAGATTTGGTTTACAACGGGATCAATTATAAAGGCAGTTTCAAGAAAATGCAAGCTAAATTACACGAGGATTTTGACAAAGTTTATAAGCATATATAGAATACAGTTTCATTTCAAGGACACGTTTGAGTCAAGACCCTGGTAGATGAACCTCAAAAGATCTCTCTCAGCAACAGGTGGTCCGGAAGGAGAGGGAGATGAGGCAGCTATAGGAGATGGAGAAGACATTGGTGATTCCAAATCTTCCTTTTTAACATTTTTCAAAACGTCACTGATTTTGAGACCTGAATCTATTTCGCTTTTAGTCAAATATCCACCAAACATGTAGTCTTCTAATGTAGTGTGTGCATATTCCACATACTCATCCGTTAGTTGATCATCCCTAAATAACAATGTCTCCAAGGCATCGGCGTCAGCGGAAGATTTCAGATGAGAGTTTGTTGTAGCGGCCGCTGTATTGATAGTATTTTGGGTGACGGTTGAAGTAGCCGTCGACGGAGGAATGGAGTGGGCCGAGTGAGGCGGATGGGCAGTGGCTATTTGTGTTGCATTTTTGATCCATTCCTCTACTTCTGGGGTTAGCTTTTTTCGCAGCAAATTGAATAGGAGACCGGACATGGTATTGAATTCTCGGTTTGGGAAGACATTTGTCACCTGGAGGATTTCCTTGTGTGCCTGCAAGGTTCGACTAAGACTGGCAAGTTGTTGGAGAATGACATTAAACTGGTTCTGTATTGCAGTCAACTCAGCATTGGATTGGGTATAGTGCAGTACTCGTAGGGCTTCTTCCAGTTTGCGCAACGAATGTGTTAACTGGGTGAGTCTTGGACGGAGCTGTTCCAGGTCTTCCACGGGGGTGTCTTCGAAGTTGAGAGGGGGGAAAGCCTGCTGTGTAGCTGGTACTGGAGCGGGTGGGACACTCATTGTGGTGTTTGTCAGTTCTCTGTGGTTGCAGGACGGCCAGGTACTCTCCTTTAGGGTGTTTGAATCTGTAAATTAGTCGCAAGCACACGAAGACATGAATGTGCCAGATTAGCGAGCGACCGAAAAGGACGGGCTATAACTAGAAAGTTGTGCAGCCTTTTCGTTTGCAATCTTTTGGCACCTTTTCCATGCCCTACGGGTCCCTACGAGACGAGTCACCGGCGGACGCAATGAACATATCCAAGAGACAGCAACGGCGAACAGAGTTTATAGAACGGAATCGGGAACGAATCGACAGACTTGTGGAGAAGTACGGCACGTCGGAGGAGATACAGAAGCAGATCGGCGTGCTTGAGAGGAAGAGTGGAGAGGGCCAGCTAGGGGCCCGAGGCATCAGCGACCTGGAGGTGCTACATTCTCAGTACCGTGTGCTACGGGAGTTTGAGCGGAGTGGTGGGAAACGGGCGGAAGAAGAAGGCCGCAGTGCAGAGGGCAGAGGAGGCGACAGACCTCGACAGGAAGAGACCGGTGACGGCATACGGGTGCTCTCGTTGAAGGAGAAGTCTGTGTTCTGGGACGCAGAGTTGAACCCGTTGGGACGGCAGCCCGTGAACGAGGTGAAGCTGAACTACGGATTCAGGGGCGAGTACCAGGTGCCGTTTGCAAGCAACGTCGGGGAGTCGGAGGCGGAGCAGGTGAGCTTCCCGACGAGGGACAAACCGCAGTTCTACCGTGTGGACGATAACAAGACCGTGTACGGAGAGATGTAGCGAGAGATAGACGTTACGATGAATCTTTTGCATTGAGGCGTACATAGAGCGGGTGCTGTGCACCGTCTACATAGTGGTTCATGAAAAATAAATAGATAAATAAATAGACATCAGTGGATCAATAAATAAAGTGTAGCAGGGTGTGTGATGCAGCGGAGAGTGCGCAGCGCAGCATCACAGCGGGCGGCGCCACGGCATCTATTTCTCCTTTGCGAACAACTTCTCGACATCGGTGACGGCCTGGGCCAAGATCTTGTCCTGGAACTTAGGGTCCTTCAAGTCCTTCTGGACCTTGGCAATGACGCTGGACGACAACTGCTCCTGCTCCATCTGTCTCACCTGCGCCTCGTATCTGACCCATGAGTCCAGAACGGACTTGGCCTCGGACGCAACGCCCACCTTCTGCTTGAGCTCGAACGACTCGGCCTCCAAGGCTGCGGTCTCCTTGGACAACTCGAACAAGGCCTTGGTGGTTGGCACAACGTCCTTCAAGTTGGACACCTGGTCGATTCTGTCCTTGACGGCGGACACGTGGCCGAGTCTGGCGTCGTTCAACAGCTTGGTCACGTGTGCGGTTCTGTCCTTGGCAAACTCACCGTACATTGGCGCCATGACCTTGGCAACCAACCCGACGAAGCCCAGGAAGGTGAACAAGAGGATGGTTTCGTCGTTCACGACGTACAGCTCGCTGGACACCGCGTACACAGACGCAGCCGCCGTGGTGGCCAAGATTCCTGTCTTGGACAAGATCGAGTTGCCTGGCAAGGCGGCGATGATGGAGTTAGCCTTTTCCTTTGGCTCGACAGGGGTGGAGAGCGCTCTGATGGCAACTGGCGTCGCAACAGATCTTCTGGCGGCGGCTCTAACGGCGATTCTGGAGGCCAACATGTTTGTGCGGTGTGTGTGTGTGTGTGTTTTACGTCAAGTGCAGCCCTCAACAGTGCTCCCCTCTTCCTCCTGCTGCCCCCGTGCTCTCTTCAAACGCCTTCTTCTTGCTGTGTCCTTGTTTCTCTCCTGGTCTGCCTGTCCGAACGCCGTCGTCCCTGCTCCCTCTCCCTCACAGGCGCTCCATGGCCGCCACTGTTGGCGCGCGGGGCAACCCGCGGCGAATGAGAACACAGAGCTCGCTGCCAGGGCTGCCTAACCACCCGCGCTGGCCCGTCTGGGGCTTTTTTGTAGTAGAAGGCGGTGGCAGTAAGAGTCTTTGGGGTCTTTCGTGAGAGGTTTACGTAACAGCCTTACGTAATAGCCTTACGTAAGAGGCTTTTGCGATGGGTGGCGGAGGAGTCGCGGGAGATGGTTACGTAAACAGATACACAGGAGGGAGAGGGAAGGGGAAAAGAGCGCCCGTGCACCGGAGAGAGAGGGCTCAGTGGGCGCTTACATAATCGGTTACATGATGTACTTGCGGCTGGAGGCGCCGGCCAGAAGGTCTGCCTCCTCAATGTCGTCACAGGTCTTGAGCTTGCGCAGGATCTCGGTGGAGGAAGACTCCTGAATGTTACCGTCGATGACGAGCTCGTCAAGAATGTAATAGGCCAGCTGGAAGTTGAAGACAATGTCGAGTTCGCACACGTTGCCGTAGGCCTTGTCCATGATCTCCACGTATCTCTGGATGAGCTCGAGGGTGATGAGCTCGTTGTCGTCGTTGGCGATGCTGGTGATGAAGAACAAGGAGGCGTAGCGCTTGTACACGATCTTGGAGTCCTTGTACTCGATGACGTTGCACATCTTTGCGCGGCGCAAGGGGATGATGGCGGTGATGTCCCGGATGATCTGCTGCTTCTCCTTCTCGGCCACGGCCTGGTACCACTTGTTGAGCCTCACCTTGCCCTGTTTGGAGAGCAGTATCAAGAAGTTGATTCCCATTGCTGTGTGGGGGTCTGGATGGGCTCTGGGGGGCTCTCTTCCCGCCGCCTCCGTGCTGCCCAACGTCCCCGTGTCCGTCTCTCGCAGCCGTTGTATAGCAGCGGCTGGCTGGCTAGGGCTACCTTCCCGCGCCAACTGCTGAAACCGCTGCACTACACACACACACACACACATACAGGGCCTGCTCTCGTCCTCCACAGATCACAGAGAAACGTCTACATGGAATGTGCTTCTGGCCACTCGCCACGCAGACAGCACGCCACCGCACACCCACGGATCCAGCTAGACACGTCCAGGCAATGCACCCGCATACGGCAGACTCGTCCACGTCCCGTAAGCTGCAGCGTTTGAAGAACCAGCTCTACATCAGCGATAACTCGGATATCGAGAACATCATCGATGACGAGGAAAACCAGTACCACCCGGCGTCTGCCGGGCCCCTAGCCCACCCGCAGAACGCAGAGGACGCAGAATCCCGGCTGCTGTCCTCGTCTCCGCCCCTCATGGGCCGCAGGTCGGCGCTGCCCTCCAGACACACAAGAAAGAGAAACAGAATCGACTACAACGAGAACAAGAGGGTGCCGCTCTACGTGACCGGCTCCGCCAAGGACACAGCCACAGGCAGTCCCGTGGGGAGGCGAAAAAGACACATGGGCAGGAACGAGCCCCCCCTTCCCCCCACTGTGCCGATCCCGTACGCACAGAACGGCCTCAGCACTGACGCTCTCAACCGACATACAAATGGTAAGGACACGGAGCACGATAAGAGCAGAGACCTTTTCACCACAGATCCCAAAAACAGTTCTTTCGCCAGCAATGGCACCGCCAATGGCAGCGGGGTGGCCGATCTGCGCAACAGCAACAACAGCAAGAACAATGGCCACACCCAGGAACACTTCATTGACCGCATAGACTCAGACATCATCGATATCGGCTTCCTGCGCCGAATAGTGGAGGCAGACCTAAACAAAAAGCTGTCGGTCTTAGGTGACTCAGAGATAGTGGTCACCACACAGCCGATACCCCTCAAGGCAACACAGGGGAAAGAGGCGGTCGAGTCGTTCAACGACAGCTACATCGACGAGACGTTCAACGAGCAGGACCCCGAGGCCTTCTCCGTCAGCGTCGAGGATGAGAGCCAGAGCCTCACGGACTCAACTCCTCCCCCGCAGACAGACGAGTTCACAGACACAATCAACGACGAAGTCAAGAGCAAATATGAGAAATTGAGCAGGTGTATTACAGACGATAAACAGCGCCAGATCAAAACCACCATCAACTCAATAGATAAGGAAATCAACTCGCTCAAGCTGAAATACTCGAATTTCAAGCACAACATCCAAAATCTCGAGAAGAAAACACGCCTGCACCCCGGCTCCAAACAAAGGGCAAAGACAATCGGCACGACCGTTCGTCCGCTAAACTTCAAACCCTCATTTTATCCGGAACTTTTCGCAAAAAAGTTCGAAGAGACAGAGAAGAAACTCCAGGTGGAGTCAAGCTTGATGTCATACTTACTTGCAAAAGGCCAGACAGACAGGAGGGTGAACGCAGAGATAATCACCGGACGTCACATTTCAAGCTTCAACGAAAACAGAGAATCAATGAAGTATTTTCTTAGAGAAAAGATATGGCGTCTTGACAACGAATTGCAGCGACGTGTTGGTGGTACCGAAATAGTAGCATTAGCCAATGTGGCAGCAATGATGGACTGGTTGGAAACCAATAAGCTTGTTAGTGATGCAGAAAAGAAACTTTTTCAAGATGATAACGACGATGATGGAGATGAAGATGACGGCGATGGAGATGAAGATGGAGATGAAGATAAAGGTGACGGCGATGGAGATAAAGAAGAGGATAAAGATGAAAACGATGAAGACGATGAAGACGATGAAGACGATGAAGACGATGAAGACGATGAGGACGATGAGGACGATGAGGATGACGTTGACTACGGCAGCGATCAATGATGAACACCACCCACTATTGGGACAACTTTTCTACACATTACAATGCAGTAATCTTTACTTTTATACAGCTCTATGTACTTATACAATTACCTGTTTCACTATAACTGTGCTTACATACTACACCCTCTGAGGTATGATATGCTCGATTCGGAAAACCCCACGCACTGCAAAATAGAGATTGTGAAATTCATGTATCAATTTTCTACACTCTTCCCATGGTGTTTGCCTCTCTCAATTGGAAGAGATAAAAAAAAGGTTCATCAACTAGCCACAACCAACGAAACAACCAATTTCTACTGCAAGCGATGGACGAACAACTGTCTCTTTTCATGGACATTACGTCTGTAAGCGATCCCACCGTGGCGTCAAATTTTCTAGAAATGTCTGGTGGCGATCTTTCAACTGCTGTTGGTTTGTACTATGAACACGGTGCTGGTGCCGGACAAGGGTCCGAAACGAGGTCCGAGGTGGGCAACCCTGTTTCAATAGGCGATGAAGGCGGTTCTGCTAGCAGGGTTGGAAACGAAGAAGACGATTTCGAAATGGCAAACAGGCTGCAGAGGGAAATGTACGAGCAGCAGCATAATACAGAACATGAGGTACGCCAACCCATAATGCCAACACATGATACGCTTTTGCCCCAAGAATATGGTTTTGGTGGATTGGCTAGTACTGGCCCACAGGGAGGTATGTTTGGCAGATCACAGCGAAGCGTGTTCAACCAAATTGGAGGGCATGGAGTGGTCGTATTAGATAACGATGACGATGACGATGACGATGACGACGACAATGACTATGACCAAGATTTGGTTGGCAACTATGACTTGAGTGGTGGCCTGATGCAACCGTCTAGACCAAGAATGACCAGCACACAAAAACGCTTGGCTAATATTTTTAGGCCACCTTGGGATATCATCAGTAAGATCGATTTGGACACGGCTAAGATAAAAGCGAGACAAGAGCAGAAATGGATTTTGATTAATATTCAGGATGTCACCGATTTCAGATGTCAATGTTTGAACAGAGATTTCTGGAGCTCTCAACAGATCAAGGAGCTGGTTGAGGCGAATTTTATCTTCGTACAATACCACAACGATTCCCCCAGTGGAGAAATGTACAGAAACCTCTACCCGTTTGACGAGGAATACCCACACATCGCAATCTTGGACCCTATAACGGGTGAGAGAATGATTATGTGGAACACAAACCCTGAGATACAAAAATTCATCGAACAAGTAGTAGACTTCTTGACGAGGTACTCATCAGATGGAACCACAGCCAAGGTGGCACCAACAAGTATAGGCATGAACAAAGAGCACGCTATTGCTCTTGATGACGACGACTCAGAAGAGCAGGAGGGGAGAGTCGGTGAAACCGAGAGCGAAAGTGAGGCCGAAGAAATATTGTTGTCTGACGAGGAAGAACAAAACGGAAACAAGAAGCCATCAAAGGAACTCTCATATGCTGACAAAATCAATTCCATTGAGGCCAAAAACCTGCCTGATCCTACCCCGGATATAGACCCCACTCTTATCACCCGTATCCAAATTCGTTCCGGTATCGATGGTAGAAGAGTCGTCAAAAAGTTTCTTGTTAACGATCCGGTGTTGCGTGTGTTTGAATACGTCAAATTTGCATTTGCAGACTCATTACAAAACAGAACTTTTACGTTGAAGATGCAGCGTGAAAATCTAGGTGAGAACCTCGACAAAAGCATTACCGATTGTCAACTTAAGAATGCATCTCTTCTTTTGGAAGCTTTAGATGATGACGAAGATGAGGATGATTGACTCTAACTTACGTAATCACCTTTATTTAGAATCTATCTTTTTCCCTCCGTACACCATTCGAATGCAATATTGTAACTCCCTTCGGAAAGAAAAGTAGCTGAGCACAGAAACAGCGAGAGATCGATAAAGCGTCTGTGCCACTATGCTTTCTGCTTGATCCTATGTAAACCTCTGGTTGTCGTACGGTTTCTTCGGCTTATATTGGCTTCTCTGCTAGGACTTATAGTTGATCGTTTGCACCAATAGCCTACACAATGGGAGCACGTAAGTACATTCTACATTTTAGAACTAATTTCTGCTCAATATCTAGTCTCAGCTCCAACTTTTGCATGCCGATGGGGTATACTAACATCATAATATAGTCAACGGTACTTTACAGGAACCTCTATCTGCAGAGGAAAAGAAGTTCTATGGGTCCATTTTTAAAACATTGGATCCGAAGAACACTGGCCTGATTTCTGGTGGTGTTGCAAAACCTCTACTCGAAGCTTCGGGCCTAAGTCTGCCAATCTTGGGCGAGATATGGAATCTGAGCGATTCCGAGAATGCTGGATACTTGAACCAGTTCGCATTTTGTGTGGCAATGAGATTGATTGCACATGCTCAGAAGGGTGACCCAATAACGGTGACAAGTGCCAATTTGGCTGCTCCAATTGCCAAATTCAGAACAATTCAAGTCAACAACACCGGTAGTGGAATTCTCAATAACCATCTTTCTGCCCCATTGCAATCTTCACAACAGCATGGTAACGGTGTTCCACCTCCTCAACCTAGAATCACCTCTTCAAACTCGGTTCAGTCCTTTGCTTCTCACTCTTCAACTGCCTCCAACCCCTCCCTGGTGGTTCCTGTGTTATCTTCCATTCAAGCAGCCAACTTCGGTGCAATGTTCGATAAAACTGCAGTTAATGGAATCTTACCTGGAGCACAAGCGAAAAACATCTTTTTGAAAGCCAGACTACCGATTCCTATTTTAGAACAAATCTGGAACTTGGTGGATCAAAAGGAAGCTGGCCAATTGACCAGACCCCAATTTATTATTGCGATGCATCTTATTCAGTGTTTTATGAACAAATCGTTGACTATTCTTCCTACTGTTCTATCTAACCAGTTATGGAAGGTTGCAGGAGGCAATCCTGCATCTGCTGATACTAACCGTCAACCTACCAATCTCCAATCCGTAGCTTCACCACCTCCACGCACCCACTCTCAAGTAGTACCTCCACCGCATCCACAACATGCACAAACAGCTCCATTGAACCAACAACTTTCTGGTGGTAATGTGGTGGCATCTCCAACTACCAATTTGAACACTTGGATTATGTCAAGTCAACAAAAAAGTCAGTACGGGGCTATCTTTGACACTTTAGATACAACACACGAAAGCTCAATCTCAAGCAGTACCGTAGCCAACTTTTTGATGACATCAAAATTACCAAATCAAGTCTTGGCAAATATTTGGGAGCTGGCCAACTTGGACCAGTCAGACAACTTCACTAAACAGGAGTTTTCAATTGCAATGTATCTCGTACAAAAGAAACTTGCCGGCTACGAATTACCCGAGGAGACTCCTTTGGAATTGGTCCAAAGCTCTTCCTTCAACGAAGCACCAATTCACCCTTCTCAATTCACACAGCCTCCTCAATCTTTTGCTTCAGCAAAAGCTATGGCTGCACCTCAGAGAACGCCTTCTCACATGGACGATTTGCTAGGAATTTTCCAAACTGCATCTCCTGTTGCTGCAGCCCCAGCACCTTTATCACAAGGCCCTTCAAATGGGGGACAGCACTTGAATCATTCTCAAACCTTACCTCCTCCTGCCCCTTCTTCAAGACTTTCTACAAATCTCACTGGCTCTCACTTTACTCCAACAACAGAGTTTGGAAGGGGACTCCAAAAATCTGTTGCTGAAGAAGATGAAGAATCTTCAGACGACGATGATGGTCCTGAAAACTTGGACTTACCAAGAGTTAGAGGTGCACCACCTGCTATCCCTGGTCGCTCCAACAAACCAAATTTCGACTCAGAGGTTGGTAGACCAACTTCTAATTACGATGCAATAAAACAGGTATCTAATGACCCAACTTCTATGTTTTCGAACCAACCTGCATCTAACGGCCTCGGCGGTTTCACCAACTCAGCAATTTCTCAATCAGCTTCTTCTGTCCCAACTGCAGCAACAATTAGTGGATTTTCGAATTCAGCACCAGCAACCGATAGAGCTTTTACTGATCAAATTACTCAAGCAAGTGTTGATATCGCAAATTACTCCAACCAAGTAGCTTCATTATCCAGGCAAACGTCTGTTGTTAGTGGTAAAAAAGATAAGGCACAAAATGAGCTGAATAAAATTTTGAAGAAGAAGGAGGAAATTTTGGGCAAACTTTCCCAGTTGAAAGCGCTACATGAAAAGGAGAACCAGCAAGTTTACGAGGTTCAAAATGTGATGATCAAATCCAAAGCCGAATTGGATGAGTTGGAAAAAGAACTTTCTATCAATGAAGCAAACTACCATGCTGAGCAAACCAAAAAAGAACAATTACAGGCTGAATATGAAGAGTCTCAAAAAAACAATCAGATGTTGAAAGAACAATTGGGTACTCTAAATGCAGAAAACATTGATTTGAGGAACCAGATAGAAGATTTAAGCGGCAAGGTGAAACAATCAAACAACATGTTGGCTGTTACCCAGCAGCAAGTTGCCACTCAAGACGCACAAAATGAAGAGCTAAGACAAAGAGTCTCCGAATTGAATAACACTATTTTTCAAATTCATTCCAAGCATGAATCATTGTTACATAAGATTGCTGGACTTAATGATGAAAATTTAGGACTACATGAACAGCATACTGATCTATCTATCCAGTCGGCAAATAAAAATGTTGAATACAGTGAGGCGCTTGCCGAAGCTGCTAATAAAGGTGTAATTGGCGATGATTTTGAAGCCGAAGATGCCAATGGAGAAATACCAACAGCCAGCTTAGACGATTTTGATGAAGAATTTGGAGTTGAGTCGAAGGCGTCCCAATCAGAACAATTAAAAACTAAAGCGCCCGATTCTCCAGGAACGACTACTGATACTGTAATGTCCAAGCAAACGGATACAACCAATCCAACCCAAACTGCATCTGACAGTTCAGCTACTACAACTGGACAACAATTCTCATTACCATTTGGAACTCCACACTCAGAAACTTCCTCGACTCGAAATAATCCATCACAATCTGAAAGAGGCGATCTTGACGCATCTCCAACTTCAACTATTGAACAGACTGGTCCTTTGAGCTCCCAGATTTTACCTGAAGGTACTGTCAGTGAAGCTGGCGACTCCGCTTCAAGCCAGGAAAAAAGTGAATCGTTTGAGATGATCAATCACCCAGTTGACACATCAAAAGTATCACCAGATTCGCCATCAGTCGATACAACTCCAAGCGAGACAAACAAAGAATTACCAGTTGCTGCTTCATCTAGCATGGCAGCTGCAGTAACTGCAGCTGGTTTTACTGGCCCAGTACGCTACCCTTCCGCATCTGGCCAAACTTCAGAAGTTGAGACCCTATCAGACACACCACATGATCATCCAAATCAGACTCCGGAACTCGACGAATTTCCACCTATCCAAGAGCTGGAGCCTTTGGATGATGGTGATTCTTCAAGTAGTGATGAAGACAATTTCCAAGATGCTCATGTTTCGAGCGATTTACAGCTTGCAAAAGGAGTAGCTGTAACTGAGGACTCGAAGAATCCATTTAATAAACAACAAAACGGGTCTGATGAAATGCAACCACCTGTAAACGCTGCAACAGGTCCATCAATGTTTGATGATTTGGGACTTGAAGAGGCTCAAGTTGAAGATTCTGCAGATGCTTTCGACTCTCCAGAAATGAGCGGCGGAGCATTTAGTAACATTGGATTCACATACGCGGGTAACGATCCTAACACAGGACTTGCCAATGCAACAACTAAGACTGTCGAAAGTGCAGATAAGGTAGCACCGGCTATCGCCAAATCAAGCAAGTCGAAAGCTGTTGCAGCAGATAGTGATGATTGGGAACAAGTTTTTGCTGGATTTGGTAATGATCCACATTTGCAACCTGCCTCGGTGGAAGAAGGCAATACTAGTTATGACTCGCATTTTCAACAGCCTGCTGTATTTGGATTCAGTGCTGCTAATGAAGGTGCCGACGGGAACTTTTCAAATGGGTTGAGCCAGATTGTCGATAGCGACATCGCTAAAGCCAAGGGTGAGTTTCACTCTAAGTTTTCAGAGGCTCAACAATTGGCAGTCGAAGAGCTTTCTGATATGGGATTCGAGTCACAAGATGCAATCGCAGCTCTCAAGCTGAAAAATTGGAACATTGATGATGCAAGTAATTATTTATTAGACAAGTCATGATACTGTATTTTTTATTTATCTATGTTATATAGCCTTTTTAATTTTACTATGAATTTCTTTTTGTCATGAAAGCATGTTTATTACGTTACTACAAGCGTGTTAATCCACTACTAAAGTTGAAAATTTTATGATAAGCACTTGCTATTCCAAGCCAACTACCTTGTGATGTTCGAGTTTTGAGACACATTCTTTGTTTTTGTGCCACTCGTATCTCTGTGTGGTATAGCTTTGAAGCAGTTGTTCCAATTGCTTAGAGCTTAGCTCAACTTCAGTTGAAGAAGCATTGTCTAACAGCTCGCTACAATTTGCTTCATTAGTTGCTGCCTTATCGCTGAAGTGTTTCGCAATGCTTTTGCTCGAAAGCCCATTAAGTGTCTCGTACATTTCGATTTGAAGATGGTCAAAGGTTTTAAGCTTAGAGTCATATTCCTTTAAATGCGTATCAAGAGCTAAAGCTTTGTCCAAAAGTCCATCATCGCAGTCAATGTACTTATTCTTTAGCTCAAGGGCAGCTTTCTGTTGACCTTCAATTACTGCATTTAGTTCTCTTTTCAGGCCTATAAACTCTTCTTTATAGAGAGTGAGGAGATAGCCCGATAAGAGCTCTTCGTTGTATATCAACTCTTTTATTTTAGCGTTGGTAATGTATTCGAAATAGGATGGAAGTGGAACATTTAATGAATTGCCATCTTTTTGGGTGAATAATTGAGTCGTAAAATCTGAGGGTATGATTTTGAACGGTAGATCTGTTCTATCAGAAAGGTTATCGTCGATCTTAAGTCTATTCAGTTGACTCTCCAATGTGGGCTGCTCTTGCTGATCTTGATGTGGCTTTGGCGGAAGTATCGGCTGCATTTACTGGTAACTAGCCACTCGTTTGATACTTATCAATCAAGGCTCGAGACACGCTGCGGAGGATTAACAAGTCGTATCTCATGTTGTTAGAAGCTATCGCTTGTTGAGGATTGTGGCTCTCTTTTTTTTCAAAGAACACTAGCCGCTATATATGTTTGAAGATAATTGGAACATAGGCTTATGGTGCTCAACTGTGTGCAATAAGCATCATAGCCTTCGAAGAAGATATACGTTAAACTGATTACAGGCATGAGTTTGAATACTCTCAGGGTCAATGCCCCCATCAAAGCGACAAGCACGGTTATTATTCTTCATGGTCTAGGTGATTCAGCAGATGGATGGCGGTTCCTTAGTGACTTACTTCACCAATATGAGCAGTTCAAGACTGTCAACTTTATTTTTCCGAATGCTCCAATTAAGCCATTGTCATGTGCAGGAGGACAGAGAATGTCACAGTGGTTTGATATCTTTGACATGGGGAATCCCAACGCTAGACAGGATGAAGTTGGCTATTGGGGTTCAGTGTCTAGAATTAACAATCTGATAGAGGACGAAACCAACAATGGCATTGATTCGTCGAAGATTATCATTGGAGGGTTTTCTCAGGGTGCTTCAGTCAGTTTAGGAGTTGCAGCTTCATATGAGAAAAAACTGGCTGGTGTTCTTTGCTTGTCTGGGTTTTTCGGAATGAAGCAGGGCATTACTTCCAGGTTGAAGGACACAAACAAAAACACTCCGATTTTCCACGGCCATGGGGACCTGGATCCTGTTATAAATATCAACTGGGCCAGAGCCACAGCAAAATATTTCAAAAATGATTTAGGTTTTTCCAATTATGACTTGCAAGAGTACCCCGGCATGGCCCACTCCACATGCAATGAAGAAATATCAGAGATTGCTGAGTTTATCACTGCCAAACTATCTTTAAAATGAAAGAGGCTCACTTTATGATTTAGCTTTATAAATATATATATATATGACTGAAAAATCATCTACTAGAGGAACTTGCTAAGTCACTAGGATCTTCATCCGATTCCTCCTGCATTTTGGATACAATCGTTCGGCACATCTGGTCTTCAAGGTCTACAGCCCATAGAGCAGCACCGATGGTGTTGGCAAATACAAAAAAGTACCCCAAGCCGGGAATGCTTTCCAAAAGCAACGCCACAAAACCAAACATGAAGTAAGAATTCTTCTGGTGAACCCATATGAAATACACCTGAGCATTCGTGTAACCCTTGAGTTGGAAATATCTGTGATGCTTGCTGAAGCCGGACCTGGAAGCTCGCACCAATATCACCAATAACGGTCCAACAAATGGAATCATATTGATGAAGAAACAAAATATCAATCGTACAAACCATGTTACGGGACAACTTATTTGAACAGCTTTTCGGATACACCTTCCGACTGCAGTTTCTCCATAGTATCCGGGCAAATAACAATGTAGAACTCCCTTCGGTAGCTTGTTATATTTCAACGTCATATGTGACACAATGACATGGTCAAAAAGCCTCTTCAAGACATTGGGCAATATAAACTTTTTATTGATAAACCCGATGACGAAATTACAACTCTGGAACATAGAGGGAAGAACAACTAATGCCGATCCTCCCGTCATCGTCCACAAAAAAAACATAACCGGCAAAGCAATAGCATAGATGATAATGGAAATGAAGATTAAGGGCTTCAAATGCCCAAAGAAGTACTTCCAGCATTTTAAACGTGAAATGAAGTACAATATACCCTGTTTGAATACATGCTTGTTAGTAAATCACCCTATCGTCGAGTTTTGGCAAGAAAATCACGGTATAATGCTATACCTGAAAGGGATACCACAACACGTAGTATGCTTTCATCTGTACTGTAGCTTAGGGTGTGGCAGCTGCTCTCAAGGGCAAAGTGTACACAATTCCCCGAGTAGCGTTAATCTTTGTGCCTCTGTTCGTCTTAAACTTTTTCTTTGTCTTCATCACAAACAAGGCGCTCGAATTAGTTCCACCTTTCCGTTATTTGGCTTCTGGCACCGTTACCTGACACTGGTGTGTTTATACCCATTGCCTTCATCTAGACCAGGGCGTTATCCAACGTGATTCACTTCTGCACAATATGCATCGTATGATGTCCCCCATACCGTTTTTGACGGGCTCTCGGACGTCGAATAACCGCTCCATGACGCAAAGTCAAAATGCTACATTATCTTCTAAGGAAAAGAAGTACATGGCGAATGTGGAAAAGGCCCTTCAAACATTTGAATCTGTGGACGAATGGGCAGATTACATTGCGTTTCTGGTCAAACTACAAAAAGCATTGCTTACAAACCCTGATATGGAGACCACTAATTGGGTACCATACGACTTCCAAGTGTCAATGACTTTATCCAAATGCATATCGCCAGCTTTGCCCAGTGGTGTTCACAAGAAAACAATAGAGCTATATTCCACCATTTTCAAGATCCTCAAAGTTGAAAATATGAGCAAGTCGATTTCTTTGTGGCTTCCAGGGATATTACCATTGATGGCATACGCAAGCATCAGCATCAAACAGGAACTATTAGACTTGTACAGCGACTATATTTGCAAGATCGAGCCCAAAATTATAAGGGCGTGTTTCAAATCCATCTTGCTAAGCTTGTTACCAGCTTTAGATGACACAACATCGGAATTCTTCAACTCCACCCTTGAGTTATTCGAGTCTTTGAAGAGTCAGCTAAACGACATACATCATTTTTGGCAGTGCCTGCTGTTGACAATCATTACCTCACCAGATAAAAGAGTCGGTGCAATGGAATATTTGAGCCGAAAGTTTCCTTCCTTTGCAGTTTCAATCGATAAAGATGAAGAAGTCTCCAAAGATACAATTTTGGCCAAGCTCTCCGTCGACGCTGTTGCATGTTTGACTCCGGATTCGGGACTAATGGTTAAGGCATTGTGTGAAGCAATGAACGATGAAAACTTGTTTGTGCAGAGAGGTTTTTTCGACTTACTTCTTGCAAAGCTACCTCTAAAATCTGCAGTCTATAAACATTTGTTGAGTGAAAGTGACAATGAACTACTTTTCTTGCATGTTACTAACACAGTTCTGAGGAAAGACATGTCACTTAATAGAAGACTATGGAATTGGTTACTTGGCCCAGAATCTCAAGACGGCACAATACCATCTTCTGGAATGTCAAGATTAGAATATTTTCAAACTTACAGTTTGAAGACGTTGTCAAATGCTTTGTCTCGGTTAGTCGATCTAGATACTGAGCGTAACCGAGATAAGGAAGACCTGCTAGATAATTACGTCAAAGTGTGCAGTATCTCAATCGCTATAATGGATAAGTGGGAAATAGGACAGTCAATACTCCCACAGTTGTTGGTACCCATTTTGGATGTGTCAAAGTACATTTCGGATACACATCCTGCGAACTTTGAAAAGATTCTGAAATATTCAAACGAGGTCTTTGATGGTGTTGAAACAAACGTCATTTGGTCAAAAATTTTGGATTTGATCACAAACAATCGAATTGAATTGGTGCTTTTCATCCTAAAATCTTACAACGTTGCAGATGAGGACATGATAGTGACACATGTGCCGCTCACTTTATTAGCCGCGTTCTCTTCATTCAGATTTGAATTAATATGGATTCAGTTGATTGAAAGTCTAATCAAGTTGATTCCTCAACGAGCTTTACTACCTTTAGATCTTTCCAATGAAAAATATCTATCAATGGATTATTATACACAAGATACAAAACTTTTGAATGAAACCATAATGAGAGAGTTAAATAATTATTACGAGAAATTTAAAAACGTGGCAGAAGATGCTGCCGCATCCAAAGAAAGGCCTTACAATGCTAACGATCTAGCTGCTTTATATTTGGGTTTTACATGTTCAATAATGATCGAAAGTCTTGAAAGCAATAGTGAGATATTTCTATGCTCCACCAGAATATTTGATAGTTTGATTGCAATAATACCACCCTCTAAAAGTTCCAAAACATGGAATATTGTTTTGTTGAGGGAAAAAGTAAAACTTTTGACAGAAGGGCAGTTTGATGTGCATGTATCAGTTGGTATTTCCCATATCTTCAAATATTTAATGAAAGACTTAACTAAGCTTGAAGTTTTGAAGTTGTTAAAAATTGTTCTGAAATCTTTATGGAATTGTCTTGAGGATACAGAGGGTGAGTATCAGGTAGAAATTGTTAAAGAGTTCTGGAGTCTCGAAATGATCGTGGATACCTCCTATGTTGAAGCTGCACTATGTGAATTGTTATTAGAATCAAATTTCGAACAAAGACTTCGTCAGTTTAATATATTATGGACTCACTTGAACAACGACAATAACGAGTCTAAGATGATTTTATGCCGGCCACTATACTTGATTTTAGATGAGCTCAAGGATGACCTATATTTGTCACTGATAACAAAATGGATCAAATCAACAATGAGTTCTGGAACGTTGAACAAAATTTTCAGAATAGTTTGTATGGAACTTTTCAACAACGAATTTATTGAGGAAAATTTTCAGTTAGACGATATCAATGAAATTGATTTTAGTAAGGTTTCATTTGAGCTAGATATGATATTCAATCTACTCAATATAGATGCCGATGTCTTAAAAAATTTCAAAACAGAGCTATGTGTTATTGACAACAGTAAACAAATTGATTTCATCAAAACTCGCAACTGGGATATCTCAACATACAAATCGTTTCTTATAGTTGTACTATTCAAATTTCTGGAGTTTGAGCCTACAAAAGACTTAGAATTGGATAACACTGTTTTTACAAGCTATTTGAAATGTCTTCGATCGTCCTTAAAGTTGATAAATTTATTGGTTGATGGGAACGAGACAAATTTTGAAGAGATGATCACATCCCTAATTCAAAATTGTGAAGAAAATTGCATTTCAAAAGCAGGTCCAGATATAAGTATCACCAACTCATATTACTTGGAGTCTATTACCAAAATGATAAAGCTTTCCAGTAAAAATCTGAAAAAAGACGTTTCATTATTTGACAATAATGAAAAAGTCAAAAAGCCAATCAATCTTTTAGATTTTGTGACCATAGGTATAAGTAGTTGCAAAAAAGAGGTAGAATTTAGCAGCTGGATTGATTTGATTTCATCCACCGCTGAATACTATCCGGATCTGGTATTTCAGATATGCCCTGGTTTGATTGATTGCATATGCAATAAGATTGAGAATAGCTTTTTGTCAAGTATTGAAGACTCTGGTCTAAATATAACATTAGTGGAAAATTCAATTTGTGAATTGATAATAGGTATGGAGAAAATTTTGGTGAAATGTCATAAACATCTGGGATATATCCTGTCCAACAATTTTGGCTTTGGGAGTATGTCAGGCACAGGGACTGTCAAAGAGTCTGGGTTTTTTGGAACCGTTATACAAGGTGTTTTTCAAGTCGAAGCCACCGATGAGAAGAATGAAGGCACGAAAAGGAAAAGAAGTTTGATCCAATCGTTCAGGAGATCTGTGGTTACGGTATATCAAATTTGGATTGCCTGCGAGAAAAGATTAACAGTTGAAAAAATTGGCCAAGCCAATGAACCAGAAATAGTTGAAAAGTTATCCAATGGCAAGACAGTCAATTACTATGCGAACAAAGTTAAATTCAGATGTAAGAAGATAATCGAAAACACGTACCTGATGGAACCACTGGAAACGATTGAAGCTCTGATTGAATTCTATGAGGCTTCCAACACCGAAGTTGAAAAACTGTCAAAGTTCAAGCTAATTCAAATCCTTGATGATTGCAAACAGAAGATAATTCTACCTTATATTTTGGACAGTATCACATCTAGAGTTAACTACCTTTCACTTGACGAGACTAAAAGATCAAGTTTAACATCGAAGTTGAATGAGTCGCAATTGAGTCTATTCTTGATCGAATATTGTAAAAAATCAGATGAATATGAACAAATTGAGGAAGTATGGCCCGACATTCAAAATTTTCTGAAGGATGTTTTTTCGAATGTCTCATATTACAAACACATTTATTCAAATATACTACGGTTTTTCTGTGTGATCAGTTGGAAAATTGAGAAAACTAAATTTGGCCAGTCCAGAAGGGTTAAGAAAGAAATCAGCGAGAATTTGATCAGGAACATTAGTCAATGTATAACTATCAAGATAGGTCCTAACCAGAACACCAATACGTTATCCGCTGTTATGCTGCAAAGCCATGTGAATGATATTGACAACGAAAAGAGTTCATCCAATCACAACAGCATACACAGCAATGTGAACAATGGTACAATCAGCGGAGGTAGTGTTAGTAGCAGAGAGAAGTTGGTTTTTAGGGAAGATGTTTGTATTGCATTAAAGGAGGTGATACCATATTTGAAACCATTGATTAATGACAATGACAAATTATTGGCTACGCTGAATAGTATCATCAATGGGATCAGTACTTTCATATTGAAAAATGGTTCCCTAGTTTCTGCAAATTTACCAGATCATATTGTTGATTTGTTAGTTGTATTGAGTGAAGATGAGACATGTGAGAGTATGAAAGCATGGAAAAGTTTATGTCAGGAGATTTTAAACGATGACATAGGCTTTTTCAGCATAGATGTTTCTAAGATGGGTAAGTGGAATATTGTGATGAAAAACTGGATCCTATCTGCCGAGCAGAGATTGGGGGATATGATCAGTAACAGGTTGATCTTTTCGAGCGGAGCAAATAATTCCAGTACCTTGTTGTTTAACTGGAACGATGAAGTAGAGATTTTGAACGGAAATATCCCCCTAATCAAAAAAATTATATATCTTCTTCTTATCAATGAGAAGGATGAGTTCATTGGCATCATTGGCGATTTACTGAGAAAGTTAGACGATTTGTTCAAAGCTTTCAGACAAATGACGAAGCAACATTGCCAGCTTGAGAGTTGGATTTTGATATTATTGAGAACCATCTTCTTCAAGTTCAGCGAGAGCCACCTTACGGAGGCGTGGTCCTTAGTAGACAAAGAACTATTTTATATGTTCAACGAGGCGTATCTGAAGGTTGTCGAAGAGGCCGAAGAAGATAATGACGAGATGAAGGACAAGACTGACAAGACTGAGAGGGGAGTAAAGGATGAAGAAGACCAAAAGGTGTTCGACATGCTGTTTTTGCAGGGATGCAAACTATTGGATGTGTTGGTTGTTCTTGGACAGGAAGAATTCCAGCTCAGTGAGTGGATTTTCATCAGCGACAACATGGACGGAATCTTCAACAGCTCCGTTGAGGGCGAAGATGTTGGAATTGTAGAGAAGATGGGGAAGCGCCATACGAAATACAAGGTGGGCAAGAATGGAGGAGTGTCCGAGGACGCTGGTGGCGCCAGCCACAAGAAGAAGGTGCCGATCTTGACCGGAATCCGGAGCATCGAGAACGTTATGGAACTCAAACGGTTTTTCAACATGTTGAAGGTGAGGAAGTACGAGAACGAGTACGCCATGAAGACCGTTGACGAGGAGAGCATCTTTGCCGATGTGTTTGCGGACGTGTTCACTGCGTGAGAGCATGAGGGTTTCTATATAGTAGACAAATAGTACAACACATTTACGACTTGGATCGGGCCACGGATGTGGCCTAGTAAAGATGACGCTATCCTTTCCGTTGTGGAGCAACCGGACTGCTCAGGAGAGTTTGGTGAACCTGTAGATGGCTAGTTCTTCCCAGCCGCATTTCCGGGCGATGACGCAGTCCACGGAGAAATTAGGGTTCTTCTGTCTGAACCGCTGCACGACCTGCGGGTGGTTGTTCCTGGCGCAGAAGAGGATGTACGCCTCTCCCTGCGGAGCCAGCACCGAGTTCAAAGAGGCCAGGACCTGGCCCGTGACGAGCATGCCGTCGTGGCCACCCACAAGCGCCAGGTCGAGCCACGAGTCGCTGGCATCGTCCTGCACGGACGGCACGGGTGGGATTTCCTCGGACGGCACGTACGGCGGGTTGAAGAGGAGGACGTCAATCTCGTGGGGACGGAAGGCGTCGGTCAAGCTGGCCCTGAGGACGTCGAACGGGGCCTCCGCAGGAGCGCCGGCGCCGCAGTTGTGGGCAAAGGTGTTGCGAGTGGTCTCGAGCGCCGTGGCGTTGATGTCGGTGGCGATGTGGAAGGCGTTGGGGATGATCCTGTTGGCGGCGATGAAGGTGGAGACGACGCCGGAGCCGGCGCCTAGCTCGACGACGACTCGCAGCTCGCCGGGCTGCCTGGACGCCGTGCTGGACGTCCTGGCAAAGTGTCCGGCGTCGTGCAGCTGCTCAAAGAGGTCGAGGAAGAGGAACGAGTCCTCTGCCGGCTCGTACACTCGGCTGTAGTCCGGGGTGGGCACGACGGGGGTCGGGAGCATCTGCGGGCTGCTGTCTGTCTCCCAGACGAGTGCCAGGGTCTGCTGAGCCGGCCTGCCTTCCGACATCTGTCGAATACACATCTCTTCACCACCCAACGTGGAGAAAAAGACGGTGCCCGCAGAGCCGCCTGGCGTGTCTGGCCTGTCCTTTTCTGGCCGCCGCCACCCGTCTCCTCCTCTGCGGCCGCCGCCCTCTGCTGCTGTGCTCTGTCCCACGCCACACACACAACAATCCGATGGTGGAGATCAGAATCAGAAGCTTGACAGGCCGCATCATCCCCGTGGAGATCGGCCTAGAGCAGCGGGTGAGCGACTTGAAGGAGGTCGTCGAGGTCAAAGAGGGCATTCCGCCGCAGCAGCAGCGGTTCTTGTTTGCCGGCAGACAACTGGACGACGACCGCACGTTAGCCGACTGTGGTGTGGCCGCCGGCAGCGACCTCCATCTTGTGTTGTCACTGCGTGGTGGTGCCCGACACAGCTTGTAAAGCCCGTGAAGGCGACGAGCCAGCAGGCCTTCAGGTCCATCTTTTTTTGTAAGCGAATGCGCAGACGCAGTAATAAATAAAAGACAAAAGGCAACGAAAACAGACGGACAGGACGACGGGTGGTGTTCTTGAGAGGGGATGTGGGCAGGCAGACATGTTTGGACAGACCGCAGGAGCAGGCACTGGAGCAGGTGCCACGACGACAACGCCGGGGACGGGGTTCTCCTTTGGAGGGGCGTCCAAGCCGGCGTTTTCGTTTGGTTCGACAGGCTCAGCGGGAACTGGAGGCACAGGCACGGGAGGCAGCGGGTTTTCCCTGGGGAAGCCGGCGGCCCCTGCCACGGGCGGGTTTGGCACGGGCTTGAACACGGGCACGGGCACGGGCACGGGCTTTTCGTTCGGCGCCAAACCGGCGGCGACGTTGCAGACGCCGCAGTTTGGACAGCAACAACAACAACAGCAGCAGCAGCAGCAGCAGCAGGCTCCACTCTCGTTCAACTCACAACCGTCCTTCTCGTGGTCGAAGCCGGCGGGCGCCAACGCAGCAAGCAGCCCGGCACCGTTCGCCCTGACGGGCCAGACACAGGCACCGGCACCACCGGCAGGCGGCGCCACGACGGCGGTCACGGCCGCCGCAAACCCGTCGCCGCCACGGGACTACGCCCCAACCATAAACGACAAGCTCACGAAGATCCGGACGTCCTGGGACGCCAGCAACCCGCAGTGCACGATGGTGACGCACTTCTACAACAAGGTCGACGCCTCCTTCACAAACTTCACCCGGCCGCCGAACGAGTCGCCCGAGGAGTGGGAGGCCGCCATGAAGAACCGGCCCAAGGAGTACAACTCGATCCCCGTCAAGGCCGCCGGCTTCTCGGACCTCTTTGAACGCGACCGTCTGCAGGACAACCACGTCAAGCAGACGAGGATCCTGCTCAACCAGATCAACGACAAGCTCACCTGTCTCAACGAGAAACACGATCTCCACTCCAACACCATGCTTCTCAAGTGCAAGATGCGCCAAAAGAACCTCAATGTCAAGCTCCTCAAGATCGCCATCAACTTGTCCATCCTCAAGTACAAGGGCTACCCCTTGACCAACGACGAGGAGCTGCTCATCGCCCGCTTCAACAGCCTCCTGGGCAAGCTCGACGACCCGGTCGGCTTGAACAGAGTCAACGAGCTCTGGGCACGTCTCTCCTCCCTCAAGGACAAGTACCCGGATCCGGCACACGCTGCCGCTCTTTCGCAACTCCAGCTGCAGACAGACACAGACCTCGTCACCTCAGACTCGCCCCAGCCAGTCGACGAGAACTCCGACGTGATCAAGAAGCTCGTCAAGGTCCTCGCCAAGCAGCAGCAGGGCATCCAGTACCTCTGCGAGCTGATGGGGGAGGACGAGGCCACCCTGGACCGGCTCGCAACACAGTGAGCCTCCTCAAAACATAGATAACCTGTATAACCAACCATCTACATTCTCTAATCGTACCTACAACTCCGTCCCCCGTCCCTTGTCCCCACGTCCCGTCCATTCCTCTACTGGCTACTAGAAGGGAAACCCACCATGCCGCGTTATGTGCAAAAACGCTTGCTCTCTTTCATGGTCCTCCGATAGTGGTGAAGATGGCAATGATGCCACGTCCGCAGCCCCCACTCCCACTGGATCACAGAAGAGACCGTAGACCAGACCAGCCCAAAGACACCGGAGATGGAGACAACGACGGTATACCAGCTCTCAACGGGGACGCCATTGGCTGCATCCTCGGACGACGCAAGCACCCCAGCTCTGCTGGACTTGAAACGGAAAACAAAGCAGATCGTGCAGACCCTCTCTTCGCCAGAACAACCTGCAGCGGGGAATATCGTCTCGAAACCATACACGATCCACTACCAGTCCGACCGGGACAGCGATGTGCTGGTGCTGGTGATAACGGCAGAGTCTTTCCCCAGCCAGTTGGCACTGAGCTATCTCTGCGAGCTCCACGACGAGTTTGTCCACATCCACTCGAAGGAGCTGCAGTCGGCGTCGCAAAGACAAGAGACACTCAGACCGTACCAGTTTATGTCGTTTGAGACGTTCATCTCCAAGACAAAGAGGGTTTATGCCGACTCAAGAGCCAAGGACGGCCTCTCCGACGTCAACAATCAGCTGAGAGACGTGAAGAACATCATGAACAAAAACATCAACGACTTGCTCAACAGAGGTGAAGAGCTACACACGTTGCAGGACCTTTCGTCGTCCTTGAGAGAGCAGAGTATCAAGTACAAGAAGTATGCAAAGAAGATCAATTGGGACCTCTTCATAAAGCAGTACGCCCCGCTCACCATCGTCGTCCTTGTTGTTATCCTCATTCTCTACAGATGGATTGCTTGAGCCATCACGAACGGCACCCAAGGTTTTACAAATCATATAGTCTAATCTTCCATATCTAATTCATAGAAAAAGTATGAAAAAATAAATAATCTACAGAAGTATACGATCATACATGTGCTTTTTTTTATCTAATAGTTACAAAGGGCACCACCGCTAAATGGTGGCAAGCATATTCTCGATCAAGTCCTTTACCTCGTAGAACAACCCCCCTAGTCCACCCTCTATACTCAAATTCCCCTCGCTGGCCTTGCCGACAACAAGTTCCTCGTCAACAACCAGACGACCGTCACCCATCAGCTCTACACGGTGCTTCTTTGTCGCAAGTGCTCTACGTAACTGGGCCAATTTTACATCTCCGATCTTGGTGCTGCTAACCGCCATTGTGCTCGACGCAGTGGATCCCAACTCTGTCAATTTGAATTCCCAGTCCTTCAACTTTTCCACAACACCACCAACGGAACTGACACTGTACCCGTCATTCAATGTTTGCCAGTGCAAGCTTGATGCAAGCTTCTCATCAAGCAGAAGCTCGTATGAGGTGATGACATCTCCAAGGTCAATTTTTTGGTTCATCTTACTCTTGATGTACTCGACATCAATATTAGCAGAATGATCGTTGCCTGAAAGAATGCTCTGTTTTGTATCTTCGCTTAATTCCAACATCAAATCATCTGCGTTGCCACTCACACCAGGCAAGATGATCACTTTCCGTGGTTTGATTTGCTTGGCTGTGAATTTGAGCGATCTCAAATCGTGATTACCGCCCAAGTCGATGAACGAAATTCCACATCTGACAGTTACACGTGAAGTGGTCTTCTCTCTCACAACCGGATCAACAGTGGATTCTAGTGAATAGACAGCAGGCTGGTATAACGCATTTTCCTCTTTCCCTCTTCTACCGCTACCGTCATTACCGTCATTGCCTCCATTACGTCTGTTCCTATTGCCACCTCTCCGTTTCCTCCTCCGTCTGTCACCTCCTCTTCTATTCCTTTTCTTCCCCCTGCCTTGCTCTTCATCGCTTTCCATACCACTTCCTCCACTTTCATCGCCACTGCCTTTATTGTCATTCCCATTCTCGTGTGCATTAGTAGCGTCTGCACCCAAAATAGGGAACCTATCATCATCATATATCTGGAAGTCTTCATGTTTCACAACCACACCATAATCGTCCGCGTTGTATCGATTGTTAACAAATGGGAACACTCTGTTTTTGTGTTTCAAGCTTCTGACATCGAAATCTCTAGGTAGCATCAATATTTCATCCATCTTTAATCTTTTCGAATCATCCAATTGGAACTTGATTTCGGCGGTCTTTATGATATTTGCAGTTATCTCAACACCAACAGCAGTCTGCGAGTCTTTCTTTGTCAGCGTGTTTCCGCTGAGCGCACTTTCGTCAGCTTTTATATTCTGGTCTATGTTTGCCAACACTTTCTCTGCATCTGCGTCCTCTTCATCTTCTTCATCCTCGGTATCAGTTTCAACCTTCACTCCAGCTTCTAGCATTTCTTCAAGTCTTCTCTTTTCCATTTCCTCCTTTTCCAACTTTAATTCCAACTCCTTTCTTTCTCCAATCTTCTTCAAATAAGCAGCCAACTCTTTTCCTCGTAGAAGCTCTTCCTTGACAGAAGCCAACCTCACGTCTGGGATTTCCAACACTATGTGAGATCCTTCCTTAGGATCTGCTTCAGTGGCATCAACACCTTGCCTCCATATTTTATAGAATTGGTGCAGCTTGGAATTCAAGTTAGGTTTTTCGGTTAGAATCATGGAATAGCTGAGTCGTGAGTTCATATCTATGAGGAACTGACTGAAAAAAGACCCATCCATCAGGTTCATCTCTTCGACAAAAAAGATCTTAGGCTTTCTCTGGAATTCCGAAGTGTTCACCAAGGAGTCCAAATCTTCAAACTTTATCAGCTGGATTCTATTACGCTCAAAGAGAATTTCCGATTGATTCTCATTTTCCCAGAGCTTTATGATACTCTGGTTCATCCACTCGAGGAAGTTGCTCAAGATTTTCAGGTTTTCCAAACCTGTGAAATTGAGCATATATATGGATGCGCTGATTTTGTTGTTGAGCAAGATGGGGATGATCAACTCGAAGAAACGGCCCGCCAATGTGGTTGGTAGAAGCACGTTTGTTCCGCTATAAAGTGTTTTCTCTATCAGCTGCATGAACGTCTGCACCCTCGTTGAATGACTGTATTTCGAGGAAACAAACTCACAGTTTGTGATGAACGTCGTGGGCCTGACCAAGTCTGAGTTGTTGAAGATCTTACAGTTGTTGAGAAACTCGTCCTTGGAGTGATTCCATATCGGCGCGTACACAATCTTCTCATTGATGTTGTTTTCCAGCAGCCAGATGGAGCCTCCGATGGTGTAGCCCGAGTTGTACGGGGTCAGCGATAGGTTGATCAACTTGTTATTCACATGGGGGAGATGGATCGTCTGGGAGTAGTTTAGACACTTGATGCTGTTGAAGTAGCGCAGCACGTCATTGAACTCGATCGAGTTGCCGTCCACAGGCCCCAACAGCCCGAGGGACCGGTACAGTTCGCAGACAGACACTCGTCCGAGCTTGGTCACGGGAAGCGTCGAGTACGTGGGTATGTGTCGCAACTGCGGGTGCTGATGTAGAAGATACGCGTACGCCCCGATGAAGGACGTCGTGGTCTGTGACAGGATGATCATGTCGATCGAATTCACGTAGGGAGCATAGAACTCCAGCGAGTCTGTCCCGTTCCATCCTGGATCTGCAAGGATTGTGATTGTGTTGTCCAACGAGAGGATCTTTGCCTGTGAGGAGCCATCGCCAATCGCAGTGAACTCGAACATGCTGCCAGCGCTTTCACCCTTATTACGAATCTCTGAGATCTGATCTCTTCTGTCCTTTCACACGCTTCCTTAACAACCTTGCCATTCCATCTTCCTTTCTCTCTATTTCTCTATCTATTTGTCAATTTGGCTATATCCTCTTTCTCTTTCCTGCTGTATTTTCCATGTCACCCTCTTAAATCCGTACACCAACAAAAAATAATTTTTTTTTCAATTCACGACATTTGAGAATGTCGTGGCGCGACAGATGCTTTTGTTGCAAAATTACCCGGTCTTGAACCCTTCCGCGGTTCTCTGTTTCGCTTACACACGCTCTCTCTCTATTCGCTTCCCCTCCTCTGCAATCTACAAAATTAACAGAGACAAAGAGAGATGGATGTAGACATTTGCGACAGACGAGAGCAGGAGGCAGAGGGAGAGAGAAGTCAGACATAAGTCCACAAAAACCAGCACAGCAAAGATGTCTACGTCCAACACCTACGACACGATTTCCACGTCGAACTTCACCGATAAGAAGAAGGGAACCGAGTACGTTTTCGAAAACGATAAACTTCCAGAGGAGATTCCACATGTGAAGGAGATCGGGGCCACCACGGGTCCGTTGCTCAGCGCCTCGTTCTTCATTGCAGACAGATGCCAGGACTTCAATGACGATTTCATGCTCTGCCAAAAAACCAACGGTACTAACGGTACCGTGAACTGTCTCCAAGAGGGCCGTAAAGTGACAAGATGCGCTGCGAGCGTGTTAGCGGACCTGAATGCTCATTGCAAGAAAGAGTTCGAGATGCACTACAAGTGCTTGAACTACTCGAACATGGAGTTCAAGAACTGCAGAAAGGCCGAACACTTGCTCAACGACTGTGTTTTCACCAGCTTGAAGCTGGCCAAGAAGATTCCGGGCGACGGCGGCAGAGAGGTCTTCAAGGAGGGCCACCAAATATACAAACCAATCCATCCTCACTTTCCGAGTGAAAAGGCTTACGACTTAGCAAAGAAGGAGTCCGCATGATCACGATCAGCCAGATGATCTTTTTCCAAAACAGAAACGAGACAGAAGCACGAATCCGCTGCTCCGATCACCAAATACACCCCAGCCACTAGTATATCCTCACCCTTATCACTTTCTTATTTATTCTTGATTTATTTATTATTTATTATTCCTTATAATCATTATAAATTTATATGTATTAATTTATAAACAGCTCCCCCCCTCTTATGTTCACGTTGCAAGAAATTCCAACAGCGCGTCTCCTACCCTGTCTAAGAGGTCGTCTGCCCAGAGGACGTCCAAGTGGGAGTACTCCGGCACCTTCACGTAGCTCCAGCGGCCCGTCATGTCGGGCTCCAAGCGCTCCAGTCGGTCGACAAAGAGGTCGCCGTTGACCAGGTCGTCCTTGCCGCCGATGACGAGGAAGATGTCCGGCGTGGACTTGGTGAACCATGCGTTCGGGTCGTCGATGATGGGCTTGTCCGTGGAAAAGCCGCGTCCGTGCTTGCTGCGAAGCCACCACTTCATCAACTTCACGGAGACAAAGACCGGGGAGAAAATGAAGTGGTAGCGGCGGAGCCGGACGTCCCAGAGATAGTCGTTCCAGTCGAACAAGTAGCTGAACACCATGTACGACGTGAGCCCGAACGCGGGCAGCTTGTACGTGTACTGGCGCAGGTACATCAAGATGGGCATGAAGGAGTTCATGCCGAAAAAGCTCTCGTAGATACCATCGGGCAAGAAACGCATGAACTTGATGAACAGCTTGCTGTTCAACAACGGCCCGCCGTAGACGGCGGGCGCTAGCAAGACGCACTTGTCGATGTCCTCGGCACACGGGTGGCGGTGCTGGCCGGAGATGAGGATGACGGTCTGCGTGGTGCCCTGGGAGTGCGCCACAAGCGAGACCTTGCCGGCGTAGTTCGTCTTCACGGCCCGGATCTGCCTCAGCATTGCCGGGAGGTCGTACTGCGACATCTCGTGCAAGTCCCAGTCCCACATCCTCGGGTCGTTGGACCCGTAGTGCGTGTGCCGCGGCCGGAACCCGCAGCGGTTGTTGCCCAGCCACACGTCGTAGCCGTTCTGCACAAGCAGGTACGCCAAGCTCTTGTACCCGCCCGTGACGAACGAGCCCGACGACTGCATGAGCCCGTGCACCAAAAGGACGGGCCGCAGCGTTCCGCTGGCAAGCGTGTCCGGCCCGTGCTTCGGGTCCCGCAGCCGCTGCACCGTGATCACAAACCCGTCCTCCGTCGTCGCCTCGTACTCGTCCAACCGCAGCCCCAGCAGCTGCGCGTAGTACCCGAGGTCTCCCGTCACCCGCATCCCCTCGGGCGCCACCGGGTACGCCTCCGTGTATCCCTCCTCCGCACTCCACACCCGCCCCGCCTCGCGCAGATAGTACCGGTGGTACACGTAGTGCACCACTGCAAACTGGAAGATGAACCCGATGAAGAGAAACGAGCACACCGCTGACGTCACTTTCGTGAACCCCACCGCCACCACCGTCACCGCCACAGGCCATTGCCGCCGTGCCCCACGACTCTCCACCGAAAGCCCTGCGCTTGTTTCCGAGTCCAACATCAGCGGCTCCAACATTGTGTCGCGATGCATCTGTCCCTTCTTCGCTGCTGCTGCCTCTGTGTTTTCCTTCTTTGTGTTTGCAGACACGCTTCCGTTTTTGAAAAAAGTGTTGATCTTCCCCACGCCCGATTCATGCTCGCGCCTGCGCTTCTGTGAGGACTGTTTTTCCGCGGAAAAACGGGAGAAAACTGCACCGCCACCCTGGACGCGCACCGCCACACCCAAATTGCACCGCCACACAGCACCGCCACACAGCACCGCCCGGTTTCTCCTGCCCCACGTGGGGCAGATACAGCCGCACGGGGCGGTTGCCGGATCAGGGAATTTTTGCATTTCCGGGGCTTTTTCCCTTTTCGGTCGTTTGATAGACGCCGCTGGCGGAACACAGAGAGGTGACAGGAAGAAGCAAAGACACAGAGAGAGAGAAAGGCGGCGGAGAGAAAGGCCACACAGAGAGAGAAAGAGAGGAGTTAGAGAGAAGTTGGAGACAGCAGTAGACGACAGGACCGATCAGCAGAACGGAAAGAAGCACAGTCCCGGTGTTTGCATTTGCCGAACCCGTCCACAAACCAGCACAGACCACCCGTCTCTGCGTCCAGGCCCCCATTAGCAGTTTCTGGCGATCCGGCGTACCGTACTCTGGCCCGGTTGAATCAGACAGGAAAACCCGTTTCTCCATCTGCACACGCCTTCTTGGCTTGGAGTCGACAAGAGCAGCTTCAGCGACCCAATTGAACACGGCATCCCTATTCTGTTGCGACACACACACACACACACACACCATGGACGACCAGCTGGACTTCCAGTGGAACGACATCCACCAGCTCGACAAGATGTTCAGCATGGCGACGTCGGGGGACGCCGACGGCAGCCACGGACAGAACGAGGACCAGGACGAGGACCAGGACCAGGACCACGGCGCCGCCGACGACGGCTCTACGGGCAACGGCAGCAGCACGCCCGACAGCCACGGCCACAAACATGCTCTCCCGTCCGGACGGGAGAGCACGGCGGCGGCAGACAGGAACGACCGCCACCCCGGGTCGGCTGCCACGACGGCCACGACCTCGAACCTGAACCCGAACCTCACAGACTCCACCACCCCGTCCAGCGCAAACAACGACTACATGCTCTTTCTCAACTTGGCGACGCCGAACTCCGGGATTGACGACGCCGACGGAGGTCCTGCGAGGAGCAGGGACAAGGACAAGGAGAGAGAAAGGGACGCTGCGGGTCGACACAGCACCAAGGACTGGGGCAAGGACAGCGACCTCGACCACAGACCGCCCACGGGCTCCGCAGAGATCGGAGACGGCGACCCCAACGGCGCCGGTGCGTTTGGCAGGTTCTCCTTCGACAACATGGAAGCTTCCCACCTCGGCTATATCGTTGACCAGCGACATCAGCACCCCCAGCAGCAGCTACTGTACTCCGCCGTGCCGAACCCACAGCCCCCCTCCACCCAAACCCGCTCCAGAATCAACAGCGTCGAGTTCACCCCGCTCCTGTCTCCCATGATCAACCCCTCGCTAGAACGCGTTAACTCAAACAAGGGCAAGTCCGGATTTTCTCCCCTTTCCTCCCCCGTTCTCGAGTTCCAGAAGTACAACAACACCACGTCCTTGAGACAGAAGCGGAAAGACCCGCATGACGCTCATGCGGCGTCGTCCTCGGTCAAGGCCAACAGCGCCAACAGCACCTACTCCGACCAGCCAAGCGGAAATGGCTCTGGCGCCGACCAGTCTGGAAACCTCAGCCTGAAGTTCGAAAACTCGGACGCCAGGTCCTACAAACGCTCGAAGACCCCAGTATCCACCCCACTGCTGTCGACCATGGACAGAAAGTCTAAAGTCTCCTCTAACAGAAACTCGAGCTCCACGGGCTCCTCAACACAAACTACGCCGTACCAGACCTATGTTTTCAAGCAGCAGCAGTTCCCGCCTTCGAAGGAAAACTCTATGACTCTCAAGCCGACCAGTATCTCTGCCTCGAGCAATATGGACTATCCAGGAAATTCGTTCTTAGATGCCTTCGATGGCGAATTGACTCTACCGCCCCCTCCAACAGCAGGCGGCAAAGGGTTGATTTCAGAAAATGACGGGTTTGTCATGCCCTCTGCTGCCTTCAACTCTAATATCACCGGAAACCATAATGACAACAACGAGCTGACCATGGCTCTGAACTCAGCTTCAACCATCTTCAACTCCTCTTCTGCCAACCACTCGAAAAAAAACAGTGTTCTTTTGAACCCAAACCACCATAAATCGGCCCAGTCCTCTCCCGTCATCCTACCTTCGAGTTCAATAGTCCTGGGTTCTCCGAGAATGGAGCCAAAGTCACTGAATGCAAGATCTTCACATGCTTCTTCAGCTTCGTCCAGCTTCAGACCCACTATCAACACGTCCAAATTTGCAAACTCGTCCTCGTCGTCCCTCAATACGATCTCCAACTTGAGCAGTAGTAACGTTTCAGCGGTAGGAACAAATATCTTAGGAACCCCACAGATCAATTCGCTTCCTACGATTCCACCGTCTCATTCTGAAGACGATGGGGCAGAGACCCGTTCGGGCTCAAACGCAGGAAATATCAGTAATGGTGAATACCAACACCACCATCATCACTACCACCACTCTGACAAGAAGATGTCTCACAAACTAGCGGAACAGGGCCGTCGTAACAGGATGAATATTGCGATCCAGGATCTGGAGAAAATGATCCCTGAATCCATGAAGCGAAACATCACTGTGCCAAGTAAAGCAACGACTGTTGAACTTGGGTGCAGGTACATCCAAGACTTGCTACATCAACTACAGAACGTCAAGGACGGAAGCAGTGACGGCAGTTTCGGGGTAGGTGAAAAACTCGTCAAGACTGAAAGCATCAGTCCACTAGATCATCTGGAGAATTCCAGCAACCACCTCCACCACCATCACCAACACAACAGTACCAACAACAATAATAACGACTTTTCTGATAGCTCAGTGTAATTTGCTACATTCTATGGTTATGCGTAACTCAACCTCTCTTATATATACATCTTTATGACTCTTCCTATTCTACTTTATACTAATTAATTCTACACCTTTAATTAAAATGCGATAATGATGGCATCGATCGTTGCTGACGTCAGCTTATTTATTGGGGCAAGAGAGGCTCATGATGTGTCATCACATCCATTCATTCTTTATCAATTCGAAGTATGACTTGTACTCTCTTCATCAATATGTCTGCCTTTCCCTTGATTTGGCTCGTTTCACAACGAAGAATATCATTGGAACAGTATGTCGAAGCTTCACAAGTCAATCCACAAGGGAACTCCCTTTTCAGGGAATGCCTCTGACATATCTGACGAATTCCATTCGACTCTCTCTGCAAAATTGAGTAGTTTGAGTATTCAAGGCAATGCCCATTCCGCCTCTTCCTCTACCCCCGGAAGTGCAGAAAGCAGGGCTGGCTCTTTGCGCTCTCCTCTTTCTCGACAGGAGTCCCGGCAAAATTCAATGCTTTCATTGTTAGTCGATCCCGAGGCAGACGAGAGCATTTCCCACGACCAAAGTGACGGCGTTTCCACAGGGAGTGGCGCAGACGATAACCAAAACAATAGCAGAAACGGATCAACAAGAGGTAGTGCTTCACGTACACGGATGAAGATATACACTGTCCCGGATTTGATCCACGTGTTGGGAATGTCAGCCAGAGAGTCTACGAGGTCTGGGATAGGGAAAAACGAAAGAGAAATTCTATTTGCCCACCTCTACAGGATGGTCATCTCGTCCAACTCAGAGGTCTATATGGGCGAGGCTGGTGCAAACGATGAAGACTTTATCAATTTATTCAACTTGAAAAACTCGATAGATAACACTGGGTCTGACGATGAAGGAAACATTGGCTTCGAATGGGACGCATGGATAAGATGTGTCGATGCCTACGGCTGCATAGGAGTCGATGAGGTTGCCAGTGATGTAGTTGAACTTGTCTTCCCATTGCTATTGAAGACCATCTGCCAGTTGGAAAGCGCCAAAAATGGAGATGACATCGATTTGACGACCAAGCGACGGATAGACTTGTGCATTTGGTCATTCATGAGCTTGGTCTTGTTCATTTTTTACGATTCGGGAAACCACGGAATGTTAGAGCATGCCAAACTGTTTCTAAGGTTTATACAGAAAGATACCTTAGAGGACGATGGTATCATTTCTAGCTGTTTATACATGGTTGGGTTGGCCCTCGGGTTGGCATGGGAATCGGGGAGAGGTGTTAAAGAGCTTATTGAGGACGAAGTGCTTGAAACCATAAGGATGATTTTGTGCAGTAAGAAACGGAAGGGTTCGAAATTAACCGCCGCTGTGCTCGCTGGTTTGTGCTTTGAGCTTTTACAAAAAGACATTGACGAAGAGACCGAAGCAGCAGACAGCGACGAAGAAGATACGAGCGATTTCTCGAACGAAGAGTTCACAGAGATAGCCAAAGAGCTCGATCTACTTGCCAACGAGGGCGGGAAAAAGTCTGGCAAGAAGGGCAAGGTTGCCAAGAACGTTTTCCGAGAGGTTTTGAACACAATCAACCGAACGCCGGACAATGAGGAACTTGATGCCATTGCTGTGAGTAAGTCCAAGAACATCGATGTGCGCACATGGTTGACCTACATCCGCGTGCAAGTGCTTCGCTTTGTGCTTGGCAGTGAACTGAGCACCTGGCTTGCCAAGTCCAGAGACATGCGCAATATGTTGAAAAAGAAAAGGAAGGACGGCAAATTTTCCTCGAGTGGCGGTGATGAGTATGATCACAACGATGATGATGAAGTAGTGGACACCACCATTGGCGGCTCTGCCGGTTCGAGAGATCGCAAGGCTAACAAGGATCTTGAAAAGGAACGGACGAAGCAGCTCAACAAGGAGAGACGTGCGAAGGAGGAAGAGTTGAGCAAATGAGTGTGTTAATACAACCAACTATATATTTAATAGGTTTATCAACCAATCGCATGAGTATACATGTATATACTAACAACATGAAACAGACCGTAGACCGAAGACCAAACAATGTAACTTTCCCGGTGAAAAATTAATCATTCGATTGTGGGGCTGTGCGAGGAATGTATTGTGCTGACATGAATGAATGTCGAGGGATAGAGACAACATTGGGGGCAGACATCCATGTGTCACCAGGCAGAATTATCCGGAGGTCAATTACGTTGCTACTGTGACAGGTAAGGACGCTATCAGAAACAATATTCTTTGCCAGGGACAAGGCAAAAGTTAAACGATTGAAAATTATGGAGGGCCATCTAAATGAAGAGATCTTGAGCAAGTTAGACAAACTGAAGAAAGATGCACAGGTTGAGGAGGACGAAGAGGAGGAAATTGATGATTTTTGGGAAAAAAAAGAGCATGAAAGAAAAATGAAACATATGAAGGAAGTTGAAGAGCAGAAATCAGGGAAAGGGAAGGAAGAGAAACATGCCAAAGCAAATGCTGAGCAAGAGAGCCAAACGGAACAAATAGGAAAGACTGCTGGAGAAGCTGATACATTTGATATTGCTACGGAACAGGAGAATCTCAGTCAAAAGGAAGTAAAAGAGAATAGAACCGCTATTGAGACCGAGCAAAGAAAGGCGGTGGAAGAAGCTGATCGGGAAAAAACGGCAGAGAAGCAAAGGTTGGCAGACGAAAAGAAAACTGCCGAAGAAAAGAACAAGGCCGAGGAAATTGAGAGAAAAAGGATAGAAGAGGCAAAGATAAAGGCACAGGAAGCTGAAAGAAAGAGAGCTGTAGAAGAAAGGGAAAAGGCCGAGAAGGCCGAACAGGCAAGGATGGAAGAAGAAAGGAAAAGAGTCGAAGAAGAGAAGCGTATTGCGGAGGAAAACAAGAGAAAGGCAGCAGAAGCGGCAAATGCAGAGAAGCAAAAAATTGCCGAGGAAAAGAAGAAGCAGGAGGAAGCTGAAAAGAAAAGAGTAGCAGAAGAAGCTGAAAGGAAAAGAATGGCTGAAGAAGAAGAGAAGAAAAAAGAACTGGAAGCAAAGCAAAAAAGATTAGCTGAAGATGCCGAGAAATTAAGGGTTGAAGAAGAGAAAAGAAGAATAGCACTGGAAGTTGCACAGAAGAAACTAGCCCAAGAGGCTGAAACGAAAAGACTGGCCGCTGTGGAGGAGGAGAAGAAAAGGTTGGCAGGTGTGGCGGAGAAAAAGCACCTCGAGGCTCAACAGAAGCGGCTTGCAGAAGAGGCTGAAAAGAATATGCTAGCAGTTGAGGCGGAACAGAAGGCAATAGAAGAACAACAAGAGAAGCTAGCGGCGAAAGCCGAGAAGAAAAGAAAAGAAGCCGAGTCTGCCAAGGCTGAAGCCTCAAGACTTGTGAAGGAGGCAGAAATGAAAAAACAGGCGAAGCTGAAACTTGCAGAGCTAGCCAAACAGAAGTTTGAGGCTCAAAAGCTAAAGGAGAGGCTCAAAGCGGGGTTGAGCGCAGACTCTGCTACTGGATCTTGCAATGACGAGCCGGGAGCAGGCGAAGAGGATGAGGATGAGGATGAGGATGAGGACGACGACGACGATTCTGTATACACCTACTCCACAGCTGTGACCGAGTCTAATCACGACGAAGAATGGGACAACCTTGTGCTACAGCTGCAAGTCGTGATTGCGATAGTGTTGATTCCATTAGCGGGCAAGTTTTTAGGCCGTAGGTTTGCCCACAAAGTAGGAAGCTTTGTGTCTGGGTGGTTTTTCAGCAGAAATGGCAATTAAATATTTAGTCATAATACTGACATGTGCATATAACGTTTGAAGGACGATCTATTTATCTATAAATATAGCGGCACATCTCTGTTCGGCAGTTTGTATCTGACCATTTGTTCGAAAGAGATTGTTGAGACACTGTTTACTCTTCTGTTTTCCAAGAGCTTATGTATCTATCTATTTGTTGCGGGGGAAAAGCATTTGAGTTGAACGCGAGAAAGAAGTAGAAGCATACCTGTGCCAGCATTATTCTTAAGGCGCAAGAACAATGAAAATATCCTGTTCTGCCTTCAATTTAATGTTGGGGTTAAGCATTTTGAATATTTCTATTAGCTTGTTGAGAATACTGACGTTTAGCAAAAGCATCAGGTCTTTCAGATTTCTCATCAGTTCCTGCTCCAGGCTTCCTAGGGGAACAACCTTAATTGCGAGTTCGTCGTAACGCTTGAAAAAGCTTATGAAGAGTATCAGAACATTTTTCAACACGAGCCTCAAATCGGGGAAATAGTCATGGCTTTCTAGAGGATTGGTACTTGAAGGAATACTGTGGTGCTCTCGATCGGCCACTGAGTCTGCGCCGAGTGGGGTTTTAGGGTCCAACGTCTTGGATTGGACCTTGGATGGGTATATCATATTCCACCAACTGCTTTGGCCTTCATTGCTAGACGCGGCAGCAGCAGTGACAGCGGCAGTAGCTGCAGGTGTCTTGACGTGATTGATGTAGACATGCGAGCTGAGAGTTCTGTACACCGACTTGACGGTATCTAGCGAGTCCCTCACCGCCTCTGGGCTCTCAATATTAATGACTTTGCGCTTATCTGCGAGTTGCTGTCCCAGGGCCACGAGATTTTGGAAGTCCACCATTTTTGTGGAGATAGTCTGTCCTCCTGTACCCACAGAAAACGGCGTGGTGGTCATTTTTGGGCCGTTCACAATATTGTCAAGCATGGATGACGAGCTGTTGAACACGGTGAACATGTCCTTGTCGGAGATTCCATATTTAGTAGGTTTTGTGAGCACGTTGACAATCTCCTCTATGATTTTATTCTCACTTCTGAGAAATCCGGTTTTCAATACGTTGCTGCCTGTTGATGTTTCAGGTGGAGCTGTCGCCGCTAAGGGAGAAGAGGCGGTCGCCATTGGATTTGTTGAAGCAGGGGAAAAATTCCAAGTACACTAATCTATTTTGCTGAAACTAAGGGTGTACTTTTCCGGTCCATTTTCTCATCTGCTCATTGTTCGTTGCTTCTCTCTGCCGAAAAAGTTGGTGGTACCATTCTTGGTCAAATTGTTAACGCAACGCGTCAGTGCGGAAACATTAATTGCTACCATGTTTATTTCCAGATTAGGAAAGAAATGTGCTTCTGGCTTCTATCTAGTTCTATCTACATTACACACTCACGTTGCTCATTTAGGTCTTGCCTTTGGCCCCCAGTTCTTGGTTGGGTTCTCCTGGTATCGCACAATCTTGATTCTGCGGAGTTTCTGAACGTGATTGCTGACTGAATTTGGTGTAAACAACCACTCGAGCACGTCTTTGTCCGTCTTGGCGGCGGCATCGTCGTCGGTGAGCGCCAGCTTCTCCTTCATGACGGCACGGAGGTCAATCGACTTTGCAATAGTCTCGTTGGTAAGGATTTTGTATCCGGCAGTGGTGTGGCTGAGCCTTTGGGCGTCCACCGCAGCTCTCTTAGCAAATTGCTGTCCGATGTACCAAAGGACGTTCCATGATGCGTTGGTCTTAATGGAGTTGCTTGCCGCATGTGTTAGGGAGGCGTCGTAGCCAAGGTTCCCCAACGCAGCACAAAAGTCCTCTAAGGAAGGAGCAGGTATTTTCAAGACTCTGGAAATGGTAGTCGTGGCAAAGTAAAACTGAGAATCATGGATGTCGCTTTCGGAGCTCTCTGCGTCTCCCAGCTCGTTCTTGGCCATTGTCAACATACCCCTCACACGCTTCAAGGTACCGTACGTGGTTTCATTCGGTGCCTTCCTGGCTTCTTCCTCGTCGACAAGTTTCAAGATTCTGTCAATGAACTTCTTGTTGTGTAGAGGCCCACCCCACATTGGACCACACATGTGGTTGGTGTATTCACAGAAGGAACAGTGGGAGCTGATGCCCGGTTGGATTTTAGCCAAACCGTATTTTCTCCTGCCCTTGGCATCTGGTTCCGTCATCTTACCTAGCTGCTGGGTGGTAGTGGAATGACAGCCACTGCACTTGACAACAACTTCGTTTGCAGCCATTAACTCCTTCACCTTGATGGGTTTGTGCCAGACACGGATGAAAACACGCACGTAGAAATCGATGCTCAGAGATAACACCGGCTCAATGGAAACCCCATACTTTGCAGCAGTACGGGCAATCATGCCGTGCACTAACCTCAATGCACTCTCGTGCGTTGCGTCTCCCCACACGTTGGTACCGCCGTAAAGAGAGTAGCATTTCTCCGGGTAGCCGTTACCGGCAAGGACCCCCAAATCTGTACAGGTGATCAAGAGTAAAGCTCCGTTCTTGGCAGCATTGATGGCGCTATCGACGAAGGGCGCAACAGTTCCATATGGGTCCAAGTCAATGATGTGGTATGCCGAAGGTGAGTTGGCCATGTGGGTGATAGCGTTTGCCTCTTGTGCTTTCACGTTTGTGGTTTTGTTATAGTCGCAATTAAGCTGTATTGATTTGACTGCGTGCGAAGAAAGATCGTTGGCAACAATGTGTTCAAGTAGTGGCACTTCTTTCGAGTATCTAATTGCACGAAGACCAGATGCCGATAGCGCTTCGAGCAACCTGGCAAAGGGTTTGCTCGATGGTTCCTCTGCAGCTTCCTCTTCTGCATCACCAGACTTCTCATTGGCACCGTTTTCTTGATTCTTTTGCTTCTGTTCTTGCTCTTCTTTGCGGGGAATCTTAGAGCTTCCAACCGGTTGTTTGTTTCTCTTCAACGCTCCTTCTTCCAGACAAAGTTGCGTGTATGCTCTGATTGCAAGGGACGAGAGGTCTCTGTTGTATTGCTGCACTGGATTATAGAAAACATTATTTTTTGGAAATAAAATCGTGGTAGAACCTTCAGTCAAAAGATCGTATTTCTCTAGATCGATATCTGGAGTACTGGTTTTGGAACTGGTCATGACATTGGCAGTGTTATCTACGTCTGTATCTGCGCCGGTCGATATCGGCGGCGTTGACATGGTGTGGTTTCTTCTCTTGTAGAGTCTGCAGAGTGGCCGTAGTTTATAAATCGCCTTGATTCTACCAAGCATGCAGCAAATGTGCTTTTCCTCCGAGCTCAAATCAATCTTTCTGTATTTGCTACTGATACAAAGGAAGAGACAGTGAAAAGTGAAAAAAATGAAAAAAAATGCAAAAATGAGAAAAAATGAGAAAATCGTGAAATATCTGTGAAAAATAAGAAAATGTACACCCAAAGAGGAAATTGCAAGTGGGTGACTTGTTTTGCGACACTTTGATGAATGTTTTGAAGCAGAAAAGTCTAAGAGAATAAATAAATTTATAAATATACAGAGAATTGGCTACTGCGGATGATACACAGGAAAGCCAGGGTAGTCCCCGGGGTAGTCACCAGGGCCACGGGATTGCCGGGGAAGGACTACTGAGGCGGCCGAATGAGTTCCAAACTCCTCGATTTCCTTGGCAAGAGCCTCGAGTCGGGTAATGTTAATTAGTTGATCCAGCTCTTCATTCAACATGTTGTCCATGATTCTGGAGTCATCAATATTTTCCATTCCATCTAGCGTATCCACGGGAAGTTTGTTACTGCTGCTGCTGTTATTCAATTCGTCCAGACCTTCCAGTTGGTTCAGCTGATCGTCTAGTTCATTTAGCGCTTGTAGATTGTGCAGCACCTGCGGGTCATTGTGATGCAATTGCTGACGCAAAATTTGCTGCTGCTGGCAATCGATCATATTTTGTAGGCGGTGTGCGGTTGAGTCAGTTCCGTGGTGTATTTGCTGCTGTTGTGGAACGTGCGGCATCTGTGGGATTGCTTGATGGTGAACAAACGGATGTGTCTGCGTGGGAGACTGATGATGAGGATGAACAAACGGTTGTTGCTGATGTGGGTGCTGGTATTGATGGGTCTGTATTCGGAAGGCGGCTTGAGCAGGCTGAGGGGCCCGAGAGGGCGGGCCAGACCGATCTCCATTGAGATTCATACCGAAATTGAGAGCCTCTTGTTGGGAGAACTCGGGTGGATTTGGAGCCCTTGCCTTGCTCTCATCTATATAATGGAGATAGCTGTCCAGGTTGATACTGCTCTTGGCAGGCTGCCCATTTCTGCAACCAGCAGGAACGTCGCCGGTCATTGGGGAACGGACAAAGGGTTGTTGGTATGGAGAATGTGCCATGACTGAGGGAGACTTGTACGATGGAGGGAACGAGGGTGCAGGAGAAGCTTGTAGCGGGAAATGCTGGGTGGGGATTGGTTGCGGCGGTGGCTGGAGGTGGAGTTGGAGTTGAGGTTGTGTAGTGTGAGATTTACTTCTAGTCAACGAAGGCTGATGCTGTTGAAACTGTTGCTGGGATTGTTGTTGTGGAAACTGCTGCTGCTGCTGCTGCTGATAGATGGCTTTGGCACCGATGTTGGAGTTAGAAGGTGACTTCTGCACTAGATGTGGATGTCCGATGGAGGCGGTGGAGGAACAGCTCCAGATGCGTGCTCTGCTGCCTACAGCTGGGGTTGTGATGGACGGATAAACTGCTGCTCCGATATTTATGGCGGATCTTGTTCCCGGGTTAGATATGGAGGAGACCAATGGGGAGGCTGGAATCGGGGTGCCGCCCTGGGTGGTGGTCATGGGTGTCGCCAGCTGCATGCTGAGAGATGAATTCAGGGACATGATTGAGCTCGATCTCTTGAGGGCCTTGAACCGCTTTGTGCTGGAGGTGTTAATCGAGCACACCTCAAGGTTGCTCTCGTCGTCCATGGTAGTTGGTGTGCGGGAGGGGGTCACCACGTCTTCGTAGGACTCGTAGGGCGTTCCGAGAGGGGTGTCGTTCGGCGTGGCCATGGTGCTTGGGGTATATAGAAAAGAGTCATCTGCCAGAAATGACTGCTGCTGCTGCGCTTGCTGCTGTCTCAGAAACGAAGACGACGACGACGAGGTCGATCGGTTCCGGGTGGCCTTGGTGATGCCAAAGTAGTCGTACGACTGTGGTGGGAAGGCGTGCTGGCTTTGCTGGACGGGAGTGATGGGCTTCAGTGCCTGCTCCTGCTCGGCAGCCTCCGGGTCAGGCTGCTCGGTCCTAGGTTTCACTCTGCCCATGAGCTTCGACTTCGACTTCGCCTTGTTTGTCGTGTAGAATTTCCTGAACCCGCTTGGACGGTGCTGTTTCTCTACAGCATCGCTCTCTGGCTCCGGCTGCACATGTGGTTGTGCCTGCATCTGCGTGTGCGACGAGAGACCCACTGCAGAGCCCACAAACGGGTCGAACTGCAGCGGGCCGCCCACGTCGTCGGCCACCTCCTTCATCGAGGCCAGTCCCTCACTCGACAGACTGTTGCCCAACATCGCTGCGTTGTTCTCCTCGTGCGTGCTGTTGCGTTTGAGCGACTTTTTGAACAAGTTTGTGAGCCCGTTCGACGCCGACGTCGCCATGGAGCTCGACGACACGGCCGTCTCTGAGTCCGCGTGGTCTGCGCTGGCAAAGCTTTTGCACGACGACGAGCGCCGGACGCCCCCGACACCGCGGTTGAAGCCCAGGTCCATGTCAAACGGGTGGTGCAGGTGTCCGTGGCCGCCGACCTTCGCCGCCGCTCTCTCCTCCGTCGGCTCCACGTCGTTGTCGTCCAGAAACGAGTGCACCAGCACGTACTGGTTCTTCTTTGGCTTTGCGTGGTTTCGCCGCAACCCGTCCTTTGTTGTTGTTGTCGTTGTCGAGTTCGTCAGTTTCTTGTGGTTCTCCAGCATCAGCTGTGACTGCTTCTCCACGTCCTCCGACTTGGACGCATTCACCTTGAACAGCGGCTTGAAATATGGTTTCCTCTTTCCCGTCTTCTTCATGCCCGGCTTTTTGCTTCGGTGCTTCGGTGCTTCGGTGCTTCGCTGCGTTCTTCTGCTCTTGCTGCTCCTTTCTGCCCCCGAACCCATCAAACACCGCCCTCCCTATCCTGCTTTTCCCTTATTCTCCTCCCTTCTTTCCTCCTGTCTTCGTCGTCCGTAGTATTGCAACACTCACTCACCTACACAGCACAGCCGGCCGGAAGAAAACCCAACCGCCGAGCCACTTACGTAAGCGCCTCGGCCGTTTCGAAAACTGCCTCGGAGGCCCGGCCATCAATCACTTCACCACCTCGTTCCTGGCCAGGTCCGGCACGAACGTGGACGGAGATGGGGGCTGCCCGGACGGCGACAACAGTGTCCGGAGCAGCTGCAGCAATAGGAGATGCCGGTGGAGCTGGTGGGTCGGCAAAAAGGTCGTCGAGCGCCACGGCAGGCTCGTCGGAGTCGTCTGTGACGGAGACGCTGTCGACACCGGTGGCCAGCTTCCGGAGAGCGCTGTTCACCTTGCACCAGCTGCGTAGGACACGGACAAGCTCGCGTAGACGGTTCATGTCGGCCAGCTGCACTTTGAAAAGCCGGACCATCTTGCAGCCGACGAGAACGTCGACCTTTGTACGGGCAAGCTCGACACAGCCGCTGGCCGGACAGCGGTTCACGGCAGCATAGAGACGGGCAAGCGCACGGTCGGCGCTGGTCTCTGCGGCGTAGTTGTCGGACCAGTTCTCGTTCTCGTCGTTGATGACCTCGTAGTCGACGCCGCCGAGGGAAACAACGTCCTCGGGGACCCACACGGGCGGACACAGCTCGAGGACCACGAGGGAGAAGTTGTCCTGCGGCTTCCTGTCGTCGGTGCTGCCGCTGCTGGCGCCCGTGCCGTGCTCCGTCTTCCACCTGCCCTGTGCAGCGTCGAACAGCCGTCCCTGGACGCTGCTGCCGCTGCCTCCATCTCCGGCGGCGGCGTCGGCGTCCGTCTCGCCCATCGTGCTGGCACTGTCGTTCTTCTCCATAACGACGTCGCCGTCGTCGTCAACGGCTTCGCCGGCAACTGCCGCAAGAGCGCCCTGCTCGTTGCCGGACACGCCGCCAGCTTCACCCTCTCCGTCGCCGCCCCCGTTCACCGCCTCCTCCACATTGTCCGTTTCCGTGCTGAACTGGTTCATGCCCTTGAATGCCACGCTTTCCTTCACCTTGAAGTGCATCGTGTACACCCGGTCCACCACGTCCAGCCCCTTGTTCTCCCGGATCCACCGGTTTGTGTACCGGTCGTCCACCCAGTACTGTAGAAAGAGACCCACCTTGTTATTCTGGTTGGCCAGCACTCTCCCAACACCGCAGACACCATCTGCCCACTCTGCCTCGTCCGGATACTCATCGTGCTTTCTTTCGAGCCGGGCCTGCTCGTTGAGACCCCACACGAGTTCTGTGAACATCGTGAACCAGTCGTCCGGTTTGTTTTTGCTCAACCGGTCAAACTGGAGAAGAACCCGCAAGTTCATGTTGAAGGAGTCCAACGTCTTCTCTTTCAAGTTCGAAAATAGCACATCGCTGCACGACGGAAACCCGGAGAAACCAAACAGAAAGTCATAGCTCTTCCCGTCAATCTCCTCGGGCGTGATGGCAGATGAGATTGAAACACCTTGGATGCAGGTGTTCGGAAGCACCCCGATGGAGTTCACATTGGTTCCGACACTCGGTGACATGGGAGATCCGACCGAATTCTGCATCTCGCTAGGAATGGAGAAGTCCACGTCAATTAGTAGGATCAACCCTGAAATACTCAACCTCACCATGTTCTGTCCGCCAGCAGACCCCTTGATGTACTCCACAAATGTCGTAAACCCATACATCTCAGACAATCTCTTGATGGACTGCATCGTCACCACTCCGGGCCGTTTCAGTAATGTGTCCGTGATCGCAGTGAGCGGTTCGATGAGCTCTGTATCTATTACTGGCATCCTCGTGTGGTTTTTCTTTGTATTCACTAAGCTTTACTTGGATCTTTTGTTTCCTTTCTTGACCTGCAATGGCAACAGGAATCCTCATCAGGGAAGCATCAAAACATGACAGCTCTGGGGACTTTCTTCCCATGTCCAACGCGTTTGGAAAAATTTCGAGTAATTTTCTTTGAGATTATTACTATTTAATAATTTGTTTTTGTACATTTTACACACAACTATATACCCTTCATAGTTCGTCGTGGGCAACACTGCTGCTACCAGCAGAGGGCGTGGATGATTCTGCCAGCTCTACTGTCACCGACGTAACCCCACCTTCTGTGCTAGAGCCGGCCTCTGTGGATTCTGTTTTGGCCTGCTCTTTGAGCTTTTCCTTCTCGGCCTTTTTGATTGCCTTCTTGGCAGAAACAAGAAAATGATTCACAAAATCTTTTCTGGTCTCAAAGGCACTCTCATAGCCCTTCTCAAGAGAAGCCAGCAATTGCTCGGTCTTTCTTAATTTCCTAACGGCGTCTACAAGCACGTTGGCTTCGATGGAGCCGAAGACCTCGGCGCCTTGCTCTAGAAGAGAAACACTAGCCTCAATCGTTTTAGTTTCTGCTTCGATCTGCTCAACTAACGTCTCAAATGACGGCCAAGCCGTTCCATACACTTTTTGAATCTTCTTCTCGTAATCGATTCCATATTTCTCACACTCTCCGGCCAACGCCTTGTCTTTTTCCAGAATTTCATCGATACCCTTGATGATCTCATCCTTTCTTGTAAGCAGAAGCTGGTAAGGTAATTTGATATTTTCTAGGGCATCATCATACTGAGAAACTAGCTGGTAGAGCTTTATTTCCGACTCCGCCCTATCAGCCTCCTTTATCTTCTCTTGGACATCTTTCATAGTAGCGTCATCGCTTTCATAGTCGAGCCATTGGAGACTCTTGGTAACGTTAAGTGAATGGCTTTCTAGGAGCTCTGTTGGAAGAATGTTATCGTTCTCCTCGAGCAAATACCGAATCTCGTAAACTTTAGCTTCAAGCTTGTTTTTCAAATCAGACATCTTTTGACGCTCCAAATCCTTCTTTTCAAATGCGTTTAATCTGCTGATCGATTTACTCTTCAATTGAGGTGACATTGGTTGGAATACATAAGAGGTAGAGTCGGATAACATGTTACCAACCTTGGCGACCTCAGAAACGGTACCATTCACGACTGGGTAGCAATTCAATTTGATATTCTTAACCTGGAAAATATTTGAGTGAGAAAATCCGTAATTCAACGAGTACTCAAGTCCACCTTCGCATGTTGTCTCATTGAACCTTTTAGGAGTCTTAAAGCTGTACTTTTGTATCACTGACTTACCTTCAGATAATACTTCGATATCGATTGATGGTACAAACTTGTCCGAGAAAGAAGTCAAATTTGCAGAGAGTTTTTCTTGAGATGAAAGGCCCTGAGGAACTTGAATAACACCTTCTGGTACTGATGGCGTTTCAGAAGAAAAGTACCGGATAATGTAATCAACAGAACTACGATCAATGACTTTGAATTGCTTCTTGCGAGTTAGTTGTAGTATCTGGGCACCTTCTAAAGTCGTACCAAAAACAACACTCTCGTCGGCATTCACATTTTTGGACAGTAGCTCGTTCGATCCAAAATAGTCAACTAAGTTTTGTTGAACAATCGGAACACGAACCGAACCCCCTGATAAAATGACAGAGTTAAGTTTCTTGATATCGAATCCCTTGAAAACGGTGTCCAACATTTCAGGAATGGCTGACAAAGAGTATTCCATTTTCTTTTCAAGCTCTGCTCTGGTGATGACGCCTTTAAAGTCAAGCTCTTTGTAGATTGACTCAATATTGACGGTAGTTTCAGTATTGGCACTTAGAATCAACTTTCCCTTCTCAGCTGCTTGCCAAACTTTCTGCATAGCTCTTGAATCTTTTAGAATCTCATCAGTCGGAATATTATTACGCTCGGCAAACTGCTCCAAAATAATGTTCTTTACCATAACGGTGAAAAGCTCCCCATTTAGCTTATTACTAAATCCGTAATTTTCAAGTTCTAGAGTCAGGGTGTTGTTGGAGTTGACAAACGAAACCAAGCTAACCTTTGTTGCGCCTGCACCAGCATCAACAATCAAATGATACTCTTTTTCATTCTCGGGAAAATCTGTTCTTTTTTGGCCGTAATCTATAGCAATAGCTAATCCGTCATCAACTAAGGAGATGACCTTCAGCCCTGCTAGTTCTGCTGCATCAGTCAACGCAATTCTAGCGGCTTCTGTAAAGTATCTAGGAACGGAAATAACAACTTCATCAACTGACCCAACAGTTTCTGGCGATCTTTCTTGCCAGTATTCCATTGCACGGTTCTTGATTTCCAAAAATGTCATTGCAATCACTTCCTCGACTAGAAATGTTTCGTTGTGTTTGCTTGATTTGTCCGCAGTGATCACACTGACAGCATCTCTGCCTGGTTGTACGCCCAAACCAATCCCAGGGAATTTACTAGCATGATCATGCATAGCATCATCTGAGTGGCTTTGGCCTAACAAGGGCTTGAGGTATAACATGCATGACTGTGGGGTTTTGATACACGTGGATAATGCTTGTGTACCGTATTTTCTGTGAAATTCCTTTTTCCCATCTTTGTCTAGATCCATGAGAAGTGCTAAACCTGAAACATCTTTTCTTTTCGATTCAGATGTCAAAAGAATATCAAAGGGAACTCCAGGTGCCACGAGGATCGCCTTGGTATATTCAGTTCCGAAATCAATCCCCAGAAGGGCGCAATTTCCCCCGAACAAACAAAGGAAAAACGAGATCACAAATCCTAACGATATTTTCATATTTGCCAGTTTGCAAGGTTTGGATCAAAAGTCCGAATGCTTGTTTTTTCTTCAAGAGAAGGAGAAGAAGTTCCACAAGGAGCTCCGAAGAAAGAGACACGTTACAGCTCGAAAAAGTCAAGCATGAAAATTGCCATTCCCGATGCGAAGTTTTTACAGCTCTCATTTGTAGGCCTGCCATGAAGTTTGTGAAATGCATTGCTGAAACGTGGACTGAGGAAACTCTATATTCAATATTAAAGGACCAAGCAGTCGGTACCTCTCTTGCAACCATGTTTAACGAAAGAAGAGCTGCTAACCGACAGTCCGCTCGTGCAGGACCGTCCAATAATAGCAATAAAGAAGAGAAGGGATTGGAACGTGACACAAGAAGAACCAGAGAAAAAGATAGGGCTTTCAAACCGGAGAGACGCTATGGAGAGAACTACAGGAAGAGATCCTCAGAGTTTGATAGTCCAAGCAAAAGACCACCTCCTGAAGGTGGTAGATACCGCTCGGAGGGAAGAAACGGTTATTATGACTCCAATTATGGACAGCAGGGGTATGGGAATGGACGGAGATACGGAGGGCGGCCAAATGAGCGTGGTACTCCTCGGGGACGGAACGACGCAGGTCCTATTGTACCCTTGGACTCGCTAGGGATGACAAATAGCCAGTGGGATAAGTATCCGGCTAAACTCAAAGGAATGTCTGCCAGATTTGCCAAATCTGCAGGTGTTTTTTCTAGCAGGTCCGAAAGCTCATTAGAGCAATTGACAGAGGAAAACATTGTCAATCTGATTAAACAACAAAACAACTTGCTAAAGATGAGAAAAAGCAGGTTAGGTACTCAGCGGATCATGGGACCCACAGAGTCGAAATTATCCAAACGAGTTATAGTGAAGGGAGTTGACTTTGACAAAGTCGCTCCTCAAAGCGTGCAGAAGTTTCTGGAGTCATTCTTGGCATCTGTGGTAATTCCTGACGTATCGTATGAAGATTTAACTTTAACTTCAACCGTTGAAGGGGGGACGTTGGTGATCGACTGCACAACTTCGTTGGTTGCCACCACCCTTGTTTCTTTCAATTCGAAACACATACCCGAACTCGAGGCTAACCTAATCGTAGAAAGGCCGGGGGATTACATAGAAATTGCCGACAGTCAAAATCAAGAGGAGAGTTTGCCCGATGTTGAAGTCTTAGAGCAGATAGTTGAAACTTCAGGTTTGTGTTGTGCGAATAACATCCCAGAGGATATGAGCAATGGCAAATTTAAAGAGATTTTACAGAAGTATGGAAATTTGCGTTCAGCAATTTTACTTATAGGCAAAGTAACATATGAATGTTGTGGTGTTGCCTTCTTTAGTTTTTACAGCACAAAGAAGTCAATCGATGAGACAATAGAAGATATCAATAAAGAAGAAAAATGGGACTGTTTTCTGGCGTGCAAGAATCAAACCAATGAATACTCACAACAGTGCGATATAAAGGTGGCAAACGTTAAAGATTTCATTGATACTAAAAGTAAGGATATTACGAAGCATAAGGTAACTTCAACTATACAACTATTAAACAGTATCTCTATCGAAGATGCCTTGGATGATACAAAATACAACCAGGTAAAAGATGCGTTTGAAGAAGAGCTTTCCCAATTAAGTGGATATGAAAAGCTTGTTCTAGTGAGACCAAGTCAAGGTTTCCGTATCCAGCAGATTGATGAAGTGCAGCCGGAGTTTGGAAGAATTTTAGTTACTTTCAAAACTCCCAAGGATGCCGAAGCATGTTTGAATAAGGTCTGTGGGAGATATTTTCATGGAAGGGTGATAATGGGCGGATTCTTGGATGATTTGGATTACAGGGATGTTTTTGCTGAGTAATTGGTTATAAAACGTCTATATGTAGAATTAAATTATTATTTCATGTTTTGTAATTTTCAATCTGTACACCTACTGTCTCGTCAAATGTATGCCTCACTATAAGATCGTAGAGGTCATCAGGAATGCTTTTAGTGATGCTTAAAGATAGTTTGATGATTTTTCTAGCATCTAGTTCTGGAAACTGTCTTAGCAGACTCATTGGGTTCTTGGAGGTCAATAACTCTGAGCGAATAAGTAGAAGTTGTGCAACGACAAGAATAATGTTCATATGCACACCATAGCTGAAAAGGAAATCCCAGAGTTTTACCACTTCATCTAAAGATGGTGTGCAGGCACAAAGCGTAAGGACTGAAGGTAATGCATAAATCTTAGCACTTGACATGCTTTTCTTCAAAAATTCGGAGAGTTTCTTATCGACAGAATTAAGAACCAACTCAACAAGCCTGACGCCATCCATGGCACCAATTAGTGTTGGCGTTACATATCGTGGCATTTGCACTATGAGCAAGTTGTAGAAAAGTGTAAAAGATTGCGGCTCGCTTCGACACACATACAGGAAAGGCCCTGCTAAAACATTCATCCCTTGCACATACGGAGACAAACGGGAATTTTTCACATTCGAAAGCTCGTTTATCTCATCATTCTCAATAACACACCATGCAAATGCATTCAATACTCGTATGAATTCATCTTCTGAAGTTTTGGACCAGAATTTCTTGTTGTTTTGGAAAGTTCTGAAAACATCATTCCTTATCTTTTCACTTATATGGGCAAACTTTGAGTCTACACCCATGCTTTCAGTATTTACCTCACCGCGTGCAACAACACCACTGTACCATTCGCTCTCTATTGGTGAAGCACGGAGAAGAATACACCAAATGTAAGCCCTATATGGGCATGGATCTGGAAGTCCCTCGCAAAGAATGCTATGTCGCAACTGAGATAAACTTGATCCAAGGAGAGGTTGTGGAGATTCTATGAACTTTTCTAATACATCCTTTTTTCGTCCCTTGTTTTTAGGATGTATTGCCTGTTTATGGTTGGTTTCTGTAAGTTCCTTATCTAAGGTTATGGTGTTTTGCCTATTTCGTAGTTTTGGAATAGATTGTTTTCGCTCCACTAACGAAGATGACTTTCTGTTCAATTTGTGGTACGATGTTGATCTTATCATTGCGACTGCGTGTTTGTAGTAAAAATGTATAACGGGTTTATACCAGGGATCTAAGGGTCAAATCAAAAATGTCGGATCAACATCAACTAAGACGGAGCACCAATGTGGATGATTTACTTGTTTTGGAAACAACGCGATCTTTTAATTTTAATCTTCTAATACTATGCTTTATATAGTGAATATGAGTGTCTAGTGCTGTACAAAAATGTTCACTGTCTTTCTTCTTCAAAGGCAGCAGTCTCCATGTCTTTGAGAATTCTGTAAAAGCTGAACGGTTCATACGCATAACCTTCACCCTCAAAAAATTTAGACATCGCTTCAACCCAATGCAACCTAAGGGAATGCAACATCGCAGATGTACCTTCCATAACCACCAAAATGCAAACTGTCAATACAAACCACATTCCGAACAAGAGGAAGACGGCTATTGATCCTAAAAATCCAACTTGATTGTATGGCGAGAATGCGTTTTGGATAGTCATCTCCCATAGCACAGCAGACAACTGGTTGTGAGCAAGAGATAAAGCCCATAGACGCAAATATGATGCTGTGTGCGACACACAGTTGAGACAGAATTCAATGGTATGGATCACTTGGTGGACCATAATATCACCGAAGTTAAAAGGTTCTGGCTCATCACCATCCTCGTCATAAATGGACGGGAAAGATTCTCCCTCGGCATTTTCGGTATTTGCAGTATGAGAAGGTTCTATCGTGCTGTCGTCGGAAAACGGGTTCAAAAGGTTGTTTCCAGTCTCAGTGGAAGTGACAGTTTCTATGGAGAACCTGGAATGTGCGTTACTCCCGCTATCAACATCTGCATATCCTAGTTGAATAATGTGAGAATTCATCCGCTTCAGGGTGAGAGGTTTGTAGAGCAATAACCAGGGAACACAAACAAGTGCAATTATGACTAGGATAACCTGTATAGGACCCTGTCCTGGATAGAGTTGATCATCTATGGTGCCGGGAGATAGAAACATATTAATTAGCATGTTCAACAAACTTGGCGCCGGCTTTCCGATTCCAACCCAATCAATGCACCACTTGTAAATAATTGTAAGTGTCAAATAACCAAAAATAGATTGCATAAAAAGTAAACCTGGAATAAAGTTACCAATGATGTCCACTCTTGATTTGAAGAACTTGTAATTCACTAGGGCAAAACAGTAAGAGTACGACATGTGAATGAAGCCCATCAAGATGGATAATTTCATCTTGTAAGAGTTTGTAAAAAGTAAATTGTTGTCTGTTCCGTGCCAAGCTGGATCCAACCCAATGGCATAAACACCACTCTGCGTTGCCACTATACTTTGACCCTCAGCAAAATCACTTGGCCATTTCCAGCCTGAGCGGAAAATGGTCATGGATTTGGAAAATAAATCGTTGTAAATCAAACCTGTATACATTGAAAAAGCACCCATTAGCAGAAGGATGTAACGACCGGTATATGCCATGTCGAAGATTTCATCTCTATTTTTCATTTTCCCGATACTATTTTCTTTCAAAACAAGAGTTAGAGCAGCAAGAAATAAGATTAGCCCATGGCCTAAATCACCAAACATGATGGCAAACATAAATGGGAAAGTGACAATAGTGGCCAAACCAGGGTTGACTTCTTGATAAGTAGCAATACCATATGCATCGATAATCGATTGGAATGCGGCTGTAAATTTGTTTGTTTTGTGATAAGTTGGGGGAGTTTTATTGGTTTTTATCACATTCACAATAGTACTCAACCCCATATCAACTCTATCAGTGACGTCTTTCAATGCAGCGTTTATGTAGGGTAAGTCATCAATCGGAATCCAACCCTCACCGATAAGGCATCTTCTAGCAGAATCGTAGTTGAATAAATTCAATGTGTCGTATACTGAGATCTCTCTACGGAAGGTGATTTTCCATTTTTCTATCTCTGAAGCGATCTCTTTCAATTCTAAGAGCAAACGATCCTCGGTATGCAGTAAAACCTCATTCAAGTCCTTTAATTTATCATTGATTGTTCTCATTTCATGCTTGTATGCCTCGTAGTCACTTTCTACATCGTATAGCTGTCCATCTAAGGACTCGATGATCCTCTTACACTTACTTATCAAGGAATCACCGTGAGTGAAAATGAGGAAAATGGACTTGTACGATTTCTCACCTGTAGCGATATCCAACAGCGGCTCATCCAAGGGCACATGGTTTATATACAAGTTACCTCTCAAGGTTCTCCAGCATATCTTCTCAAGTATCATGAATTTGTCTGTATCTATTATACCACTTATGAAATTCATTGTTGATCCCAAGACGTTCAATTCGTTTGCGCCCGTAGCGACGACGTTGTTGGTGGCAGATGCATTATTTCTTCCTGACTCCAACAAGATCCCATTTCCATTTGCATGAGCGTTTTCGTCTTCATCATCCGAAATCATAAAGCTGTCGTTCGTGGACTCCGACGACAGCCTTACCTGGTTGAATATAGAATCCCCGTCGTCTATTTCCAAGGACAACCTTGCGTCAAAAAATTGTCTCGTGTTTCGTAAAACCATTCTATGCTGGATTAGCTCGTGTTGTCTCTTCAGAAGGTCGTCATTGGTGTTTGACATCTGTCTAATATTTGCCTCATATGTGTTGATAACATTTATCAATTCATCTAGCTGAGAGGAAGTCAAATGGGACTGGGAATTCTCAAACAAGTGATAGTCGAGGGAGGGTGGGTTGACCAGATGATCGTAGGACGTAGTCGGCAAGTGAATGTTCTGTTTGCGGATCGAGTCTGATAGGTATTTAATCTGCTTCTCGCATTGGTCAAATGTTCTTATCTCTTTGACAAAGGCACGCTGGAACGAGTTAACGTTCTGGTTCATGTCTTTGAATTGGACATCGCCCATATCCCCCAGAATGGCAATGCAATCTCTCGCCACCTCGGAGGGAATGTATAGCTGAACCAAAGACATGTCCGCTGAGCCTATTGCATATTCGATGTGTCGTGTGAAATGTTAGTATTCATTCTTTTCGTAATCGTCAAGACCCGAGCAAACCCGGGAAGGGTCCACGTACGGAAGAAAGCCTCTTTTTGAGCTGCCGGCATGGCTGATCTAGTTGCAATTGATGCTGCTCTGTCTCTGCAACACCTTGAATTTCCTCCAGAAACCCTTCTACACACTTCGTTTGGCCACGTCCTTCTTCTACCACACGCCTTTTTACCGGAGGCTTTCCGTGTCTCTTTCTCTCTCGTTCCTCCCCCCTCAATAGGACAGGCCGTATTCGCCACCTGTCCGCTGCACCGCCACGTTGAAGAAAAATAGGCGCATGCGCCACGCCATGGAATGCCAACATGAATCGACACAGCGGAAGGGGAAGAGAAGAGAAAGAGGCAGAAGGAAGAAGCACGACAGGGAAGATCGGGCTGCTGAAAGAGGCGTCAGGCAGAAGAGCAAAGAAAAGGAGAACACTAGGTGTTTCTGAGCATGTCTTTCCGTTCAGAATCTCAGACACAACCTCGAAGTCGAGCAGGGTCAAATCCCTGGGTGCAGTACTCGGACTTCTTCACCAACAACTCTTTTCTTATTCCAGACACCATTGCGTTTGCTAAAATACTTCCCTATTTTAAGGTACTCCCTGGGCTCACGAATCGGTTTAGCATACGCTTGGTAGAACTGGTCGGGTACGAGGCGTATTTTGTGGAGCAGTGGATCTCTTCCCGTTCTTCTGATAATCTCATTGTGACCTACACTGGAGATCAGAAAGACCGCCTAATAGCATACTATGTGCAGTCTTTGTCGGAACACATGCAACTGCAGCCACCACCACAAGTACACGAGCCGTCAAAATCGCTGACGCAGGCGTCAAAACAGCATTTACCGTACGACAATTGGCCCCCAAAATTCATCTCATATCTTGTGGAGCAGCTCGAATCACCGTACTGTGTTGCAACGGAAACAAGTCTAGGGTATGCTTTCATCACCAACCTCACTCAATTAAATCCTTTCCTTTCTTTGATTGCTGCCAAGACGGGGAATATCGCCGATGATTATAACTGCTATGTGGTGAACTACAATCTGAGGAAGCTAGGCTGCGGCTCACGTTCGGCAACAACAACTGATGAGCCTTCGAAATCTATGGAGGATAAATTTAGGGCTTTTTTCAAAGTAGACCCGAAGGTGCCGATAAATTATTCCGCTGTCGGCATGATACTTGTCACGCAAACGTTTCTTTACTACTATGGGCTGTTGGATCCTCTCTACTGCGATGGGTTATTTTGTGAGCGGACGGAGGCAGCAATCATGGATTGGTGGAAGCTTATATCTGAGATACCCATGGCCCTGCATGTTATACGGATGAAACCGCCTTCGTCGCATCCGGCAGATTCTATACAGGCTATCATTGGTTTCACCGTCTTATGTAGGTATTTACTCGAATTGGGTGGAAACAACTTCAATGTTCCAAAAGATCCGATGGACGTCAAGAAATTCAAAGCTGCCATCTCCAAGTTTCAGAAACATTCTAAAATAGATTCCACATCAAAGTTCAATCTTGAAACTTTATTAAAGTTGATGGATTGGGGACAGAATAATAAAGTTTCTCAAAATTTGACCAAGGATTTGAGCAAAATGAAGAATTTAGTGAAAAACACCGTTATAGATATCACTTCAGGTAAAAATTTACAGATAATAGCACATAACGCTACTGCATCACCCTTTTACTTGCATTCACATTCCAGTTATGATCATAGTAAACTGATCAACTGTCAAAACATAGACCACATAAAGCACATGTCGCTTGGTAAACAATTGTCATACTTATTTTTTGCATCAGGTAAACCGGTGGACTTCAACAAAGATTCTCTTTCAGTTCAAGCTAATAAAAAAGTTGCAGACTCTACCAATAATCTTTTAATTGATGGTGTCAAACGTTTGAAATCGCAGTTGAGCATTCAATCGCTACAAAATCCTAAATCACATAATAACTTTCTGGACATCAAAGGTTTGTCAGCAACAACACTCAATCTGTTTGATAAGGACCATGACCAAGAGGCGGATGTCGACTTGTCCAATGATCGGCACAGCAATATTGAAATCGACGAAGTCCTGAGTAATTCTAATGAAGAGTACAACGATACTGCAGTTCGACCTCAAAAGAAAAAAAAGCGATCAGCATCTTCAGTCCTGTTTAGCTCTGAAGATGACTCTCCAGATGACAAAATTGAGAATGTGCGATCAACATCTCTTGCAGATTTTGATTTCGATGATTATAATGACGATGTTGCTGTATATAATCCAACTCGGAGTAGGATCAATAGCAATACAAACAAGGCAAATTCTATAGGCACTGCCGCAAGCGCTGGTTCTGGTTCCGACAATGGGTATGATAACTATGCAGATTATGATGGTGATTATACAAATTATTACAACAACGATGATGATGACCCATATTACAACCACAACAGTAGCAAGGTTAATGGACATGGTAACCGAGGCAGTTCTTTCTCATCTCATGTCAGATTCCCTCGGAAAAATGTTGTTGATATGAACAATATAGATGAAGCCTTAATAGATGATGGATTTTCGGATTCAGAGCTTTACAACAACAAATCAACTTTAAACTCTGCTAAAAATTCTGATAGTGTTCGTGAATCAAGGGCTTTGCTAAATGGAGAGCTAAAAACCTTATACACTCCCCCTAGAATAATATCATCTGGTGAGTTAAGCAGACCAAATAGTATGCTCAACAGTGTAAACAAAACTCTCAGTAATAGGCAACATCTATCAAGAGGATCTAGCGGGAACAGCTATGACAGTGATGGAATCTATGAGTACGAAAATGGATTTGAGTATGACTATGAACTGGACCCTAACCACCATCAAAATAATCACACTGGCATTCACCCTCATAGCAGAAAACATTCCTATTTGCCTTCCAGTAAAGAACACTCAAGAAGGCCGTCTAGCCTGGGCTTAAATAACGCTCCTAATGGCAGTGAGAAGCGTGAAAATATTGGACAGGATAACACAGCATTTTCAACTCAAACAAACCTTAGCTCATCAAACGGTAGAAATGAAAGCTGTGACTACTCAACTTCAAATGTCGACTTTGAATACTGTAATTTTATGAAGAGAATTAAACGAAGACATAGCATTCCAATTGTTGAATCGGAGATCAACAAATATTCCATTGAAATGAGAATGAAAATGAAAAGAGATAAAGCTGAAAATTTGATTAACAATAATTTAGAACGTAAAGTTAGCTGGTCTGTAGGTAGAAGAAATATGTGGGATCGTACAAGTATGAACAGTATGGATACTGATGATGATTTAAGTTTGAAAAGCAACAACCAGCAAAGTTTACTGCACGATCTGACGCCTGATTTGAACTCTGTCAATAATCATGAGTTAAACTCATTGTCAAAGCTCCATGGAAAGGAGACTGAAATGTCTGATCAAAATGGCTCAAATTTCCTGTATCGTATGAAAAGAAAACAGAGCATTTTTGGTGCACAGAGCGTGTATACAAATGGCAGTAACAAATCAAGCTATGCTCCCATGGATACATTTATAATATATCATAACCCCTCATCTTCTGCACGCTTGAGGAGAAGCCAATCTTTTTCGGGAATAGAAAGCTCCTTAATGTGTTCCGGAAAAGGCACTTCAGTTTCGGGATTCGAATTTTCAGATGTTAGCTTTTTGACTTCGGAAGTACTTGCAATGAAGTACCTCAAATTAGAAGCAAGTTATCAAATTGAAATAGTGCAAGGTTCTTTCAATCTAACAAAAGACTTGCAATCTTACTCGCGTTATTTGCTTGAGTCTATTAACTCAAACCCAAACACATGTGTCTCGTTAATGTACAACACAACCAGAGGTGATGTGAAGAAGGTAATAGGGAAATACTTTGAGCTAGAGGACAAACTAAAGAATACAGTGAAAAGTAATGCTAGGCTAAAGTATGAGCTACGATTATTGCTCCAGAAAACAAAAGAAGTAGAAAATAATTTGAAGACTTTACAAGACTTCAAGATCAAAACATTGAATTCCAAGATTGAGTCGATGATTTTAGAATTAGCTAAATATGGACCTATGGATCATGAATTGAAAGAACTTTCTATGGAAAAAACTCTTTCAAAAGCAGAAAATTTATCAAGTGATGCAGAAAAACCAATTTTAGATAGAATTTATGCTGATGATGGGAACCTTAACTGGAGCAAAATAAGTATTAGAAATATTTGGAACAATCCGTATATTCTAATTTACTTGTTGTTCCACTTTTTACTCTGCACTGTTTTGAAAAGAGTAGATGCTAAAATGATTGAGCAAAGGTGGAAGGAAATCGATAAGAATCAAACGGTCACCATGATTATTAGAAAGCTGTATAGCAAAAGTGAACGTGAATTGCACAAAGAGGAGGAGGAAGAGAAGAAGAAAAATGCCATATGGAAAACAGATAGCGAAAAGACCATTCACAGCATAAAAAAAAAAGCCAGTAAATGAACACATGCACAATGCAATTCCAATTGCCACTTCTCATCTATAATTTTAATTTTAATTCTAGTTTATAAAGTAGGAAATTAAAAAAGAACTCTAAACCGAATTTTAATTTTCAACTACTACTATCCTTTTTATTCAGTTCAGCTGCTAACTGCTCTGCCTCACTAGTAATCAAGTTTTTTACAAGCTGGGTATCTTGCCGTTTTTGTCTGGCAAGCAGTTGCAATATATCTGCGTTTTTTTTGAGAGCTTCGGCACGAGATTTTAAAGACCGAGCAATCTGTATAGACTGAATTGATCGTATCGATGTTCGACCCTCTATTCCTATACCGTTATCAACTTGACTTTTCCTATCAGGGCTTTGATTTTGCAAATCTTCTGTGGTGTAAATTCCATAATTCTGCTCTCTACGCTCTCGGACACCCATAGCAGTATACGCCATTAGTGTTTCGTAAGATGAGATCAGGGACTCGTAATGTCTAGACAACTTTTTTTCTCGATGTAATAGCGATAAAAGAAGGGCCCTCTCCGAATTATAGTCATCGCTGTCGTTGTGGATATTATTTTCCTTATCCCGGAAATCTAGCTGTCGAAGAAGGTCGTTATCAGCAGTTTGCACATTTGAGCCGGAGGAGTCATCATTTGATTGTGCTGTAGAGTTTTCCATTTCCAAAGTCAATGGCAAATTTTGTTTCGACCACACTCTATAATCGATACCAGTTTTCAGCGATAGGTCTGCAAACATTTTCTCCAAGGTTTCCAGATCCGTATTTTCGTCATCTAGTTCTTGAAGCAATCGATCGAGTAGACGTTGTGTTTGTGAGGCGGTCAAATCTCGGACCTGTGTTGTAGGAACGATGGGCGAAACCTGGGGAAGATTCTGGGAATAGTAATCGTCAAAATCCATGTTTAATATGATGCGCCGTGGTTAGTTGTGCAATAGAGAGCTTTGATGTAATGGTGTGGAATAGTGTTTGCATCTATTGAAGGCCCTCATCTCATCAAAAAGGGAAGTATAGATACATGTAACCTCGAAGGAAAATATCATGGAATAGCGAATTCTTCCGCGTAGCATTATCGGCTTATCAATTACTAACAGACACATACACACACTCAATTGTACCTATAAATGGTTATAAGACTTTTTCACAGCATCTACTATAAACGATATTTTATTAAAAACAGAATTGTAATATGAATGGCCTCTGCAAGCACATGAAAGTTGAATCGGAGGGGGCATCGGGGATGAAAAGTATACACAAACAGATTATATAAATTATAAGAGAGACAAAAAAATAGGAATCATACTGACAATTATTTCTTTTCCTTCTTTTCCTTTTTGTCCTTCTTGTCCTTCTTGTCCTTCTTGTCCTTCTTGTCCTTCTTTTCCTTCTTTTCCTTCTTTTCCTTCTTTTCCTTCTTTTCCTTCTTTTCCTTCTTCTCTTCCTTCTTCTCGTCCTTTTCCTTCTTTTCTTTCTTCTCCTTTTTGGCCTTCTTTTCCTTCTTCTCTTCTTTGTCCTTCTTGTCCTTCTTGTCCTTCTTAGCCTTCTTCACTTCCTTCCTTTCTTCCTCACTGGAATCTTCATCGTCGGAGTCTTCATCGTCGGAGTCTTCTTCTCTCTTTCTCTTTTTCTCCGTTTTTTCTTCGGCATCAGCCATGGTTGCATCGGCGTCGGCATTATAGGCTCTGGCTTCGCTGATTTCAACCTTTTGCATGTCTTTTTGGATTCTTGGAGTAGATCTCAAGTCTCTACCTTCTAAGGCACTCAATCTGTTTTCAACCTTGGATCTGACTTCCAAACCGTAGTCACCACTGTCATCTCTCTCTTCTGCAAGTGCATCATAACGTAATGCGACAGCAGCCTTGGCAGCCAATACACGGGCAATTTTACCCTTGTTTTTTCCTGTTGCTTGACCAACCAAAGAAGCGTGGTAGATCAATCCGTATTTCGGCGTATCGTGCTTGGTCTTCAAAGCTCTGAATAAAGCCTTTTCTGCACCTAAGATTTGGATAGTAGAAGCAGGAGCCTTTGCGAGAGAGATCAAAGAACCAGCATGAGCAATTAATCTCGCACCAACCAATTCACCAACTAAAGTAGTTAAATTTGGTGCAATGGCCTTCATTCTAGCAGATAGGTAGTTAGAAAGTTGTTCTCTGTATTGGGAGAACTCAATGATTTGATCAGCCAACATACGGATGTTCAATAAATCGTCTTCAGTAATTTCGGTACCCATTGAAACTTCGGCTGCCGCCTTAACTTGTTGTTCAATCTCTTCTGGCAAGATCTCGCTGAAGTCGGTTTCTTCACAGTTTGAACGTATACCCATCTTGTTGATAATTTTAGCGTAAGCAACAGAATCGACAACTATTTTTGCCAATTCTGGAAAATGCCAACCGTACCATTCCTTACATCTCATAGCGTAGGTGTTTAATTCCTTGTCTAAATCGTCTAATAATGCAATAGCTTGGATAATCATGACATCAACCTTATCAGGTGAAAATTTCAACTTGAATCTACCAATGGAATGTGCCAAACCTAACGACATCGTCGAGAGGTCCTTGTCAGTCATACCTGGGAGCAATTCAGGAAGATATTCTCTGACTGCTCTGTAAATGTCTAAACTAGCAGCATCAGAGACGACAGAGTAGCTTAAGCCCAATTTGTTAATGGAGTTAGCTAATTTGGTATCATCGACTATCAAGGTGGTTTTTTTATCTGGCTTGGCTTCTTCTAACAACTTCTTCAGTTGGTCTGACACCTTACCTTCGTTGACTAAGTTTGCTTCTTCAAGAGCATTGGCAGCACTAGCGAACTTGGAAAATGCCTTGATCTTGAACTGTGATAAAACCTTTTCAGCACTATCAAGATCTGTTTGCAGTGTGGTGGACTTGTAGATCTTTTTGTCGGAAGCCTTTAAAAGGGCGTAACCTGCAGCGGTTTCAGTCAAGACGTATGACATTGTGTGTGATCTGCTGTATACTTGCAAGCTTGGAACACCTGAGAAACCTACACAGAGTTCTTCACCACCTTGTTGCTACAGGGTCTTTAAACCTGAATTAAAAAATAAAGTCAGAAGGGGAGAAAAGCTGAAAAATTTTTTTGAGGAGGAAAAAAGGAAAAAAAAAGAGAAAATAATGGGAACTTTCCCGCAACTTGCGCTGACGTAAGCGTTTTTCTGGTCATTTGGAAATTTTTGTGTTTTCGCATAAATTTTCATCAATGCCACCTCTGGATTTTGGCCGGGTAACAGAAGTTGAAGTTCTATCCGATGAAGAACGACGGGGTGTAGGATTTACAAGGGAATTCAGTAGGGGTTATATCTATAAATTTGTACATGCGTATTACCCTGTCTTAACATCATTGGCTGCTTTTTTTGGAAAAGAAGTTTTGCCAACCGCTTTGCGTTGCTTGAAGAGACTTTGCGTAGTCGTCGTCTACGGGTATCCCTCCAATGGCAACGTGTTCACCTTTCTGCGTTCTGTACTTTCTTTCCGCATCTGGCATCTTTGCTGTGGCATCTCTGGAAAGATCGAATCCTAATTCACGGGACTTACGGTCGATCGTTTTGGCCAAATCAAGAATAATTGAGTTGTGCACTATGGTCTTGTTCGGTTTACTTTTGCTGTCACTCATGGCCATTAGCTCAGAGTAGACCCACTGTGATATTTCCATGTACTGGGCTTTAGCCTCTTCTATGTCGGCGCTTTCTAGCTGTTTGGCTCTTTTCATGTAACCGTCGCTTCGTTGATACATGTCTCGCAAAACCATAGCTTTTAAGTTATTATCCATTCGAAATCTTACATCGGCGTATCTTGTGGTGAACGGGTTGTTTGAAAAACTGTAGTCCCCTAATTTCTGGAAGAGCATGTATTTTTTGCCATTAAGAAAGGGACCTTTGTTGTTCTCGTAGACTATTTTGGCAATCTTGAGTGGAAACCTTCGTATCAAGTACTTGAAATAACACATGTAAAAATGGTTCCAGTACTTAACATCACTTGGTGGCTGTTCTAAGTAGGCAATACCAAAAATCTCCTGCACACGGACCATGTTGAGTTTGCCTTTATTTTCCTTCCGATTCATGGTATTGATCATATAGTCCAAGTAGGTTATTAGTGCGTATTTATTTAGAGAACCCTTACTGGCCGCATGATTGCTAGCGATCATCGACCAGGCAACCTCGGCGCTTTTTTCTGCATGAGAATCCTTAATCTCCGTTTTGTTTGTGTATAGTATGCTTCTGACCAACTCGTTGAAATCAATTGCCGTGAATCCTATTAGCTTGTATTTCAAATACTCGACAATCTCTAATGCACGTTTTTTGTTTCCTAGTCTCAAGTTATAAGACAAGAAGGCATGAACCTGGCCTGGAGTAAACTTTTCGCCGGTTCCCAAAATACTTAAGTCTCCACCTTGACCAAATAAGTTCTTTAAGTTCACGGATTCTTCACCAGAATTCCCTGTGTTGTTTCCATCATCGTACCTCGAACCCACAATGGCACCAAGGGATTCATTCTTTGTCCTACCACAATGATACAGAATTGAACTCATTAGTTCAGGACAAATTTTCACCGAATCTAATGGCAAATCAAATATTATCTCACTTATCAATTTTCTATATCGTCTATTTTTACTGAATAAAGTGATCATTTTTGCGAGTGTTTGGTAAAAATAAAAGTTGTTGGAGAGATTGTTATTTTCAGAATCAATCGTGGCGTTGTAAAGTTTATTATGGAACGGTTTTATTATAGTCCATATGGTATATACGGTAACTGGGTCATTATTTTTGCATCTATCTTGAATAACTAAGTAACTAAATTGAAGGTACTTGGACAAGAGTTGTCGATCTAGTAGCTCTTGTATATTTGAACATGTTTCTTCTTCTTCTTCATCTTCTTTTTCTTCTACTTGTTCTTTATAATAAGATATCGAATAAGATACTCGCTTGCTTATGATCAGCCCAAAGTCTCTTATCAACATCTCGATTGTGCTGTATGGTGAAGCCTGCTTTTGAACTGTTGTGTATGGCTTTCTCAACGATGTAGTAGTGCTACTCATCAAGCTATAAGAAGCTTTATCAATAAGAGACTTCATTTGAGAATCTGATAACTGAAACTTTTGTTCTTCAAACTGGAACTTATCCATCAGTAGATTAAACCTCGATATCAGAGTCAAAATATTGTTCAACTCAGTGATATTCCTATCCTGTGATCGATTGATACTGTAAAGGTCAATGAGCAGCGACAAGTTATTGGGCACCAAGAACTTTTGGATCAAAGAACGTGTTTTAGCTGTAAGCGTAGTTTCATCATTATAAAGACATTTGTTTATTATATTCATTAGGACTGTGAATGCAATTGATGATGCATTTATGTGCAATGACAATTGAAGAATTAAATATAGTACATTTTCCGAAGGCTCAAGCCCTGCTTGATCTCGATAATGCAGAGGTTCATGTGTGTAGCTACTTTTGACTTTGGCTATTTTGTCTAGCTTGTCGATGGTGAAGCTCAATAACTTCTCTAGAGTTGGAGAGTTTTTTTCTCGATTGTTCAAAACAGCAATCGTGACGTTTTGCAAGAATACAGGCAAGCTCATTTTTTCGTAAAGATCCTTTATTTTCGGCTCGTCTAGTCCGACCTTGAGCATCTTTTCAATCAGGTATATGGAAGAAGGAGATATTGACGAGGAGGGGTCTCTTCTTGGAGTCACCCTTGTGGCAAATCCTCGTGTGCATAGCACAGCTCTTGCCAGTTGCAGCTGAAGCATCTCTGCTGTACTGCAAGTTGGATTGTTAAGCCTGAGGTTTGTTGTCCTTCTACTTCTCTTTCCTTTCTTAACTCCCCATTGTATGGAATCGTCGCAATCCAAAAATCATGCCTCCCTAACCCCAAAATTTTTCAGCGCTTAGCGTTTTGTACGTCAAAAAACGCTTGAATATTCACCACCAGCAATTGCTTAATGCATGGGGACCTCTTTCCGTATTATGATCAATCACAATTCCATACATAGTTAGCAGAATGGTGAAGACATTTTTTGCAACCCCGATGTGCAACGTTTCTATGATACTTCACACGTCATTGTAGATAAAACTGATCAGAAGATTATGAGCTGCTTGATCGGGAATAATGTAGAGAACGTATCAACTCTCCAACTATCTAAAAGTAAGTAGTTTCTGAAATTTGACCTTAGCTGTATACAGCTGTATATTTAGACACTGATTCTGAAATAGGTTCAGTTATCAACTTCAATGGAAAAAAGTAGAGTTCCAACATTTTCAATTTTTCTTCTCCTTTTTCTTTTCTTTCTAATTTCTACTCTGCATCTTTTGCTTTTTGCTGCTCTACTCTGTCTAACGCAACTACCTGACACGTCAACGACCAGCAACATGTTTAAGCAAGGAGTAACTATACCGGCTATTTCCCTCTCTGGTGCCGCCCTATTTTTCTGGGGATCGTCATCTTCTACCCCGGCCTCACCTGCTCCAGCTGCTCCGGGAACTCCTTTAGGTGGTGCATATCCTGGTGGATTTCCTTCCAATGGAAAGAGCAACAACAGCGGTGTCAGCAATAAAACCAACCCTACAGCTGTCAATCCCGCTGAATTTTTCAAGTATGGATTTCCTGGTCCTGTTCATGATATGGCAACTCATCAAGAGTTTGTGAGTGTTTTTGACAGACAGACAAGAAACCCATATTATGTTGTTGAACACATTACTCCTGAATCTCTTAAAAGAAACGGGGATAGTGGTGATAGAAAGAACTCGGTATTCAAAGAAGACGAGTCTATTCCTGATAAGTTTCGTGCCAGATTGAGAGACTATTTTAGATCGGGTTACGATAGAGGACATCAAGCACCTGCAGCAAATGCTAAATTTTCACAAGTTGCAATGGATGAAACATTTTATTTGTCTAACATGTCACCACAAGTGGGAGCCGGTTTCAACAGAGATTACTGGGCTCACTTTGAAGACTTCTGCCGTCGTTTGACGGGTGATTACAATTCGGTAAGAATTGTGACTGGGCCACTTTATCTGCCCAAGAAGTGTGAAGATGGTAAATACAGAGTTAGCTATGAGGTTATCGGTAATCCTCCAAACATTGCTGTTCCAACACATTTCTTTAAACTTGTTGTTGCTGAAAAGAATAAAAAGAAATCATCAAACTCAGAAGATTTGGCTATTGCAGCTTTTGTGATGCCAAATGCAATCATCTCCAATGAAACACCACTCAGAACATTTGAGGTCCCTGTGGAATCATTAGAAAAATCATCTGGACTGGAATTTCTTAAGCAAGTTCCAAATGGTAATAAGAAGGCCCTTTGTAAAGAGGTCACTTGTGAGATCATTGTTAGAGAATTCAATAATGCCTTGCAAAAGAAATGAAAGTTGTTACACTCCGAAATGCATTTATTTATTAACTTAAATAACATTATTTATTCATTCTAGATTTATTCATTCCTTTAGTTATATGTTTATTTATTCATTCATCTACTTATTAAAATTTCAATAGAAAAAATAGAATTATTAGAAAATATAGTCCATTGTACGTGTCTCGAGCTCATTCTGTGGGCATGTATTTCTCCTCGTACAGTCTAGCAAGTCGACTGACTTTACGTTCGCCTCTCCTCACACCTTTTTCTACTTCTTTTGCATGCTGTTCTTTCAATATTGCAGCCTTTTTTATTTTCTCCGCCTGCTGTTGCACTTCCAGATCCTTCTCCGTGTATTTGCGCAGTTTACTATTTTTGGCTGGAATCATACTCTCCAAAAACGCAGGTTTGGCTGGTACAGGACGTGCTTGTTTCCTTGGTGATGGAGTTAATAAGGTATCTGCAATTGAAGACGTTGAAGTCTTATAGTTTAGGGGTTTGGTTGGGGTCAACAAATCACCAACCATATCCCGAAGAGTCTCTGTGTCTGAAATGTCATCAAATTGATCATTCCTAGTCGTTCTTTGGGGTGTTTTATAAACGTTATCAACATCATAATCAATAGTAGTTGACTTTTCCTCCTCTAATCCCAAGCTTTCCACAGACTTGGCTAATATGTCTACCTCTGATCGTGTTACAGGTATGGTCGACTCGGCACTGGTCTGCATATAAGAAGATGAGGAAGTAGACGAAATGTCAGATTTGTGGGAGCTTGCGGATGTTGACCTGGAAGATATGGAGCCAGTTGAACCATTTGTTTTTGATTCGATATAAAGCAAGTGGTTTTTTCTTGGCATTGGAGGAAGTGGTGGTACAATATCTAATTGACGTTTTGGTTTGAGCGGAGATGTTTTCGTCGGTTCGCATTGTTGTTCAGGTTGCTTTTTGTGAGAGATAAGCTTTGACTCCAAAACATCTTGAATACCCAATTGTTTATTTTTGAAAGCTTCAAAAGCCAGAAAATCATCAAAGCTAATATGGTTGTTGAAATCATCCAGAGTGTATGACGTCCCAAGTATTGTTAGTTTATCGAAATATTGCATAATTGACCGTAAAAGCTTGAACAGATTATCGAATCCTATATCATCGTAATCCAAATCCTCCTGAGAGGATGAAAGGGGAGAAGAGTTTTCCTGGTTATCGGCATACAGTATTTTGGTGAAGGCCAAAATAAGTCTCAATGTCTGTCTTTCTACTGATTTGGTTTTGTTTTTGGCATGAGGCTCAAGAATGCAAGCTTCTCTTTCTAACTTGTTGAGAAGATATCTAAACAATTTGAATAACTTGATGAGGATATAGGAGTTGTCATAGCTATCTATTTCACTTTTTCCATAATTTTCCTCTAATGATGAAGGCTCTGCGGTTCCAGCGGACGTTGGCGGAGTTTGCAATTCAGATGACGATGCGTTTGAATGGTTACTAAGATCTATCAGTGGATGCCTGAAAGTGAGTACCTCATTCATGAAGTAATTTACCTGTTCGACATCTTTAAAATCGATTTGCGAAGGACCTGCACGGTGGGAGATAAGTACCTCAAGGGGTATAAGGGGCGATTTCGAATTTGAAAGTTTCAGGATGAACTTGACTATAATCATGTAATGTTCTAAAAAGGAGAAATCGGCTAAAACAATGAGCTGATCTCTTTTCAAGCAGTCGGATAAAATGTCTATGGAGATTTTGGTTTCGTTCGAGAGCGCGGAGCATCTTATGATTGTTGTCCAGTCGGTAACGGACAACTGGGTGTCCAGATCTTTGTTTGACAAATATGCAATGAGGTTGTTGAAGATCCGAGCAAATTGGTTCAGCGGGAAGATGCTGCTTGACGAGCTAGCCAAGTTGTGAAGAGAGTAAAGAGTCAATGGACGCCCGTAGATGGCGGTGAAGTGTCTCGTCATCACGATCTTGTTGTTTTTGTATTGGATTTTGTCGATCATGTAGGTATGCAACGAGATCAGTAATTTAGTGATGTCGACATAGTGAGAAAGCGTTGTTAGATTGTTGCAGTTGATGATGACTGGGTGGTTTGTAGAGTTGAACGAGTAGAATTTCGTGAAGAGATCAACGATTGATTTGAGAAGCCAGGTGCTGTGGACTATGTAAATTTTGGATAGATGTTTTTTCGACTCTGGGGGTATAAGTTTCAAAATCTTAATTATGTTCAGCGGCAGCTTGAACGAGGACTGTTCGGAGGAGTTGGTTATCGAGGAAGTTGGCACCGATGCAGACGAGTGGGTGTTGTCGGGACTAGTATCTCGCTGCTGATGTTGCACAAGGGATGACTGATAGAACCCGTTTGTGAAGAAAACGAGTGCATGGTCTTCTTGCGGGAGTTTCTCTAGGATTCTGTTGACGAAGTTCCGCAACTTGGGTTGAGAGTCGATGTCGGATGTGGAGGTGCTGCCATTGAAGATCGACGAAGGTATGAACGTTGAGTCCAACACGTACAAAGGCAGTGACGTTTCTGGATCAACTGTGGATGTGCGGTAGTAGCATCTGTCGATGTAAGACATGTCTGTGTCCCGTTTGCGGGTTGTGCGCTGTTTTTTCTGCCTCCTTGGACTCCCCAGGACCAAATGCTTCACAAGTCAGGATCGTTTCTGATCCATCACCCATCCTGATGTGTTTTCGTCTTGTGGAAGAGACTCTTTGGACCCGGAAGTGGAAAAAAGACATTAAGAGGAGGGAAGAAGGGGGGCCAAGAAAAAATGGTGTCGCGGCAATCTGCAGCTGAGCATTTTGGTTACGTAAGCGGATTGTCTTTTCTTACAAAAAAATTCTTCCCGTTTTTGTTGGGGAAGGGAAATAGGGAGCTGCGATAAGGAAAAAAAATTGGGTTCGTGATTCATGGACGTGAAATTTTCATTCTTTGATATGGAAATGGATATACAAAGAGGGAAGGGCAGAAATGGATGGGAGAAAAAGATAAAAACAGTATGGAAGAAGAAGAAAAAAAAAAGGATTGACAGATAACGAGAACAAGTAAATGGGTTATATGTTGTATATATAAAATAGTAAAGTATGTTTGATTTTTGTATTGTTTGATTGGATCAAATGATTGAATAATTGGAATGGAAGAAAGATGGACTCAAGCCGCCTTGGACTTGCTCTTCTCCACCTTCTCCAGGTCGGCCTTGGCCAAGTATTCCAATTGTTTGTCGAAGGTGTTACCGATAGCACCGGAGTCCTTGATGACAGCGACCCTCAAGGTGGACAACAAGTTGTGGGCGGCGTTGGAGTGGGCGTAGACACCACCGTTGAAAGCGATGGTGGCGTCCTTACCGAAGGATGAACGGACCAAAGCCTGTCCACCCGGGTGCTGGGTCAAGAATGAGGAGCAGTCGTGGACTATGCCGGAGACAATGACCAAGCCCTTCTTGTTGGCGGCCTCCTCGTAGAACTGGTCCTTGGACCAGATTGGCAACTCAGAGACCTGGGGCCCCCAGTTCAAACGGCTTCTCATTTCGTCCAACTTCTTCTGCTTCTGCTGCAAGATGCCCTGGTCGATGGCGTTCTGGGAGAACTTCTTCAAGTTGTAGGCGAGGCCGACCTTGGATGCACACCAGATGAGGATCTTGGTAGGGTCGTATTGGTACCACTTGAGGGCGTTTCTGTAGTCGGATGGGAACTCGTGGTGGAAGTTGTGGTAGCCCTCGCCAAAGGTGACAAAGGCGGTGAGCAAGTGGTCTCTTGGGGTTCTTCTGTCGTCGAAGGGCTGTTCGCCAATCCAGTGGGCGAGGGAGTTGACGCAGAAGGTGGCCTGCTGGATCATGAAGGACTTGATCAGGCCGGCGTAGATGAAGCCGCCCCAGAAGTCGTCGAAAAAGTACTTGGAGAAGAGGGCCGGGAGAATGAGCGCCATGAAGACCATGATGGTCAGGTAGTGTCTGTGCTGGACGCGGACAATCCAGTCGTCCACCAAGTCGGAGATGTCTGCTCTGGCCTTGTACTTGGGGTTAGGCACCAACAGCATCCAGCCGATGTGCGAGTACCAGAAGCCGCGTCTGGCGTCGTAGGGGTCTCTGTCGGTGTCCGTGTAACGGTGGTGGATTCTGTGCGAGTGGCCCCACCACTTGATCGAGCCCTCGATGGCGGACGCCCCGAAGAGCGCAAAGAAGATCTTCAACGGGTCTCTGGCCTCGTACGCTCTGTGCGACCACAACCGGTGGTACCCGGCCGTGATCGAGAGGCCCGACAGGCAGAAGAGCGACAGCGCAAGCGTCATCGTCTGCACCGTCGGCTTCACCCAGTACGAGCACCCCATCGCCACAAACGGGAAGAGCAACACGAGCATGAAGTTCAACCAGTTCACGTGCTTGTACCAGTTCTCCCGGGTCCACGGCTTTTCCGAGATGTGCTGCTCCCGCTCGTACTTCAGCCGCAGCTCCTTGTCCCGCTTCAACACCTCTGCAACGCTGTCCTTCGCCAACTCCTCTGCTGTCACCGTCGTCATCGACTTCGTGCCCATCAGCCGCCCGCCAATCCCGGACGCGACGATTCTCTTCTGCTGCTTGTTTGTGCCCGCAGCAACGGCGTTGGCCTCTGTGATGTCAACCGAGTCCATGGTCTGTGCGATTCTGCGATGTCCGACCGGAAAGACCCCTTCTTCTCCCGCAATGCCCCCTTTCCATTCTCATGCTCAGCGTATCCTGTCGTGGCTGGCGGACACTGAAATATTTAAACGGCTCCTGCCTGCCGGATCTGTCCCGCTGTCCGCGTCGTGGTGTAACCGGCCCAACAAATTGGGAATGCTGGGGCGTCGCCTTTTTGGGAGGTCGCGCCTGCCCTCCCAAATCGCCCGAGCAGCCCACACAACACCCAACCCTGTCGCACCCTCATCCCCGCCGCCCCTTGCCCCGTCACGTGCCCACAGTTCCCCCGAGCAGCCCTTCCTGCGACACCAGCGCTGTCGCGCGCGGCCGCTCGGCACAACTCGCAACGACGTCATCGGCGAAAAAACGATGACGTCGCCGGCGTCGCCGTCGCGCACAATGCAGATCGCCGCCCCGCCTGGCCCGTCGCCCCGTCCCGCTGCAGCTTCTCAGATCACCACCAGCAGCTGGCAGTCCGGTCCTCGTCCCTGCCCACCTTCTTCCGAGCCACCGCTGGCTCACGCATTCAGTGGCAAACCGTCTGTCAGGCGCAGGGTGGACGTGCGCACAGGTGGTGTTGGTGTAGGAGGCGGGTGGTGGTGGTGTTGTTTTCTTGCCCTGTGTGTTCCTCTGCGATGGGTGTCTTCTTCTTGCGGTGCAGACAGGTTGTGGACTTGTTGAGAACGCCATCCGTGACATCCGCAGCAGCCCCAGTGTAACTCCGGCCGCAGACCGACCAGCAGAACCTAGCAGCAGCCTCCCCACGCCTCCTCCACAACAATGCCAGTCACGGTTTTCGGTTCGTTGAACCAGGACCTTGTCACACACACAGTGAAGTTCCCCGGGCCGGGCGAAACGGTCCAGGGCGTGTCGTTCGAACGCCACCTGGGCGGCAAGGGCTTCAACGGCGCCGTGGCCGTCGCCAAGCTCAAGGCGCCCACCGACCGGTTCACGGTGCGGCTCCTCGGGTGCTTGGGCGACGACGACGCGGTCGCCAACGACTTCATCGCGTACCTGAAGGCCAACAACGTCAGCACCAGCCTGCTCAAGAAGGTGAAGAACACCGCCACGGGGACGGCGTCCATCGTGGTGCAGGACAACTACGCGGGCGAAAACAGAATCATCGTCGTGCCCGGCGCCAACGCACACCTCCACCCGACCCCCGCCGAGCTCGAGCGCTGCTTCAACGCCTCCAACCACCCGGACCTCAACACCTCCATCGACAACCCGGCCTTGCCCTCCCACGTCCACTCCCACGCCACAAAGCCGCCCAACAACGAGCCGCCGGCGAAAACAGCAGACCTCAACCCTCACCCGCCCTCCAGCATCCACTCCCATGGCTCCCTGGCCTCCTTGAACAACGCCGCCAACGCCCCTGCCGCCGCCGGCGCCAGCACCGCCAACCTCGCCCAGGCCAACTCCAGCTCCAACGCAAACCTCAACAATGGCCTAGTCAGCAAGAACGGCTCCATCATCCACAGCTGGTCCGCGTCCGGCATGAACTTGAGCAACATGAACAACACCAATGGCAACAGCAACAGCAACAACCGCGTCTCGAGCAACCAGAACCTCTCGCAGTCCTCGCCTTTGAACTCCTCTTCCACCATGTTCTACAACCAGCAGCACGCCGCCCCAAACACCGTCCATGAGTCCTCCTCCAACGGCTCCTTCATTCACTCGCACAAGACGAACCCGGTTCTAAGCTCCGCAATCACTAACTCTTACGCCGATCACAGATCGAACGCTAACCTTGCCGAGCTTCCTTCGGAGTTGAACGCCCACGCATCGGTGCCAAGAATGGACACTCTCACCTACCCTTCGCCAAAGCCTTCTGCGCTCGACTTGCAGAACGCCGCCATCACCCTGGCCTCCAAGGTCCCTGTTCCTTCGAACTCCTCTGCGTCCTTGAGAAAGGCTTCCAACTTGAACTTGACTGCCCAGCAACGCCTCACCAATGTCTCCTTCTCTCTAGGTGGCAGCTCCGCCCACTCCTCCTCCGCCTCGCTCACCCCTTGCCAGTCCTACTTGCAGATGGTGAACAAGAGCAGAGGTGAAGGCCGTAGAGCGAGCCAGGCAGACGTCCAGGCAGATGATTTGGCTCATTTCGTCGTGCTACAGAATGAAATCCCAAACCCAACCGCCATCATCCACACCTTGGCCTCTTCATATCCTAACGTTAGGATCTTCTACAACCCATCTCCATTGCCTGCAAGAAAGGCCGGATACAATCAGGACTTCCTCTCGGCTTTGCATGAATCTCACTACTTGGTTGTCAACGAGCACGAGTTGGCCGGACTTGTGAAAAACTTCCACCCTAACCCCGACCGTGAGCCTCTCACACTATTGAGCAACACCTCTAACTTTGAGCCACATTCGGATTACGCCGACCTGGTGAACCTCAACATAAAATTGATGACAAAGCTACGTACATTGCTCACCAAGCCATCTCTTATTGTCACCTTGGGCCCGGCAGGTATTTTGTACTCCGAAGAGGGCAAGTTCAACTACGCCTACATCCTTGCTGAGGAAGTGGACAGCGACGACATTGTCGACACTACAGGTGCAGGTGACACCTTCTTGGGTGCCGTGGTCACCTCTGTCTACCGGAATGAGACTTTAGAGTCCGCCGTCAAGTTCGCTGCCCGGGCGTCGGCAGAAACCATCAAGTCCAGAGGTGCTGCAGAGAGCATGCCATACTGGAAGGACGTCGAAAAGCGTGGATGGTTATTGTAATCGACCCCTGTATAGTTTAGTTTAGTTTAGTTAAGTTAAGTTCATTACATCTCAACAGTGAATGCAGTCTTGTCCTGTTTTATTGCTAGCAAACAACTTCTTGCCTCCAACCCCGCGCGTGCCAATAAAATTTCTCGGAGTACAGAGAGTCGCAGTATGATTTTTATTTTCGGAGGTGAACTCCGATGAAACAGAGCAAAAGTGTCCTGTTCTGTCAGTTGGTTCTTTGCAAAAATTTATTCTGTTGAAGCTCAAGATAATACATTTATTGGACTGATCAACACAGAACATGAGCAATCAGTATACTCGGGAAATAGCGGTAACTGGTGGCGAGGGAGGAAAGATAGTGGGAGATCAATCATGTCTGATAGTCGTGGTTGATATGATATGATAGGACATTGATCCATCTCCGTTTTCCCAAGAATCCTCCTTTTTGCTATACAGCTGTTACTTTGTTACATAGCAGTTTGTGAAAGACAGCGCGATGATGTTCAAAGACACGAGCAATAACACCAGTTCCGAGTATGCACCGGGTGAAACAAGTGTTCTGAGTGATCTGGATCACCCCGAATATCTGTCCCATAGCGTTGGAGATAGATACAGAGCGGAGAAAGCTGAGGCCTTCCTATGGAATGTTGTTGAGAATCCGGTGGATCTCGATCCAATCATAAGTGGGGAAGGCATGCTGGCCTCAGACGATTCGGAGATGCAGAATTGGATCACCTCCACGTCGGAGGCATCTTCGGTATCCCCATCAAGTTATTTTGCAGTCATGAATGGGACAGACATGTTTGAGTCTCATCTTTTCGGGCATTTTGATCCGTACGATCAGGAAACTGTGAATCTTCCAGAACACCGAGCAACTCTCACAGTAGACGATATGGACTTTTTAGAGGTGACCTTCGACGAAGCCCATGAGTTCATAAAGTCCGAAGAACAACAGCGGTTACATTTACCCACCCCGCCTTTAAGCGAAAGTTCCGAATTAAGAGGTTCTTCGCAATTGGAAGAGACTCATTCGAAAGCAAAGTCTTTGGAAGTGAGACCCGAAGCGGGTGAAGCAAAGGTAGAAATAAAAGATGAAATTTTGGTAGAAGAGGATGAAGAGGAGCAGAGGTCAGAGATGATAATGCCAAAGAAGGGGAAGCGTACAGTCGTGCTTTACCCTAATGAGATTCTTGAGCGAGCCAGAAAATACACGAATACCGTTCAGGAAGCTAATCGCAATACAACGAAGATTAAAGGACGGGACATTAGGCTCCTACAACAATCGGCAGCAGCCGGGAGAGTCTCCATTGGTAGTTCTGTGTACACCATTGTCCCCGAAAGCGAGTGGAAGATCAACTACATGTTATATCTGATTCCGAATGGGTACGTGTCTTCGGTTTTTCTTGTGAGTTTTCTGAAATCGATGGTGGACGATGTATGGGTATACTACGACAATATCAACGAGCAGCCGCATTTTGCCTTGACCAACGCCAAGCTCCCGTTCAGATACTGTAACCAAGTTGCCAACTACTATGAGCCGTTCATCATCCGTGAAAAAAGGAAGGACGGAAGGATATTAACAAAGGAGGAGAAACGGGCGAGAAGTGACCGGCGAAGCAGAGGCAAAAGCAAAGATGACTCTCTTTTCCACATCGAGGCGCTCTGCCCTTACTGTCCGATCAAGTTTGACAATGTCAACAAGTTCGATGACTACTTTTACGGAAGAAACGACTCCGACTACCTACACCATGTAACCAAGCACCACGGAGTCTACTCGGATGGCAGTGAGCACGCTCTACCTGACTTGGTTCTCCTCGACGGCAGAGGCCGGTTCTATGCGCATTGCGAGGAATGTGAGGAGCTTGTCAAAATCAAGGACCCTACGGGGGAGGAAATTGTTGGGAACAGGTTTCTTGGGTACTTACGACACTGTCTCAAGCACAGGAACCGGTGCAAGAACGGCAGTGGTGAGAGCCGGCTCAGGCGCCGGGAGAGAGTTGTTGAGAACGCAGCCAGGAGAAACCTTCTTTACGAAGATGGGGACAAAGGTGAGTTGTTGGTCCACAGCAGAATTGGCGCTGCGACGTGATGTTGGTTGTATTTTCCCGAGACGGTGCGTTTGGGAAGGGGTCATTGCTTAAGACCCGTTGGGTATGTACGTTGTACTATTATATTAGTTGTTTTGTAAATTATGAGTGTATATTATACATATCATTAAATATGTGTGTTTAAAATAGGAAAGTGACAAGTTTGTTTCAGCTCTAACTGTTGGGTGTTACAAAAGTCGGAAATTTTTGTCAGACGTTCCCCAGAATTTATAATAAGATTGGAGCGCAGTTACGTAAGCGGTGATGTGTAAAATCAATGTAATGCTAGCAGTTATTATTGATCAAGCTATACAAAAGAAAGGGGGGCATATAATCAAAGAGAATAGAATGAAATAGATAAAACAGATGAAACGGGTGAAAGTAAGTTAAAGTAAAATAAAAGAAGAAGAAATGAAGGGTAATAGAATTTGTTTTTCAATTTGTTTTTTCTCAAGCTGGACTGAGTTTTGGAAAAATGAGTTTATCGTATCATTGATGCTCGTGTACGACAGGGTGGTGGATTGAGCTCATATCCAAGGCCTCTGGAAGGTCCAGTCCGAGGGACTTGACGGGCGGGAGTGTCGTCGACGTGTTAGTGGCTGTGGTGGACGCGGTAGTGCTAGGTGTGTAGGAGTGTTTCACGTTGACGAAGCTGGACACGGGGGAAAGGCCTGTCGGAGAGGTGGAGGGGCTGTGCAGTGGGGTGGTGGCCAAGCTGTTGGGGATGCTCTTTGGCGGCTGGGTCATGGTAAGCGGGAGGGACATGGCGAGCGAGGAAGGTGGGTTGTTAGCGAAGCGGACCGTAGTGAAGGAGGAGTGGTGGGAAAGCAGCGGGGGGCGGGAGGGTGTGGAGACGGGCGTCGGGATGATGGTGGGTGTTGCCGCGGAGAGGGAGGAGTCTGAGCCGGAGACGGAGAGCTTGGAAAAGGAGAGGGGTGCCGGAAGGGTGGTCATGGCGGTGAGGGTGTCGATGGAGGGGAGGGTTGGGGAGGGGTTGGAGGCGGCAGCGGCGCTGGTATGGTCGTCGAAATACTGCGAGAGGCTGGGGAGAGACTTGACGTACTGGAGGTTGCCTGCCGAGGAAGATATGAGGGCGTAGGCGGCCTGGGCCTGTGCGGAGGAGACGTCTGTAGAGGACACGCCTGTGTCGCTGGTGAATGCGGCGGACGACGCTGGGTCTGCGGAGCGTTGCATGTTTTCGAGCTCCTTGGAGGCGGCGGAGGCTAGCACCTGCATGAAGTCCGGCCGGCTCTGGTGCTGCTGGTGTTGGTGCTGGCTCTGCAGGCCGCTGCCCCTGTCGTCGTGCGAGTGCTTGAGAAGCTTGGACGCCAGCTGCTGCTGCTGCTTCTGGATCTTGTGTTTGCGGGCCAACTTGGTGGCGGACCCGGACCTCTTGAGGCCGCCGCCGGCGGCCGGGACCGCGGAGGGCGGCGCAGCCGGGGTGCCCGTGCTGCCGCTGGCGGAGCCGTCCTTGTTGAGGTAGATCAAGTTCGACATCGACTTGGAGTGGGCGTTGTGGCGGGAAAGCGGGTTCGAGTGGATCCTCGAGTGCCGGGTCAACTCGTCCGAGCGGGAGAAGCGCTTGAAGCACCCGGGGAAGTTGCACTGGTGGGGCTTTTCGCCCGTGTGTGTTCGGATGTGGCGGGTCTGGTGCTCGAGCCGGTTGAACGACTTCTCGCACAGCGGACACTTGTAGGGCCGGGGCTGCGCCGCCGGCGCCGCCGGCGTGCTGCTGCCGGCCGTCGTGGTGGTCTTGGGGTCGTCTGTTCCGGCCATGCTGGGTGTGCCGCGGGGTTGTTGTGGGGAAGGGGGTGTTCGGCTGCAGGCGCTTTGGCGGATGGACCGGGGCAACACGCAAAACGAGGGACGCTGCTGGCTGCTGACTGCTTCTGGGTGTCGCCGGGCACTCACGGCGGTCTTTGCACTCCACCAGCTGTCCACAGACACCACCACCCCGTGTTCTGGATCCCCAGAGCATCGTCTCAGACCCGCTGCAATCGGCACAACCCCACACTTCGGAAACGTCTCGCCCTGCCTCTCCCTCTCGCCTTCTCGCGCCCGCGGCTTCCCCTCGTTTTTTCCCCTGGCGCGCGCAACGAAGAAAAAGGGGGGGGGGAAAGCGGGCGCGAGTTTCCGCCGTATTACGTAAGCGGCTTCACGGAGAAACCTTTTGCCGCGGAAAAACTCCGCGCCCCGCGCACCCGTGCACCCTTTCCCCGCATTTATCCGGCGGTGGGGGGAGCGACGCGTCGCTCGCGTTCTCCGGGCCCAGGCGTCCTTCCGCCCGGGACGCCTTTCCCGGCACACATAAGGAAGCACCCGTGCACCGAAGTGTGACTCTTGCCGGGCCCACGGCTGGGCGGTCTGGGCCGTGTGGACCACGTTGATCCGTCCGAGATGCTCAGCGAAAGACGGAGGCAGAGACAGCCAGACAGACAGAGACGGAGAGCGGGCTCATGAGAATGCTCAGACCGTTCCTTAGTTTGTGGCAAATGTGGTGGGCGTGGACTTGTCTGGTGTGTTGCAGTGCTGTATTCTTGTTTGTTCTATTCACTTATTGTGAATTTCTTGTTGGTTCTTCTCAGGTCTTCTAAGTTCTTCACCGGTCTAGCACAATTTCCCCCCCTCAGTAACCACACACATACTACCCGTTCCCGACATGTCCGACTTCACCACCAAGGCAGTCGACACCATCAGAGTGCTCGCAGCAGACACCGTCGCCAAGGCCAATTCGGGCCACCCGGGCGCCCCTATGGGGATGGCACCAGCAGCACACGTGTTGTTCTCGCAGATGAAGACGAACCCTAAAAACCGCAAGTGGATCAACAGAGACCGGTTCGTGCTCTCCAACGGCCACGCAGTGGCGCTCTTGTACGTGATGTTCCACCTGATGGGCTACCCGATCTCCATCGAGGACCTCAAGCAGTTCAGACAGCTCCACTCCAAGACCCCGGGCCACCCGGAGTCGGGCACGCCGGGCATCGACGTGACCACGGGTCCGTTGGGCCAGGGGATCTCGAACGCCGTGGGCATGGCCATTGCGCAGGCCAACTTCGCCGCCAAGTACAACAAGCCTAACTACAAGATCTCCGACAACCACGTCTACTCCTTCTTTGGAGACGGCTGCATGATGGAGGGTGTTGCGTCCGAAGCCTGCTCCTTGGCCGGCCACTTGCAGTTGGGCAACTTGATTGCCTTCTACGACGACAACAAGATCTCCATCGACGGTGCCACCAGCCTGGCCTTCACCGAGGACGTCGGCGCCAGATTGACCGCCTACGGCTGGCAGGTCCTCGAGGTGCCCGACGCAGACACCGACTACGAGGCCATTGCCAAGGCGCTCGAGAAGGCCAAGGCCACCACCAACAAGCCTACCTGCATCAAGATCACCACCACAATCGGCTTTGGCTCCTTGAACGCAGGCAGCGCCTCTGTCCACGGCTCCCCATTGAAGCCAGACGACATTGTCCAGTTGAAGAAGAAGTTCGGCTTCGACCCTGAGAAGTTCTTCGACGTCCCATCCGACGTCTACGACTACTGGAGACTCATTGCCGACAAGGGCGAAAAGGCCAACCAGGAGTGGGACTTGATGTTCGAAGCCTACTGCCAGGAGTACCCTGAAGAGGGCGCAGAGATCTCCAGAAGATTGTCCGAAAAGTTGCCTGAAAACTGGGAAAAGCTGCTCCCAGTATACACCCCACAGGACAAGGCTTTAGCCTCCAGAAAGATGTCCGAGATTGTTCTCGGCAAGCTCGAACAAGCCTTGCCAGAACTCATTGGTGGTTCTGCAGACTTGACGCCTTCCAACTTGACCAGATGGACCGACGCCGTCGACTTCCAACCTCCAGCCCTCGGCATCGGCTCCTACGCCGGCAGATACATCCGTTACGGTGTCCGTGAACACGCCATGGGTGCCATCATGAACGGTATTGCCGCTTACGGCGCCAACTTCAAGGCCTACGGTGGTACCTTTTTGAACTTTGTTTCCTACGCCGCGGGCTCCCTCAGACTCTCGGCCTTGTCCGGCCACCCAGTCATCTGGGTCGCCACGCACGACTCCATCGGCCTGGGTGAGGACGGACCAACCCATCAGCCAATCGAAACCCTGGCCCACTTCAGAGCCATTCCAAACTTGATGGTCTGGAGACCAGCCGATGGTAACGAGGTTTCCGCAGCATACAAGGTTGCCCTCGAGTCCACCGTCACCCCATCCGTCATTGCCTTGACCAGACAGGGCATCCCACAGTTGGAAGGCTCCTCCATCGAAAAGGCTGCCAGAGGTGGTTACGTCCTATCCGACGTCGAGAACGCAAGATTGATCTTGGCCGCCACCGGTTCCGAAGTCTCTCTTGCCGTCGACGCCGCCAAGGAGCTCACAGCCGGAGGCTTGCCAACGCGTGTTGTCTCCTTGCCAGACTTCTTCACCTTTGACCACCAGTCCGCCGACTACAAGAAGAGCATCTTGCCAGACGGCATCCCTGTCCTGAGTGTTGAAGTCATGACCACTTTCGGCTGGGGCAGATACGCTCACGCCCACCTGGGTCTCGACCACTTTGGTGCCTCTGCACCTGCCAAGGACATCTTCAAGGCCTTTGGTTTCACCACCGAAGACGTGGTCGCCAAGGCCAAGAAAGTCGACGCTTACTACGCCGACAAGGAGGTACTCTCCAGACTAGACGGTCCTTTGTCTTACTAAGTGCCCCCTTCTCCTTTAACGACTCTTTACACCTCTTATCTATACTTTGACGTATCTTTATAGCCATCTTTTATTAACAATCGTAAATAATACTAATAATATCATCGTACTCAATTCGTTTTCTAGCCATGCGCCACGCGTGCGCCACGTAAGCCTATCCACCTTCTTGCATGCGCCACCTTCTGCTCTCTTGCGATCTCTTCGTCGTCGGTCTGGACATGTCAGGGCAGCAAGAGATAAACAGCACACGTCGATAACCTATCCTGGTTGTAGCAGCACCAGTCTCCCTGCTGCTCTACCCTCCATTTGTAGAGACTCTGCCAACACACCGCCAGAAATGTCCCACAACAAGTCACAGGCTACCACAGTGAAAAATAGGGCCCGCTTGATGCAGCTGTTGCAGGAGCCGTGCAACAAGCATTGTGCCGATTGCAAAACGTCTAGGAATCCAAGATGGGCGTCGTGGAACCTCGGCATGTTCATCTGCATTCGGTGCAGTGGGATCCACCGGTCTCTTGGAACACACATCTCCCGCGTGAAGAGCGTCGACTTGGACTCGTGGACCGACGAACAAACCGAGTCCATGTGCTCGTGGGGGAACAAACGGGCCAATGCGTACTGGGAGTCCAAGTTGAAGCCACGGTCACAGAACGAGGTCGAAATGGGTGGCTACATCCCGCTGGATGGCAAAGTGGAGAGCTTTGTGCGGACAAAGTACGTTTTGGGCAAGTGGAAAGATGACGGGCCAAGAGAGGCCTCGAGATACCAGAATGTCAAGGCCGGATCCGTGACAACTTCTAGTGCCTCGACTACCGCTTCAAATACTGCCACACAGCAATCGAGTACAGACTCCGACCCGCTTTCCTCCTTGTTGGATATTGGGTCTTCACGTGCTACTACGTCAGTCGGACAATCCCCATCGTCGTCATCCCTACCAGACCGTCCTACCAGCGTGAACAGATCACGTACAAACCCAACATTGTCGCTTTTAGAACAACATTCCGGACCTTCACCAAGCGAGAGCGTTCATTTACAACAGCAGCAGCAGCAGCAGCAACGAATCAACGGTAGACCAGACTTGAAAAAGAGCATCTTGAGCCTGTACTCCTCTCCTAGTCCTTCTGCAAGCAACGTGTCGTTGGGCGGCGGGTATTCCAACAACATCAGCAATATCAACCGAACAAACTCCAACACAGGTTCCAGCGTGAACTCCACTTTCTCTAACATTAACACCCCTTCTGCATCTTCTAATATTTGGGGTTCCACTAGCAATACAGCAGCAGCTACCCCCTCCACCCAGAATAAAAACATTGTCGGTGAAGATCCATTCAGAAACGTTTGGAACTAGGTGTTACACTCTATATAAAGTTTATGTATTCATGTAGGCAAGTAATCCAATTACCTATGCATCATTTTCATTGCAGCACGTCAATATCCAACTCGTCCCATCATTTCAACGATCTTTGCCTCAATTTCGGGAACAGTTCTCTCCAGTGCCTTGGCAATCTCACCCTTGGTCTTGTCGTCAAGGCTGAAGTAGTCCTCAACAACATCACCATCGATGCACGCTCTTTTAGGAACGTAATAGCTCCGGAATTTCAAAATATCCCTCTCGGCAAGCATCAATTGCCTGCTCTCGTCTATTGAATCATGTTGCCCAAATTCGTCGATCTTCATCCCCTGCAGCACGTTTCTCATGAGCTTTTCCAACTCTCGAAAGAAGTTCACTTCCTTCATGGTTTTCACAGCACTAAATACACCAATTGTACCGTTTATACCTCCATAAACAACAGCATCTTCACCCCCAACGCCGATTTGTCCACGGAATAAACCCACAATAACATCTCCAACGTAGAAACTCATCAACATGTCAAACTTGATGTTGTCCTTCAAGTTGTTTCCTTTCCTACCATGGCCCTGCTCAATTTCCAAGTTCGAAACAGGATTCCTCAACACTGTCACTGTGCCAAATTTATCTCCAACGATAATGGTATCGTGATCGAGCACAAAACCTCTGGTTATGTGGCGGTTGATGCAATCATCAACAACTGGGACAAGTGAGTTGGAATCTGCTTGATACAAAACAATCTGAACACTGGATCTGATGTCACTCACAAAAAGTCGGAACCCAGAACTCTTGATATCAACTATATTTGTTATCCCATGCTCTTCCATCCTCAAACCTGACTTCCTTAGCATCTGTAGTTTTCCAAGCTCATAGATACCCAATTCGTCCCCGAATCCAAGTACCACACGACCCTGGAATGCATGAATAGCTAAAATAGGCCTTGGAAATTCTTGCTTGTACACAAATTGCAAACTACCATCTTCCTCAATATGATAAACACGAATAAAACATTTCTCATGTTTCTTTCCCTCTCCAATCGGGTTGAATTTGATAATTGTACTCACTAAGAGATAGTCTCCAACTTTGTGATCATGTTCAAGTGTAGCAGCTCCAAGTCTATGAGCTGTCTGGTTGCCCAATAATTCAATAGTTTGCCCGATTGCACAATTTTCAGTTGAGAAAACATGGATACACGATGCACAATCACCATCTGTACTCTTGGAATAACCAAAATTTTGTAATTTTTCAAATTCCTCGGCATCATTATCTTCAATATTGCCATACGTAACCATCTCGTCTACATCTTTGTTTGCCTCAGTACTTTCCTTAGGTTTATTAAACATTGATTTAATATCCAAATCGGAACAAGCAATATAGCTCATCTTGTATTCATTATTTACCGAATCACAAACGGCTCTTGGGGTATACCTCATCGGTATACTTTCAATATTATCTAGCTTCTTCAGCTTATTGATCACACATGTTTGGCAGTCGCCATTATGCTTATCATCTACGGCATTGAAAAGAGGCAATGATGCAATAGTTAACTTTTCCCCATGCGCAAGTATTAAACCTTGAGGGACATCTGCCGAATGAAGAGGCACAACACATCCATATGTCTTAGAATAGGTTGTTTCTTCTGCTTCTTCGTCTTCATCTTCATTTTCGTTCTCAACAAATTTTTCTGCAATCGGAAGGGGAATTAACTTGATATCCTCATTAGAACCTGGTATTACCAAAAATGACAGGAGAGATCTGATTGCAGCAACAGTAACGGATTCTCCAACTTTGTTTGTCACTCGAATAGGTTCAATCATCAATGGAGAAGCCATAACATATTTCATATTGGGTTTTATAAGCTCACCTTCATCGGTGAGAATATAACGCACGTAAATACCATTCTGCAAACCTACGTGAACAAAATTTATGATTTGACTATTTCTTTTCAACGATATATCTTTCATTTCATCATAATCTTCGTCTTCATCTGTGTAGTCTTCTATGTTACTTGAAAATGATGTTATTGCTGTAGAGGAGGCAGTAGAGTACAGTTTTGTGGTGTATTTGGTCTTCATTGTTTCCTTAGGATCTGTTGATAAAACATGGATACTCGCATCTTTACACGTTACAATGATGAAGGGAGAACGAAGTCTTCCCTTCGGTATATCTCCCAACGAGATTGAGGTGATGGATGCGTTAAACTCTTTGTGTAACGAAAACTCCACCAAAGCATCACCAGTGGGAGAGGTTTCAAAATATACGACGTCTCCATTAGATAGTGCCAGTGCAACTTGCGTATTAGTGCATGATGAAAATAAAACTTCAATCCCTGGGGGTGGGTTCCAGTCAATAGATTTGACTGGCTCATCATCTTCTGAGTAGAATATCTGTTTCAAACCGGTTGCATGAATTTGAACTATGGAGTCTGATCCAGTTTGACATGCATCCAAAGTTGTAATGGTATCAATAAACCCTGAATTTTCTGCTTCTTCTACCTCTTCTCCAATACTCAAAATTATTGAGCCATCAAAGAAAGATAAAACAATGAATCGATCATATTGGTCCTTCTTGTGAATTTTACACGTAAACGCTTTCATGATCTTCGAAGGAAGCTCCTGAGTTACTATCTCAGATAGTGGAATACTCTTGTGTAGAACTTTAATGGCAGATCTAGGGCCCGATCCAGTTATGGAATATAATTCTGGTAATGAAGATACCAAGTCACCACTGATGAGTTTGACATCCATCATTGGGCTTAAGCTACTGTTAGCCTCAACCAATCTGATATTGTCAAAGGGCTTCAAGTCAAAAGCAACACCTTCATTCTCTTCTTCCAAAACCGCTTGCTCGTCTGGATAATCTTCTGAATTCCACTCTTTTTCATCAGAGCCATTACCTAGCTTTTCAAACTGGTAAATATATTGATCACCTTGCTCACAATCTGCATATAAAAATCCACTCTTCAGGATTAGTAGGGAGGTACAAATAGGAATGGTGTCAAAATACCTGATTCTTATGGATGTTACCATACCAGGTCCAACGTCATTCCCTATAACATCATATTTCGTTTCTTGTGTCGTAGTATAATCCAAAGTGACCTTGAATAAATCTCCGAATTGATTCTGGAGTAGAATGAAAAATGCGTTTTTCATTTTATGTACTACACTACTGACGATTATCGATTTAGTAGATGTATCTTTTCCTCTTGTTGGAATCGGAGCATAGTGCGTTGGCTTGAACGGGCACTTATATTGTATCATACCTTCGGAACATACTAGCACTCCACTTGGACCATCATACCCACCTGGAATAGCAACAAGGTAATTGCTTTTGGAGTTGATTGTTTCACTTTCACTGAGTATTACATGATTCAAACCTAGATCAAACTCATAATAGTTCAGCAATTTGACAATCTTCGGAGCTTGGGCGCTATAATCGGTTTCGATTGCAGCAAATATAGGATTTTCAAAACCAGAATCCATAGCAACCATGGTGTATGTTAAAAGATGGTTTCTATTTGCTTCAAGTGGAGACATCACTACCAATCCGTTGGAATGGCTGTTATCTCGGGCAAATGTGTATACCAACTTATTACGTTCGATAGCCCCTATCATAGCTGCTCTACCATTGGGATCGACAGAAATATATTCTCCAGGAGATAGTCGACGAACTCCGGTCTTGTAAAACGTTTCGCTTCTGACGGCAGTGAATTTGTTGTTAACTGAGTCGAATTCAATGATGGATAGTGTACCACTATCTGAAGTAAGAAGTATAAGATCTTTGGTAGATTTTACTACTTTGAATGAAGCAATTGCTCTTATATTACAATAAGCATTCTGAACAACTAGCCTTGATACTTCACTTGTACTTTTGTTGAACTTCCATAATTCTAAAGTTGTCTGTGTAGCTCTAACAATTTCTTGTGATTTCCTTGATCCTGAAAAATTACCAATAATCGAACTAAGTCCAGATGATGGTTGTCTCAACGTTCGGTGATACAAAGAGAAGGTTGGATTGATATCTGCCATTGCTATAGTGAAGTGCTGACTTCAGACAACCTTACTATTGTCATAACCTCAAACAAAACAATAGTGTAGGTAGCATCAAGCTGATAAAACTTAGAGGTTTGAAAAACCTTACTCTTTGCAAAATGATTACGTCAGCAGTTGCCATGAAGTGAGACTCTCATTGTTGATGTTTACTTTCAGCGGGTTTCAGATCTACAAAGGCGTGTTCTTTTAGTCATGAACTTGTATCAAATCAAGGGAAAAAAATCCTAGAATACACTTAACAGCAGGCAGGCAGAACAATGAGAAAACCTGCAATAAGTGAGATTCCAGAAGCTGGCTACGGCTCTTCCAATCAAAACCGCAAAGACGGAGATTTGAGTGATGGCCTGGACGCCAGCGATAGTGACAAGGAAGAAAGTAATGTAGAAGATGAAGATGGTGAGGAAGAGGATGAAGATGAGGAAGAAGAAGAAGAAGTGTATGAAGATGCCGTTGATGGAGATAATGAGAAAGCCAACGGTGAGAATGAAGAAAACATTGACGAAGACGATGAAGACGATGAAGACATTGATCAGGCGATAGCAAAAGCTGACAAACCACGCAATAAGAAAGAGACAACGCAGAAGCAACGTCGCCAGTATTTGAATCAGATTCTCAACATATCGACGCTTGAAGATTTACAGCTGATCATGCGCAAGGCTTTCCAAGAAGCCCAAACTACTGTTGCTGTACATAAACGGCAACTTGCAATCATGAGGGCCGTAATATTACGTGCAAACACGCTAGGTTTAACATCGGATTTCAACTCATTTTTTTGCCACCTTATAAGTAAGGTTCTCCCGATGAAGAAGAATGTTAAAGCCGCTGATAGGATTGTGAAGTTCATCTCATCGTTTTTTTCGCTAATTAATCCAATGAGAGTCGAAGAAGAGGAAGATCTTGAAAGTGATATTGAGAACAGCCAAGAGATGGAAGAACTTTATTCACTTTTTGTTGAAAAGGTGTTGAAGTTTTTACTCGGTGGGCTAGATGCGCTGAATACCACTGTTAGGTTCCGTATATGTCATCTACTCTCACACATAATTGGAAATTGTGGTGGTATAGATGAGGATTTATACGAGACTTTGTCTGATGAGCTGACAACCAGAATATATGATAAAGATGCATCAGTGCGCATAAAAGCGGTAACGGCGCTAGCATGCTTCCAGAACGATGACAGAGGTTCCCTTTCTTTGGCCGGTAAGAAATTACGATTTACCATGCAGAATGATTTGAATTCTGAGGTTCGCAGAGCATGTTTGAGAAACATAGAGAAAAACAGATTTACCGAGCCATTCATTGTTGAGCGTGCTAGGGATGTTGATACTACGAACCGGCGGTTAGTTTATTCCAAGATTTTACCTGGTTTTCAGAAGATTACGGATATTAATTCTGCAAATCGTAACCGATTGCTGGAATGGGGACTAAGAGATAGGGACGCTACGGTGAGAAAAGCAGCCACAAATTGGTTAACAGAAACTTGGATGCGTGACACCAACAATGACTTGGCTGAATTTTTAGAGAGACTTAATGTGACAGAAAGTGATATTGCCGAGACAGCGGTAAGAGCATTACTGGATAAGAAGCCAGACATAGTGAATAATTTGAAGCTAGAATCCGACTTTTTTGACAACTTGACTCCATCTTTGGCATTAATGATACGCGTTGTTTTTGAGTATTGTCATGATAATCGCAAATCTGACATTATTGAGAATCTATTTATGGAGGCTGCCGATTTTGCTTCATTGTTTGTCAGATATTTTAGACTGAGAACGGAGAATTTGCTGAAAATCAGTGAAAATAGAGAAGAGATTGAAAAAAATCCCGAATTTGCCATTGAATTGGGCATCATTGATCCTGACGAATATAACTACATTATCATGCAACTTCTGAAAATTGCGGTAGATTACGATTACAGCGATGAATTCGGAAGAAGTAAGATGTACAGCATTTTGAGGTCGACCCTAAGCAATAATTCTGTCACTGAACCGATATTGCCCTTGCTGATGGAATGTTTGAGAAAGTTGGCCATCAATGAGCGTGACTTCTGCCAAATGACCGTCGAGATTATCAATGATTTGAAAGATTCAGAGTACGAGAGGATAATGAACTTGAAGAAGCAAGAAGAAGACAATAGGAAAGCTGAAGAGGAGGCACTGACGAAGAGTAGACGAAGGAAAAGGGGCGAATTTGATGATGAGAATGGGGAAGATAGTGATACCGATGAAGTTGACAAATTAAATGCCAAGGTTCAACGGATGTTAAAAGAGTCCGATGATGACGAAAATGATGAAGACAGTGATTATGAAGAGTATCATTCCGCAATGAATGATATGTCAAGGCAATCAATCATTGAAGCTAACAAATCAAGACAAGAGGAAATTGATCAAGTTTCCGTTTTGTCACCTGATATCATCACGGATTGTCTAACGATAACCAAGTGCATGCTTCAGTTGGTGTTTTCACCATTAAGGGAGAATATGCTACTTATTTCCTTGCTTGATAATTTTATTGTTCCATGTGTGAATCAGAGGTCAGAGGTTACTGTGCGAGAATTAGCTTTGACATGTCATGGGCTCTGTGGCCTCTTGGACAAGGAGGTTGCCGTCTCAACGATGGTTGTCGCTGGTATTTTCGTGACTAGAAGTGACCATGAATCTTTCGTTGTGACTGGTTTGAAAGTCATAGGTGATTTACTGACAATCCATGGAATATCTATTCTCCAGAGTGAAAATCAACGAAGTATTGATTCCATGGCTGTCGCTAAGGTGTTCTACCGTACGTTGAAGGATGAAAGCAAACCAGAAGCGCAGTCTATTGTGGCAGTGACGTTGTTCAAATTATTCCTCTGTGGCGTGATCAATGATGACGAACTTTTTGAGACAACACTATTAACCTACTTCAACCCTAAAGTCAATAAAAACCCAGCATTGAAGCAATGTCTAGCATTTTGTATTCCAACATATTCATTTTCACATGAAAACCATCAAGAGTTGATAGCAAGCATTGTGTATGATACCATCGAGAGACTATATAAAGATTGGGATGACATTGTGAGTTTGAACCATTCATTGGAGATCAAGCAACCCGTTACTGCTAATTTCATCATTGAAAGTTTACTGTATTGGACTGATCCTTACAATCGCGCGTTGGCAAGTGAAGAAGAGATGGAGAGCAGCTCACTACATCTTGATGTTGGAATCCAGTTGATGCGGCTTCTCAAGAAATACGACTACCAGAATAAGACGCATAAAGCGCAATATAAACCGATAATAAGGTCCCTAACAAAGCTAACTTTCACATCCAAAGCAAATATCGAAAAGTTACGTAAATTTAGAGAATGCTTTGATGATGATGAGTTGTGTCAGGGGGATTTGGATGAGGTACTGAACTCAGACTTGATCTGCAAGAACAGTTTCCTGAAATGCCATACTTACATTCAGGAATGTTTGGCTGAGGCAGAAGATAGGGAGCGTGAAAGACTTGAAAAAGAGGCTGAACTTGTTTCACAACGCAGTGTAAAACAAGAAGAGACACAGGAGCAAAATAAAGAAGGCCAACAGGAAAAGGAAGATAAGAAAGAAAGGATAAATGAAGAGCATCAAAGTGAAGGAGAGGATGTGGTGTCCGATACTCATGAAAGTGATGCATTGAATCCGGAAGCACAGTCCAGTATGATTATCGGAGTAGAGGAGTCCGAATCCGAAGCAGAACCTAAATCAGATCCTTCACAGGCAGAAGTAGAATCGGAGGTTGAGGACATAGATGTTGAATCAAAGAGTGACTCATCCTTTGAAGTGCTTGGCGATTCGACTTACAACGACTCAGGTGTCAAAGCCGAACCGGAACCAGAAACGAAGAAGAAGAAGAAGAAGAAGGAAGCAAGAGTGAAGAAAGATGTTTACGTAAAACAAGAGAGGAAGACCTCCGGGGCAGCAAAAAAGAAAACTGTTGCCAGGGAGGGCCGTGTGCAGAAGCCCGAACACCGCAACAGCAGCAGAGGCAAGAAGAACAGATGCAAAGATAAGGAGGAGAGCAAAGACGTAGAAGTTAGCAGCAGTCCAGACATGCAACAGCTGTATTCTCCCTCTCCTCCCCCGGTCGTCAGCCACCCAGACACCTCCGAAATCATCCTTCTCGACTCTGACTGAAAAAACGCAATTTTGAAGAAAAAAATTTGCGGGTATAAAAGACTGTTTCTGCCCTGCCTCGTTGCCGCCGTGGAATAAGCATACATCTCTGCGGGTTGTTAACGCATGCGTTGACTTTTGCTATTTTGTATAACAAATAATTAGAGTCCAATAGATAACAGATATATACAGCAATGGGTTTGTCCTTTCAAGCGTCCAATGCTATCATATACTTGTCATATGGGGCCATGCTTGTCTCAGGCGTGGCTATTGCAGTGTACCAATTGAGGAGAGTTTCAAAGAATTCAGAGTTTCTCTCGTCAAATGGTTCCCGTACCGGTATTCCTTTGTCACTTAATTTCATTGCTTCAGGTTAGTATTGATCTCAACGTTCCGTGGTAGTGTAGAACAATACAGATTGATTTAGAATTTTGATTTTTCAACAACAGCAACATCAACAGCAACATCAATAGCAACAGCAATAGCAATAGCAGTAGCAACATAGCTCAAGGCTGTCTACTCTCCTTTCAGAACTGGAGCTTACCTTTTGTACTAACCCCTTTGACTTATCCGTCAATTCAAACGGATTCCTATATTTCACAATATAGATAAACGGGTGCCATTGTGCTGAGATTTATACCGTTTAACTCGAACAAGCTAGTACTTGCGGGAGGATTATCATATATTGTTGAAAAAAAAAAGTTTGAATCCATCTTCAGGGGTCTGACTGTTGTGGTTTCCTTACAGGAGACTCGCTGCAGTTTGACTCTTTGATTTTACTTTCACTACAGGAGAGTGATGGAGTTGACGTTTTTTGTTAGGATATTTGTTTTTGAATATTTTTGAGGTCTTACATTCTTTCTATTCTTTTTTTTGATTATCTCTCATTCACAACCTTTTTGCTCATCTTTTTTTCTTTTGATTCTCTGCTTATTTTTTTGACATTTCAAAGATAGTTCGGTTTCACTTCTTGGTCTTCAATGATCTTTATGACCCCTTTTTTAACTTTTTCTTGACTGCAACCATTTACCATGCGTTACAAAACTATTCATTTACAGTGTCTTGATAAATTACTCAAATTTGTCATATCTCTTCCTTTTTTGGCTGCATACTAACTGTAACTTTTTTTTTCTTTCTTCAGCTATGGGTGTCGGTGTTCTAACAACTTACACACAAATTGCTAATATCGCAGGTATTCAAGGTTTGCTTGTTTACGTGTTGGCAGGTGCTTTGCCAATTGTGATGTTTTCATTTTTTGGTCCACTGATCAGAAGAAGATGTCCAGAAGGATTTGTCCTTACTGAATGGTGCACACGCAGATATGGTCCTATAACTGCTTTGTGTCTATCTGCTGCAACTGTTTTCACCATCTACTTGTTTATGGTGTCTGAGTTGACTGCTGTTGGTGATGCCATAACTGCTTTAACGGGCATTGATTCCACACCCTGTGTGGTTGTCGAGTGTATTGTCACTACCATATACACGTCGATCGGTGGTTTCGGTGTTTCATTCACCACAGACACTATCCAAGCCGCATTTGTTTTGGTCATCACTGTCATAGGTATCATTGGTTATGCCACCGAGGTCGACATCAACATGGATCTCAAGCGTGAAACTTACCATGAGTTGACCGGCTCTAACAAATTGGGCTGGATGGTTTTCTACATTCTCAATATGGCAATCCTCACCAACGATGCCTTTATGTCTGGTTTCTGGCTTCGTACTTTTGCTGCGAAGACCGATAAGGATTTGTACGTTGCCACAGGAATTGCCGCATTTGTTGTCTCAGTTCTTTGTACTCTGGTTGGTTTGCCTGGTATTTTAGCTGTGTGGACGGGAGACTTGACCATCGGAGATACAGAAGGTTCCAACGCTTTCTTCATTCTCATTGGTAAAATGCACAAATGGATCATTGGTGTCATTTTGATCTTCTCCGTTATGTTATCAACATGTACTTTTGATTCACTACAGTCTGCTGTTACCTCCACCATTTCAAATGACTTATTCAGAAACAAGTTCCCAATGATTTACTCTCGTGTTTTGGTTGCCATCATCATGGTTCCTGCTTTGGTTGTGGCCATCGAGTGTTCGGCAAACGTTTTGCAGATTTACTTCATTGCAGACTTGCTATCATCGGCAATCATCCCTATCATGTTTTTGGGCTTGTCCAAGCACTTTTACTTTTTGCGTGGGCTAGATGTCATTGTTGGCGCGTTGAGCGGTTTGCTTGGCGTGTTTGTCTATGGTTGTATCTACTACGGCAACGCCAAAGACGGTGGGATGTTATTACTCATTTGGAATGGTGTCTATGACCCAACTGACTGGGGTGCCTTTGGTGCCTTTGTTGTTGCACCTGTTGGTGGTGTAATTTTCGGTCTGCTTTGTGCTGCTATCAGAATCACCGTTCTCTACATGATCAGTCGCCAAAAGGGCACTGAGTTCCATGCTCTGGACAAGCCAACTACTGCCGCCTTTGGTGTCATCAGCGAAGAGGAAGGCGTCTACGAGGCTGGAGACGCTGGCGCTGAGACTGGTACATACACTGGTGAATTCGCCGGTGGTGAGGTCGATAGCACCAAGAGCGGCGACGAAGTTGGCAGTATTACCAAGTCTACCGAGGAATCCATCGATGTCCGTGAGATCTTGAGAGAGTTCAAGTGGAAGGATATGCTACATTTGCTCGTGTAGTGGAGTCCTCTTCGTAGGTACTTCTATTTTTTTAGTCTTTCTAGTTTTTTATAGCGTCAGTTTGTAATAACAGAAAATCATTTTGTGAGAAATTTTTCGTTTTCCGCATTTGACCAATTCATGTTTTCTTTCATTTCAAGTGGAGACGGAGCATGACATTTGAATAAGACGGGATTTCTGGGGAGATCTAGCCATTAGTGCTGGTGCCGGTATACTAAACGACTGAATATGAAGCTAGACTTTGATACACGGGCAAAAAAGGGCCAGAAATGGTACATTGGTCTCGGAATGGAGGGATCCGCAAATAAGTTAGGAATAGGGGTGGTGAAGCAGCCGGTCGGAAATCCGGCGATCAAGGAGAACCGTGCCGTGATCATGAGCAATGTCAGAGACACATACAATGCACCACCGGGTCAGGGGTTCATGCCTCGAGACACTGCCAGACACCACCGCAACTGGGTAGTCCGGCTCGTCAAACAAGCCATTGAGGAAGCCGGAATCACGTCAAGCGATATCGACTGCATATGTTTCACACAGGGACCAGGGATGGGTGCTCCCTTGCAAAGTGTGGTGGTAGCAGCTCGTGCTCTAAGTTTGATGTGGAAAGTGCCGTTGGTCGGGGTGAATCACTGCATAGGTCACATCGAGATGGGCCGGGAGGTGACAGGTGCCGACAACCCAGTGGTGTTGTATGTCAGTGGAGGAAATACACAGGTGATTGCCTACAGCAGACAGAGGTATCGTATTTTTGGAGAAACCTTGGACATTGCGGTCGGGAACTGCTTGGACCGGTTTGCCAGGGTGTTGAAGATCCCCAACGACCCGTCCCCGGGCTACAACATTGAGCAGTTGGCCAAAGGCGGAAGCAAGTTCATCGAGCTCCCGTACACGGTCAAGGGCATGGACTTGAGCATGAGTGGGATTTTGGAGTACATCGAGGAGATTGTGCGTCGAGGAACCGAGAAGGTCGAGGACCTCTGCTACTCCTTGCAGGAGTGTCTCTTTGCGATGCTCGTGGAGATCACCGAGCGTGCGATGGCCCACGTGAACTCCAGGCAGGTGCTTATCGTCGGGGGTGTTGGCTGCAACGAGAGGTTACAAGAGATGATGGGCATAATGGCCCGTGACCGTGGCGGACACGTCTACGCCACCGATGAGCGGTTTTGCATCGATAACGGAGTGATGATTGCCCAGGCCGGGATTCTAGAGTACCGCATGGGCGCTGAGTGTGCCGTTGAAGACAGTATCTGCAGCCAGAAGTTTCGGACCGACGAAGTCTTTGTCAGGTGGAGACAGTAGTTTCCGTAGTGTCCGTAATGTGTATACCTTTTTGTGTAGTTTTCATCTGTACAGAAATGAAATGTTGAAACAAAATTGCCGTTTTCGGTCCGCACCGCGGCCCGTGCGATTGAGATGCTGGAGACGGTGGAAAAGAAGATGGGGATGGGAAGGGAGGAAGAAGAGGTGTTGAAGCTGAAAGAGGGGAAGAGAGCAGGCTTACGGAGACAATAACAGTTTTTGGGTTCTAGATTGAACGCAGAAGGACGGAAACGGTGCATCGCATGGAGGGCATCAACACGGACATTGCGAAGCTGGCTACGACAGCGTCAGTGTTGGTCAATTCGGCAGCGGCGAATGCCAACATCAACGACATGTTGCAGAAAAGCAAGACGTATGCATCCACGTTCGAGTCTCGAGACAACAATCCAAGTACTACTATAGTAGGAACAGCGAACAAAGGGTTGATGGGGCTATTGGTAAAGCACGGGGACGACATCCGTGTGGCTCACTCCCTCAGAAGATCGAATTTCACTGGGAACGGGAAAAAGAAGAAGGATTTCAATGTTTTGTCCAATGCAATGCTCAATGAGATTGTTGATGCTTCGGAATCGGGCATCTGTGAGAGTGGCGAGAACTCAGGCGCCGCAGGAACATCAAACGGCGTGTTGGCTGATGAAGAAACATCGTTTTCGTTGTTTCAAGGATTCAGTGCTGTGCTCCCTGAAGTGGACGAAACTATTCAAAGTATCAAGAACATGTCTGGCAAAATGGTCCAAGGAGGCGACAATGAAAAGAATATAAAAAACAGTCTCAAAAACAACAAGCTGGCGAGCTCCAGATCAAAGAAAATTGAAGAGATCACCATGGAGAAGATTAAAACATGCCAGAATCAACGCGTGCTACTCAACTTCAAATCGGACATCAACTACCACCTCGACCTTTTGGAGATCCGCAAAGGTCTAGGGAAAAGTGAGATCGCAGAAATAGATGCCAAAATAGATAGACTGTACAACTTGCGTAAAGAGATTTATGACAATGTAAATTATTATGAAAAAAGTGAAATCGATCTGGAAAACAAGTTGTTAGAGATCCAGGACCGGTTGGAATTCATCAAAGATATAGAGGTTCTTAATGGCGAAAATGTAGGTGAAATGAATGGCGACGGGACTCTAGGTGAAGAGATTAGTGGAGCAGATGAATATACCAACGAAATGAATAATGATGTTAATGACCCAAACAAGAGCAGCAGCAAGATAATTTTCAAACCGAAGAACAGCAAACAGAAAGGGAAAGGCAAGTCAAAGGACAAGGGAAACGATTCTGGTATCCTCAATGATATAGAAGGAGATGAATATGATGATGACTATGTTACTGTATATATGGAGGAGGACAGCAGATCGTATTCAAGAGTCACATCCAGCACACGGAACCTCAGACCTGGAGATCAGCTCCATACGTTCCAGGCGCACAACGAGGCGATCAATTGTCTTGCCTTCAATGAACCCTTTGAAAAATTGGTGACATGCTCCATGGACAACACAGTTAGAGTTTGGGATATGAACAGGTACAAATGTGTTGGACTCCTGGAGGGACACAATGCATACGTTGATTGTGTCACTGTCAGTGATAATCTTGCCTTCACTGGTAGTATAGACGCCACGGTGAAGATGTGGGATTTAGACTACTTCAACAAATCGCATGACACCTACAGTGAGGGCGAGAGTCTAACGCCTTTGCTCAACAGCTTCGAGGGACACGTTGATGCCATCACTGCCTTGACCTACAACAACGGCGAACTGGTCACCGGTTCGGAGGATAAAACCATTAGACAGTGGGATCTCTCCACGGGACACATTCTCCAGACTATTGATGTGATGTGGGCATCCTCGATGGCCAACTCGACCATCAACTTCGGAAGCTCCAGTTCCAGCAACGCGGCATTGGGTGCTTCGAGCTCCAACATCGTTGTGAACCGTGACACCCAGTACCCATATCTCTCGTGCATGCAGGTATTCGACGCCGCGTTGGCAAGTGGTGGCAGCGATGGTATAGTCAGGCTCTGGGATCTCAGAAGCGGAGAGGTGATCAGACAGCTGTTTGGCCATACGGGTGCTGTAACCACTCTTCAGTTCGACAAAACCTTCAGTCTCATCACCGGAAGTGCCGACCGCAGTCTCAGGATTTGGGACTTGCGTACCGGAGGAATATTGGACTCTTTCAGCTACGACAACCCAATAAAGAAAATCATGTTCGACGATCTCAAGGTGACCAGCGTGGTGGAGAACGAGCGTGGCATACATGTCTACGACAGAACCGAGCAAAGACACTGGATGCTTGGTGGCGATGTTCTATCCTCGTCCACAGAGACGATCCAGACTGACCCGGCCCCAGCTCCTGCAGCTGCTTCCTGTGCCAACTTTGTCAACGACCTACAATTCTCCGTAAACTACCTTGTCGAGGGTCGCTCGGATGGTGTCGTTGGAGTGTGGAATGTGTAAATAGCCAGCCAAAATTAATTATATTCTATAAATAACCGTTCATAAATATATAGCTCATGGAAACGAACAAGACGGCACGATGATCGTGGTAGACCAGCTTTCGACACCCCAGTAGAGCTTGAAAAGTGTGTTTTAGGCCGATCGTCGTAAAACGCTGTATTTATGCAAAATTTCCGTTTTCTTCGGCTTCACGTCTTTTTTTTCAGGTTCTTCCAGTTTTGGAAGAGGTGAATTGGAGGTGGCAAAAGGTTCAAGAAGGAGGCCTAGGTAGCAGTAGGATATTGCTTTTACGAATTCTACAGATACCAAAGAAGCAGCAAGAGAGGAAAAGATGTCGTACAGACAAACTCCCACCATTGTGGTTCTGAAAGAGGGAACAGATACGTCCCAGGGCCGTGGACAAATCATCTCCAATATCAATGCGTGTTTAGCAATCCAAGACACGCTCAAATCTACGCTTGGTCCATTCGGTAGTGACATTCTTTTGGTCGGCTCAGACAACAAAACAACCATCACCAACGATGGTGCGACCATATTGAAGAAGTTGGACGTGGTCCACCCAGCAGCAAAGATTCTTGTCGATATTAGTAGATCCCAGGATTGCGAGATTGGAGATGGTACCACCAGTGTTTGTCTGTTGGCAAGTGAGATATTGAAGAACTGCAAGAACTTCATTGAAGAAGGAATGAGCAGTAACTCTATCGTCAAGGGATTGAGAGACTCATGCGATTTGGCAATGAAGAAGATCAAAGAACTGGAGGTGAACCTCGAAGAAAAGCCAGAAGATGAAGAATACGACATGTTGATCAAGTGTGCATTGACTGCAATGAACAGTAAAATCATCCAGCAGAACGGCGATTTCTTTTCCAAGTTGGTTGTCGACTCGGTGTTGACGTTAGACAGAGACGATCTAGACGAGAACCTCATTGGTATAAAGAAGATTGCCGGCGGTGCAATGGAAGATTCCTTGTTCATCAGTGGTGTCGGTTTCAAGAAGACCTTTTCATATGCCGGATTTGAGCAACAGCCAAAGACATTTGAAAACCCAAAGATCTTGTCTCTTAACGTCGAGCTCGAGTTGAAAGCTGAAAAGGACAATGCTGAAGTGAGAATCGAAAAGGTGAACGACTACCAGAAGATCGTCGATGCAGAGTGGGGGATCATAATGGACAAATTGAACAAGATAGTCGACAGCAAGTGTAACATTGTCTTGTCGAAGCTACCTATTGGAGATTTGGCCACCCAATTTTTCGCAGATAGAGGTATCTTCTGTGCAGGTAGAGTGACAAGTGATGACTTGGAGCGTATAATCAAGGCCGTTGGAGGATCGATTCTAACTTCTGTCAATGAAATAAATACCGAGAAGGACTTAGGTACCTGCTCCAAATTTGAAGAGCTACAGATTGGAAGTGAACGTTTCAACATTTTCAGTGGATGCCCATATACCAAGACTTGTACATTAATTTTACGTGGAGGATCCATAAAGATCATCGATGAGATTGAACGTTCGTTGCACGACGCAATCATGATTGTCAAGAGAGCACTAAAAAATAAGCAGATCGTTGCTGGTGGCGGTGCAATTGAAATGGAACTAAGTAAATATCTGAGAGATTACTCGCATCAAATCAAGGGTAAGAAGCAATTGATTATCCAAAGTTATGCCAAGGCGCTGGAGATTATCCCAAGACAGCTTTGTGAAAATGCAGGTTTGGACAGCATTGAGTTGCTAAACAAACTGCGTAATTTCCATGCTAACGGCGACATCCATTACGGTTTGGATCTAGACTCTGACAGCGTTGCAAACAATTTGGAGAAATTTGTCTGGGAACCTTCAGTTGTGAAAATCAATGCGCTACAAAGTGCAACTGAGGCTGCAATCTTGGTTCTCAGTGTTGATGAGACTATCCAAAACAAAGAAAGCGATCAAGGTGGTGCACCTGGTGGTCCTGGGCCTAGAGGTAGAGGTATGCAAATGCCAATGGGAATGTAAGTGTTTAGTCAAGTAGTAAATAGTATATATTCACAAGTAATATATATTGTCTATAGATAATTATTCTATACAAGCTGTCTCTATGAGACTCACAGTGAGTTTTTGAATCCTTTGATGGTCTGATCAACTTTTGCCTGGTCCTTTAAATCTTTCAAAAGAATATCGGAAATTTGGGACCATGAGGCCTCCGTGATAGCTGCGTGTCCTGGAATGGAAACGTCTGGGCTTTTCTCCTTTGTTTCCTGCGTTTTGGCCTTGAACTGGCTAATAAGGACATTCAGAGAAAGAGAACCTGTCGATCCGGCGGACTCCAGGACTTGAGAAACGTTTTCTGAGTCTTGTAGAGTCTTTGTGCGGATCATGAGCTTGATGTCTGCTGGCTGGACAGCTATGGCTGTCTCTGGAGATCCTTCGAGAAGTTGTGCAAGTGATGATTTAACCATGTAGATGTTAGTGCTTGGCTTGATATCGAGCGCTAGTTTGAGATTAAATTTCGGCTGTTTAAGTGATTTGAATGTAAACTCAACAGTAGCAATAACCTCCTCTGTCTCTCCGGCATCCTTGCACTCATTGCTATCGGTTAAAGCATTCTGTCTCGTAGCACCGAATGGACGGGGTAGCGGTGGGAAAGTGAAATTTCCTGGTAATCTGCTGATGCTGTTCAAGTTAAATGAATCAGCAAATGCCTGTTGTGCGTCTGCAGAAGGGGTTGTAACTTCCAACAACTGCACAAATTTGTTTGCAAATTCAACTTCAGTGGCCATGTTTACTTCTGACTTCTGCTTTATGCACTGATACGTACTGTCTAGATGGTTCCCCTCCTCTCTCTTCTTCAAAAGAGCAAGGCGCCTTATCCCGTTCGATGATTTACGCTGGCAAAGGGTTCGCCTTCATGTAGCGAATCCAAATCTCATTTCACTACATGTTTTCTGTACATAGTAGGAGACAAGGAAGGCATATACAAACGAATTTGAGCTCATTGTTACTAGTTCTGAGAGTCAGCCGATGTGGTAGACACCATGTCGGATACGAATAGCAACAATTACAATAGCAATGCGTCTGAAAACGGGCCGGTAACCACCCAGTTCTACAACTACCATGAATATCATTGCCCGTATAACGAATCGTTGATCATCACACACCATCCAAACCCATACCCTTTTCCGTATCTGGACATGGAAACCAGAGTGGTTCGAATACCACGACTCCCGACAGTGGACTTCCCACAGTTTAGCAATTGTCTTCCTGGTCTGGAGCCTGTTGCGATCAGAGGGAATGAGGAAAACAAGAAGGAAGCAGACGGGTTTCGTTTCGTCCCATCAACTTATACGTATATGAACCAACACTTCGGCAATACATCGGTGTCTCCGCTATCCAACTACATTGAAGAACTGGAGTTCACAGGTATAGTGGACAAAATCAACGCTTACTTGTATGAAATATATGCCGGAACTGGAACCAACATGATTTGGCTGTTGGCCAACACGGTGTTGTTAGATCTTCCAAGCATAGTCATTCTATTAATTCAGAAATTGTTAGGTTTGCAACTAATACAGGCCAAGAACTTCAAACTAGAAGCGTACGTGGATGACCTAAACGGCACGTTTCGGGACCACCGCAGGCCAATACGAATAGTGCAGCCTCGTGAAAGTGGCTACCTCAGTCTTGACTGGGTTATTCCTTCCCAAATATGAAACAGATATTCTCATTGTCTGTCTGCTTTTTCCCGCTGCCGAATTGCACGTACGTATGTATATGTGAATATACATATATATATATATATATATATAAAAATTTATAGATAGATAAAAAGCTAGATAGATGCGGAGATATATCTATCTTTGCTATGTCGAAAAATGATAAACTTCCAAGTGCAACAATGAGGCATGGAATCAAAACCCAGAGCTAGAATCCGGACCCTTGCTATAGATTTTCTTTATACGTCGGTTCAAGCCCACATTCCAATATGCGGTTCGTAACCCACGGCCTGTCTTCCCCATCACATCTCTATTTAGAGTATGGCCGCCTGTACCGCCGGTATTGCCACTATGGTTGCTGCTGTTATTACCTCCATTGTCACTGCCCTCGGATGGATGATCTTTGGTTAATTCACCGTTATTGCTATTTCTATTGGATTTGCCGCCGCTGCTGCTACTTCTATTCCCCTTCCCTTTATCATGGTGATGGGGTTCCCAAACCGAGCGCAAGCCAAGCCCGTTAACAGAAAGTTCTCTTTCTTGGCGCAACAACTCTCTGCGTTCTTCCGGTGACATGCCCAACTCTTTCCGTTTTTCAATGAGGGTCGAATGCCTTTCACGTGAAGAAATGACGAAATTCCGACATCTTTGAATTTCAGGTTGTGTTAATTTACAAAATGAAGACGAATCATGTCTGAAGCATTCCTCAATGAACAAGTTGACGTTCACGATTCTTTTCGGGGTATTCTGGATCAGTTGGAATAATTCACTTGACAGCAATTCTTTGTTGAAGGAATTGACGCTGCCAAAGCTAGTGTTACCCGTGTCGCTCAGGTTGGAGCTACTTCGGTTATTCATTGATACTTTCAGGGAATTCAAGCCAGTTGAATGCAAATCTGTATCGGAATGTAATGTCAACTGGCTAACTATTGTGGAAGCGGGTAAGCCATGGGCACGACAATAGATCTTGCGTAACTCTGGATCCAACATCTTGAAAATGCCTAGGCAAATTTGGAAGATTGTCTTGGAGTCTTCGTAGAAGATAATGTCCCAGATTCTCAAAGTAGTCTCAATGGGTAGAACTCCTATGAATAAAGACATGAACCAGTTGGTGGTACAGAAAGTTAGAGTCGGCAAGAAGAAAAGGTAGGAGGTGTCGTCGTCGTTGTTTGAATCGTAGCTGTCGCAGTCTTCTCTGTCATTATCCATGATTATTTTCCAAACATCGGGCAAATGCTGCTTCAAGCACAAGAGGAGCATTCCTTGGTTGACTGCCAAGCCTTCGAGGTTGGATTCATGAACACCGGGCAAAAACTTCTCAGTTATGATGACCAACATCCAGAAAGTTTCCTCCTCCTCCATGAACAACAGCAATAGGCCAGTAATGAAATTGAGGGACTGGCAATAGCCGATGGTTGGTTTGTACAAGCTGAAACATTTCAAAACCCTTCTTAACGTATTCAACATTGGCGACTCCACTTCGGTGTTGGTTGCAGGGTCGGTATAGTTTTTGAAGTAGATGTTTTCCGGGAAAGTACGGTGCAAGTCCTTTTCTATGGCGTCTGTGTTTTCGTTGACCAGGTCGATGGATTGTTTCACCAACTCTTCGTACAGGCCCTTGTTCTCCTTGATCCTTTCGTTCCCGTGGACAAAGCTGAACCAGGCACGGCCTCTCCATTCGGCCGGTATGCCCTTCTTGACGAACTTGGACATTTCTTCTGACTTGACGGGGAACCTCGAGGGTATGCCATCGCTGTTCAAGTAGAGACCGTTTTTCTCCAAAAGCTTCACCCACTTGTTTTTCCGCCTAATCAAGTGGGGGCAGTACTCATCCCACCAGTCGTTGTAGTCCTTTGTGGAGATGTAGTGGTTGGTCTTCTTGAAGCCGTAGCGGTCGAACTCGGAGTTCTTGATGGTTTTCTTGAGCTGCGACTTGTTTCTGAAGTTCGACGAGAAGGTTGACGATGAGGTGTCCTTAATCGTGACGATGTCGTTGATCTTCTGCTTGAACGAGAGGAAGTTTGCACGGGACGTTTTCAGCGTGTCCAGGGTTTCGTGCTTGGTGATGTGGGACGAGGACGAGTTCTCGTGCAGCGTCATGTGGGGCTGCTTGGGCACCGGGGTGGCGAAGGAGAGTGCGTCTATATCTGTGGCGGCGTCGTCGTCGTCGATGCCACTCTCGTGGTCGTCCTCCTCCTCTTCTCCCTCCTCTTCTTCCCTGATTCCGCCGCCGCCGCCGTTGTTGGCGACAATGTCCTTCAGATGCGAGCTCTTGGTCGGCGAGTGCGTCGAGATGTTGTTGTTCGGGTACGTGTTCGTGTTCGTGTTCGTGTTGCTCACGCTCCGGTTGAGCACGCTGGCCCCTTCGTCGTCGGTGTCGTTGGCGGCGTAGTAGTCCAGCACCGTGTACGTCGTGTTCGACGCCGTCGTGGTCGTCGTGTTCACCGAGCTCTTCCTGGAGTGCTGCAGGTGCCGGCTGTTCGTTCCGATGTTCAGCTGCAGCGGTTTCGAAGCATGGTCCTCAGCCATTCTAGCTTCCGGGACGGGGCGGGCAGGACGGGTCAGGCGGTGGATGGGCGCAAACGGCTAGTCGGAGGCGACTGGGGGACCTGGGTGACAGCGGTGGGTGTGTCTGCGTGTGTGCTGCTCTATGAGCCCCTCCGTGTACTGCAACGGGGCCCGACACGCTGCCAGGGGTGAAATAACCTGTCGCAGACGGCCGGGGCCCTTTTGGTGAGGGAGCGTGGAGCCGTTGGCGGGGGGCCGGAGGCTGTGACGAGAAGAGGGGTTGGGAGGGTTTAGGGAGTCTGGGGGGCCAGGGAGCCGGTTAAGACGGCAGAGGATGTTGGAGGTGGTCCGGGTCGGGATGGAATGGAATGGAATGAATGGAACGGCGACGGTGGAGCGGATCATCGTGGTGCACACGGGGGCCGGCGGCGACGTGTCGGGACGACGGGCGGAGTATGTGGGGTTGGTGAAGCAGGCGTTGCGGAAGGTGCAGTTCAGCAACAAGGAGGCGACGGAGGAGGGCCACCTGCAGCGGTTCACGGAGATCGGGCGGGTGCTGGAGGCGTCGGAGCTGACGAACACGGGCTACGGGTCGTGTGTGTGTGCGGACGGGAGTGTGCGGTGTGACTCGTGCGTGGTGCACCTGGGTGTTGAGGACGGGGAGGGCCGGCAGCGGACCACGACGGACGCCATCGGGTGTGTGGTGTGCAACTCGTCCCGGTTCCCGCTGGCGGACGCCGTGGGTGTTGTGGCGGGCCGGCGACGGCAGCCCGTGCACGCCGGGGTGGTGGCGCCGGTGGTGACGGTGGGCCGGCTCGAGCGGGACGACACGCTTGTGTCTGCGCCGATGGCGGGGCTGCACACACGGGTCCAGGGCCACGAGTCCGGAGTGCAGGACACGGTGGGGGTGTTTCTGTTGGAGCGGTGGCCGGGGCCCGGGCGGCGCCGGACACTGATGACCGCCGGCTCGTCGTCCGGCGGCAACCTGCTGCGGGACTGGACACGCGTGGGCAGCGCCGGCGTCGTCGGCAGCGGCTGCTGGCTCGAGGAGCACTCCGCCACGGGCGACGTCGTGTGCACGCTTGCGTCCGGCCAGGGCGAACATCTCATCCGCCACGACGTGGCCCGCACCGTGGCTCGCGAGCTGCTGCACCGGCTGGCCGACGACCCGGACGGGTGTGTGCCTGTCCAGTGTGCTGCGGCCACGCTGTGCCGGCCCGCCCTGGCGGCCGCCGACGTCGGTGTCGTCGGCGTGGCACTTGCCGGCGCCCGCATTGACCTTTTCTACGTCCACAACACCGCGTCCTTTGTGCTCGGCAGCGTCGCCGCCTCCGGCGCTGTCCACACCCACGTCGGTGGCCCCCTCCGCCGGCCCCAGCACGGCCAGTGGCCGCTTGTCTAGTCCCTGTAGCCCGTGTAGCCCGTGAAGAACAGAGCACCGAAACATGTTGGTCGGAATTGCCCGATTGGGTAATTTTTCCTACACGTGACCGCCTCGCGCCGGGCAAAACCCAGGAAAAGAAACGGAAAGTGAAGGGGAAAGGGAAAAAAGACAGCCAAGACAGAAAGCAAGCTTAAATCAGAAGGAAGAAGAAGCAGAGAACAGGGCCAGAGGAAGACAGTGCAGGGCCAGAGGCTTGAGAGAGAAAGAAAAGGGCAGCCCGCAGCGACAGAACACAGATACGCTGCTGCTGAGGATGTCGCCGGTGCCAGAAGACGTGGCGGAAACGATCTACGAAAAACGGCTGTCGTTGCACCAGATCCAACAGATCCGAATATGCTCGATCTCGTCGTCAGGCGTGTCGATCCTGCTGGGGCTGGTGTTCGTGTACTTCTTTGGAATGATCCATCCGACGCGGCGCCACTTCCGGCACTACCTTGTGCTGCTGTTGATTGCGTTCGACTTCATCAAGGCGACGTCGATCCTGGTGTTCTCGTGCGTGTCGTTCAACCGGGTGACGTCGCACAACAAAGCGCTCATCCAGGGGATAGGCTGGCTGACGGTGTTTGGGATCGAGGGCGCCGACGTGGTGATCTTGATGTTTGCGGTGCACATGGCGCTGTTGATCTTCAACCCGCAGCTGACGCAGGTGAAGCAGAAGCTGATCCATTGGATCGCCACGACGCTCCACGTCGACGTCGACGCCAGCGACGAGCACCCGTTCCGACACAGACTCGCCAGTACAGGCGTGGTCCGCTGGACACAGCACATGCTGGGCCGGAGGGCCGCCCAGGAGAAGCACGACGACGACGACGCTGCAGAGCGGGGCCCGGCGCCCCCCGGCGTCAGACGCCGCTCCGAGGGCGGCTTGTACCGCCATCGTTACAGCGTTCTTCTCATTGCGTTTCTCTTCCCCGTGTTGGTCTCCTCCGTGAGCTTCTACATCAAAAACCCGTACGAGGAGTACGTGTACTGGTCGTTCTTCCGGGTGTGGACCGGGCCGTGGTACTTTTCCTGGACGCTCCGACACGTGATTGTCGTCCTGATCATGTTCATCTACATCTCCATCTACGTCTACGTGATGTCCCAGTTCAAAAGCGTCTCGCGGAGCATGAAGAAGAGGGCCGCCAGGCCCGACCTCGACTCGGAGACGAGCAACGCGGGCAACAGCAGAGCCGACGACGGTGACGATGGCGACGACGACGATAGCGACAGCGACAGCGACAACGACGTCTTCCTCAACACCTTCGGCGACTCTGTTTGGTACAAGATCTTCCAGTTCCTGTCCATGCTCGTCTTCCCCGACGTGCGCATCTCCGCCAAGCTCCACGGCCACGGCTTGACCACCAACGAGGACCTGGCCAACATCGAGCGCTTGAAAAACGAGTCCATCATCAACGAAAGCGTCAACTGGAGCAACAACAACGGCGTCGGCAATGACGTCAGCTCCTCAGAGATCCTCAGACTCAACTCATCCTTCGCCAACGTGCAGAACAAGGAGATCTCCAAGCAGATTCAGAACCTGCTTTACGAAGAGGCCATGCAGCGGTTTGCCACCCGCAAGTCCCAGATCATGCGCCAGATGAAGGTCATCTTCATCTACCCGATCTCCTACATCATCTTGTGGCTATTGCCCTTTATCAACCACTACCAGGTAATCCGCACAGGAACCGAGTCACTGTGGTCCACTGCCCCAAGCGCCATTTTCCAGGCTCTGAACTGCTTTGTCGACGTCTTGGTGTTCTTGTTAAGAGAAAAGCCATGGCAGCTGACCAAGGGTGTCGACGACATAAGTGGGATGTCTCCCTTTGTTTCCCAAGATAGTAGCTCGCTCCAGTCGCACGGCTGGAGACGCCGTGTCTCATGGTTGCCAGGTTATGGAGGTTACTCGGATGATTCCGAAGGTGTCGAGTCAGCAGATTTGGAGTTGGAAAAGGGTAGCTTCTCCAACCGAGTTGCGTATGGACGCAACTCACAGACTCTCACTCTTCACGGAAATGACCAGGACGATGGTTACTACCTGCATGGGCGTCACCTAGGAAGCTTTGAAGAAGAGAAGGATACCGATTCTATGTCTAGGCCTAACTCCAAAGGATACACACCAAGTAATGATGATGAGGATGGCAACGACCAATTTGATCAAGAGGTGGACCTGAAAGACTTCCTCAATTCGAATTCTCCAAGTCGTTCCTCCCAACGGAAAAAGCGTGTCAATTATCATTCCTCTATGGGGAGACCTAGATCTAAGCCAAATTCTCTATCTATGACACCCGCAAACCCAACCCATATGGACACTAGTCCAACTTGGGGGGCTCGTGGCTCGCTGTCTTCTTCAAACAGGAGCAACGTCAACGGTGCCTCTGGGAGCCGGAGGAATTCGCATCTATCCTGGCGTACATGGTCGTTCGGCTCGAGTCCATCCAACACTGCGGGGCGGCAAAAACAGGATAGAGAACTGGACCCAATCTTTGGATCCTTCATCAACGACAATAATGCAGTCGACTCTAAGTTGAAATTGAAAGAGAGTTCAAACGACGTTAATTGGAATCTACACATGTTTGACCACGGTCAACGTCGTGTATACGACAGTAGGGGCAACGTGAAATCCACCCCTAACAATGTTGTTAACTATAGTAGCAGCAATAGCAGTAGTTACAGACACAACAGCGGTAGCAGCAACAACGGGAGCTACAGCAATGGTAGTAATAATATGAACAATGGTCATCGGGGTAATAATAATAACAATAATAGCAACGCAGGCTTTGACGAAGAAATGGATTTGATGGACTTCTTGAAGCTTGGACAAAAAGGTTAATTGTATACTATGGACAATAATAATATTGGTATTGGCAACTATGTGCAATATCAAAGGCCAATAAAAAAAACGAAAAAGTTACAGGACACTATGTAAATTAAAAGACATTTTTATCAAAAAATTATTTAAATCGCTTTGAGAATGGTAAAAAAAAGTAAACTATATTAGTATTTGTAGTGTCAAACATACACATACCTACCTACTTACATACTTTTGCGGAAATGCGTTGACGGGAATGGGCATGCTATCTATCCTCATAAACTGCATAATCCACAATCTTAGTCCAACGACAAATGAAAAGAATTAGGTTTTACCCTTTTCTGCAGTTACCAACATTATCGAATCTAGTCCAGCCAAGATTCCATCGTTGAAAACATCCTGACTAATGTCATCAAAATATATTAGGGGGTTCTCTCTTTTCTCCAAGTTCCCTATATCGTGTATCTTCACTTTCACTCCTAATTCCACATCATGACCTTCTCTGTCTATGTTACCTTCCTTAATTCTCTCGCATACTATCTTTCTCACCATCTCTCCTTCAAACCCATGCAATTTCCAATCAAGCCATAGTCTCAACGTATGTACTGTTGTTTCGGTCAATCCTGCAACTCCTGAAAAGGAACCGCTGTTTCTGACGTGGCCATTTATAGGATCTGACATCCACGAATGAAGATCAACAATTTGACTCAGCCTCAAAAAATCAATGTACGACGATAGCATACAGTATAATGAGGCTATCGGTTGATCGCTAATATCACCTAGATTTTCCTTCTCATGGCGATGTTCATAATGAACATCATTTTCATAGTCATTGTCAAACGTGTTTGTTGGATTTGGCGCATATGGGCTTCCATTTCGACTCGCCGATTTAGCTTCGTGGATGTGCTTATGACGGTTCTCACGTTGTTGTCTTTGTTGGTTTGACTTTGAATTTTCAAATGGAGATGTAGCAGCATGCCGAGTGTTACCAGATGCAGCGCTGTCAGTTTTCTGATTTTGAGAATTGACATTAACATATGTAGCATTTCTGTTCTTTGAGACAGGTTGTATGAGTGTTGTATTAGATTCTTCAGAATAATCGTAATCAGTTCCAACATCTGCATCCTTTTCGTCACCAGCTTTCGGACGTGGAATCAAAATGTCAGGTTCGGCAGAAGCCTTCTTAGGAGCTTGGTGCATTTGCTCCTGTGAAATCTTTTCACTAATTTCATCATAATCATGCTGTTGCTCGTTGAAGCTAATGACAGGTATCCCCAGCTTGACGTATTTAATCTTCTTGAAACTTTTACCCTTCAAGATTTTAATAATGATCTGACTTAAGTTAGGCAGTTTAGACAATTTTGAAATTTCATTGTTGATGAAAATTTGAATGTACTCTCCTAATCGAACTTCGTGTTCAGTATTGACCGTATAAGTGTTTTTGAATGAAAGGACATCATATAGTATGAGGAAAATAGAGCCGCCAGGTTTGAGGACTCTTTCAAACTCTGTCAAACCCATATTGACGTCATTCTCGTTGAAGATTAATCTCGTGAAATCTGGGGCATAAACCAGGATTTGAGATTCATCACGAACGGGTAACTTGTGTATGGAAGGTGCAGTGAATGAAGAATAATCTGACAGAAATGCCTTTTCCTTCGGTTTAACATTTGAGTTGATGAAATCCTCTGTAAGAAAGCTGATATCATTGAAATGCGGATATTGTTGCTGCAAGTCATCTGGTAAATATGCAGAATTTTTCAGGTCCAAAAGAACCTGGAATCTGTCGGAAATGTTCACAAGGCTGACTTTATAGTTGGGAAAATCATGTCTCAATTGCCAGCCATCGATAAGTTCTAAATGTGCTGGTGAAATGTGATTTTTACTCAACTTGGAAGAGGCATTTCCTGGAGTAGACTGGTAAGGTTTAAGTCGATTTGAGGTGATAATGCAAATCTCAGAATTCTTCGCATGGCTGGACAACAACTTGTGGATGACCGACGCGTGGTTGGACAATCTGTTGATTATCTGGTTGTGCCATAACAAAAGCAAAACCATTTTTCGATCTTGGAAAATCTCCGCGTCGATTTCATCGATCGAGGGTATTTCAGCAATTTTACTTTTGATGTCATCTGGTGAATTCGAGGAAGTCTGAGAATCAAAAGTCGAGGTAGAAGCTAAGTTACTTCCTGAATTCAACTTCGGGTCTGAAGCTGAGACTCGGTCATGGGAGTCACTCCATAGGCTATCTGAAACTGAAATCTGTTCATTTCCTTGGTTTCCCTGTTGTTTCTGTTGGTTCTGGTCCTTCTCCGCAAGTAAAGAAGCGCGAGTATCAAGAGTTTCGTTGATCGACCTCAAGTACTTGATGTACCAGGTATTCCAAAACGAGTTTCTAGTGACGGAGTAGAGGAAGGGATCATCCAACTCCGAATCGTCCATGTACTTCAAGAAAAAACGGAGGAAGTCGATATAGAAGGACATGCTGTGGTTCATGGTCAAAGACAGGATGTTTTTCATCTTGGTATGATACTCGATCGTCAACTGCTGCTTCTGATACTTCTGGCGCTGGACTTGCGGGTGGAACTGGGGCAAATGGGATTGGTGGGAAGGAGACTGCGATTGCGAGTGCGGTTGCGTCTGCGTCTGCAGCTGCGAGTGCGATTGCGAGTGCAACGACTGCGAAGGGGAGTCCGGGTGGGAGTTCGAGTGGGAGCTCGAGCGGGACGGCGGCTGGACAAAAGAGGATTGTGAGGAGTGCGAGGGTGAGTTTGGGATGGCGTACGTGGGGTAGTCCATGGTGTCCTCAAACCGTCCGAAGGCTAGGTCTCCGGCTAGCCGGGTGGCCTTCTTGGTGAAGCTGAAGATCTTCTTGCCCGAGCTCTTCATCGAGCTGGCGGCGGTGTTGGCCGAGTTGATGGAGGCGGCGGCTGGCGCCGCCACGTCGGCCGGGATGTGGTGCGGGAAGTGCAGGTGTGCGGGCGGGTTGGACGGGAAGGGCGTGGACGCGGAGCGGTTCATCATGATGGTCTCGTGCGGGCCGTAGTTGGTGTTGTGCTCGATCCTCGGGTGGGGCACCGGCGGCGACGACGACGACGACGACGTGTTTCTCGTGCTGTCCATGTTGGCTGAGCGCACGGCCCGGGACCCCGGCAGGATGTTCGCCAGCGACTGGTGGTGCCGGGACGGCTGGCTGTGGCTGTCGGCGCCGGCACCCGCCCCGCTGCTGTGGTGGTGGTGGATGTGGAAGAACGACGACGAGCCAGGCGACCCTGTCGGCGTCCCCTGCTCCGGCTCCTCCTCGTCCTTGTTCCGGTGGTGGTGCAGGAGAAACCCGCCTCTGCTCTTTTTGTGCTTCAGCAGCCCGCCCCCGCCCCCGCCGCCCTTGCGAACCTCGCCCTCCTTCGCCAGACTGCTGCTGCTGCTGCTGTTGCTGCTCCCTGCTCTCCCGACGCCCCTCACCACCCCTTTCTCGGCCTCTCCTCCTCCAACCATCCGTGGCTGCGGTCTCTGCGGGTCTGACCCCTGACCTGTCGCTGCATTGTTCGGGCTGTTCGCATCCATCTCATCGTCTGTGCTCCCTGCGTTGCTGCTATCTCGTCCTGTGTCTTCACACTGCCTCTGTGCTGCCCCCAACATCCAATGTCCCGTTTTTGCCACCTCACAATACCCCCTGTCTTTGTCCAACCCTGTTTCCGATAGCTGGTCAATCGGGCTGCAACACATGCCGGCTCAGCAGCGCTCAAAGCGGCCTGAAAAAGGGGCAAAAACGACGATCGGCGCGCCGATCGTCGCAAAACGGCTTTTTCTCTTATCTAAGGCTTATCGGAGGTGTCGAGGAAGCTATTCCTATACATGTACACGGGTGGAAAGAGAAGCAAAAGTTGTCTCAGAGGGTGACGAAGGGAGAAGCATCGCAGAGAGAGACGACGACGTGTGCACCGGCAACGGGCGCGAGCTCTGCTGCGAGACGGGTGCGCAGGGTGTGGAGGAAGGGGCGTTCGGTGTTGCAGTGGCCGCAGAGAACGACGCTCTTGTCGTGCTCGGAGAGGGCTAGGAGCTCGTGGTGGGAGAGCTCGCCTGTGTAGAAGAGGTCGACGGCGGCGTGGTCGGCGGGGTCGAGGTTCTGGAAGACGCCTGCGCCGCTGCCGGCGCAGATGGCGATGGTGCGGACGGAGACGGCGTCGACGCCGGCCCGGGCGGCGACCTGGACGTGGCGGAGGTGGAGAGCGGTCTTGATGCGGGCGACGGCGTCGGAGAGCGGGATGGGGCGGTCGAGCTGGACGATGCGGCCCATGCCGACGCCGGGGACGGCGGTCTTGTCGGGGACGATGACGCGGCGGGCGGTCTCGACGCTGCCGGCACACACGCCGTCGGCAAGCCAGTCGTTGACGCCGCCGACGGCGGCGTCGACGGCGGTGTGGGGCGAGTAGACGCTGACGTTGTTGCGGATGAGCTTGACGAGCGAGCGGTGCTGGGTGTTGTCGGCGGGGGTGATGCGGTTGAACTTGCGGAAGAGGAACGGGTGGTACGCGATGATGACGTTGCAGCGCTGGCGGATGGCCTCGTCGGCAACGGCCTCGGTCAGGTCGACGGTGAGCAGGATCCTCGGGGCGGCGGCGGCGGCGGCGTCGCCGGCGTCGGGCACCGACGAGTCCACCAACAGCCCCGTGTTGTCCCACGAGTTCTCGGCGTTCTTCAACGGGTAGAGCTTGTCCATCGCCCTGGTCACGGTCTGCAGCACGCGGCTCTCCAATGCTCTCACGCTCATGTTTGCGGTGCTTGCTTCGGGTGCTTGCTTCGGCAAGAGCTCTCTGCAGAGCCTGCTCCTGCTCTTCTTCTGCTCCGGTCTGGTCCCTCCTGCCTGTCAAAACGCCTTTTGCCTGGGGTTCCCCGTCTCCCGCACGCTCGCTGCTCGTTTTTCCAGCGCCGCAGACCGCGAGAGCCACGCAGACAGGCAAGCCACGGTCTTTTCTTCCCTTCGGTGGCCCCGCTGATCTGCTACAGCATGCTGGGGCCGGGCCGCCGCCGCCGCCACCAGCAGCAGCCCACACCCACACAGCAACCCCGACAGCCCCAATGCCATTGACGTCCGACGACCTGACGCAGATCATCAAAAACAGACTCCAGGCCACCGAGGTGGAGGTGCAGGACATGTCTGGCGGCTGCGGCCAGGCGTATGCGGTGATCATCGTGAGCGACATCTTCCTTGGGAAGAACAAGCTTGCCCGCCACAGAATGGTCAACTCGGCGCTGAAGGAGGAGATCAGCCAGATACACGCCTTCACGCAAAAGGTGTTCACCGTCGCCGAGTGGGACGAACAGAAGAGACTGTTCAACGCCTAGCCGCCCGGCCGGCGTGGCTTCTGCTCCTCACCCCTCTGTATCTTCTAGCTACCGCTGTGCTCCGGCACAGCTTTTTATATATTATCCCCTCCAGCCCTAATACCTTCCTAACGTACCTGCCCTCCGGCATGCAAGTAATCAATCACCCAAAAACGCTTCGTCTATCTGCTGCTGACCAATGCGCGCGCTCTCATTGGTCAGCCCCCCGTGTCTCCCCACAGAGGGGCAGCCACATCTGTCGTGTCGGTCAATGTAGAAGTCGTGTTGTGTATAGAGTCTCAAGGCGGTAGTGTATAAATCCCAAAAAGAAAAGAAAAAGCGGAAGCAAGAAAGGTTTACGTAGAAGACGTGTTCAGAGCGAATATGGCGGCGGAGGCGGCACCTGTGTCCGAGGCTGCTGGTGGAAGGACGACATCATGCGCTTGTCGTAGAAGCCAGAGTCCTCGCACTTCTTGCTCACCAAGCGGTCGAGCTTTAGCATTCGGCGGTGGATCTCCTTCTCCTCCTCCTTGCCGATTCTGAGAGCGTCCTTTGGCGGCAAGAACGTTCTCCTGCCCCGTCCAGACGAGAAGGCCGACGACGAAGACGACGACGACGAAGGTCTGCGAGAGGCAGAGTTCGACTTGCGGCGAAGAACGCCGGTGCTGGTATTGGCACTGTCGTTCACGCCGATCGTGCTGTCGCCTGCTTCTAGCGTCACGGCGGAAGTGTTGGCGCCGTTCAGTATTGTCGACGTGGACGACGACGACGACGACGACAATCCCCGCGACACCAGGCTGCCCTTGTTCATCGACGGACGTTTGGACATCATCACAGACGTGGCCGTCGACTCCACGTCCGACATTTCGCTGAAGACACTCGTGCTCATCGAGCGGGCCATCTTGCTCGAGCCCACGCTGTTCGCGTTGACGGCGTCGGCACCATTGAGCTTCAGGGTAGATATCTCCTTCTTCAAATCCTCCACGCTTGGCGCCGCAGACTCCTCGCCCTTCTTGACAGGCGTCTTGGCCGTCCTCGATGATGGCTTCACATTCATCTTGATCGTCCTCCTCTTCGGCTTGTGGCTGACGTTCCTGCTGTACGCTCTGTTCTGGAAATTCCTGATGAAGTTCAGCTTGTCGTGGACATCTCCAAACTCAAAGTCCTTGTCTGACAACTCAATCCGGTTGGTGTTGTAGCTCTTCGACTTATTGATCAATATGTTCATGAACGCCTTGGTGATCAAATCCTTGTTGAACCGGTCGCAGCTCAATTTGTCGATCCCGTTCCCAAGCGACAACGTCTGCCTCATGCTGGACAACCTCGTCGACCTCATCAAGCTACCCGGCGATATCCTAAACGGGTTTTCTGGATCCAACTCCTTCAGAAGAATCTTGTTTTTCCTTCTGTTGTCATCCTCTTCCTGCTCCTCAATCAAAAGATCCCTGTGGAACTGGTCGAACGACTGTGTCGTGTACTTCAAACTGAACTTGTAAAGCAAACTTGGCAGAAATTCCTTGAACAAGTCGCTGATCTGGGACTCGATTTTCTTCTGCAAGAAGTTGGCAATCGGGGTGATTCTGTCAAACGTCGAGTTCACGTCGATGTTCTCCAACGGATCGTTTTTGAAAACCAATGTCAACCCCTTCGTCTTGCTGAACACAATGATCATAATGGAGCTCATTTTGAAGTTGCTCAACGTCAAGTTCAACGGAATGTCAAAATCGCAGTCACTCACAATGAAGTTCGGCTTGATGAAATCAAAATCGTTGTCAATGTTGTTGTTGTAGTTCTTGAGCAAACTAGCACTGATCTTCGTCGTCACCGTGATGGACGCATCCCCATGGTATTTGAAGTTGAAGATCCCTCTGAACTTATCCACCCCCAAGTCTCCAATTTCCAAGATCTGAAAGATCGGCGCAATCGTGCCAAAGTTCAATGCCACAATCCTGATATCATCACTCAAAATCGCAGGTCTCTTTCCCGAGTTCAATGCCTCCTCTAGCAACTCCCGTGCGTACGAAAGAAAGGAGTCCTTTTCGATCGCGTTCCAGTTCAACTTGAACGACATGTTTGGAGTGCTATAATGACTATCCGTTTGCTTACCGATGCCAGAACAGCCCTTCCCACTGCTCCCGACTCCTTTTCTTCAGCTGTAACTGATGCTTTCCCGATATTGTCTTCCTTTTCCTTCCTCCTCCCACTTCCTCAAAGAGAAAAAAAATCGTCACACATCCGCCACACCGAGATACAACAAAAATGCTGTCGCGCACTCTTGTGTGACCTCTTACCTATTCCATCTTCGGGTAAACAAAGCAAGAGTGGGATAAGATGAGATGAGATAAGATAAGATAAGATAAGATACGGTAGGATTAGCATTGCGGTTACACAGATAATTAGTACGTTCTCTATATTTTGCTCAAGTCGACCTTCTCCAGATCGTAGAGCACGTTCTTCAAGGCAATCTCCCTCGGGTGACCACCGAAGTTGGCCTCGATAGTCTCACAATCCTCATTGTCCTGGTATATAGAGCTCTGGTCAACATGCTGGAACCACTCCCGGTAGTTGTGGTCGGGGAATATGTTCTCCACGTTGACTCGCAACATCGGGTGGAGATGGATAGTGTCCATGTCGTGTGGCTGTAGCACGTCTTGGTTGCTGCTCAGCTCGACAAAGGAGTGGTAGAAGACGTCGTCAGTGAGATCCACCGAATGTTTCTCGCTCTCGATCTGGTGGAGTAGTCGGTCGATGTTGCTGTTCGTGGAGCTGATGCTGGTGGTCTCCTTCGCGTCCCCACAGTCATCCTCTGATAATGCTGCTGCAAAAACGTCCACGTTTGCCTCCTCCGAGCCTTTGCTGTTGTTGCCCAACTCTAGGACGGCTTTGAACTGTGGAAACTCGATTCCTCTCCTCATCTTGCCCACCGTCTCGTAGCTGGTTTCGAAAATAGTGTCGACCTCGTCGACCCCTACCAAAGTAGCTGTTCCCGGATATGCAACGAGAAATGCCTTCTTGAACTCGCTTTTCGTCAAATACCCCTTGGAACCGGTGTCGTGTCTATCGAACAAGACCTGGATGGGATCAATGTTTTTATTGAAATGGAATCTTCGCTGGATAAGCTTATGTACAAGAAGATGTGTCTTTAATTGTCGTCTGTCCTCGGAGATGGCTCGCAATTCCTTGGAGTTCTCGTATTGTTGTGCGATGTTCGCAATCGTCAAAACCTCGGAGGCCTCGTTCTTTTGTGTTTCCAATGAAATCATAAAATTCATGGATTTGTCAATACAGTTCTCGAGGAAAATTATCTTGTACCTTTGTTCGTTGATAATCGATTTGTAACTTTGTTTGTCAAACCCGCGTGCCAAGCTTGAATAAACCATTTCAAGCTCATGCCAAAAAGAGACGGTTCTCAAGTGGAGCTCTTTTAGTCCGGGTATATCTTGCATGATGTTCTCCAGCTCCTTGGTTCTCTGGTCAAAATCAGGAATGGTATTGGCGTTCACTATGTCATTTTCAACAAGTGACAAAGCATTGAATAGGCTCGAGTGATTTTCGTAGAAAGATTTTTCCATTTTGGTAATGTTCCTTTCAATGTAATCATCTGCATTTGAATGGACAACCATCTCTGATTTCTTCAACAGCTCGATGAATTTGGATATCTTGTCAAGAGACTTTTCAGGTGGTTCTGAAAAATGTTGTAGTCCATAGATCCGCAGCATATCAGAAAGCTGGCATTTGTACATTTCCAGCTCAATGAACTGTTCGTATATTTTCTGCCTCGTTGAATTCCTGAAACTGGTAACAAATGAGATGCTTTTGATTGCCTGCTGTAGTGTTTCAGAGAGTTCATCGTTTTCTTCCGTAGTGTTCGTTATCTGCTTCTCCAATTCAAAAAGGTCTTTTCCTTTGAACTTCAAATCTTCAGGTTTATAATGGTTGGTTGAGAATTTGAAAATGCTGGATGAGGGAGATTGTTGGTAATCGTAGCTTTCATACTCGGCAAACTGGCCCAATAAGTTGGCTATTTCCAATAGAAGCTTCTCTAGTCTTGCTAAGAAGTTGTTCTTCACGTGAATGATTCTGGCAGAAAGGACAAGAAAAGTTTCGATTCTTAATTTGAGCGGCATGTCATAGTCGTGCTGTGCTATTGCACTGGCCTTGTTTAGGATGTTTGGACCAAAGAATTCTGAAAATTCGCCCTTGCTTTTCGGAGTGGCAGCTTCCTTTATGGTTTCGCTAATCTTAGCAGTCTTGTCCTCACCTTCCGCAGTTTCGGTCCTGTCATCTGCCGCTTCTGCTTCTTCTGCAAGATTAAACACGTCAAACCAGCAGCTGAAGTAGGCGATGATGCTCCATTCGTCGACAATGCCGCCATTCAAGTCGTCAGGCGTCAGGAAAGGCGGGACTTTGTGAGTCTTGTGCACTACTTCGAGCACTTCCGCCACAGAGGCGGTGCTGTCCGGGGGTAATATTTGCAAAGAGACGGCCAATCTCCTTGTCAGTCCGCCGCTATCGCTCCACGTTTCCGGCTTGAAGTTCACGCTGGACTCGACCTCTTTCGGCGACTTCCTCTCAAAGGAGGCAATTGTGTTGACCGTCCACATCCAAAGCAATTCCTGCTTGTTCTTGCTGATTCTGGACGGGCACAGCACGAACTCCCAGAATAAGCTCCACAAAAGACCCGGGACAAGTTTCCCGTCGGCCTCCAAGATGTCCAAGGCTGCGACGCCTCGAATGGTGATTTCATCAGTGGACCTGGAGACGCCGTGGAAGGGGGACGCTTTGCTGGTGTTGAGCCAGTGCATGAACACCTCGATATTCGCCAACTTCTGGAACCTCGACATCTCTCGCCCGTCGGCTCCGCCGCCAACAATCTTCACCCGTCTCCTCTTCTCTGGAGAGGCGGGGGCCGACGAGTGGGACGATGACGCTGCCGACGACGACGACGCTGCCGAAGACGGCACACTGGGGACATAGAGACTCGATGGGATGGGTCCGTCTGCGGAGATGCACACGGGCCGCAACCGGTCGGACTCGGAGTGCTGCGTGAGGACGTCCATCAGGCGGAGCAAGACTGTTCCGTCGGCGAGCTGGCCGAGGTCCGTCACGGGCACGACGGTGTCGGCGTGGAAGCCTATCCAACCCAGCAAGGCCGTGGTGTTGTTGTATCCTGCGTGGCGGAGCAATTTGCGGGGAGACGACTCGGTGCTCATGGTGATGTCTGACTTCTCACTCAACAACGACGCCATTGCCTGGATGACGTTCTGTTTCTCTGTCTGTGTTTTTTAGGAGATGTACGGATTACAATGTCCTTTCCTTTCCTTTTCTTTCCTTTCTATCCTTTCTTTCCTTTCTTTCCTTTCTTTCCTTTCTTTCCTTTCTTTCCTTTCTTTCCTTTCTTTCCTTTCTTTCCTTTCTTTCCGTTCCTCTCTTTCTGTGCCTCGTTCTCGTTCCCTCCACTATCTCGATTGCTTCCTCTCACTGCACCTGTCCTGCAATCCAGTGCTGCTGCCAACCGCCCCCCGTTCAAGCACAACCGGCGCCCGAAACCTTGTTTGCTCCGGCCGCAGACAGGCTTCCCTGCCAGCCTCCCCGCCTGCAGACACGAAAACGGCTCAACTGCGGCGAGCAGCGAGAAAAGACAACGTGTGGCATGACAGGCCGGGCAGACCCTAGATAGTTACCAGATTAAGGCGTGTTATATAGTAGACTAGGGTACGGGAAACGGGAGACGGGGCAGTGCTACTGCTTGAAGAAAGGGTGGTCCATGGCCTCCCGGGCGGTGAGTCTCTCCTGGTGGTCGTAGACGAGCAAGCTGTCGACGAGACTGACGATGTGCGGGGCGGTCGAGAGAGCCCTGTTGTCGTTGTTGACGAAGGCGGACCAGGGTCTGCGGGGGTACTGGCCAAGGATGTCGTCGTACTCGCTGGAGAGCTTGATGCTGTAGCGGCGGCAGTAGGCCATGAGGTCGTCGGTGCCCAGGACCTGGGCGATCTTGACCAACTGGTCCTGGTTGGAGTCGCCCTTGAAGAAGGGCTCCTTCTTGAAGATGAGGGCGGCGATCATCGCTCCGACGGACCAGAGGTCCAAGGAGTAGTCGTACTGCTGGAGGTTGACCAAGAGCTCGGGGCCCTTGTGGTAGCGGGACGCAACGCGCACGTTGAAGTCCATGCCCGGGTGGTAGAACTCGGCCAACCCCCAGTCGATGAGCTTCAACTTCTTGTTGAGCGGGTCGATCATGATGTTCTGCGGCTTCACGTCCCGGTGGATGATGCCCATCGAGTGCGAGTAGTCCAACGCGATGAGCAGCTGCGTGAAGTAGAAGCGGATGTCGCTCGCCGTGAACTTCGGGTAGAGGATCCGGAAGTCCACGTTGTTGATCTTCTCGAAAATCAACGCCGGGATCTTGCTGTCCTTGTCCTGGATCAAGTCGTACAGCTTCACCACGTTCGGGCCCCCCGTCAAGTTCTTCAAGATCTTGATCTCCCGGTAGATCTTCTTCAGCTTCACCGGCTTCAACACCTTGATCACGCACGCCTGGTTGTTCAGCACGTTCACCCCGGTAAACACCTCCGAGTACTTCCCCCGCCCGATCTTCGACACAATCTCGTAGTTCGAGATGTCTCCCCACGATATCGTGCAGTGCTCGTAGTCCCAGTACTCCTTCGCCCTGCGCTCGTTCACGTCTGCGTACACTCTCGCCACCGAGTAGATCTTGTTTCCGGCAGAATTCACCTCTCCGACTGACATCCTGCTGCTCTGCTCTGCTGTGTTCACTGCCGTTGCCGTTGCCGCTGTCTCTGTTACTGTTCTTACACGCTTTACACACTCCCCTCTCCTTCTGCTTCTCCTTCTCCTTCTTCTTTCTTGTCCTTCTCCCGCCTCGTCTCGTCTCCTCCACGCACCCGCGAGCTGAGCATTTCGCAAAAGCTCAGCGCTTTTGCGGTTTCAGAACCAGCACCACTTGCCGTTGCCCTCCCATCTGGTGACAAAAGGTTCTTGAGGACGTGCTGGGTCGGTGTTGCTGGTCCGGTGCAAGGCCTGGATGGCGCTAAGACTGTGGTTGGTGTCCTGGACACGGAAGGCGACGCTGGAGCCGGAGGGGCTGGGCCCGGCAGCGGTGGCAAAGGCGTGCTGGAGGCGGTCCACGGCGGCCAAGGGGTCCCTGCCGGTGTTGTCGAAGTCGCCGACGTCGGTGCTCCAGGCATAGACCTTGCGGAGCTTCCAGACGGCGCACTGCTTCAGAACGAGGTCCATGAGGACGACGGCGGTGGCGACGTCGTGGGCGTGCATGGCGGTGACGTAGCAGTCGCCGGTGTGGAACTCCGGGTAGAAGGACACATAGCTGAGGCCGGGGGCGTCGGCGGTTGGGTGGCGGACAAGGTAGCCGGTGGGCACGGTGAGGGCAGGGTCGACGGTGCTTCCGGACGCCCTCTCGTGCTCGACGGCTGGCGGGGCGTGTGCGTCCGGGTGCTGGACCGCCCAGTAGATGGCCCGGGCACGGTTGGCGAACCACTCGAAGAGGCCGGCGGTGGGCTTCAAGGCGAAGGCGAAGGCGGCGCTGTCTGTGTCCGTGTCCCGTTCAACCAGCTTCCGGATGCGGCCTCGGTAGTCGTCGGCAACCTCGGCGTAGTCCATGTACAAGGTCTCGTACTCGACCGCGCAGCTGGCGCCGATCTTGGTGCTGCGGTCGTCCTGCGCCGTGATGTCGAAGACAAACACGGGCACGTTGAAACTCCGGTAGCCAAAGCGGGAGTAGTACTCGCCGACCTCGCTGTACAAGAACGCCACGTCGCAGTCGCCGGTGAGGTACGTCTTCCGCAGCTGCCGGAGCAGCTCCTTCATCATGACGCTGGCGTTGCCCTTGTTGCGGTACTTCTCGACGGTGTAGACCGAGCCGAGGACGGCGGAGCGGGCGTCGACAAGCCGCCCGGCCCTCTTGACCCAGCAGTCCCGGATGAGGATCTCACACGCAGACTCGATCACGCCCGTGGCGGAGTCCTTGAGCACGAAGTAGACGGCGCCGTTGCTCTGCTCCGGCTGCTCTCTGTCGATCGCCATGTACGACGTCCCGTAGTTGATGTTGTCCCGGTGCTGGTACTGCTCCAGCGTCAACGGGGCGCCCCAGAGCTCGTAGTTGTTGGTCTGGCACAGCAGCACCTCCTCTTTGCTTGCGGCGGGGACTAGTTCTAGCGGCATTGTCGTGGCTGTAGTGTCGTGGTGGTCCTAGTGGGGTCGATGGCTGCCTCCTGGCACGCAGGAAGAACGTGGTGGACAAGGCCAAAAGTACATAAGACTTCACGTCCTCGGGTGTTTTTATTTTTCGAGGCCGTTTACCCCGCCAAAGCCATATCTCGTATCTCTCCACCTCCGTTTCTCTTGTTCCTCCATCTGTGTCTCTGACTCTGCCTCTGTTTCTGTTTCTGTTTCTGTCTTTTCTTCTCATCAAGCAGATGACGAGACTCGCCATCGACACGTCGTCGATTGGCAGCAGCACACAGCTGCGACTCGCCACGGTACATGCGCCGGCAGACACGGCAGACACGGTCCCCTCTGCCCACGAGCTGCTCTCTCTCATCGACTACCAGCACGTTCCGCCCCACCTCGTCTCGGAGCGAACGCAGCAGCTGCATGTGGACACCCGCTGCAGCAAGCAGGACGTCCGGGATACGGTGTCGTTTGTGGAGACACTGTTCAAAAGCAGTCTGGCGACACGCCGACTGGTGTCGCTGCTCCTCACAACAGACACGCCGGGCGTCTTTGGCGTCGTGTTCCCGGAGCTCTCCCCCGCCGGACCCTACGCCCTGCGACTGGCCCACATCGACTTCACCGACGAGTACGTGTCGTCCCTGCTGCACCCGCAAACGCCCCTGCGACAGCCGCAAACGAGCGTCGTGGAGCCCCAGTCCACTCTCGCAAGAAGCTTGAACGCCCACATCATCCGTCGCAAGAGCAAGTCCGCAACGGCCCTCCCCATTTCGACTACAGCTACAACCACTCCGGCGTCGACCACACCGTCGACCCCTGCCTCCCTGGTGCCGTCGTCTCCGCCTTCCTTCACGTCAGCGGCGTCCCGGGACACGCTCAGGTCAGACAACTTCATTCCGCTGCTGGAACGGCTCATCCGAGGCGAGTTCCGCATGCGCCGCCTCGATTCCCGCCTGGACCAGAATACATTACGACGGCTGGAGAAGCTGTTGATACGAGCAGTGCTCTTCAGGTTCCGTGGACGACCCGGACTGCAGCCCAGCGTCTCCGACCAGAGACACACCCCCGTCGGCGTCTCCGTGGCGGAGATAGAGGGCATTCTCGACACACTCATACCGCTTCTCCTATGAGTTTCGGTCCCTTCATACGCATTTGTAGATCTGTACTTACTACAGCCACCAATCCCTATCTATACCTTTTTTCACTTCCCACATTGGGGGTTTCTCAGTAGAGAAGGAAAAAAAAAAATCTGATATGCCTCATTTTTTTTCACTCCCGTAGCATGCGGGGGACTAATTACAGCTTAATTAGATGGATTGCCAAGCCAGAACGTCTGGCGTGGACGATTGTGCATGGGAGAGGGAGGGAGAGGAAACACAGGAATAAGCCGGGAGGAGTGCCGAGTCGAGTGGAGAAGTCATCACGCACCATTTGATCGAACACGCTGTGAGGAAGAGGAGGAAAGGGCAGGAAACCACTATCAGGGATAGACATTTGTCGGAATAGAATAGAGAAGAAAAGACGACAACAAGCGCCCCCCTTCACAATAACCCTAGGATGAAGTTTGCCAAAGTATTCCAGCAAGTGCTTGCGGAGGAGCAGATGCCTGAGGAGTGGAAGGAGCGGGCCATCCAATACAAGAAGCTCAAGAAGAGAATCAACAAGGTTGTGGCGGAGCTCGAGTCGATCGGCATCAGCAAGGAGGACGTGGTGTTTCATTACGACTTGGAGATGGTGAAGTCGGAGATCCACCCGCATTTGCAGGTGAAGATCTCGCCTCTCGAAAAGACGCTCATCATGGACCGGCTTTCGAGCCTGGACTATAACTACGAGATTGTGCCGCTGAAGCTGCGGGAGTTGAATGCCGGAGGTCGAGACAGCACGGCGCCCGCATTGGACGTGGAGGACGTGCAGTCGGTGGCTGCGTCGTCGGCGGCGTCGGTGCTGTCTGCGGTGAACCCGTTTGACGACTCGGGCCCGTTCTACGAGTTGAAGATCTCGCTTCTGGAGGACACGAAGTTCTTCCAGGTGTTGTACGACGAGATCGAGGACCTCAACCGGTTCCGGACGGAGCAGGAGGCGGAGATCGCCAACAACGTGGAGGCGATTGCGCACGAGGTGTCGTACGCGACGGTGCCGAAGATGAAGAAGACGGACCTGTACGTGTGGCGGGAGGTTTTCCAGTACTACATCGAGTGCGAGATCTTCTTCAGCACGGCGGAGAAGAAGGCGGGCTCGGTGGACATCGGCCAGAGCAAGGAGCGGTACCTCAAGTTTCTCCAGATGGTGGAGGACTCGCGGGTGCTGCACAAGTTCCATCAGAAGGAGTCGGTGCTGGCGTTTGGCGAGTTCAAGAGCCTCAACTTCCAGATCATGAAGATCTCCAACTACCAGACGTTCAACTCGCTGGCGGTGACGAAGATCTTGAAGAAGTTCGACAAGCAGACCCAGCTCTCGTCCAAGGACATCTTCCCCGAGTTGATCATCAGCAGCAACGAGATGAACATCTTGAACGGCTCGATCGCCACCGACATCTGTCTCGTCATCTCCTCGAAGCTGTTGACCATCGTGCCGCAGATCGACGACTACTTGTGTCCCATCTGCTGCTCGATCGCCTTCAAGCCCATCCGCCTCCGCTGCGGACACCTCTTCTGCATCCGCTGCTTGGTCAAGCTCAGGCGCAAGCACGAGGACAAGTGTCCCTTGTGCCGGAACCAGTGCTTGCTTGCCTTGACCACCGACGACCTCGACGTCGCCCAGATGAACTACATGAAGATGTACTTCCCGAAGGAGGTCCGTGAGAAGGAGCTTGAGAACAGCAGAGAGATCTTGGAGGAGCAGCATGTCATCGACCCGAACAGCAAGGCCTGCCTCATCATGTAGCGGCAGCTGCCTAGCCCTCCCGCTGGCACCTACACATCCTTACACCTTTGTACTTTTAGCACCCAGTATACTTCTATATAGCAAACAAACCGCAAGAAAAGGCCTTTTCCATCTTCTCGCCGTCGCGTCGGTCCTCTCTCCTTCTGCTTCCGTTGTCCCGGAAAAATCTGCCCGGGACAACGGAAGCAGACCCGGAATTACTGCCCGGGACACCTTCCCCGCGTTCTTGTGCGGCTCCCGGAGCAGTTTATCCGCGTGGGGAACCCGGGGGATCGGCATTTCGCTGCGAGTGAGCCCTCCCGTGGCCGGGGCCACGGCCCTGCTGCTCCTGCTGTTTGTTTACCTGCGGCAGCACACGCCGTTGCTGCCGCCGCTGCCACTGCGGGGCAGGGTTTCTATTGCGACGCAGCCGCCGTGTGCGACAGCGGATAAATGGACGTTGGGTGCAAGACGCACAGAGGCCGGACGGGCACGCCCTGGAGGTGCCTCCCAAGGGACGGGGCAGGACGGGGCAACACTCTCCGCAGACATCTCGTGACGGCAACGGTGTAGTGTTTTTCCGGACCCCGCCAGTGCAGGCCATAGCCTCTGGTGTCCCCGCAGACACGCGGATCCATCTGGGGAAAGAAGCCCCCTCCCGTTGCCCCGCTCCCGTCCCCCCGCGGCTGGCTTATTCACGTAGTTTTTCCAGCGCCGCAGGGCCAGCCACGCGCCAGTGGCCGGATTTTTTTTGCCCGCCGCACGGCACGCCGGCAGGGTTGAGGCCGGATCTGCGGCGGTGGAAAAACACGCTGGCAGTCGGCGTTTCTCCAATTTATCCAATCACTGGAAAAACTTGTGACCAACAGGCACGCGGGGGAAAAACCTGGAGAAATGGCGGGGAAGTGTGGAGAAACCCGCAGGATAAATTTATGGGGTAGTGGAGAACCAAGGGCCGGGTTTGTTATAAAAGGCCGGGATGCCGCCGCTGTGGATGGATGTGTCTGTGCTGGGTGTCTGGTGCTTTGTATTTTTTCCTCTGCTTTGTATTTTCTTTCTCCTTCGTTTCTTTCTCTCCTATCTCTCATCACAAAACAACAACAACACACGCATCATGTTAGACCTACTTAAAAAGAAAGGCGACGGCTCGTCCGCCACCCTTGACGGCTCGTTCCAAGACGAGTCTGTAGACAAAATCGAGCAAGAGTACGAGGAGTACCACGAGAGAGAGGAGGCTCCTTTGACATGGAAGACGTGGTTCATCTGTGGTTTCGCGTCGTTCGGTGGTATCTTCTTCGGTTACGACTCGGGATACATTTCCGGTGTCATGGGAATGGAGTACTTTGTGCACCAGTTCACAGGCAAGATCAACGATGGCACAGACAGCTTTGCCTTGGAGTCGTGGCAGAAGTCCTTGATCACGTCGATCTTGTCTGCCGGTACCTTTTTCGGGGCCTTGATTGCCGGTGACATGGCCGACTTTGTCGGAAGACGTACCACCGTCATCATCAGCTGTGCGGTGTTCATCATCGGTGTCATTCTCCAAACGGCCTCCTCCAGCATCGCTCTCTTGACAGTCGGAAGAATCATTGCAGGTTTTGGTGTCGGAGGTGTTTCCGCAACAATCATCCTCTACATGTCTGAAATCGCTCCAAAGAAGGTCAGAGGCTCCACTGTCGCCGGCTACCAGTTCTGTGTCACCCTCGGGTTGTTGATTGCCTCCTGTGTCGACTACGGTACCAAGGAAAGAACCGACTCGGGCTCCTACAGAATCCCCATTGCTATCCAGATGTTGTGGGCCATCATCCTCATGACCGGTTTGTTTTTCCTACCTGAGTCCCCAAGATTCTACATCAAGAAGGGCAAGCCAGACCAGGCGATCAGAGTGTTGGCTATCTTGAGACAACAACCAGAAGACTCCTCATATGTTCAAGACGAAATCGCCGAGATCATCGAAAACCACGAAAGAGAAGCCGCCTTGATCCCAACCCAAACCTACTTTCAATCCTGGACCTCCTGTTTCACCGGTAGTCTCAGAGACCAATCCTCCAACCTCAGAAGAACCATCTTGGGTACCTCTCTACAAATGATGCAGCAATGGACCGGTATCAACTTCATCTTCTACTTCGGTACCACCTTCTTCCAAGAGTTGGGTACCATCAAAAACGAGTTCTTGATCTCCATCATCACCACCTTGGTCAACGTCGGTTCCACCCCATTGTCCTTCTACACTGTCGAAAAAATGGGAAGAAGAGTCCTTTTGATCTACGGAGCCGTCGGTATGGTTGTCTGTGAATTCATTGTTGCGATTGCCGGTACCGTCGACGGTGGGAACCCTAAGACTGTCAGTGCCATGATTGCTTTCATCTGCATCTACATCTTCTTCTTTGCATCCACCTGGGGGCCAGGTGCGTGGATTGTCATTGGTGAAATCTTCCCATTGCCAATCAGATCCAGAGGTGTTGCTTTGTCAACTTCTTCCAACTGGCTGTGGAACTGTATCATCTCCGTCATCACCCCATACATGGTTGGTAGCGACAAGGGTAACCTTGGTGCCAAGGTCTTTTTCATCTGGGGGTCCTTGTGTGGCTGCTGTTTAATCTACGCCATTTTCCTTGTTCCAGAGACCAGAGGCTTGACCTTGGAAGAAGTCGACGACATGCTGGCCGAAACCAGCCCATTGACCTCCTACAAGTGGAAGCCACACCGTGTTGAACACTCTGACGACTTCTTGAAGGAGAAGTCAAATGTCGACCACATGGAAAACGTCTCTGTTGACGAACAGGTTTAAGACGCAACCCTTTTTCCCTCGTTACGACAACTACAACGATAATAACGTACTTTTTACTTCTTTCTCTCTTTCTGTTGAACTTACCCTCTTTGGCTTAAGTAACGCCATGTATAATTTCCCTACTTTCTCCAATATACAATACAAAAAGATAATGTGATTCTCGAGATCTCGATCTGCTACATGTTTCTTTTGCGATGCCCAACAGAATTGCGTGACCCGGCAATAAAACCCGACACGGGCGGCAATCTGGATCCAGCTAGCCAGCACTAAGAGCAATCGTGCTATGTGCAGGTAGGCAGCACAAGGAGCAATCGTGCTCTGTGCAGGCAGCACTAGGAGCAATCGTGCCCTGCTTTGTTTGTCGCCCTTCCCCTCTGAATAAGACGAGGAATATACGAGGAGACAAAGGTGAGACCTAAGAATGGCTATCAAGCAGGCTGCCCCACACATGTGCCTAGATCCTCGGCCATGCATCCCCGCCCACACGAGGTGGCTTATTAAGCACAACGTTCTGTGCGCTGGGGGGGGATCTGCGGGATTTCTTCGTAATGCTGTCGGCCCGGATTACGTATCCACACAGCAGCATAGACGATATAAATATTCGACGTATGGAAGGCCCTGTGATGGATGCAACACCACACATCCATTACACATGACGACGTTGGCCAGAAAGCCCTAAAGCACGTTTGCAGTCGTTGTCTGCCCTGCCCCGCCCTATCTTTTTCTACTCCCCCTCCCACCGACTCCTCTCGCCTCAGCCTCCTGTGCCCGCTCGCTCGCTCGCCTTTCTTTTCCTTTTCTTTGTCGCCGGTTTGAGTTTGGCACTGGCGAAGCAAAGCGGCAGCGCGGGCAATCCGGTGTTTCTGTGCATTAGTAGCTTGTGTGTATGTGCTCGGGCAGGCGTGCGGGGCCAGCAAATACAATATCCAGCTGCGCGAGGGATTCCTCGGGACCACTGCAGGCGGTGCAAAAGCGTAATTTGCGGCGCATGGCGCACTAAGTGGCGGTCGCGGACCTAATTGCGGCGGCTCTGGTGCGAGCGGGAAATGTTGGATTAGAGGGCCGTACAGGAGAGTGTGCCTCCTCATGGACGAAGACGGCATGCGATATACGCTAGCTTGTTCCGTGCTGCCGCGGAAACCGTGTTCGGGAAGGGGTGAATTGCGGGGATGGGGCTCTGTGCAGGGCCTCAGGACGCCTTGGGAAAAATCTTTTTCCGTCGCATGCCGCTGGCGCCTGCGGCCCGCCCTTGGTATCTGCGATTGCGTATTCAGCTTTCGGCCAGAAGGCGTTCTGCAGGCGGGCCGGCCTGCATGCCCGCACACCCGGCTTGCTGGTTCTGCTTCCGTGCGGCTAATGAGTGTCCGACCGTAGCTTCACTTAGCCCATGCTGCAGCATATCTGCCTGCGGCTAGTGCCTTGCGCCGAGGATATTGCGGCCCGGCTTGTGCGGCTGCAGGCGTTCTAGAATTCCGTTGCTGACTAGCCTGCTGCGTCAGCAGGCAGACGTCGCGGCATCCGGAGGCGAGCCCAGGGTAACGTATGCTGCAGCCTGAATTGTAGTGAAGTTTCCAAGGTGCAGCGGTGGCTATATGCCTGCATGGAACGACGCTATCCCCCGGTTAAGCTTTGCGTCTCCAAGGCGCCTTTTTTTTCTCTCTGTCTCGCTCCCGCCAGGCCAGATTGCGTTTTTCTTCCTTGCCTTCACTGTTGTTCCGCTGGCTCGTATGCGTGCTTCATGCAGACAGGGTTCCGGGAAGGTATTGTCTTGTGTGGATGAGTGAGATATGCAGCTCCTCGTCGAGGCACATTGTTCCTTGGGCCTCCCTGTCCAGGGAGTAGACGGGCTGTTATAAATAATCATTCACTTCCGCTTGCTGTCTGCCCGCCAGCTAGGTGCCCGCTCTGCATTCTGTGTGTCGGATTTGTCCCTACCTCTTGTTTACTTGCTGTCTGTCTCTGTCCACCCCAATTCTCGCCTACCCCCCTGCGTCTTTCGCAGGATCTGAACCGCAACAATTTCTGAGTACTCGCAACGCTTCTCCAGAGAGTGAGCCGGATAGTTCGATAGCTATCAAAGAAAAAAACTTTTCTATATTCACACGCGTAGAAGAAAAGTTTACCCACTAGGTCAGCATACTTTTTCTTTTTCACTTGCAGAAATCTCAAGGTCGATACCAGAACTGCCGTCGACATACACATGGGTGCACGGTAGAAGGGAAACACAACCTCTGACTTCATCACTGTCGACACCGAAGAAAAAACTCGGCCGCCTCAGCAAGTAATGGCCTCTTTGTATAGACACACATCCTACGGCAGTCAAGAAAATACTGCCAACAACAGCCAAAACAACAACAACAACAACAACAACAACAACAGCAACAGCAACAGCAACAGCAACTCCACCGCCTTTTCCACAGGGAACAGCATGGCGGACATGAACCAGAACTACCACAACTACCCAAACATGAACATGCCTCCTGCGCCCCTTCCCAACATGAACATGAATATGAGCATGTCAAAAGTGCCTAGCATGGGTGGCATGAACAGCATGAATAGCATGAACAGTATGAACAATAGAAGCATGGGCGTCATGGGCGTCCCAATGGGATACAGCAACCAGGGTTACCCTGTATCGGGCGGCATGAACCTTGGCACCGGCGTCGGCGTCGGAGTCGGGATACCTGTGTCAGCAGCCAACTACACACGCCAGCACTTCCCTCCTTCGAATAACGTTGGACTTGCCAGTCAGTTGAGCTACGGCGAGAAGGATGGCTTCGATTCACGTATTCCCAGCGGAGGCATAACCTCGAACACGCAGACCAAGTCTCCGCTGTCGCCACAGCTTTACCAACAGAACAATACCAACCGCTCCAGTGGCTACAACAGCAACGGCATCACAATCGGTGTCAGCAAGGGGAGTGTGGCGTATCCGCCAACTCCTCAGACACTCCATTCACAGCAAGGACAATACCCATTAACGCCGCCAGCGTACGATAACCAAATAGGCGGTGCCGGTGTGAACTACCGTGAGACGAGCCGGCTGCGAGGGCTCGCCGACGAGGACAGCGAGGGGTACGGAGACCACGTTAGCGGGAGCAGCAACACCGGCGACGAGAGTCGGGAACTATACTACGAGATGAGCTCGAAGACATATGTCCCCAAGACCCGGGAGGAGGGCCGCGAGGGCCTACGGACGGGGGCACTCGTGAAGGTGGACGCTGAGCACGAGAACGGTGACAGCAGCGGCAGCCGCAAGAAGAAGCTCACGGGCAGCGGTAACGAAAGCGACGACGACGACGACTCTGACGGCAGAGACGACGAGAGCAGGAACCCAGAAAAGAGGGAGGCGAGCGGCAACCGCAGCCGCAACAAGCGATCTCGAGGCGGCTGTTTGACCTGTCGCCAGAGAAAGAAGCGGTGCTGCGAGTCCAAGCCTGTGTGTTCGGAGTGCAGGCGGTTGAACATCAAGTGCAGATGGCCTGTGCCAGGCAGCGAGCGCAAGAACAAATCGAAGAACCAGCCCCACATGTCGCACGACGAGGTGTACCACGAGGTGTACGGCGTGATCAAGGTGCTACGAGGGGTTGTCGACTACAAGATCGAGCCATGAACCGTCTATGGGTTTGTTATAGTGCACGAGAGCGATGCATATGTAAATTTAAACAAAGTTCCGGCAAGGCTGTCTGCGCTGACGAAAGGAGCCTTTTACGATTTCTGTATTTTAGTTGACAACACCCGCACCTGCCTTCCATCGGTTTTACGAATGGTCCCTAAAGTATGTCCCTGTTTGCCCTGCTGTTAGCACAACGAACATCCCTCCGCACCGTGCTGTTGCCGCGGATAGGATCGTCCGCTCTTCCGGCAGCAACTAACAGTATGCTGCATGCAGCTCTAATGTTCCCAAATGCCACCCAGAGCACCAGCACTGCCGTCCCCCCACCATGTGCACAGCGTGGAATTTTCGTTGTGTTTGTGCCCGCCTTCTGCCTGCGGGTCTCGTCGCAGCGTTGCACTTGCAATTCCCTCTACCTGCTGCAGACATGGCGATCGTCTACGATCGTGGGATCCGAGCGGCAGCGGGACACGACGACGTCAGCGCCAGGCGCGCCGCGCAAAGGAAAATAGTGTATAACAGAGAAGGAAAGAAAAAAAAAAGGCGGCTGCAATGCGGTGTAAAGCGGCGGCCCTGCGCAGGGGCTGCCGCAGCGGACGGGCGCTGCCGCCGTCGAATAGCCGCAGGCGATTGGTCCGTTGATGCTGGGCCGCGGCCCGGGCGGCGGAGGCAGCGGCTTAGTCAGCGGTTCGGCCCGTGGTCGGGACGTCGGCGCGTCGGCGCGTCGGAAAGCCGCTACAGGAGGCAGGGAGGCGCGGCTGAGCCCACGCCGATATCTGCTGCTAGGGAGGGAGAAGGGAAGAACGGAAGGATAGAAAGAAGAGGTAGAGAGGAGTGGGTGGATAGTGTGTACAAGTGTATATTAATTAGACTAGAGTGTATAAGGAGGTCGTGCATTAGGAAGTGCGGGGGACCGAGCCGTGGTCCCGAGAGCAGTGGGGCCGAAACATGAAGAAGGAAAAAAACGTAAACCGTACAGGGGGAAGGACAAGGGGAAAATAAAAGAAACGAAATGAAACGAAAAAACGAGGAGCAAGTTGCAGGGGGCGAGGAGGGAAGAAGAAACAAAAAAAGCGTAAGAGGAAAAGCGATGGTAGGAGCACAAGACGGAAGGCCAACCGTGGGTCTGTGCTCACACAATGAAGCGAACACTGCTCAACTCTTGGCTGAAGCTTATTCTTTTCTTGGTGCCCTTGCACTCGGTCTTGGCTGCGTAGAGGTTCCTGCGCTTCTTCAAGATGGACTTCAACTGCTTGCCGTTGAGAGCCAGGGCTGGGGGAGACAGGTCCGGTAGGTCTGTGTTGGACAAGGACGTCTGCGAGCCCGATGAGACAATGAACGAGGACGTGGAGGACGTGGAGGACGCGGAGGACGCCGGCAGAGGAGGAGGGGGGGTCATGTCTGCGTGTGCAGCAGAGGCGGTCTCTGCGGCGACAGCGGCGATGGGGGCGGCGGTCTTTGGGGCCGCCTTGCTGTTGGACAGGCTTGAGATCGACGTGCCTGCGGACTCAAGACTGTAGTGTTTCTGTAGCAGCAAGCTGTCACTGTCGCTGTCGTTGTCGTTCTCGTTCTCGTTCTCGCTCGTGGACGAGGAGTAGTCCGAGTTCCAGGCCTCGGCCATCTTGCAGTCGCCGTCGTAGTCGAATATTCGGGCGGAGCCCTTCACTTGCTGCTGCTGGAGGTTCTTCTGCCTCTTCTTCTCGGCGGCGTCGTCCGCGTCGTCGATGAGCGGGCCGTACAAGACCGTCACGTCGTTCTCCTTGAACCAGTTGATCTCGGTCGGGTCCAACTCCTGCAAGCTGCGGAGCTTCTTGTACCACGCTCTCCAGCACGCGTTCTCCAACCTCGCCTGGCTTGTCGTGGGCAAGAACATCATCAAGTCGTCCGTCTGCTGCACGGTGCGCAAGCGGGTGATGTTGTCCACGTTCGACAACTCGTACGGCTTCATGAACTGGTTGTTGGAGATGTTCTTCCAGCAGCTGTGGTACTGCTTCGACGTGAGGTCGTAGGAGAAGTAGTCGACGGCCAGCGGCGGGTCCGAGCGCACAAACGACTCGAACGAGGGGTTTGTGCTGATCACGGGGAGGATGTTGAAGTTGTCGCATCTCGTCGACTCGATGAAGTTTGTGTCTAGGAACTGGTGTGCGAGGTTCAGACACTGGGTCTCGTCGTCTTCTGTGGGTTTCATCGCAGGCCGGGGGTGTTGCTGGTGCTGTTGCTGTTGCTGGTGCGGTGTGCGGTGCGGTGTGCGGTGCGGTATGGTCGGGGGTATCTCTAGGGGTGTTGCGTGCAGAGGCGCTGTGTATCGGGCTTTCTGTGTACCGGGGCGGGGATCGGGCTCTCTACTGCTGGCACTACTGCTGATTTCTGATCTGAAGGCGGCGCCAGCGGGACTAAAATACAAGAAACGAGAAACGGGAAAGAAATGGGACTAGTGGGGGGCAGGGAAAAGAAGCCAGGGCCGGTCCGGTGCATGCGGTTGCGTTGACGGAGTGGGAGGAGAAGGGGGGCCATGGGGACGAAGCTTAGATAATAAATACGGGCCGGGCAGGGAGCCCGATCTGGACCGACATTGCACATTGCATTAAAATCGCGATAGCGTTTTAGCCACCACTAGTAAATACAGAATAATTAGAAAATGGGGGGGCCCACAGGCAACAAATGATCGCTAATAATCAAAAATAGCCACCAAACAGAAAAAGACAGCAACAAGCAACAATGCAGCACGGCAGCGCTGCAGAGCACAATAGTGACCCGCAGCGAGTAGTCACAAATACTGTTTTCGCGGGTGTGGAAGGCACCAGAGCGTGCGGGAGTGCGAGTGCAAGCAAGCTAAAGCGGCAGCAGCTGCCGCCCCGAGCCGCGAGCCGGGTCTTCGCTGCGAGCGTGCCGATCGCATCCCGCCGCAGGCCGCACTGACCACGAGCTAAAGACACAGCCCGCAGATCGTGGCCCGCAGGGCCCGCAGGCCGTGCTGCAGAGAACATTTCTGCGGCCTGCGGCGTGGGACACGCGGCCGTTGCCGCAGAACTAGCGGGGCGGAATCGGGCACGGCCCCGCGGGGCAGTCACGGCCTGGGCTGGCCGCATCGGGCAATACCCAAACAGGGGGGGGAGGAGTGGCCGAACGCATCGGGCCGCGGCTAGTGGTGTGTCAGAGGAGTTGCCGCCAGGCCTGGCGACAGCGTGGCGGCAGGCTTTGTCCGTGGCGTGTGTCTCTGGCACAGTCGTCGTCACCGTTAGTACGTCGGCCACGTCGTGCCAGGCCAAGGTGTGGGGAGAGCGGGACCACGCCCCCGCTCTGCCACGGGGCCACGGGCGTCAAAGAAACGGCAGGCGGCGGCAGACACGGCCCCGCACACCGGCGGCCGGGAACACGCCCGATTGGGCCACCTGCGCGCCGGCTTCTCTCTGGTTTCTGCCCCAGATAATCCGCAGCGGTCTCGGCAGATGAGGGGTGAGGGGCTCCTGTGTGGTGAAGCAGCATTGTCTGAACCGGGGCTGTCGCCAGCTGTTATTGTCCTGGCAAGCACGCCACGCCGTGGAGCACAGGACATGGGGCCACGATGCCTGGGGCCGTCTGGCGCCATTTGCTTTCGTGTGTCTGTGTCTGTCTATCCATCTATTCACCTATTTAGTTACACATGCCGTGGCGTGGGGTCTGGGCCTTTTTCCCGGGCGCCGACCAGCCGCCCGCGTCGGGCTTATCTAGCAAATCCGTCGCAGCTGAGCACTGCGTGTCGCAAGGCCGCCATCGCATCGTTGCTGCCGCCGTTGCGGCTGCTGCCAACACTCTCCCTCGACTCGCATATCTTGTTGAGACTCGTAGCCGTGGCAGCCCTGTCGCCCCGCCTGAACTGGCTCAAGCGGCTCATCTCGTCCCGCACCGCAGGCTGGTCGTACACCGCGAAGCCGGGGACGCCGGAGCCTGGTGGCCCGGCCGCCGTCGCGTCGACGTCGATCCCGGCAGAGAGCCCCTTGGCCGCAGCGTGGGTGTTGCTGCTCACCACATAGGTCATGTTGACGGTCTTGACCCGCTCGTACTCCTGGTTGATGTAGTCCTCGAAGCCGCCAGGCTGGCTGTGCAGTAGGTGGCGGCCGTGGCTCGTCTGCGGCCGGGAGCTTCTCGCACGCTGCACGGGCGAGTTTCCCGCACTGATGTACTCGATGGGCGTGTAGTAGTCCGTCATGTACGGGTCGCTCTTCATGCTGTTGCGAATGATCTGCTGGCGCTGCTCGTTGTACCGCCGCTGCTCGTTGAGGTACTGCTCGTAGCGGCTGGGCTCGAAGTTGTCCATGTCCGAGTCCGAGTCCGAGTCCGAGGCTAGGCCGCTGTACGGGTTCGTGGCACACTCCTCGAGCGCCCCGCACGAGGACACGGGTCGCTGGTAGGAGTCGTACTGGTGGCGGGACGCGGGCGGGCTGAAGAGGTTGTTTTCGAGCACCCGGGCGTAGATCTTCGCCTTGCCGTAGTCGTCGATGTCGAGCGTGAGCTTGTAGCGGTAGCTCAATCTGTATCTGTACTGCTGCTGCTGCTGCTGCTGCTGCCTGTGGGGCCTCTGCGGAGACGACTGGGGCGTCGCCTGCGCCGAGTACTTGCCCACGCGGCCGTGTGTGCTCCTCTGCAGCCTCATCACGCTGTCAAGGCTCATGTTCTGGTCGAAGCCCCGCCTTCTGGGGGTGTGCGCCGTGGAGATCGGCGACGAGTTGATGTACTTGAAGATCTGGTCTTCGTAGTGCTTCGACGAGCTGTTGTAGAACGGCGACGACTGCACGCTGAACGTGGCCTTCTCCTCCGGACCGCTTGCGGTCTTCACGTTGCCGCTGTGCGGGTTGCTCGTGAGGTGGCTCTTGCCACTGAAGTTGCTCTTGCCGAAGCCGTACTCCGACGGAAGTGGAGATGTCTGCAGCGGCGACGACGACTGGTGGACCGGGTCGCTGGTGAGCAGGTTGCTGCTCAGCGGCGACGACGATGACAGCGTCGACGGGTCTGTCGTGCTGGTCTTGGAGGCCTTCTGCGGGGTGGCTACCGCCACCGTCGAGTTCACAAAAAACGGCTCGCTGTACGCCTTCCTCGGCGTCTTGCCGCCGCCACCCGCCATGCCGGCGCTGTTGTTGATCTCGTAGAGCACCGACTTCGTCTTTGACGCCGTCTTCCCGCTGCCGCCGCCGCCGCCGCCGCCGAGCCGGCTGTCCTTCGAGGGGCTCAAACGCATCACCGGCGTCGAGCAGAACCCCTGCTTCACCGTCGCCTCGCTCAACTCGTGTGCACTCTGCTGGTTCAATGTGTTGAGTGCGATCGGCATTGTCGACTCGCCAATCACTCCTCCAGACTGGTGTTTCTTCAACGAAGGACGGCCCCGCCGCTTCTTCATCGGCGACGACCCCAGCATCTCTGTTTCGTCGTGCGTACCCACCATCTGTGTCTTGCTCCCTCTCGCCTGTATCCTAACTGCCTAAGGCCCCGTACGAGCCCTTCTGTTCTTCTTTCCAGCTCTGCCTCTAGTCTGTTTCAGACTCTCCAGCTGTGTGCACTGCATCCAATTACAGTTCCCAAAACGGCAATTCTCTTTTGCTTGCTCTTTGTCTTGAGCCGCACCCCGGTGCACAGGTGGGTCCTCCCAACTCCCCTTCTCCGTCTCTATGGTTCTGACACAGATAGGGTTTTCGGACAGAGAGTACACAAGAAGGCGGCTCTGCGCCAGGACGGGGGCAAAAGAAGACAAAGAGACACAGTGAGCAATGGCATCAGTGGAACAGAAGGAACAGCTGGGTCGGCGGGTGGCCGAGTGGCTGGCAATTGACGTCAACGCAGATACCAGGGGCCAGATCGAGCAGCTGGCAGCGGACATGGACACGAACTACGGCAGGCTCGATGAGCTGCTCACGAACCGGATTGTCTTTGGAACAGCAGGGCTCAGGGCACGCATGGAGGCCGGGTTCAGCCGGATGAACGATGTGACGGTGCTTCAGGCGTCGCAGGGGCTTGCAGAGTACATACGGGGCGACGACGGCGTGTCGGCTGCTGCAGCGGTCGTGGTTGGGCACGACCATCGTCACCACTCGAGGCGGTTCGCAGAGTTGACGATTGCTGTGTTCCTGCTCAAGGGCTTCACGGTGCACTACATCGGCCCGGACGAGTGTGCGACGCCTATGGTGCCCTTTGCGGTGGACCGGCTCGGGGCAGTCGGTGGCGTGATGGTCACCGCGTCGCATAACCCGAAGGACGACAATGGGTACAAGGTGTACTGGGCCAACGGGTGCCAGATCATTCCGCCACACGACAGCAACATCCAGGCGAAGATTCTGCAGAACTTGGAGCCGGTGGCGGGGCTCAATTATGGCGGCCGCTGGGACACGGCTCGCATCTTCGAAACACACGCCGACAGACTGGTGTACAGTTACGACAAGATAGTCGCGGAGTACTGCACACATCTCCTGGACGTGTTGAAGCCTGAGCCGATCTCGGACTTCAAGATCGTCTACACGGCGATGCACGGGGTCGGCCACAAGTTTGTGTCCGAGCTCGTGCACCACTTCGTTCCGGCCATGGAGAACTTTGTCTCTGTGAAGGAGCAGTGCACGCCGGACCCGGACTTCCCGACAGTGAGTTTCCCGAACCCGGAAGAGAAAAATGCGCTTGACATGTCGATCTCCACGGCAGACACGCTGGGTAGCGGCTACAACCTCATTGTGGCCAACGACCCGGACGCAGACAGGTTCACGGCAGCCTTCAGGCAGAAGAACAACGGCTGGAAACAGTTGTCCGGGAACGAGATCGGGATTCTCTTTGCAGACTACGTCATCCACTCCCAGTTCCTCGACAAGTCGCTGGGCGTGGGCAACGTGTACATGTTGAACTCCACGGTGTCGTCTCAGATGATCGGCTCCATTGCTTCGAAACTCGGATTCCACTTCGAAGACACCTTGACCGGGTTCAAGTGGATCGGGAACAAGGCCATCGACCTCGAGAGGGAGGGCCACGTCGTGCCCTTTGCGTACGAAGAAGCCATCGGGTTTATGTTCCCCACCGTGCATGACAAAGACGGCATCTCTGCGCTTGTGGTGTTCCTCCAGCTGTACAACCGGCTTCTCAAACAGGGCCTGGACCCGTCCCAGAAACTCGAGCAGCTCTACTCGCTCTACGGGAACTTCAAGCAGTGCAACGGCTATTATATCACCTCCGACCTTGCAACCCTGCCCTCCATCTTCAACACCATCATCCGGACCAAAAACGTGCCCCAGGGTGGGGCCTACCCTGTCAAGATCGGCACCTACACAGTCACGTACTGGCGCGATCTCACCGTCGGCTACGACTCCAGCACAGCAGACCACAAGCCGCAGCTCTACATCGACCCAACGTCCCAGATGATTACATGCACCGTTGTCCCAGACGGTGCCGCCGACCACGAGGAGTTTGTCAGGTTCACCGCACGCGGCTCCGGCACAGAGCCCAAGTTGAAGGTGTACATCGAAGCCCGGTCCTCCACTGCCGCCCGGGCCGAACACCTCGCCTCCAACGTCTGGGACACCCTTCGGGACGAGTGGTTCCAGCCGCAAATACACGGTCTTGTCGAACGCAAGGTGTGACGCTCTCTCCGTCTACCGCTCCTCCTCCCTTGTACATCGCATCAATATCCTCTTGTTATCATTATTGTACCTCTCCGTCCCTCTGTGACGTATACGCTTTTTTCCTTCTTCGCCCCTTTTTTTCACTTTTTTCGGGCCGATCGACCCAAATCGTCCACTTTCGGGCGTTTGTTTACTGTCCGGTGATCCTGCCTGGGCTCTGGAAGATCCACTTGGTGTACACGTAGAGTACGCTGACACTCCCTTGTGAAGAAAATGCAGTTTTGTTTTGCCTCAAAACCACCTATACTGTGAGACGGTATCTGCTAACATCGACAACACGTTCCGAGCAATACCAAGTACACTGTCTCTGCAGGTGTTGTTCCCGTTGTTCGTCAGACCACCAGTTTCTCCTGTAAGCAGAAGTTCGACACCGTACAATCATGATGCGAGATACATGGAAGAAGAAAAGAACGGACATCCCTATGACAATAGGGGAAGCGTCCAGGTACAACACGAAGGGGAAGTCCAAGGATGACAAGACTTTGATCTACAAGATGCTTTTGGCACTCTGTGTGGCCTTTGCCGTCTTCTTCATCGCTCTTCGGACCCCCACCGCTGGTACCGAAGTCAACGTGCTCTATGAGAGGAAGCAGGCGAAGGATGGCGCTAAGTCGTCAGAAACAACTGCGGTGCCGAAGCTGCAGTCAGACTTGGAGAATGGGATTGGTGCAGAAATAAAGGCTGATCTGGAAAACCTAAAAGCAATAGAATCCGAAGCAAACAGCGCACTTGCTACTCCTCCTAACCAAGACGCAGAGCTACCCGACAACGTGGAATTCTACGACCTACACGACTATGAAGGAACGCCAAAGGGTAAAGAAAACGAAGAAATCGTGCTATTGCTAGTTCCGTTGAGAAATGCTGAAAAAGTCTTGCCTTTGATGTTCCGTAACATGATGAACATTACCTACAACCACAACCTTATTGACATAGCGTTTTTGGTCAGTGACTGCTCAGAGGGCGACCACACTTTGGAAGCATTGTATGAATACACAACAGCCATGCAAGAAGGTAAGTTGTTGCCAATTTTAGAGGCAAAGGAGTTGCAGACCAAAGGTAAAGGTGTTTTTGGCTCGAGCGACCTATACCTCAAGTATATGCCGCAGGACTATGTCGAGCAGGTGAAAAAAGCATACTCTCCTCCATACCATAGTGAGTATGAAAAGCCCTTCAGAAGTATCCAAATTTATGAAAAAGATTTTGGACAGGTGATTGGTCAAGGCTTCAGTGATAGGCATGACGTTAAGATTCAAGGTATCAGACGAAAATTGATGGGACGAGCCAGAAACTGGCTTCTCTCTACTGCGCTGAAACCTTACCATTCCTGGGTTTACTGGAGAGACGTTGACATTGAAATGTCCCCTGGCGACATTTTGGAATTCATGATGAATTTTGCAGGAGGTTACGACGTCATTGTTCCAAACGTTTGGAGACCGTTGCCTACATTTCTCGGTCGTGAACAGCCCTATGATTTGAACTCTTGGATAGAGTCCGAAGACGGTCTAAAATTGGCTGAGACGTTGGACGAAGATGATGTCATTGTCGAAGGTTATGCAGAGTATTCTACATGGAGAGCACACTTGGCCTATATTCGTGATGCCAAAGGCTCTCCCAATGAGGTCGTAGAATTGGACGGTGTAGGTGGTGTTTCTATCCTCAGCAAGGCGTCAGTGTTTAGACATGGCTCCAACTTCCCGGCCTTCACTTTCATGAATCATGCGGAAACCGAAGCTTTTGGAAAAATGACAAAAAGAATGGGAATGCATGTCGGAGGATTACCTCACTATACTATCTGGCATATATACGAGCCAAGTGAAGATGATCTCATTGAAATATCCAAATTAGAACGAAGAAAAAGAAGATTTGGGAAGGAAAGAAACAGCTAGTATGAAATTCTGGATTTTCTCAGCGTAACCACATTTTGTCATCACAGAGTATATCCCTCAGTATATAGAATAGTATGAGATGTATAGACCAAAAAAATGAATAAGATAACTAATATTGTATTTTATACAGTAATGCTGAAATTAAGGGAAAAGGTAAAGATGTAATCGAAATGGAAGTGAATATTATACTGAAGTAAATAAAAGAATTCAAAAATAACTTTTTGTAATAATAGAAATTAGGAATACGCCGTTGGTGTGCATTTCAATGGTGCTGATAAGACGAGGTATACTAGAGCTGCTAGTTATTTTTGAAGAGCTGATCGGAGTTGACATCGTTGAGTCTGATCTGGGGTTGATAAGTTTGACATCGTTATTGCGCTATTCCCACTGATTGACTTTCATAATCGCACTCAATAATTTGTTTTGCATGAAAAAAATCCCCAAAATCCAGTATCTATTGTCCGTAGTATCCAGTCCTTATATGTTGCTAATACAATAGCCACTTATTCTGAATAATCAGGATAATTCCACCGAGGTACATGTGGGAAGTCAAAGTTCAGTTTTTGCCACAAATTCCAAGGACAATATTCAAAATAGAATTGCAATGGACTGCATAACTCTCACCATCCGTGAGTGAATTGGAAAAAATGAATGCGGCGTGTTTGCATCATAAGTGGTATAAACAACGATGTTGTTCCACTATCCAGCAGAATTATTTTTGACTGACTAATCAAATTATTGAAAATTTGAAAAGATCAAAAAGCAAGCCCAAATTGTCAACAAAAATATAATCAATACTAGCCTCCCAATGGTGGTAATCTCAAATGAATGGAGAGGTGTATATTTCTTATGAATAAAGGGTAAATTTGTTCGATCTTACAACTATGTGACCAAAATTTTCCAAATCACTTTCAGCCGAAGTCGACAAAATAACAGAGACGATGGGCCACAAAAGTCGCCGCTGTATCCATGATGTATAGTTTCTTTGGCCTTTAAGCTCAAACCCAAAAATTGTAAAGGCTTTTTTTGTACAGACAATGGAACAAAACAGTTCGGAGGAAATCTCATCTTTAGAAAAGAAGCAACATGGCACATACCGAGAGGCTTAACAGCGCGTAATTTGCTTACCTTTTGGACAACCGAGAGAAAGAGGTAATCAAAAAAGAGAGGTGTTAAAAATTTATTTTCAAATGATCGAACCCAGGATCGAACTGGGGACGTTATGCGTGTTAAGCATATGCCATAACCAACTAGACCATCCGACCACTTGTTGTGCTTTTGTTACTGTTCTATAATTAGTCTAGCTTATAATACTAAGCATTGCTGGGCTCACTCCTGGACAAACTTTCGAAGAGGAAAGCTCATCATGACCACGGGAAACTAAAAATTAATGAAGGCAAACAATTCTTGTTTGTAAATGTTGAGATAGGATGCCGAAGCTAATAATGATCGAGGGATAAGAGATAAGAATCTTATCATGATAAGGTATCTTAGTATTGAGATAAGATGCCGAAGCCAATAAGGATCAAGAGATAAGAGATAAGAGTCTTATCATGATAAGGCATCTTAGTAATCTAAAACTGGAAAGTTAGCCGCCGTCACAAATGAATAATGGCAAGTTTAACCGAAGGTATAAGTGTATAAATACAAGAGGTTTGTCTCTGTATTTATGACTGAGAGTAATAGTCTGTATGTCAGTTATATTAGATATATATATAAATAAGCAACAAAAATAAGAAAAAGTGAACATATACAATGGATATTCATAACAGAATAGCTAGATTACAACAGTAAATCTATCTGAATTTCATTCTACTCTGTTCTGTATTAACGCTTATCTCAGATGACCCGTCTTTGTTGAGACAAAATGCCGAAGCCATTGAGGATCAAGAGATAAGAGATAAGAACTTTACAATGACAAGGCATCTAAGTAATTTGAAACAAGAAAGATTAGTCGACGTCATGAGTGTGTAAAGACAAAAAGTTTGTACTTTGTAATAAAGGTGCAGAATCTTCGGCTCTCTTATCACTACCTCAATTGGTCCAAGTTGCCAACAGTTATGCCCTCTTCACAAAATATATCTTTCAACAATGTATCTTTTCGCCGAAAGAGACAGGCAATATCTGTCCTTAAAACACTCTTCTGTAATAGTTGAACTATCACCATATGGGAGAAAAGTGATTCATGGGAAAGTCCAAGCCAAGTGATCACCTCAGTATCAAATTTTTGAGGTCCGTTATCTAAAGTTTTGCATTCTAAATGGATGCACTCTGAGCAAATAATTCCCTCAACATGTCTCTCTTGCTGCTGTAACAAATAGAAGCACATTCATAGCCTGACTCAGAGGGAGGTGGAGACAAAACAAAACTCAACGTCGGAGCAGCAATTCCAGAGAAAGCCAAGAAATTGAGGTCGAATGAGCCTGAGTTCAAGCATTGACGGAGTTTTGCAGTGTCCAAAATTGCTGTGCTTTCAGTAACATTACACTCTTCATCCATTTTTCATTTTCGTAATGATCGTAAAAGCCCAGCCAAAAAGAAGATGAAAGCCCGGCCAAAAAAGCCTACAAAAATAGTTTATTGAACAAATACATATAGATAGCTTGATTTTTGTCGAATATTGCCTGTAGTTTTTTGCCTGTCTGAAGAATAGTAATTGATTTTCAATATTGGCCTGAGAGTGCATTTATATAATATTTATCTGAAGTTAACACCGGGGTAGTTTTAGCTGTGTAGGCATGTTTTTCTTACATCGGGTCAGACTCTTTTGGTGCTGTGTTTGGCGAAACTCCAAATCCTAAAAAGTTCACTCTCTATTTTTTCAAATGAGTACTCTTCCAAATCTTTTTGTTCTACGATTTAGGCGTTTTTATTTTCATAAGTGACGATATATGCTCCCTTGCTTGGAGATAAAAAAGTATACAAGGTAAGTGTTCTTCTAAATAGCATCAAATGTTTTATACAAAACAGTTTGTTATTTATTACTAGTTTCCTCGTAGTACTGTGCTGGACTCAAACCGAGATAATGATCTTTAAGCTTGATGTTTTCCTCTTCCTGCTCAGGAGTCCAGTTTTCGTATTCTTGCTCGTTTTCAAATGGTCTTTCAGCCATAGTGGTCACTCTGAAAGCATGTCTTATATCGGTGGTATTAAAATCAGAAGTACCAGTATGTAAGACTCTCCTATTATCCCACAAAACCACAGTGTTTTCGTCCCACTGCAATCTCACATGAGCGTCGAGGCAGCTCGCTGAATGCTTGTTGAGAAAAGACATCAAGTTTTCACTTTCTTCTGCTTTTAGCCCTAACACTCTTTTGGAAAAAACACTATTGATGTAAAGAAATTTTCTTTTTAAAACAGGGTGGTATCTAACCAATGGGTGAATAGACTCCACTGCTTTTTTCCTCTCTATCCCACCTTCGAAAGTATTCTGTGCTGCTTGCTCTTTGGAGGAATGTAGTACTTTAAGGCCCTCTAGCTTCTTCTTCATCAATGGTGATAACCTGTCGTAGATTTCAAAGGAATCAAGAAATTGAGTATCACCACCCAAACCCGTTTCTAGCATAGCAAAGAGGGTAACTCCGGGTGGTTGAGGCTCATAACTTACATCCGAGTGCCAGTAGATGTTATTCAGTGTCTGCTCAAAAACCTTCAGATGATGGTCAGGGTCACTCCTCTTGAACACAATATGGAATTCTGGATGGTTAATCGGAGCCCCAGAGGTCGCATGGACATCTAAAGGACCGTAATATTTGGCCCAATCCTTTATTTTGTCAAACTCTTGCAACTTGAAGTCCTGGTTTCTGAAGGCCACAACGCCCGCAGTTTCCACTAACAAGGCCAAATCGTCTTTTTGTTTGTTTGATAGCGTGCTTAACTGGATCCCATCGACTTCTAAGCCAAATTTAGGAGACACTTTCCTGAAGGTGACATCCTTATTATCTTCACGTAGAGACTTGAAGGTAGGATCTCCGAACAAACCTCTGTCGATGTGCCTAAAGGGCTTCAAGTGCTCAAACTTGTGGTCCTCTTTTGGGTCCCAAGACGGGGCCCAGCGAGGGAACTTTAATGCCTCTCTGTTGCTCTTGGAGACTGTGAACACATCTCCGATTTTCGAATCGTCGTCCTTTGTGTAACTAATTGAGGCACCATAGGTACGTCCTGGCTCCAACGTCATCTTTGCTTATTGATAGCTACAATTGTAAAGGTAGCAATGCGATCTAGAATTAAAGACGGTAATGAGTTAAACCAAATTTAGATCGGCAAGGGCTGTTATATAGTCTTTGGTGGAAACGTACTTCAAAAATCGGTCCGTAGTTATATGATTACGTACTACAGCGCCACAGTTGAGATAGCTGTGGCTTCATTGTTATCTCAGCCCAGTTAGCCAGGGGTGGACTGCACTTAGTGTTCATCCCCCTTAAGCATCGCACCAGCAGCATTGCCTCCTGTGTACATATGGTTATCACAGAGGTACTATCTCTCGTCAAATCCAGTTGCTTTAAGGAAGTAACCCGCAGCTCCAGGTATCTAAGGCGGCAAAAGGCCGAAAAATGAATCAGATGCCATGCCGTTTCGGTGTTTGACAGCGGAAACAGCTCATCCGATGCCAGAACTTCACCAAGACTCCACATTTTAAAGAGATGGCTTGCTGGTTTCCACTTGCACCGACCGCGATGCACTCAGCAAAGTTGAATAGAACGCGGGAATCCTGGCTGACCGATGGGCAAACAGCCCAAGTGGTCTTATCTCATCGCGCCTGGCCATATTTGCAATTGCACATGAGCCCGGCAAATGTCTCGAACTGTGGAGGAGGCAGCACACGTGACCAGACTGTATCTCTGGAGTTGCATGTCGTTGGGCCGTTTCAGGGTCTTTGGGATCTGAATAAACATAAGCTGGACCTGTTTATTGATGCCAGTCTGAGACCAAGTTTTGTGTTAGTTGGATGAAGCTGTGGTCAAAACATTTAGTAGCCCATACGCTTCGTTTGAAGCGTGGCATGCATGCTTGCTTTTTAGGCTATCGTGTCAGATGCTTCAAAGGATGAGACCTTCTACACGATACGGATGTGGATATGAACATGCAATTGGTGCGTGGGTTCCTCCATTAGCAAAGGTAAAAACTTTGTCCTAATGTCGTAATTCCAACCAGCGACGAAGGACTACGTTGTCTGGAATAGTGGTGGGGCCGTGGGTTGGTATTGATGCGTCCTATTCGATTGCTATCCCACCGCAGACCAACCCCAAGGCTATGAGGCAATATGACAGAAGGTCGCCGAGGCCCACGAAAGCCCTTTGCCGTCCAGTGATTCGGTTGATAACTCATCCAATAGACGTCGAACCCTGCTGTTTTTTCGAGAAAGCAACATTATCAGCACGGCTGTACCCGTAAAATGTACCCTTATGGCAGTCTGATAAGGAAAATTCCGAGGAAAAATGGTTTTGATGAGGGACAAATAGTTACGGTAATGCTTCTGACAACAAACGGAGATTAAGTGCACGCATTGAGGCATAAAGATGCGATACATGTTGAATTCTTTCTTAGCGGCTAATGGTCGCTACAGTTAGTATCATCTCATCCTGAAAAGAAATTCTTAATCACTCAATTTATGAGACCTCAATTCTTTATCATCGGGTAGCAACAGCCGTCGCATGGTGCACTAAGTCCAACTTCTTTATTGCACACATCTGCTTCTTTTTTATAACAAATAAGGGGGCCTCTAAATGTAGTAGCTAGTTACAAAGTAACTGTACTACTTCGCCTCATCCTTTTTGTCAGACTTACTAATTTAGAGTAAGAATAGCAGTGCTGTAACATGTCTGTTGAAGTTAAGTCCACTCACTCAGCAAATCCAAATAACTCCGATGAAGCCAAGCTAGCGGGCTTTGGCTATAAACAAGAGTTCAGCAGGAACTATGACTTCTTTTCATCATTTTCGTTTGCCTTTTCAATTTCAGGTTTATTGGGTACAATGTCCGTCACATTGGTGTATCCGATTTGGTCTGGCGGCCCCGCAGGGATTGTTTGGTGCTGGTTTGTCGGATGTATTGGCTGCCTGTGCATCGGCTGGTCCGTTGCTGAGATCACCTCGTGTTTTCCAACTTCAGGTGGGATGTATTATGTGATTTCTCATTTGGTTCCAAAAGAACACGTTCCCTTGCTCTGCTGGATTAACGGATGGTTATATATAATAGGTGCAATTACAGGTCCAGCTGCTGGTGACTTTGGTGCCGCAACTTTGCTATTAGAGTGCATTTCTTTACGAAGTGGATACACATACATTCCTACAAATGGACATGTGACTGCAGTTACAATTTTAATTTTGATCTCACAAGCACTTATGAACTCGATTCCTAGCAATATTTTGGCCAAAATCACAAAATATTACTGTGTTGTCAATATCGGAACAACCATTGCCTTAATTGTGACCTTATTGGTAAAATGTCCCAAAATAAACTCGGGAAGCTACACATTTGGGACAGTTATCAACTCTACTGGATGGAAAGCCGATGGGTGGGCCTTTTTGTTTGGATTTTTACAAGTTTCTTGGGTTATGACATGTTACGATGCAACTTCGAGAATATCCGAGGAGGCATATAATGCTGCCTACTATGTTCCACTTGCAATTGGATCTGCATTGGTAGCAAATGCAATTCTAGGATGGGCCCTAGTAATTGTACTTGTTCTATGCATGGGCCCAGATATCAGTATGATCTTAGAATCCCCATCAAATCAACCACTTGTTGCTATCTTTGACTATGCAATGGGAAAGGCTGCCTCTACTGCCTTTATCTCACTAACATTTGCAATTCTTTGGTTTACAGGGTCAGCTGCTTTCTGCTACATATCTAGGTCACTCTGGTCATTTTCCAGAGATGGTTTGTTTCCTTTTTCCAAATTCTGGTATAAGTTAGACTCGAAAACTGGCCAGCCCTTAAGATGTGTTTGGCTACTCTGTTTTATTGATGCATGCTTGGCATTGATCAACCTAGGCTCTAACATTGCAATGAACGCAATTTTTTCTGCAAACGCAATTTGCACAGATTGGTCATACGTTATGGTTATTTTTATTTTCCTTCTTCGAAAGGAAAAGGCAGGCATAAACATGGGGCCATTCAACATGGGGCGGTTTTCAAAACCAATAATGGCTTTTGCGTGTATTTGGACGTTGTTCGTCTCAATTGTTTTTATTTTCCCAAACTATATGCCGGTGAATAAGGAAAATATGAACTACACGGTTTTGATCATCGGCTTCAGTTTCATCTTTTCCGGAACTTGGTACGTTTTGGATGCCAAAAATTGGTACCAAGGCCCTAAAGGTAATCTCGAAGATGAAGATGAAGATGATACTGTCAGCGATTCTTCTGCTGTAGAGGGTATCGAAATGACAAGTAGTTTTGAGCCTGAAGTCAGTAATCGTAAGAAGGAACCGCATGCCACGATTGTCGTGAAAAATGTGAATTTCTAGAGATGAGCCAGGTTATATAATAATTCTAGAACTTTCCGTTATCGGCAGTAGGATCTTTATTGGTTTGCACTACATGGTCAATCAATCTCCCCGCAACACTTTCTTTAGGTGGGCAGAACCACTCTTCTACAACAGTTTCTGTACGTGAAAGGAAACCCTTACCTTTTCTGGAGACCACTTTTGCCACCTCGGCCCTATCGAACCACTGGACATGTTCCAGCTCGTCATCTAAGTGGACATTTATCTTAGAGTCAACTGCCTCTTCTCGGCTGATCGTCCCAATACAGCCAATCATTAAACTGGCAGGGAAGGGCCAAGGCTGACTTTCTATGATACTGATGTCCTTCTCTTGCAATATGAGACCAGTTTCTTCATAGACCTCCCTCACGCAAGCATGCTCAATAGTCTCTCCAGGTTCCATGAATCCGGCAAAGCAGGAAAAAAATCTCTTTTTCCACTCAACTTTCTTACCCGTAACTTCATCCACAATGGATTCCGAGGTTGTAGGATGCCTTTGACTATTGTTCCCAAGTAACACACGACCGGTGTCGTCGGAGAGAGCGATAATCACACAAGGATCTGTACGTGGATATTGTACGTTGTTTGATTTTAGGTTCACTTTGCACTCAGCAGCAGCCGGGTAGGGCGAGTCACCCAAACAGTAGAGTCTGGAGCCAAGCTCAACCGGAATGACATGCCCCCCACAGGAAGGACAAAAGTTATTTTTGGATAGGAAATCAACAAAAGTCTTCGAGTACGCGTAGACGGTTGCCAATTCGTTTTCCATCTGCATGATCTCTGGCATACCCTCGGAATACCGGTAATCCGAGTTCGAGTTTACCAGTTGAGAATCCACAAACTTGCATAAAACGTCAGATTTACTGATGTCGATGGCGTATACGGGGACAGGACAGACAGCAGATGGTGTAATTTCCTTGGAAGTTTTGGTGTCAGCGCCGCCAAGGACATTCAAATCGTCCATTCCCAACCAGAAAAGAGAGACTTCCTTGAGCTCGGCATCGATTTTTGCCCAGTCGTACTTCCCCTTCTCTTTGACGACACTTTCGATCGAAGTATTGAATATCAACCACTTCTGAAGTAGTTGAGAAAATACACTGAACCTATGAATATCCAAGAAAGCCAACTGGTTGTCGTAAAGAAGAGCCTCTAGTCGGTTCGATTTGTTTCTGCTACTGAAAACGATCAACTTAGAGGAGACCTCAATATGTTTCAATAGTTTTTCCATGTTCTCCACATCACGGCGAAGGTATGCATATCGAGCGATGTGCTTGCTGCACCCAAACAAAATGTCTTTCATTTTTTTTGAGAAGTCACGGATACAGAGGATGGAAAATGGGTTGATGATCCAACGTTGAACTTGCAAAAGAAGAGGGAAGTATAGAACGATGATTGATTACTAAAGCTTATCAAACCCGTCTCGATGCTGGGAAGGGATCTCCGCGCTGCTCGTCAGTAGTGAAATACCGTTGTGCGTACACAGGAATACACAGTATAAGGAACACAGAGGTAAAGAGAAAGAGAAATAGGAGGAAGAGGAAGAGGAATAGGAAGAGAAAGAGAAGGAGGAAGGGATAGAGGGAATGATAGAAAGAGAGAGAGAAAGAGAGAGAGAGAGAAAAGAGGAGAGGAGGAATGGAGGAGAACGAAGAGTGGGATTTCTCCACCACTGATGCTGGAAGCTCCGTGCTGCCTGTGATGCAGAGAGCACCCCCGGGCACGAGTGTTGATAGCTAGATGTAGGAACATGGCAATGCAGTGATTGCTCGTCATATGTATATAGATAAACACATGTTTATTTCTCGTAAAAAACGGAACATACAAGAGATCAAGTATGTTTTCAACCTATCGGTCAATCGGTTGGAAATGATGAACAAGGACGGATGGGTGAATAATCATAACCAAGCGGGGTTGCTGTTATTGACGTTAGATTGCGAGCTCTGGTTTTGGGCGGTTTGAGGGTTTATTGGGTTAGGAACCTGTGATTGCTGAATTTGGACCGGGTTTTTCGACTGTTGTTGCTGTTGCATGTAGTAGTAACTATTTTGGTTCTGGTCTGCTTGAGGCTGTTGCTGGATTCTATAGGCCTGTTTGAGATGGTCGTTAGCCTCGATATCTGGGACATGGATCGCTTGGTTCTGTTGTTGTTGTAGCAGTGGTTTGATTTCAGCAGATTGGTTCACGTCGGCTTGGTTTTGGAACTGTTGTTGTTGCTGCTGTTGAGGGGTGGACTTGTTTTTTTCTTCGATAGCCTTTTGTTGCTGCTGCTGCTGTTGATGGTGATGACTCTGGTTTTGTACAGTGAATTTGTAGATTGTCCAATCGAAAATATAATCATAAACGTATTTTTCTCTCAAGAATAAATCTCTGAACATTCTTCTCAAATAGATATAGTCTGGTTTATCATCGAATCTGAGCGATCTGATATAGTTGAGGTAGTGGGTGAACTCTATTGGGAGCCCCTTGGCCAAAACCTCGGTTGGTATTGCCAGCTTTCTCTCCAATATACGGTCGTACTTCTGTCTTTTTGTTGCGGCTTTCAAGCCCTGCCATGGCAAGGTGCCTCTGCAGAAGTAGATTAGAACGTAACCCAAGCTCTCCAAGTCGTCTCTTCTGGACTGCTCTATACCCATGTGGGTGTTGATGGAGGCGTATCTGGCGGTACCGGTCAAGTTTTTGTTTTCTCTGTAGGGGATGTGGAGATGGGTTCTTGGGTCCCTGAACTTCTTGGCCAAGCCGAAGTCAATGACATTGACCTGTGAGCCCTTTTTCCCAGCGCCCATCAAGAAGTTGTCGGGCTTGATGTCTCTGTGGATGAAGCTTCGGGCGTGGATGAACTCTATACGGCAGAGCAGCTGGTCCGCCAACAAGAGAACTGTTTTCAGAGAAAACTTTCTGTTGCAGTAGCCGAAAAGGTCCTCCAAGGAGGGGCCCAACAAGTCGATCACCATGGCGTTGAAGTCGCATTCTGTTCCGTACCACCGGATGAAAGGTATGCCGACACCGCCACACAAGGCCTTGTAGACTTTTGCCTCGTACTCCAACTGCGGGTGCTTGGCCCTGATGCTTTCCAACTTGATTGCGACTTCCTCGCCGGATATGATGTTTGTGCCTAGGTAGATATCACCAAACGATCCCGAGCCGATTTTCTTGCTGAGACGGTACTTCCGTCCGACCCTGAGGTCGACGTTCACTTGGTTTGGGTCCATGCTGGGTGTTTGTAGTGCGGGGAAGTTTCTTGCAGCGAAACAGCTTACTAAATCGTCTTGTGCCTGTGATCCACTAACTTCTCTATCGGAGGGAAGGGGAGCTGACGGGTACGGAGGGGGAAGGGTAACAGGGTGGATAAACACGTGCGGAGGAACACAGCAGGACGGAATGTGTATCCGGGTGAGCTTTGTACGGAAAGAACTTCTTTTTCCACCAAAGACCGCCCACGATAAGGAACACCACGCAAGGGGCAGCAGAAGAACAGAGAGCCTGACGGATACAAAAATAGACGTGAGTCTGCTTTGTGTGTACAGAGTGATCTTTTTTGAGATTATCCCCCTCAGATTTTCTCCCCCCCCGCCCTCTGGTGAGGAAAAAAAAAAAAAAAACCAGAGCGGCAGGGAGGCCGGAGGGAAAAAGGAAGGAAAGGAAGGAAAGGAAGGAAAGGAAAAGAAACGCCTGACGCACGTGACCCCAACAACGGTGCACGGGTTTTTCTGCGGACAGAAGCGCAGCCGCCGCCGCCGGGCCGATCGGCGCGCCGATCGTCGTTTTTGTTTTTTTTCGGCCCACACGAGGCTGGCAAGCAGCAAACAAGGGCGCGTGGCGGGTGCGCTGCACAGCCCGCCCTGGGTGCGCCGGGTGGCGGTGCTGAGGGGGCGAGATCCCGATCTGTAACCGTCGCAACAGCGCCAACGGCAGCAGCAGCGGCAACAGCAGAAGAGAAGAGGGGCAACACACGAAGCCCCCGTTGCGGGAGCCTGCCGTGGCAACGACTCAGCCCGGCCACAGCGTCAGCTCCTGCGGCCACAGTGTTGGTGTCACCACCCCCGACACAGAGCGGCGCCAGCAAGCCCGGCAGAGGGCTGTTGTTGTTTGCACTGTTACCACGCGAGCGGGATCTGCCTGCAGCGGCCAGGCTTAACAGGCGCTCGCCCAGGCCACCGCCCGCATTGTTCTGCCACGGCTGCTGCTTCTGGCGTTTTCGAGGCTCGCCCGGACACCCGTGATGTGATGTGCTTCCGGATTTGTTTTTGTCGCAGCACCGGATAGAAAGAGGCACCGTGACGCATGTCGGGCGTTCTATATATAACGATATAAATACACACGCATTTCCGTCCTTCTTTTCCGGCTGGCGCTGTGCCTGAGCTGGTCACCTCTGCGCTTTTCTCTGGCCTTCTGCTTGCTCTCCCCCTTGCTCTCCCCCTTGCTCTCTTCTGTCCTCTCCCCTCTCCAGCCAAACACCACCAAACACCACCAAACAATGTCTGCCGAAGAAACCGTCAACCAAGCCACCCAATCTGCCGAAGCCGCTGTCGACAACGTCCAGAAGACCGAACAGAAGGAGTCCGCCACCTTCGTCGACAAGGTCGAGGACGCTGCCAAGAAGGCCAGCGAGGAGATCAAGAAGGAGGCCGACGCCGTCAGAGAAGAAGCCAAGAAGACGTCTGCCAAGGTCAACAGCGAGTTGGAGAAGTCCTCCAACCCATTGAAGAAGCTCGGCAACTACTTCAAGAAGGTCTTCAACTAGGCCTGCTGCCGGGTGAGGCGAGTCGCCACCTCTACACCACCACTACTAATACTGATAATGCTACCGCCACCTAATTAATACACCCCTCTGCCATCTTCTTTTCCTCTCTACCCTTTCTCTAATATTCAATTTTTAATGTTTAATACTTTTTAATTTTAATTTAATCCCCATATCACCCCTACTCCCTGGCAACGACGCCCCCTTCCACAACAGCACGACAAACCCCCCTTTGCTTCTGAGCCGTTTCACCACTTTTTTTTTTTTTTTTGAGCATCGATAATAGCTCACAATCATGATTAGGGCACGCCATTTTCTCTCTTCTGTTTTTTTTTTTTTTTTTTCTTTGTTTTCTATTTTTACTTTTCTACTCCTTTTTTCCAGATCTGACGAGCTCAATTTAATTGATTCGGGGTTTTTCCCTTCCGGGTTTCTCTCCCGCCGCAAAAACAGCGGTTGCGCCACCGCGCCAAATGCAGCAAAACGAAAACAGACGGCAAGAAGCAAAAAGAGAAAAGGAGAAAAAAGGAGCGCAGGAAATAAAATCGCCGAAAGGGAAAGACAACTGGCAGAAAAGAAAAAGAAGAGGGAGGCTTTTCACACCCGTGCACCGGAAAGAATCCCGGAGAGAAAGGCACGTGACTGACTGCCATGCGAGCGTACGTGCCCGCAGGCCTCTTCACCCCAGGAAAGGGCTCCGGATCGGTCGAGCTCGCCGGCTCGAGAGACACCTTTTTTCATCATGGAAATTTCATTTCGAGTCGATTGCAGATGACGATACCAACGACAAACTCGTTTGGGCCTGAACCACCCCGCAAGATCCTCCGCTTCGCTCGTCAACATCAACAATGCTCTCCTTCAGAAGCGTTGGCCAGTGCCGTGCCTTCTCCACGAACTCCGCCGTTCTGGCGGCTGCGGCCACCAGAAAATCCTTCAACAAGAAGTCCTCCTACGATAAGTCCAAGAACAAGAAGGGCTCCGGTAACGACAAGACGTTCAAGGCTTCTGTGCTCACGAAAAACTACAAGAAGCTGGCCCTCAAGGCCGATGAAAACCTCATCAAGGAGCTGCCTTCCATCGTGGCGGAGAACAAAGACACCATCAAGAACTCCTTTGTCAAGTACCCCTCCGAGTCGATCCAAAAGCTCCACATCGCGGGCTCGTTCAAGCCAGACCAGTACAACGAGCTGTACTCCCAGCCGCTGACGCTGTTCCGTGCTGTGGAAGACTCCAGGCTCCTTGAGATCGTCAACCGGAACGGATCGAGCGCAGAAAGCAGATACATTGTCAACGGACACTCCGGTATCGGGAAGTCCACGATGCTGGCTCATTTCCAGGCCTTTGCCCTTGCACACAACAACAGCGGTGCAATTCTGTTCCCCATCTCCAATGCAGACCTCTTGGTGGACGGCTCGTCCGACTTCAAACTCAACCCGCTCACAAAGAAGTACGACCAGCCTATGTACTCTCGCACCTTCATGAAGAAGTTCGTCAACCTGAACGCCGAAAGCTTGGCCAAGATACCTCTTTCGGGCGAGATCACGCCCCTCACCAACATGTACAAAGCTTCCTCCCACAAAGTCTCAGGCACGTTGCTGGACCTCGCCAACCACATCCTGAAAGCCTCTCCCATCGAATCGAATACCACTTTTGCGTTCACCGTCATGCTCGACGAATTGTCCAAGCAGGATAAACTACCAGTATACATGACCATAGACAACTTCTCCGCATTCATCCAGCACGGAATGACCAAATATAGAGATACCGAGAACCGTAGAATTTACTTTCAAAATTTCACCATCGCAGACACCTTACTCCAGTATGTCTCCGGTGAAAAGTCTTTCAAAAATGGAGCCATAATGGTTGCAACCCATGGTAACCACAGACTACAAAGGAACGGTACGTTGGATGTACTTGTCGGTGACAAGCCCATCGAAGACTTCGCTTATGCTAAGTTCAAAGATTTCGACTACAAACTTGCAAACAGATTGCTACAGAACAACGGTTTACAGAAATTCAACGTGTCGAAATTCAATTTGGACGAATGCAAGTCTTTGGTCAGCCATCTTCTCAAGTTCAACCTTATCCACAACGAATACGACTTGGAGAATCAACTACTCTCTGGTAACCTAGACACCGTGATCCAAAGAATTGCTTCTCAAAAATACCTTGTCAGCGGTAACGGTATCCCTAAGTTGGTTATGGACTCATGCATCCTTTCTTACGCTTGAAGATCTCACGTAATAATTCCCTTTCTATACACTTCCACCCCCCCTGTAAATATATATAGATATGTATATCTGCACACAAACAAATCAATTATATTTGTATGTATTATTCCATTCCATCTTGTCGATCTAAGCTTTTGCTTTCACCTTACTTTTACTTTCTTTGAAATATTGTACAAATTGTATATATTGGTTAGTATATTTACAACTAATTTTTATAGGATGGCATTTCTTCAAAACCGTCCGACTCATAAAACTCTTCGTCATCGTCGACCTTCTCAGAGCCTTCAACTCCAATTTTCTCTCTTTTGTTCTGTTCAGGCTGTTCAGCTTCGTGTTTCCTCTTTTCCCCCACAGCGACAGGAGGAGGTGGCTTGGCGGGGTTGTGGCCATGGTGAACTTGACCATGGCTATTGTGATGAACAAAATCGTGCTGTTGTTGTTGAGCCTTACGTTTCATCCTCTCTCGCTCTTCCCACCTCGCTTTAACTTGTGGCTCGAGCTCAATTAACTCATCCTTGGTCACAGAGTCTTCAATAGATTTCAAAATTTTCAACACAACGTTTATATGGTTACCGTTCATCTTGTCGTCTCTAAATCTAAGCATTTCCCAACTTCCATTTTGACGCTGTCTACATTCAGCAATACGCCCATTGAAAGACTCTCCAGATTTCTTCAACTTGTCCCATTGCTCATCACTCACGTCTAATTCGTTCCATTCATCGTAGTTCTGGAAAGAGTTTTTGAATTCACCTCCATTTCTCTTGATATTCAGTTCTACACTTTCATGTTGATGTGGGGCATCGCCACCTTTCCAGACATATAACTTGAACTTAGGCTTCACATCGTAATTGGTGTACTCTCTGTTTGGATCGTGCTTTGGTAAGTCATTATCAATGTACTTTGGGAATTCCAGCTTGATTTTAAAATCAATAGTATTTTCCTCTGATGGTTTCCATTTGAGCAACGTCGGATCAGTACCCGATATATATGGAGTATCACAACAGGTAAGTATCAAACCATCGGAAACATAAGTAAGGTTTCTCATTTCGTTGAAAATTTTATGGATTTTGAATGGTTGGGTCATGTTCTTGAAATCTAACTTGAACAACCAATCCTTACATGCATCTGGGAACTTCCGACGTAACTCACTGTATGGCTTATGAAATTCATGCTGCGCATGATAAAGTCTTTTCCACAAGTTTTTATGTGTCACGCTGTTCATATCCATGGCAAGACAGTCAAAAATAAGGTATCTCACCTCTTTTACCTTCGTGACTGGGTTGGTCGAATAAACTAACTCACCATCAACAATCGTACCATTGTGACTAATATCAAAATCTTTCTCTGATCTAGGAAAATGGAAATCAGGTATATGATAATACTCGTTTTCTCGGGAAATCAAAAAGGACCCTTCTTCATTAGTGTCCGGGTTGACTAGCACAAATAATAAAACTCTCAGCCCGTCACTTTTTTCACAGACCAAATAGTCTTTTCTTAGTAAATTGTTGTGGAGGTGTTCCCGGGTGAAAGAAACCGGCTGAGACCCAGGAAAGTGGTTCACTCTGGTACGTAGAATCAACGCTACTTGTTGTTTAAGATACAACTCCACCTCGGGCAAACATCGTGTACCCGGTATGCTTGGCACTGATCTATCATTCATAGCTGTAGCTTTATATAACAACACCTTAGTTTATGCTCTATTTTGCTGTACTAGAATAAAGGTCGATGCAACGCAAAGGTGAAGCAGATTTTAAGCTGGACGCTGCCTTAAATGTGTATGAGAGAGACAACATGAAAACCGAACATCGCATACTCGCATTTGTAAATCTCGGCCTCACACCCTTTCTTCACACTTTTGTTTTTGACTGTCTCTGTTCTGTGCTCAGCGTCAATGCTTTGTAACTGTTTCTAGCTTGTCGATTTGTGCTGTTAGAACATACTGTTGTTCCTGCTGGCTCCTTCTATTATCGATAGCTATCTACCATAATACCATGTCTGAAGTTCCATTATCAAGTAGACCGCCGGCAACCATTTCACAGGTTATGATGGAGGTAGACGACACCAACAGCGAGGCTCTGTTAGCGCAGAGCACAGAGAAACCAGAAGTACCTGTGACCACAGAGAATCCAGAAAATTGTATGGTGAAGGTTGAATCAAGTATATCTCAAAATAACGGTTCTTGTTCTGAACTTGGCCCTAATGAAGCTACCGCCGATGTAGAAATTGGTGGTGCTACAAATGAATCTACACAGGATGAAACAACTGTGCAACAAGGAAAAAGTGAAGGCGACCAAGGAAAAATGCCACAAAGTGGAAAGACAATTTCAGAGGTCAAGTTTGAACCTCAGACAATCGCATCTAGACCGAAGAGAAGATCGGCTAAATCCATAGATTACAAGGAAAAAGCAGAAACGGATATACCATCCTCCGTTACGAAGTCAGAAAAGCGTGGTTCTAAGCCACGTCGTGGGAAATCCTCATCTGATTCAACGTCTCCTCCCCCCTCATCTTCTTCCGTATCATCTTCCAAGAATGTTGCATTTTTTGATGTGGATGATGTTATTCCAATAAACTATCAGCCGCCAATAGCTCCAGGAACTGATTTCAACGAAGGGCTTGATCTAAGAGGAGCACGAATGGACTCTGCTGAGATAACGCTTACATTGAAAAATGGACATACAATAAAAAAGGGTGATTGTATATATATGATCTGTGAGCCTCCAACTGAACCATTTTATGTCGCTCAAGTTCTGGGCTTCACAAAAAAAGATAAAACTTCAACGAACAAGAAAGCGTCTAACTATATGTTCAGTGTTTGTTGGTTTTACAGACCAAGGGATTTAAATAGGCGCCTTACAGACACTAGACTTGTTTACGCATCTTTACATCGAGATAACTGCCCCTTGGCCAGTTTTCGAGGGTTTGCCACGGTAAAACACAAATCAGAAATTGATAACTTGGAAGCTTACCGACAACAACCAGACTGCTTCTATTTTGACAAATTGTACGACAGATACATGATAAAAATGTATGACATGATTCCTACAGTTCAATTGGTCCATCTTCCGCCAAATTACTACAAAGCGCTTAACAAGAGATTTGGTTATATCTTTGTTGAAGTTGGGAAAGCTGATGAGTTATTAAGCTCACCAAAAAATTGTGAAAAATGTTTACAGTGGTGCTCTAGTTCCGACTCAATTGCTTGCTCTGGCTGTGAGAAATCCTATCACTTGTTGTGTTTAGATCCTCCCATATTAACTAAGCCCAAAAGAGGATTTGCGTGGTACTGCGCAGCGTGTAATAAACGGCTAGAAGATAAACTGGCTGAAAATAGAGGTAAGATGCTAGAAAGTTCTCAGCCTTCAATGATTATAAAAAATGAAGAGCGTGCTTCTTCTCAAGAGAAAACATCCGATCAAGAAGCTGATTCTCAAACTTTTCTATCTGACGATATACAGGAAGCCGACTCTAGTTCATTGAGATACGAACAGCTTGCTAAAAAATTCTTAGAAGATGACAGCCGGGTTTCTTTGAAAAAAAGAAGAGAGATAGAGGAATGGCCATACAGATATCTTGGTGTTCATGCCAAGTTTGAGGATGCACTGGATTTGCAGGATCGTCCATATGCACGAGCTGCTTCTAGACTTGGCTCTAAATATCAATGTACTTCTATCACTGATTGGTATGACCACAAAGTACAATTTTACGATACGGATATATCTTCATCAAGTCTCAACAATAAACGATTTAAAAAAAATAACAACAGAAATAAAAAGTCAAATACCCCTGTTTATGCTGAAGAAAATGAGCTTGAAAATAAAAAGTTCCCAATCCCTGAAGAGTATCAAAACCTGAAGCCTAAACAGTATCCAGGATGGCTTCAGCCAAAACCAAAGGGGTATATTGAAAGAGGTGTAGAGGAAACCAGCACTTTACTTTGGAAAATGCCAACCAATCTGGAACTTCCTGAAAAGGAAGCTGGAGATATAATTGAGAAATATATCAAAGACTGTGCTCCAATTGCCAAAAAGTTGAAATTGGCAACCGTTACGACACCGAACTTTATTGATGCAATTTTATTGATTTTGATGAGACACGATTATCGGCCTGAGGATTGCTTTGATGAAGTTCAAAAGTTGACACGTGATTCTTTGAAAGAACCTACTTTTACTGATGAGGAAGTCAAACGGTTTGAAGATTCTGTTCGCCTGCATGGAAGTGAGCTATATCCTGTGTTCAAAGATGTTGGAACACAAACGTCTGCGATGGTTGTCAGGTTTTATTATCTTTGGAAGAAGACGAAATCTGGCCACGAGATTTGGGATAATTTCTCCGGTAGGGCTAAAAACAGATTGAAGAGCACAAAAAATGTGGGGGTTGATCTTGACAATCCAGAAGATGATGGCGCATATGCGAGTAGCAAAATCAGCAGATCACAAGTCAAGTTTAAATGTATATATTGTGAAACTAATCATAGTCCCGAGTGGTTTAGAGCTCCAGGTGCGATGATTGACGACAAAAATCATGTTTGTGAAGGTTTGTGCTACAGGTGTGCAAAACTGTGGAGGAAATATGCCGTTAAGTGGGAAAATCCGATTGAACTAATCAAAAATCAAGAGAAGAAGAGCTCTTACGCAACAAAGAGGAAAACCGAGTACGCACTTATACAAGAGGCTGAGCTGGTTGTCAACGCACGAGAAAACTACAAAATGCATCCGAGAAAAGTCTCCAGTGGGTTGAAGGAGTACAAAACTATCGATGCGGATTTTGATCTTTCAATATCGAGTAATGATAAAACCAAAAAGAAGCCAGGAAGAAAACCAGCTGTCAAAGTAGCTCTGAATACCTCACCGCAGTCTTCAAGTTCAGCAATTGGAGCTATCGCTTCATCTGCTGAGACAAAGGTCAAGGTTAAGAGAGAAAAGAAAGAATCAATGGCGGACAAAAAACCAAGTAAAAGAAGCATAAAAGAGGTAGAACCTTCCGCAAGTGGTAGTTTGAAAGAAAACGATAGTGCCAGTGAAGAAACCGAGCAGGTGGCCAAAAAGAAAAGATCTTACAGAAAGAGGCAACCTACTGATAAAAGTTTGAAATTTGTTTACGGAAAGGTTATTAACGACACTTCGAATGGGTCAATGAAATTTACAACTAAGAAAAAAGATATGCTTTCCGATGGCAATGTTCCTAGATCGGTTAAGCTAACTGCTCAGCTAGAGGCTGCCAGAGTGCAGTTTGAAGATAATGCCAGAAGCAGCCTTTTCAATGCGTTTCTAGACATGAAATTAAGGGAAAGAATTGAGTCTCTAGAAAAAGAGCTAGCCTTGCTAAGTGATAGAGATGCTGAAAAATCTTATTCACTGGAAAGCATTAATCAATCGAACTACCCATCCGAAAATGAAGCTTTTGATCCTCTTTCTTCTCCGAATGCCAACTTGTCAACCTCAAGTCGTCCAAGTACCAAGGACTCTGAAAGTTATGGATTTCACACTGGCAAAAAATATATCCGCAGAAGGCTATTTCTCTCTAAAACTTCTGTACCAGGAAGTGGAGTATTTGAGACACCGCCGATACAGTTACCAATGGATGCAGTAACGCCTCTGTCCACGACCACAAATGTGCAGAACAACCTGAGAAACAAATTTGTATTCCAACTGTACGATCAAGGAGTCAGACCTGTTTCTGACGTAGATTATAATAATATATCTAATTCAGATGCACAATTTCAAAGTCAGCCAAACCTTTTACCACGAGATGAAACACCACCAGCCATTACGTCTTCAATGGTACCATCTTCCTCAGCATCAGTTTCTGCAATGTCATCGTCGTCTCCCGGTCCTAGGTCGGTGGTAACTACGGCCGGATCAATAGCACCATCATCCGCTTCGGGGTCGAAGAAAAGAAGTACTTCTGCTGGGTTTATGACAGGAGCTATAAAAAATAAAGAATTTGTCAATTTATCACCATCTTTCAAGGTCAAAATGTTGACTCCTTTGATAGACTTTAATGATCGAATAACTAAAAAGATGCTTTCAAGATACACTACCAAATTTGATGTTTACAATCCGTTACTATCTGATGATTTCTATATCTCACCCATTTATCAGATGAGACCGTCCAGTAAGGAACTACACGTACTTTGGAAGCAGTATCAAACTAGCAGAAAGTCGAAAGGGAGATCTAATAGACAGTTTCAGCCGCTATATCCTCCTAATAAAAGAGAGTGTTGTGTTTGCAGAGAATTTGGTGATACCACAAGAATGTTAATTTGTTCCAATTGTGGTCTAAATGTTCATGCATCGTGTTATGGTGTTAAACTGAATAGTAGAATGGAAAAAGAGGCCGGTGCTTACAACTGGCACTGTGATCCTTGTTCAAATGATTTACATCCTTTGGTATCCACACAATACATATGCTTACTCTGTAACTCTCGCGAATCTAATATGGACAATGCAATCAAGGGAGATCCTATTTCTATTCCCGATGCATTGAAACGTACAGTTGAAGGTAGATGGTGCCATATTAGTTGCTCATTATTGTGTGAAAATGTTAAATATGGATCAAAATCATTACAGCCAATATATGGGGCCCAAGTCACGGGAATCAAAAATGTCTTCAAGTCATGTAACATATGTCTGAGTAATGGTGGATCAGTTGTTAAATGTGAGTTCTGCTCAGCTAAATCCCACGTTACTTGTGGTCTTGATTTCGGGTGGAAAGCTGGATTTATGCTATTAAAGGTATTCGATCTAGCTGATGGTGATGTCATTGGGATCAGTGGATCAAATGCGGTAGGGAAACTCAAACCGATTATTTATTGTGACAAGCATATCATTCCTGGAGTGTCTGATTTACCAACCATTTACAGTTTATGTGACAAAGGTAGAAGGTTCAGTGAAAAAAACGATGAGTTTACTCTCTTTGAGTTGTATACTGCAGATGATAGAAAGAGGGTTCCGCAGATGGGAAGTGGACTTTTACGTAGGAAGGCTTATGAAGAAATGAACCACGAATTTGCAGAGCTTGTCGTAAAGGCAAATTTACAAAACGAATATGAGACCAGAGAACCAGAACCTACTGAGCACCGCTGCATCAAATGTTCGAGGAAATCTAGTTTGGCTTGGTACCCTAATGCTGAATTAGAAGGAGAAGTATGCCACATGTGCTATAAAAAGAACAAGCTTCAGGAAGTTGTACCTGAGATTCCTAGTTTGGATTCTGTGAATACCAAACAGTATGACTACTCAATTTTTGGATTTTGACGAAGTTTTTGTAAAAACAAATTCATCTATACTTTTTTTGCATTTATTTATGTTTAATAGTTTTAACCTGTACAGGTACGTTTTTGAAAATTGATGGAAATAGCAAAAAATACTGCCCTTGAATCAGTGGTTAATTTACAAATATTACAAACTGCCACGCATAAGAATGGCTTCTATACGTTGAATTTCCTCCATGGAGTCGGCCTGCTCTAATTCCTTTTCTAGGCGATCTCTATCATCTTCAGTCATCGGCTTTGTATCTTCCTTCTCCTCAGTATCTACATTATCCATCACATATTGCTCTTCTCTATTTAATGTTTTTGTGGCAAAAATTGGTATAGGCTTCACCGACAGGATTGCCTTTACTTTATCGGAGTTGTTGTCAAAAGCAGACGATGCTTGTTTTCGTTCAACGTTTTTCACTCTTTTAAAATCTATAATTTGTAAATTAGGAAACCTCCATATGCACCACAGCCTGTAATCTTTGTTTTTCACAACAGGATTTCCCGTCAAGTATAGACTACGCAATGACGGTAACTCTTTCAATTCTTCAAGGTCTGTCAAATGGACGATCTCATTGTAAGTTATCGATAATACCTGCAAGTTTACTAGTTTAGCTAGTCCGGTGACACTTCGTATGTGGTTGTTAGATAATATTAATGTCTCTAGACGCAATAGAACGGGGAATTCAGGGAGATATGAGATCGAGTTTTTGGTGATGTCTATGATAGAGTGGATATCTGATGATTGCAATACATGAATTGCATCTAACGAGGTCAAATTGAGATTCCGAAGAGAGAGAACTCGGGCTTCAGTGGGGGATATGAAAGAAGCAGCTTCTTCAAGAACAGCCTGTGTAAGCTTCATGTGCTGATCAAATTTATGGAGATGGAGAAGGAGGTAGAACCTGAAACTTACCAAGGAAAGAATGGCAAGAGATTGAAAGAAATGTGTATGCGATGCTTGGTAAATATGTAAATCCGAAATTTTTCTTTTCTCGGTCTGTCATGAATTAAGAAAGATACAAGTCGATAGGGAGGTTAACACGTTTTTTTTACGTTTTAAAGCTATAAACATGGCAGTAATGGGATGAGAAGAGTATACATGACTAGAGGTTAGGAAACGGGTTTACTCATCTAGAGATAACTTCGATTTCTGGGAAGGCAAAGTCTTGCCGTCCTCAGGTTCGAACTTCATTTTGGTCATTTTCAATAATTGTGCCTTATCTTCGGCAGTGAGTAAATCGACAGTCTCATTAGGACCGACAAATTCGAAGTCTCCGAACCCGAAAGCACGGTCACTAATACTGTCCAAAACGTAGAGCTGCATTCTGATGTATCTGACCACGGCCTCTAGTTTGACAATATCGATATTCTTGTCACCGTTAAACACGTTTCTCCACACAGCAGCGGCCAAAACGTCATCGCTTTTCTGTGCAAAAGCTTCGTCCAAGGAAAAAATCATCCCCAACATTTGGGAATGGAAATCCTTCATGTACGAGTCTCTGATCTGTCCACTCAAGACATTCATCTCCTCGCTCAAACGCATTTCAATGTCCTTGAACAACTTGTCGACAAGCTTTTGCTGGTAGTTCTTCCCCATCTTGAAAGGCATAGCACGCATACGTACAAATAATAACCAAACGTGCAGCGTGGTGATCTGGAACCACATGGCGAAGGTACGTGGAAGCCCGAGGGTATCGTACCAGAAAACAGCGGTTTCGCTCAATTCCTCGTCCGTGAACTGGAGACCTTGATCCTTACACATGTAATAGTACTTGGAACCACCAATAGTACCAGCACGGACGTTGTCCATGTCGATGTGAAACAAAGAGACAAATGTCTCACCAAATGCTTTCTTCCACTCTGGAACCTGATAACCTTCTTTCTCGTAATCTGGCTTTTCAAGCTTGTTCTTGAGGTTGATGTCCTTGTTAGGCATCTCCACGTTTGAAATATGTGGCAAATGCGACGCCTTAGCGAGATCCTCTGGTGATGGGACTGCTGTGGCTTTGTCTTCCTTGGAAGCCTCGTTCTGCACCTGGCTAGACGCAAAACGTCTGGCAGCAAGCCCAAAGTTTGCTGCTGGAACTCGGCTCTTGGCCAATATGTGTGCCTGTCTTGCTGCTGTACTCAACATATTCTTCGTTGATTTCGCTTGCCTCTAAAAAGCTCCTGTTCTCTGCCGGAAACCTTTCTACAGCTCTCTCCGTCATGGTGCAAACCTTTGTGCTTGCCAATTACATCTTCAACTCCTCTCAGCTCTTCGCGAGGAACCTTTTTTTCTTAATAAATTTTTCTGATTTACATACTGTACACTCAATTATACAACAATTACATCTCTTCTACACACGGCTCTGCCTGCCCCTACCCCGACCTCTGCTCCCACGGGAACTTTTACTGGCACGCCCCTTCTTGTTTCCACGGCTAGCACGACTGCTGTTGATTATGCGAGGACCTTCGTAGTGCGTGTAGCCATTCTTCTCGATGGCAGCGCTGTTCACCCACAAAATCATGTTTTCTTCACGGTTGAGGGCGTCAAGTTCGCCTAGTTTGGCACGGGCACGTATTAGTAGGTTAGTTCGGAGTTCTGGCGGATCATCACTGCCGGGAAGTTGTAGTAATCTCACCATCCGGTCAATATAGCCCTCTTCGCTCTGAAGGGTTTTACCATTGAATTTTGAGGTTTCCGTCTCATCGTCGAATTCCTGTTCGACGGTAGTGGAATCGTCATTCTCGTCATCGTTGCCAGTACCTGCATCAACAGAGCCATCAAGGCTAACATCATCGGAGCTGTCACTCGTGTTAACACGGCGTCTTTTACTCCTGGTATTGACACTGGTTGGAGAGGCCGCAGCATTACGCTTGGATCTCCGTAGCTTTTCCTCAGCAACGAGCGGCTTGCGGTTTCTCAGACTTCTCGTGGATCTAGTGACACGTGAAGTGTCACTGTCACTGTCACCATCAATCGCCAAAACCTCATCCTCTTCTTTCTTGTGATCTTTCTGATCCTTATCTCCAGCTCTTTCGTCTTCGCCGTTTTCTTCTTCTTCTTCTGCTTCTTCGTCCTCGAAATCAAGTTCAGCAGGCCTGTCATCTTCAGAATCAATTTCCATAACTTCAACTTTCTCGGTCTCTTCTTTTGTTGTCTCTTTCTCATTCACAGCGCCCTCTTCAAGTTTTTTGATGTAATTAGAGAGCTTGATCTGAGATTCACCACCTTTGAGGAAATTCCGACGTGCTTTGAAGCTAGAAATCACGCGATCCCTGCATTCATTCAGCTCCTTCTTCAAAGCTCTTTCCCTTAGCCCTTTATCGTTCAACCAGGATACAAGTTTGTTAAAGTCTTCAACCTGGTCAATGAAAACCCAATCACGCTCATTTTTCAAAATATTTTCACCTTCTTCAATCATCTTTCTCTTTAATCCTGTACCATCACCACCTCTCAAATGATGCACATCAATGGCGCTGGGCCCCTGGATCCAGATCCGACCCATTAGGTATGTCTCAGAGTCGTATTCGCTGTTATCGTCTTTTTTACGAAGATCACCACTCTCATCATCATCACCATTATCAGCGTCATCCCGCTCTTCACGATCGATCTCGTCATTTTCATCATCATCGTCCTTGTTTCCTCCAAGGTTAGGCAAACCATTCTTTTCAAACCACCAGTACCTGTTCCATACTTTATCCCTGCCCAAGTATCTGATTCTTTGACAGTTCAACTCAACAAGTGTCCTATCAATTTCAAGTCTTTGTTTCTTCATGGACTCAACCTCAGAAATCTTTTCGGTACGGGCACTCAACAATTTTAAGAACTCGGGATGGCCAGCAGCAACTGCTTTTTCCAATGCACTAGGCTCTGGAGGTAAGGTATTTTGAATTGGTCTTCCACCTCTGTTCTTAATTTCAATCCATTTTTCCTTTTCCTCTTCGGTTGTCAAAGCCTCCAATTCACGATCTTCTATTCTTTGTTTGATTTCACGAACGTCGATCGTTCTCAATGAATCTAAGACATCTTTATTCGCAATATGAGCACTTTCCACCTTGAGTTTTAATTCCTTTTGCAATTCAAATCTCTCGCGGCGCAATGAAGCTGACCTCGAAACAACAAAATCAGTGTGGGCACGAACAACCTCACCACCTAGTAGTAGCCCCATAAGTATCGACAACATTGAAACTCTACGAACAGGACTGACTTTCTCGCAAAAATTAGCCATTAATGTTTCAGGCGTTGGTACTTCATCGAGTGGTGCTAGAAGTTCATAAGTTTTTGTGATCTCATTCTTATATTCTGGAATGAATTCAGTTATTGAGAAAATACCCATTAGTATAATGAGCCACTGTCCTTCCTTAAAATGACGTTTCTGGAGACGTTCACGCCATGACAGCTTCTTGTAGTCCAAAATCGAATAAGCATTATGGTTTATATCATCATCATCATCATCATCATCATCATCTTTTTCGCTCTCTTCTTTGACTTCAAAAGATTTTTCTGCACCGGCATTTTCTTTCCGTTCTTCTTTCACCTGAACTCCAGTACCATTACCATTTTCTTTGCTCTGGCCCTCATTTTCATTTTCATTTTCTTCATCTTCATCTTCATTTTCAACTTCATCATCTTCATCATCTTCAACTTTAATGCTTTTCTTGTCCTTCTCTTTCTTTTCTCTTTCTTTCGCCAACTTTTTTTCTTTCATCTCAGCCTCCTTTTCTTCAATTTCTGACTGGATATCAACAGGCAATGTAATCAGCAGTTCACCCTCTTTACTTATAATACAACTTAATAATGCACAAAATATTTCTAACAACAACGGACTTTTCTTACTTGGATCATTCCATTGTAGAGCGTAAAGGAAATCATCAAAGGTGAAGGTATCGATGACAAAAGCTTCATGGAACATATTAATGAAAATCCACACTTCCAAAACATTCGATGTGGTTATTGGGCAATTTTCAAAATCGAAATGTAAATTTTCTAACCCTGAAAGAACTTTCCAATTGGGCTTGGAAACATCATATTTGATTGGTAACAGCAGATCATCCACAATAACTGGCTTGTGTGATTTTTTATCCGCTTGTTCATTTTCAATTTTAGTTTCAGCGGCTTTGCTCTTGCTATCATCCGTTTTCGATTCAGGCTTGTTATTCTTTTCATCAGGTTTTGCCGTCTTCGAGTTGGATTTTTTCGAATTGGCTGGTTCATTTTCCTTAGCAGACGCTGTATCTGAAATTGGCTTTTGTCTACCTTTTCCTTTTGCTCTGCCTTTTCCTTTACCATTACCAGAAGTTTTGCCATTTGAGTGATCATCGATTGTAGGAGCTGGGGCAATATTAACGAAACTCTTTGATTGGGCTGAAGGTTGCATAGTGTGAGAATCTTCTTCTTCATTGACGGTGAAGCTATCCTCGTTTTGATTGGTAATGTTGCCATTGTTTTCAGTGCTTCCATTACCCGACAGGTAGTCAATTACTTCGATTCCCTTTTGTATTGCCCTTTGCTTTGCAAGCTGATCTATTCTCCTATTAGATATCCTTATACTCTTGAAAAATCGCTGGCATTTTTCATAATGCCATACTTTAATCCTTTTCATATGAACATACGAGAAAGGATCAGACTCGGGGTACGCTTCTTTGGAAACGAAGGGACGCTGAGTCACAATAAAATGAGTATTATCTGGATCAAAAGTATCCACTATTTTCACTCCAGCAAACTCGAAGAGTTTGATGACTTTATCTCTTGCACGGTCTTCTGTCTTCAAATCCTCAAAATAAGCTGTTGTGCGCCTGAGAATTTGATACCACTGTTCACACCACTTATCGTATAGATCTTCGTATGCTGGAGGCGTCTCCTTCAAGTTCTCGAAAACCGTATGGGAAAAGCCACGACTCGACCTCATTCCGTAATCCAGAGAGTTTTCGTTTTGGTTGAATATGCCCATTTGTGATTTGCTGAGGCCCTGTGTTGAGACGGCAGACAACGGGGCTGCATCACCATTTTCGATCATCATGTGTGGACTCTGCTTCTGCTTTTGCCTCTGCTTTGAGGCTTGTTTTGGAGCTGAGTGTGGGCCAGCCATGGGGACAAATTTTGGTCTATGTAGATCATTTAGTGAATCGTCTTCATTGTCGTCGTCGTTTAAGATGGATATGCTTGTTCTATTATGGGTTGTATTTTGGCTGACATAGTCGACTTTCTTCATGTCTGCAGGCCATTCCAGGGATATTTTGTATTTTTTGGCGATTTCATCACGTATAACCCATGGAGCTCCTAGCCTGTTTGATCTGACCAAACTCATCTTCAAAAAAGTCTTGACGTACGATTTTGTAAAACGGTTTCTTTCACGGTAGATAAGGGAAGCATCTTCAATGACGACCTCGTTCTCGTCTGCCGGGAGAAAGATTCTGTACGAGATAAACGGCGACTGGATCACTCCGTTGGAGTCCATTCTGGAGTTGAACACGACCTTCTCCTTGACAATTCCGTGGGCACGGTACCCACCCGTGTACTTCACGATGACCTTATCTCCGGGGAAGAAGTCGTCCTTGAACTTGGTGTACACTTGGTCAACCAAGAGGTCTATTCTAGGGACCGTGGAAAACGAAACGTGTCGTAAAATTGGCTCCTTCACGGGTTCCGGGAAGTTCGACTGCATCGAAAACAGTTCATTGTGTTCGACCTTCAACGCCTCGAAAAATGTAAAGTTTGAGTTCCCGCTGGTTTCGCAGACAAACTTCTTGACATTGTAAAATGACATTCTGTTAAGGTAGTCCTCGTATTTCAAAAACCATTCTCCCGTTTCGGGAATCACCCACACGGGTGTGGACGGTGTTGCATCCGCCGGAAGTAATGGCGGCGGAACAAACGTGATCTGTTTTCGTTTGAATAGAACCTGTAGAACATGGGGGCGGAAAGAAAAGATGTCAGTATGCTGCTAGTGGCGTATTTATGGTGTCGAGCCATGTTTGTGGATGCACAAAGACACACTTACCATTTGTCAAACCTTGGTGCTGGTGTTGGTGTTGGTGCTGGTGTTGGTGTTGGTGCTTGTGCTTGTGCTTGTGCTGGTGCTGGTGCTAATGCTGAGCGGTGGGAGTCAGATCAGAGCCAGACAGGCAGAGCAACGGAGACAGGGGCAAACACACAAGAGCAGCAGGCGGAAAGGTAGAGGTTTACGCAAGTAAAAATCAATCAGAATGGAGAATGCAGGCAGGAACGAAAACATTCCAAAAAAGAGAAAAAGCGTTTTCATTGGCGTGCCGGTTTTTGTGTGGATTTTCTTCTCTGCTGCGTTGTTTGTTTTAAAAACGTGGAAGATGTGACATGTTTGCTGGGCCGGGTGGCCAGATGGGGGATACGTAGTGTATATACGGGTGTCTATCTACAGGCAAGAGACACAGAAAGGCTCTTTGCGGGTGGGCTTGGGGCAGGCACGAAGGCTATTTGTACAAAAAGCCAAAAAGACCCTCCTTCTTCTGTTCACGGACTTCACGTGGCTCGTAAGCACGCACGTCCTTGACGATCTTCTGGACTGCGCCGTCTGCGTCATAGTTTCTGCCCAATACGTCGATGAACTCGCCCTCTGGGTCCATGAGGTAGAAGAAGATGGAGTGGTCGACGAGATAGTCTTGTCCCGGCTTGAGGTCCCGGGGCGTGCTGAAGTAGACCCGGTAGTTTCTGCAGCACTTCTTTACCTCGTCGTAGTCGCCTGTCAAGCCGACAATGGATGGGTGGAACTCGCTTAGGTATTCCTTGAGCACTTCGGGGGTATCTCTGGCCGGGTCACAAGTAATGAAGATCGGTTGCACCTGGACGCCCTTCTTCTCAAGCTCGTTGAGCATGATTCCGAGCTTGTCGAGCTCGTCCGGGCAGATGTCAGGACAGTGAGTGAAGCCGAAGTAGATAATGCTGAACTTGCCGAGCAAGTTCTTCTCCGTGAAGGGCTCGCCGTTCTCCGTGATCAAGTTGAACGGCCCGCCAATGAGCGGTTTCCCGATTCCTCTGTTCGCCTCCGCCTCCTTACGGAGCTGCAACTTCTCCTTCTCCGAGCGGAACAAAAAGGTCAATCCGGTACCGACGGCAAGAAACAAAACAAACGACTTCCACGAGAGGTACTCCACAGGCTTCCGCTTCATCGTCTGGGAGGTGTACTCCTCGGATCCAATGGGGATGCTCGATAAGGGGCGTCTCGAGTACTGTTTCTTTGCTGGGGCCGCTTCTGGTGAAGCGGTCGGTGGCTTTTGCGGCTGCGGCTGCCCGCTAGGTTGCTCGTTAAACAGCATCCGTGTGTAAGTGAGAGATCTCGTGGCGCCCTTCAAGCCGGAAGTGGCAAACACACGCTGGCCTCCCTGCAGCGCAGACACAAGAGCGTTGTTTCTGAACATTCTCGTACAACAATGACTGTCTCTGCTGATCAACGTGGCTTTAGAATGCTATCTTCAACAATAGAGGCTACACAGAAACCGTCTTCACAGTGTCTGACAGATGGTCTGGCTACCTGATTTTCTCTCCTCTGCCTCTCATGATTTTCAGATACGATGGAGCGGCCTTTGAAATTTTTTGGGAGGTGGTGATGCTTTCTTACTATTAGAAATGTTTGCTGTATGTGGGGTTTACACAAAAGCATCACTGCTGCTACGGATATATGGGACACGATACGGGGCGGTGCGGTGTTGTGCTGGAGAGACTAGTTCTTACCGGCACCGGATCTGAAGTAGATAACATCACCGTCTTCGACAACGTACTCCTTACCCTTCTGCATCAACTTACCGGAGGCACGACATTGGGCTTCGGAACCACACTCCACCAAGTCGTCGTATTTCATGACGTTGGCCAAGATGAAGGTCTTCATCAAGTCTGTGTGAATGACACCGGCGGCCTGAGGAGCCTTGGTTCCCTCTCTGATGGTCCACTCTCTGACTTCGGTCTTTTCACCAGCGGTAAAGTACGAGATTAACTGTAGCTTGGTTCTCATCATTGTGATCAACTTAGGCATGATGGACTTGGCGCCGATCTTCTCCTCCTCGGCTTCTCTTTCTTCGTCGGTCTCCATATGGGAGAGTCTTTCCTCGTACGAGACAGACAATGGGATGATCTGGTCACCTGGGGAGTAGGTGTCGATCCACTCCTTGATCTTTGGCAACCACTTGTTTTTCTTACGCAAGAAGTCTCTCTCGGACAAATTGATCAAGTAGATGGAAGGCTTGGCAGTCAACAAGTACATGGAGTTGATGATTTCGACCTCCTTGGCGCTCCAGTTCTGATTGGCGACACGCTGTCCGTCTTGCAACAAGTCGATGATTCTTTGGACAACAATGGCCTCCTCCTTCTTCTGCTTGACTTCCAAACTTTGGCCACCTCTCTTGGTGATCTTCTCAATGGCCTCCAAGTGCTTTTCGGCAAACTCGATATCCTTCAATCTCAACTCGTTACTGATGATTTCCAAATCTCTGACCGGGTTGACGTCACCCTCAATGTGGATAATCTCAGCATCGTCAAAACATCTGACAACCTGATAGATGGCATCGACAGATCTGATGTTAGCCAAGAATTCGTTACCTAAACCTTCACCCTTGGAGGCACCTCTGGTCAAACCTGCGATATCGTAGATGGTGATGTAGGCAGGAACTCTCTTTGGTCTGCCGTACATCTCCATCAACTTGTCCAATCTTGGAGAAGGAACAATCACTCTGGCCTCCTCCGGCTCAATAGTGGCAAATGGGTAGTTTGCTGGGTTTCCCAATGGGCATCTGGTGATGGCTTGGAAAAACGTCGACTTACCGACGTTGGCCAAACCAACAATACCAGACTTCAAGTTGTTACCTGGACGACCCAACAGGATCTTCTTCTCTTCTTGCTGTTTCTTTGGAGGCATTTTGTTGTTTCTGCGTGGCTCTAATACGTCTCTACTGTCTCCGAACCTGACCTCTCTACTGTCCCTTCTCTCTTGCCCGAGCGGTTGTGTCCTGCTTAACCCTCAAATTTTTCCAGCTGCCTCAAAAAAGGGTCGACGCTCAAGTGAGCTGAAAAATTTGAGAGTTGTCGAACCCAAAATACAAGACGATCGGCGCAATCGGTGCAAATCCGGGCTTTTGGACGGACTGCGGGCCATATCTGGTGATATTACTGTTCATGGCAACTAGTTGGAACTAGAGCAAGTCCAGGGAGAAGTTGCTGGCAAAGAAAAGCGGTACTCGTGAATGGGGGACGAAGGCAGGCCCCATAAAGCTGGCGTGTACAACTGCGGCAGAGTTGTAGTCCGTCGGGCCGCTGTCAGATCGTCGACGCGTCGGCGCTGGAGCAGGGAAACGGAGATGGGCGGAGAAGGACGGAGATACACGGACATCAACGAAATAACAAAGATATGTAAGGTGTAGAGTCGAAAAGGTGGACATTTCGGGATGATAAGAAGCTGGCAGACCGTGTCTAGCGGACGCAGAATATAAATGGAGGAAAGGGAAGAGTGAAAGCCACGGAGTAAAGTTCTGTAGAAGTTTAAAGAAACGGGAGCATGTAGTTCCGCAACGGAGAAAGGGAGAAAATCAGGAAGAAAAGAACGGGATGAATAATAAAGCAGGAATAAAAGCAACATGACATCAAGATTCAAAAGCCCTTTTCGCCGGAGGGAGAGGCAAAGGCGTCTTCTATGCTGCTGGAGGTGTCATTGTCGTCGGCGTCGATTATTCCAAGGTCCAAGTCCTTGTTTCTCAGGTAAAGGTCGAAGTCCTCGACTTCTTGCCATTCCTCGTAGAACTTGAATTCAAACACCTTGCTGTCTTCAGGCATACCCTTGATTGGGAACAAGAGGGTCAAGATCAACAAGACCGAGCTACTTGCAGCGTAACCGGTGAAGAAGGAGAAGTAGTAGACGTACGTGGCGCCCATTGGAACTTCGTGCGTTTTTGTTGCACCGACGAAACCGACAATGTTGGGCAAGATTCCACAGATGTATGCGACATATGCTCTCCAGTTGACCCCCTTGGAGTAGAAGTAGGGGGAGGAGTTGTTTGCAATGTACAATTCTGGCAAGTAGAGCAAACCTTTCTTTAAGATGTAGTAGTCACAGAAGACGACACCTGCAATGGAAGAGAGGAAGACGGAATAGGCACTCAAGTAGGTGGTGAACATGGACGAGGAGGACATCAAGTTCCATGGGCAGATAGCGTAGGCGATGGCTGCGCAGATGAAGCCACCACGACGGATGTTCATGTACTTTGGTAGGAGGGCGGTCATGTCAGTTCCTGCACTTAGGGAGTTTGCGGAAATGTTGGTTCCCAACTGGGCGATGGCAAAGCCGAGAGAAATGAGGAAGACCCCACCTCTGTCACCACGAGAGTAGCCGTCGAGAAACCGGGAGAGGACGTCCAACGGGTTCCAGTAGGTCTCGTTGTACATGACGGTGGACGCCGAGGAGACCAAGATGCCGATCAAGCAGGTGATAGAGAAGGTGGTTGGCAAGGCGATGAACTGGGACCAGATGGCGGCGCCGGGCTTGTTGGCGAAACGGGAGAAGTCGGGGGCGTTGACAATCAAGGTGGCGAAGTTGGCTAGGGAGTTCATGGTGGAGTTGACAAAGGCCCAGCCAAACTCGGAGCCGGAGATGGTGGACTTCTGATGGATGACGGGTCCTCCGCCGTCGGCCTTGACGAGGGTCCACACAAGGAAGGCAATACCGGCGATGGGGCAGATGACGGCCTTGACGGTGAACAAGTGGCGGACGATGTGGGGTGGGAGGTAGATGAAGGGGAGCTGGAAGAACCAGTAGAGGAAGAAACTCAACATCTTGAAGGAGGTGATGTTGCCGCCGAGGGTGTTGTGGATCCTTGTGTCGAGGTCGTTGCCGAAGATGGAGCGGAGCATCAACTCGACACAGTTGCCGCCGATGGAGGACTGGACGCCGAACCAGACGCAGGCCATCACGACTCTGTTGATGACGGGCCAGAGCGAACCCCAGATGCCGAAGGAGGATCTGCAGGACACGGGGAAGGAGATGTGGTACGCGTTACCGACTCTGGCGGAGGCGGTCACGAAGCAGCCGCAGAAGAAGTAGCCGAGCCACACGGTGATCCACACGACCCACCACGAGAGCCCGGCCTGCACCCCCGTGGAGGCGATCTGCCACGTGTTGATGTTGAACGAGTCTGCGATCCAGAAGAACACAAAGTGGTACCAGTGCCACTTTCTGCGGGCCTCCTCGACGGGCCGCAAGTCGTAGTTGAGGAGGAAGAGCTGCGAGAGAGAGAGGCCCTGCGTGCCCTTGATCTCGAGCGGCCGCAGCCAGCGCCACACAAACAGCTCTTCTCTCTTCTTGCCGTTGTTGCTGTCGGCGCCCGACGAGCTGCCGGAGGCGGAGTCTGCGGTGCCGCCGTCGCCCACAAACGGGCTGTCCCTCGACCCCGAGCTGATCTGGGACACCTCTGCGGGGGACTTGTCGACGCTGCTGCCCTGGTGGGCGTGGCCGTGGCCGCCTCTCTCGTGGAGGTTGCCGCTGGACTCGTGGATGGTGAAGTCTTCCTTGACGTCTTGCATTGGACGCGATTGACTTACACAGAAAGCTGCACAACTGAAACCGAAACCGAAACCGAAACTGAAACTAGGAGCACAAGCACAAACAGGATGTGTGCCGACGTGCAAAAATGGGGGTGGAAAAAAATTTTAGTGCTCTGTTATCCGAGACAGAAAAGGGCTGGAAAAAGAAAAAGCATAAGCAGAACGCAGCCGCTACCAGACACACCCACAGGACACAGACCGGGGGCTATATATATACACACATACACATACATCCCTGCGAAGACTCCACCCGGGCAGCCAGACCACACCCTATCAGACCAGAGTCAGCGAAGCCTGTCTCCAGCGACACCACATAGATAACAGCCCGATGGGGCAGATGGCCTGCAGACAGCTCCACCCGCCTCAGAGATAAGAGTCTATCCGCTCTGCTCCTTCTGCGCTGCCCCACGCTGCCTCACGCTATCCGCTGCCCGCCCCGAAAATACCACACGCCCGGCCCCGTGCTTATCGTCCTCGGTGCCTCGCCGTTTAATACCGCATTGCCGCACTCCACCCGCTGCAGCGGAACCCTCTATCGCTCGCGGCCGACCCGTCGGCGGCACTGTCGTCGTCGTCGTCGTCGTCGTCGTCGTCGCCCGCGCCGTCGAGCCCGCTGTCCGGGCCCGCCGGCGGCCCCGGGCGGTAGCACACGGCCGCGCGCAGGTAGAGCGGCGCTGCGGGCGCCGGCGCCGGCACAAGGACGCCACGGGCGGGGCCGGCGTAGACGAGCACGTCGTTCACGAGCAGCTTGACGCGGGCGCGCCGGCCGTTGACGCTGACGGTCTGCTCTGCCGGGGTGGGCCCGGCGGAAACGGTGATTTTGGCTGAGTCCGCCGGCGCAAAAAGCACCTGGGCCCAGCGGGTCGCGGGGTCGAAGCGCACGCCCGCCGGGCGGCTGAGGTGGCCGGCGACGCTGTCGCGGTCGCGCAGTACGGCCCCGTGCTGCTCGAGCACGCTGGCAAACCCCCAGCGGCCGACGCCGTTGAGCAGGAGCCCGACACAGAGGCCCTGCATGATGTAGGAGCCGGTCCAGCGGGTCTTGCAGGCAAACACAAGGGCCAGCCCGAGCGCCCAGTGGTGGACGCGCAACACGAGGCCGGGGACGTCGCCGCCGGGGACGCCGTCGAGCGCCAGCAGGCCGCTGCAGCCCCGGCCGACCCACACGAGGCCGGCAAGGCCGGCGGCGTAGCCCACGGCGGCGCGCCGGAACCAGCCGGCGCGCCAGATGCGCCGGCCCTGGACAACGGCGCAGCAGAGCAAGAGGCCCACGAGGAAAAGGAAGGCGGCGATGCTGCTCGGGCGGTGGGCGATGTCGCTGGGGAGGAGGCGGTCGAGGGGCAGGCGGTCGAAGGTGAGGTTGTTGAGCGCCGTGAGCCAGGCGCCGGCGAGAAAGAGCAGGCGCTGGACGCCGCCCGCGCCGCCGGCGCGGAAGGTGTACTCGCCGACACACTTCCACACGAAGCCCACGGCGAGGCCCAGCGGGATGAGGCGCCGGACGTAGAGGGAGAGAAGGCGCCAGGCGCTGTCGCCGCCGCCGTAGCGGTTGTCGAGGAAGTCCACGATGACGGGCGGGTCGCTGCAGAGCACGATGGTGGTGTAGAGCACGGCGACGGTCGTGAGGTAGAAGACGCGGGCGTCGTAGGCGAGGAGGGCGGCGGCCGCAGTGAACACGAGGCCGGCGACAATGCCCAGCAGCCGCAGGTCGTGTCCGTTGCGCACGGCGCCCACAGCGGGGCCGATGGTGAAGCTCGCCGGGAAGGAGGAGTCGAACAACAAGGCGGGGCCGCTGTCGTTGGTGCGCGGCGGCTCGGCAGTGTCGTAGGGGAAGTGGTCGTCGAGATGCAAGGCGACGACGCCGCCAAAGAGCTGGCTGATGGCGCCCTGCTCGTACGCAGCGATGCAGGGGAAGCTGTCGCCGCGGTAGACGGGGCTGCCGTCGTCCGCGGGAGCAGGCGCCTGCACGATGTACGGCTGGTACTGCACCCGCCGGTCCGCGTACTTGACCACGTCGTAGGCCAAGCCGGCGCCGCCGCAGAACGCCGGACACCGCACGTAGAGCGTCTCGTGCCGCCGGAACGGGCCCATGCAGCGGCGGGCGTGCAGGCCACACTTGTCGTTTGCCCCGAGCCACAACTTCGGCGCCGCCCCGCAGGGGAACGTCACTGCCGGCGTCCCGTCCACGGCCGGCGCCCCGAAGAGCAAGTGTCCGTAGAGCAGCCGCAGCGTCACCAGCAGGCCGGCGAAGTACACGGCCAGCACGGCCAGCCTCGTGCGCCGCCCAGCCCGCTGCCCGAGCGCCAGCGGCACCCGGTTCACCAGGTACACCCACGGGCTGTAGCCGTGCCGGAAGTCCTCGATCCTGTCCGAGGGCCGGGAAGGACCCCGCCAGATCCGCAACAGCCTCCGCCAGACGACGCTGCCCGCAGCGTGCCGTTCGCTCTCGTTGCCATTGCCGTTGCCATTGCCATTGTCACTGTCACTGTCACTGTCGCTCTCCCCGGCTCCTTCGTCGTCGTGGTACCCTCCGCAGACTCCGTCGCTGCCAGAGTCGCTCTGCCCGCTCCCAACACGGTATGTCGCCAGCTCGATGTCGTCCCCCTGCCGCTCACCGTCTTCTCCGTACTTGCTTTCGGCGCTATGCACCCATTCCCGAGGTCTCACGACACCTTCCACACTATCTGCTCCGTCTCCGCCGTCTCCACCATCGCTGTTGTCGCTCCGGAAACTCCTTGAGCGCTCCACTGTGTGTTCTGCTGTGTGTTCCATGCTTCTCCGGCGTCCAATTGCCCCCCCTAACAGCCTCTCTGGGCCCTTCTTCGACCATCTGTGTCATGTTCGTTATTGTCGCCGTCCCCTTCTTTTTTGTCTCTCCTGCTCCGGTTCATGCAGAGAACAATAGACCTTCCCGGAACAGAACAAAATCGACGAAAAATGCCCGAAAATGAGAAAATGCTGAAAAATTGGAAATTTCCGCCGGAAAATGACAAAAAAACCCAAAAATGCGAAAAGGTGAAAAAAAAGGAAAAACCGGGCGGGGCAGTGCACCGCCCGGTCTTTTCCAGCTTCGATGAGTAATAACCCATTTCAGTTTTTCACTTGACCACATGGCACCCTGTATTTTTCCGAAAAGTCTCGATCCTCGGGGTCAAGTATTTCAGCACCGCATCTCCGCCTGTCTGCTTCTCTGCTTCCTTGGTTCTGCTGCTTTTTGTGCCCTGAGAGTACTCATCAAGCACCCACCCCTATATCGATAATACTATGGCTGACTCCAGATCAAACTCCGCTGCCCCTGCACAAGAAGAATACGACGACCTCCGTATCCTCGCCAGCGACCCCCTCATCTCCCCAGAGCTCCTCATCAGAGAGATCCCAGCCACCAAGGACGCCTTGAAGACGGTCATCCGTGGACGTAAGGAGGCCACGGCCATCGTCAAGCAACAGGACGACCGTCTGTTGGTCGTTGTCGGGCCATGCTCTCTGCACGACCAGAAGACCGCCATGGACTACGCCAACCTGCTCAAGCCTTTGGCAGAAGAACTTTCTGGCGAGTTGGTCGTCATCATGAGAGCATACTTGGAAAAGCCAAGAACCACCGTCGGCTGGAAGGGTCTCATCAACGACCCAGACTTGAACGGGTCTTTCAACATAAATAAAGGCTTGCGTTTCGCCAGACAGCTCTTCGTCGACTTGACAAATCTTGGCTTGCCTATCGGTTCGGAGATGTTGGACACCACCTCCCCTCAGTACTTGAACGACTGTCTCTCCTTCGGTGCCATTGGTGCCAGAACCACCGAATCCCAGCTCCACAGAGAGTTGGCCTCCGGCCTCTCCTTCCCAATTGGTTTCAAAAATGGTACCGACGGTACCCTCGGTGTCGCCATCGACGCCATCAAGGCTGCAGAAAACTCCCACCATTTCATGGGTGTCACCAAAAACGGGCTTGCCGCCATCATAACCACCAAGGGTAACGACTCTTGCTTTGTCATCCTCCGTGGTGGTAAGGCTGGCACCAACTACGACGAAAAGTCCGTCCAGGAAGCAAAGGAAAAGCTCCCTGCCGGTAAGGTTCTCATGGTTGACTGCTCTCACGGCAACTCGAACAAGGACTACAGAAACCAGCCTAAGGTATGTAGCGAGGTCGCAAGACAAGTCACCAACGGTGAGAACGCCATTATCGGTGTCATGATTGAGTCCAACATCAACGAGGGCAACCAGAAGATCCCTGGAGACTTGTCCCAACTCAAGTACGGTGTCAGTGTCACTGATGCCTGTGTTAACTTTGCATCCACTGAAATCATGCTTAAAGAACTTGCCGCCGCCGTCAAGGCAAGAAGAGCACTCAATAAGAAATAATCATAGCCTACATTAAGTTAGTTTTTCTGTACAGTACCTACATACATCCCCTATATATTCTCTATAGCGTGCTCCTCCTACCATGAACATTCTTTTTCCAAATATTCTTATCTTCACCGCTTCTCTGTATCAAAGTTGACTCATTTTCCTCGATCAGAATTTTTCAGATTTGCTCGTCTTTAATTTTTTTGATGACTTCCGCCAATTTTTGCAACATGAATTTCTACCCGATATCAAAGAAGATTAGAGTATACCTGGAAGTTGCTTATCTCTTTTTTGTTTCTTCGTTCAAAAACCATTCTTTAAGAACCATGTCGAGTGTGGTCCACGTTATTGATGTCAACTCGGGGAACTTACAATCCTTGTCAAATGCTATAGCGTTTTTGGGTTTCCAAGTCCGTTTCATTACCAACGGTAACGATCCAGCTTTACAGACTTGTGAAAAATTGATCCTTCCTGGAGTCGGAAATTTTGGTCACTTTGTGAAAGAGCTTCACGCGAGAGAGTTTATTGAGCCTTTGAGAAAATACATCAATTCAGGAAGACCAATAATGGGAATATGTGTTGGCTTGCAAGCCCTTTTTGAAGGCAGTGAGGAAAGTCAGGGCATACGAGGCTTGTCAATCTTACCTGGTGACTTAAAAAAGTTCAATACATCCAAAAAAAGTGTACCTCAGATTGGCTGGAACTCAATTTCTTTAAGACTCCCATCCTCCTCGGATGCCAACTCGTTGTATGGAATCAGCGAGGACAAATTTTACTATTTTGTTCACTCATATGCTGCCATACGCACACAGGAACAAATAGATTCACTTGCTAATGAGGGATGGAGTTTGGCTCTTTGCACATACTTCGACGAAACTTTCGTTGCAGCTGTATCCAAGGACAACATTTTTGCAACACAGTTTCATCCTGAAAAATCGGGCCTCGCTGGTTTGAAGGTCATCCAATCATTCTTGAACGGTAACAGATACTTCACGGTGAAGTTAGAAAAACCAGATTTATCCAAAATAGAAAAAACTGAAACTGGTCTTACTAGAAGGATAGTTGCTTGCTTGGATGTCCGTACAAACGACCAAGGTGATTTGGTTGTCACAAAAGGTGATCAATATGATGTCCGTGAAAAATCAGATGCGGGAAATGTCAGAAACTTGGGTAAACCTGTCGAAATGGCAGAAAGATACTATAGTCAAGGTGCTGATGAAGTTACTTTTCTAAATATTACTTCTTTCAGAAACTCTCCAATCAAGGATCTGCCAATGTTAGAAGTTTTAAGATTGGCTGCTAAAACTTGTTTTGTTCCTTTAACGGTTGGTGGTGGTATCAGAGATGTTGTTGACCCAGACGGAACGGAACACTCTGCATTAGAAGTTGCTTCCATGTATTTTCATGCAGGAGCAGATAAAGTTTCTATTGGTTCTGATGCCGTTCGTGCAGCTGAAGAGTACTATGCCAACAACAATCAAGGATTGGGTACATCTCCTATTGAAACCATTTCAGAAGCTTATGGTGCTCAAGCTGTTGTCATATCTGTTGATCCAAAGAGAAAGTATATTTCTGATCCCAAAGAATGTAAATACAAAACCATTAAAACAAGCGTTCCAGGTCCAAGTGGCGAACAATATTGTTATTACCAGGTTACATCTCAAGGTGGACGGAAAGTCCATGAACTTGGAGCAGTAGAGCTTGCTTTTGCGTGTGAAAAATTGGGTGCAGGTGAAGTCCTTCTCAATTGCATTGACAAAGATGGATCCAACAGCGGCTACGATTTTGAATTGATTAATATGGTGAAAAACGCAGTTACCATTCCAGTCATTGCATCGTCAGGTGCCGGTAACCCTCAACATTTTGTCGATGTTTTCCAAAACACAAAGACAGACGCTGCATTGGGTGCAGGTATGTTTCACAGAGGTGAATACAAGGTGAGTGATGTCAAAGATTTCATGAAGAAAGATGGTCTTCTTGTCAGGATTGATGACACTCAATTAGATGTTTGAGTTCTTGTAGTTTACATTTCTCTACTTAGACTATCAATACATTTAAATTAACAACTTTTAATTCTGTTCCTGTTTATTTTACATGCTTTTTTTTTGAAAGGGAAAAAATTACAAAACATTATTTTTAGTTAAACTATAAATTTTTTTATTAAGTACATCAGACAGAAAAGTCACTTGCCTGTCTACTTTTCAAGTTCTTCTTCAAACTGTTCGATTTTGTCAAGCCTTTCTTCAACCTTTTCATCATCAAGTTTGATACCAGCACTGACACTGAATTGTCCTCCACAACCAACTATCTCGATCTGGTGCTCTCTGGTAGCAGTGTTGTCAATTCTTGTTGGTTTAGCAATATCTTCATCTAAATTACCCAACCCAAGAGCATACGTATCAGCAAACCCCCAAGCAAAAACGAGACCATCCTTAGTTATAGCCAATGAGTGGTGGGAACCGCAAGCAACTGTGTTGACTGGTGGTAAGGTAGTCAATTTTGTAGGAACAGGTAAACAACGAACGTTACCATGTGCATCAACAATACAGTCGTCCATTGGTAATTTCTCCTTCTCTATACCAATTTCTTTCATATCATATCTTCCAAAGGTGTACAGTTCTCCCGATTCAGAGACTGCAATAGAATGGTGTTCACCTCCTGTAATGTAAACAATTTTCTTTCCCTTTAAAGACTTGATTTCAGTTGGTTTACCAACAACAGCACCATCTTCGATGTTCATATCGACACCGCATTGACCATATTGGTTGAGACCCCACGCAAGAACTTTCCCGTCTCTTGTGATGGCAAAACTGTGAAATTCACCGGACCCTATGAACTTGATATTCTTTAATCCAAAGGATCTAGGTTCTAGTGATGACATCATTGATCTTTCCATTATTTTACGACCAAGCTGAAATTGCTGACCGTTACCCCAAGCATAAACCAAACCCTTAGAATCTAAAGCTAGAATATGATCCTTTCCTGCAACTATTTGGACAATATTTTCCAATTCCTCGATTCTAACAGGAGTTTTCTGGATTTTAACGTCTTTAGAGAAACCTAAAATGCCCTCGTTGTTTCTGAAAGTACCCCAAGCCCAAACTTGTCCGCTTTCGAGTAAAACAACAGATAAATTGTCACTTGCTGCTACTCTCACAATTTGGTCATCCTTTGGTAATCCTTCGACTTTGCCTGGAGTGGATTCTGCTTCGTTCAAGTCTCCGTCTTCGTCATCTTCATCCTTAACGGAGTCGATATCCCTCAAGTTTTTATCAGCCTGACCTGAAGTATCTCTTCCAAGAACACCTGAATCGTTGGTACCCCAAGACCAAAGGTTGTTTGATTTATCTAGAGTGAGAACATGCATACCTCCAACTGCAAAGTCAACAATACCAACCTCCTCCTTCTTCAAGAAAGGGTTCAACCTTGGTCTTTTCACTTCTTTGGTCTTTGCATCTGGACCGAGGCCCAATTCACACATGGAACCTGAACCCCACACAAAAAGATCAAGAGGTGTTGATTTGGCAGTTGGCTTGTCATTGATTGTCTTGTAACGAGAAGCACGGATAGATTCGAAACTGTGATGATGTTGTGCATCGCTTCTAGCCTTCTTAGCTGGGCTTGGAGTAACATTCCCCTCCGACACCAAAGAAGCTGATTTTCTTTTTCTTACTAACTTGGCCATTTTCTGTGATATCGATGATAATTTCTTGGGTTACCCATTCAAAGCTAAGAAAGCTTCCATCGATATGTCTCTTTTACGAATGATGAGGACTTCTTTCAGTGAGATTATCATCAACATACTAAAGAAACAGGGCGGTGCAATTTTGCAAAAAAAAAAATTTCAAAAAAACTTTCAGTTTTCCATCCTAATCATCAAGTTCGGTTGTTTTTACTACTAGTTTTGGAAGAGGTTAAGAGAGTCCTAAATCCTGAAATTGAGCCGGAGAATACAACAGAAATTGTTGACAAGATGGGAAAAGTGTCGACAAAGGATATTAAGGACAAAAGTAGACATGTCCCGCTCTACAAGGACATTGCTTCCACGGGAGGGAAATTAAAATCATCACAGATCAAATCAAAAGTTTACAAAAAGCCTAGTGAACAGTCTAGCAAGAGTCAACTTGGCGAAGAAGAAGGTGACGGCAGAGACGAATATGACTTAGATGCAGCAACGTCTCGTCGTGTGTTAAAGCTTGCAAAGGAACAACAACAGGAAATTGAGGATGAAGAGAATTTTAATGAGGTTGCAACCAAACCTAGATTTCAATTGATAGAGCATGAATCTGAAGATGAAGTTGAAAGAGAAGAAGAAGAAGAGGAGGAAGATTATGAAGTTGAAATTGTTGACGAAGATGATTTGAATCCATCTGAAATAGCAATGTTTGAAACCTTCTTCAAAGCAAAGCAGGGAAATAATATCCCATTCCAATCGATCAATCTCGCAGACAAAATCATGGAAAAAATTGCTGAAGCCTCAAGCAACACACAACAAATGGATGACGAAGAAGAGGGAGAAGAAGAGGAGGAAGAGGGTAGAAAACCTGATGGTGTATACTTACCACCTAGGGTCATTGAAGCGTATCAAAAAGTTGGAGAATCATTGAGAGCTTGGAGACACGGAAAACTTCCGAAGCTTTTCAAGGTCTTGCCAACAATCAAGAATTGGGAAGACTTATTATATGTTACAGCACCTGAAATGTGGACTCCAAATGCTGTCTACGAGGCCACAAGACTATTTGTGTCCAACTTGACTGCTGCAAAAGCAGAAAAATTTGTTACGTTGGTGCTCTACCCAAGATTTCATCAAGACATTGAGGAGAATGAAGATCACAAGCTAAACTATCACATTTACAGAGCATTGAAAAAATCATTATATAAGCCTGCTGCATTTTTCAAGGGATTTTTGTTCCAACTAGTTGAAGACCAATGCTCTGTGAGGGAGGCGATGATTGCGGCATCTGTCTTGAAGAAAACTTCAGTTCCTGTACAGCATGCAGCAGTTGCATTATCTTGGCTATTAGAACAAGAATTTTCACCAGCGGCCACTGTTTTTATTCGGGTTTTGATTGAAAAAAGATACGCATTGCCTTACCAGACGATAGATGACCTAGTGTTCTACTTCATGAGATTCCGTGTCATAACCGATAACAAATCTTCATTTAAAATAGATAATGAAGCAGATGATGTAATGGACGAAGCAAACATCGATATTACACAGCAGAGAAAGTTACAAGAGGCACCCCCATTACCATTGGTTTGGCACAAAGCTTTTCTTGCATTTGCTCAAAGGTATAAAAATGATATTACCGACGATCAAAGAGACTTTTTGATGGAGGTCATTAGACAACGTGGGCATCGTGAAATAGGGCCCGAGATTCGTAGAGAACTTCTTGCTGGTAAGCCAAAGGAATTTACTCTAGAGCCAACACAACAGAAAATCGATGATGACGATATCATGTCCTATTTCTAATGTTAAGAACTTTAAACTGATATATATATAATCCTATTTTTGTATATATGTTACCGCTGTAATCTCACTTTGTTTCAATTTTGATGAATAAACTCGAATATATCAATTCTTCTCCTTTGTTATCACCTAATCGGATATGCCTGTATCCTTGTTTCAAATCTCCTATTTTACAGCACCAACTCCCAATTGTATAATCATTATTGTTGTTCTTGACAACAGTACTCACCTTTCCTATAACTCCGGACTTTGTCTTACTTGCACGCAAAGTCTTAACTGCAACTCTAATAAATGCCAAATCATTCTCATTGGTGAGATATTTTAGCCTGCAGGAGGCATTCCACTTAGGGCTAAATGCATTCCCCGGATTTTCGGCAAATCTAGTTTTGAAAAGAACGCTATGATTGGGGTTGGCTGACATTGCTTCAACATGACTTAGTTTTACGCTTCCAGCTTTTGTTAACTTAGAGTTTATCTTGCCATCTGAAGCGTTTTCAATGGCTTGTTGCTTATCAGTACTAATGTTAAATTCATCTTCTTTCCTTGTCTCTTCCTTTTCATTTTCAGCCTCCCCCACTTCACCGTCTTTTTCATCTTCTATATCATCTTTCTCCTCGTCTAAGGTACCAGCTCTATTATATCTATGGAGGTGAACAATTTCAGCATGAACAGGCAAAACATTGTATACTTCTACCTCAACCCACGGTGTATAGCCATCTGATCCCGTATTCCCAAAATCTTTAGGCTTCGGCAACTGCTGACCTGATAGAATAGAAACATCAAAAAAGTGCTCTTTGTCAAATACAAGAGAGCTCAAAGTCTGGACTTTGAGCTTTTCCTTATCATATGTTGATGTATTCATTTCCAAATTCCTCATGTTTTTGGGTTTCAATCGATATCCACTGTATCCTAACCCTGATGCCATTTCAGAGCCAATACTTGCAAATAAAGATTCACTCAATTCTTCACCGCAATCCCAAATCTGCCAGTTAGTAGCGGCCATCTGACAGCCAAGTTCCCAAAATGTGATCGGGTTGAAATTATCTGATCGAAATCGTACAACCGAAGGGTAAACTCTCATCATTCCACGTCTGTTATGTTTCAAAATGGATACTAATTTCGTTTTGTCTCGTAATAAAAGTAGTAAAGTACGATCGCTGAAGGAAAAAACATGATTGTAAGTTTTTGATTCAGGCAAAGAAAAATTTCTAAACTTTATTCCAACAAAATATGGAGCAAGTGCAGTCAGTTCGGGTACAATAAGAGTTCGTGCCGTGGGCTTGGAAACCATCTTTTTGAGACTATTGGAATTATCACGATGGGTAACTTCTTCCTCGTCGTATTTATTTTCTGTATAATTGGGATTTATATCATCACTTTGAGTTGACGAAGTAGAGAATGAAGAATGAAGACTATGTGGGGACCCTTGAGGTTCAATGATGGTAGTTGATTTGGACTTTTTAACCTTAACTAAGATCTTATGCTTTAGCTCTTCAGGCGAAGGCATGATACTCTCGTTTACTTTTGAATGTAATACAAGCATATCTCCGAAAATAGTTTTCATTATGGCAACACACTTCAGCTGAGATTCTTGAGAACATCTGATCTCTAAAGATATAATCAATGGATAAGGAGTTGTAATAAATGCATATTTCCGTATAATATCTACCACCAATTTGAATTCAATTGAATTAGTTAATGTATGGCCATGGGTAACAATAGGATGTTGTTCTTTTGTGCTTGTAGAGATTCCATCCCATACGTCAATCTCAATGCACCTACATCCACGTTGTAAAGCATGAATGTAACCTTCTATCGAAGAAAATCCATGAAACTGTTTTCCTAATAGGTATGTATTGTGAGATGAAGAGATAAAGTAATCTGTTAGTGGATGTGAGTAATAGTGTGGATCTAAGCTTTCTTCATTGAATAATGCAGTAGCATAAGGGCTGTTTAGATAGTATGATAGATCTGATGTACTCATATAAGAGTCAAGACTTTTGCCGTGTGAGAATTTAACAAATATATCATTAATCAAGGTGTCACTGAGCGACGACTCATTTTGTGTTTCTCTAACAAATATCCTAAAATCAGATAGCAGCATTTTTCCATTTCTAATGTTCAACCCATGGAAAATGGCACCAAACTCAGGCCGACTGCGGAGTTTGGATACAAAAGTCTGAAACTGTGGGAAATCCAAACTCTTCTTCTTATTAGTATCGCATTGATCGAAATAAAGACGGAGGTATGACACGTCCATATACACATGTAATTCTGAGGTTAATTTCAAGACATCCTCAAATGATAAAAGTTGCCGTTCTAGCTTTTTTGTTTTGTTGTCCCACTTGATCTTAGAGAATTCATTAACATCGGCGCAACTTACCAAACTCTCTTGTTCTTTTGACCATTGAGAAAGCAGCTTGAGTGTTTTCAACATAATGTCGTAATTTCTTTTTGTAGTTGCAATCATATGCAACGCCTTCAAATCATTGCATAGCAACGCCGAGGAATGGGATGAATTTGATGATATATATATTACGGTAATCCATAAAGCGTTAAACTCTTTCGAAACATTGAACTCTTCTCTGTAATTTCTTGCATCTTCTCCTACACGGATGCTTTGAATCTTATCCATTTCTACCTTTGATTTACTTTTCGAGTTCCATGTCAAAGTCAAGGATGGAAGTGTCAATTTGAAAGCACGGCGTATTCTCTTGCGCCGAGTTACTCTAATCATGTCTATTCCGGGGGAGAGGAGATCTGGAGGAAATGAGTCCGGGTCTGAAGGGTCAAAAGGGTCAATTAACTTTACCGAATCTTCTTCTATTACTGGTGATCCTGGCTGATAATTGCTTGGGTCGCCCGCTTCTTCGTGGGCAGAAGGTGGAGGTACTAGCTGCTCTTTTGGTGGCATGCTGGAGTTTGAAGTGGCCGTATTTCGCCGTGAAGTGTTCATCCGTAGAGACGACAAATGCCTCGATATGTCTGACGTAATACCTGGTGATTGCATAGTTCATTGGCTTTGCTGTGTGTGCAAAATATTAGGTCCTGCCGGTGGATTGTATTTCTACAGTTGGGGCATGAAGAGACAAAATAAATTCAGTGTACAAATAATTAAATTAGGAATCTTTTTTTTTGGCCGATGGGGCTGAGACGGATTTGAGATGATGATACGATTCACGCTAGAAACTGGTTAAGGTAGAGTTACAAGGAGCCGAATTCAGCTAGAGATTAGTATATAATGTAATAGTAAGAGAGTTTATAAGGGGAAACTGAGCGTATATCAGTTAGAGTCCAAACGGAGTTTTCTAGGAGACCACTCTGTTAAATCTTTGCTTCTTCCGTAGTAGAACTTTTCGTAGCCTCTCTTCTCATTTTCGTCGTCGAAATAGTCGACCTCGGCAGAGTCGTGACCAGTGAAACTGATCTTAGGTAAGATACCAATGTCGCAAACCTGGACAGGGCTGCTCAAGAGAGTGAATTTCTTGTAGGAGAATCTCTGGGATTCATCTACTTCAGGACCAAAGGTTTGTTTGGTCAAGACAGCGTTTTCTTTGCCGTAATTTTTATTTTTCAGGTTAGTGAAAAAAGCGTAGTTCTCAACGTTATTCATGTACTCGAAGGCAGTGTCTGTTAATATAGAGGTACCAGTGAATTGCACCAACGGGGCGCCGGAAGCGTCGACGTTGTTGTATTCTGCGATCCAGTCGATGGATTCAATCAGGCTCTTCTGGGTGAAGATGATAAAAGTGATTCTGGCAATTAAGCGGGCAAAAAGCGGGTGGTGTGCCTTGCTTCGCATTATGTTGTTGTTGAAGGACAAACGGCGGACGTAATGCTCGGCCCATGTTGGGTCGTTCATGTCGGAGTCGATTCCAAGCCAGACCTTGGTCGAGAGCATGGACAACTTGTACCAGTGCTTCACTGGCTTGACGTTGATTGTATCGATGTCTGCGTAGACGCCTCCGTGGAGGTAGAGCAGAAGGTACTTTAAGAACTCAAACTTCAGCCTTGGGTGGGGAAGCATCCGCAACGCGTCCACCACTTCCGGCACCGTCGGTCTCAACAGATCAGCCACAGCATCTTCGGCGTCAGCGATGGAAAGTAGATTGTGCTCGTGGTCTGGGTTGGCATCCTTCCATCTCTGCACTAGAGTTATGCACTCTTTCGGAATTGAGCCTTCGGCCTCTGGATCCAGACCACCAGTCTTCCACATCTGGTATATGTTCTGCTCCACCTCCTCTTCGTTGTTGTAAGGAAAGTTGTAGAGCAATCTGTCAAGCGTAGTCGATAGAGAGTAAATGTCCTTCGACTTTAGCTTTGTCATGACGTTCCCGTTGTGATCTTTGATCGGCCTATTTTTCACCTCTTCCAGAGGCTGCCCGTCCTTCGACGTTCCCTTCGAACGAAGCTCCTTCGCTTCAATAAACGCCTTCTCTATCTTGGCATCGTACTTTGACGCGTTGAACAGGTTCACTGAGAGGATGTTGAGAACCGTGAACACCACGAGAGTCGTGAGCAGCACGTATCTGAGATTTCCCATGCTTGCTGGCTCACTAGCTTTATCTGTTTTTTTCCCGCTTCCTGGCGCTGTGTCTAGTAATCTGTTTCTGTCTAGCACCAGTTTCAGCTCTAGCTCTGAGCACCACTACCCAACTGTAATTAGAAACAGCAACGGCAACGGGGTTGTCCCCGTCTGCTTTTCCCGTGTCGTTCTGTCCACGAGCAACAAACAACCTCGCAAAGTTGGCCGCTGCGCGAAAAAGCAAGCAGATCGTTCTTGCGGCGGTTGGTTGTTGTCGTGGTGGTGAAGTTAGCAGAGAAGAGACGACGGCCACGGCAGAAGAAAAGGGTCAGATACCTCTTCTGTACTGTGAAATAGGTTAGCAGCACACAACAATGGCCGTGGAGAAAGTGGGAAACATGCCGAAGGCACAGATGACAGGCCCTGGCGCCTCTGCTGTCACTGGTGGTGCCGGGAAGCCAGGCCCCGGCGTCGGGTTGAGAATCAAGCGCAGACGTCGCAGATTACTTCTCGTGTTTGCGTTTCTCCTGACCGCCACACTTGCATGGTACACGCTTTTGAAAGGTAGATCTAGCATAGACGCAGATCAGTCCCTGCTGCTGAAGGCGAAGGAGCAAGGCGCTGGAAACAGCAACATCAACAGCAACAGCGTCGACGGTGGCTCATCGGCGGACGAAAATGGGAACATCATCGGCGCTTTGTTTGACATCGACGCAGTGAATAAGTACTTCAATAGGTTGACGGAGGAGACCAAAAAGGCAGAGGAACAGACGGAAAAGAAGGAGTCGCAGCTGTTGGCCTTCGTTAACGACGAGTCGGAGGCATTGTTGAATGACGCGGAGGAGTTGAGAAAGCTCTACCTCAGCAAGGAGCACAACGGGATGATAAACTTGGGTTCGACGGGTAACATGGCCGACGCCCAGCTGAATGTGTTGAAGTTGAAGAACAAGATGTCCGAGTTGGAAGCGCTTGAGGTCAAGGAAAACCTCGACAAGGCCAAGGATAGTCTCAAGTTGAACTCGGCAAACAAGGACAGATCCATCCCGTTGTCAGACTCACTCATCCCGGACGAAGAGTCTTTCTCGAAAATCAAGACCGACGACTTCATAAAGGGAGACATTACCTTCCAGAACTTTTTTTCCCACATATTGGAGTTGATCTCCCGTAACCACCTGTCCTTCCCGCTAAAGCGGAGAATGACCTTGGAGAACGGTAAGCCTGTCATTGACAATGTCCTCTTTTACGAAGACACGGCCGAGACTTTGTCGGAACAGCAGCTCTATACATTCTTTGACTTTCCTCAGAACTTCATCGACGACTTGAAGATGAAGCACGAAAATGTCATCAACGGCATTCCAGACATTGCTCCTCATTTCTACAACGGTAATGGTTATGTTGCAGTTGGTGGTGGTATTTATTCCTGGTATGCTCTCCTGGGTATCGAGACTTTGAGAAAAGTGGGCTCCACTCTTCCTGTGGAGATCTTCCTTCCCAATGAAAGCGATTACGACTACCAGTATTGTGAGAAGATTCTTCCTCAACTGAACGCAAAATGTATTGAGATGCACCGTGTGTTTGGTTCCGAAGGGCTTAAGAACTTTCAGGTTGAAGGGTACCAATACAAGGTGTTCGCCTTGTTAGCCTCATCTTTCGAAAATGCGTTTTTGATGGACTCAGACACTTACGCCGTCTCCAACCCAGACGTCCTTTTTGACTCCGAGCTGTACGAAAACTACAAAATGATCACATGGCCAGACTTTTGGCGTAGAACTACCTCTCCTGTGTTTTACGAGATCAGAGGCACCGAGATTGGAATGGTCCCTGTCAGACACTTGAACGATTTTTTTGTCAACCCTGAATTCTTGTCCAAACCAGAGGACGATGTTTCAACGGCCGTTACCTTCCACGATCGTGCGGGAACCATTCCTGAATGGACCACCGAATCTGGTGAGATGTTGATCAACAAAAAGGAGCACTTCAAAACCTTGATCTTAGCTTTGTACTACAACTATGACGGTCCTTACGGTTACTATCCATTGTTGTCCCAGGGTGGTGCAGGTGAAGGTGACAAGGAGACTTTTGTTGCCGCTGCAAACTTTTACAACAAAAAGTACTACCAAGTTTACAAGAAGCCCGAGAGATTTTTCGGTTGGTTCAACAATGTGCAAAACTACGAACACTCAACGATTGTCCAATATGATCCCCTGCTTGACTATGAGATGTTGCAAAAAGTTCATACCCAGCTCAGACAGGATATGGAATCCCAAAAAGAAGACTTCGTCTATGATTACAATAAGTACTACTCTGATGTCTTTACTCCAGACGTCTGTAAACCAATATTTTACCACGTTCACGATCCAAAGCTCAACCCATACAAGATTATGGAAGAAAAATGGACCGAAAACCTTGAAGGTAAGAAGATCCGTAATCTGGCCGAAGATTTCCCACGTATTAACTTTGATTTGGAACGCTTTTTGTGGAATGTGATGAACCACTATCTCTGTGAGTTGAAAATCAAGATTCCAGCGTTTGAAGGCAAGGACGCAGACAAGATGTGTAACGAGTTCATGGTGGATGAGTTGGCCTACTTGGACAAGAGTTCCGAGAAGATCGAAGCCGTCTACTCTCCTACCAACAATGTCGAACAGATGCACGGAGGACGTGACTGGAACTAGTGTTAGATACATCTGGATTTCATATATGTACAATTTGTATACCCGCTTGCTCTCTTCTTATTCAACATTTTGTAATTACAATGTATAATAAACAAAAGATAGAAGTCTATCGCAGTGATCGTGAGGCACGCGCAACTCAAATTAATAAACGACTGACACGTTAAACGCAGGCTAACGGAGGTAGGGGGTGTTTACCTGAGTTACTAAGTCGCCTGTGGCCCAGCATCCTCTTTATGGAAGGTAGTATGACGAATGGTGATACTACTGATGGTTATCGCAAATTTTCAACTGATAAATGCTTTGGTGATAAGTTCCGCTTGCTGAGAAAATATGCACATTATTTGAAAACACAATTGAAATCATATTCGGGTAAATCTGTTCCAAAAAACAGTACAATAGAGCGTAAATTAGCCATCTACAAGAAGCTCAGAAAGTTAATTCATTATGTCGATGAGACATTAGTTAAGGATGAGGAGAGAAGTGATGATCCTAAAGCGAAGAAGCAGGTTGATACATATTATAAACTATTGGAACATAAAATTGAAAAGCTCCAAAAGCAGAAGCCAAAAACGGATGAAAGGGACAACGTTAAAACTCTGGTTGAAAAAGTTAATGTAGAAAAACCGAAACTCATTGTGCAGAGTGATGTTGAAGATGAAGAGACTCAAAAGCGAGGAAGTAACATTGCCAGCGATGAAGAAACTGGCGAAAATGATCTTGTAACTGAAATCGGTCCTACCCCACAACTCAACGGACGTGTTTTGACGATATTTGACATCATGACGTCTCCGGAACAATTTTTGGTTTCACCCTTGAAGCGTGGACAGCCAGATGTCGATGTCCAGGCTCAATTGGGTGCATCAACCAATCAGGGTGATAATGAGGTTTTCAAAACACCTTCGAAGCCTGCTTCTCAAGTCGGTGAAACACAAAGCCAGTACGGAAGTAACTATCTGGCATCGTCCTCTCGGAAACTAAACTTTGAGGATTTGAGTACCACTCCGGTCAAAGATGCAACCAACGTCAATATAAACGAAACCCCGAGATATCTACGAACACAATCAACAAGTCTGAAAAATATTGATGAGATCATCATAGGTGATGAATGGAGTGCAGACGAGCTAGACGAGTATTCTGACGAACACAATACTGAAAATAATGCACTTTTGATGGATGATTTAGCAGATATCGATATTGAAAAACTACCAGATCTTGATGAGAATATCGATCATATTAATGTCGAACCGAGCCCCATAATAAAAAAAATGGGCCGCAGTCTTTTTGATCTTCATAAAGATCTTATTGGCTTACGTAGAAACCTTACAGACTTGGAGGAAATGGTGGATGATGAAGATTTAGTCGGAAACAGGCTAGTCCATGAAGTGTCTGCCGACGAGGGAGAAGGAGGAAATGCTCACGGGACTGAAAACAGTGATGTTTACAATCCTGCTTCGAAAGACGATGAGATTGAAGACGAGACACTAGTGGAGCAGAATGCAAAAGGCATTTCAGAAGCAACGGATGAGCAAGAGCAAGAAATAGAAAGTGTGTTTGACCCACATTACAAACTTAGAAAAAAGATGAAAACCATCAAGCGGTCTACGAAACGTGCTAAATTACGTACTGATAAGGTGAGTCTGAAAGACGATCTTGAAGAAATTGATATTCATGCTCTTGCGTTCGGTAAGAGGTTATCGGAGCATTTATACGAGGGTCTAAATGGTGCTGATGGAAACGCCTTAAATGGAAGCGAAGATGATGATGATTTCGCTGAGAAGGAAGAAGAGTACGTACGTAAAGACCTCAAACAGTTAGAAAAGGAACTCAATGTTGGCAAATCCAAAGGTAAAGGTCGACATCCTCTATCCAACAATTTTGTACGTCTTAAGATTAACCGGGGTCGTTTTAAACGTAGAAGATAGGATCATTGTATATATTCATCAAGTATAGAAATATAATTAAAACTTGACAGTCGAATTGACATGTACTGGGCTAGTAAGAATTTTTGAAATCAAGGACTTTTTTCTAACTGTTTAACAGCAGCAGCAAGAAGAGTCTCAGAATAAACATCATGAAAGTTCAAAAGTAAAGACGGTGGGTCCTTGGCATACCAAAATATGGTATCGAAGACTGCAACATTGTTTTTAACTGAGAATACATGTAGACCTGCCAGTCCTCCCAGCTCCCAATGAAGTACAACTTTTTCAGGGTTATCAACTTCCACTTTGAACATTCCAAAAACTGACTTTCCTTCTGTTATTGGTAAAGGCTTATAACTTCGTAGTAGCAACCATAATATGAATTGTTCTGGAGCTATCACCCATGACGAAAACATGGATTCGGCTATCAGCTTGGGAGTTGCATTGTGAACATTTACTGGCATGCTGTAAGATGTACACATTGGATTCAATGATGTCTTTTTTTTGATGAGCTCGATCAACTCTGGCTCGAGTTCATCCTTTGTGGCCAGCGTAACAGACTTCGTATAGTTCTTATACACGACATTTATGCCTACTCCGATCCCAAAAATTGCAACAGATAAACCATAATACCCCCCATAAATATGTGGCATAATTCGATAACTTTTTTAGTTTAGGTTTGACTGGAACTGGGTTAATGGAAGAGCCAAAAAAAGTCAACAGTTTGTCAAACGGAAAAAGCTGACTCTATATAAACGGGTTTCCCAATGTGGTTGATGACCGGATTGAGCCACGGAAGTCCGACGCCCATGCAGAAAACTGAGAAAGCGGCCCATTATACCCTACTGCCAAGCTGCACAGAGTAGGCGAGGTCACTTGAACAGTACATGAGCGTGGCATAGTATAATGAAATGTGGACGGTGCTATTACTTTGACACATTCTCTTCACAATTTATCGAGGTCATCACCACACGGCTTTTGAAAATAAATTAATTCCGGTATTCTCGAAAGATGTCACACCGGAAACCAACGATAAAATGTAGTAGACTTATCAACATGGTTTCATTAGAAAATGAGTACAATTTACATCTTTTATAAAAAGCTTTTTCAGGGATCGCTATGCACTGAGTAGCTCGAGCATACCAATTATACGTTCAGAGTCTTGGGCCTTCTTTAACTCGATCTCGACCCTTTTCTGCAAGTTCAGTACCAACTCCTCTAGTACCGGTTTCCTAGAGATTAGTTCGTCGTACATCTCCAAAATACATATAACGTAGTCTGCAATGATACTCACATTTCTAGGGTCGTCGATGAATTTTAAACACCATGTCAAAAGCGGTTCAAGGGATGCTTCGTCTCTATTTGCCAACGCTATACGAACTTTACCCTTCTTCTTCAACTCTTCAAGACATGTGATAGTTGCTTCGGTATCTAATCCATCTAGCAACGCACTATTTAACGCATCGGACCAGCGGAACCCATTTAAGTCCCTTTCGAAAGATCTGAGTTTTTTGTGGTTAACCTTTTCGTCGATTACGTGATGTTCGCCCTCTCCCTTGAAATCCGATCCACGCATGAATCTTGCAAAACCATGCGATTTGTCACCTTTGAACTTGAGGTTGTTACTTGTTGCTGTTGTTGCTGATATGTTATCGTTATTGTTCTTTCTCGTTCTGACAGTCAATAAGCCAGAATTCAGTCCTACCACTAAATGCTTGAAATCTGGGGAAACACCACAACTCAAAACACCCGAACCAAACTTCCATCCAAACTTGACATCCCAATTTGGGGTGCTTGTGTCAAACGCCTTCACGTGTCCATCAATCGAACCGACTAGAATGCCTCTTTCTCCAGCGTCGCTTAAGCAGGTGACAGTTTTGTTGAAGTTGTGTAATGTCCTTGATAATTTACCTGCAACCAAATCCCAGTACTTCACCACACCTTCACCAGCAGATAGAATGTTGGTAGGCGTGAGAGAGAGCATGTCTTCGACGGGGGACGATTGATTGAATTTCACTATTGGATCATTTCCGCCCACTCTGACGTCAAAAATTCTGATGTTATTGTCGTAACAACCGGTGGCAATCAAGTTTGGTGAAGTAGGTATGAATATACCGGATCTGATATAGTCATCGTGGTTGTTGAAAGAGATTATAGGTTTCGCAGACTGAGAGATGTCGTACAATCTGGCCACACGATCGTCCGAACAAGTCAACAGCTGTGTGTTGATTGTAGGGTGGAACTTCGTTATGTGTGTTGGGTGTGTAGTAGGGGTGATTGTGACTAGCAAAGTTCTTGGGTGGTGTGCATCAAAGATCTGGACCAAGCCGGATGCATCACCAGCCACTAATAGTTTACCGTCGTTTCTAAACTCACCGCAGTAGACAGTGTCCTTGAATCTGGTGAAATTTTTCACCACCTTTCTGGTTTTCGACGAAAATACCTGCACTCTTGTCGAAGACGTGACAGCAAAATCATGGGGGCTGTTCGGGTCAAAGTGTATGTGTGTAATTGCATTGTGCTCCTTCACTAGCTGCGAGTTCACAAAACCTTTCCAGAACTTCTGTTCCGGGGATATCTGGGTCGGTACCGACGGATTTCTGGCAGTAACAACTCTTTCTCTTGGCGCGGACATGTGTGTATGCTAGGAGATCACTTGCTTGCAGTATCTACCCTTCCGTCAGCAAACCTTTTTCCGAAACTATACAAAGCTGGAACGGAAGCAGTGATATTTAAAAAATTTTGCAACAGAAAAGAGAAAAATTCATAAAAAACTTCTGTCTCAAAAATAGGGGGAAGCGGGTCACGTGCTCTCCTCTTGCTTAATTTTCGGTCTCTTTCTCTGTCCTTGTCCATCTTCTTGCCTGTCATCTGCAGAAGCTTTTGTGTGTTCGGCATCTCCTGCATCCTGGGTTCCGTCTGGATGCTCTCGCTTGACCGCCGGCTTCGACTTGAAGAAGTTCAGAACCGATTTCTGTTTCCATGGCTTTACGTAGCGCTCATTGTCGGTCCGGCTGTTCCCAACGGCGGGGTCAACAGGATACCATTCTAAGTCCTCCTCATGCTCGTACTTCTTCAACAGGAGATCGTAGTCGGCATCACTTGTTCCTTTGCCATCAAGCCATTGCGTAAACTCATCGTCCTCTGGTCGGAGGACGACAGGCATCCGACTATGGAGCCACTTCAGCATCTTGGGAGCCTCTCGTGTGATGATAGTGTACGACCCCAGCGCCTCCTTCGGATTGTCCTTCTTAGAGCTCTTGGTAAAGATAGAAGAATTGTTGTCCGCCACCGTCCCGTGGTGGTACAATCCGGCAAGGAACATCAGCTCTCCGTCTCTCCGTTTAATAAAATACGGAGTTTTTCTCTTGTCCTTGTTGGTCCCTTTCTTGTCAGCAACCTGCTGCCATTCGTAGTAGCCAAGTATTGGTATCACACATCGCCGTGACAAGTTCGCCTTCCACAACCTGTTGCTGGTCAGGTTCTCAAACCGTGCATTGAATGTGGAGTACCCGGACTTGTTCACATCACTTGCCTTGGTGATCCACGGAGGCACGATACCCCATCTCATGTACTCGATTTTTCCCCTCACTTCATCGGATCCAGAACCGTCGTCTTCACCATCCCCACTCTTCTTGATGTAGACCGGAGCATACTCCGTAGGAGCTATGTTGTATCGATGCTCAGTCCTTTTGTCGGCATTCTCAACGCTTTCGAGCGGCACACCCTGCCGGGCAAACCATTCCGGAAGTGTCTCTGGGGCAATCGGTTGTGCATAACGACCACACATGGCGTTTTTATGTTAAAACAACTGCTAGAAAAGTCACATTTGTCGTCCGAAGAACTAAAGTAGGCATCCCGGGCCAAGAAGCCGATAACTGGTTGGCGGACCCCCAGCCCAGCAGCCCTCCGCGATGTCCACAATTTGTTAGCGGAGACTAGTCCACGCTCTGGTCTACTTCACCACCCTTCATCTTCCGGGTCCAATACTCGGTTGTTTGACCTCTCTGGTTCCATCTAGTTGCTATCCGGACACTTATAACCCACCAGCCATGTTGTCACGAGTAAAAAGACTTCCTGTCAGAAGATTTCCTAGTCGTTTCCTGATATCCACCTCCAGAAGGCTTCTAAGCAATGCCAAGTCGGATGACCTTTCTAAACAGCCAGCACTGAACCAATTCCAGGCAGAGTCATCCAAGCAGGCATCGAAGTTGCCAGAACCTGCGATGAAGACGCCCCCAAGTACAGCGGTTCCGCCAGTATTTTTCCAATCCGATATTCCTCCCCAGACATACTCCTCTGTCCTTGCACCTCAAACTACCGGTCCTCAAAACAACCAGCCAAACGAATCTGAAAAGGTTGTTAAGCAGTTCAGAAGCGAAATGAACAAGCTATTGGTTTTTATAGGGGTTGCCTTATCATTTACAGGTTATGATATCTACAAACGTTTATTTGCAGAAAACACAGAGTATGTTTCCGAAGAGACTTTGGCACACATTGAAAAGGCTATAGAGGCAGAAACGAATAACAGAATAGACGATGCTATCAGCCACTACATTGACGCATTGAAGCAATTGGACTCTGAGGAGTTGGAGCATATCAGCCCGTGCTATACCTCATGTTCCGTAAGAATTGCAGAATTGTTCGAACATGAGAAAAAATTTGATAAGGCTTTGCTGATCTACAAAGAGTTGTCAAATTCTTATCTGAATGCATTCACACATAGAGAAGATTTTGACGCTTTGAGTGACGACAGCTCTTACGATTTCGCAATTTTGAGATCCTTGACCATCGCAATTAGGTATGCATATCTCTTGCCGGCTAAAGATGTCGACCTTGCCAGAGAGACGTTGATGTTTCACATTGTTGAAGCACAGAAGAGAGTCATTGAAGCATATCCGCCATTTCTTTCAGTCTTAAATGACATCAACAACAGAAATGTTCTTGACTTAATTACCGCTGACTTGGAAAAAACTATTGCACACTTACCAGAGTCTGAACAAGAAAAGATCATAAAACAACAAGCTAAAACTCCAATTGAATTACCTCTTTTCACTACAGAGCAAACACCAGAAAATAAAATATTGGGCCTACACGTAAAGGCATGGCCTGTATTTACTAGAGTTTTGATAAATGCTAAAGATTTGTATGCTAATTTGAGCATTGAAGCTAACGACCTAAGTGCTGCAATCTCCAACTTGACCAGTAACTCAATAATAATACAAAGATGCTTTGACCATCCTTCAAGGCTAACCTTAACATTGACCAAACTAGGTGTTGCATTACAAATGACCTACCAGACCATAAGCAGAGATTTCCCAAAAGGTAAGGAAATAGAGATTATTCAGGATAGTGAGCCAGTGAAGGTAAACTTGTCTTCTCCAGAGTTGAAGGATTTTGTTTTAAACACAACCGTTTCAGAATCAAAGAGAATATTTTTAAAGGTTTTAGTTTTGTGTGACACTATGAAAAAGCAGGAGAAAATAATCAAGGCAAATCATTTGGGCCAGGATATTGGGCAATGGGAGGCTATGTTTAAGCCAGCTTTGGATAAATCAGAAATGGTTTCTGCCGCATCGCTGGGAATGATTAGCTACCAAAGTGGTTTTGCCACTGACGCTTTGAAGTACTTTAAAAGGGCAAAAGTTTTGGCATTCAGACTCAACGATAAAGATTACATAGACGATATCAACGAATGGATCAAACTAATTGAAAATTGAGAAGGTATGTAATAACAAAAGCACCCCTTGTATATAACTTATATTCGATAATATTTGTAATTTACATTTACTGATAATAATATTGTACAGAAAGAAAGAAAGAAAAATGAAGAAAAGAAAAGAAAGGAAAAGAAAAGGAAGGAAAGGAAGGAAGGAAAGGAAAAATAGAAAAAGTGTAAAAAAAAATGGAAGCCCAGCTCTAGCCGAAAAGAAAATCAAAACAATCAAAAGAAAACAATTAACAAAAGCAATCATTACCTTTTTGGACCGAGGAATATTCAGTTCCAATGGTCTGTCAGTGCGCTATCCGCAGGATCAAAGCTAACCAACTCTGAAAAGTAAAGAAGTAAGACAGCAAAAATATTTATCCAATTCCAAAACTGCCATGAGTGGATCGATGTGAAAATTGAATGTGGTAATGATGAGGGCATGCTGGTGGAAAAAGAATCTGTCATTGTCGTCGAGTCCGAAGTTGTTGAGAATGATGATAAGGTGGAAGAGGCAGCATTGGCGGTAACTATTAGACTACTGCGTCCTTTAGAGGACGCGGAAGAAAACATTAATTCGTAAGCTTTGTTATGTATCCACGTAAATAGGTGAGTTTCCTTGTCAATCTCATAGTTGTACTGGATCATCAAGTTGGTGTAAACAGCAATGATGATGCAAGGTGAATATAAATATATAAGTCTGCTTGATGTGGACTGTTGTGTATTCGTAGACCTTTTCGATACTTTATTCATTGGAGATAAAATAGGAATGATTTTGGTAGCCGCAAAAAACACGGTGATCCTATAGGCTAATTGAATCAAAATTGAAAATGTTAAATTGCTTATGGAGATTTTAAGGAAATCCCATAGTGGCTCAAAAGATCTTGGAAAGTGCTCAATGATGAAGTCAAACAAGATTTTGCCGAAATTTTCCGCAATCTTAAAAAACTCTACACTCTTTTCAACTAGTATTGGAAATCTTGTAGCAATGTTGCTTGATAGATCGGTAATCTCATCATTTGACCAGTAATATCTCCAGTACTTAGCTACTCTAGTAGATTGGAAAAACTTGATAAAAGTGGAAAGTCTGATGTTTTGCTTGTTTAAAGTCAAAGACTGTTTAGCTTGATTGTCAATTTTTTTGAACTCATTGAATACAAATTTGAACAGGGAGCTGATGTTATTTTTAGATAATTCAGGAAATAATTCGTAGCAGCATTTCACAATATAAGCAACCATCAAAGAGCTTTCTAGTGTCGTTGCTCTGTTGAAATAAATTGCATAAAATGTGATCAATATCGTCAACGTAAATACGGAGCCCAACAACGAGGCACTAATCAAGCCAACATTCTCCAAATCTATCAAAGGTGAAACATATATTTTACCTGCAAAATAAATGCTTGCTGAGAGTATACAGGAACTCAAAACTAGATTCAAAATCGACCAAATATCAGATTTGTTTTTAATAAAATACTTGAACAATTGACCTATTGCTTGAACAGATAATAAAGAACAGAATCCTTCCAGTATCGTAAACAATGGCGTTGAGTTAATTAAAAAGAATTTCCAGAATTGAATTATGTATTGCCACCAAATTTTATGTAAAATGGAACGTGAAGATAATTCAATTATCTCAGAATTTGATTCTCTAGGGGTGCTATTGAAAATGGTTAAAAAAAAAGACAACAAAGTTGGTAATAGCAAATGCTGTAAGTAGTATAAAAAGCTAGAAATGAAACGATGGTATTTCAAAACTCTCAATGTAGCCAAACAGAAGTATAGAATTAAGATTGTCAGAGAATAACTCAAACCACAATTTAAACCACCAACTTCAAAACTCAATGGAATTGTCAATATGATGTAAATTAGGTATATTGTAGAAAAAAGCACGCGTATACATCTTATTAAGGCATAATTAGTCTTGAATAAAGTGTTCGTGCTAGATATGCTAGATCTGAGGCTTGTAGTGGATGACGATCTTGATGGAGTACGTGACGAGTATTGTTTAGGAGCCTCTGCGGGCACTGTATTCGGTAGTCTCTTGGGGGTCTCTTCCTTTAAGGAGTCAGACAAAGTCGCTCGATTGTGTTGCATAAGGTAATGGCGTTACTGCTTACTGTGTGACCCTATGATTCCGTAGAGAAAACTGGCATATGTTGAGGAGCAAAGGGAACTTTACCGTCGTTTCACACTATAGATTGTCTTTCTGGCAAAAAAAAATAATTTTTTTTTTCCATCAAAAAAAAATAAAATCAAAGTAGTAAGTAAGATTGAGTACATTTTGGACATCATTGCAAAGCTTATAACGGCCTGCTTTGTAATCTACAATCAACATGACGACTAGTGGTGATCAACAGGGACCTGCATCAGGTCCGAAAAGACAGAAAAAGTCCAAATTTGGAAGATCGGAGCTTCGTTCTGTCACTAGAACAAGTCGTAGGAACGATTCAAGAGAGGAAAAATTAGACAATGATGACAATGCCGATAGGGGACAATACGGTGATGTTGCTTCAGATGATGATATAGATGATGATTTTGATAAAGATGTGAGAAAGACCACCATTGCTTCCAAGAGAATAAATAGAAAGGAAAACAAGATGGCGTACTCGGCTTTGATATCATTGTTGAAATCTGAACACCAGATTGATGAGCTCAAAGACGGCCAAGGAGATGAGCCGGAAGAATCTGCAAGCGAAGAAGACGATCAAAACACTGATAGTGGGTCTGATGAGGAGCGACACCGTGAAGTGGAAGATTTTTTGGATGAAGAGGAAAAGTTGCAAGATAATATTGACGTTCACAATAAATACGACTCCTTTAACCTTCATTTTAACCAGGAAAAAGAGATCTCGGAAGCCATAGACAAATATGAATCTCTTCCTGTGAAAGACAGGAGAATAAAGTTGATTTCAAAAGAAGAAATTGCAGATGACGAAGAGAAGTATGTGAGGTACAGGTATGGTTATCCGCAGGCTAATCCTGAACTTGCGGAAAAGCGTAAGACAGGAACTATGCTTGAACAAAAATTGAAGTATCATAATGTGAAGAAGAGAATTCAAGAAAAATTTAACAATTTCAGTGATATTCGACGTTTAGATACAGAACTAATTGAATCTATGCTCACTTATGAAACTTTCAATTTCCAATATTTGAACAATGAAAGAATCAAAGGAAAGTATCAAGATTATTATCTTCTCCATGCTATGAATCATTTGATGAAGACTAGAGATCGTATTTTGAACAACAATGAGAAAAAAACATTGTATGAAAAACGAATCAAAGAGGGCAGTAATGATGAGGAGAATGATGATGGAATAGAACCTGAATACAGGGATCAAGGATATACGAGGCCAAAAATTTTGATTTTGCTTCCGAGTAGAAACTTTGCATATACTGTTGTCAGTAAATTGATTGACAATTTGCAAATGGAGAATGTTGAAAACAAAAAAAAGTTCAAAACTCAATTTTATGATAGTTCTAAAATCAGTGATAGAGTATATCACTCAAGACCCAAGGATTTTGAAGAATATTTTGATGGTAACACGTCTGATTTGTTTGTGCTCGGTATCAAGTATACCCGTAAAACATTGAAACTATATTCACCATTGGAGCAGTCAGATATAATAGTCGCCTCACCGATAGGGCTGTTGAAATTATACAACAAGATTGAATCACAAGCTCCAAAAAAGAAAGTTGACAAAAACGACAAGAACAATGAAGGAATGAAAAATAACTTTTTGAGTTCCATTGAAATGTGTATATTGGACAAAGCTGAAGGTATGATGATGCAAAACTGGTCCAATGTTACTGACATCTTAAAAAAGCATTTGAACCAGACTCCCAAAGAGTTCATCAATGTTGATTTCTCCAGAATCAGGATGTGGGCTATCAATGAGCAAAGTCAATACTTAACTCAATTCATGTGCTTTGACAAGTATACTACACCCGAGATGATATCTCTCGTCAAAGGTTCGAAAAATGTTCTTTCTGGTTCCACCTCGTATATACCATTGGAGCAAATGAGTGTTATTGACTCGACAAACTATAAGTTATATCAGCTAGGATTAGTCAACAAGTTTGAACGGTTGAAGCAAACTTTCATGAGGTTTGACTTTGACGAAAGTTCGATTGCTAATGAGCCAGAAAAAAGATTTGAGTTTTTCAAGAACGTTGTTCTACCTCAAATGAACAAGAGCAGTTACAAATATGGTACTTTAGTTTACATTCCAAGTTATTTCGACTACCTCCGAGTCAAAAAATATTTGAACGACGAGTCTAGTATTTCGTTTGTTGCGATAGATGAATATTCAAGCAATTCTCGGTTGACGAGAAACAGAGCACTTTTTAAAAACAAAGCTAATACTGCCACCCTCATGTTGTATACTGAGAGATTACACTTTTATAAACGGTTTGATCTGAAGGGTGTTAGGAATGTCATCTTTTACCAACTTCCCTCCGACCCCGATTTTTACCAACAGGTCTTGGAGTTCGTTGCCAACGAGAAACTTCGTGTTGATACCGAAAAGAGCAATACTAAGATTAACACAGCCGAAGATGGTGATGACAGTGACGAGGAGGAAGATCAAGAAGATGACCTTGATTTGAACCTTTGTATGGTGCGTTCAATCTACAGCAAACTTGATGCCATGAGGTTCGGACCAATTGTCGGAACAAACAATGTTGCCCGTCTTGCTCGTGGAGCAAATGAGCTGACAGAATTCAGTTAGGATGTATTTATTAGGGTGGATGTGAATATACAGAACATTTATAGTTAGTTTTCGTAAAATGATTTCCGTGTACGAATGAAATCAATTCATCAGTCATTGTATGAGCTGGTTGATTGCGATGATGATGCAGCAAAGGCACACGTACGGAGACATTCTTTCGCCTATACGAGCGCATTTCCAGAAAAGACCCAATATGCCTGTCTTATTCTTGTCTAGCACTGCTGGCCACATGGAGTGAATGTATGTGGATGTGCATATAAGAAGAACCAGTACTTGTAGTAGAGACGTGAAGTTGAAAAGAGCTGACTGTGTAAGAGATGCATCGGTAGTGTGTTAGTGTTCATTCCTTGAAATCAGGGAAAAAGCAAGCTTCTTCTACTTACCATCTTGTTCTTATTGAATGTGATCGTTGCTAGATGGTCAGACGGCAGTCACGTTCGCATCACAGCTTCTTTGTGTAATTGTGGTGGTGTAAGTAAGAGTGAGGCACGGAAATGAAGAACTACGCGAGTGTTGAAGAAGGGAAAACGATTTTTGACGGCAGCAATTTGAGTCAGTAAAAGGATGTAGCATAGCAAAAGAAGGGGACGTGTTGGAGGTATCGGGTGTGGTTTAATTAGCGATCTCTTGGCTTTTTGAGAAGCTGAATTTTTGTTGTGAAGGAAGAGTCGGTCATGGAAGGAGAAATCTTTGACTTTGATCCTGTCAGTGAGCAAAGTGTGCACGAAGGTAAGGAGGAAGATGAATACGCAGATAGTGGCAAACGGAAGGAGACGAAAGATGCCCTTGTCGACGGTTTCAGTGGCTCTGATGGAAGCTATTCTGTTGTGAATATGCTTGAACATGAGTTTGCGGACGAGGAACGACAAGAGAAGGAGGAGCATGATTACAATGCGTTACAGGAAGGAAATATTTTGGACTATTTGAACGATGAGAAAGACGGGATAGTTGCAGATGGGGCTACTGTTGGCAGAGAAGGCGTTGTTGAAGAGGATGAAGAGGCGTATGACCGATACGTGCCGACAGACCAGGGAAAGGTTGAGGAATATTTGAGGCAAATGCAAGGAGATGGGGAAGGAGAGGCTGTCAACTTCAAGACGAAGAACATAGTACGATCGGAAAACGACTCTGGGAAGATACGATTCAGCAAGAGCATTATCGGGATGTATGTGCCGCCAGAGAACTTTGCACGGGTCTGCGAAGGTATCTACCGATCGTCGTTCCCGAGGATTGAGAATTTCGAGTTTCTCAAGAGCTTAGGGCTACGGTCGATTTTGTGCTTGATTCCGGAGGAGTACCCGATTGAGAACAGCAAGTTTAACGAGAGCAACGGGATTCGGTTTTACCAGATAGGGTTGAGCGGGAACAAGGAGCCGTTTGTGAAGATCAAGCCGGAGTTGGTGACCGAGGCTATCAAGATCTTGATCAGCCCCGAGAACCAGCCCGTGTTGTTGCACTGCAATCGGGGAAAGCATCGTACAGGCTGCATTGTGGGCTGCATACGAAAGCTGCAGAAGTGGTCGCACAGCATGATCTTCGACGAGTACCGCAAGTTTGCCTATCCGAAAGAGCGGCCGCTTGACCAGCAGTTCATCGAGATGTACAACGGCCATGAGGTGGAGGACTTTGCGGTGCAGAACCGTCTGTTGCCGATCCAGTGGTAGCGGGCAAGCGAACGAGCGAGCGGACAAACGAACGGACAAACGAACGGTAAAACAAGTCCGATAAGTAATTAAAGCACTACTGTAGACATATTACAAAGAAGCAGATCGATTCGGCGACGCACTGCGACGCCCGACTCAAACCAAGTTCAAGTACTTGGCGGAGTAGATGGCGGAATTCACCAACGCAAGACTGGTCAAAGCCTTCGGGTACACCTTCAGGTTCCACATGCTACGTTTGACGTTGGTGAGGAAGTACAAAAGACTCCAGCAGCCGGCGACGGCGGCGCCGTTTGTCGGATCGTGATCGTAGCACATGAAGCCTCCCAACCCGATGAACGAGGAGAACACCAACACCTGGATGTTGGACGGGTAGGCCGCAAGGGGAGCTTTTGCAGACCGGAACATAGACGACGACATCCCGCCAGCTCCTGTGTTGGCGCCGCCGGCACCTCCAGCGTTCGGGTTGTTCAAGACAGGGAACTGTGGTCTCAGGGCAGGCGAGAGCAAGAGGGCTGCCGAGAAGGCCCACGCCGGGACTGGGGACACCCCCCATTGGGCTGCGAGTTGCTTAGGGTTCTTGTCCCCCACCGCTGGGGGTTGCACATCTGAGGCTGCCAAGGACATGGTTGATGGATAGGGGAAGCAATTGACGGAGCAGGGTCTGGAGAAGAAGAGCCCTGGCGTGAAACGGGGCCCTCTAACCGCAAAACCGGGGAAGACAGAACCTGCTCCTCTTATACTTCTCCGGCTGCAGAGACAGGGACATGCCAAGCCCGTCGGTGCGCTTACGTAACACGCAGCTCTGGCTTTTTCTGTTGTTTTTGCGTCGGATTTGTTTGTTTATCTATGTTTCCAATAGACTATAGAACTAATATACAATTATCTGGGGCTGGAATGCGGGCGATGCAGCACACCTAGGATCTCTCACCTCTCAATCTTCTAGCCAACTGGATGTCCTTCTTCTGGATGGTGACTCTCTTGGCGTGGATGGCGCACAAGTTGGTATCTTCGAAAAGGGAAACCAAGTAGGCTTCGACGGATTCTTGCAAGGCGCCGATGGCAGACGACTGGAATCTCAAGTCGGTCTTGAAATCTTGGGCGATTTCTCTCACCAATCTTTGGAAAGGCAACTTTCTGATCAAAAGCTCGGTCGACTTTTGGAATCTTCTGATTTCTCTCAAAGCAACGGTACCAGGCTTATATCTGTGAGGCTTCTTGACACCACCGGAGGTTGGTGCCGACTTTCTGGCAGCCTTGGAGGCGAGCTGCTTTCTTGGTGCCTTACCACCAGTAGATTTTCTTGCGGTTTGCTTGGTTCTAGCCATTTTGCTTGTGTATGTGTTTGTGTACGAGAGGGAAAAAATGATTAATTCTAGCACCTCACAACAGCCGCCTCTCTTTTCCCCACCAGAAGGGCGGCCGCTGCGGTTTATATATCGGCACCACGCCCGGACGGCGGCTCGGCGGCCCTGTGTTTACGTTCTGCGTGCGTAAACACAGGTCCGGCTGCGCGGTTTGAGTCTGGGGTCTGGGCAGCCCAGCATTTACTGAGTCGCAGCGTAACTTCTGGGCCGTAAAAAACCCGTGGGCGTGCCAGAGTTTACGCGGGGACGCGCGTAAATGTCGGTCCGTGGGAGTGAGGCACGAGCCGCCTGTTGTTGATGTGAGACAGACCTGATATAAAAGGTGGCAGGCCCGCTGCTGGTGGGATCATTGGACGTCAGGTGTTGGATAGAAAAAAGGGATATATGTGTCTGTTAACAAAGTCTTTGTGCTTATATTTTAACAACAAAAACAACAAGAAACAAACATGTCCGGTAGAGGAAAAGGTGGAAAAGGTCTAGGTAAGGGTGGTGCCAAGAGACACAGAAAGATTCTCAGAGATAACATCCAGGGTATCACAAAGCCAGCCATCAGAAGATTGGCAAGAAGAGGTGGTGTGAAGAGAATCTCTGCCTTGATTTACGAGGAAGTGAGAGCTGTCTTGAAGACCTTCTTAGAAAACGTCATCAGAGACGCGGTCACCTATACCGAACACGCCAAGAGAAAGACCGTCACTTCGTTGGACGTTGTCTACGCTTTGAAGAGACAAGGTAGAACCTTGTACGGTTTTGGTGGTTAAGCGCTGGGTAGGCTCTGTGTATCCGTCTATCTATTTTTATACCACAATTTGTATATTAGCAATTTCATTGAAATCCAAGAATAAGGGCGAGTGGAGTCGAGAGCAGCGGGGTCAATGAGTCGGTCCAGGTCGGTTCGGGCCGCAGAGTGAAATGAACTAGATCTCTATTATCGACGTAGTTGCATACGCTATTAGCTAGTGGATGTATATAGACATTTATAAATAAAGAAAAGGCGCTGGCCGGGCCAATCAGGCGCCAAGCTCCTTGGTCAATCTCTTGGCGACGCCCTCGATAAACTCGCCGGTAGTCACGTAGGAGGATCTGTCGGTCTCGCCTCTGGCCAAGGCCAAGTCCTTGGTCATGATGCCGTCGACACGGACGGTGTCGATGGTGGCCTTCTCGAGGGTCTCGGCGAACTTGACAACAGCCGGGGTGTTGTCCAACTCACCTCTCTTGATCAAGCCCCTGGTCCATGCAAAGATGGAGGCGATGGAGTTGGTGGAGGTCTCCTTGCCCTGTTGGTACTGTCTGTAGTGTCTGGTGACGGTACCGTGGGCGGCCTCGGCCTCGAAGGACTTGCCGTCGGCGGAGACGAGGACAGAGGTCATCAAGCCGAGGGAGCCAAAACCCTGGGCAACGATGTCGGACTCGACGTCACCGTCGTAGTTCTTCATGGCGATGATGTAGCCACCCTTGGACTTGACCATCTGCGCAACCATGTCGTCGATCAATCTGTGCTCGTACCAGATGCCAAGCGCCTCGAACTTCTCCTTGTACTCGGCGTTGTAGATTCTCTCAAAGGTGTCCTTGAAGAGACCGTCGTACTGCTTCAAGATGGTGTTCTTGGTGGACATGTACAATGGGAGCTTTCTGGAGACGGCCAAGGCGAAGGAGGCCTTGGCGAAGCCGATGATGGACTCCTCGGTGTTGTACATCCCGAGCGCACATCCCTTGCCGTCGAAGTCGTAGACAGGAACAACAATCTCCTCGGAACCGTCCTTCGGAGTGAAAACCAGCTTCAATTGGCCCCCGCACTCTGGCGTGACGATGTTCTGGCACTTGTACTGGTCGCCGAAGGCGTGTCTGCCGATGACGATAGGCTTCTCCCAGTGCTCGACGATTCTTGGGATGTTCTCGATGATGATTGGTTCTCTGAACACCGTACCGCCGAGGATGTTTCTGATTGTACCGTTAGGGGAGAGCCACATCTTCTTCAAGTTGAACTCCTTGACTCTCGCCTCGTCAGGCGTGATGGTGGCGCACTTGACTGCGACACCGTACTTCTTCGTGGCGTTGGCCGAGTCCACCGTCACCTTGTCGTCTGTCTCGTCTCTGTACTCGATGCCGAGGTCGTAGTAGTCCAAGTCGATGTCCAGGAAAGGCAGGATCAACTGCTCCTTGATCATCTTCCAGATGATTCTTGTCATCTCGTCACCGTCCATTTCGACCACTGGGGTCTTCACCTGGATTTTCTGGAATGCCATTGCTGTTTACGTCGGGATAAAGGTCGGGTACAAGCACGTAGACTGGTCTGTGTTCTTTCGATTCCTTGGGACCCCCCCACAACGCTGTACACCAACCATACCACCAACAAAACCACCGGCACAAGTAAACAGCAGTTGTCCATTCGGGGGGAAACGTCCTCCCTGCTCCCTCCTTCCTCCTTCCTCCTTCCTCCCCAACGATCCACCCGCCCACCAACCCGAGCGGTCGGGATTCCACTACGGGACTCCGGCGGCGGCCAAACGCCCCGCCGCGAACAGCGGCGGCGATTACAAATCGTGCCGCCACGAACGAGACCCGACGCCGCCCGCTGCCCGCCCCCGACACCGACGCCGACGCCGGCGGCGCGTCGCGACGCCCAAAAAACGTCGGACCCCTGCGGACCGAGCGCGCACGCGGGCCGCTGCGTCTTTTTTTTTCCGGCGCATACCGGCGCCGACGCCGCGCGGAGCGGAAACCGGAGTCCGCCAAGACGTGGCGGTGCATTACGTCAGCAGGATTGAGTTTGCACCGCCACTTTGGCGCACGTGACCAGGTGGTTCTTGCCTCGCCCCGTTATCAGTCGACACAAATGTCAACTCTGGCAGACTCAAGGATGCGTATGTTGCCTCTCCGGACGGGGTGCAGCAACCAAGCGGGCAGATGGCGGGTCGTGGGGATGACAGGCAGCTGCAGCTCAGCCTGGTGGACCTGCAGGAGTTCAACAGTGAGGCGATTCTGCGCTCGTTTGTGTGCGAGTACGCGGAGAAGCACGGGTTTCGGGCCGTCATCACACACTCCAACGACAAGGCGATTCACTTTGCGTGCCAGCACCACAGGCGCAGCGGCAGGAAGAACGGGTCGGAACGGCAGCCGCTGGAGCAGGGCTGCCCGTTTGCGCTAGCGGCGTACCACTCGAAGAGCACGCGCAGCTGGACACTCAAGACGAAGAACTGCGTGCACAACCACCCGTGCGGCAGTGCGCAAAACGCCGCCCAGAAGCGTGTCTGTGCAGACATCGCCGCCCTGCACCGGGCAGGAAACAAGCCGGCGTTCATCCAGCAGAAGGTGGTGTCGAACCACCCGGACATGGAGCACGTCGTGACGAGGAAATTCGTCTACGAGACGCTCCGCAACCTGCGCAAGAGAGAACTGCGGGCCCGCAGAGCTGCTCCACCCCTGGAGGACAGCCTTCTGGAGACATAGCGGACTGGTACGGTCTATTTATAAGTACAACTAAATATACACATGGAGAGACGCTCTCCTTTTCTTCTGCTTTATTCCTTCACGTTTTTGTCCACACCGTGCTCCTCGGGCTCCTCGTGCTCCTCGTGCTGCGGTCCCTTCCCTCCGCGGCCAGCCTTTCCCTTGCTCATCAATCGCCGCCATCGGAACTGGCACCCGTTGGTTGTGCGGTCGGAGAAGTGGCTTGCTATCTGGCACCAGTTCAGTCGGTCGATCTCCTTCAATGACAGCAGGAGCTTGTCCTCTCTCTTGCTCCATGATTTCGACGTTTTCTTTGGCGCCCATCTGATGTCGTCCATTCTAGACCCGCCTGTGCTCCCTGCACTGCTCGACTTGTTCTCTCTGGACCCATCTCTGCCCCCAGTTGCCGTGCTTTGCAGCGGTAACGGCATTTCTCCGCTGGACCCTCCCCTATGCATCAGCTGCGGCTGCAATGGCATCTGTTGTGCACCAGGTCCTACCAGTGGGGAAGCAAAGGAGTTCGCCTTTGGTGGCTGCTCCTGAAACATCTGCGAATGCGAAGAGGATTTTATAAACGGGTCGGAGTGTGGACGTCGTTGTAGCTGTAGATGTACCGGGGCCATTCTTGGCTGGAACGGGGGTGGAACGTGCGGATGGATGGGCTGGCTGTATGCATGGTGTAGGGGCAAGACGGGAGGGAGAGGGTTGGGCGGAGGCAAGTAGCTATGCATTTGTGGCGGGTAAAAGTAGCCGGGGCCTCGATGGGTATTTGGGTTTGTGTTTGTATGCGTGGTCTGGGGTATCGGTACGTTTTCCTGCTGCATACCCTGCGGGAACTGGTATGCCGTCACGGGCGAGGCACCGGGCATGGGTATGGATGGGGCGGCAGCCGGGGTGACAACGTAGTATGTCGGGTATGCAGTCTGCATCGGTCTTCCTGGTTGGGCAAGCTGCGCCGATAAAGGTCGCATTGGAGGTGCTACTGCTGGTGCTGACAATGACGACGGCGACGATGACGAAGATGGAGGAGCCGCTGGTAGATGCTGCGGCAGGTAGTTCGGGGTATACAGAAATTGCCGCTGGGCATTCGGGTACTGTCTGTGGAGCAGCGGCAGGGCCGGCGAACTCATGGTTTGCGGAGGGAACGGTGGTGGCAACGGTGGTGGCAACGGTAGAGACTGTGACGTTGGGGTGCCTGTGCTGCTGCTCCTGTGGTAATCTGTTGCAGGCATGCTATCATCTGGCCCGCAGGGGTTGGGCTGCACAGCGTCCGGCGGCGAGTGCTGCTGGTGCTGTTGCTTCTGTTGCCTGTTGCTGCTCATGGCGGCCAGGCTGGCGTGAAGAAATGTTTTTTTTCTTGTTTTCCGTGCTGCTTGGCTCGTCCGCTGCTACTGCATGCACAAGAGGGTCTGCGAGGTCTTGTGGGCAATTTATGTGTAGGGGGCAAAAGACTCCGTTCCCATAATCCGGGTACAGCAGGCCCTGTCCGAGTGGCGGGGCAGGGGAGCAGATCAGGGTAGGTCCAGCGGTGCACACATATACGTGTGGGGGGGCGGGGCAGGGCTAGAGCCAGACAGAGCCAGACAGAGCCAAGCAGAGAAGACAGATAGCCAGCTAGACGAGCAGCTGAGCAGGACACCACAACCTCTTGCTATCTGGGCGGCCGCCAGTAGAGGGCGTGTTGCTGCTTTGCCACCGCTGCTGGGGCCCCACGCTGAACGGAAACGGTAACGCGGGTGGCCAGATGCAGGGCGCACACCTTCCCCCACGAAATGGATCGGATCTCTAACCATGAGAACACCGTGGCTGCACGCGGGCTGCCCCGAGCTGTCTGGCGGCTGCGGATTAGGCTCGGCACCTCGGCGTCTTGGAGGCACGAGGGCAGGATCGCCGAGAAAAGCCCTGAGAAAACCTAGACAGCCCCACGCTAGGCGCTGTCAAGCCGGAAGTCATGGCCGGGACCGGGCCGCGGGCGCCTCTCCGTGAAACGAGTGGGGCTCTCCCTGCAGCAGGATATCAATGCTTCGCTTTCTTCGCTTTCTTCCCTCTTATTCCGACGCTAAAATTGCACTGGCTGCCTGCTAGAGCGACGCACAGCGCCCACACTGCAGCAGCATGCAGCATGTGTGCTGATCACTGCACCCGCGGCCGGCGCGCGCCGAAAATGCGTCTGGTAGGTCGATCGGCCCCGCGGCCCAGATTCCCAGCACTGGAGAGGTGGAAGGAAAGACGGGCAGAATGGGGCAGGGGGGAGAACCGTTGGATTGGTGCGCTTTTACCCGCGTGGCGGGCCCGATCGAGCAACTTATTCCGCCGGGAACCCGGGAGACCCTGAGGGAACGCGCTCCGCTTGCCGCATCGGGCAGCTGGAGCCACCCAGCATCCACCGTGGGGCTACTGAGAGTGCGCCACGTAGCGGCCGCGTAGTGGTCGCGTGTAGGCAGCGTCGGGTAGCCTGCCGCATAGGGAAGGTCCCCCCGTTAGGGCCATCTTCTGTATGGCTTTTTTTTCCACATTCCGAGGTAGGTTGACACATTTGACAGCTCTGCACAGTCTCGACATAATGGTTGACAGCCAGTAGGAGCCGACGGGAGTGCCACAGCAGAGAGGGAAAATTTTTCTTTTCGGTTCTCTGCAACACGGCAAACCCGAATCGTATATAAAGAGACCAGCATCCGGAGCCAGACAGTGGTGATTGTAGTGCAAGCGTTATCAGTCCCAAACAGGCCAGAAAAAAGTTTTTCATCTCAGATATCCAGTCACATTAGCAACATGGTCTCTGCAACTGCCAACGTCTTGGCGACCATCGGCACGGTGTGCTGGTGCGTCCAGCTGATCCCCCAGATCTACCACAACTACAGAAGAAAAAACACGGAGGGCTTCCCCGAGGTGATGGTGATCTTCTGGTGCCTGTGTGCGCCCTTCTTTGCGGTCTTCGTGGTCGTCGAGGACGCCTCCATCCCGATCATGCTGCAACCGCACCTCTTCGGTTTCTTCTGCACGGTCGTCTACGTGCAGGTGATGTACTACCCTCCGATCTCGAGACCGAAGAAGCAGATCATCCTCCGCACGGGGATCTTTGTGCTCTTCCAGATCTGCCTCGAGGTCGGCTGCATCATCCCGTTGAGAAAGGTCTATCAGCGGGGGACCACATGGCCCACCCTCATCTTTGGCATCATCGCCTCCATCCTCATCGCATTCGGCTTGATTCCGCCCTACTTCGAGCTCTGGAAGAGAGACGGCAGAGTCGTCGGCATCAACTTCCTCTTCTTGCTTGTCGACTTATCCGGCGCAGTCTTCTCCCTCGCGTCCTTGGCTGTCGACCCGGCAGACCTCGACATCATGGGGCTCGTGCTGTACACTATCTGCGCTACCCTTGAGGTGGGCATCTTTATTTCGCAATTTGTGTGGCTTGTGAGGTTCCGGCTCTTTAAGAAAACCAAAACCAACGACCTCGAGCAGATCAGCAGAAGCGCCACAATCGAAAACGACGTGGAGTTCCTCGGCAAGGACGACAAGGACGAGAGCAACGACACAGACAGCTGCTTCAGCAACAACGAGTCCGCGTCCGAGTTGGCCGCCGAAATCACCAGGAACGGTGCCGACGAGTCGCCTGCAAAGCAGGAGAAGCTCAAGGGAACAGAGCAATATTTGCCTCTTGAGCAAGATTTGCCTGACCTCTCGCCATACCAAACCTTGGCAGACTGAAAAGCAGGAGGGAACTCCAAAAGCTTTCAGAAAAAATAATCGCTTGTTGTCTTTGCTAATGTCTGTGGGATGATGCTGCATCAATGCTGCATCTTGTAATATCTATGTTTCATTCATTCTTCTTTCTGGTTCACCGCCTCCTTTTAATTTTAATTGTCTAATTGTCTAACACTCTAACGCTTTTAACGCTCTAACGCTCTAACGCTCTAACATTCTAATGCTCCTTGGCACTACGGAAACATATCAAAAAAATATTATGATTGAAGAATAAATAGAACGATAAATAAATATATACTAGACAAATTTATATGTGTTGTGTACATAAAATCAACAAGTGAGGTAACGTTTCTGAACCGGTGGTGCTGGAGTTTCAGCATGCGTCATGTTGTTTGGAAATGAAGTCGACGGCTTGGCCAACAGTCTTGATCTCGTCAGCCTCCTTGTCAGGTATTAGGATGGAGAACTCGTATTCGATCTCCATGATGACTTCAACGGTGTCGAACGAGTCAAAACCAAGGTCCTTGGAGAATGAGGTCTCGTCGGTGATTTTCACATTCTCAGCAGTCTTGCTGTACGATTCAAGCAACTCTATGATTCTCTCAGAAATGATCTCCTTGGTCAATTCCGGTGCATGACTGTAAAATCTCACCTGTCTATTGTTCTGGAATAGTCCGTTATTTATGAATACAGCAGCCGAGCTTGGTTTGATCGCCTGTCTGGATGCCTGTGTGAACGCAGATCTAGAAACTGCGAGTTTAGATACTGAAGCAAGGGATTTGAACATCTTGTGGTCGTCCGTCGAGGTGTCCGTCTGTGAATGGTCAACGCTTGGCCTGATCTCTTTCTCTCTCCAATGGGACCCTTCCCTCTCTCTTATCAGAGCCCCGTCTAACACTGAGACAGTTCAACCTCTGCAACAGAGCAAAGCGTTCCCCTCACACAGTCAGAACGAGACGGAAGAGGGACAGAGAGGGTCCTCGCCTGAAAATACCTGACGACCGGGTAACTGGGCCGATCGGCCCAAAGTCCTTTTTTTCATCTTCCCTCTCCTTCGCTTCGTTCTCAACCGCTGAGCTTTTCCCAAAGCAACATGCTTAAGAAAAGCTCAAGCTCAGCAGAAACGAAAGTATTAGAAAAGCATTGAAGAGAAACTATTGAGGCCTACCTCGACAACAGACAACAAACAAAGATGTTTAGAGCGTTCAGGATACAGTGCACGACTGCGGTGTCCGCGATCAGGGCTGCTAACTCTTCCTTGATTGCTCCAAGAATGGCTGTCGGAAGCAAGTTCATCAACTTGCTTCAGCCATCTGCATCTTCAACACAAATAGTGCCCAACACGGTTCTGCAGCTCACCCAGCAAAGAAACGCGACGTTGAACCAGATCAGAAAAGGCCGTGGCCTAATCACGAAGAAGGAAAAACAAACGAAATCCCCACATCTCGAGAAATGTCCCATCAAGAAGGGGGTGGTGTTGAGAGTAATGATTCTCAAGCCAAAGAAGCCTAATTCAGCACAGAGAAAGGCTGCGAGAGTCAGACTTACGAACGGAGAGGTCGTGTCGGCATATATCCCTGGTATAGGGCACAACTGCCAGGAACACTCGGTCGTCTATGTCCGGGGTGGAAGATCGCAGGATCTTCCTGGTGTGAAGTACCATCTAGTTAGAGGTGCAGTTGATTTGGCCGGTGTTGCAAACAGAGCCACCTCGAGATCGAAGTACGGTGCCAAGAAGCCTCAGGCTAAGGAATGATCTGCGAGCGTGTCTCCAATCTTGTATATACCACATAAATGACCGTGGCTCTTTTTCTATTGTCATTATATAGATCTATTCAAACTACATCATAAACTCTTGAGACACTCCTCGTAGATTTGTTTCTCCCCGTCCGCCAAGTTCAACTCGAAGAGGTCAGTCTTATCTTCAGCCCTCTCATCGGCATCTTGTTCTGCCTCTTCTCGATCCTTCACGAATCTGATGTCAACGATGTTCTTACCATTTCTGTTGATCTGCTGTCCAGAATAGACTACTTTCTTGAACCATTTGAACTCCCCATCTCCATAACAGAGAGTCACAGCACTACCCGTGTTTCCAGCTCTCGCAGTTCTACCGATTCTATGTATGTACTCCTTTGTTGATCCCGGTAAATCGTAATTGATAACAAACCTGATGGAATTTAGGTTAATACCTCTACTCAGCAAGTCTGTACATATTAGAATCCCGCCATTGATGTCAAAATTTTTCAATGTCTTGGTTCTCTCTTGGTTATCCATCATAGAATTGATGCTGCCAATGCTTAGTTGATTGCTCATCCCAAATTTATTCGCCATTATATTCAACAGCTTGTTCAACCTTATCGAAGACTCGTTACTCTTAGTGAAAATCAATCCAGAATTATTGTAGCGGATGCCATTCTTGTCAGTCCATTGGACAAACCTTAGCAAAATCAAAGGTTTGAAATAAGATAGTTTTTCAGGTATTCTCAAGTATTTCTCATTCAAAGTTTTAGGTAACTGGTACAACTCGCTGGTATTCTCACTATTCACAATAACTAATCTGGGCCTAAATAGTCTCAAATGAGTGAGTTTTTCACTGTTGGTGGTTAAGGTTGCACTAAGTACTAATTTGATACATCTCAGTTTGAACTTTAGGTCTAATCCTTCGTTGCCTGCATTGTATGTGGTTTCAATCTTATCCATTACTAGGTCACACCAATCCTGGAAATTTTGGTTCAACAAACGATCAGCTTCATCCACAACTAGAAATCTCAAAGCTTTCATATCCAAAATGTCCAAATGTTCAACGATTCTACCTGGGGTTGTGATCAAAATGTCAACTAGTTTCGACTCGATTTTTTTTCTTTCATCACTGATACTTATATCACCACCACTTTTGAGTGCCATCACGTTAACGTCTGTTCCTTTGGTCAACTTCAACGCATCGGCATATACCTGATGCACCAACGGCTTTGTTGGGACTATTATAATACTTTGGATGCCAGAATCTTTGATTCTGATTTCACTGCTTGAACCAATAATATACTGTACAATAGGTACTAGATAAGATAGTGTTTTTCCCGAACCGGTTGCCGCATTTATGAGATAATCACCTCTAGGTTTAGGATCTAATTTGCCTCGTATGATATCTTTGAGTAGCTCTTGGATCAATGTGACCTGAACAGAAAATGCATTCTCCGCATCAAATTCTTTTTTCAAGTTCTTCATGATTATGGAGTGGATGCTGGGCTGGAAATCTTGAAAAGGTTTGGTCAAGCTTGAATCATAGTAAGCAGGTTTCGTCAACCAATCCAAAGTCTTGTTCTTATAACTTTGGGAGTATAGTTGCTTGTCTCTGGGTAACTTGAATTGAGGTAAAGGTGCAACATCTTTCAATTCAATTGGTTCAGTTTCCGTTTCCTTTTCTGTTTCCTTTGTGTCTGGGTTCGGCTGCTTTTCCATTGCATTCTTAAATCGTGAGATAATAGAGCTGTGTGTTTTTTCCATTTCCTCATCTAACACAGCTTTGGCCTCTTCATCAGAGTTGGCTTCGGATTTGGACTCAGACTCGGACTTTGAGTCTGAATCTGTATCTGAACTTGAATTTGAGTCTGAATCTGATTCTGATTCTGAATCCAAGTCTGAATCATCACGTTTTCTTTTCAAGGTTGTTTCCTCTTCTGAAAGATCCATTTTAATTTCGCTGCTTTGATTCTCAATGGATCCATCCTTCATCTCTAAATCACCATCTATGTCCACTTTCGGCAGCTCATCCTTTTTCTGTGTCTCCTCTGCGTCCTCATGGCTCCTGGTTTTCCTTTTTAAATTTCCCAAAAGCCGGGCTTTTTTATCTGCTACTTTTTGAGAACCCCCTCGGGAAGCAGATGGATCAAATCTTGTTGCAAACATTCTCGCGATTGTTCTTAGTTGGATACTGGTGGGATTTCCAAGCCGAAAGAACTTTATAATGCTGACAGCTAGAAAAAAATTCTTCGTTTTCATGATTAAAAAATTTCCTTTTCCGTATACCGAGGGCACAGTTTTGTTTTCAGGGCGCTTACAGATTATATAGTATCGTCATAACTAACTGTACATTACGCTCTTAACCTTCAAACCTAAAAAAATTTATAACTATCTAACCATGCTTCCTGTTTGAAGGGCTTTAATAACTAACCTATTATCTCAGAGACAGTGACTGGGGTAGTCCTTCGTCTTTGCGTATCTGTGGCAGAAATACCATCACCGGGCTGTTCATTGTGAACTTTATTTTTCTCCAACTCTCCCTTCTTCTCTTGATCACTACCCTGCTCTTGTTGTAACGATTCGATTTCTCCCTGAAGTTTCACTACTTCTCTTTGGAACTTCTTCCCATAGAAATCGACATAATACGTTGCACCATTGTAGGTTGCGCACAGAAAAATAAAAGAAACAAAAAGCGAGCAAACGTGTTTGTAGGAGTAGAGAAAAGGACAAACAGACATTGTAATCAACTGGTAACCATATTGAATGATTGTAAACGCAACCACTGGAAAAGGCTCAGGTAACGAATTGACAAACTTGCCTATTGGTTTTTTTGCAAAAGCCTTTCTCAGATACTCGAAAGATGTCACCTTACCTTTCTTAATCTTATCGGCCTTACGTATTGTGATAAAATAATGGTAACACAATTGCCACACAAAATAAAGTATTGAGGTGTTGAAAATACCATACATTATATCCCAGTGTTGTAGCTTGATCGATCCATTAAACCTGATGAGTTTGTACTCGTATGGGAGCTGGTGTGTGATGACGTACATGATTACTCCTGGTAATACGTGTATGAATGTGGATGTAATTTTGTCAACGCTATGGAAAACTAGCTTGTTTTTCCATGTTATCACTGCAAACGATAAAGTCCCCCACGAAAAGGAGCAGCATGTTACGAACAACATTTGAGATTGTGGTAAAACCCATATGTAGAGCATCAACAAGAAGTTCACGTAGTAGCAAAGATCAGCAAGATAATAGCCGTAGCCAATTTTGTAATAGGTTATTAGCCTAATTGGCATCAAAATCGTAAATATAATGGAGTAGACAACGTGCACATATTGAGGGTGATTGCCAATGAGATAACCAAAGAAGAATATCATGTAGACAGAAATGGAAAAGAAGATTTTTTCAGTTGTGGAGGCTTTCTGTGTTTGATCAATCCTCGTGTACGCCTTATCGATTCGTTCATGTAAAACCTTCTTTAACTCGAGTAGCTCATCGCTGCTCATATTGAGTTTCTTCATATTCAAATTGACAGATTTCTTTTTCTCCTTATAATAATTGTGCACCCACTTGTACGTTTCATCTCGTTTTTTCTTCAAATCGATGTTGAAAGATGCTGGCTCCAACAAGTCCAACAGTGTGATACCCTCAAGGTTTGGTGTTTTCTGAAAAAACGAGTACGGAGTGTTGTTTACACTGTCGCTATCCGTGTCATGGGATGAGTGGGAGCTGCCATTGTTGTCCCTATCCAGTACTGGTGCACTTTCTGACATATTTGCTTGTCTGCTTGCCTGCTTGCTAGTTTCTTTCAGTGCAGGACCTGCAATGCCCTGCCTTGTAGCTTGCCATCAGCATCTATCAAGGTCAATGGCAAACCGCAAAAACGGCTCAGATCGGCAACTTTCCTGGTTCTCTGTTTCAGGAAGTTAACATAATTTTTCCCTACACATGGGGTGGTAATTTTCACATGCACATCTATCACCGGGGAAGAGGGACGGGTGCGACATTCTTCCTGTCGCAGTGCAACATGATTTCTTCTGAGAAAAAGCTCGAAAACAGTTTTAGATCCTAGAGAAGTAACCTTTTTCCGTATATCGAAGACGCTGTTATTATGTTCACGACGCTCTCTTCGATTATCATTTCACGTACTGGATAAATGTACATCACGCTCTCAAAACCTAAGCTCAAAAAAGTATATATAACGTTACTCAATTTTCAAACTCCAAAAGAAACTAAACAGCTACGTTTTCTGTTTGAATGGCTTTAATGACTATCATATAATCTCAGACACAGAGATCGAGTCAATCCTTCGCCTTTGCATATCCGTGCAAGAAATTCCATCATCAGAAACTTTTTTATCTTTCTGCAACTCTCCCCTTTTTTCATGATCATGCTCAGATGCTGAATGTAACAATTCAATTTCTTCCTGAAGTTTCATTACTTCTCTTTGGAACTTCTTCCCATAGAAATCGACATAATACGTTGCACCATTGTAGGTTGCGCACAGAAAAATAAAAGAAACAAAAAGCGAGCAAACGTGTTTGTAGGAGTAGAGGAAAGGACAAACAGACATTGTAATTAGCTGAAAACCATACTGGATGATTGTAAACGCAACCACTGGAAAAGGCTCAGGTAACGAATTGACAAACTTGCCTATTGGTCTTTCTGCAAAAGCCTTTCTCAGATACTCGAAAGATGTCATCTTACCTTTTTTAATCTTATCGGCCTTACGGATTGTGATAAAATAATGGTAACACAATTGCCACGCAAAGTAGAGTATTGAGGTGTTGAAAATACCATACATTATATCCCAACGCTGTAGCTTTATTGATCCACTGAACCTGGTAAGCTTGTAATCGTATGGGAGCTGGTGTGTGATGACGTACATGGCAACCCCTGGTAGAAGGTGTATGAAAATGTTTGTTATCTTTTCAATGCTATGGAGAACAAGCTTATTGCTCCACGCAATGACTGCAAAAGACAGAGACCCCCATGAAAACGAGCAGCATGTTATGAAAAGAACTTGAGACTGTGGAAAAACCCATATATAGAGAATCAGCAAGTAGTTCACGAAATAGCAGAGATCTGCTAAAAAATAGCCCATGCCAGTTTTAAGGTAGGTTATAATCCTTAGTGGGATCAAAATCAGAAACAGAATAGAGTATGCAACGTGCACATACTGAGGGTGATTGCCAATGAGATAACCAAAGAAGAATATCATGTAGACAGAAATGGAAAAGAAGATTTTCTCTGTAGTGGACGTTTTTTGAGTTTCGACGATCCTTGTGTACGCCTTATCGATCCTTTCGTGTAGTACCCACTTTAGTTTGACTAATTCGTCACTGTCGGTACGAAAGTTCTCGCTGTGCGAAGGGGCATACTGTGTCGTCTTCGTATTAGAGATCTGCATCCGGCCGTACGCTTCTTCTCGTTATTTCGTCAAGTCGATATAGGCCAATGCTGGCTCCAACAAGCCCAACCGCTTGATCCTCCCAAGGTTCGGTGTTTCCTACAAAAACAAGTACGGAGTGTTGCCTACACTATTGCTGCCGGTGCCATAGGAGAAATGAAAAGTGTTGTTGTTACCACTGTTCAGTACTTGACTGCCTGGCAAATTTGGCTTCCCCACCTCCACCTGCTCCCTTGCCCGCTTTCTCGATTATTTGCGAGCCTGTGGTCTGCATGGTCTGCATGGTCTGCCTATCTACCTGCATGCTCCCTTTTCATTAGGCCTTCCCTTTCCTATTTCAAAGCACTGCTAAATGCTTCTGTCTCGGCAAATTAAAGAGCAGATAAGGGTGAGATCTACACAAATGGCAATATTCTAGATTTTCTGATTTAGACCAATAAAACATTTGCCGTACAGGAGGGGGATAATATCCTCATGCATAAATATTACCGAGAGTGGATGCAACCGGTCTTCTGTCGCGGTGAAACACGAGTTTCCCCGATTAGTGAAAAGAAAAAATCTTTCTTTCTTCAGGATACAAAGAAATCGGGCAGCAGATAAGGCAGAAGAGAAGATGCTATTGAAGAAGGTAGTGAGTTACAGCAATGGCAATCACACGCAGCAGGAACGCTCCGAAAAAAGAGTCAGGAGAAGTGGCAGTTCCATTTTCGCAGTTACACAATGGAGGAGAAATTGCTGCTTCCTCTAGCTACAATTTGGACGTAGATAAGACAGCAAGCAGCTTTGATAAAGCGTTAAAGCCTAAAAAGGTCTTTAAACATCCCAAGAAAGCAGAAAGAGGCAGTCGGCACTCCAAATTCAAGTTAGGAGATGAAGACTTGTCTAACGGAAGAAACATAAAGACTGACAGCGATATTATCAAAAGTGAAATATTCAGATCTGCCAGTGTAGACACTAAAGGAAAGAAACTTCCAGCGTATAAGGTCGAGCAGTTGCAACGGTTGCAAAAGCTAATCAACATGTCACTGGTGGCAAAGCCTCGAGGTCCTGTAACGTACAATGACTACGTGAGCCAGAAGGACGATCGCTCGGCCGATAATGCGCTGAGGATTAGAATAGACGGAACAAACAAAGCGAAGATCAGTAACGTGACTCACTACAACCCAGTACGACAGCGTCTCCTGGAAGGAAAATTAACAGAATCAGAGAAAGCAGAGATGGCCCAAACCTACGAGAAAATACGCAAATATGGAAACATAAGGGCCCCTAAACTTTCTGATGATAAGACGCTGAAAAAGGTTTTGGGCGAGATTGTCGACAAGAACAAGGAGTTGATGTTCTGGGACTATTTCAATGAACGATTGCAAGCAGAGGGGTATGGAAATGCAGTACTCTTTGAGAATGAATGTAGATTGCAAACACATGAGATAACAAGCACGCAAAGGGATAATTTGAACAAGCAGAAGTACCAGCAGAAAGAAAGTCAAGCGATAGAGGTGAAAACAGAAAAAGACTCTGGGAGTGTCAAAGATATTTCAGGGAAGTATACCAAAATAAATCTAATGAAAGCAGCGGGTGATACGGAGTTGCAAAAAATGTTGGAGGAAGTATCAAATGGAGCTGAGAAATATTCAGCTGCTAACGAGGAGAATGCATTCAGCGGGCTAAAGCTGGTGGATTTTACGACAATCAGGAATTTCAACCATGAAAAAGCCTGAAAATCTCTGATGCAATGAGAGGGGGAAGCCTATTCCAATGGCATTAGCTATTCATAAAAGTTTCTTCGAGTTATATATTTCTTTACACATGGGAAAGATAACATAAAAAGTATCGTATCGTTATTGGTTACGTTGGTGCAAGGTATCGCGTGTTTCCCTGCCGTAGTTCGGGTGATCATGATCGTCAACGACTTCTGCATGTTGTAGTGGCATCTCTCGGAGATGGCCTTCGAGATTTTCTTCAAGTTGATTTTCCCCTTGATGGTCTTGTAAATCGACTTGGGCCAAATCCATTTGACCGGTCTCTGTCGTTTCTTCTAATCCATTTTCCTCGGGTTTTATGGTTTCTAGGTTGAAGATTTCCCACTCCCATACTGGTCTCAAGAAAGATTTGTTGCCATGCAATCTTGGCAGTTCCTCGTTTATAAACCAAAAACAATGACCAATAATTAATCCTGCTGGTCCCGCAATAAACCTTTTAGGGTCTTCTCTGTAATTAATGGATGAGTCGAGAAGATACGTGGCCCAAGGTAACCAACGAACCTTCAGGGATATGATGAAAAAGAAAACCTCATCATCGCTTTGTTTTCTGGACCATATACACAATAACGTATCTTTCAAAACAGGTCCAATCAAGCCCAAGTTCTTGATGAAGGCTGAATACAGGTTGATCATAAAAATAAGGACAAAAAGCGTCCAAATGTAATGTCGTGGAGAATTTACGTAAGTCTCCACCCAATTTGAGTAGCTTGTGAAAAGGTACAACCTTGTGCAAAATTCAAAAGAGAACGTTCCGTTATATGCTGTATTCAAAAGTATTCGCCACAATTGATTTAACCCAAATGAGCTGTTTGGACTCAAAAAAATATCAGACACTTTTATGTAGCCCATGTAGTCGGCCAAGGAGAGGGCAGTGGAACATGCCACATATGTCCGTGTCACTGGGGGTATTGACTGCAACCATTGAAATGGCATTGCCTCCATTGTGATAGTGTCGCTACTTAGTTATGTGTTATGAGTGGGGGCCGTGTATATTACCAGAATCGATGAGCTCACCTCATAAGGCATACACAGAAGAATAAGCAGAGAAAGAACACCATGTTTTTTCGGGGGCATAGGTAAGCCCGAAACATGTCTGAAAGGCAAAAATAACAATATGTTACGTAAGCTGTATTCTTGTAGAAAATTTATCATAGTGGGAGAAGGAGAATGATTTCAGATAGCTGAGTTAGGCTGAGCCTAATGATTTGAATGTAGTTTGGAGTGATAGTAAAGGCAAAAAACAATCAGATAAAGAGTATAAGAAGGATATAAAGTCATGGCTGAAGAGGATAAGCGAAATGTTAATTTTGAAGAGATTATCCAGCCGTACACCTATTTGAAAACGCAGACAAGGGGCAAGGGATTTCGAAACCACCTACTCGAAGTTTTCAATATCTACTACTGTGTATCAGTGGAGGAGTTGGAAATCATACAGGATTTCATCGACATTCTACACAACTCCAGTTTACTTGTGGATGACGTGGAGGACGACGGAACGGTTCGCCGGGGCAAAACGTGTGCTCATCGCATATACGGGGTGGCTCACACAATCAACGCTGGGAACCTAATGTATTTCAAGGCGTGGGAGAAGTTGATGGAGTTGCCGGTTGAAGGACTCAGCAAGATTTTTGTGGACAGCATGATCAAGTTGCATATTGGACAGGGCACGGAGCTCTGTTGGCGAAATGCCAAGGAGTGTCCCAGTGAAGAGGAGTACCTGCAGATGGTAGTCGGCAAGACGGGCGAGTTGTTCAGGCTAGGGGTGCGAGTGATGGCCTGTGTGCAGGAAAGCAGGGTCGGGTCCAAAAGGCCAAACAATGACCCAGTGACTGGTCTTCTTGAACAGTACTGCGATATACTTGGGATGATCTACCAGATCAAGAACGACCTAGAAAACTTGCAGTATGAAGAGCATGCAGCCGCAGAAGGCCTGGACACGGAGGTCTTTGCGCACGACTTGAAGGAACGAAAGTATTCGTTACCGATACTTTACTGGCTAAGGAGGAAAGGATCGTCGGGCACGGGATGGGACAACGAGAAAGACCTGACGAGCTTCGAGAACAGGCTGCAAATTTCTCAAGAGATACGAGCTTCTGGCGGAATCAAGTACTCGCTGAACAAAATGATCCAATTGAAACAGCAGGGACTGGATCTCTCAGGGGCCATTGGTGATAAGTCTGACGCAAACGTGGCCCAGCTTGGAAAACGGTTAGCCGGAGTACTCTCTGCAATCACAACAAGCTGAATCAAAAATGTTAAAAAAGAGAAAAAAAGGCAAGTGGTTGGCACGTGACCCAAGTACTTTTTAAGTCATCCGTGCACCGCTATATTTCTCCGTTCTTTTTTGCTTTGTGGCGCATGCATTTTCTGAGCTGCTGCCATCCCTACTCCCAGAGTGTACTGGCCAATGGGAAGCGCGAAATGGGTCAGGACTCAGTGGCGAAAACAGACCATTGGCAGCATGCGGAGCGGTGGTGTGTAGCAGAGACAAAGCGGGAGACGTCGCCTGCGCGTGGCGCAGTAGCCCGTCTGCGTGCGCAGTTGTGCCACGGGGAAAGCGGCCTGGCACAATGGGACAACCACTGCACTGTGAGGGAGGGAGAGAGAGAGAGGAAGTGAGAGAGGGGGAGGAAAAAAACTGGCGTTACCACCTTCAAACTGCTATTGCTAGCTTTTCCTCAAGGTGAAAATAAAGTTGTTCGTGCTCCGTCTAGGTGTGTCTACTTCCTCTCTGCTGTTTTCTCGAGATTCCTGCCTGCTTGTCCTTTTCAGAAAGTCTCATTGTCTGTTAAACCGACACACAAACCCCACACACAAACAGATAAATAGCACAAAATGTTCGCCAACACCATCAGAGCTGCAATCAGACAAAACGCAAGATTGACTATTGTCCCAGCCAGACAACAACTTTTGAACAAGTCCTTGTTTGTCTCCTCCGCCGTCAGAAAGTACTCTGACCACCACGAGGAAACCTTTGAAGAATTCTCTACCAGATACGAAAAGGAATTCGACGAAGCTTATGACTTGTTCGAAGTCCAGAGAGTCTTGAACAACTGTTTCTCCTACGACTTGGTCCCACCACCAGCCGTCATTGAAAAGGCTTTGAGAGCTTGCAGAAGAGTCAACGATTACGCCACCGCTGTCAGAGTCTTCGAGGGCTTAAAATTCAAGGTTGAAAACAAAGAGCAATATCAAGCCTACTTGGAAGACTTGAAGTCCGTCAGAGAAGAGTTAGGTGTCGATTTAAAGGAAGAATTATTCACTCAATAGATTGATCTTACCCATCTTTACATTCAAGTTTGAATCTTCAAAAAAAAAATTAGTTAAAATCTTATTCTAAATAATGTCGGTATAGTCTTATACTATAATAAATATCTATATACTAAGTCACAGCTTGGTTATCCATCTTGATTTCTTCCCATTGCCATTCCAAAACCAGAATCCCTCTGTCTTCATCATCCATCCATCCATCCATCCATCCATCCATCCATCCATCCATCCATCCATCCATCTATCTATCCGTCCATCCATCATACACCAAGCACTCCCATCTCAGCCAAAGAAATGCCAGCAGGTTTCAAGTAACTGGAAAAAGGAAAACATCCTTTCAATCCTCGCGTCTTCTAACTATATCCCAGATATCCAATTACTTTGTGTATCCGCTACTGCCTACATTATTTCATATATGCGTAACTGCATGTTTGTTTTCTATATTTATTTCTTTATTTCCTAATTTATTTCTCTTACAGTCTACACTTTGACACCTTTATCATTTTCCAACTCTTTATTTATGTTTTTTTAATAGAATATATTGTTTATTTCTCATACATCTCCTTCCTATCTTATCTCTCGTGCAAACGGGACACCGTAGAATCAAGATCTTCTCAGGCGAAGTTTTTTAACAACTTTTCTGCGCCGATCGGCCTAATTTTACAAATTTAGTTGAGGCTGATGTCACCTAAAAGGGTAAAAGATAAACAACATTTATTCAGGAAAAATGTCAGGTTCCATAGCACACACAGAGAGATCAATAAACAACAACAATTTGGCATCTCTCTGCACACACATGCAGAAACAGATATGTTCGATATGTAATTAGTCTTTGGTCTGTCCGTAAATCTTACAGAAGGTTCTTTTTTCTTTTCTTTCCTCTCGGAGTTGATTCTTTATTTCTACCGACTTACAGATTGACAACAATCACAGAATGGAAATGTACCACGGAGAAGTCTGGGTCTCCAAGAGTGATCAACTTTCCGATTCCATTTTCGAAAAAGGTGAGATAGTCGATAAGATAGAAGGAGATGACAACAAATTCAGGGTAAAACTTCTTAATTCCGACCGACTCGTGGAAGTAAATGCAAAAGAGTTACAGAAATCAAATCCTTCAAGATTCGACGGCTACGATGACATGGCCTCTTTGACCTATCTTAATGAGCCTTCAGTCCTCAATAACCTAAAAATACGATACCAAGATGATAAGATCTACACATATTCCGGTTTATTTCTTGTCACTGTGAATCCGTACAAGATGATCAACATCTACAATCCCGACTTCATCAGAATTTATTCGAAAAGAAACGAGAAAGCGGAAGATGAAAACTCCACTCAGGCAAACTCAGACGAAGATGAAAGTTTAAGGCCTCACATATTCGGTACAGCCCAAAAAGCATTTGAAAATCTTATCGCCAACAGGAACGATCAGAGTATCCTGGTGACCGGTGAGTCAGGTGCAGGTAAGACAGAAAACACTAAAAAGGTGATTCAGTACATCCTTTCAGTCTCTACGAATAACAACAATAAAGATAATGCGCTAATACTAGAAAATCAGATTCTACAAGCTAATCCGATTATGGAGAGTTTTGGTAATGCTACAACGGTAAGAAACTTGAATTCTTCAAGATTCGGAAAATTCATCAAGATTCAAATTGATATTGCAAAAAAAGAATTGTCCGGTGCACATATCGATTGGTACTTGTTGGAAAAATCAAGAGTCATCTCGCAAGACTCAAAAGAAAGAAACTACCATGTCTTTTATCAATTGCTCAAGGGTGCTTCTGAAAAAATGCTTGATAAGCTACTTATTTCGCAAACTTCCGTCAAAGATTATGAATATTTAAAAAATGGGCTCACGAGTTCAATTGACAGCATCGATGACAAGCAGGGTTTCCAAGAATTGGTCAAGGCTTTCAAGGTGATAAATTTCACTGAAAATGAGATTTTCAGTGTTTTCAAAATCTTGTCTATTATTTTACATTTGGGTAATATTCATTTCAAGAATTTGAGTAATGACACAAAGCAAGCTGTGCTGTCAGAAGACTCCGATAAAGTGATAGAAGAAACATCACAGCTATTGGGTATACCTACACAAGCTTTTAAAAAATCATTTCTTAACTCGAAGATAAAAATAGGCAAAGAGGTAGTCAATCAGCAGAGAACTGCGATACAAGCCAAATTTTCCATTGATGCGCTATCGAAATCGCTCTATGAAAAACTGTTCCAGTACCTGATTGACAAAATCAATGAAAACTTCAAATCATCGACAGATTCGGATAATGTTTTTGACGAAAACTTGGATAATTATATCGGGATTTTGGATATTGCAGGTTTCGAAATTTTTGACAAGAATTCATTTGAGCAGTTATGCATCAACTATACAAATGAAAAGTTGCAACAGTTCTTCAATCATCATATGTTTGTTTTAGAACAAAGTGAGTACATGAAGGAAGGGATTTCTTGGAAATACATTGACTTTGGTAATGAGTTAAAGCCAACTATTGAGTTAATAGAGGGTACAGATGCAGATAAAAGAAAAACAAACATTTTTTCAATCTTGAATGAAGAATGTGTTGTTCCAAAAGGTACAGATAAATCTTTCATTGAAAAATTGTTCAAAGAGTTGGAAGTCAAAGATTCCAAAATTGATAAGACAAACTTACCTTTCAGAGCGAATAAGCTTAGAGATGGTTTTCTCATAAAACACTATGCAGGAAATGTTGACTATTCAGTTGATGGATGGCTGAACAAGAACAAGGATCCATTGAGCGCTTCAATGATTGAACTCTTAGCCAACTCAAATGACACATTTGTTAGTGATTTATTCAACTTAGGGTCTCTGGAGATCAACGCTATCGACTCTCCTGTCAAAGATAGCTCTCCTAGGAAGAAAACTGGCATGTTCAGAACGGTAGCTAAACGTCATAAAGAACAGTTAACATCTTTGATGGATCAGCTTTCAAAAACTTATCCCCATTTTGTTCGTTGTATATTGCCAAACAACGAGAAAAAGCCAGGTACCTTCAACGACAAAATCGTTCTACATCAGCTGCGTTGTAATGGTGTATTGGAAGGTATTAGAATTGCACGTTCAGGTTATCCAAATAGAATAGACTTCAAAACATTTGCAACTCATTACAGTCTCTTGTCAAACATTTCATTTAGCGGTATCAAAAATAATAGCGACTATAAACAAACTTGCGAATTGATTTTAGATGGATTGGATTTAGAGCCCGAGGTTTACAAGATAGGCCTCACCAAACTGTTTTTCAGAAACGGTGTTCTTGCGAAATTAGAGAAAAAAAGAGAAGAAAAGCTTGCAGCAATATTCAGCAATTTTAACTCAATTGCAAGAGGTAGCCTAGTCCGAAAAAATTTTCAATTGAAGCTTCAGAGATTTAGGGCTTCCCAAGTTTTAATTACCAATTTCCAAAAGTATGCTGAAAATAATTCTGATCCATGGTTCAAGTTAATCAAGGCTTTCAAACCGAGACTGGATGATTCCGGTATGATGGAAATTCAGTACTCTAACAAAATAACCAAACTTGAAAACACTATAAAAGGATTAGTAGATCAATTGAATGAGGAAGCTTCTGATCGTGATTCTACTGCTTCCAAGTTGAAGGCATTGGATGAAGAGTTGTTGACCCATAAAAGTGTGATTGCGAAAAAGGATACCGAGCTTGATAAATCTAAGAATAGAATTGTCAACTTAGAAAAAGATCTTGCAGAAATCTCTCAGCTTTCAGTGCAAAACTCAGTTCTTTTAGAGGAAAAAGAGAAAGCAATAGAAAACTTATCCCAATCAAATGTTGATAATATTGAAAACTTGCAGACTGAAAATGAAGAACTCAAGGTTGCTAAAAGTAAGCTTGAGAGTAAGATTGCATCTGAGCTCAAAATCATTCCTGTTTTGAAAGAAGAGATTGTATCCCTGAAAAGCTCTATTGATAAGAAAGAAATGGAATTAGCCAGTTTGAAAAGAGAAAAGAGAATAAAAGAAACAGAATCCGTTAAAAAAATTGATGATTTACAAGTGAAGTTGAATGAAGCTATCAGGGAAAGTAGGAAACTCAAATCAGAGTGGGAGGCAAAATCAAATCTTTTTGAAACGAACAAGTCAACCTTGATTAGCTTACAATCTGAGCATGCAAAAGCCTTAGAGGAGCTTTCGAAACTTCATGAATCTACCAAAGATTATGAAGCAAACCGTCTTGCTTATGAGCAATCTGAAAAAATCAAGAAAAAGTTCAAGCAGCTTAAGCATGAGTATCAACAAGCAAAGTCTCTTCTTGATCAAAAAGTTAGTGATGAAATTGAATTCAATAAAGGCCGCCAACAATATGACAAAGAGCTTGAGGAAACGAAATCACTTATCAAAGGTTTGCAAAGTGAGCTTGCAGTTGAAAAGCGTTCAGCTGTTGACTTGGAATTAAAGCTACAACAAGCGAGATTAGAAACTGAAAGAGCCATTAAAGATAAAAAGTCATTGGAAATGGGAAGTGCTCAGTTGAAGCTCAGGTTACAGAATATCAACCCGCTGCAAGCAAATATGAATCAGATGGAAATAAACAGGAAGAATCATGAATTAAGTCCTGAAGTCCATCAACTACGGGAAGAAGTCAGGTTATTAAGAACTAGATTGGCTTCCGAATCGTACGAAAACAGGAACTTGAAAGCTCTTCTCAAGAAGGGTGGCACTTCAATTTCTCAGCTAGATAACTTCAGAGTTTCAGGCAAAAGTACCGATATCAGTAATGAAAACGTTAAGATATTTGACGATAGGGATGAGGCTTCGAATTTGAAGGAGAAACTAGAGGTTGAAAAAGAAGCAAATAAGAGACTACAGGATCATTATGTTCAACTACAAAAAGATCTGATGTATTACAAAAGTAAATTTAATAATTCTAGAGACAATACCAACAGCGATTCTGGAGTATTAAGTTTATTGGATACAGATGCAATGGAATATAAAAGTAAATTTCAAATGTCACAGATCCAAATCTCTGATTTAAAAGAGCAAGTAAAAGATTTAAGAATTTTGCTTAAAAAGAATGAAAATACTCTAGGTAGGAATGAAAAGGTTCTCAATGACTCTACCAACGTTGAAAATAGCTTTGTTGCGGATGATAAAGAGCAAACGAAGCTGAAGCACGAAAATTTGAGACTTATCTCGGCATTAAACGAATTGAAAACCAAGTTGAATCGCTTAGAACAAGGAAATGGTAGTAGGTTCGAACAAGAGGAGGAAATTATACAGTTAAAAAGCAACTTGAAAACGATTCAGTTGAAGAATTCGGCTTTAGCATCAAGCGTTGAACTATATAAAGATAGGTCTGAAGATTATTATACTAAATTGTCTAAGGCAGAAGTTGAATTGCAAAGCTCCCTCAGAGAACGCCAAAGGCTGCAAGATGACGTAACCCATTTTAAGGAGAAACTGAGACGCTCAGAGTTACATTTTGAAGAAAGTGATGGACAAGTTCAACTTTTGAGCGAGACCATTAGAAACTTGGAAAAGAAAATTTCAGATAAAAACTTTCAAATTGATGAACTCACTGGACAATATGAAAGCTTGAAAGATAGGCTAGAAAATAGTGAAGAGTTGAGGAAGTCTGTCAAATCTGTCAGCAATGACTATCAAGAAGCAGAAATTGAGAGACTAAATCAAGAAATAGTCAAGAGTCTCAATAAAGAGACTGAGATGAGCAAGCTTTTGAGAAGTTTAAACCTTCAGTTGGAAACAAGTAAGAAAGAGATCACATCCGTCAAATTCAACAATAACGAACTCTTTAAAGAGAAAAATGTTCTAACCAGAGCGTTAAATGATTGTATGTCTAAAAACGAAGCATTACTTGCTGAAGTGAAAGAAAACATTCTTAAGGTTCAGAACCTATCTCAACAAGTAAGTGTATTGAAGGTCAGTAATGCGGACTTATTGAGAGAACGTGACGATTTGTTAACTTCTAAGCGCTCACTTGAATATAAGTTGAATGAGATGACCATACAATTTGACCAGCATCTACTCAAAGTCAGAGATGATGCAAACAACGAAGTTCTTGCTAAGCAACTTGTTGAAAAGCTTGAAAAATCACAGCAGAACATTGAAAGTTTAAGCGACTCGCTAAGAGATCTTAAGGCAAAACATAGCCAAATTACGGAAGAACTTAACAGCGTGAAAAACGATTATGCTAAGACCCTAGAGGAGAATAAAGAATTGACCAAGTTCAATAATGGATTGATTAACAAGCTTGATGAAAGTGAACGGAAGCATGCTGCACAAATTAAAGCACAAGATTTGCATTGGTCTAAGCGTTTCAATGATTTAGACGAGAAACTTTTTATGACCAAGTCCCTACAAAGAAACGAGACTCATCAACTTGAGAGCTTGAATAGAACTATCAAGGAACTTGAAATTCGGAACAAAGATTTGGAAAGATCGAAGAAACATTCGGAAGATGAAATCAAGCATCTTGAGGCTACAATTGAGAAGCTCAATTTGAGTTATGAGAGTCTTAATAAGAGAGAAATGGAGGCTCAACTGAGATGTAAGCAATTGTCAAGAGAGTGTGACAAAGTTAGAGATATTATAAGTACTGGTGGAGCTTACTGAGATGTAGTACAGTTAATTAGTCAACTCAATTTTTTAGATTAAGGATGTAAAAATAAATAAATTCAACAATTTGTCTAATTATAAAGCATGTCTAAATTGAAGATAGCAGCAATAGCAAAAAAAATGTAAGCTAATGCCAGCACCCATGCTGGGAGTCGAACCCAGAATCTTTTGATTAGAAGTCAAACGCGTTAACCATTACGCTACACGGGCATTGCTTGCGCCAGAAAATGCTTTGCGTGTTAAGAGTAAAGTTTATTCTTATTATGAACTGCTTCACTCAGAACATTCTCTCAGAAAATTCAGAAATGAGGAGAATAGCCTTTCTAACAAATAATTATTATACGCATAAAAACATTTGGAAATCTTCAGAAGATCTTTCAACGTATCACTCCTTCTAAATACCTGTACTTAATAAAAACAAACTACAATTAAGATTTACATATTAGCGCATGAGGCTTGTAAAGTTTTAACAAAGCGCAAGTGGTTTAGTGGTAAAATTCAACGTTGCCATCGTTGAGCCCCCGGTTCGATTCCGGGCTTGCGCAAAGTACAACAATTCTTTCCGAAATAGTTTAGTGGCTAGAATTTCCGCTTGTCACGCGGGGGACCGGGGTTCAATTCCCCGTTTCGGAGTTGTATTTTTTCTCTCCTCTCTTGAAGAGAGGAAGGAGGATATCATCGCATCATATTCTTCAGCTTCAAACTTTTTTTACCCATTCATTGAGTTAATTAGATGAAATTGAATTGTCACATTATACTGGCTATATAAAAATTGTACAAAGAGCTTATACTAAGGCTAACCGGCGTCTCTTTCTTCTCTGGGTTATATTAGATTCTAGCTTGTTCCATAATTCTTCTTCGTCACTGCTTTCTTCTTCTTCTTCCCGCTTCTCACCATTACCTGCTCCAGACATTCTTTCTTCCCCAGACACTCCTGATGTATGCTTGTGCTGTCTTTTGCCCTTCCAAGACTCGATGTCTTCTATAATTGCTATTGCGTTCGACTGAGTACCGACGAACACCTTAATTATGCATTCTCTGGTTTCGTTGTCGTAAGCACGAACATAACGATCAGAACCAGTTGTAGCTAGTATGGAATTCTGAAAGTTGTCCAAGGCATGTGTGGTACCGATGTGACCCTTAAACTTGGACATGAGAGAGCCTGTTGATGGGTCGACCTTCACGACTACACCCGTATTGTCACATAGGACTAAGTTGCTGTCCAACCAGATGGCATTTATTATCGAAGCCTTTTTTGGCAATACCAGCACAGAAGATCTAGGTTTGCGACCAAGTGCGGAATCGTAAAACCTCATATCTCCCCACTGTGTGAATGTGTAGATTTTTAGGTGGTCTGGGCTACTTGTTTGGTCAAAAAGTATCTTTTTTATGTGGATTGGCACACGTAGCTCGAGTCTAGAGTTGGAAAGGTTTTTAGCCTTGAAAATGACTTCAGGCTGGTTTTTCCGCTTTTTAGTTTTTTCCAATGATGGTAGCTTCACCACACGTAGATCGGTCTCTTTTCCACCATAAGCAATATATTCCACATTCTCCTTACCCGGATGTATCTGAAGTGATTCAATGCTTTCATTTGCATCCAAAGGAAGGGTGAATTTTAATGGCTCGTTGCTGATCTTATCCTCACTTGCCCAAATAAAGACAGAACCCTTGTTTGTCGCCACGATGACACGTCCAGAATCATCCAACAGCAGATCAATGAAAATTTCACTATCTTTGTTTTCGAATGGTGGGATAAGACTCTTATTTTCTTGGACTAGTTGTAGTAAATCGATTGTTCCACTGCTGTTGTCATTTTTTTCAGCACCGTCCTTTAGCGGTTCTGCTGCAGGCTCAAGTTTCGATGTGTCGTAAACTTCCACTGCACCATTCAATCGGGAAACAATAATGTTACCCGTATGCTTCGAATGTACCAACTGCAGGACCTTACTTCTTCGTGTGTTTCCCTCTGCATGTGTAGTGATCGAAACTGCCTGTGCAGGAGAGGCATCGTCTGCAGGTTTGGATGTATCTGTCCCGTGTAGGGCAGTCACTACCTTAATGGCACCAGTGTCTTCGCAAGCTACCACTAGCTTCATTCTTCTATTTTGCTAAGACTTTCTCTGTTATTAAACACTGTTCAACAGAGGACTTATAAGGATCAAAAGCTTGATGAAGATAAGGAGGGAATAATAAGTAAAATTTTTTTTTTTTTCAACATGAAAACGGAAAGATACCGCGACATGATTCTGTGTTTTATTTTGTGTTGTGTATGTTTTGCAGGACGCTTTTGCTTCTCGTCAGGCCCTGCTTTCGAATGTGGTTACAGCAGTTGGGCGAAGCCAAGGAGAATCCAACCGGATGAAATGGAAATAGAGAGCCAGGGGGAACATATACGTTTTGAGGCGCTTCATTCGGCGCTTTCATATGCCCTACAGAAGACGTTATCAAAGCTCACACTGAAGACGTTCGTGTCGTGTTATCCAGAGATAGACCACCATGTTCTGGACTACGTGCGTAAGCAGATCTTGAAGTCGTGGCAGACACGAGCGGAAGCCGAGTTTCAGAAGATATTCACCGAGCGGGGCCTTAAAGGGAAGTTAGATGACTTGGATACGGTGATTCAGAATGCAGAGAAGCGGAAAAAGAAGTTCGAGCATGAGAGCAGGATGGGCGGAGGAGATGGCGTGCAGGACATGAGAAGAAATATCTCGGCACTGTCGCCGTCGGAGTTGTCGAAGATGTATATAGTGACGGAGAAACAGAAGTCGCTGGAACTGCTCCACACGGAGCTACAGGCGATCAAGGGCGCCAACGAGGAGCTCCTTGCAAGGATTGAAGGCTTTAAGAGGGAGATAGACAGCAACGTCAGCGAGTACGGGCCGGTGACAGATGACCTGAAGGTTCTTGACGATATTGATGAGACTTCCGAGGAGGCCGCGTTCAAGGAGATGGTCGAATGGGCGGTTGAGGAGCTTACGAAGTTCGACTAGTCTAGCCGGCAATGATTTCAAATATCATTTTATTTTCAACTAGTTAAATAAAGGTACTAAATAAACGGAAACATAAGCGTAAATCAACATCATTAACGTGAGAGGAGAGGAGAAGAGAATAACACCAGTAGTTATAAGGCGGCAGCAATGCAGAAACTCGAGAGGAACGGAACACTGAAGCTGGTCTGGTCGAACAACAGCTCGTCCCAGGACACGCTGTTCACAGCCCCCTTGACAAGTCCCTTAGTATCGACAACCACAACACCTTGCTTCCGGAGATAGATTCCGATCAAGTACGCAAAAATGGAAAAGACAAATAAGACCGTGCTCAACCTGGACACGGCGTACCCTATCACCAACCCGGTCATCGAGCCTAGGGCGACCTGGCGGTAGTTAAGTCTGCCGCCAAAGGCCCCGTCGTAGACAGGCTTCTTGTTGTCGTAATATATGTTAGGAGAGCCTGGAGTGGTGATGGAGACCGGTCCGTTGGCATAGCCTGCGTCATTCAACAACGGCTTGTGAGCACCCAAGTAGAGGGAAGAGACCCCCAACACGCCGAGGAGGGTCAATGCCATGTTAGGCCTCTCCCTGCTACCTCTAAAGCTTCTTGCAGCAGTGGCAGCAGCGGTGGAGCCGGTGTGCTGGCCAAAACGTGCAAACGAGAACAGTCTCTTTTGGTGGCTTGGGGACTGGATGAAAGTTCGCAATGGGCTGCCGAGACGGGCGCCGACGCCAGGCTTGGCAAAAGAGGCAGGAGAAATCAATCTGAACATAATGTATTGGAAATGTCTGTGTGTCTTATCCAAGATAGTGCCACCGAAACGTGTCTGCTCTTTGAACCCGAGCAGGAAGAAGGAGGCAGAATAGGCAGAGAAGAGCTCCAGAGGTGTCAAAACGGCAACGAGGACGGAAACGCAGCTATCGCGTCCCGGCCCGGTGGCGGGGCACCGCCGGAACTTTCAGTTTCTTATCTGTTGAGACGGTTGAGGCTGTTGGGCCACATGGGAGGTTGGAGAAGCCGGAGGTGAAGATCAGAGGTTCATTAACTTGCTGAATAAAGTGATTCCCACTTTACAGCTTTTGAGGGCTGATGAAAAGGCTCACAGAGCATGAAGGCGGAGACAAGAGGGCACATAGACGGCACGGCTTGAATGACGGACATAGATTCTCCGTGATTGAAGACTGATGAAGGAAAAAGAAAAATGTATTTATATGGCTGGATGGACCAGTTGGTCGATGCACGGATAAGCTATGTGGAAACTTGTTCTCCTTGTGATTGCTTCCGTTCGTTAGGATGACGGTAGATATAAGTCCTTCGGAATTTAGAAGATTGTGCAAAGAAAATAGCTTTTGGGGTCACACCAGCGGCTGTGTCCCCGGCTATGCCCAGGCAAATGTTCTGGTTTTGCCAAAGGAGATTGCAAACGATTTTGCAGACTTGTGTGCCAGAAACCCTGTGGCTTGTCCGCTGATTGCAATGACGAAGCTGGGCTCCCCCAACAAAGTTGACAACCGATTAGTAATCGACGACGAAGACTTCGATCTGAGAACTGATCTGCCTAAATACGGCGTGTACAAGCAGGGAAACTTGATTAGAGAAGCAAGTTCTGTTGCAGACTGCTGGGATCTCGACAGTCATATTGGATTCCTCATTGGCTGCTCTTTTTCCTTCGAGGCGGCTTTGATCAGTGAAGGACTGGCGCCACGAAATGTGCTGGAAAAGAGCAACGTGTCGATGTATCTCACAACGAAGATGCTCAACCCGGCTGGTGTATTCACCCGGTGTCCCTATGTTGTGAGCATGAGGCCATACAAAGCTACAGACGTGGAGAAGGTCAGGTTGGTTACGAGAGAGTTCCGCAAGACTCACGGAGAACCCATTGACTGGGGGTACGACGCTGTAGAGCGGTTGGGGATTAAAGATCTGTTGCTGCCGGAGTTTGGTAGCCCATGTCGAATTGAAGACGACGAAATCCCCGTTTTTTGGGCTTGCGGCGTCACCACACAGGTTGCAGCTCAGCAGGCCGGCAAACATTCTGCCAACGATGATTATATTTTCGCCCATGTCCCGGGACACATGCTTGTTCTGGATATCAAGGACTCGGAAATTTGCTGTTTGTAGATGGAAGTATAATTTATAGATAATCATTCTCTATTAGTTCTATTGGCCGAAATAAAGTATACAAAAGTAACAGAAGTTGAAGAAGAAGTAAAAGAAATAGCAGGAGATAAAGAAAATATAACTACACTTGACTTGGCCATCAGATGATGAACTTAAATTCTGGTGCATCGTCACCAACTGTTCTTTTGAGCTTACGGTCGTCAATGCCTGTCTCTAAAACTCTTTTGTTATGGACGTTTCTTTTGTGCAACATCCATGAACACGTAAGAGAGCAGAGTGTGGAAACGACCAAACAGCCCAAGGTGAATGCGTGACCAAGAGTGTAATTTGGAGGGGCTCTGTATACCTGAGGGCTGATTGCGCCGGAAACATTTCCTAGGGTCTGGTTGATACCAATGGCCGTGTATCTTTTGTACCTTGGAGAAGTGTTCGAAGAAATCCATGACTCGTTAATACCAGTACCGGTGTAGATGGAGAAGCAGATGAGATAACATGCGAAGTACTTGACGGAACTGTTATCTACAGCAAGCAACAAGATATATCCTGTGATTCCAAAGATGTTGGTGAATGCAATGATTGGCCCCCGCATTCTTTTCTTGTCAGAGATCTCCGCAGCAGCCAAAAAGATCAGGCCTGCAAGGAGATATACCGGCACACCCAAATATTGTGCTTCCAAAGAAGAGAAGCCCATCCCGGATTTCAAAATCGACGGTAAAAAGGTGGAGAAGCCGTAGAGACAGATATCTTGCGTGAACTGGATGATGACGGAGAATATGGTCTTCGGGTCGGTGAATGCGGAGCGGACCTCCTTAATGTCGAACCCTCCTTGGTCGACGTAGAACGCCCTACGACGTTCTCGGTCTTCAAACACTTCTCTTTCCTCCTCAGTCTTGATGAGCTTTGTCGGGTTGTCTGGGAGTCCAAAGAAAAGCCAGACCACAGCCACACATGACAAAATGCCCTCGATTAGGAAAATGTATTTCCAGGACGCTAACCGACCGCTGTTGATCTTAGTGATACCAGTTCCGATAAGGCCTCCAAAAGCACTTGCCAAGCTGGAGGAAGCAAAGAAGTACGCTGTCCTTCTGCCTAACTCATGTGGGAAGTAGTAGTCGGTGGTGATTACGGCAATGCAGCTGAAGTAGGAGCCTTCAAAAAGACCAAGAAGGAGTCGTAAGGCCAAGAGAGAGCTGTAGCTGTTGGCGAACAAGGTGAAAAGAGAGCATAGCGACCAGCAGAGCATCATTCCAGCAAGGTAGTACCGAGGCCGTTTGCACTGTTTCATGAGCCAGACTCCGGGGAGCATGACAGGGATGTACGTGGCGTAAAGAACGGAGACGATGGTAGAAAACTGAGCGTCGGTGATACCACAGTCAATGTCCATGCCGGCGACCTTGGCATTTCCAATGTTCGATCTGTCCAAGGATGAGAAAAAGTACATTGTGGCAAACATGGGCATCAACCGCCAATCAAACTTGTGCACCAGCCTCTTCTCTGCAGCAAGGTCCTGTGGAACCGGTGTCTGGATCGATTCCACTTGGATCTCGACGTCGTTTTTTGACATATGAGATGACATCTCAATCGCTTTTATCTTGGACTAACTGTCTTGGCTGTTTGGGCTCTCCTAGTCTGCTCTACTCTACCATTAAATTTCCCAGGCTACACCTCAGACATCAGTAGAGGTATATATACCCCCCCCTCCCCCGGCTCCGTCTAGCTCGATATCCGTTTTTGGTTCCTCGGCAGAGGACTCTCGAGGACGATAAGACACTGCGGCGGAACCGCTTATCGCAGCTGGCGGGCCTGGCGGAGAATCAGTTTCCGTTGGCGAGACGGAGGGTCTTGCACACCTTCGAGGCCTCGTTCCACCTCAAAGTCATTTATGCTAGTATAATTCAACTTGTATATGTGTATGTGTGTATGCATTTGGCTATGTCTGCAAGTGCTGCTCCCCCGTAAGGCCGTCTTTACTGCTTTGGCAAAACCTCCGGTCCCGGCCCGATGCCGTTTGTCATCCCTCGAACCTATTGTTTTCTCCGGAGCGAGATGAGAAAGACAAGATCAAACGATAGAAACTGAAAAAATATAGAGAACAGATGGGAGGAAGGAAGAAGATGGAATCGTAGTTCTTAGAACAGAAGCGCACGCAGTAAAGATGACAAAGCCGACAAGACGGAAGACACTACTGTCGTATGTATACCCCACTGGGTTTAATCGTAAATTCCGGAACCACTACTAACATTTCTGAGGAGAAATCCCTTCTTGCTGTCACAGTTGCAAGTTTTGCAAGCAACGGAAAGTAAGTTCCTCTCTTTTTCATCTCCTTTTCGAAGGACCGCATACTAACACTGGCGTCCTCTGTTTTCTGTGCAGATCAAGTGCAACTGCGAACACCCCTGCTCGAACTGCATCGAGCACAACATTGAATGCGAACCTGTCGTGAAGGACCTGCGTAAGAAGAAGTTTAACAATAGTTACGTGCATACTTTGCGGCAGCAAGTGATGCGCCTACAGAACTTTATTGTACAGCTGAAGATAAAAGACTCTCATACAAGAGAACAAATGCTTGCAGCTTTTGATATTGGCGCCGACAGCAACCTCGGCGATGGCAGCATCAACGACCACGAAACAGAAAGCAGCCTTACCGGAGCATCCAGCAACGTAGAGCTTGTTATTGAAAAGTTTGAAACAGGCCAGATTTCTGTATATGGCAAGCCGGTAATTTATATGCCACCGCAGGACAAAACAAAGAAAAAAAGTAAGCCATCCTCTTTTGAGTTCCAGTACTTTCACTGTCCCGTCATTCTCAGCTACATATCCAATTTCTTCAAGTGGCAGTACATGGAATACAACCTTTACATTTACCGAGAGTCTTTTTTGACAGACTTTTTTAGGGACAAGGGGGACTTAAAGGAGTCTCTGCCCTACTGCAACGAGGAACTCATCTTTGCCATTTGCGCCTGTGGATCTGCCATAGATCTCGGTGACAACGTGTTCATGTACAAGGGCGTCTTGTACGACTCATCCGATAAGTTTTACAATAGGTCAAGGTATTTACTTTTTCAAAAACTGAACTCCGATGATTGCAACAGTATCACCGCCGTGCAGACATTCCTTTGTTTGGCTTTCTACGACTTGGGCAGAGGCAGAACGTTGTCTGCTTGGATTCTTTCAGGAATCGCCTTTAGAATTGGGTTACACATGGGCTTTGAATTGAATTTGCAGCCAAGCCACGAGCCCCAGAGCAGTAAGTCAAACCTAACAGACTATGACCTCAACGTCAGAAGCAGGATTTACTGGGGCTGTCGTGTCGCAGATTATTTTATCAGTTTTGTCTTAGGTAGGTCTCCAACCCTTGAGTACTTGAATGCCACCATTCCAAAGAGTGAAAATCTTCCTACTCTCCCAGGAATAGAGTTTTTTCTCTATTACGATCCTATAGAGAAGAACTCTAAAATCTCCAACATTTCCCACCCTCTTGAACAAATTTATCGTTTGTACAGGCTTGCCCACAAATGCAACGAAAAAATTCATTACGAGTCGTCTAGGGCTGGCCGCTTCCATTTCCAAACTCTTCATCATCTCCACAACTTTAACCTTGAGGTACAGGAATGGAAAAACAACTTAATCGATCAGCTCTATTGGACTAAGGCGGAGTTGAAGACTGCAGGCTTTAATCCAAACCCCATGTCTTTCCGTTACCAGTACTACACGATATTGCTCTCAATAAACAGAGACTTCATAGATTCCAAACATAGTGATTACACTGCCGATGTAGTAACACCCAGAAGCATTTGCTTGAGTGCCATCGAGGATGTGTACTATTCAATAATGTCTTTTAAGACCTACCACAGTCTCCGATATGCATCGTTAAACATGGTTTACCTCTGCATACTTAGCATCACCATCCTGGAGAAGCTACCTGACGCGATTAACATGCCTCTGCAGAGGACCTCCATGATAGAATTCTTTGGTAGAGTCCTCAAAGAGTGTTCTGCTTCATGGGGCTTGGCTAGAAGTGCCTACGAGTCTTTTAGTTCACTTTTCAAAGGCGGTAATGCCCTAGGCCACCACATGCCCGGTTCAGGCAGGATCAACGCTTCTGATATGCCAATTTCTGGCACCAAACCGGTTCATGACAGAGACATGCAAGATCTTGACGAAAGTCTGATTCCCTCACTCAACTATTCGTAGCTTGTAATCTATTAATAAGCACTACTTTATAAGATCTAAGTTATATTTACAATGCCAGGGTATGTCACATTTTTCGGAGATTGATTTTTGACATTTTCTCTCACCCCTCACTACAACGGAAGTTGATTGTCCGTCCTTTTTTTCCCACACGGCCTTTTTATTTTGCCGACCTTAACCTCGACGGGAATTGAAAAGCCTTCTCGGGTAATGCAAGAATTTCACTAACTCACAACCTCACGTCAACACATTTTTTGGAATTGTAACATTCCAGAGTACAAGTAAAACCATGTGAACTATAAATGAAAGTGAACACCGTCTTGTGTACCCTTTTCATCAACCTCGTCAGAAAGGATGTAGAAATATATACGGCTCAGCTAGAAGTAAATGCTTCCAAAAAGTAACAATACCATCCACACTAACATGTCCAGCATCCAGATAGCAATAGATAGAGGTGGAACTTTTACCGACTGCATAGGTAATCCTGGAACAGGCAGGCAAGAGGATGATGTTCTCATCAAATTGCTCTCCGTCGATCCTCAAAACTACTCCGACTCAAACTTGGAAGGTATCAGAAGATTACTTGAGAAATTAACTGGTGAAAAGCAAGATAGAGGTAGTAGTCTAGATACTTCTAGGGTTGCATACTTAAGACTTGGAACTACAGTGGCAACCAATGCCCTATTGGAGCGGAAGGGATCAAGATGCGCTTTGGTCACCACTAAGGGATTCAGAGACATCCTCAACATTGGTAATCAATCAAGACCTAAAATCTTTGATTTATCATGTGCCAAATCAGATACTCTTTTTGAAACTGTTGTTGAAGTTGATGAAAGAGTTACTTTGGAAGATTACACTGAAGATGCGAACAAAGGGTTCACTAAACCCAATGGTAAAGATCTCGTTGAGGGCTTATCTTCAGAAACTGTGAGAATCATCAAGGCGCCAGACGTCGAAGAAATCAAATCAACCCTGCGAGTTTTGTATGCATCTGGAATTCGTTCCATTGCTGTTTGTCTAATGCATTCCTATACTTTCCCAGATCACGAGAAGATTGTTGGTAATATTGCAAAAGAGATTGGTTTTACTCATATTTCATTGTCTTCTGTGTTGAGCCCGATGATAAAATACGTTACTAGGGCTAACTCAGCTGTAGTTGATGCCTATTTGACTCCAGAAATAAAAAAGTATTTGGCAAGTTTCCAGGAAGGCTTGATGAATGGCCTTTACTCAGCAGAAAATCCTAATGGCGTTAAGTGTCATTTCATGCAGTCAGATGGTGGGTTGGTTGATGCCGGCTGCTTCACTGGGTTAAAGTCGATTTTGTCTGGCCCCGCTGGTGGTGTTGTCGGCTATTCTAAAACTTGCTTCAATACTGACAACAATATTCCACTGATCGGTTTTGATATGGGCGGTACATCGACTGATGTCTCAAGGTTCGGGGAAGGGAGATTAGATCATGTGTTTGAAACTACTACTGCTGGTGTCACTATTCAATCTCCCCAATTAGACATAAATACTGTTGCGGCTGGTGGTGGCTCAATATTGTCATTCAAAAATGGGTTGATGCATGTCGGCCCCGGATCTGCTTCATCCCATCCTGGTCCAGCTTGTTATAGGAAGGGAGGTCCATTGACTGTGACTGACGCTAATTTGATTCTGGGAAGACTACTTCCTGAATATTTCCCAAAGATTTTTGGTCCTAATGAAGATGAAGGTTTAGATATCGACATCACTGAAAAAAAATTCAAAGAACTGACTGAAGAAATCAACCTAGCACATCCTGATTCTATTCCAATGAGTATATATCAAGTTGCCCAAGGATTTCTGGAAGTAGCCAATGAAACTATGGCAGGGCCTATCAGACAATTGACTGAATCTAGAGGTCATTCCCTCAATAAGCACAGATTGGTTTCTTTTGGTGGCGCAGGAGGTCAAAGTGCATGTGCCATTTCCCAAGCACTTGGAATTGATACGGTGTTAATCCATAGATATTCTTCTGTTCTTTCTGCTTACGGAATGGCCTTGGCTGATGTTGTTGAAGATATTCAAGAACCTGCATCTTACGTTTTAAACACTGACAACAAAAAAGTTTTTATGCAAAAGTTTGATCACTTGAAGAACAGAGCATTTGTTTCTTTGTCAAATCAGGGTTTCGACGAAAATAACGTTGAATATGAGCTCTATCTGAATATGAGATATATTGGTACTGAATCTTCAATCATGGTAAGAAAAGGAAACTCGTGGGATTTTGGAGATCATTTTCGTGAATTGCATGAAAAAGAATTTGGCTTCTCATTTGAGAAAGATATAGCTGTTGACAATATTAGAGTAAGAGCCATTGGTAAAACCAATATCAGAGTTCAAGAAAACATTGATGATCAAATAAATGCGCTTGAAAATGACAATTTAATCAGAACCGTAGGTAAAGGTAAAGTCGAATTTCTAAAAATGTGTTTTTGGGACTCTCAGTTTCAAGAAACAAAAGTTTTTAGACTAGAAAAGTTGGATATTGGTACAAAAGTTGATGGTCCTTCTATTATTGCAGATGATACTCAGACAAATGTTGTCCCTCCTCATTGTCATGCCTTAATTTTAAAATCACATATTGTTGTGAAAATTCAAAAAAAAAATGGGCATGGTAATACTAAGCCAATCAACAATGGCATCAATCCAGTTATGCTATCAGTGTTTGGTCATAGGTTTACAGATATTGCTGACCAGATGGGTGTATCTTTGCAAAAGACATCAGTTTCGGTTAACGTTAAGGAAAGATTGGATTTTTCGTGTGCTTTATTTGATAGCAATGGTAACCTTGTGGCAAATGCTCCCCATGTGCCTGTTCATCTTGGCTCTATGTCAACATGTATAAAATCTCAGCTGAAAATCCACAAAGGTAAACTCAAAGAAGGTGACGTCTTAATAACTAACCATCCATCAACTGGCGGTACTCATTTGCCGGATATAACGATCATCACTCCTGTGTTTCAAGATGGTAAGATGCTGTTTGTTACCGCTTCAAGGGCACACCATGCAGATATTGGTGGTATTCTACCTGGATCGATGCCACCTTCATCGACAGAATTGTGGCAAGAAGGTGCCGCTTTTTATTCCGAACTGTTGGTAACTGAGGGTGAATTTCAGATTGACATGCTTAAGAAAATTTTGGTTGATATCCCTGCAAAATACCCAGGCTGCTCTGGCACTAGAAGACTGTCTGATAATATTTCAGATGTCAAAGCTCAGATAGCTGCCAACAGGAAGGGAATTGCACTAATCAGAGCATTGATTGCAGAATTTGGAGTTGAAACTCTTTTAATGTACATGAAGGCTATTCAAGACAACGCTGCTTCCACAGTTGCGAGGATGCTAGAGAAAATTGTCAACAGCCATGATGTTTTGAGTTGCAGAGATTATATGGATGATGGCTCATACATTGACCTGGAGGTTTACAGGGATCCGGATGACAACAAGGTGGTATTCGATTTCGCAAATTCTTCACCGCAGTCATATAATAATCTCAATGCTCCTGTGGCAATAACCTATTCTGCCATAATTTATGTTTTGAGATGTATGGTTAATGAGGATATTCCATTAAACCAAGGCTGTCTTGAACCTATCAAAGTTAAGGTTGCAGAAAGGAGTATACTTTCTCCATCTGAATTTTGCGCTGTGGTTGGTGGTAACGTTTGTACATCCCAAAGAATCACAGACACAATATTGAAGGCGTTCAATCTGATGGCAGACTCTCAAGGCTGCTGTAACAATTTTACGTTCGGCAAGGGTGGCAAGAATGAGGTAGGAGAAAACAACGAGGGTTTTGGTTATTATGAAACTATAGCTGGTGGACACGGTGCTTCTTCAACATGGAATGGGGTATCCGGGGTTCATACAAACATGACCAACACCAGAATCACCGATGCTGAGGTTTTTGAGAAAAGGTATCCTGTTATGTTGGCCGAGTTCTCAATCAATGCTGGCACTGGGGGTAATGGTGAGTTCAAAGGTGGTGATGGTGTTGTTAGAGAAGTTGAGTTCAGAGAGAAGGTTTGTGCCTCAATTTTGTCGGAGAGAAGAGTTATTGCGCCTCATGGGGTCAACGGCGGAGAAGATGGCAGAAGGGGGCTGAACTTGTGGATCAGAAACATCAAGGACTCCGACGGTAATGTAGTGGGAAAAAACGTGGTGAATATTGGGGGAAGAAACTCGGTGAATGTGGATGTCGGCGACAGAATTAGAATCGAGACGCCGGGTGGAGGTGGGTTCGGAAAACGGAGACCTGACGGCCTGAAGATTAACTCTTGCATGAGCAAGCCTTTAAACATGCTGCATACCGGGTCTCTAGTCGGAAGACGGAAGCTGCAGTACGAGAACTAGCTCCCACTTCCCTATCTGTAACTAATCACTTATAACTAGTAGTCCTTTGCAAGTGTACTACAACCTTAAGGACATTTTCCCACGAAAAATACCGGCCGTTTCTCTTTCCCCCCCGGTCTGCTCAAAATTTTGGTCGGCGTGGCATTTTCTTCCCGCCGGGAGAACTTTCCACCGGCCTTTTTTGCCGGCCCCCCTCGATCTCGCTGGCCCAACCGAGGGAAACGAATTTTCCCCCCGGAGAAAAATTACTGGGGGAAGAAGGGAGGGTTGCCGCGGCGGTCATGGGGAAAAAATTCGATGCGACGAACTAGGAAAAGGCAGACATGTATCGAGGAACTATTTCAAGGTTGTGAAACGAGAAGATTAGATAAAGTGTTTGTACATGTTGTCTAATTACGCCGTGTTCAACAGAAGACAAAGTTTGTAAGTCTTCATATTTTTAAAGTGCAATGAGTACAGCCAAGCCCTTTCCGACATCACATGAAGACCTCATATTGGACGTCGCCTACGATTTCTACGGCCGCCAGCTTGCGACATGCAGTGCCGACCAGCACGTCAAGATCTTTGACTTGGACGTGGCGACGTCGTTTTGGGACCTGAATGACTCGTGGCGTGCCCACGACAGCGCCATTGTGCGAGTGGAGTTTGCTCATCCCGAGTTTGGCCACTTGCTTTTGTCTGCGTCGTATGATCGGACCGTTAAGGTATGGGAAGAACAGTTCGAAGAGCCTATCAATTCGGGCAGACGATGGGCCAAGGTGGCGACGTTATCGGACTCGCACGGGCCTCTTTATGACGCAAGCTTCTTACCGTCACACTTGGGCTTGAAGATCGCCACCATTGGGAGTGACGGGAGGCTGAGAATCTACGAGTCGACAGATCCAAGCGACTTGTCGCAGTGGACCATAGTGGAGGAGTTCTGCGTTTTGAAGAATCCAGTAGCAAACCACCTCCAGAGTGACTTCAGCATATCTTGGTGCCCTTCCAAGTTCAGTGCAGAAAAGTGTATCATAAGTGCATTGGATCAGGCCTATATTTACTACAGAAACGAAACGAGCAACAAGTTTGTGCAAGGGCTTGTGCTGCCCGAACACAAAGGGTTGATCAGAAGCGTCTCATGGGCTCCGACGATGGGCAGGAGCTACCACTTGATAGCCACTGCGTGCAAGGATGGGTACGTGAGGATATTCAAGCTCGACGAACACAAGGACGCGGACAACCCGGATGGCCTGAAACTAGACATTTCATTGTTGAGCGCTTTCAATGATCACATAGGGGAGGTGTGGAAGGTCAGCTGGAACCTAACAGGCACAATTTTGAGCAGTTGCGGTGACGATGGTTTGATAAGGTTGTACAAGGCGAACTACGCCAACAAGTTCCAGTGCATGAGTGTCATCAGCGCAGAGGGCAGCAAATGATTGGCGGTAACAAGTACTACGGTCCCTTCCAGTTTCGAGTTTAGACAGTACAGTTGTTGTTATATATATATCTATGTATTATTATGTATATATTACTGGAAAAACAGCCACCGGAAAAGAAAGCTACAGAAACCCACATTTCTCATTTCTTTAGGATGGTAATGACATCCTCGTCTTGTAATTCATGAGACAGACCGACGTATTGGTTTTGATGCTTCACACTGGTACCGAAAACCAAGGCCGATTTGAAGTCATCAACCAAAGACTTGTGGATTTTCATACAAAACTCCTCAACCGTGCTTTTATCGCCTTTCAGAACAACAGGGTCCGAGAAATCTGGCAAGCGGCCCTTGGGCTTGGTATAGACACGAACTAGATTCAAACGGTCCCACATGACCTCCAGTAGTTCATCCAGATTCCATTCATTCCCACTTGAGATCGGAACAGCATTTGGAATACGGTATAAAAGCTCAAGCTCTTCAATAGAGAATGAGTCAATCTTGTTGAGAACATACACTGCCGGAATGTACTTCCTATTGTGTGCCTCAAGAACATCAATCAAGTCATCGACTGTGGCATCTTGACGGAATGATACTTCGCAGGAATTGATTCTGTACTCGTTCAAAACTGCCTTGACTTCATCATCATCAATTTTAGTCAAGGCCACAGTGGAGGTGATACTAATACCACCTTTCTCCTTCTTTTTCACTATGATATCTGGAGGCGTCTTGTTGAGCCTAATTCCAAAACCCTCTAACTCGTGCTCGATGATTTGTTTATGGCGGAGTGGCTTGTTGACATCCAACACAATGAAGATTAGGTCACAGGATCTCGCCACAGCGATAACTTGACGACCTCTACCTCTACCATCCTTGGCACCTTCAATAATACCAGGCAAATCTAACATCTGGATCTTTGCACCTCGATACTTGATGACACCCGGAACGGTCGTTAAAGTTGTGAACTCGTATGCTGCAACTTCAGAAGTTGTACCCGTAAGCTTTGTCAATAAGGTGGATTTACCCACGGATGGAAATCCAACGAAACCGATGGAAGCCACACCGCTCTTTCTCACATCAAAACCTACACCAGCACCACCACCGCTAGCTGCTGCATCTTTGAGCAAGTCTGCTCTGAGCTTGGCCAACTTAGCCTTAAGCATACCCAGATGCTTTTCGGTGGCCTTGTTCTTTTGTGTTCTAGCCATCTCCTCCTCGATGGACTTGATCTTTTCAACGGTAGTCATTTTTGGTTGAGATCTCTATTTTTAAGTCTTACGCTTGATAATAAGCTCCTTACAGCCAGTCGGTAAGAATAAAACAACACCCTCCCTTATGACTTCAGCTGAAAATTTTCGGTCTGGGAAGACATGAAAAGAAGAGAAGTGTCGATGGAAAAAAAAAACGTTCCGCGTTGGTTGACGAAACTGGTCAAGAAGATTGAACAGACCTGTGGAAGCTGGCCATGCCTGTATGATTGGATCTCTTTCACTACTAACTGGCACCATTGGCGATAAAGGGACAAGGAAAACAGCGGTGATTGACATGGTAATTGATTCAGAGACGTCGATGCCGGCCGATATAGACGAAAGGATGAATCTCCTGGCGGATAAGGTGCACTCACTTGATTCGACCTTGACGACAACTGTTAACATCAAACAACTGTCGAAACTGCTCAATGACATCAAGGTGACCCAGAGCAACATTGATTCTACTTTGCAGTCGTATACCACAAATAACACATTTCAGCATCAGTCGACAATAAGGTCATTAGAAATATCGAGGGTGGAGCTATCGACGACATTGAATCACTCCAGAAACTTGAAAGGCATAATGGACGGCGCCAACTCGTTGAGTTACAAGATTACAGAAAGAGTGCGCTTGTTGGACTCGGAGAAAAGTCAACTTAGCCAGATAAAATGCTTTGTAGACAATGTGAAGACCTTAAAGCTGGAACTTCTGAGAGCCCACGATGCGATCGAAAGACAAGACTGGCTTATCGCCTCAAAGTCCATAGCGATAATTAGACAATTACCCGAAGGATTGCTCACGGATCCGTATGTGGAGTTTAAGGTTCCGACCACATCGCTTGAGGAATTACCCTCTATGTTGCTAGAAAAGTGGATAAAGCAACTAGAAGACACTTTTGTACAAGAATTCAATGATGCTGCAGCCAAGAGAGACGCCCAGAAGTTGACCTACTTCTTTCAGCTTTTCCCACTGATCGGCAAAGATAAGGTAGGCTTGAGATGTTACTCTAAATTCATTTGTGGCATCATTAGTGACCAATCTAGATCGACTATTAGAAATGCACAGAACAAAGAGTCTAAACCTGAGTTCTACGCTCAGTTATTATTTAGACTTTATCAAACTATATCCGGAATCGTCAACCAGCACTCGAAGGTCATCAGCTCCTACTATGGTAAAGCTGTTGTCAACGATATTCTCAAAGATATACAAATGGAATGTGATTTGCAAAGTAATTTGATTTATGAAACATACGCAGACTCCAAGCACCTTGACCGATATGCATCTGAAATCCAGCAGTATGGATACCCCATATTAATCAAAGAGATATATAAAAACGTGGCTGAAAGTGAAGATGAAGAGGAAGAAAATGATGACGAATCAGAAGCTGTTGAATTGACGGATGTCTCACAAGTTACAGATGAGCTATCCGCAATGATGAATCATTGGGCAATGTATTCCAAATTTTTTGTCGTAGTGTGGAATGGATTTTTGGACGGCAAGAGCAACAATTCCAGTAGCATTGACAACAATAAAAACATATTTCCTTCCCCTCTTATTTTATCATCATTCGGAATTAAAATTCATGACCGAATCATTAGACAATTTGACCTATTTTGCACATATTCTGTTAGAAGAACATTAGAAAAAGCTTGCTCTATCGAGTCTTTGGGAAGTCTGTTACCACAGTTTTCTGTGTGTTTGAAATTCCTGACTCTTGTATTCAAAAAAATTGACAACTCTACAACGCACTCATTGTACTCTTTAATACCCGAAGACCCTGCAATATCCTCACTAGCAGATGACATAATAATCGTACTTAACACAATTTTACTAGAAGTTCTTGCCACAGGTGAACTTACTACCATAAAAAACATGGTTTCAAATATCAAGAGAATACTGTTGAATGATTTCTTGAATATTATCCAGCAACGCCTGAAAGGCTTATCTTTAAAATCGTCTTCCAATCTTTTGACGAAAAACACGATCCAAAAAATACACCAACAACAAAACCCACTTTTTGAGTCTGCATTCAATGATTCTTCTATCAGTACCCCTTCTAGAAGTTCTACACCAGTTGGTATCAATGTTTCTGCTTCTGATATTGCTAATACTGGCTCACTGTTTATGAGGAGTTTAAATGCTGCAATCTCTTATACCATGGCAGGAGAAGGCGAGGAGGATCTTACCTATCTTACGGGTGATGATACCGACATCAAACAATACGTCATATATTTGAACACACTGGCTGTGATGAATACATATTTGGATAGGTTGATGGACTCGTGCATGAAAAGTGTTGAGAACAATTCTTTGTTGATCGTGGATGACCAAGAATTGACCAATGTCAGACGTTCTCAAGAGGAAACCTTGACCACTGATTTCGACATGAGAGTACCCTCTGATGAATCAATCCATTCACGTATTGGCGGGTTGTTGAGGAGTATTCCAGCTGGATTCAGCGAGCGGGCAAATGACTTGATTGATAGTAATGTGAGGCTTATATTTGAGCGGGTCCTGAAAACAAGAATAATCAAACTCGTAAACGAATCCATTTCTGAAAATTACTTGATGGCTATCGAAGAGGGCCAGTATTATAGTCTAGAGAAAGAAAAACCGCTTCCGGTTAATGGAACTGCCAAAAATTCCAATACAGTTGAGGATGCGGATAGAATAACGAGATTTATTAAGAACTGGAATTCTTTGATTATTCCATATGCTACAACGTTATCAAATTCTGTGTTCAACAGGTTGATTGCCAAAATAGTGGATTTATCCGCCATCATCTTAGAGAATAAGGTCTGGCAGTTAGAAAAAAAGGTCAGTGCTGTGGGGGCAATCAAGCTAGAGCAAGATATTAGCACTGTAATCGGTGAGTTAACCAAGTTCAACTATGGATTACGTTCGGCTTTTATCAAGGTGACCCAGATTATCATGGTCGTTGGACTGGATGAGGAAGAAGACGTAACGGCCCTTGAGGACATCGGCGATGAGATTGAGTGGGCTTTGACTCCAAGCGAGAGAACAAGAGCAAGGAGATTGAGAGGGTGAAGAGCCTAGGCTGATGCAGCCAGAACAACAATCACCTATGTAACAATTACATGCAAACCCATATAGATTAAATAGAAGAAAATTCAGCGACGCGTCGATTTTGGATGGTTCTTTTTTTGAACTCAACTATAACATGAATTCGACAAGCTTATCTTTCACTTTACATTCGGACTTTAATCGTATTGGATACAAAAAACAGGCATGTCAAGCGATACTAGGAGTCGGTTGAAGCGAGGTGTTGATGCAGATGTAGATGATACAAGCAAAAAGTCGACAGTTCAGGACAGGATCCGTGAACTGAAAAACGCAAGAGCCAAGTCTGTTCTTGAAAATAGACGTGCAGTTTATGATGAGGTTGCTGGCGTCAAAATGAAGCTGGCAGAGAAGAGGAAGTTGGAGAAGTCAGAGGACGATGCTGTTCTGCAGGAAGAAGAAGGGAGAGTATCAAAAGAAAAAAAGAAAAACAGTCCCAATGTCTCCACCTTAGAATATACTGCGGAGGAAGATGAGAAATGGGAGGCCAAACAAGGCCGAATCAACACACACGAAGAATTGAATGACGAGCACAAGGGTGAGTTGCATAACTATAAACAGCTAGCCGAGCGAACTTACTCGAAAAATATCCGTGGAATTGAACAGCAAGGAAAAAAAACGTTGGAGAAGTACCAACAGGAGAAGAGTTTGTATGAGAAGCTGAAAACACAGGGACTCTCCCCAGAGGAGATACGGACTCGTCTCACCTCCAGCGGGCAACTTGATACTTATGTTAAAGACTTGAAGTCTTGGGAGGAGGAAGTCTATAGGAAACGGAGAAAGATTAACGATGAGGGCAAAGATGGTGCTATTCACGAAAAGAACAGGCAGTTCAATAGCAAGTTACAGAGGCATTACCGCCAGTTCCAGAAATGAGGTTATTCCGTATATTGTACATTAGATGAGTATATAAATGAGGTATGATTGAATATCTTTATAACTTGATACATATCCAAGCAAACGTAAATGCGAGCGTTCAATTTTGCAATTCTTCAGAGGGCGTTTTCACTAACTCTCCTCCGCTGTTGTAGCTGTAGTCAGAGAGGATTGAGCCAACTTTCTTCTCGAGCATGCGGTCTTGCTTCTCATGCCATGTCAAATGTCGTTGGAGGTCGTAGTCCTTACGGAACAGTCTATGACAGTTGGTATACGGACAGTGAAGACGTATGTCGACGTTGTCGATAATCAGGTCTAGCACATCCGGCGATGACGGCACGCGGTTTGTCTGGTGGCGTTTAAACCCATTCTGAGTAGGACTGGACACAATGAAACCACAGTCTGAAAGGGATTTATCATCTTCATGGTTGAGTTCTTTTTCCGCTTCTGCTTCACTTTCGGAGTCACTCAATCTTAATGCTTCCTCTATGCCATCATCTAGCTTGTGTTTTTGACTGTTTGCTACTTTCATTGTCCTTTCCTTCTCATCCTTAACGTTGTACTGCAACGCCTCGGGCAACTCTAACAAGGGGTGTCTTTCGGCAAAGTGCCGTACCGTGTCTTCCTTTTTATGGAACTTCTCCCCACACTCGACACACTTCCACAACTTTATCACTGTGTTCTCGTCGTGGATCTTCATATGATTAGCCAAACCGGTGGCACCGACACACTTTTTCCCACAAATCTCACACTCCAACCTTGGGTGCTCTGTTTTCACATGGAGCTGCAACGCGGACCAAACCCGGAAAGTCTGATAGCACCCAGGGAAGTCACACATGAGCTTTGCCGTCTCAGAGTGGTGTTTCTCCATGTGGTCGACCAACCTGCTGGGCCGGTTGAACTGCTTCCCGCACACCCGGCACACGTGTCCGCTGAGGCCCTCGTGAACTGCACGGATGTGGGCCTTGAGTGATTGGTGCTTATGGAACGACTCGCTGCATCCATCGTAAGTACACACAAACGACTTGTAGTGAGTCTTCTCGTGTCGCTTTAAGTGTTGCTTGCTGTTCACGCCTCTTCCGCATACCGAGCAGTGGAATGGCTTGTCCTCCTCGCCAACGTGTTTGAGCATGTGTCTTTCAAGATGGTCCTTCCTCATAAACGACTCCTCGCACGTTGGCACCCGGCACTTAAACGGCCTGTAACCGTAATGCGTTCGTATGTGCTGTTCAAGCAACGACGGCCGTGAGTATGCTTTCAAGCAGCCAGGAAAGTCGCAAAGGTAATTTTTCGGTCGGGGCGACGACGCCCTGGAGCTCGATGCTGATCGTGGTGAACGGGAGGATGGGCTCGAAACCGACCGGCCCCGTGTTCTGGATGAGGACCGTGACTGCGGCGGAGTAGATGGCAGTTCTCCGGTTGCAATCTCCTCTCTGTCCCCTTCTCCATCTCTTGTCTGCTTAACACCTATCACTTCTGCAATCTCTTCCGCCGTCCCTAGAAAGCTCCGCCCCCCACGAAAGTCGGCATCGTCTTCTTCTAAAACCAGTGTATTCTGCAAACGCGTCTCCATACCACCAAAATCTACCGCCATCCCTCTGCCCATGTCAGAAGTTTCTTCCCTTCCCATCCTCGGACACCCAGAGCCAGAGATAAAGACGGTTCTGGCACGAAACTGCCCGCGTTTAGCTGCTCACTCGATTTTCCGGATTTTCATGTTGCGTTTCCCGTTGCAAAATTTTTCTTCACCTTTCCAGCAGTGGGATGAAGGGAAGGAGAAGTGGCCGGAAGGGCCGGGGAGAGAGACAGAAGCCGAGACGGTACATCATACTGCACAGTCACACATTACACATTACACAACGGACATGGCAGACTACGGAGAAAGCTACCCAGAAGAGCCTGAGGAGCGTTTCTCGGACGATGAGCGTTTCCAGAATGACGACGACCAGCTTAACGGCAACGGCAACGGCACAGAGATCGACCAGGATGGCAGAATTGTTGTGACCACGGGCCCTGGCGGCGACCCGGACGCTGGAGTGCTGCAGGTCGGGAGGAGGGCCAAGCCCAGAGCGATTCCAAAGAATGAGAGAATCACGACCCCGTTCATGACCAAGTACGAGAGAGCCCGGATTCTCGGCACCAGAGCGCTCCAGATCTCTATGAACGCTCCAGTGTTGGTTGACATTGAGGGTGAGACCGACCCTCTCCAGATCGCCATGAAGGAGCTTTCTGCCAAAAAGATCCCTTTGGTTGTTAGAAGATACCTCCCCGACGGCTCGTACGAGGACTGGAGTGTGGAGGAGTTGATCATCGACTAGCCGGCTCCGTCAAGCTCCGTGCAGACACCCTCTCATATTGTACATTATACACATGCTTGCTTCTCCGGAACGAGGAATATGCGAAATACTTCTTTACCATCTCCTCCATCTCGTCATATGAAAAAGCTAGAAGCCGGGGGCCAAACAAAGCAACTTAGAAAAACGCCCACTACGCTACCCATTCCGTTTCTCTGTATACACTATCGTAAATAAAATCAGATATAATAATCTCAATACACACTAAGCGAAGATCACTCATAATCACTGCTTTACACTTTCGATGAACTTCTCGGAGTCAAATTTCTTGTAGCCCGTAATCTTGTTTTCCTTTGTGAATTCGTCCACCACACCGGCAACCGCCTTCTTGTCGGCGTCGCTCTCCGCCAGCTCTCCCAGACTGCTCTTCAAGACAGCGCTGTCGATGCCGTCCTTGCCGTCAAAGGTAGTAAGCGCATCCCTCAGCTCACTTTCCTCACTGAACCCACCAAATTGTGCTCCAGCAATCTTTAGAAAGCTGTTAAAATCTACACTCTTCCCACCGGCGCTCTTCAACATGTCCTTGATCACTGAGTCATCCAGCTTCAGGTTAACATCGCTCGCAGCAACCTTCAAGTCCTTGACAGATATCTTTTCGTCTCCGTCCTGATCTATCAGATTGAAGAGCATCCTATATTTCTGAATCTGCGACTTAGTAAAGTCTTTGTTTCCATCTGTTTGATCTGTCATCACGCTGTACCCTCCAGAGTCCTTCTTTAACTTTCCGGCTCTTCAAACACATACTTACATGCCATTTAACCAGTATCCCATTTCATGAAACGAAAACAAAGCCTAACGCGCCAGCCTTTGGATCTTGTCCATTGACCATTTCTATGATCCTTTGCTGGTCTCTCTTTTTCGAAACTCTGTTTCTTCGGCAATAGGTTCTGTTATAGGGTGAAGATCATTCAAGTTGGTCAGCATACAACACGCAAGAATATGTCTGAAGCTAAGAGCAAAACTCAAAAGAAGGAGGTGAACAGCCTTCTCAAAAGGGCGAAAAAAGATTTAATCAACGAAAACTTTGATGAGTGCATATCCACATCCAAATCCGTTCTCAAATTAGACAAAACAAATCTGCTAGCTCTGATTTTCACCGGGAAATGTCTTCAGGCAAAGAAACGACCAGATGAAGCTTTGAAATATTATGTAAAGGCCTGTGAATTCAGCCCCAACGATAGACTTGGATGGAAAGGCCAATTGTCAATCTTGGTCGGGCTTCCTGACTTTGTCGCCTTTTTCGATACCCTAACCAGCTTTGCCAAGGTTCTTGTGTCAAATAAAGACGAATTAACAGAGGTGGTCATTTATATCAAGGACTATACCGAGACGCATGGCTTGGATTTCAAGCCAATGAAGCTATACTACTTGAGGCAGATCATCCCGGGGTTATCTGAACTCGGCGATATGGTGGGCTACCAAGTTGGCCCACCTACTGATGCATTGAATACATTGATCAAAATGATAGAGGATGATGAAAACAAGGAGATAAAGTCGATTAAGGATAAGGAAAAGTTAACTTTCTCTCTCAGTATGACAGAAGCAGCTAAAAATAAAAAGTATAACGAAAAAACATGGCCAATTGTTTCGGTCTCAGAAATACCCGAGCTTTATAAGCTACTTATTGATTTGGAACAAAATGACAGCAAAAGATACAAGACCCAGGACAACTATTTGAGATATATGCATGGCTTGCTTTTGATTGCTCCTACTCAAGCCAAAGAGAGTATAAGAACGGAAGTTCGTGATATCGTCGAGGGACTCGTTTTAATCAGTTGTCCCTCTGAGTTTGCCTGGAAGCTATACTTTGATTGGCAGGACCCTAGTTCATTAGCAGATTTGGAGTTAGAAAAATTGGCCATGTTCATCAAGCTATTTGATAAAAGTAAAGGATATGGATATGTTTTTTACAATTTCTTGATATCAGATGTTTGCCCGTTTGATCAGGCAAAAGTCATTGAATACTTGAAGCCAACGAAGAAGAAGAAATCAGCGAAGAAGACCGAAAAATTAACTGACACTAAATCTGGAATAGAAACTGAATCCGGAGCTGAGGCAAAGACTTCCGAGGACAGCACGATAAAGAAAGATGAGAGATACAAGATTTTTGATATACAGCCCCAAGAAATATTGACCGCAATGTCAGGAGTTTTACCTCAGGTGAAAACATCAATAATTTGTTGCAGAATTATACTTGATTACTCAGTCCACCTCAAAGACTACTCTTTAGGACTCGATATCTCTTCTCAGTTCACTAAGGCAACGGTTAACTTGAAAGAATCGACTGGCTTGAACATATCAAACTCCAAACTTGCTCAGACTTTGAATTTGGCTATTATCTACACATACTACGAAGCACCGAAGAATTTTCCTAAAGCTTTGGCATTATATGACTCAATCGAAGGCAAATATCCTAATAATGCTAAGGTGAAAATAGGAAAAGCTTTGATCTTGGTGGAAACGAAGAAATACGCAGAGGCTTCGGAAATCTTCCTTGATTTAATTGACCAAGACCCAAAAAATATTGATGCCATTCAAGAATACGGTTGGTGTCAAATTTACCTCAACAACTATCTTGTTGGCAGACAATATCTTGAGCGTGCAATTGAAATATTCCAAGGAGATGAGGAAGCGGAAATCGAAAAGAGCCTTAACTCCGCAGAGACTTTGTCTACACTGTTGTACAGGTTAGCGTTTTCTTACTACATGGAGTTTGACAGCCCAGAAAACTCTTTCGATCCGTCAATTTTGAAAGGTATGATTCAAAAATGCTCATCTTTACTTTTACAATGTTTGAAATTATCTCCAAATTATGCGCCAGCTTTCACAACCCTTGGCTTGATTTACTACAATTATGCTGGTAATAAAGACAGAGCGATCAAAAGTTTCTACAAAGCGTTTCAACTTGATCCTGCTGAGATAGAAGCATCATACAAGCTTGTTGAACATTTTACTTCGGTTAGAGATTGGGAAATGGCTGATATAATTTGCAAGGCGGTAATTGAAAATGATAGAGCTAGAAGAGAACTTAACTCTGCTTATAATAAATCGAAGGATAACTCTTGGCCATATCGGATATTGGGCTGTGCTTCCATGGAGTGTAAAGATGACGTTAAGGCAATCGAATATTTTCAAACTGCTCTACGAATGAACCCTCTTGATATCTCCTCTTGGTTGAGTTTAGGAGAAGCTTACATTGCTAGGGGCAGACTTGAAGCTAGTATCAAAGTTCTCACACATGTTATTAAACTGCAGTCTGGCTTGGAAGACAGCATCGAAGAAATCACACCAGATATGGAACGTAATGCAGATTGGCACGCAGTTTATTTGTTAGCTTTTGCTTTGACTAGTACTTTAAAGTTTGAGAAGAGTGTCAGGATGCTGATCAATTTATTAGAAGGAAATCATCACAAAGATAATTTATGTCTCTTAACTTTGTTGATCGAAACTTTGGTCTTACGTTGCGATTCTGAAATCAAACGGGGCGCTATCTTGAGAGCCTCCGACACGTTACTGCAAACATACAACTATCTTTTCCAAGCTTTTGCATTAGATCGAAACTCTGTTAAACTATGGAAGGCACTGGGTGACTCGTTGGCAATTTCGCTTACTATCCAATCGTTATTATCCAAACTACCTTTTCTCAAAATATACGAGCTAGTTGAAAAGCTAGATTTTGGTGATGATGAATTGTTGGCAGATTTGAGTGTTCAGAACTATGATTTTGATGATTTACTTGCTAAGCAAAACTACACCACTGCAGCACACCTATGCTATACTTTATCATGTATAGGAGGTTATCTTTGCAGCAAACCCGGCGATGTCAAAAATTTACGCTCAAGTCTAGTTTACAACATCTCTGTATCCTTAGTTGCTTGGCAAAAGGAATGCAAAGCTGAAACTTTTACTGAAGTTTCTATCAAATTATTAAACAAGGCAATTGTACTAGAATCTGATAATGCAGATTACTGGAATTGTCTGGGTATCGTGTCTTTGAACAAGAACGCTAGAATTTCTCAACATTGCTTTATCAAGGCATTATCTCTGGAATCAAAATCACCTTTCTATTGGTTCAACTTGGGTATGCTGTATATAAAGTATCTTGACTATGAGCTAGCAAATGAGTGCTTCACCAGAGCTCAGTCTATTTCACCAGCTAGCTCGATTGCTTGGATTGGCCAGGCCCTCATTGCGAATGAAAGAGGCGACCAGTTAGCATCAAGAAATTTGTTCACCCATTCTTATGTCATGTCTAAAGGTTGCAATCCTCCCAATACCTTATTATACGCTGTTTCTGTCTTTTCTACAATCATGAATGAAAACTATGAGGAAAGGGATCTGGATGCCACTCAGCAACTTACAACGGCTAATTACGGTATGCTAAACTATTTAAAGCTATACCCAAAGGATACGTTTGCGCTTGAGTTGAATATCAATATTATTGAGCGGTTGTACTCATACGACAAAGGCGTTGATTATTCTGAAAATCTATGCAATCTTTTAGAAGCCGAATATGAAGAAGATGAGTCTGAGGAAGTGCTGATAAACTACTGTATGGCCAAATGTCAGCTTTCGAGGCTATTGCTTGCCAAAAAGGAATACGTCAAATCATACAGCGTTTGCGAAGATGTTGGATCTTTGCTGGATGCTGCTTCGGATTTGACGATAGAAGTTCAGAAGTGTATGATGTCCTGTTTCACAGTCATGGGTCTAGCCCTGTATTTCCAGCAAGATTTCGAGAGATCTTTAACCGAGTTCAAAAAACTTCTAGAGGCTTTTCCTGAGAACAAGCGCATTGTTGTTTTGATTTCCCAGGTATTGTATGCAAATGGAGAAGCAGACGCTAAACAAGCCGCCATGGATGAACTACTGAATAGCATTGGAACTCATGGAACGTCTTTGATTGTCTCGATGACCATTGCTGCTATTTCTCTAGTTGAAGAGTGGGAAGAGTATATTGCTGCCGTCAAAGAGGTTCTAGACACACTTCCCCTTGAAATTTTGATAAGCGATACTTATAGGGAGGTTCCGAAACTTCTAACAATGATTGGAGATAGACTACGTCAATTGCAAGAGAAAAAACCCGAGGACAGAGTTGACAAGATCTGGCAGAGGAACGCCTTTCTGTTCCCGGGAGACAACACCGCCTGGAGTCATCTTGACGCAGAGTTGTCGTTGGAGATGAGTATCAGTGCAGAAAAGATGTCGGCGATAGACGTGGCGGACTCGTATGTGAGGGTCGGACGACTCCGGGAGACACAGAGAGGAATTCTTCTTAGCGGGGGTATTTCTCCTGTGGGGCTAGAAACGCTTTACAATCTGATTGTGTAGTAGTTGTATTCATTATGTATACATTTTCGTTATAACGGCATTGCGGGTTCCACCCAGTAGAAGTGAATAGTGACTTGAAGTGACTTGAAGCCGTAGTGTGGTGGAGACAGAAACTGCAACAACGACAACAAAGATGGCTAAAAGTGTGGCAGTGCAGCGATAAGAGGAAAAAATAAAAAGAGACGGGCAAATCGGAAGGTTGTGGTAGATGCTTGAGGTCCGGCCTGGTTAAGGCCCTGTGACAGTTACGTTGCCATTGGTGTTCAGGAAATCATTGTGGAGGGCCAGGCAAGAACAGACGTGCATGCTGCCTCATTAGCGGAAAGAAATAGTTACAGAGGACCACGGGATACTGAGCATTTAGCAATGTCTTTGTCCGTTGGCGTCAAATCAAGGTGGCTCACAGACAAGGAGACAGACAATCTAGCTCAGATAATACACAACTTCTTTGTAAAGTCGGCCAACATTGTGGTTAATTTCAGAACTAGGCGACAACATCATATACAACAGAAGGCGCCAGAGAACCATTTGATTGAGGACAATGGAAAATACCTCGCAGAGTTGGGTGGCAACTCATCGTACAGTAATCATCTCCGTGAGTCATCAACCTCCAAAGATACCCCAGAAGAAAGGAAAACAATACCTCAACAACGACCAGACATATGGTTTAACCTTAAGACATCAAACAGCTATATATCGAAGAACGAAATACTTCCATGGAACAACAAGGACGTGACAATGCTACCCCCGATGATAGTGGAAACGGTTCTCGACTTGTCTACGTTGAGTGAGCATCAAAAGTTATTTGTAGACAACGATATGATTAACACAAAGAAGAAATCGGAGATTGTGTTAGAGAGGTGGTTGATTAAACTAGATCTAGAAAATTACGACAATGATCCGATTGATTTGCCTATAATTTACAAAAAGACAATAGTCATGTTTAGATGCTTGTACACGCTAACTAGATTACTTCCAGCATCCAAATTGATAGATGACAATTCTGACAAGCAACAAAGCAAAAAGCTTTTCAATTTGAAAGTTAAAACAAAAATACTTAATGGCTCCAAAGCGTTAACTTCAAAGGGAAGGTTCGGATTGAGTCGTCCGTTAGTGCCCGACAAGCCTGACATGGACGTGGTTGAGTCAAAAGATTTGCTACCAGTATTAACACCGATAGGCTCACTATGTTTATCAGTGTCTTACAGAAAGAACTGTAATCTCTATATACAAGATTCCAGGGATAAGTATGAGATCTTCAAACCTGAGAATGCCGAAGACGAAGTATATCAAGCCAATTTTTCTCGTTCAAACACCATAAACACAGATATGAATAGAACAGCTAATACGTCGGCAAAAGATAATTCAGCTACGACAAATGTTAACATAGATTACCCAAGTACATCCCCAATAGGGAATATGAAATTTCGTGCTTCCAGCACGTCTATAAATAGCCAATCATCGAGGAGAAGAATGTCGACAAGGTCGGTTTCAATTTTCAAGACAGGTTCGATGGCTTCGTCATCACCTCCGAATACCAATTTATTACACAATAACAGCGTCTCACCGAATCAAGTGATGACCTCTTCATTTGCGAACTCTAATCCAATTCCGGTGAAAAGGGTAGATTCCACATCTAGTGTTCACTTCTACAATAACAGCGCCGATAGAAATGAAAATAACACAAATCCTAACGTTGCTTTAATCACTTCAACTTCAAGCAAATTTCCATCCTCTTTTGGCTCAAAATTTAGGAGTGGCTCAAGTCGGAATAACAGTTTGGAGGGCCATCTTATGCTCGGAAACAATAATTTCACACCATCGTCTAATCCCATTTTGCAAAACTTCAAATCCAAAAATAAATTCTTTACTTCTTCCTTTTCTGATATGGACCCGAACAATTCTCTATATCTAGATGACGATTTGAACAATTTTATGAAATTGTTAGACTCTAAACCAGATTTAAGAATCTCAAATAACTCGTCGGTTATATTTGAAGATAGCTTGAGTAATTTTAAAAGTTTGAGGAAGCACAATGATCTATTTAGTGACTCCCCACTGAAGGAAAGCATAGCATTCTCGAGGTCAGCATCTTCATCACCTTCAAAACCGCCTCCACTGATCACTTACACTGACCGTACCACCTTGGATTCTACAGTTAAATTACTAATGGATAATAAACAAAATTTTGAGTCTGATAACAACAGCAATAGCTACATTTCATCAGCACCAATCAATTTTTCAAGAAATCATACTAGCTTTGCTCAGTCGAATACTAATGTTCCAAATTCGAGTAACAATATTACATTTGGCTCGCTAGATAGAAATATTGGATACGAGAATACATTCAGTAGAGCCCGAGCAGGAAGTAAAGGTAGTAGAGATAGTAGAGACAGCCATGGCAGTAGAGGGAGCAGAGGAAGCACAGGAATTCTGCATGGTCCATTGATTACGTCTTCTTCCTATTCTCCGCATTCTCCTTTGGGAACATCAGGCCAAGTTGCAACTCACTCTATTCACTCCATTTTGAAGGCTAGTGCTACCTCTGGCACATCTGGTGCTATAGCAACTGGTATCAATACTGCAATGGAAACAAACAATGATCCCAGCAAGCAACTTACCGACTCATCTTATGACCGTAATGGTGTCAATAGAGAGAAAATGGAAAGAATCAGTCCGTCACCCACTTCTTCATTACCTCGGAACTTGACCATGAACCGTGCTGGGTCCACAGGAGGGAGGGCTCATTCACTATTAAGAAGCCTGAGTGTAAGTTCAGGAGTGAATTCGGGTCCGATAACTGGCTCTTATTATGCTTATCAACCTAGATCAAGAACTGGCTCCAGTGGATCCGTCACCGGTAGTCACTTAAGGAACGTCTTACATAGCAGTTTGAGGAATGAAGGTTACAAGAGCAGACAGTCCAACAAAAATGGCAACATAACACCAGAGCAACTGAAAGATATGTCGTATGGACAGCGGGTATTTGAAAGTGAAGACGAAGCTGATGATAATGAAGAAGCTGATAACGAAGACAATTTGAAAAGCAAAAGCTCCTCTGAAATTGGTGAAATTGGTGAGCGGGATTCAGAATTTGCTCTGCATTCCAGTAATGAATTGAAAGCCGTCGAAAAAGCCGACAACAATGATAATAGTGCAAACAATAGAGTAACTAATAACGCAAGCGAGGCAACAACTATGCAACGAGGAAGCCGAGGTTCTTTGAATAACATCCTCACTAACATGAAAAATATGCAACGCAGACAGAGCAGTGGCCGAAACTACAATCATTTACGCCTTAGTGGTGGGGCTGGTCCTGTTACTCTCCATCCAGACGATGTCGGATACGAACGTGGAGAAGAGGATGACGAAGACGACGAAGATGAAGACGACGACCTGTTGTTTGAAATGAGCGATATGACAGCAATTAAATAGTTCTAGGGTTTGGAGGATATTGTAATAAAGTGCTACTAAGTACATACTACCAACGTATAATAAATATATAAAGTTAAAAAAAAATAATTTAAAGGTATACATGCATCCAGTTAATTTAACTTTTTGAATGAAAAACAAAGTTTTGTCACAGACTAGGGATTTGAACTTTTATAGCTGAGATTTATGAGGCCAGGAAAGAGCTCTTTGGTCTGCCTAGAGAGAAAAAAATTTAGTTGACTAAAAAAGTGAAGGGTTTACTATCTTCCTTGATGATTATAAGTATCTCAAATCATAGTGCTAAATCAAAGACTTCAATAGAAACTGAATTTTTTCAAAAAAAAAAAATGTCCAGAACTTCAAGTTTTAATTCCATGTGCTCTCATTTACAGTCAATTTCAATGATTTCTGGGAGTTCAGTTTACTACAAAATGCGTATGCTGAGCCTTGCTTTTTATATTCTTTTTTTGCATGATATGTTGAAATTTTTTTGAAAAGGCCAAACCTTTTTTGTTTCCGTATCAGCCTCTGTGATTCAATATTCACCATCACTTTTCATGCCCATGTGCTCTGTCTCAAGCGTTAGAGGGCGATAATCCTACTTTTTCCTATATAGAGCCCTTACTTTCTTTCGAACCTTGATACCTCAAGATCTACAGTTTTACGTAAGCTCAACTTTTTTTCTCAAACATTTTTTTCCCTTGAAGAGTTTTGACATTGATCTCAAGTTTCCAGGAATTTGCAGTTCGAGTACACTCAAGACATTAGGGCATCACCAAGTTAAACCAACAGAGAGAAGACGTAACAAGGAAGACTGAGCGATGACTGCCAGCACAAATGGGGCAAAACTGCCGTCAGAGCTACCGAATACTGCCAAGACGCAATCACCATCCTGTTTTCTCCATTCTGTGATCTTGAGAGCATATGTCGGAGAACAAGCTGCTTACATATACTCATGTTTGCATGCCCAACGAAAAATGACACTCTCACAACTTTCTCAAAAAAGTGGGATCAAGGGATCGAATCTAAGAAAAGTTCTCGTTACTTTAATCCAGCTAGGATGTGTTGTGTACATGGGTGGAAATGGTAAGAACAACACTTACTATTGTTACAACGAGGAAGGTTGTTGGAAGCTAACATATATTGATGAAATTGTACGACATGTGCGTGAGAAGTTTGGACAGGTGCACGCAAGTGTTATACAGAATGTCATATTGAGAGGCCATTTGACGATTGGCGCATACGTCAGCGACTTGGAGTTAAAGAGTGAAGTTGACAAGATCGAGCATGCCTTTGTCGAGTTGGTAGAGGACAAATGGTTAGTACATGTGAAGGATATGGATTTCAAACCCTTGAGTGAGACTTTCGCTACTTGTGTGAGGGCTGCAACTCGAGAATTTGCCAGTAACAGTGGTCAATACACTAAGGGAAACGACATAGGAGACCCAAACCCAAGGTATAAGACTGCTGGGATGAGCCAGTTGAAGAGGACAACGATTATCAAGGATTTAGCGAAGGAGCAATTCATGAAAATGTATATGGATAACTCCGGCAAGGACAGATTATACAATGCAGGTGTTCAAAATCATATCAAAGACGTTTCAACTGATGCAAAAGACCAGACAGGGCTTGCTGCACTTTTCAATGACGATGATGATGGCGAGGATGATGACGAAGGAGACAATGCAAGCAAAGGGGGTAAGCTGTTGAGGAGGTTGAATGGCAATGTTCCTTTGACAGCTTCATTTGATAGATTTTTGAAATATGAGAGGGACCTCCAACTAGTTTCCATGTGCAGACATCGGATTGGTAGTATCACGTCTAAGATATACAATGTTGTGTTGAAGCGAGTCGAGAAGAGCTCGCGAGAGGTTCGATGCATTGAAGGGATCGTGGACAGACTAGTTGCGGATGCCAGTGTGGGCGCCGGCAGTGCTGGCACATCGACTACAGGCTATGATCCTGCGACTGGGCGTGACTTGATCAAGCGTCTCGAGCTCAAAGATCAACAGAAGGGGATGAATTTCGGTGCTGCTGATATTTTGAAAGAACTTTCGCTGTCCAACAAGTACGGAATCACGAAGGAGGATCTCGTTGGGACGATCTACAATGAGGATGAAGGAGGTGACGACATGGTATCGAGTAAGAAGAGAAAGCTTGAAGAGGAAGAGAAGACGGACGGGGCGTACAAGAAGACAAAACTAAGCAAGTTGGCAGCACACATCAAGACGTTCGATGACGACGAGGACGAGGACGAAGACGGCAACGCGGCAAATGAGGTGGACAATGGCTTCGACTTAGCAAACAATTCCGAGAACGGGGAGATCCTGACGCTGATACTACAGCACTTGAAACTTCTCACCATTGACAAAAAGCTCTCCTTTTTGATCGAGACTACTCCCGGACAGTTCTATGTTCCGTTCACGATGCTGCAAGGCCAGCTTCCAGACTACCACATGAAGCAGATAGTGAGAACTATTTTCGGAAACTCCTCGTTGAGGATCTTGAACTGCATAGAGGAGAAGAGGCTCATCGAGGAGAAAAACATTGCGAAAAGCGTCCTGATGCGAGAGGGCGACGTGCGCAAAATGATCTCCGTGCTGATCAAGTTCGGGCTGGTGGAAATCCAGGAGATCCCCAGAACCGCCGACCGCAGTGCCATGAGGGGCATCTTTGCCTTCAAGGTCAACAAGAACTACCAGCGGGGCAAAAGCATGTTGGGGAAGTGCTTCATGTTCAACATGGGCGAGGTGCTGGAGCAAATGGAACAGATCAAGATGGAGAACAAGATCTTGTTGGACAAGATAAGCAGAGAAGACGTCCGTGGCCATGAGGTCGAGCTTCTTCTCGAGAGTGAGCTGGCCCAGCTGAAGGGCGTCGTTGAGAGTGAGAAAAGCGGGCTGGCGAAGTTTCTCCGTCTGCGTGCCATGGGCGAGCTTTTCTGGTTCACCGATACCGAGTGAGTGCGCTCACCGTGAGGCTGCTGTGTATAGTTGTATCATTGTTTCCTCTTCCTTAGTAGCAAGCAACACTCTAATGTCTTTAAAGTGTCTGCTGAATAGAGTACCAAAACACACAGCTGAGCCTCATTCCGCGGATAAGCAGCAGAGGAGGCGCGCACGTGACCCTGCCTTGCGGACCCCCGACATTATGTAAGTAGCCAGCTTTGACGTAACCTTTATGTTCATACCTTTTTATCTGAGTCTTTTGCTTGCCTTCATCTTTATAACCATCAATGAAAAAACAGCCACTAAACGGAAACAATAATTTACTGAGCTGAGCATCAACAACTCATGCTCAATGCCCAATAGAGTAAGTATGATTGCCCACTGTAAGATTAGTCTTACGTAACCAACGCGAAAAATCGACGATCGACGATTTTTGCCCCTTTTTGAAGAAGTGCTTACCTAAGCGGGGAGCATTTTTTTGCGTTCTTGCACGCCTAAGTGTGCTAACCAATCAGAGAAACGGAATTGCGAAACAACACTGGGGCGGCGAAGCACTCAGTGCGAGAGGGTGAGGGAGGGTGCAAGGAAATGGTGATTGACAAGAGAAAAGCAGAGACAAGCACAGGGACTAGGGCTTCAGGAAGAACCGGCAAGGGTCTCAGATATTGCCGTAACCAGCACACACACACACCGACACAATGTTCTCAGTTAGATCTGCTAGACACTTCTCCACATCTGCGCTTCGTGCAGTCTCAATCAAAACGGCCCCAGCGTCTTCCGAGACCGTCTCGTCCTTGAAGGTTGTCATCAAGAACGCCGGCTCCAAATCCGCTCCTGCCGGTCTTTCCCACTTGCTTGCCAGCTCCACCTTCTTTGACACCCCGGAAAAGTCGGGCTTGAGACTCAAGCGTGAGGCAGAATTGCTCGGCGGTGAGTACTCCGCTGAAGTCACCAGAGACGCATTGGTCTTAAAGGCCTCCTTCTTAAAGGAAGGCCTTCCTTTCTTTGTCAATGCTCTGGGCTCCTCCATATCCAAGGCGGCATACAAGCCACACGAGCTAGCAGAGGTTGCCGGTCCGTACGCTTCCCACGTCTACGCTTCCAAGACAACATGTCCTAAGTTCAAGGCTCTGGAAGAACTCCACGCTATTTCATACAGATCTGGTCTTGGCTTGCCACTCTACTACGACGGCTCCAAGACCTACTCTTCCGAAGATATCAAGGCCTTTGCCAAGTCCTCCATCTTCAGCGAAAACATCGAGATTGTTGGTGAAAACGTCGAAGCTGCAGACCTCGAGAAGTTCGTTTCGGAATCTCCTTTTGCAACCTTACCAACCGGAAATGACGTCAACGCATTACCTCAGCCAACCTACACCGGTGCTGAGTCCAGAATCAGACAAGCAGGTAAGACTTCCGCCATCATCGGTCTTCCAGTCAAGGACGCTGACGCATACGAATTAGTTGCTGCAGGCTTATTATCATCTGTGCCTGAATCAATCACCGCTACTGCTGACTCAAAGGTCTTGTCCTACGACGGCTCCTCCCTTTTCTATTTTGCAGTCACTTCTTCTGATGCCGCAGAAGTTTCTTCCATCATCAAGGCTGCTGCTAAGGACTTAAAATCCGTCGACTTCTCCAAATTCTCCAAGCTTGCTACCTTGTTGGCCGGTAAGGAAGTCACTTCCAAGTCAGTTTCAGTCCCATCCGATTTCAACTTTGTCGTTGTTGGTGATGTTGACGCAGTCCCATTAAAGTCCGAACTTTAATCCTGCATCAAACATAACCTACATACCACAATCAATAAAGATCTGCACTATTTGCAACAAAAAACAACAACAACAACAACAACAACAACAATAAAACAACCCCTCCACACTTCTGGAAATGATTACGATGATTGTGCATGTATTTATTATTATATTTATTATTACTTAAAATAGTCCTATTATTATCTCAATCTTAAATTAAAATTAAGATTTAAACTATATCTACGGCGCAGAACTCACCTGATCCTTTCAATATTATTAAACCCCTCCTCTCCACCCTTCTTCCCTAGACATGTCCACTGTCGCAATTACATACATTCTTAATTTATATAGTTATTTACTTCCTTATTTATCTTATTTATTTCTAGTTACATCTATTATTAACTGATATTTTGGAAACAGCTACATTTTTTTTTGCTGCGCACCTCAATATAAAAAGTAATATGTATTTTCATCACTATCTGTTTGCTTACGCCTCATAAAAAAACCCTACGACTCTAATATCTGTAATTATCTATCAAACAAAAGGCAAGGTAATGTCATTTCAACCAATAAATCCAAAACCATATCTATCATCACTTATTGGGCTAAAAGTCGTGGTGAGGCTCAAGTTTTCAGGAACGGAATATCATGGAACGCTTGCCACGGTTGATAATTACATGAATTTATTACTCGACAAGGACGTTATAGAGGTCGAACAAAAGCTGGGAGAAGAACCTGATTTGTCAAAGGGAACTCCATTGGAAAGCGAACTTTTTGTGAGGTGTAACAACGTTCTATGGATAGGGAAAGAACCTGAACAATAAATTCTTGTGGAGCTGAACGCTGTGTACACCATTTTTACTATATAGAGTGCAGTAGTGTAAATTTAAATAACTTAATATATTATCCTTTACTTTTACAAAAAGCGAAATATAGGCTTGAACTTAATTCAAAGTAGAACTAAATAAATAAATGCAATCTATAAAATAATCGTCGTCATAAAATTGTCATGATTGACTACGAGGCCTGAGGCTTTATTGTTATCTCTCTTGTACCACGGGTCTATAAAAATACTTTCGTCCTTTTTCAATTTTTTATTTTTTTTATTTTATTCCCTACTCTGCTTGAATCATAATTCACCTCCTGAGGAGAACACTTTCCAATACTTTTCAACATCAATGCATCCGATGAACCTAGCAAGCTTAAACAGGTTCGCCCTAGGCTTACCAATTTTATGATTGCCCTGCTTGTAATCATTATAACCTTTCTCTTGTTTCTTGGTGATTTCCAATTCTGCTGAAGCTCCTTCGTTGGCAGCTACATCGTCACTATGGTCTATACCATATATGCGACCGACACTCTCAGATACGCCTTCATGGTGGTCAGTGTCATTCGCTTTTTTGCCATCACTATGTTCGGATTCGCTTTTTGCTGATGATTCAGAACCTTTCTCTTCCTCCTCCTCTTCAATCTCGTAAAGAGAAAGGTAAGCTTGTAGCTGCGCATCACTCAACGAGAATAGAGTTAAAACATCAGTAAGCAACGGTAATTTCTCACCATCCCCCGACCAGGGCAGTAAGTCATAAGGAGTTCTTGATCCCGAACCACGTTTCTCATTTATCCCACGAGCAACTTTCTGCTGTAAGTGTTTAATGGTATTACGCTGCTGCATTGTATCCTCCTCAATACGTAATATGGAATTTTGTAGTACTCGAATAACTTCCATAAGCATGGCGATCGTAGATTTACCATCAACATATGTATTATTTACTCTGCCGTCCTCTCTTTCTTCAGCTCCTTCATTGAAGTCATCATCAGTATGTTCAACAGCCGAGACCTGCACAGTACTTCCTGTTCTCTTACTCGAAATAGCATCCGCAGAAGATAAACCGTTTTCTGAAGATAAAGAGAATGTTCCCATTTGTGGCATATCATTAAGAGAATCAGTAGGATTAGGGTTGGATCTAATAAATTTATGTGCCCCAAATTTTTGCTGGTAATTTCCCATTTGATTGATTTGATTTGCTTGGCCCATTTGGTTCAACTGACCCATTTGGTTCAACTGACCCATTTGGTTTAGTTGATTAATCTGACTAATTTGACCCATTTGATTCAATTGACTGAATTGGCTAAATTGGTTCATTTGGTTCATTTGGCTAAGTTGGCTCAATTGATTGAGTTGATTTAGTTGGCTCAATTGGTTGATTTGATTCAACTGATCCATAGTATTTAATTGTCCCAGCTGTTCAAACTGTTCTAACTGATTCAGCTGCTCAATTTGCTGCTGCTGTTGCTGCCTTTGCATCTGCAATTGCAGTCTTAGTTTTAACTGCTGGCTGGTTTGTCTTTGATGTCTATTCACAGTATGCCCTGGAGAAATTTCACAACCAGCTAGGCCTTGCATTATCATAACATTAGACGGTATCCCAAAAGTTGAACTCTTCATAGAATGTGGACTTCCTTCATTACTAACTTTCAGGCGTCTAACTTTGTTGAACAAGGAATTCGTTTCGTAGTTATCTTTAGAGCCGTTTTCTTTATGTGGCAAATTATTTCCTTCTACCACAGCTGAATTATGTCTCATTCCGCTTATCAAAACTGGAACTGGTTCAACATTTTCACTTCCAATATCATCCATGTTAGTAACAGTGGTGTTGTCCAAATTCCCAAAGGTGTTGATGCTTGAGTTGAACATTGCATTCATCGATATATTTGTCACATGATTTCTATTCTGTATATGATCATCAGCATTACCAGCATTGCCTCCGTTATTAATCAGTTGTGAATTAATCAACTTATTGGACGATGTGGCCTCGACATTCCCCACAGGAAACAAGTAACTTTGTTGATTATTAAAATACTGCTGATCGACCTGGTTGTAATGTTTTGGGGTAATTTGGGAACCAAACGAAGTTATTGCCCCAGGGGTCATATTGGAAAGACGTAAAGTGGTAGGAGATAGCTGTTGGTGCTGATTTCTTTTCCACTGTTTGGAGTTGACTTGAGGTGAAGAAAATTGCTGAGATGGTAGGCGGGGTGATTCAACTCCCGAAACAATCTCATTGCCATCGGAAGTACTACTTGACTCTGCTTTTGCATTAGAAGGAGGAAACAATTTGTTTTTCTGATTCTTGCTTTTGCTTCCGACTTCCATTCTATATATGGGAAACAAGTTAACATTTTTGGAAAAATTCTCGTACTCAGATCTGGAATTATTTTTGAGATTGTGAACAATGGAAGGAGAGGATAGATCATTCGGACTGCGTGTGATATTGCCTGCAGTGGAATATGGGTTGGATGAAAACAAATCATCACTTAATGATCGACTATGTGTACGGGAGTGTACCCGCTTAACCTTATTCTCTGAGTTAGGAGAATGAAAAATGGCACGTTTAAAATATTCTGGGTCCCTGTTATCAGCTAACTTGTCACTCAATTCTTTAACTGGTCGTTCTCTATTATCTTTTTCTGACTCAGCTGTATTTGCTGATTCAAGTCTCTCTACAATATTCATTGCTTCGGTTTCACCTCTTGCGTTATTATGATCATAAAGATTTGAATTCCTCTTACTTTGATTTTCGGGAATCTGGCCAGCATTGTTTGGAAATTCAGAAGAAATTGCTTCATCACTTATTTCGCCACTATCGATGGTTCCTACTCTGCCTTCATTAGAAATGCCGTGAGTTTCGTTTCCAGGCGATATCTTTGCTGTGCCACCACTGGCGGAAGGCCTATGGAAGATGGCAGTACTGGATATATTAGGGTTATTAGAAACGTTAGAAACATTAACAGTGTTAAAGTTAGACCTAGAATTCAAGCTTGAATCTGAAGCAGATACTTTGAGAACAGAGATGTTTCTCTCATCTTCTGCATGATAGCCGTTGGGGCGGGAATTAGTAACCGATACATTTTCAATGGAAGCATCTGTAGCTGATGTAGTAGTAGCAGTAATTGACTGAGCTGCCTCACCCGCTCCTTGCAATGAGGAATGTGGCTCTGCAAATGCGTCAGCTGGTAAATTTTGAAGTGAGGTGCTGGCTCTGACAGTACCTGGGGCCTCGTTGAACTTCTTGATAAGTCCGGAATTAGTTTCTGTGTTCTGCTCCTTTATGAATGAGGACTCAAAAGGCCTTCGAGTAATATGCGAATCCGGTGGATGCATCTCATGGGAACGTGTCAGATGTCGTGCCAAATTAGTGGGTCCATTTCTCGACGAATATCGGAGAACTTTGCTACAAATCTGACATTCCACGGAGGTATGAGTAGAAGTCGCAGGCTGAGAAGTATCCTGCCGGAAATGTTCCCACACCCAGCTATTGGGAGGTCTAGCCATAGTGTCAGCCTGTCTCCACTAATCTGGCTTCCAACTTCCAGAAGAAAAAATCAAGACTTGTCAAGGAAAATGTGTCAGAATTTATGTCATCCATTTCTACCCGAGTGAAAATCGTCAGATGACTTCCCTCAAAATCTTCAACACTTTTTACCGTTTTTTGCTGACGTAAGCCTGCTCCGAACAGACTCCAAACCCCAAAATTGATTCCGATATAACTCCCATTGCTCTCTGGTGGCCGTCGAAAAGACCCTTGGGTTGAGAACAAGGCGGGCATGGTCAACCCCCTGCCGATGATTATGCAATTGCAAATGGATAAAGCCGATGATCCGTTCTTTCAAGGGAACTTTGACCTTGACTAAGCGAACGTTCAATTGCCGTATGCCTTTGTTTGTTGTAACTAAAAACTTGCGTGGAATGGAGATTGTCCTTGTATATTCGCCGGTGAGGTAAAATAACAGCAAAGTCATAAGCATTATGATGGAAATAACTTGATGCACTATATTTGTTAGCACATATCTCGTATCCCTGGTATCTGCACCACTTCTTTCAGTACCTTCACTATTATCGCTGGAACTATCAGCTCTTTTTTTTTGATGTATCAGATCGAATCCCTCTGTCAATCTAGCAATCAAGGGGAAGTCTGGTACATCTGATTTTGATATCTCACTAGCAGTTTCTGAATCTTTGATTGATGCTGTTATAGCCACATCAATAAGACCTTTATCGTTGTGGTTGAACACTTCAGTTCTCATGTTGATATCATTGACATCAACATACATTGAGTGGAACAATGACACATATGTAGAGTACGAAAATATGATCACCATAACCACTAAAAATATGCTGTACTTAAGCCGTAAACTCTGCTGCTGCATGTATTGTTGTCTTAAGCTCTCTTCCAAGATCAACATGTTTTTGAAGATTTGAGCAGTAGCCGATGCGTCTCCCTCCTTCTCACTTTCTTTTGTTTCATCCCAACCTTTCTTCCTACTTCTAGAACCACTTCTAGAACCACTTCTTGACCTACTACTAGATCGACTTCTGGATTGAGGAGTAGGTGGTATGGATTCTGACACCTCAGACAGGGCTCTGTAAACAATTCCATCATCAAGATGCTTGCCTTGCAAACTGTTTTCAATTGATTTCAATGGAGTTAAACTATCTGAGTTGCCTCCATTGGGTGATTTGCGGTTCATATACTTCAATGTGGGGGATCCGTATACATCAACGTCACTATCGGATAGAAAGCTTCCACTGGCAGATCCTGAGTCCAAGCTTCCACTACTCTTAACACTGCCATAATAATCAGATCTTATCGATCTGTCTGATTTATCAGACACATCACTAGTCCTTCTGTATCTGAGCTTATTGGAATGCTTGGGAAGATTTTGTTCAATTCTTCCTTTCCTCGAACGTGAATAATATGAATCAGCAGAAGTTGTCAAGTTGAGGTTCAAATCCATATCTGATTCACTTTTCTGAGCATCCATTTTAGTCTTATTCTCTTCGTTTGTATCCAGACTTTCCGGAACCTTTATATTAATTCTTTCATAATCAGAGCCTGGACTGGGTGGAATTTGGGCAGAAGCTCCTGATCTTTGGAAAGAGGAGGAAGGAAATATAGGTGTTGAAGCCGTGCAATTTTTCTCTGCTACTGAATCAGATCCAAGATTGTCAATTTCACTCTGGATTTCACTTGTTGATGAAGGGTCCAAAGCAAAAAAGTCTATTCTGTCATTGGTTGATGGAACAGACATGGGCAGCACTAGACCAGGCGAGTTAGGCGGCGACTGTAGATCTTCTATATCATCTATTTGGTCCTGGTCTATGCCGATCCCAATACCGATGGGAACGGAATTTCTTTTTTGTTGGCCTTCCATGCTTTCAGGTCACAATCGACAGATCTTTCAGACTAAAGAATGTAAGTTTACCTCAACTAGTGATATACCTAATCATAAGCCCCAATTATTACGGCACGGCTTAATGAGCTTTTCAGTTCACCACCGCCCAAACAAAATGGAGAGGAATTTTAGAAAATATGATGCTCGTAGAGTTCATGAAATTGTGGGTACGCTCAATTCTTCTACATTACCAAAGCACATTGCTTCAAAAACAGCAGAGCAAGTATATAGTTGAAGTTCAAAACTCCAATCAATGATTTCATATATGGATCTGGTTCAGCAATGTTTTTATTTATCTACCGATTGGCGTTGGGACAATACATATGAACGTATTTTGGAGACTCCTAGAAACTTACTGCAGTTTCCTATTCCAAATGGAGTAAAAATTACTGTGTCCAGTAGAAATACAGAGAACAACTACAGTTCTATTAATATTTCACAGGTTGATCGACTAGAAGGCTCACTGTCTTATTTAACTTCATCAGCTAACCTTGATGAATACTATCAGTCTTCCCGAACATTGCCGATAAGCCGGGTTCTCCATGGTTATCGGGAAATTTTGTCACAATTATCAAGTCCAGGTGATTCGAAAAGAAGCAGCAAGCCATTTCTGTTATACGGTAAAATGTATTTTCCATCACAATTTTTGGAAGGTATGCTGATCAAAAGATTTTCTCCTAACTATCAACTTATTGTAAAGTTTGTGAATACTCCGAAGTTGAATAAGTTGACACAGCCAACTTCAATTTTTACTTTTTACTTGCAAAGACAAACAGAGAATTGTGCACATGACTTCATCTATTCCACAAGAGAAGATTTGTTTGGATTTAGGTGTCTTTATCATCTTGATTTTCTAGCATCCAACTCTCAAATTAATCCTATGAAAAAGTCCGATTTAACTACTCCCAAGCCAAAATCAAAATCAATTCAACATCCTTCAAAACTTTCTGCAGGCTGTGAACTTTGGTATGCTGCGGGAAATGTAAGTCCCGGCATGAGCGTTGCTGCAAGGTATACAACATGTATTGACAGCATGCGTTACTTGATGGACAGTCTCCCCACATACACTTCCGGCCTGGTTCACTCTACTTTGAATCCTTATCTTTCTGGTCACCACAAACAAAATGGAAAGAAAGTACTGCACTCCCTTCCTTATGCCATTTCAAGTATCCACCCCCTTACGTTTACGATTGCCGCAAATCCCTTGCTAGGTACATTCGAATCTACTTATGCCATCAAAAGCGATGCTTTATTTAAGGGTGACAACTATCATGGAAATAACAGTATATCATACATAGGAAAGATGGGAATAGTATTAAGTTCTAAGTACCAGTTTAATATGTATTCCTATGATTCTGATTTGATTTTTGGGGCTCAAATTCTTAGGTCCAAGCTCACATTCAAAAATAAGAACGAACCAGTACAAAGAATTGAAGAGACTCCTGAAAAAACATTACAAAAATATTCTTCCAGCACAAAACCATTCCATCCATATCAACTGGATCAACAACACATAATTCACAAACTCTCTCACATAAGTCAGCATAATATTGTATATAAAGTTTCCGACGAGGAGGGTGTTGAAAATACCTCTGAGGCAGCTAGGCCAGGTCAAAGCACAAAAAGCCACCAAAATCCCCCACTGACATCGTTTTCGAATGACATGAAAATTGTTGAGCAAGAGGAAAAGGAAGAATACATATCAAGTCTAAAAGTAAGTGGAAGCATCACCAAACAGAATCTGCGAGTGGCTTGGGAAGGAAAATTCTACGAATGGTTTGTTAGCTCTGGTGCTTCCATTGATATGAAGGGTATTGGCTCCGGGCCACGGGTATTAAAATACGGTATAGAGTTCGCCTATAATTCATAAACTTTAGCTTACGAATTGATTACTTTCATAATACAATACCAGTTATTAGGTACAAGTCCCTTCTTCTTTAGCATCTTTGTAAAGGTACGACTCTATAGGATGTATTTGCTTTTCCATTCTTGCTCGATCTGTGTTAAATGCACTAATCCAGCAAAACCCATACTTTGGTAGCTTTATCTATTTAATTGGAAGACTTACGACCATTTTTAAACCTTGCCAATTTCTTCAGAAACCTCTAGTTACATATTATTCTTTGGTGTTACCGGACTGTGGATTGCATCATTAGCATTAGGTGCAGCTGCTGATTGTTGTGCATCTGGCATTTCCGATAAAACATTCTTATTGATAGATGTCGAATCGACCAAAATATCTTTAGATTGCAACTTCAGGTAATGATCTAGCGAGTTTTCATCGTTTTTTGCCGGCACACTCTTCTGGGTAAGAGGTTTGGAAGTTCGGGCTAGAGCTGCAAGCATTTTCGGTTCAATTTGAACATAATTCGAAGTATTACCTACACCTTCAATGTTTTGTTTCAATGTTCTGTCAGCATTTTCGACAGGATCGTCAGTTTTCGGCTCACTAATTTTGTCACTGAACCCCGATTCATCCGGTACAAAACTTTGATCTTTTTTTAGCTCTTTTTTGCTTTCACTGTCTTCATCGTCACTTGCACTAACGTCAATTGGGATACTATTTCCATCATAGTAATTGACTCTTTGTCTAGTTCTTCTTCTCCTATCTTTAGAGTTTGCACTAAGGACCACTTTCTTCTCTTCTGGTGCCTCAATTACAATCAATTCATCCTTGACCTGCTTGTCGTTATCGGCAACTAGTTCCAAAGATAGTGGCGTCTCAAATGCATCAAAAGCACTCCCTGTTTGCTGAACTGTTTCACCTGCCCCCGTTTTCATTTCTTCGCTCTTAACTCCTTCGGAAGTTGTCTTTTCTTTTGATGCAAGTATATCTTCAACAGTTTTCAGTAAAATATCTTCGACCTTTTGTGCCATCATAGAATTATCCAACTGTAGCTTATTGAATGCTAAGTGTAAAATATTCTCCTCAATCGAACCTTTTGTAATTAGTCTAGTGACGTGTACTTCTTCTGTTTGTCCAACTCTATGTGCACGGTCTTCTGCTTGCTTATCATCGTGAGGGTTCAATGATTGATCAAATATGATGACATTTGTGGCACATACTAAATTGATACCAAAACCTCCAGCTTTAGTACTCAATAGCATCACAGGAATGCTTTTGTCTTCGTAAAATTTGTCAATTATTGACTGCCTAGTTTCAACAGCTGTAGCACCATCTAGCCTCAAAAATTTCCAGTTATGTAAAGAGAGCACCTTTTCAAGGATATCTAGCATTTGGGTGAACAAAGAAAAAACTAACACTTTTTCACCACGCCCGATGGTTTTAGTAAGCATGTCAACTAAAACTTTGACCTTTCCACTGTCCTCGTATATCTTTTGCTTCAAAACAAATTTACCTAGCTCATTAGGATAACTATGGCATAACTGAGTAATTTCAAAATCAGTCATAACTTGAAAATCCTCAAAGATGTACTGCTGATTAGCATCTGCGTAAGCAGGATGTTTCATAATCAGTTTAGACATAACTCTTAACATAGGATCCGTGTAATTTCTTCTAAACAAAAGTGGATGCATGCAAGCCTTTCTGAGCATCATCAAAAGATTACTGCCTCTATTCACCAAAGGAGGAAGCTTTTTAAGCTCTTTTTCATTCAAATCTTTACGTTTAGCCTTTTCCTGCCTCACATCATCGATCGATTTCAGCTCTTCATCGTATATCTTTTTCTGGGATGGAGTTAGCACACAATACTCAATGGAAGTATGCTTTTGTGGTAAATCCTTCATGACTTGCGCTTTAGTTCTGCGCAAGATAAATGGAGACATCATAACTTTAGCTTTATTGATAGCCTGCTCTGACATCAATGGGTTATATGCCTCACCTTCAATTTTGTGATTTTCTGTTTTTGTAGTTGCTTTTTGGTCAAATAGCAGTTCAAGCTTTGAAAGTTTGGAATCAAAAATTTCAGGTAGGATGAAGTCAAGTAAGGAAACCAACTCTCTCAAATTGTTTTGAAGTGGTGTCCCAGTGAGTAGCAAACGAAAGTTAGCTTTGAGCCTGGTCAACTTTTTGTATCGATCACTGGTTGCATTTTTAAGCATATGACCCTCATCGTAGACAATTACATTGAAATCAAGCATTTGCAAAAATGGAGCGTCAATTTTACCAGTTGTCAAATTATAGGTTGTCACCACAACGTCATATTCATCCTCTACAAGAACAGATCTTAGCTCTTCACGTTCATCTAATGAACCATAATAGGGGATGACCTTCAACGAGGGGGAAAACTTTTCAAATTCTCGTAACCAGTTCTCTAATGTAGATGATGGAACAACAATTAGGTGTGGGCCTAAATAACGTTTTTCTTTCAAATGGGATAAAAATGCAATGACCTGGGCCGTTTTTCCCAAACCCATCTCATCTGCAAGAATGCAAGACAACTGCTTTTGAAAAAGCAGGTTTATCCAATTGATGCCAACCTGTTGATAGTCTTTCAAAGTTATGTCATCAGACAGCATTTCAGGTTTCCTTTTGAAATAACCGATTTTATCCTTTACTGTATGATTATCTATTCCAGATCTGTAGATCTTTTTTCTACCGGAATAATTGTAATCATCATCATTTTCGGATCCGTCAAACTTGAATTTCTTTTTCAATATAGACTTCTTAACTATAGGCTCGTCAGTGTCATCATCACTATTAGAGCTGTTCTCATTGTTTGTTCCCTCACCATTTTCTTCGCTTGATACTTCAACATTAGTGATAGATAACTCACCCTTCATATTTTCACCCTTCAAATTAACTCCCCATTTTTTGATTTCTTTAGTGATGGATCTACTGTAGTCAAAGCACTGTTTCAATAGTGTGTCAATGGCACTATATGCTAAAAGCTTTTGACTTATCGTATCAACAAATCTTTCAATGGGCTTCTTGTAAACTCTGGACGTCTTTTTCTCTGGTGCTAAATCAAGTTTATAAATATCACTCAAAGTACGATAAGGTCTGTTCTTTATCACTATTGTGGCCTGCTCGGGTTTCATATTACTCAAATCAATGATATCTCTTATCTCTGCGTTGTTGAAAAGCTTGACAATTTTCTCATCCACATCAAGATCTGCATCCTCATCTACTTCAAATTCAGGTAGAGCAAAATCGTCATCTTTTTCTGTTACGATAGACCTCTTTCCAGCACGAATGGCATAATTAGTTTTTGTCTTTTTTGGTTTGACTGAGATTTCTTTAGGGGAGTAATCGTCATCATCTTCGTATCTTCTTTTTGACCTTGTACGAGCTGGAGGAGCTGTAATTTCCTCTAACGATTCATCTGAGTCTACTAACTCAACTTCACTATCATCTTCTTCGTTTTCGTCATTTAGCAAATTTTCTTCGTCTTCTGCATTTTTGAGCGGAGTTTGTCTTGAGACGTATCTGTCTTTGATACTTTTACTGGTTTTATTCAAAAGAACCTTAGAAGAAACAATATCTTCCTCTTTCGCCTTCTTTCGGGCCAGGGCTTGCTCCTGTTCAATTTGTTTTCTCTTTTTTTCTTCTATTGCTTTAGCCTTTTCTCTCAATCTCTTATCTCTTTCAAACCTTGCCTGTTTCTCTTTATCAAAAGCGTTTAGACCATTCCTGGAAATTGATCTGGTTGGGGGTGAGGACGAAATAAGCTTTCCACTTTTGCTTGACAGACTATCCAAGCGATGGGAGGTTGTCAATTTTATAGGCTTTTGCGATGGCTTGAAGTCACTGGATGATATTGATTTCAAGTAGTGTATCGAATTTCGAAGTGTTTTTTGTGATTTTAAGGCTGAAATTATTGTAGATGCAGCAAGTTTTGGAAAAACACGCTTGAGCTCAAGGTAGTCTGTTTTGAAATCAGAAGGCTCTGGTTTGAGCCCGTTTTCTTCTTTGAATGCAAATTTTTCACGTAAACTAGGAAGCTTGGTAGTAATTTTTGCTGGAGGTGAAGAATCTAGCTCAGATGAGACCTTGCTTGATCTCTTTCTTTGAGGTGAACTGTCAGGAACTTGAATATTGAATTCATCATTATCTGACCCACTTTTATCTCCTATCTCTATGAATGAATCAGAATCGTAATCTTTTTCTCTCTTTCGTCTTTCAGCAACGGATGTCGATTTCCGAGACCTAGATTTTGAAAACGGCAATGTATTTGGAACATCAAAATGCTTTTCATCCTCAGAATCTTGTTTCTGGGTGGATTTCAGCCCGAGCTTTGTTTCCTTCACATTTGTGCTGTTAGGTTTGCCATTTTCGTAATTTGAAATATTTGAAGCATCCGAAGCAGACTCGGAGTCTGAGGACGAAGATAAGAGGTCAATGACCCCATCCACTGTATTCCTTAAGCTGCGACCACTCATCAATGAATGGGTCAATAGCAAACTTGTGATTAATTGATTGTCAAGAAGTATGTCCCAAAGAAGATAGTACAACTAGAATACCAAACGCAGCATGAAAGTTGCAAAAAGAGTTGGATCGAAAATGCGATTTTCGTGTTACGCTGCAAAATTTTATTTTACGTGTCTGCAAGAAACTCACATACTTGAACGAAATCTGTGCTTTTCTTTAAGCTATGGAACTTAGATCATGATGTTGATTGGACATGTTGTAAGATGTATAAAGTGTTATGTTGTGGTTCAAATGGATCGGGTCAGCTCGGAGTTGGACACAAAAGAGATCTGTGTGAATTGACCGAATGCTTTCGAAATAATCATCGTGTGCTTGATATTGCTTGTGGAAGCAATCATACCTTGTTGCTTCTTGAGAGCGGTGAGGCATATGCTTGCGGCAGCAATATCAGTGGATTAACTAGCTTACAAACTTTATCAGAGAATGAGGAAGAAATGTTTATGCTGATTGGCCAAGATGAAAAGACGTACAAGAAGATTGCGGCTGGGTGGGATTTCTCAATTCTCGTCGATTCCAGCAACAAAGTCCATACTCAAGGAGATTTACGCTTGTGTGGAGGTCTAGGAGAAGCTGTTCAAGAAGTGAAAACGTTGACAGAGGTTTATCATTCAGCTGACGACGATGTTGTAGAGATCCATACGTCTTTGCATAGCATTATTATCATCCACAGTTCCGGAAAAGTTCTAGCTTGGGGAAACAACAAGAAGGGCCAGCTTTTTGGCGATTGCAAGACTTTGGATATGGTGTATTCTCCGCTGTCCCTTAGTTTCGACGACCTTGATTACGAGGATAAAGAAAATTTGAGAGTTGTCAGGTGTGCCATGGGAAGAGACTACACTTTCTTCCATGTACTGAATACAGTTTCTCAATCTGAGCTTATAATCATGAGAAGTAAGAACGACAGGTACAAAATTTTACAGGGGTTATGCAATGCAATAGGAGATGGACATATTGAGGGTAATGGTAGGCGATCAAGATGGTTCAGAATCAAGAAAGGGATTTGTCTAAAGCGGCTGAAAAGCATGTGGAGCTCTGTACATGTGATGTATTCTACAGAAGAAAAATCTTCGGTATTAAAGTCTTTCGGAAATAATGTTTTCGGTCAATTATTTCCCGGGCTCTCGACAGAAGTAGCTGACTTTGATGTCGGGACTGAACATGGAGTATGTCTGGAAAAAAGTGAGAAAAAAGTGTGCAGTTGGGGATGGGGCGAACACGGTAACTGTGGAGTTCAGAAGCTTACGACTAAAGTCAACGAGATGTATTCTTGTGATGAAAATAAAACCATAGATTCTGCTATTGGTGGGTACGCAACTACATGGATCATAGTGAAAAGCTAGTATCAGTTCTTCCAGTAATACCATAGGTAGAGTACGTAGCCAAAGCATATAAAGTATGGTCATGATTAATGAATGAGAATGTCACATAGGTACTTCCCCATATTCATCTATTCATACTGCCCAGGGGCAGCCACGAATGATGGAGAATATGTTCTAGGTGTGTCTATCTAGGGCCAAAGTATCGGACTTGAACCACTGAAATCTGAACAAGTACCTTCTTTTCTAGCCCGCCGATAGAAAAAGAAAGAAGGTTTATGAAAGCATACATTAAACGAAAGGAAGAAGTTGAGCAAGAAAACAGAAGAAAAAAGAACCTGAAGAAATTGTACACCATTTCACAAGAAAAAATCAAATTTCTCGTTTCGGGCAGAGTCGTGTTCGGTGACGTGTGCAAGCTGAAAGGGTTTTACTATGGGAGTCTGAAGAAGAGGGTTTTGATTGTTTGCTGCAAACATAACAGTTGAGCAGTTAAGCAGTTGCAAACCACACAAGACATATGGAGATTGACCAACTGGTAACATCATCACAGGCACCTGAAGAGGTCGAGGCCGCAGACTCCAAACCCCCTCACGAACAATATGTCGCTTACGAGAGTGCTGTGATTGAACAGGAACAACAGCAGGAACAGCAACAAAAAAAAGAGAATATGGAGCCAATTCTCACGTCATTGCATCTCACTGGTGTTGACGACCTATCAACCCAACAAATAAAGAAGTATTTGGATTACCACATAAAACCCAACTACAGCTTTAAAACTCGTAAACAATTTGCGTACTTGGAATATAGGTTGGATTGGATTAATGATTCGGAAATCAACATAGTGTTTGATTACAATTTAAGCAATGGCAATGGGAAAAGAGCAAAGAAAAACCAACCCAACGATGGTGTGGATTTGTTGGATGAAATTAAAGGGTTTGCAAAAAAGGAAGTTCCACAGGAGTCTGTTGAGAGAGACACTGACGACGAAATGAAGGAAAATTTGAAAGAAGAATCAGTAACCGAGACTGGAAGTGACACATTACAGGGTTTGGAAAATGAGTCGATTAGAGGTGCAGCGGAGGCTTTGTTGTTATTGACAGACTTCGAAGATATCCGAAAAGAGCATAATGAGTTTGCCGCACTGAGTATCGAAGACCAGTTCAAGGCTGTTGACCAAGCTCCCAAGCTACAAGATAGAAAATGTTGGGACTTGGTTCTAGCCAAAAATGGGGCAGTAATCAAAACCACAGATGCTAAGCGGTTTTACAACCTGTTTGAGCATGTGGTGCAGGCAAAAGACTCAGAAGATCAACTGCCAAATGAAGAAGCCATCGCAGGGCCAACTGAGGTAGAAGAAGCCGAGGTGTTCTCTGAAGACACTAAAATAATAAAGCTGGAAGTCAGATACAGTACCGAATTGGACAAGAAAGTAGAAAACGCTAGGGTTTTTTCCAGGTACTACTTGCTACACGGCGAGCCAGACAAAATAGAACGTTTACCTTCTGCGAGAGAGCGCTTGACTGGAGCATATCCCAAAGCCGCAGGCTACGATCGTGACTTGATCACCGCCGCAGAGCCCGAGACACAAGGTCTTTTTGGATACGATGGCGACCGTGAAGAACGAGAAGTCATCGAACCTAGATACCGTGAGAGGGAATACCGCGGAAAAGGTATTAATGGCAGGTGGAGCAGTGACCGGTTTCAAGCTCCAGGTGGTCATGACAGCCGCCATAACGGCTCTCGTATCAGCAAGCGTGGGCCACGTAGTGACCGCAGACGTGCGGGCCGCGGTAATGGCAACGGTCATGGCAGAGACCAGCTGGAAGGCGATCTATTTCCGGACTTTGCGCAAAGACGCCAACAGTAGTGCCCTAATAGTCGATCGTTTACTGGCTGACTGCTTGTCCATACGTTGATAGCGTGTATGTTTCTCCTTTTGTAAGCCAAGAACCTTGTAATATTGTACACTGATCGCAACATGTATATGAAAAGGGCTATCGTGAAAAATTTGTCTGACAAAGTTACCCGGTCGCGAGAAAAGCTCACAGAGGGCAAGTTCTTTGCGGCAGAGTGAGAACGACAGAAAGAGCTGAGCACGCTGAAGACAAGGTCATGAGGAGGAGCTCGGACACAAGTCGAGAATAGGGTTAGTGGGTACACGAAAGACTGTGAGACAACCTTCGAGTCTTGCAGACCTAGAAAGCCTACAGGAACTATGGCGGACGAAGAGGCTCAAAAACATAAGCGGTCTGCGTTGATTGACGATGCCGCTGCACTTTCCGAAGACGAGCACGATCAGGAGGGAGAGATCTCGAGCTCGCAGAAACAGGTAGACTCTTCTGAAGACGAGGACGATGATGATGAGGACGAAGATGAAATCAGAAAGGTTCGTGAAGGTTTCATTGTTGATGACGAAGAAGAAGAAGACGGCGACGAAGACACATCGGCAAAGAAGCGCCGTAAAAGACATAGAGACCACAATTCCAAGGCCAATATGGACAATGAGCTCGATGAAGATGATTTGGAACTTCTTAGAGAAAATGCTGGAGAATTACCATCTTCCATAGCTGAAAAGAGCAAATTCAAGAGGCTCAAAAGAGGCGGAGACGAAGCGAGCGAAGAACAGTCCAACAACGGCTTGACAAACATGTTCTCGGATGACGAAGCCGACGAGGCAATTACTACCAAAGGACATTCAAGAAATGGAGGCTTCTCCTCAAGGGATGACAGAGATATTGGAGTACATGATGATGATGATGATGATGAAGGCAATGATGATGAAGAGGATGATGACTTAATGGATGCCGCAAAGGAAAGACAGCAGAGAATAGCCAATCAGAACTTGGTGGGCGAGTTCGATGATTTCATTGAAGATGACGAGTTTTCGGAGGAAGACGAAGACAGAGATGAAAAATTGGCCCGTATGAGATCGGCTAGGGCCAAACAGTCACAATTTGCACAACAGAGTAAAATTGATCAAGACAAGTTGGACGAGTTGTACGAGATATTCGGTGATGGTGAAGAATATGCTTGGGCATTGGAAGCTGAAGAAGTGGAAGATGATGACATGAACAATGAAGATAACGATGAAAATGAAGAAAAGCAATACGATGATGAAGGAAAACTAGTTACAAAGTCAAAGTCTGAGACTCAAGCTCTGAAGAATATTTTCGAATATGAAGAGTTGAAAGAGCATTTGTTAACAGATAAAGATCAACTCATCAGGACAACGGACATACCTGAGCGTTACCAAGTTTTAAGAGATGGCATCAGCGAATATAATTTGAATGACGCAGATTTTGCTGAAAAGCAGAAATGGATTGCTTCAACTTTGTTTAGTGAGAAGGCAGCTCAATTTGAGGATGAAGCAAGCAAACGTTTGATAGAACCATTCAAAAGTTCCGTTGCAAAAGTTGTGGAGTTTATTTCTAGAGACAACTTGGAAGTACCAACGATTTGGAACTCAAGGAAAGATTACACATTATACACTACACATGACGAAAGTGGTCAAATAAATGTTGAAAAATTGTTAAATGAAAACGATTTGTGGAGAATTGTACGCCTAGACATTGATTATCATGCAATTTATGATAAACGTAAAACAATCACAAAGTTTTTCCAGTCCCTTGACACTGTTGATTTGGTATATGACGAATGTATCAGTTCTGCCAACACAATCACCGAATTACAGGATTTGTATGACTATTTACAGTTCACTTACAGCTCTGAATTGAAGAAGATCCAAGAGACTAATGGCGAGTCTCCTGCCAGCTACGACAATTCAGATGATAAAAGAAAAAAAACACATTCGAGATTTAAGCTGTACGAAAGAGTTAAAAATGATAAAATCTATAATGTCGTCAAGGAAATTGGTATTGATGCAGAAAAATTTGGTGAAAACGTAATCTCAAACTCCAAAATATATCTCACAGACGATAACGAGAAGTCTCCTTTCGAGTTAGTTGTGCAGTATCTGCCAGAATCCTATTTCGCAACTACCGATGGTGCAATAAATGCAGTCAAACAGATGTTTTCTCAACAGTTGGTTCATAACCCAAAGCTACGGTCTCATTTGCGTTCTACTTTTGAACAGTTTTCAAACATCGATATCGAGTTGACAGAAAAGGGCCGTACAAAAATCCATGACAGTTCGCCTTATGCTGACTTCAAGTACGCAATGAATAGAAACCCAGACTCGTTTTACTACAGCCCTGATGTATTTTTACGTATGCTGGAAGCCGAATCTCTAGGTTACGTGATCATTAAGATTGGTTTGAAGACATCACTCATGAATTTCGTCGACCATCTTTTTACCTTCATGTCATCAGATGGAGCTTCCGAGGCATCAGCTTCTTGGAATAAATTAAGGCGTGAATGTCTAGATATTGCGATCAAAAAGTTGATCCCAAACATTATCATGACTGTCAAGGAGAAAATCAGCACCACTTGCGAACGTTTGTTATATTTTCAAGTTCGGGATAGTTTTATTAACAAGGTCGATCAAGCTCCGTATATACCATTTCCAAACCGTAAAGGTATGGTCTCACGTGTTCTTGCATTAACAAACGGAGAGGGTAAAAGAGATTCTGCTATTATTGCAATTGCAATGGATTTTGATGGGACAATCTCCCAGCATGTCAAATTTGATGAAAGTATGAGAGATGCTGAATTCGAGAGAAAGTTATTGAACTTAATAGATAGGTTCAAGCCTGAAGTTGTTGCCGTTTCTGGTTATAACGTAAGTTGTGCTCCGTTAAAGAAGAGAGTGGAAGAAATTGTCAAAACAAATAACAAAACTACAGTTGCCGAAGAAGAAGACTTCAACTCAGATACTAAAGAGGCAGACAATGAGATTGAACTACCAGTCATATTTGTTAACAACGAAACTGCTCGTATGTTTGAATATTCGGATCGTGCAAATGAAGAATTCAGTGACAAACCTGTTGTTGCCAAGTTCTGCATTGCTATTGCTCGTTATGCACAAAATCCTCTTTTGGAATATGTTTCGCTCGGTGAAACAATCACTTCCATTCAAATACATAAACATCAAAACTTATTGCCAGAGCATAAGCTCAGAGAAGCAATCGATTCGATATTAGTTGATATAACATGTCTTGTTGGTATCAAGATAAATGAAGCTGTTCGGATGACTTATTATGCACAGGCGTTACAGTATATTGCTGGCCTTGGGCCAAGGAAGGCCAACAGTTTGATCAAAGGTATTGAATCGAATGGTGGTGCTTTAATTAGAAGAGATGACTTGATTCTGAAACAATTAGTTACTAAAACCGTATTCATGAATTGCGCACCTTTTATTGAAATTCCGGTTCCAGATAGGTTTGACAAGGATGTCGAGCTATTAGACGCTACACGTATACACCCTGAAGACTATGACTTGGCGCGTAAGATGGCAAGTGATGCTCTTGATCTAGAGGAAGAAGACCGTGCAGAGATTGAAGCTGACAATGGAAGTATAATTGGTAAATTATACGATGAAGGGGTTGAGAGATTAGATGATTTACTATTGGAAGGTTATGCTAATCAATTAGAGGAACATGGTCATCGCAAGAGGGCAACTTTAGAGATGATTAAAGAAGAGCTTCAAAATAATTACGAAGAGTTGAGAAAGAATTTTCATTTACTTACAGATTTTGAAGTTTTCGAAATGCTAACCAATGAAACAAGAGAATCATTTGACCGTGGCGTAATTGTACCAGTGATTGTTCAAAAGGTCGATAATAGGTATTTGCTCTGTGTGACACAAAACGGTATTTTAGGAAATGTTGCAAGAGCTAGTGCTGTTCCCTATGGTGATGCCACAAATCTGCTAATGAAATACAACGTGGGTCAAGCCGTTCAAGCAGTTGTTAAAGGTGTTGAATATGCCGATTTCAAAGCTGAGTTTTCATTGTTGAAAGAGGATATTGCACGTGCCAAGACGGTCAAAAAAGGTGATCGTTACAAAGACATCTGGAATTTTGAAGCTGAAGCCAAAGATGTTAAAAGAGAACGGGACATTGAATCAAGAGAAAATAGAGGAAGCAAGCGTATACTTAAGCATCCATTTTTTAGAAATTTTGATGCACGTCAAGCCGAAGATTACTTAGCATCCAGAGACAACGGTGAATTTGTCATTAGACCATCAACTAAAGGTAACGATCATTTGACTATTACGTGGAAGGTTGACAACCAACTCTTTCAGCATATTGATATTGCCGAACACGATAAGCCCAATGAGTATTCCCTTGGCAGGATTCTACAAGTGGGAGAATATAAGTATCATGATTTGGATGAATTGATTGTTTCACACATCAACGAACTTCACAGCAAGGTTGAATCCATGAAGAATCACGAGAAATTCAGAAATGAGCCTGTCAATGACGCTCGTGACTGGCTTATCAGATACTCTAAGGCAAATAAGAATAGAGCTTGTTATTGTTTCTGCTTCAATCGTAAAGCACCTGGATGGTTTTTCTTATTGTTCAAGTTGAACGACAGCAGTGACAAGACCTACACATGGAATGTGAAGGTTCTACCTAACGGTTATATGCTACACAAAAACTCTTATCCAGATATGGTACATTTGTGCAATGGTTTTAAGAAATTACTTCAAAACCAAATGCAGAATCCAGCATCGCACTCCCAATCTCATTCTTCTCAACCTATTCCATCCCACGTGAACGGATATCGTGGCGGGTATGCCGACAATTATAGTGGCTATGGTGGCTATGGTTACTAGAGAGATTAAAACTTTGTAATCTAAAACCTTTTGTAAGTACTTGTTAATTAAATTATCATAACGTTAACTATCGTATATTTTGTGTTCTGTACACGAAAAGAGAACACGAAACAGAAAAAACGCGGGAGGTGTTTGCAAGAAGTTGAAGTTGAGCTTTCCATGAACACATTTTAGTCACTGTTTTAAGAGCAGAAGAAAAATAAACAGTTATCAAAAGGCTCTAGAGGTAAAATAGCTTCTATAACAACAGCTTCAATAATGAAACTATTGCAAAAAATAGCATGGATTGTGACAGCTCTTGGCGCTGTTTTGAACCTATACATTTACACGTATCCTTCATTAGATTCGACGCAATGCTACTGGTCCCATGAGTATCGGGATTTGACGACATTAGGTGCTTGGGAAAAAGCAATAGTTGAGATACCATATTTTGGAGATCTGTATAAGCAATATTTTTTGCCAGACCATGCCAAAAATGTGGATATGCAACCTCGAGATATCCGGATAATGGCTGTCGGTGATCCTCAACTTAATGGTAATTGGCCGAACACTTCTTACATGAAGAGGCTAGACAATTTTGGTAATGATTATTATCTAAGGCACGTTTACGAAACAATGAAAAAAAGGTTAGATCCCTCTTTTGTTGCTATGATGGGCGATTTGGTCTCTTCACAATGGACCGCTGATTCGGAGTTTTTCAACAGGACGAGAAGAATTGTTTCACGTTCGTTCCCTCGTCCAGAAGAGCAGTGCTCGGCTGAACTTAATATTATAAGTAAACATGAGGATATTGACTGGTGGACTTATCTGCAAAATTTTGAAGATAATCTCAAAAACGATGTCTTTAAACAAAGGGAATTTTACGAGTTCAAGGACGTTTATGACTGGTATAACGGTACTTTCATCGACCCTTCAACAGGTTCAAACACAGAGCCTTTATTCCTGAATGTGACTGGTAATCATGACATAGGTTATGGCGATACAACTTACCAGCATATGGCTAGGTGGAAAGCATTATTTGGAAAGGTGAATTACTGGATCGAGTATGACACCGATACTGACCATCCTTGGAGGATTGTCATGCTAAATTCATTGGCTCTTGATGGTCCAATGCTTGAACCTGAACTCAAGACTTACACGTGGCAGTTTCTTGAGGCATTAGAAAGCACCCATTACAAGGGATCCACCATTTTGCTCACACATGTTCCAATGTACAAGAGAGCTGGATTGTGTAAGGATGGTCCAAATTTCGAATATTACACTGCTAGTGGTTGCCATGGATGTTCTCCAAGTAGAGTTGGCCTTTTGAAAAGTCAGAACCATTTGTCTCAAGAAACTTCGAGGAGGGTTCTTGATATCGTTTTTGGTGAGGGTGCTGGTGGTATTATCCTTACTGGTCATGATCATTACGGATGTGACAATTATTACAGTTTTGTGGACGAAGAAAAAGGTTGGGTAGCAGAGAAAAACATCACAAGTGATAAGTGGATTCGTGAAGTGACTGTTAGATCAATCATGGGCGATTTTGACGGCACCATGGGTATAATGACAGGTCATTTTAACCAAAACCAAAAGAAATGGGAATTTGATTATACCCAGTGTAAATTTATAGTGCAGCATGTGTGGTGGGCAGCTCGTATCATGGCATTACTAGCTGCCTTGCTACAGTCTCTTACTTTCTTATTTTAATGAAGTGGAGAAAGAAAAAAATAAAGCTTCAATGGCGCCTTTTAGTTGTCCAACTATTTTCTTGTTATTTTCATGAAGATTCATACGATCAATTTTTATAAAGTGGCTCATGCAGTCAAAATTCAGCATCTATTCCGAGTAAATTGTAAAACGAAGGGCAAGTGGGTTTTTTACTTCTCTAAAAAACTGGACCATGGTAAATAAATACAAAGCAAAAACAAGAGCTAAAATGTGATAATCTCAACCAGTGAAACTAGTCACCCAGAGGCTCAAAAAAAAAGAATTGAGAGTTTATGGAAGATCCTCGTATGGTATCTTGAAGTGTGGTGGAGGATATGGAGGGTTGTTGACGCACTCCATCTCATCGTAGCACTTACGGAAGTATTCTTCAATGTCCATGCATTTTCCAACAAATGCTTCTTGATTAAATCCTTTGCCAGCTTCGTAGTCCTCTACCACCTTTTCTCTGACGTATTTTAAATGTGCTTCTAATCTGCGGAATTTGTAGTCAACCCAATCCTTGTAGAAAAGGTCAAACCGTGCTCTGGGTAAAACAGATGGTTTTGTCGACGTAAGTGCAGTATTATCAAGCTTTTCGGCACCAGCTGCAGCAAAACCATTGACAAACGTGATTCGGTTGTGGTTGGTCACTGGTTTAGAGGCTAAATGTTTTAAGACTCTACCTTGAATCATTGTGGCGTAGCCAATCTTAGGTTCAGGAACCCTAACGGTTTTCTCGTTACCTGTCAAGATAGTGGTCTGTCCACCGACGGCTTCTTCTGGTAGGTCCATCATAATGACCAATGCAACTGTGGTTGAGTCATAGTGGAGCCCAAGAGAGGAGGGAATCTCATCTCCGTCTCCAGCGTCCTGCTTTGCAAGCATCTCTTTGATTTCTGACTCGGTTTGTGGGTAAGCCTTCGACTCCTCGTCGTCCATTGTTGCCAAGCTGACATTCATGTGTGCGGTTTCAGAATTGTAGATAGGTTCCATGGGGGTTCCAAAGAAAGTTGAGACAATTTCAGCAATTTCTGGGGAGTTCACGACAGCCTTGGTAAATGGAGCATCTTCGGCTGCATGCCCGCCGATGTGAAAGTCCAATCGGGTAGCATTTGTAGCAAGGTTTGGCAACCTGGCGTACTTGTCGATGATATGGGACTGCATTGCCTCGTAAAGGATCATGTTGACGGCTTCTTCGCTGAGCAGCGGGAAAGGATAAGCGGCACCAAAATCCGTCACTTTCGGAACATGCGTTTTGTTAATATTAAGCTCGGATAAGGTGAAAGTTTTGGTGGTGTCGTAAGACTTTGGATCGAAGATGAGGTGTTTAGAAGGATCGAAGTTCATCGTTGGGTCAAACCCCGGTGTGCTGGTAATTCTATTTAGCACACTCTGGATTTCGTTCTTCCTCGTCTTTTCAGGAATAGCATGTGTTGGGGCGAACTCTTTGTATGACTCAACGAGTCCGTTCGAGCCAAACACCGTTGGGTATGGGTATTGCGAAGAAAGAACTGTCATTGTGTGTGTGGACTTCCAAATGGGGTGTCTTAGAAAAGAAAGGGCGATGCTATCAATGAAAAGCAAGGCTACTGCTGACTAACTTCAACTATTCGCAAGTTTGCTGGAAACAAGGTACTTTTATGTCCCAGCCCCTTGATGACTGTAGAGATAACGACAGGCTCCGAGGAAGACCGTCGGGCGGTGGGAAGTCTCGATAAGGCAATAGTTCCGCGAGCGCAACATTCCGAAGACGTCGACTGATAAGAACGATAAGGCGCCGTCCACGGGACAAAAGACATTGTTGAAATAAAGAAAGATATGTATATAGATGTGTGTAAGCAGGCATGCTTGTAGGTATAGATACGATGGCGGCGCCACTTTAAGCGCCAGATGGCTCACGGGGCAATGTGACTCATGCTCCAGAAGAGCCAAACTCACGGGCCCATTCCTCAAACTTCTCCAACCCCTCCTTGTTCACACTCGGACGAATGTTCTTCATACTGCGTTCGAAGTCGCCCAAACAAAGGGGCCTGATCTCGACCTCCTTGAGATTGAGCATCTTCGAACCTAATTCTCGGATAGGCCAGATAGCAGCATCCTTGGCCAACGACGTAATATCACTTCCACTGTAGCCCTCGGTCAATTCAACCAACTGTTGCATGTCATCTTCGGTCAGAGAGTTAGGTGTGTGCATCAACAGCTTGGTGAAATGGGCCAATCTCGTCTCGGGCTCGGGGAGCGGGATGTACTGCCGACGCACAAATCTTCTTCTTGCAGCCTCGTCGACGGCCCATGGGAGGTTGGTGGCAGCTAAAACCAAAACCCTGGAGGGTGGGTCGTTCTCGTCATCGACTCTACCTGCAGCGGCTTTGGAAAGATCTGACCATTGCACCAAAAACTCATTCTTCAAACGTCTACTTGTATCGTCGTCCCCATCTCCGGATCGCTTCCCCAAAAGAGAATCGATTTCATCTACAAAGATAATGGACGGTGCTTTTGCCTTGGCAACTTGGAATAGAGCACGCACAAGTTTTTCACTCTCACCGTACCACTTGGACGTCAAAGAGGAAGACTGGATGCTAAAGAAGGTGGAATTTGATTCTGTTGCTGCTGCTCTTGCAAGCATGGTCTTTCCGGTACCCGGCGGTCCGAACAAAAGCATACCACTTACAGGCTCACGTAGACCTCGGAAAAGATCTGGCCTCAAAAAGGGATAGACCACAGTTTCCATTAGCGTCTCCTTTGCTTGCTCAAGACCTGCAATATCACTCCAAAAAACCTTGTCTTGATCTCTGCTACTTTCGACAAGGATGTTTTTCGCAAATTTCAAATCCACACCCTTGATTTTTTTCAGAATCTTCTCATCTTCGTCTTCTTCCGAATCTTCTGCGGGGTCTTCATCTGCCTTGATCTCATCACCGGCAGCAACCGGCACTTTCGGATTCTTGATGGCTCTTGTAGGAGATTGTAGCGATGACTCTGAAGCCACTGGCGAATACGAAGTAGAAGACGGAGGGTTTGGTGATATTTCATATTGCGGAGACCTGGACCTATGAGACCTGTGTTGGCGTGTGGCATCCAATTTGTTGGTGCTACTACTGTTGCTGTTGTTGGAAAGCTCTGGTCTATTTGGATATTTCACGGCGGCAGATGCCTTCAATGCCGCTCTGGCCCTGTCGGAGGGAGTTTTCTTGGAATGGCCGTTGGTATTTACTGTAGCAACCGTGGTACTGCTGAACTCGGCAAACTCACCGGCAGGTGAAATCGTAGCAGATACGCTATTGGATTGGTATTCATTGTTGTTGACGCTGCCATTGCTGTAGCTGTTAGAAGTATAGTTTGAATCAGGCGCCAGGAGATTGGAGTTGCTAATGCTGTTGCTGTTGCTGTTATTGTTGCTGTTGTTCACGTTAAGAGAGTTCGAAGGCGCCCACATCAAGTTGGCGGCGTGTTTTGCGGTCGGAAGGGAGTTCGAAACGGACGACCCGGTGGATGCAGATGGAACACCGGACTGTTTGGACATGGACGTGGCGGATGGCGTTGAAGAATATGATGTCAGCCCTCCTGGGCGAAGAGATTTGAGCATCTTGGAGCCGGGTTTCCGGGAACTCATTGTGTGGGGAATGCTTGTCCGCAATGTCGGGACTGCGTTACCGTAATGCTGTTGATGCTGCTGCTGCAGTTGCTGTTGATGCTGTGACTGCTGATGTTGCAGCTGTAGGTGTCTCTCCATGGCCTTTGCCGAAGCATAGCAGTTTGACTCGATCTCGGCTCTCAGCTTGTTGAGCTCGTCTAGGATTATCTTCTCGTCGGTGGAGAGATGCACGTTTGCCGTCTCCTCGTTGAGCTTCTCGACCTGTTCATCTGCAAACGAGTTAAGGTCTGTCCAGCTGATCAACGCATGTTTGAAATGCCCATTCTGCTCCATGCTGAGGGCCGCCCAGTTCGAGTTCGTTATCGATTTGTACAGTTCCTGCATTCGTTCGAGTCTCTCCTTCTTGTCATGTTTCTTGTTTATGAAGCCCATGATCGTAGTCCGTGTGTTTTTTGTTGGACTGTCTGAGCCTATATCTGTTCCGCTCTCTAACAGCTGCAAGGGCGGTTGTACAAAGGATCTAGTTGCGAAGGTATGAAGGCTCTTGGGTGTACCTTGGCAGAAAGTAGATGTGGGGTGGATCTGTCGGAGATCAGCAGCAACTTCGGTTTTTGTGGTGGACTAAGATGTCTGTTCTTTGTTGTCGTTTCGGTGCACATAGTGGTGATGCGAAAAAGCGACGGCGACGTGTTCGGGACGGGAAGGACGGGAGGAAGGAGGGCCGGGCGGAGCTGGAGATCTGCTCGTCAGACACGTCACAAAACCATGTGCACGACGACATCGACGACAAGACGATGGTGCTTACAACTACATGATACCAAGGCTGGTCGGCTGGCTGCTTCTTCTACAATCCGGCTGCATCCCGAAAAAGCACAGGCGCCAGGGCTGAGCCGTGAGCTCGTCCCGGGTGGTGGTTCCTACTGTCGATAACCACGGATGCACCTAGGCCACTGTCTCGTAAGTACTCCAACAGGCCAAGAGCTTTTGTTTACAGGAAAAGACAGGCAGAGTTCGACCGAAAAGCACGGAAACTGCCTTCTTTTATACTCGCGAGACGGACGCAAAAGGTTGAGCCCATCTCGGAAAGCCAGAAGTTAAAAGTCGTATTAGAATTAGTATTAGTGTTAACAATGCTTCATATACAGTCTAATTGAAAGGTGGTCATAACGAAGGGCTGGTGTTCTACACGTTGAACACCTTCTTGATTTTGCGGCCAAAGCCAAACCCGAACTTGGCGCCGTCGGAGTTGGCTCGAGGAGAGGCGGCCGTAGAAACAGTGGCAGCAGGAGCAGTGGCCGTTTTGGAGGATGAGGATGTCGCTGCGGCCGTTGTGGAGGGCTTGTCCTCTTGCTTGGTGTCCACAGGCTTGCCATCGCCCTTTCCGTAGGTATATGAGTACGCTCCGGACGTCGTGCTGTTGGCGGCACCGCTGCTGCTCTGGTTGGCGTCGTGGCTGTCGTGGTTGAGTCTGCGCTTAGCCTTCTCCTCGGCGAGGCCGCTTCTCATCTCGTTTCTGGCCTTCATGTGGGCCTCTCGCTTCAGGTCGTGGGCCTTCATCTCATTGGCCTCCTTCATCAGCCGCTCGAACACCTGCTGGTCCTCTTCCTCGGACTCATCCCGCTTGGCAATGGCAAACATGCGGCCCATCTCGATGAGGATTTCGGCACGCAGCTTGCGCTTGTCGCTGCTGATCTCCTTGTCGTTCAGCAACATGTTGCACACCCCATACAAGGTCTGCTGGATCTCAAACTTGGACGAGGCCCACGCAACGGAGATAAACTTACCCGTGACCGCTTGCTCGTACTGCGCCCGCTTGTACGGGTCCATGTCCTCCAGGCTGACCCCTTCGAGCTGCTGCATGGCCTCCAGGGTGTTCTGTGCCTCTGTGGCGGACGAGAGCATGTCCATCATGCCGCGGACAGTGTCCTTGCTCTGTTTGAAGTTCGAGCTGATTTTGTGGAAGCCTCCCGTGAACTGCTTCTTCGACTTGAGATACGACGTGGCCTTGAAGAGGTAGATCTTTCCAATCAAGTGGCAAATGTCGAGGCCAAAAGACTCGAGCTTCAAGTCCTCGATATCGTCGCTGATCTTCTTCTCAAAAATCTGCCAGTCCTTACCTTCCTTGTCCAAATGGCCGCCCTTCACGCTCTCAAGCAACGGGTCCATCTTGGCCTTCAACTTCTCCGCCAACTCCTTCACCTTCTTCTCTTCCTCCTCTCTCTGCTTCCTGACCGTCTCTGCATCAATCCCCTGCTTCCGCTTCTCCTTAGTCGCCGTCTTACTCTCCTCATTCAAGTCCGAAAACGTCTTCTTGCTTCCATCGTGCAGGGTGACATGCGTGGAACTACTTTTGTCACCAGCACCGCTTTCGGCCTTGACGTCGCCGTTACCTGCACCCTCATTTCCCTCTTTCTCTTGCTCATCAGCCTGCTCTTCTGCCTCAAACATCATCTGGATGAAGTTCAACTCTCCAATGTAGTCCTTCGACGCTTCACCACCGAAAATCATGCTGAAAAATTCCTTAGGGTCTATATCCTGGGACGCTCCATTTCCTTGCTGGTTCAACTCCTCCTTTCCAACCTCATCGTAGATGGTTCTCTTTTGTGGATCACTCAAGACCTGGTATGCCTCTGCAATCTCTTGGAACTTCTTCTCTGCTTCTGGATTATCTGGATTCTTGTCTGGATGCCATTTGAGAGCCGCCTTTCTGTACCCTTTCTTAATTTCAAGCTCAGATGCTTCTGGCGAAACGCCCAGAAGGTCGTAGTACTCGGTGTCTTTCACCATCGCCCCGTATTCGTGGTCTACAGTAGTTTATCTATTGGATCTTTCCACCCCTTGTGCTTTTGCCCCTTTTTCTTCCAAACGTTGGACATCTTTCCGTCCAGCACATCTTCTTCTTCTCTTTCCCTCTCCTTCCTTCTCCGCCTTCGCCCGCGCCGCCTCCTTTTCTTGTCCACGAAGAAAAGCCTGTTGATCTTTCTGCTGCCGAAATGTTCTAACACCCCTGACAAGGACCGTAATTTCCAGGAAAAAGCAGGCCAGAACACAAAACAAACATTCTAGTAGCTCAACGAGGTCTCTCACACAATGACGCTACCTTTAGACAAGGACATAATAGTTAATGTGCTGCGAGAAACATGTCTAGCCGCAACATTGCAGCTAGCAAATTCGCTCTCAACGGCGCAGACATCCTCGGACGACGACTCCGGATTTGCGAATCTTCAATCACCAGCGCTGTTTGGGCGGTTATATAGAGAAGGAGACATCAGCACGAAACTGGACATACAGGCGAACTTTCCGCTTCTTGCAAAGCTCCCCAATGGCTCTCCGCCGATAAGGTTTGACGGGCTTTCCGAAAACATGTCTCGGAGAAACAAAAATGAGTCAAGTACGCGGGGGAACATTCTTACGGAAGAGTCCAATGACGATGAATCGGATGAAGAGGATGAAGAAGAAGAAGAGGATGAGGATCAAATTGATGAGGATATTGAAGAAGAAGAGGAAGAAGGCGACGACGAAACCGACGAAGAGGAAAGCAGCGCTGACGATAGCAACAATGCTAACCGAAAACCTTTTATATCGACCAGTCCGATACTCAACGAAGTCCCGTCCGGGTTGGTTGACAGCAGGCAGCGGAACACTTCCTCGGCAAGCACTATGTCGTCTATTGCTCCCTTTAGACGTCGGCGACGCCCACTGCCTTCTGCAGACCACCATAAAAACCCATCCTCTGCTATCAGTGAATCAACCATAACTGAAACCGAAGACGAATCAAGCTTTTCACCACCCACACAAAGCGAACATCAACAAATTCAGAAAGTTTCACAGGAAGTAACCCATCTCAATTCCTCGTTAGCATCACCACCATCTCTTCAAAGCAAACTCACGCCAATAAGACGTCCTGATTTGGGCGACCGTTCTGACTCGGTGAACACTCTTAAATCAAAGTCCGAACTCGATCCTCTAATAAATACCCCTGTGTCCACAAAATCATCCTCCAAAGCTTTGATTTCAGCATCTACTTCTAAAACTGAAGCTTCATCAGGCTCGAAGAAGCAGACCAAGGGTTTACGATCGTTGGGTAGATTTATTCGTCCTAAGCAAATTGCTTCTACTTTTGCACATCATTCAGCGACGAACTCAAACGCAAACAACTTGGTTTTTGGCTCAGATGGCTCAGAAGAAGAGCCACATAAAAACTCAAACTCAGGTTTGAATGACAAGACACTAAATCAAGCACAGCAACCAGAGTCAAGTATGATGGAAAAAAACGGTAGTTTTGATACCAAAAAACTTGAAGGAGCTGAATTGGATTCTGTACCTGTCCTAAAAGTAGATTCATTGTCAGATACAGCATCAGCGTATGCAGCATCTTCACAACTTCACTCCAGCAAGGATTATGATGAGGATGATTCAAAGTCGAATTCCGAAAGAGATACTATAAACTCTTCAGACTTCGAAGACAATGATTCTGTGGTTGATTCAATAGAATCGAGTGAATTAGCTGACTCGGACTACGACTACTTTAATCCTCCTACAACAGCAAATACCACAAGAACAGAGAAAAGAGTTTCACTTGCTAAAGGTGTTTCAGGGGATGCAGGTGAAGTTTCAGATTCAGCTCTTTTAGGTGTAGGTCCCAATGGCGACGATATTAGCCCTGGTACAAGTACTGGAAGCTCACTAACTTCTGGTTTGAGGAGATCCAGAGGATTGTACCATCCATACGAGGACCCCGATGTTGGCGATTATATCGACGATTTGGACTCAGAAGATTACATCAGTGATGCAGAAGACTACCCCATTGATGACAGTGTTGGATATTACGATGGTGATGTGTTGAGTGCAAATTCCGCAGTAGGATTGGGCAAAGATAATAGAAGAAGAGATTCTTCAAGTGTCAACAGTACTTCGAGTGATATGAAAAACAAGCTGGAGGTTTCGCCCAAAATGAACTCAATATCCAAGATAAACTTTGTTCGCAGTCGTCCGGGGATGAGAAGTACTAGTGGTACTGGAATTTCACGATCCTTAGCTCCTGCAAGAAGAAGGCAATCGATAGGTAGTGTAATCAGACCTAATACCTTATTGATGTCGGACACCGGTAGTTCCTTGACAACACATATGCAGTCGAACCTCAATACCATTGATGCAACCTCAATATCTTCTACGTCGACAGCAAACACCAAATCCCTTTCCAAAGGAGTCAAATCCGCCAAAAGTTACAACAACTTACTCAGTATGAAGTATGATTCTGGAAGCGAAGAGAAAGAAAAGCAAAAAGAAAAGAATAAAGAAGGTAATAAACTTTTTTTCAACAAAATTGATATCAATAAAAATACCAACAATAATTTACCTAGTCATTCGAGTAAGCAGAAGACTTCCAAACTAACTGAACTTATTCATAAGAAAAACATTTCGCTGGATTACTACAAATACGTCATGGAGAAGCAAAGTGTTAGTGATACACTTTTACGCTTGAAGATATGTATTCCAGACTTGGGAATACCATATAATCAGTCTTTGAAATTACAGGTCAATTCTTCAGTTCAAGTGGTTGAGCTGATTGGATATGTGCTCTACGTTTTACAGCAAAGCAAAAATGAGAGCCTTGATAAGCATCATTTGGACCCAAATGCCTGGAAGCTGTACCTTGCAGATGACGACGGGGAAATGGAAGACGATTTTGGAGTTTTGGATCGGACAAGAGTTGTTCAATCTTATGGTGCCGATGAGTTTGTTCTTGTCGAATGCACAGATGTCGAAACTAAAGAAAATGAAAAAGTAACGCCATCCCCATTGGAAAATGGTTCTTCGCAGAACCTCTCCGATATAAATCCTCAAATGTCTGCAAATGTTTCTGGAATAATAAATTATGATGATGCGACATTTGATGCTGCTCAGCAAACGAAGAGTGACTCTGTTGCTACACTACCATCAGAGTTAACTCCAACTTCAGGGCTAACTTTTACCAATACTCTACCGTCGAACAATTTCCAACAACAGCAACAACAAAAGAGACAACAGGTACAACAACAACGTCAACTGAAACAACAGCAGCAATTCGTTCTTGACGATCTGGACTCGGATGATGATAATTTAGTTTTCAACGAAAAGAATCAAAAACAAGTCAAGAAGGATATCAGGAAATATGCGTACCTAAAGTCAAAATTGAATACGGGTAGCAATAAAGTGGGCTTCAATGACAAAGAAAGGGAGAAGGAATCGAAGCTAAATAAGTTCAAGACACGTAGTAAAACCATACAGTCCATTCTGCATAATACGGCCGATCACTACCAGCAGACGCAGCAAGAATTATTTCCCTCTGGGAACAATACTGGTAATAACATGACCTTTGGAAGTATTATGGGCAACATGAATGGGGTTACTGTGAATAATGGCGTTATGATGGGAGCTACAGGTGTGACGAGCCCCAATGGCGTCGAAATTGTCAACGCCACCAACTCAACTATGGCTTACAGTAAACAGAAAAACAACAATTATTTAGTGGAAGGTGAGGAAGGCGACAATAAGGCCTTAATGTATCATAGGTGGACGGTTTGGAGAAGACAGCAAATGTCGTTTAAGAATAAGTTACCGAAGACGTTGACTGTCGATGGATACCAGATCTATCTCTTGCCTTTCAATGAATTCAAAGGGTCGTGGTATGAATCGAAGACTTACAATTTCGATATCTCCCAAATTCTAAAAATCAAGCAAAACCCAAAGGTTCCGAACTATTTCAAGATTATTATCAAGAAGAACGCCGAAGGTATTGTCAAAAAGTACTATCTTGAGGCAAGAAGCTCAAAAGAGTGTCGGGAGATTGTGGATACAATCAAGGCTCTTGCAAAGACTTATAGTGAACAAATGTAATAGAGTTCCATTTATAGCGGTATAGGCCAGGCTTGGCTATGTAGATCGATTTAACGCAGAAAGGTTTGAAATAGGAGAGAGCCTGGCTCGTCAAAATGAACCGCGTAATATTTTTTTTTCTAGATATTGAACAATATTCGGAGAAAGAACTAATGTCGGATCCATGTTAGTAGAAGCCTTTTTCTGATGAACTGGAGAGCAATAAGTCAGCAGAGATGAGATCTTGTCACTCAAGACTTTTAGGTGGCACCCAGCTTTGGCAAAGATATGTGTCAACTGTACCGCACGAAAAAAGGGAGATCTTGAACTTGAAAGCACTTTTAGCCAAATCCGAAGAGGCTGAACTTGCTAACAAGAAAATAGAGGTGCCAAAACAAAACAAGGCAAAGAAGACCGATCCACACGATAACTATGGGCTGGAGATCATGAAAGAACTGGCTAAGCTGACGGCGCTACCTTTGAAATGGAAGGCAAGCCATAAAGAGTACACCAGTATAGCCGGCTTCCTAACCTTGGCCCACGTTGCCTTAGAGTGGAGTATATATGACTACCGAAAGATTCCCACAATGGAGGTTGCCGGAAAGGAGTTACCGGAGGTGATATTTCTGGGACGATGTAACGTGGGAAAGTCGTCTCTGATAAATGCGTTGTTGAGCAAAAAGAAGGACGCCGTAGTGCAGCCGTATGCCAGGGTGAAGAACCAGGCAGGGTACACGCCGTGCTTGAATTTTTACAACGTTGGAGGGCGGTTCAGACTTGTTGACTGCCCTGGATACGGTGTCAAGGGCCGTGAGTGGCAGGGGAAGTTGGTTTTCGAGTATCTACAGAAACGGGGCAACTTGCAGAACACCTACTTGATTCTCGATGCAGAAGTGGGCCTGAACGCGTACGACGAGCTGCTTCTGCAGAACTTGACGGACGTGGGAGTGAGATTCGACATCATCTTCAACAAGATCGACAAGATCCCGCGGGACAAGCGAAAGGCACGGATCCTTGACCTGGTCACCACCGGCTTCATCGGGGGCCTCAGCATGACGCCACGGTGCTATGCTGTCAGCAGCAACGAGCAGTCCAGAACCGGCATCACCGAGGTCATGGTCTCAGTCATCGAGTCCTGCGGAATATGGCAGGACGGCGAGGCCGGCCGGTTGGTTGCAGCCAAGAAGAAACATGTTGTGCGTGCCGAGGTCGCCCGACAGCAGTACAAACGCGGGAAGAAGGAGCACAAGGAGCTGCAGAGGAAGCAGCGGGAGAACGACCAGCGGCTGGCCAAGTAGCGGCCTCTCATTTCTGTATATATGTGTACACTGCTTTATCCATCTTCCGTGAAGATAGCCAACAGTAAGTAATCTGGCAAAACATGTGCGCACGTGACATTTTCGCCGATCGACGTAATTTCATTTTTTTTTCTTTGCTGTTGCGAGCGTCCCCGATTTTGCAGGGGTTGGACGGTTGGAGGACGAGACACTTGAAAAGAAAGATGCCATTTGCACAGACAGGGAAGGAGCAAATAGGAGCTGCTGGAAGAGTGGTAGGGGAGGAGACAACCAGACAAAAATGCTCGCAAGGACGGGAATACAGAAGGTGCTGCAACTGGGGGCAGGGGTCCGTGTGTTCGGACTGCGTGCACAGTCGACAGGGGCCGCAGCGTCGGCAGAACCAGTTCCAGAGGGAGCAGCCGAGACAGTTGACAGTAAAGTGACGATCCAGGAGCCAGAGAAGGTGGATGTGGCGAGAAACAGACAGTTCAATGGGACGATGTTTCAACCGCAGAACAGGCTGTACAACGACCCACTTGTGTCGAGGTTCATTCCAGAGTTGGAGGCGAGACGTCTTGTGCCTGCGATCCCTACGTTCTATAGCAGAAACCCATACCACGAGATGCACATGAGCAAGGTGCAGGACTTGTTAAACAAGAACGCAACGTTGCCGTTCGACAGAAGGACGTCCACGGGCTCGTGGTTGAGATTCAACCAGTACAAGGAGAGAGCTGGCGGTGAGTTGCTCAAGGAGACGGAGTACCTGCAGCTCGTGAATGTGCTCAAGAGATTGGATGCCATTGACGTGGAGTTGAGGTCGGACGAGTTGAATAGTGTGTTGGCGGAATACATGAGAAAGCAGAACGTGAACCAAGCCGCCAGCGATCTGAAGACGCTCGACGACAAGGGCCGTGCTGTTGCGGTTGGACGCAGAAAGGCGTCGAGCGCCAAGATCTACGTTGTCGAAGGCGACGGGCAGGTGATGGTGAACGGCAAGTCTCTCGAGATAGTGTTCCCGAAGGAGCAGGACAGAATGAAGCTGCTCTACCCGCTGCAGATTGTCGAGAGCGAGAGCAAGTTCAACATCTTTGGTCTTGTCAGAGGCGGTGGCTCTACGGGTCAGATCGAGGCGCTCCAGTTGGCTCTCGCCAAGTCCTTGTGCATCCACAACCCCTTGTACAAGCAGAGATTGAGTGCGGCCGGGGTCCTCCACAGAGACCCTAGATCGGTCGAAAGAAAGAAGCCAGGTAAGAAGAAGGCCAGAAAGATGCCTACCTGGGTCAAGCGTTGATACTCCGACTTCCGCAGCGGATTTCGAGTTATACTTATATTTATAAAGAAAGCCATGTAAATAAGATGTTATTAATTCTGAGAAGAATGACTCAAAAGACCACCTCCGTGTACGACAAGCCCATGTTGTTCGACACGCTCTTCCACTGCCGGATGCCGCCAATTAGCAACGACCGTTTCACGTTCAGGTCGGTCACCTCCGCCGTCGCCCGCAGCTCGCCCTTCACGAACCCTAACACCTCTTTTCGGAGAGAAGCGTCCGGGATCTTGTGTACCGACCGGAGAATGTCTCGGTACACGTGGAGCACCTGGCCCCGGAGCACAAAGTCCTCAAACGACACAGACTCCTCGAGCGTTCTCCGCTTCTTCTTCGGTGCTTTGCTGCCGCCCGTCTGCACCTTCTTAAACGACTCTTCCTGCTGCTGCTGGGTTTTTCCCTTGAACGTTTTCACCGTCTCGTTCGTGAGCGTAGACCCGTATCGGGCGCCCACAAGCCGTCCCAGCGTCTGCTTCAGTGCTAGCATTCTCGCTTTCCTGTTCTGTTTCTCGGCTTCCACCGTTTCCCAGGTTTCGGGTCCTTTTTGAACCTTCTTTCTCCACCAAATGTCCTATATGGTAATGCCAGAATCATGTAGCCCGATTCAGATCTGGGGAAATCTTCAATCGACGCGTCGATTGAAAAAAAAAGTTGGGCATTCCTTACACCTGTGCACCATATATTGCCCCCCTCTTTTTTTACATCCGTGCACCTTATATTGCTCCCTCCCACCCAATAGAAAAAAACTGTTGTCGCATCAAAATGGGGAAACCGATTTTTGGTAGACAGGAGACATGAATGCTCTTGGAATGGAGAGAAAGCGTGTGTCGTCGTCTTTGCTCAGTTTCACTCTGGTTCCAGCTTTGAACACACATTAATAGAAACACACATCGCAAAACACAACAATGGGTGCAGCATACAACATTCTCGGCAAGGCCGTTCCTCCACACCAACTTGCTCTCGGTACCATCGGCGCTGTTGTCCTATTGGTTCTCCCAAAGCCATGGGCCACGACTCCAAAGAAGGAGGCCAAGATTGACGCTGCTAACGCGGACGAAGAGAAGTTCATCAAGGCTTACTTAGAAAAGCATGCTTAGAGCCTGTCTAGACACTGTATATTATACCAACGTATCTAAACATGCACTATTTATTTATTTGAATCTATTCATACGACCAGACGAAGGGTGTGCCCCCGGGGGTGCCGGTACGGCTCTTTCCAGCGCAAGCGGCAGCACCGTGAGTCGCCCTGCACGTAGATGACCTATCTATAATTCTTTACGGGATTATGCTATATCGCTATAAAGTGGACGTGGAGCTCATTCCTTGAAAAGCGCCTCGTTCGAGAGCGGATCGTGCTGCAGCACCTGGTCTCTCTTTCTGTGCTTCCTGTCCAAGGCCTGGACCTGTCTGTCTCTCGCATTCTGGGCAGACTGGAACTTTGTCTGGGCACGCATGACGTTTGGAGACACGTACTCCTTGTTTTCGTAGATCTTAGGTCCTCCGAACGACCCTTCCAAGATGACAATCGGCGTGAGCACAAAACGAGGCCCGATTTCAACGAGAGTCAAGTCATCGGTCTTTAGTTCGGCCTGAAGCTCCTCGTCCTCCTTGAGCTCCACCTTCTCGTTGATCTGGTAGTTTCTCACCCAGACTTTGCCGTCAACAATGCTGAACGTCATGACGTGGTCGATGAAGGGCTTGCTCTTTCTGGCCTGTGGTGGGACACCGAACTGCTGGATGAACATCTCCTTGGCGAGCTTCCAGTGTTCTTCGGTGTCGAACGACTTGTCGAAACTCAAGATGGGTCTCGAGCCCCTCAAACAGTTCCCAGTGAAGTTCAATTCGTCCAAAGTGTGCAAGTTCATCACGTGGAATTTGATCGTTGGTCCGTTTGGTGGCTTCGAGATCCAGAGGTAGAGGTCCTCGTGCTTACGGCACTCGAAGAACATGATGTTGTTACAGTTGTAGAGCTCGGCAATCTCGTTCAATTCGTAAAGCGTCTTCTTCGTGTCGAGCTTAGGCTCCTTTCTCGCGTGGGGGAGAAGCGCCTGCAGATCCGAGATCAAGTGTCTGTGACGGTACGTTATGCCTCTCGACGAGATGAGCAACACCCGTTGTCTGTTGATTCTCTTCTTTTCGACCTTATCGGAGTCAGACTTGGTGCTGGCGTGCTTTGGCTGGCGGAGCGCTTTGAAAATGGCGGACATCGTGCTGTGTGTGTGGCGTATGCTGGACTTCTTCTTCTATTGCTGAGCTGTGCTGTCTCTTCAGGAAGCTGCTCTGCACATACTTTCCATCTGCATTTATCAGGAAAAAAATTTCTGGAAGCTGAAAAATCATGAAAAATTAAACGGAGCTCATGAAAAAAAAAGTCAAAAAAATTCAGTGTGATGACGTAAGCGCAGCTCGATTCCCCGATGCATGTAGATAGCAGGCGGAAGCATGGGGCTGGTTGTGACGGCATCTCGATGTCCCACTGTTTCGGCATTGAACAGACCCAAAGCCTTCAACTTCCGGTCAGTATTTACACCAGCAGACACGCTGGCTGAGAGAGAGCGTTCAGGCTCGCTTTGGTAGTCGAGAAGCTTACCCTTCTCCCCTGCCGGGGCCCTATCTGTCAGCCACGGAAAACACGGCGCGGCAACATGAATTGGGCCCTTGGCAGGTGAAGTTTCCTGGATCAAGAAGAGCACTGAAAAGAAGTGTAGAAGTGGAGAGGAAGAGAGCCTGGAGCTGTGTTCGACGGCAGGGAATGGTGAGCAGTGGCAGCGACAGTGACAGTGACAGCGGAAGCGGGTCGAGTGGCTCAGACGAGCCGACTTTCCACAAAAAGGTTGCGTTCAGGAAAACGACGCCGCAGCAGCAACAGAAAGATAAGGCAGATGCGCCGGCTGGTGTTGCTCCGACGCTGGAAGACGTTGCCGTGTCAAGCATCAACCGGAACTTGAAGCGGCTTGAGCGGGAGCAGCTTCACCGGGCCTTCCAGGACAGCCTTGTGCTGGACGAGCGGGTGCTGTGCGAGGCGGTGGACGACGCGGACGTGCCAGACGACGCAGTGGAGCTGCTGGCGTGGAAGCGGAGAGAGCTCGACAGATTGCACCGGGACCGAAACAGACGCATTGCCCGGGAGGAGGGCGGCTTGTAAGAGCAGTAAGCGGCTGTCTTGTATGTTAGATTTATGTTTTATGTTTTATGTTTTATGTTTTATATTTTATATTTTTTATCTTATATGTGGGGTTGTGATGTGTGTTTGCGTCACCTGCCAGTCGGCGAGTCGACCAGCTAGAAAGGACTGAAAGACGAGTGGTTGTTGCTCTCGAGGTCGTTCTCGATGGGGTCTGTGCCGGTCGGAACGTAGGTGCCCATGGCCAGCTGGATGTCCTTGTAGTAGTCGTGGCCGACGAGCAGCTCGTCGCCAATGTCACTGAGTGACTCTGCCGGCTCGATGCGCTCCAAGAGCACGTACGGAATGTAGCAGGCCCTGGTCTTGAGCTCGGGAAAGTATCTGCGGTAGCTCCACCAGGCTATGAAGGCGCCGAGCAGCGAGCCGAGAATGATGTCGATAAAGTGGTGGCGGTAGTCCTGCGTCCGGCTCAAGGCCACGTAGAACGCCAACAAGCAGGGCAGGAACGCAATGATGGACCGCCATGCGCCCCGGTGGATGTGGCTGCAGTTCAGCTGGCCGTTGAGCCACAGCGAAAGGTACCCGAACGCCGTCCAGGACATCGACGAGTGGCCGGACGGACTTGTCCTGAAGCCGTCCAGGAGCTTGCCCTTATCCGTCGTCGTGCAGATGTCCTTGGCGAAGTAGAGCACGTCCGGAAGCGCCGACTCGTGCGGAATGCACCGGGCAAGGAAGTCCGGCCGACAGCGGCCGATCCAGTTCTTGAACACGTCCGTCACAAATATGCACGTCCCCATGGATATGAACACACCGAGCACGGACACGTACGCCACGTAGAGCTTGAATGGTCTCGGGGTGAGCACCATCGACAGCACAAGCATTACCGTCGCCGGGATCACCATGATCCACCGGATGAGCACGTCGCCCGGAACCCGCTCGTGCTCCGCAAAGGGGTGCTGGAGCGTAATGTCGTTGACGGCAAACTGCCGCTGGTATGGCTCGATCTTTTCGAAATAGTACCAGTCCAGAGGGAAGATGAGCAGCACGTAGAGGGCGTCGGTGAGCTTCCATGTCTGTAGCGTCTTGTAGAAGGGCACCCTAGTTAGGCCCAAGTTGTTCCGGTCGACACAGAGTTTCTTGAGGTTGAACGGCATGGCGTCGGTACCGGTCCAGGTACAATGCCTCTCTTCGCTGCCTCCAGCCTGGAAGAAGAGCAGGAGGCATCCGGAGCTGGCTGCTGTAAACATGTACGGAGGACAGGCAGGACCAGCCGAGGCCGCGGGGTTGGGGAGGTGCAACCAGCACTGTTGCTTTACGGGGGCCAAGAGGACGGAGCACTCAGCTGCACCAACAGCACAGGTGTCAGCAGCACAGGCGCCAGCATCCCAGGCATTAGCAGCACATAGTGTCGGTGTCGATGAGTGGGTGTGCCCCCGAAGAGGATCTCGAATGAAAAGTGTCGGATCGATCGTATCGCATTTATGGCTATAACTGTTCAGGCTGGGACTACATGCGGACTGCGGCGGACACTCCGCCCGACGCCCTGCTAGCTGCCACGCTAGACGGTGTGGTGGGTGCGCTCGCAGTGGTCAAACACCTGGTTGTTGTAGATGAGCAAGTCGAGGACAAAGAGGTGGCCGCCGTTGAGCCTCAGCGCGTTCATAAGGTCGATGACAAACTGGTCGAACTGGTCCACCTGCATCTTGAGGAACGAGTCCTTCATCTCCTTGGCTGGGCCCTGAATGGCCTGTGTCTCCGTCTGTTCCGGTCCGTCTGTAGAAGCCACCACGTGTTTCGGGTGGACCTTGCTCAAACGCAAAAAGAGCTCCGGCACGCCCGATATCTCCCCGAACTGGCCGCCAACGCCGCAGATGAGGTCTCTGTACTTTACCAACTCGTCGTAGTGCTTGTCGATGAACTGCGAGTCGTCAGGCAACTGCTTGTACTCCGCCGTCAATATCGGGTTCTCGTGGCTCGAGAGCTCGTCAAAGTACTTGAAGGCAAACGCCGCCGAGTTCTCCGGTTTGAGCTGCTCGAGGTGTGCCTTCGTGACGAGGTCCTCACTCTCCTTCGAATGGGACGACTTAGCCGGCCGGCTCTGCGACATGTGTAGGCCTCTACGGAAGTATGCTGGGCGTCCTGTCGGCCGGGTGCAACCAGACAGCGCAGATATGGTGATCTGGGAGAGGCGGCGGAATAGTGTGAGCGTGTGTGCAGAAGTCATCGGAAAGGAGGGGCAGGAGGAAACAATAAAACTGTAGGTTAGGGTGGAATTATATGTGTATACGTATGTCTAGGGTGTAGAAAAATAGATGAGCCCGTAGGAAGAAAAGGGAGGGCGGCAAGGAAAGTGAAGCGTTAAGATAGGAAGACAGATAGGGAGAATAAAATCTGGCGCTGCGATAGCCGGAGATAGACTAGACGAAGCATTTGAGTTTTAAGCCAACGATGCAGGATCTGCTGACAAAAAAGAAGAAGGTGGCGACTACCATGGAGCAGGCGGCAAAGATGATCATGTGATTGTAGTTGGAGACACTTTCTTTGTTGATGAACTGGGATCCGATGGGCATAGAGATCAAGTTCCCGAAGGAGACGATGAAGTAGGCGGTGGCGTACCGGGAGCCAAACTCCCTGGTCTTAGAGATCTGGGCTATCAAGACGGGAGTCAAAGCGTAGGCAGCGCCGAAAGCAAAGCCGTAGACGCCGGCAAACATGTAGTAGCCGACGATGTTGTAGTAGGGGAGCCAGATAGCGAAGAGCGAGATAACCATCATGCAGGCGATCATGAGCATGACGTTAAAGCGACCGAGGAAGTCGCACATGAAGGTGGGGATAATCTTGCCCAAGATGCCGCTGGCGTTCATGACGGTGACGATGAGGTAGCCCGTCGACTCGGACAACCCGCGGGCGGTGGCGTACGTGGCGATGTACGTGACGGTCAAGATGATGGAGAACTCGTTGAAGAACATACCCAACACCAAGAATAGGTACCGTTTCTCCTTGAAGTTCTGGAAGTTGACCATGTGCTTGTACGCATCAAGCAAACGCTGTTTCTTGTTCAAGTCGGCGCTGTCTGCATGCAACACGTCCGAGCGGTCTTTCACCATGAGGATCGTGAGGATGCACAAGAAGACGCAGATGCTGGCAAGGATGACTATGCTCTTTGTGAAGCCGATAGAAGGGTAGAGCGAGCGGAGCATGATCGGGAAGAACACGCCCGAGATGCATCCACACTCGGAGACCCCGTTGGCCCGCCCTCTCTTCCGCAAGAACCAGTGACTCACAACCCCCACAAGCGGCGACAACATGAGGCCTGAGCCAATACCCGTGCAGATGCCAAAGCTGAGCACAAACTGCCAGAGCTCCTTGCTGAACGCTGTCGCATAAAGCCCGCCGCAGTTCAGTACCGACCCGACAATCAAGATGCCTCGCACGCCGTAGATGTCGAAGATCGGCCCCACAACGATACCCATCGACAAGTTGGTGAACATGTAGAGCGAAAATATCCACGACACCGAGCTGATCTTCACGTCAGCAAGCTGGTGCTTCGAGATGTAGAGCTGGATCGACGACATCGTGTCCATCACCCCGAACACCGTCATCAACCCGAACACCGTCCCGAACACCACCGACCACGCCTCCCATCCGCCATCCGGGAATGCATCTACATCCTCGTGGCCAAAGGCGTCGTAGCCCGACGAGCTTGAGCCATCTCCGCTCACTTGGAGTGGCGTCTCCTGTGTCGATTCGTCCACACAGTACCCTTTTTCGTTCAACTCCTTGTTCTGCGTCTCCGTTTGGTCTCTGCGTCTGTACAGCGACGTGCTGCACGATTCAGGTTTCTCCATTTCGTAGCACAAAGTCTCGCTGTCTTTCTGGAGCCTTGTTTCCATGAAGTGGCCTTTTTTGCATCAATAAAGTGGTACGAACCAGGGAAGGATACGAACTAGCCGCTGGTTTGAAGAGTCACAGACACCCTGCAAGGCCTCTGCCGCTCCTGGCGAAGAAAGAAATATGTCAAAGAAAAAACGGTATCGCGCGAGATGCCGCATCGGGCAAGAGGGGCGGCCGGAGGGGCCTAACGGCCATGCAGAAGAGGCAGGTAGAGACGAAGGAGACGGAGGAGACGAAGAGACGGAGGAGGGACCAGTAAGACAAAGGGAAGGGGGCAGAGGGCTGTTAACGGCCAAAGCATTTGTCGGTGACGGTGTTTTGGCGATGCAGTCGAAGAGTGAGCCCTGGTGGGAGCAGACGACGGAAGGCAACGCAGCGGAGTTCCTCGGGCGGGGTGTTGATAACGGCGGCTAGGTCAGGCGCCATTGGAGAGGGCGCAGCGGTCTTTGTATTCTTCGGATCTACGTTAGTTCGTTTCATCTATAGCGGCGTCTATACTTGGACTGGCCGGAGTTGCCGCAGGTGCGGAGTGTGTAGTGTATCTGCTGCGGCTGCGGCTGCGGCTGCAGCTGCAGCAACGGCAACGGCAACAGCACCGACAGCTAGGCCTCCGGCTTCGTCTTGGCGGCATACTCCTCCATGGCAAAGTCCTTGTTGTTCTTCCTGCGCTCGGCATCCAACTTCTTGCCCAACTGGCCCTTCTTCTGCTGCTGCAGCCTCGACTCGGCGGCCCGGGCAGCCATTTCCCGGGCGGTGTTCGTGCTACTGCGGCCAACAGACACGGGTTCCGGCTCCGCCGGAGGCGTCGTGGCTGCCGGCACGGGCACAGACACGGGCACTGCCTCCGGTGGCGGCTCGTCGGCGCTCTTGGTGCCTAGCCGACGTGTCTCCGACTTGATGCCCGACTTCTTGGCGGCAGACGCCTGGCGCTCGGCCTTTGCAACGGTGTTGCCCTTCGTAGCGGCGGCTGCAGTCTGCTGCGGTGCTGTTCTCTTGGTCTTGTTGACTGGCTGTCTCGTAGGACGAGATGCCTCTTTCGATCCACACGCACCCATGGCTCACTTCAATTGGCGGACTGGTAGGGGCATGCAACGGCTGGCGGAAGCAATGACGGACTGGATAGCGTGCAAAGTGATTGGTTCCAAAGAAAGACCAGAAACAGAGCTTAGAAAAAGTACAATAAATACAGAAAAGAAATAGAAATAAAAGAAGAAAGGTCTCGGACAGCCACATGTCAGCCCAGACACAAGGAAAAACACACAAGATGCTGGAACACAGCGGGGACCCGAGAAAAAGAAAAAAGTCGCGCTCCGTCCTTCGGAGACCCCCCGGGCCCCCCGCTCACGAATTGTGCATGTTCCCCCCGTAGGGATTCATCCCGTTCATGCCTGGCATGCCAGAGATGCCACTCATGTCGTTCAGGTTCATGCTCATGCCGGACATGCCATTCAGGTTCATGCCGTTGACGCCGTTCATGGCGCCCATGTTCAGGCCGGCCATGTTCATGCCGTTCAGGCCGGCCATGTTCAGGCCCGTCATGTTGATTCCGTTCATCCCATTCATGCCGTTCATGCCGCTCATACCGTTCATGCCGTTCATGTTGCCCATGCCGCTCATTCCGTTCATTCCATTCATGTTCGAGAGGTCGTTGCTGTTCATGTTCGGCAGCGACGAGATGCCGGACATGCGGGGCAGGTCCGGCAGGTCGGAGAGGTTCGGGAGGTTGGGCAGGTTGCTCAGACTCGGCAACTTGTTGTTGGCCGAGCCCGAGCCCGACATCGACTGGCTGCCGTGGCTGCCATTGCCCGCCTTGTCGTCTCGCTGGCTGCCGTTGGCGTGCTGCTGTTGCTGATGTTGCTGATGCTGATGCTGCTGATGCTGCAGATGTAGTTGCTGCTGCAGCTGCTGTTGCAATTGCTGTTGCTGTTGTTGTAGTTTGTTCTGATCGTTCTTGCCGTCGCCGTCCACGCCGTCGCCGGCGGCGTTCTGCACCTGTCTCACGAGGTCGTTCAAGAGGAGCGGGTTCTTCCGTGGCCTGCCCCGCGGCCGCTTCACCTTCGGATACCCCTCCTTGTACGTGCCGTCGCTGTTGAGGCCAGACTCCTCCGGGTTCTTTCTGGGCCGGCCCCGCTTCCGCTTCACCACGTTCCCGTTCTCGTCGTAGAGGGGCGGCAACTTCGGTCTCGACGGCCGCAACTCGATCGGGTACTTTCTTGGTCTCCCTCTGCCCCGCTTCACGATCCCGTTCGGCGGCTGCAAAGTGTCGCCGCCGGACAGATCCAGCAGCTGCTCCTGCGATTGGCTCTGCGGTTGTGTCTGCTTGCTTGGTCTCCCGCGTTTCTTCTTCTCCGTCACGCCCTCTCCGGCGCCCGTCTGCCCCGGGTGGGTCCCCGGCAAGCTGCCGTCGATGTTCCCGTCGTTGCCGAGGCCCGTGCTGTGATCGCCTTTCATCTCCGCGTCCATCCCTTCGCCGCCACCGCTGCCGTCCTCCCCCACCCGGTTGCCATCCGGCTCCGCAGTCCCGTTCACATCCTGCTCATTCCCGTGGTTGTGGATCTCGTCGCTCGAGTCGTTGGCTTCGCCGCTGCTGCCATTCCGACTGTGCGCCACCATCGCCGACAACATCGAAAGCGACGGGTCCATTGTCTCTTGGTTGCTGGTCATCGTGCTAGGGTCCTCTGCCTCTCGAACTCCTTGTAGCTGCTCTCTTTCGGCACTTGATAAACACCAAAATATTATTAAAATATTATTATTATTTTATTAAAATATTTATTAAAATAATTTAAAGAGAAAAAAGAGAAAAATCCGACACGGGAGACAAAAAAAGACGGAAAATCGCAAAAAAGAGGGAAAAGGGCGAAAAAGGCGAAAAGGGCGAAAAATGGCCAAGGGGAAGAGGGAAAAAAGAGGGAAAAAAGAAGAAAAGGGCGCAAAAGCCTGTCCCGGGTCGATGGGCGTGGAGGCTCGTTGAAAACGAATAATAGTTAAGTAGATAGATAGAGGTAAGGAGATATAAAGGTATAGATGGACGGTCGATGGTAGCAGTACCGGCCCAAATGGGAAAGAGAAAGAGAAGAAGAGGAGAAGAATAATAGTGCTAGTACTAGAAAAAAAGGAAAACCCAGAAAAATGACAGTAATGAACTGTTGCCGTAACGTAACGTAAAGATGATAATGATAAATAAGGAAAATAAAAAACCCGTGAACCCACCCAGCTAGATGTCGACGCCACGGTTGCCCCAGTACTTGGCAATGGCGTTGCACTTGTTGAACCACTGCAACTCGTTGAGGTCGACGTCTTGCACATTGATTCTTTGAAACTCGTCAAAGACTTTGCGATAGCGTTGGTCCAAGCCAACGTCCAGGTTCATGTATAACTTGAAGTTCTGCAAGTTGAGGAAGTACTTGCAGCAAACCTTGAATAATTTGAAGTAGAGGTCGATTTTCTCGCCGTTGAGGAACTTCGAGTGGATGGTGGCGTCTCTGAAGGCAAACCAGTCGGCGTTGGTTAGGTGGTTGGAGCCGAGCTGGATGTTCGAGGAGATGAGCCGCTTGAACAAGGCGAAGGTCTCTTCGATCGGCAGCTCGACAGAGCCCGATGCCTTCAGAACACATCTGTGGTAGACGTTTGTTTTGGGGAAGTTGTACAAGTCGGCGACCTTGACGATCGACTGGAACACGTTCACGTTTTCCCACCTTTTGGACTTGGTGATCAAGCAGTTGAAGAACGGCTCGTCCATCTTCTTGATCTCCGAGTAGTTCTTCAACAACTTCTTCAACTCGAGCGCAGCGTCGTTGTTGAAGCTGCTGTACTTCTCGAAGAAGATGTCCAAGTACGCGTCGTTCAGCGACGAGGAGATGGCCGTGGTCGACTTGTTGTTGCTTTCGAAGTACTGCCATGTGGAGATCCAGATCTGACTCACCTTGTCGAAATCCTTGGTGTTCTTCCACGTGTTACTCATGAACTTCTTGACGTAGTTGATCTGGATCGGGGTCAAATATGGCATCTGGTTCTCGAAAGAGTCGTTGAAGAAGATGTTCGCAGTCTCAAAGTCCTGGCAGTAGCCGATGAAGGACAAGTGCGCCATGGTCATGTAGTTCTTGACAGCGACGGGAGGCGAGGAGTTCTTCCTGGAGTAGAACTTCAAGACGTCGGAGGTGATTTCCTTGAAAATTTCCAACGCCTTTTCGGTCTTGTTTTTCAACAAACACGCTCTGATCATGGCAACCTGCAACTCGCTGTGAATGATGTCGTTCTCGGTTTTGGAGTTCTTGATTGTCTCGTAGATCGACCAGATCTCCTGGAAGTTGAACTCCTTGTTCTCGACCAACAACGTGAGGATGGAGCCGAGCACGGATTCCGACGTAAACAAGTCGTATAGCTTTGGGTCCTTTTTACCCTTGTTCCAGATGACCGCCGCCTCATCGATCAAGCCCATGTCAGTGAAGGCCTTGAAGAGGTTCGTCAATCCTCTTGAGCTGATTCTGACGTTGTTGACTGCCGCAGCAGAATATAGCTTGTTGCTGTTCGACTCGTCACTCTCGTGCACAATATCGTTACTGATCTTGATGATCGAGTTCTTCAAGTAGGCCTGAATCTGCTGCAATGGAGAGTTTAAGTCACGATCGATGTTTTTCTTCAACTTAGACAATTCAAACCTGTGCATTCTCAACCCGTTTCTGAGCAGAGAGATCAACTCGTCGATTCTTCTCTGGTTGAGCTCGCCGGTGATCAAAAGGTCGTCGTATAGAGGCATGATCTTCTCAACAGAGTCCCAGAATTGGGCGGTTCCGCCCGGGACGTCGCCCGTCTTGGGATCAAAAAACGAGTTGTGTGCAAGACATTCGTCAAATGCCATCAACTGTTTGAAGTATGGCAACGTGTGCTTTGGAACACCCTTGGTCAGCTTCTGGAAATCAGGCAAAGCGGCAGAAGCTCCCTTGCCGGCAGCGGAGGAGGCACTGGCGGCTGTTCTTGTGCTTCCGGAGGTTGAGTAGTGCTGGGAGGAAATGTGGAAGTTTCTGCGTTGCTGGTGGCTGGAACCGTTACTGTTGCCGTTACCACTGTTCTGGTGGTGAGACCCGTTGCCGCTGTTGCCGGCTCTTCCACCACTGCTCTTTCTGCGTGGAGCAACGCTCTTGGCAACCGGCTGGTGCTGGTGATCGACAGGCGAATTCAGAGAGACAGGCGAAGATGTGCCGACAGTAGCAGCAGCGCAGCTGCTGCCAGGCTGCTGGAAGACGCTGTTGAACGTCAGGCAAGACTGCAACGAAATCTTTGAGGTCTGAGAAGAAATGTGTGGGACGTTTCTAATCATGGCGGCCGTGGTGTGTGTCAAAGGATGGATAGCCATGGTGAAAAAGAGATGGAAAAATGTATTTTATAGACAAGAAGGCGGGGGGACAATATAGACAGGAATCTGGGGAACAGCTCAAATATATAGGAGCTCGGCTGATGGTGGTCTGTGCAGAGGTAGATATCGGACAGATAACAGCCAGCCAGGACCCGCCAGCAGCCCCGGCAGTAGATATCGGAGACAAACTCATTTGCCGGAGACGTTGTCCATCGAGGATGAAAAAAAGCCGAAAAGACACAAAAAAGCAAAAAACGGGAAAAGGCGTAGGCCCGCTATCTCCGCGGGAACATGATTTTGCTCTTTCTTTGGTGAAGATGTGGACAGAAAGAAGGGGTCAGGGACGAAGACGATAGAGGCGAGAGTAAGTAGCGGGTAGAGACGAAGACGAAAGATACCGGCATACCTGGTCTGTTATGAGTGATCTTGCTCCACTTCCGAAAGACTTGCCGGCGGTGTTGGAGCAGTACTTACCCCGTAGCGGAAGACGTGACGACAACAGCAACGGTCTTCCGTTTGTCACGCTTACGTATGCCCAGAGCGTCGACAGTAAGATTGCGGCCCGTCCGGGCACACGCACACATATCTCGCATGCTGAGACAAAGACAATGACGCACTACCTGCGTGCGTTTCACGACGCAATTCTGGTCGGGGTCAACACCGTACTGGCAGACGACCCGTCGTTGAATTGCAGATACCCGATAGGTGGCCGTGAGAGCGCAAGTGGCGCACTGAACAATGTCTCCATAAGGCCTGTTGTTGTTGACCCGGAGTTCCGTGTGGCGGAGACCCTTTTGGACCTCAAAATGGTGCACAATTACAGGACAGGCACAGGATTGAAGCCAATAGTCGTTGTTGCGGATGAGGTGCATGTTCCGGACAACGTGTCGGACGTGGTCGACATTTTGCGTCTCAAGTCGGCATGTAACGGCGGCGATTACGGCAGCAAGACCGGTGCCGCTGTGAAACGTGTGTTCCAATGGGCGCAGCTCTTAGAGAACTTGAGGCGGGTGCATGGCCTAGAGAGCGTCATGATCGAGGGCGGCGCACACATCATCAACACCTTGCTCAACGAGTGCCACCCGTCGACAGCTGCACCGCTTGTGGACTCGCTCATTGTGACCATTGGCCCAGTCTACCTCGGGCAGGATGGCGTCGGAGTTTCTCCTGCGAGCCCACTTTCTTTGAAGAACGTCAGGTGGTGGACAGGCATCCGGGACTCGGTCATGTGTGCTACAATGGTGTAGGCAGCACCAAGAGCTAGCGACTTGTCACTATGGGCCTCCAAGTACGAGCTTTAGCTGCGATTCCTATTCCATACTAAAGTAGGACGCAGATCCTACTAAGGAAAGCCCTCATTTCGCCGGTTCCTTGTTAATCGTACTTTTGTTTTCGGTTTTGTAAATCTAGTTAAGCTATACACAAATAGACATAGACAGGTAGACACCTCAGAGACAGATTCTGTACGAGGCGTATCTGCCCGAGGTCTCAGACCGTCTGATGATCTTGACAACCTGGCCCCTCTTCAAGCCCAGATAACGGGCAACAGGGTCCTCGCTCTGGATTCTTGGCAACTGTGACTCCTTCAATCTGTATCTGGTGAGAAGATCCCTTTTCTCCTCGGCACTTAGTCTGATGTGTTTAGGAACTAGTTCATGGTGTGTGATGTTGACAATGATGTCGGACTCCTGGAAGATCTCGATCGTGGCAGGTTCGGCTGCAGCAATCGCCTTGGTGGCACTAGGTGTCAAGTTCTTTTGGTAGATGAACAACCCGGTCGTGAAGTTCTTATCGGTTATGTGGGCGCAGAAGTTCTTCATCGTCTGGATACCAACAGATGGTTCGTCACAGAATTCGACCCAAAGCGGGCCCAGATCTCCGTACTTTTCCAGCGCCTCCTGACGTGGATTCGCCTGGAACGACATGAGCTTTCTCTGGGGCATGCCCATCGAGTCGCAAATCTTTTCTCTGAACTGGTCCAACGACAAGTCGAGTTCCTCCTGCGAGATGAAGTATCCTCTGTCAGCAACCATCTCCTTCACGGTTCTGTACGCTCTCCATAAACGTGACGTGGTTCTGTCGGCGTCCTCCATTGTTGTTGTATGTGAGTTCAGGTACTTCCGCTGTTCGTCCCTTGCCTCTAGGTTCTTCTTCTCACTGCCTTCTCCTCTTCTTCAACTCCTCCACATGGAAAAACATGTTCTCAAAAGCGTTGCACAGAAGAAAAAAATTTGCGAAAATGAGAATTTTCTCCTTTTCCTCACTTTTTCATGTTTTTTTACACACAATCTCTCTATTACTATTATTATTACTACAGTTACACGGTCCTCTTGCGGAAGAAAATCTCGATGTCTCCGCCCTGTCTCCAGACACGAGCCTTGATAGTGCCCAACGTATATTTTTCGCCAAGGACAGCGTCCTTACACACCAATTCAAGCGGCGCCCGGGCCTCTTCGGCAGGTAGTTTGCTTCGGACAAAGTCGAGGATCCGGGCCACTCTCAGAGTGCCCACGGCGTTCAGCCGCATCGACTTCTCGTCATTGAGCCTGCTGAGGTTGCTGCCCTCCATGGGCACCAAGGAGAACCCGATCTTCATCATCATCGACGAAGGGATCGGATATAAGTCGAGCAGTAGTCCCTTCGCGATCCAGATAGGGATGTTCTTGACCACCTCTTCTTCGTCGATGTTGCGAGAGACAAGCTCGTTTAAGTAAACCGTGTAAGCAGGACGGGTCTCGAGTTGCGTTTCCTCGTTGATCACAACCAGTGTGGACGTCTCCGTCACTCCTCTTTTTTCTTCTCCTTCTGCTTCCATTTTTTCTTCCCCTTCATTCTCTGGAACGTAGTTAAACACAGGGATCTCCTCGTTTCTTCTGTCATCCATACCCTCCTGGTACGCCTTCACCATTGGAATGGCCTCCGGGTTGAGTTCGAGAAACTTCAATAGTTTTGAAGTGTCGTCAATATGATTGATTCTCTCCACCATCAAATCTGCCTTGCTTTTGCTATGTGCTGGCCCTGCCTTGGCACCTAAAGTGGATGGTGATGATGGGGATGATGAAATGTCTTTCCTTAAATCCTTCTGCTTCAGCCGTCCAAACAAACCACGTTTGGATCCACTTGTTTTCTCAGCGCTAACCGAAGTCGTGGAAGAGCTGGATTGCGGTCTACTCTGTGAAGACGATTTCGAAACATCATTTGAGAATGATGATTTGTCCGTAGCACCACTATCTAAAGTAGAATCAGACAGGCTGAGCTTTTCTGTGGATGTTGCATTGAAATTAGGAATGATTTTTAGCAAATATGAATCCAGAACATTTCCAAAAAAAGTCTTAACAACGATTTTACCCAAGTCCACTCTCAAGTTACTGATTTGCTGAGCTTGACCCATGAGCTCCCGATAGTACTCGAAAAAGTCATCAGTGTAAATTTCGCACGCAATAAAGTTATTCTCCTTCAAAGTAATGAACAACTGACCTGCCTTGACTTGTACCGAACACCACGTAGGTAGCGTTTCTTGTGTTTGAAATTTCTCACATACTGCCTCAAATCTGTCCGATAAATTAAGCTCATCTTCATTGGTTGCAGTAAAAGTCTCCTCCCGAGTTGCATCAGATTTCAACTTGATGTTTTCAATGGTGTCTATGCTATTGACTGAGAGATGATTATCAACTCTATGGATTAACTTACACTGCAGAATATCAAATATGTAAACACAACCGGTTTGATCCATGGCTGCAACATGTCTCCTATTGTTCAAGATCTTGCTTCTAATAAGTCCGCTAGTACCAGAGATCTTGGAAATAGGTTTGATGTTGAAGGGCAAAAGCAGGATCTCGTCCTCGTTGACATTACCGCAATTGATGACCATCTTTTTTGTAACTTGTAAGTTGTTTTCAATAACTTTCGGTGGACCGCTGAATGGATCGTACCCTCCGGTAGTATCTTGTGATGGAGCCAAAGATTCTATTTCCTGCTCCAGTGTATTGATGTAGTCGTCTGCAAACAAAAAGTGTGTGTTCAAATTCCCCCATAGTTCAACGAAACAAGTGGCGTACTCATACCCATCTTCATCCATCTCGTCATCTTCTACTCTTTCTCCATAAACGTCTCCCGTATCGGTGTGGGTCCCTACCGGGTCGTATTCGCCGCCAATATCATATGACGTAACCGATTGATCTGTTTTACCATCCAGTTGCGGGCTATTTTCTACCAAAAGCTTGTCTAGCCCATTGGTGTTGGAGAAAAGAGCATTATCTATTTGATCCAAGTCGTCACCACTCAATTGACTGACTAGATCTTCAGTATCATGAATACTGTCGTTGGATTTGACTGTATCTATTTGAAGATCATTTTGGACACTGTTTGGGCGCTTGAAGTGAAAACCAGAAAGTTGACCTATGTTTGAAGTAGGAGTGAGTGCCTCCCCATTGCCACTGGTATTGTTATTGTTGTTATATAGGCTTGCTAATCTTCGATTAAGTACAAGACCTTGGTGTATTACCAGCTTCCCTGTTTGCGGAATAGACCAACTGGATATATAGTTGGTATTTGCGTTGTGAATTGTGGAAGCAGTTGCCGTCCATAGCGTTCCCAAGTCATCTGTTTCAACAATATCATTTATGCCCGAGACCGAAGACTCCATATCTGCGACGCTTGAGTTGTCTGGAGAAGTGTTTGAATAGTTGACGTTAGCAATGACCGTGCTTATTCCCAACGATTCGTTGACTTTGTAATTAAAATAGCCACTCAAATTTTGAGAGTTGAGGTCAGCAGCTCTCAGGTCGGTCTTCAACAACAGACCAGACTTATCTGCCGAATAAAATATTGAAAAGTCATCGGAATAATCTGGCGTGTATATGGACCAGATTGGGGAGTTGTGCATTTCGAAATTCCTTAAAATCCGGGTCGACCTCAAATCCCACAATTTCAGAGTGCTGTCTGAGGACCCGGACAGAAACGAGTTATCCTTGAGCAGTAGAGCCCGGACATTATCGGTATGACCGAGAAATGTTTTCACCGGCTTGGCCATACCTCTTCTGTCGAACAGGTTGATGATATTTGAGGGTCCCGAACAGATGATCATGTCGTTGTTGACATCTAATGAATATATGGAGTTGTTGAAATCTTTGAACTTATATGAAGAAATTGGCTGGCCCTTGGTGGTGTCCCACACTTTGACGACTTTATCCAACCCGGCAGACACCAACTCGTTTTTGCGGCTCTTTGTGTAGCCGATTTTCTTGATGTAGTCATCGTGGTATCCTAGGGTTGATTTTGTGCCTGTGCTGTAGTTCCAGCACTTGATGGACAAATCGTTCGAGCACGAAGCTATGGTATGGCCGTCGTCTAGCAGGGCCATATCGTTGATCCATCCGAAGTGGTGGAGGAAGGAGTTTCTATAATAGTGGGGGGCGGAGGTCGAGGTTGGGATCGACACAGAGGACACGCCCTGCTTTATGCTTGTTTCTAAGTTTTCTAGTTCTAAGTCGTTGTCCAAGTTCTGGAAAATATGGTTTCGGATGTCGGCATTGGTCCGGAAGTTGTCATAGACGTCGTCGTTGTCTTTGATTGGGTCGTACTTCGACGGGTCTGCGTCTGTGTCGAACTTCCAGATGGATATCTGGCCGTCTCTCCCGCCCGAGATGAGACACTTGTCCGTCTTGTTGTACAAGAGCGAGTTGACGCCTATCGAGTGGTGTCCCTTCATCTGGCGCTCGTTGGGGCTGTTCAAGATGTATGTCAGAGACTTCTTCTTCGCCGGCTCTGGTTGTCGTGGGGACGCATTGCTCGGCAGTTTGGCCGTTGCCGTGGTGTGTGAGCTGTGGTTCGAGCTGCCGCCATTGGCGCCCGACCCGGCCGTCGGGTTCGACGAGAACGTGGATTTAAAGAATGACATGCTGCTTCTGTGTCCAAAGCAGGAGCATATACGTGGAGCGGTTCTGGGTGTCCCTGCACAACTGGAGAGGTGGGGGTAGAGATCGTCCTTTCACCAAGCAGACAAACAGAAGCGATTGGTGCAAGCCAAGTATCTTCGGGGCGGCGGTGGAGGGCGGCTCTGCGGTGCGGCTGGCGATTCGGGATGTCCAAGAGGCGTTTCCGACTGCAGACACTGCACAACAGAACACAATCGGCCACAGCCTACGGTTTCTCCCCGCTGTATGTGGATATGCTCATGTGTATCTAGCTAATTTCTCTAGCCTCCGGCGAGTGCTCCTCCTCCATCGATATCTCCACCCAGCTTCTCCGCGCCGATCGCGGGACGGACTCGGACGAGAGACCGGGGGCTGCAGCGGGAGGGGGCTGCCACGGTCCAGAGAAGACCCGGAAAGACTACGAAGAGCCCTGGAAAGAAGCAGGTGTCGGCAGTGGCGGATGCCGTGTGCCCCGGCGGACGACGCTCCATACGTTCCTTGCGGAAAGCAGTTGTGTGGCATACAGCTCCGCAAATCCTTCGATGTAGATCGCCGGTGCCTACGGATATTTCACAGAAGACGTTGGACATCGTTTTCCACTATCTTTGGGCTTCTCCAGCAAAGGATCACGTGATCCGGCGCAAGCAAAAAAATCCTAAAATGGCACGTGACATTTGATCTTCCGAAGTGTCCACGCGGGAGGGAAACCAACTCGTAAATTGGCAATTTGTCCGAGTGGTTAAGGAGAAAGATTAGAAATCTTTTGGGCTTTGCCCGCGCAGGTTCGAATCCTGCAGTTGTCGTTTTATCCGTTATTTTTTCATTTTCGCGCCCTTTTTTGCTGCATGTGAAAAAAAACAAGCGAGTTGCCAAAAAGCAAGCGCTTTTTTTTTCCTCACTCTATTTTCCTCGTCTGCTTCTCCGTCTTGTCCCATCTGCGACCCGTCAGTGGCTCTCCCTTCCGGTCTTCTGACTGGTTCTGGGGTTAATCTAAACGCCCTGCTTAGCTTACGTCTCCGCAGGACCCGATCTAAGCAGACACACATTCTTCGCGCAGACCGCTGCACAGAGACGAACAGGTAGAGAGCATCCACGCACTCACAGGACCTATAGCCAAGCAAGTGGATCTGATCAATACCTATCTACCACCCTATCCGTATCGCACCACCAGAGCCGTGCGCATCAGAAGACGCTCCCGTACCCACACAGCGACACAAACGGTACCGCACCGTCTCCTAGATACCACTGCCTTGTTCTGAATCTCCACAGGACCACCCGCCACGATGTCGGACAACGAATCGTCACCCTCCTCGTCCTACTGCTTGTTGTCGAATGGGAACCTCCATTTCCTCCCCTACTCGAACTCGAAGAACGACCAGGCGACATACCAGCACTACCCGTTGTACAGCACGTTCCTAAACAACAAAACGGTGTCGTCCTTCGACTCCTGCGCCAGCGCCACCAACAACAACGCCGGTGCCAGCGGTACCCAACACCACAACCACAACAGTAGCAATCTCACCAAACAGGCCGCCAACACCAGCCGGCTACTCAATCTATTGGAGAACTACAAGTCGCATGCAATCTACTTGCCCGACCACTATATACCCTTGGAGGAAGACGGCGACCAGAAGGAGAAGATCAAGTCGTTGCTGCTGAAGATCTTCAACCATTGGAACACCGACGAGGGACAAATACAGATCAAAAAGCTAACAGGAGGCATCACCAACATGCTGCTCGAATGCACATACACGAGCGACCGCACCAACGATACAGAGAAAGTCTTGGTGAGAACCTACGGGAACGGAACAGACCTCATAATAGACAGAGATCGGGAGTTCGTCTCCCATCTCGTGCTCAACTCCCTCAACCTTGCCCCCTCGATCCATGCCCGTTTCGGCAACGGCCTGGTATACGGGTACATAGAGGGCCGTTCTCTCAAGTTCGAGGAGTTGTCTAATACAGGAGTATACCCGCTCATCGCCTCCAAGCTCGCTTGTTTGCATAAATTGACAGACGTTCACACGATAGACGAATCCCTTTATAAGCTCAAACAGAAGTTTCAGTTGGGCTCTTCACATTCCTCATCCAACCCGTCGCCGGTTTCCTCTCCATCGCCCTCTCCAGCCCCTTCCTCCTTTACAACATACTCCCAAACAAACATATGGTCCGTGTTGTCGGACTGGGTCCAAAAGCTACCTCACATACCTGCCATGGAAAATCTATGTCTCCAAAATAAAGACATCATTGCAGACTCAAACCGAACTGGAAATTCCACTCTTGTGAAAATCCTCTCCGACGAAATAAGCTGGTTGAAGCAGGAAATAGACAATCTATCGGTAACAGTGACCTCCCACAATGACCTTTTGTCAGGCAACATCATAATACCTTCCTCGTTAGACCTCGATTCTTCCCAAGAAAACTTCATACGTTCGGCTGAAAAGTTTGATTCGAATCCTCTCTCTTTCATAGATTACGAATACATGATGCCTGCACCTCGTGCGTTTGACATAGCAAACCATTTCATGGAATGGCAAGGATTTGATTGCGATAAGTCAAAAGTGCCCCAATTTAAGTACAATCCACAAACGAATAACTACGAAAATGAAACAGTTTTCAAATGGTGTCAATATTATATACCCGCCTTCCATGCTTCAAACCCAGACTTGAACCCTTACTACTCAAGCAATTTCCATCCTTCCAACAACAAAGCAATTGGTGACAACACAATACAGCAACTGGTCAATGAAATAGCTTATCATTACGGAATGCCAGGTCTATACTGGGGGATATGGGCAGGAATTCAAAGTGAAATCTCTCTCATAGATTTCGACTATTCCAGTTACTCTTGTGAGAGATTAGTTGAGTATTGGAACTGGAAACGGACTTATCTCTCAAATAGGAGTTGAAAGAAGGTAGCATAGCAGAGCAGAGCGGTCTGAGTCAAGCCAATATTAAGAAATTCCGATTATTATCCTTATATATACTACATATCCATCTTTATAAAAGATTGTAGATCTACCTCTATAGAAAAATTTTCCTACTCATTTCGTGAGATCGTCAATGACAAACTTCAAAATGTTGCTTCTTCTGATCAAACGACTCTCTCGATCAAGACGTTTCACACCCTTTACGTTACCCCTTGTACTCCCCCCACCTAAACTCAAGTTGAAGCTCTCATCATTCAGGCTAGTGTTGGCGTCGTCGCCGACTTTGTTCTCCCCAACAGTGGCAGTGGCAGTGGCACCATGCTTCAAAAAGTCCATCTCATAGGCAACTTTCTCATCTTCCTCTTTTAAATTGTAGCACCACCCATTTGACTCGATCATATCCATAAACCCTTCAAATTGCTCTGCACCTTTTAAAAGCTTTTTGCTTCCAAAAATAATCAACTTACATTTTGCTCGAGTCATGGCAACGTTAACCCGTCTCCATTCCTTTAGCAAATCTCCAATAACCTCGCTTCGAACTAATGATATTATAATCACATCCTTATCACGTCCTTGGAATCGATCAGCAGTTAAAATCTCGATATCTTTATATTTTGCCAATGAAACAAAAAAGTGCCTTAGTTGTGCCTTGTAGAAAGACATAACACCAATATTTTCTTGTTCAATTCCACCCATCAACATTACCTTGATCAAAATGGTAATCAGTTTAGCTTCACCAGGATTTTGAACTTTGTCTCCAACACTGACCTCGTGAAGCGAGGGAATTGCATCCTCGTTGACAAAAATAACTCTTCTTTTCGGGTCCAACATATCTTTGATGCATGTACCGTCAATGGGTAAACTGTCCAGGTAAGGGATATTCAACATTTTGGTAGCCACTTCTTTTGAACCACACTTGAGTCGTCCATCATAAATCAGCTCGTTTGATAATGACATGATATCAGAGCACATTCTGTATTGATGTGTCAATTCAATCACACTAGATGGATGTGCCTCACTCAAAATCTTAAAAAGTGATCGATCAAGGCCTTCTTGCTTAGCTTCAGGATGAAGAACGAGAGGGGGCAATTGATAGTGATCTCCGACCAAAATGAATTTATCAGAAAATGCAATTGGCCCAAGTACAACCGGTAAAGTCACTTGCGATGCTTCATCAATTATACAGTAGTCAAACCTTTTACCGGTACCAAAAACAACATCATTTAAACCTAAGCAGGTAGCTGCCACAATTTGACAGTCATTCACGATATCTTGGAACTCAGACTTATCGTTAATGCTATTGTCAAACTCTTCGTTGTATAGTGAATAAGACTTTACAATTGGGCTTATTCTAGCAGGAGATCCGACTCTTAATAGCGGTAACTTTTGTTTTCGACTCTCAGCATTTTTAATGAGTTTCTCACATATATTATCGACAGCCGAGTGTGTGTAAGATGAAATCAACACGGTCATACCACTTTCTACTATACTGTCAACAATACTACTGATTACAGTAGTCTTTCCAGTGCCGGGCATCCCAAGAATCAAACAGTAGTCTTCGATCCTAGCAGCAATTTCAACCGCCCTAATCTGGTCCTCATTTAGCTTAAGCCTAGCAATATCGTAATCAAATTCACGCGTTTTACTAAACTTGGGCTCTTTTAATTCAACGATCAACTCTCGACTTTTGGAGTCACCTTCAGGAAGAAATAAGTTGAGTAGATTAAATCTTGCCATTGCCATACCATGAAACATTTGATCTTTATCAATTCGAAAACTTTTGGAAGTAATATATTTACTCAAAGGCTGTGACAATTGTGATGTTCTATTCCCATCATTTTGACTGGAAGTTCTCAAAACTGATCTGAATGTCTGATTATTTTTTGCATCAAAATCAGCCATTCGAACTGCAGAATTTGACCAATTCCGATCCGTTATTATAACAATAACATCGGACCTGAGCAGCTTAATCTGACCATAAGCTAGCCCAAACATTGAATTCTCGTCACTCAAAATTACTCGGTCATTTTTAGCTAGCTGACTTGACGTTAATGGTGGATATACTGTAGTATCTCTTTCAAACATGTAGACAAATTGATCTTTCACGGCACTGAAATCGCAATTGACTACTTTCAAATGCCCAACACAGTTTCCTCCATTGGCTTCCCTAAAATCAGCAGTACTTCGCCATAAATCTGTTTTAGCAAAGCTCATTAAGCCTTCTTCCTTTGTAATCAATTTATCCCAGTGTTCATAATATTCCTTGTACAACGGTTTGCTCAAATGGGAGGTGATTTTTTCATACATCTCAGTTTCTATTCCACTTTCATGAGCTACCCCGTTCTCTGTCAATTTGTTGAGCACCATGCAGGGTTCGAGATTGAAACATCTTTCACAAGATGCACGTTGAAGGATCGGAGGGAGTTCTGTGACTGCATACACTAAATACTGGGCCAACTCATTTCTAATGTTTATCAACAATTTAAAATCATTGTACTTGAGGGCATTAAGATAACACTGGTGTAGTTTGGTATACACCAACGAAGTATAGAAACAGTCCACATCATACCTTTGTTTGATAAGTAAGGTATACAAAGAAACCTGAGCTCTGTTAGAAAGGTACTCACGTCCTGTTTTTATCTCAAGCGGAATGACATACTTTCCGCCGTCCTTCAGCTTTGCTTCAATAACAACATCGATGATACCTTTAATACCAAATATTGGTGAAACAATACTTTCCTCTATATCTAGAACGTTTGTTGTTTTGTATTCTGTATTTTGGCTTCCTTTGTTACCGGAGGTTGTGACACTAGGTGTGATATAATCAGTTATCCACTCTTTAATATATGAAAAATGTTCCATAATCATGCTCTTTATTTCTTGTCTATTTTTGCTAGCAGCATAAATTTCAATGATGTGAGAATCAAGTTGCTGTTCAATTAATTCTTCGGCAAAATCTAAATCTACGTTTTTATGCATCAAACATTTTTGAAATAGATGATGTGTAATGTTACCAATAATGAATGGAATTGAGATAATACCTGGTCCGTTGAATTTTTGGCTTATAATCGAGCGCCTTTTACACTCTACAGCATCTGCAATTCTTGTCGAGGACAAGAGTGTATCCGGATGCCAGATCAAAAGATTGTGATCTTTATCAACCAATTGAAAATTATCAGTTGGGTTGGAAAGGATAATATGAACTACATCATTAACTTTGAACTCTAAAGATGTCCAATGATCCCTAACCAAAACATTTACCAGTTCATCACTTGCTGTCAAACAATTTAACACATACTGTTTTTTGACACAAGTATCATTTTTATAGACTCCCTCATGCACATTTTTTATTTGCAACCTTTTCATTGTCTCAAAATTAAGAGCACACTTGGCCAGGTTCTCGTTTTCTCCATATAGTTGAAAGGGTTTGTTTTTATTATTTTTCTGATCTTCATCATCTTTGGTCATCATTCCTTTATACTTGGAGGCTGGATATACGTTTGAAGAACTGCCCTTGAATTCAGACTCTATAGAAATAGTATTTTCAGTTTTTTTTGTAATTTCCGTTTCAATCACATCAGTTACGTCAGTCTGATCTGTGTTAGGTCTTCTATTCCTTACCTGAGGCTGAGTCAGCCCTAGCTCAATCTTTTCTATGAGATCGTCATCATCATCACTGAAACTGTCATCTGTGCCTGAGCTAGAGTCTAAATTATTATCAAACCGTATTGTGGCAGGAATAGCTTGTGTCGCATTCACTAAAAGGTCATTCATATCAATATCGTCACTGAATGTGTCTGATTTGTCCTCTTCTTCAACTTTCAAATTCCTAGTACCTCCATTATTGATGCTTTGATCTCTACTATTTCCGGCTGCAGCGAATTTGCTGACATCGCCTTCTGTCACTGGTTCATCAGGTTTTACAATTTTTTCAAGTAAAAAAGTCGGGGTTGAAGAAATATTCAAATCTTCTTTGGAAGGAGCAGGAAAAGACGTCATTAACTTCGATCCAATTTGTATTAGCATGTCTGAAAGATCAACTTTATCGTCATTCTGAGCTATACTGCTTCTCAAACTCTCTTTGCAATTTTCTCTCGTTATGGAGTCGATTATGCTATCATTCAATGAATTTTTAGTGGCAACGATTTGAGTTGTGAGTGATCGACGCTTACTTTCCTGCTTCTTCCCACTCACTGTTTGCGAATCAGAGATGCACCTACTGAAAAGCGGCTTTTTATGTAGCCTTGCTGGGCTTCCACCGTATTTGGCAATCAATGTTTTCAGTTCTGGATCTAACAGAGTATCGGGCAGATCCTTTAGTTGAGAGTCTTTATCCAGCTTCAAAGGTGAGGATAGTATCTTGGAGCCGCTGGGGTTAGTTTCATCACCGCCTGCATTTGAATTAGCTTGTTGCAGTCCTATGGTTGCGTTCTGCTTAGAGCGTGGGGTCGTGATCCAAAATATGCCGTCGTCGGAGCTAGGCCTTGTTCTGAATATCGTCGGGGTGGTTACGGAAACAACTTTCTCCGCAGCCTTGGTGGTAATGGGAGAGTCAATATTGAAGTCCTGACTCGATCGTATGAGCTTGAAAGGAGATGAGTCGTTGTTGATAGAAAGGTCCGAATCTTCTTTTATTTCGATGATTCCAGAGAACTTTTTCGAGGTATCTGAGCTCTTGGTTAGATCCCGCATGCTTTTCAATTCCGCAATTGACATAGCTTTCTTCTTGTTATTGGTGATCTTCTCCATTGTATCTAGAATCCCTGTGTTGCCAAACTTTCTGGCTTTGGATCTTATTGAAGACGCTGCAGTTTTCAGCTTATTAGCTGTCTCATTTTCCTCATTTTTATCCTGAGCTGGGAGAATGCCGTCTTTTCCGCCGGGGTTGGCTTTCACACGCTTCGTAGGTCGTTCGTCTGTGCGACCCATTTCCATTCAGCGTGTATCTACCGCAAGATCACTTGGACTTGCACGGACACCACCATGGGAGGCGAAAAGTGCAGATCCATGTTCCCTTTTCTTCTTCACTATGGCGTATTCTTACTGTTTCAAACTACGCGTCTCCTTTTTTTTCAGTGCCCTTATTCATTCTCCTTCTTTATCTGAGCCTTTATTCATGCACTCTTTGCTGAACTACATGAAGTCATTCTTTCCTGAGACAGCCTGACTATTCTTACAGCACTAAAGTAGCTAATGCGTATTTATAAACTCTAAAAACTCATCTCGGAGAGGAATACTATCCTTCAACGTGTATTTTTTCAAAATTCCAGAGGCTATCAAACTCGGTCCTAACCACTCGGCTTTTAATTTCTACAATTCCTGTTGACAGCAGCTCTATTGACTCTTTGGAAAGCTGATATATCTTTGTCGTTCTTCCAGCTGCCCCCTCATCGACGTTCTCCTTCTTTTATTTGACTTGAGATGAGCCGTGTGAATAGTACGAGCCGCCAAGCTGGACGACGGTCGACGGAAAATGGGTCTGCGCCCTTTTAGGAAAGCAGGGAATGCGGGACAGAGAAGGAGGAAGAGGGAGGGTGAGCGGAAGGTGGAGGGGGGAGATTGATGTGTATCAGAAATGTGCTGTGCACAGGCTTCTTGTTTGGATTGCCGAAGGTAGCATTATTCTTTCCGAGCTTGTTTACAGGATCCAGTAAGTCAGGATTCATCAATTGCGTTGATACAATTTCAAGTAGTGACGCTTCTTTGCCCCTGCGATCTGCCACTGCCACCCATATATACGCATTCGAGCTATAGGTTTTGTTAAACGAACACTATCTACCCAGCTATCTACCCAATCAGCTACACTACTCTTGTTACTTTACGCATTCAAGATCCTTCCAGCAGGAGACAATATTTATCTCAATTGACTCAAACAACATGTCTGTCCCTTATAGTGCAATTGCCAGATATCCGTACGAGCCGGATCCAGAAAACGCCAGCGATGATTTGCCGTTACAGGTAGACCAGATTATCACTGTGTCCGAGGTGGTCGACGACGACTGGCTGTTTGGATCTTACAACAATGATTCGGGCCAGACTGTGAGTGGATACTTTCCAAAATCTTTTGTTGAGCCTTATTCCTTGCCGGGTGCTGCTTCTCCGGTTCTCGAACAGGCGCCAAGCGCAGCATCAGCTCCTGCGGCCCATACTCCAGCAGAGCCGGAACCCGCACTTCAAACGAGTTCAGTATCAGCAGAGCATGCGAAGGAAACACATACGGAAGTGCCACAGGAAACAGCCGCTGATACTGGTGAACCTGACTTGGGAAGTATAGATCCGAAGCTGAAAGATATTGAAAAAAACATTGTCCATGAGCCTGAGAATTTTAAAAACAAGTTGCAGTCTTTCAACGTTTCATCAACTCCACTAATGCCAATGGGAAAACCAAAGGAGGAGAGTTTCACAAGAAAACCTTTTTCTGCGGCTGAACACCGTACATCTTATGTTCCGCCATCTTTGGGCACTTCCAAAACAGTCAGAAAAGAGGAGAAGAAACCAGACGTCATCTCTGCCGACATAACGTCTGAGTCTTCCAAAGTTGAGGAAGAAGAAGGCCCAAGGATGACATTAAAAGAGCGTATGAAGCTATTGCAACAACAACAAGAAGAGGAGCAAAAATCTATTCAAGCCGCTCTGAAAAGAAAAGAGGAAAGAAAGAAGGCCAAACAGGTTCACCGCCATGGTACAGAAGGTCTTCCTAATGCATTCCAACCCGAGAATTTCGAGCAAAATGAAATTGCTGATGCAAAAAGTTTGAGCACCAAACAAAGTGTGGATTCCGATAGTGATGAAGAATTTGAAACACTCGATCCAAACACCCCACACGCTCCACACGTTTTGCCAGATGCAAAGATAAAACCGGTCATTCCTGGACAAAATAGAACAGCCCAAGAGGAGATAGCTACTGAAGGCGCAGAGAGCTCCGAAAATGGAGATGACGGCGACAACAATGACAACGATCATGACAATAATGATGAAGATGACGATGACGATGACGATGACGATGAAGATGACGATGACGATGACGACGACGATGAAGAGGACGAGGAAGATGAAGAGGAATTGAGGAAAAGGAGATTAGCCGAACGTATGGCGAAGTTATCTCGTGGTATGGGCATGATGGGCATGATGGGCATGATGGGCGCCCCGGTACCAGCAGCTCCAACGACCACAAAGAAGTCGAAGAAATCCAAGAAAGAGAAAAAACCTGCCGAGGATGACTTGGACGGTGTTCCGGAGGCAATTCCTATATTACCGATGGCCGCACCGTCCGTTCCGATCTCCAAGGGATTGCCTGGTGTAGCAAATGATAGGATTTCACTCCATGGCGTAGAAACGAGCAGCTCTCATTCAGCGGTTCCAACTTCAGCACATGAGGCCCTGGGGTCAGACCAATCCTCTGAAGATGAAGATGAAGCTTTCCAGGATACCGTTGAATCGACGACGACGACTAGTCCTTCTAAGGTTGCGCCTCCAACCGTGCCAACTGAAAGACATCCGCTTAGACCAAATTTTGGTATTCCAACTTCACCAGTATCGGCCACTATGGATATCGCCTCTCCCACTTCTCCTACTAGTGCACCACCCATCCCAGGTTCTGTTGCGTCAGCATTCACGAGCCCTATCAATCATCCCCATGGTGCTCCAATACCTCCTACTGCGACTCACGCTCCTACCACACCAATTCCACCTATTCCTTCAAGTAGAGCACCTACGGTTCGTGAGGCTCCTCCTCCGCCACCAATCACATCTCCGCCTTTATATGAGTCTGAAGATGAAGTTAGTAGCCCAACTCAGGCAGCTCCTCCGATACCTAATGCCCAACATACAATGCCACATACAATGCCACATACAGCTCCCTCATCACGCCCACCTATGCCACCTCCGGCCACGACTACAACTACACATACCGGCCCATCAGTAACGACAGGTGCACCACCTCCAGTTCCAGGAGCTTTTCCTACTATCCCTTCGCCAACAGAGATTGCAAGTATCCCACCACCGTCGCATGCTCAAGCACCAGCACCAGCACCAGCACCAGCACCAGCACCAGCACCAGCACCAGCACCAGCACCAGCACCAGCACCAGCACCAGCACCAGCACCAGCACCAGCACCAGCACCAGCACCAGCACCAGTACCAACCCCAGGCCCAACTTCAAATGCAGATAATCTCTCTCGCCACTCTTCCACGAGAGCACCACCCATACCTCCACTTGGTGCACCTTCTGTTCCAACTGCACCTTCTACAGCAGCTCCACCAATACCGGGTGCAGCCAAACGACATACCACAATGGGACACGCTCCTCCTCCCCCACCACCCCCTACTGATGCTGTACCAGTTGTCCCTCAATCTCAGGAAAGAACTTCATACGATAATTTCGAATCCTCAGCAATCCACAGACAGTTTACTAGGTCTTCAATGGAAACCACTAATTCTGCTACTGTGTCAGCAGAGGAGCTACCAATCAAGGTTCCATCTTCATCTTCAGCCTCTGAATACTGGTGGACTACAGAATCTCTTCCTCCACAATTGACCAAGACAGAAACATACTTCGAAGTTGATTCTACAGATGTCCATAAGAGAGGTGGAAAGCTTATCAAGTATCTGATTTATTACGTTTTGGATGCTCACCTTACTTGTATCACTATAGAATTGGCTTACGATACTAGTGAACCCGAAAGGTTACTGTTTTTCCATGAGACCAAGGAAAAAAGTAAAAGTGACAGGAGAAAACTTGTGGAAGAATACACCAAGTATGGTCCTCTTGCTTATAATACCGCGGTCAAGAGCCTGAACAAATCTTACAACGGAGATTACGTGAATTTCATTTTTTCAAATCTTCCCAAAAATGTTTTGCATCCTATTGCAAACAAGACTTTTGGTGCTGTTGTTTACCGTAACAATAATGGTGAGACAAAATCATTTGATGATATCCGTCCAGGTGACATCCTAGTTTTGGTGAACGCTGTTTTTGAAGGTCATGGCATTAAAGAAGTCGGATTCGGTAAACCGCATGTGGCTTTGATTACGAGTTTTGATGTGGAGAAGAACAGAATTAAAGTTATTGAGCAGACAGATGGCGTTATCCAGCAAGGTAGATATAAACTTAAAAATATGAAGTCTGGCAAGTTGAGAGCCTTCAGAATCGTCGGACGTGATTATGTCAATTGGTAAAAGACAATTCCCGGAAAGGGATTTTTGATGGTTTTTAATTCTTTGTCCTTTATATTATCCCATTCTTTTCCCCCCATTTTTGATGTTTTATATATTTACGAAGAAAACAACTTTTGTTACAGTAAAATACCACAAGACACACTTTGAAGTTCACGTGATCGCGGCTCTTCCTCTCGTACTGGTGGAAAAAGCATATCGACTTCTCGGAGAAACAATTGCAGTGGATAGGCCTTTTATTTAAGATCTTTATTACGATACTAGAAAATACACGAACAGGTAATCGGGAAGCCATGTTTCGAATAGCAAGACGTTTCAATAGCACATATACTCGTCTCAAGTTTTTCACCAAGCCTGATTGCATGCTTTGTTACGAGGCCAAAACCGTACTTGAAAGTGCACTAAAGGACGTGAGGCCGGAGATGCGTGATTGCATATCCGAGGTTGAGAACATTGACATCACTTTGCCAGAAAACAAAGATTGGTTTGCCAGCTACAGATACGATATTCCAGTTCTTCATGTTGAACGTGAGAAGTTCAAGAAAGTGGTGTTCATGCACAAATTCGATCACGAGGAGATTGTAGAGGAACTAGACCAGGAGCTCTAATAAAGTCCTAACAAAATTGCTAACATCTTATATCTATCATAATCTTTACATATGTAATTTTCTATTACTCTACATTTGGTTTTGAATCACGAGGTTTTCCTTTATATAGCACAGAATAGAATCACCACCCAGGTTTGAGTATTGTTCCAAGTTTGTCAATTGCTTCAAACTCATTAAATATGTCCAAATCTTGCAGTATGTTTTTTGTCAAGTCCTGTTGTTTCTTTTCTCTCAAAGACTGCGATGACCTTGTTGATGATTGGGAGGAACTAATCAATTTTCTTTTAGGCTTGGTAATTTTAGTATTGAGACTTGGCTTTTTAGCCTTTGGCTTGATAGGTTCTTTCTCCTTCGAAGTTTCTAACTTTTTCTCTGCCTTCTTTTTCGCTACCGCTTTCTTTGTCTCTATCTCTTTATTTTGTTCTAGCTTGACCTTGACTTCTGGAGTTACCAACTCTTTAGTTTCTTCCTGTTTTACTACGGTACTGGTTCTAGATTCAGGGAAAAGCTTTCTGGGGTTGGCCTTGCAAAGTTTCTCATAATCTCCTGCTAGTTTTTCAAAATCTTTTTTTAGTTTTGTAATCTCGTCATCCCTTTTTCTAGTGTTTTGCTCCGCCATTTGCTTTGTTTTGTTAAGATCTTCTTGGCAGCCAGCCAAACTTTTCTCTTTTGCTGCCATTGATTTCTTGAGATCGTAAATGTAAGTTTCTTTCTCGTTGAATGAAGTTCTCATCATATCAACATCTGCGTTGGAGACACCAAGTTCATTACTAGTTTCATTTAGGCTCAGCATCAATTCTATGACCTTCTTAGATTCCTCATCATGAACTTGCTTCAACTTATTTAACTCCTTGATATTGGCTTCATTTGATTCATTTGAGCTATTTAGCTTATTTTGTAGTGCAACTCTCTCTGTTTCCATCATCTCACAAGTTTTTTCAAAAGCCCCAAGCCTTTGCTGTAAAGAATCAACTTTCTTCTTCTCTTGATTAAAGAGACTTATATTTTTCTTCTCAACTTGTTTAGCTAGTTCTTTAGATGATTTCATCTTGTTCTCATAATCTTTGATAGTAGTTATATAAGTCTCACTTAGCTTTGCAACCTCATTACTGAACTTTTCTTTCTCATTTTGCAAATCATTCATGACAGAAAGTTGGTTATTGGTCAACTCTGCGTTCTCTCTGTTCAATTCTGAAATCTTTTTGGTCAAATTTCCAATTTCTTCTACTTTAGTTTCCAACCTAACGTTTAGCACTGTTATCTGCTTGTCTTTTCTGGTGTTTCCATCTACTAATTTCTTGTTTTCAATATGTAATAAGGAAAGTTCTTTTTCATTTTTTAGATTTTTGTCTATAGTCTCCACTATTTTGGTAGAGAAACATTCTAGGTCTTGCGACGTACATTTTTCATTTAATTTTTGTAAGATTGCACCAAAGTTGTTATTCGAATTTGTTACAATACTCTTGTCAATCAATGACAAAGTTGGTACTAGTTCTTCTTTGAGACTAGTAGCTTTTTCACCGGAGTCTAGTATAGAACATTTGATAGTTTCGGTTTCGGCACCCAGGTTAGCAAACCTCAGAGCAAGATCGTTAAAATTATCATCTAAACTTGATTTTAATTTCTTCAATGAGTCTGAGTTTACAGAGTTCATTGAACTCAATTTTGTGTTGAAATCACTAGTAAATTAATATAAGGTTAATAGTTAGTATGACGTGCATGCTGAAAAAGATAATGAGATTAACATGTATAGTTTTCACAAACCTTACGAACTCTACCCATGTAGTTCTAAACTCAGCTCTTTGATCTAAAATGGATTTGATAAGTTGATTATTTTCACTAGTGCCCTTGAATAGTTCTGATTCGTACTTTTTGGATAGCCCTGTCAGCTCCTTACTTAAATGCGAGTTTTTTATTTTCTCTTCTGACAATCTGCCGGCCAAATTATTGGCTTTTTGATCTAAATTTGCAATACGTTGATCTTTTTGAGAAATTTTACTTTCATTCAACGAAATTTGGGTTTTCAAGTTTGAGACTAACGTTTTTAAAGAGTATAAGAACTCATGTTCTTTGAGTATGCTCTCTTTGGTTTTCTTCAAATCCTCAACTAATACATCCTTTTTTTTACTTGACTCTACAAATTTTACCTTCAAGTCCTTCAAAAGAGCATTAGAATTTTCAACGGTGCACTTAAATTTGAAAACTTGATGTTTCAAAAGGCTAACATATTCATTTTTTTCTTTGAGATTACTAGCAATGTCTTCGTTTTCAAGCTTTAAGGTTTTAAGTTCTTTTTGAAGATTTTTATTTTTCTCATTCAAATGAGATATAGTATTTAAAAGATACTCCAGCGAAATGTTGTCCATTTTATTGCTAATCTCCTTATTGACATTCAATGTTTCCTCCTCTGGGTAAGGTCGATGATTATAGTCTTGGTCATCATCATTGTTAAGGGTATTGGATGTTTCACCAACATTGTCGGAGCCACTGTAGATATCCTGGTCTAGGTCCCGGACTTCTGTTATCTCGACATCATCATCTTCATCCATAGAATTGTTTTCAATCCTAAGATTCGAATGGATGAGAGAGTTATTATCAGTCTTATCAATCTTAGATTCGTCATTTTCACAGTCGTCGGTCTGTTCCTCTTGCAATAAATTGACTTCAGGAGCCACTTTTTTGGAACCACCGATACTTGTGCCTTCAAGTTTTAGCGCTTCATTGAACGGTTTAACTACGAGTGAGTTGCTTTTATGCTTACTGCTCAGCTTCTCGAAATTGATTTTACTATTGCTCGTCACGGCCTGAAATAAAGGTTTGTTATTTCTGGTAGCAAACAAATTTGAGTCTCTGAAAAAGCTCGACATTGTCTACACCAAATTTGTGATTATTATTATGAATATATGTATACAACTGTCTGGCGCCTAAAAAGTTGACTTTTGAATCAATGAAAAAAAGAGAGAAAGAGAGAAGACAATGGAGGGCAAAAATAGCCTATGAAAAAATGACATGAGATTTGCCATTTGAGGAAAGCAGTGGGGGGCTCAACAGCATTGCTCGCCTTTCTATCTTTGATGCCTTGTAAATTTTCTGTGTCATTGCTTCGCATAATCACATCATGATGAAAACGTTTCTTCAGATGGTTGGCAGCATTATGCTCTGAGGTTCCAGTTTGACATGAACCTTGCTCCAATGTCGTAGGTACTCGTGAAATCCGTGGCCTTTTTCGCCTATAGCGAAGGCTGCATTGCAGTTTGGATACGGGCAGAAAAAGCCACTTGTTTCAAACCAATGATTTCGTACCCACTTGTAACAAAAGTAGCCAGTGTCAGGCATTTTGCAGATAGCTCCGTTGGGATGAATACCATGAGTGTTTATCATGTGGCCTCTGTACCTAGAATTATTCCTTTCGTAAAAATTGGAGTCCCAATTTTCATCATACATGGTGCAGTATTTGCAGAATCCGGGGTGATCCTTTTTCGTCTTTTTGCCGTTAACGAACTCATCTTCAATCTTGCATCTAGTGATTTGAGGGTCATATATTCTGTCTTTGTTATCAACGTTTTCCTCATATATATAGTCGTTATCGCAGTGGTAGACCACATTGTCGATAGTAAAACCGTTTGGCTGATTGTAGAGCTGAAACTGCTGTAGTTTCCTTATAAAATTGCACGGTCTATTGTAGCAAAAATAGCAAGTATCTGAAATTTTTTGGCAGTATTCACAGAGGAAGAAAGGAAATGGTGCAACTTTGAACTTCTCCGGTTGTGTGACATAATTATTGGATGCGGTATCCATTGCATTGATCTTGTTTTAAATTTTAGCAAAAGAATATCGAATTAGCTAGAAAGCTATAGACGGAAGTTTCATAGTCTAACTGAGAATTATAAAATCGTTTTCATTGTGAAAAAGGTATAACTTACCCACTTAGAAAGGCCAAGATTGATTTGATTAGCAATAATTTTGGCCATCGGATACTGGCAGAAAATGAAGGGGGTGTGAAAGAGGAAGCAGATAACGAAGCAGAGAAGTGAGTATAACGATATAATTTTTTGCGCAGATGATGCTGTAGTATATTATCCAATATATTTGTGACTAAATTATGAAAGAGCTTCATATATATACATACATGTATACATTATAAGTTGTTGGGACAGAAAAAGAAAGTAAACACAAAGCAGTAGAGGCAGAATTCGGCTAACAAAAAAAACACAAATTCATGCGATTGGAACATTTTAATATGAAAGTAAATTCAAAAAGAAAAAAGAAAAAGAAAGAGTAAAAGAAATAAAAACAGGAACAAGAACAAGTAAAAGGAAACAAAATTGAAAGACTGAATCTTTCAAACGGAATTTAAATGTAATATAGTAGTGAATTGTAAACGGGTAGTATATTAGTATAATTCGAGGTTGTACAGGTTTGGCGAAGTTAGTGGAAAGCTAGTTAGCTAAAGAGAAAAGAGAAATCATTGATTTGAACGACAACTCTTTTTCCTTAGATCGATACTTGAGTACCACTTGTTGATGCCCAACCGTTAACAGTGGAAGCGGAAAGAGAGGAACCGAATGTAGTATCATCGTCTAAGACGACAATGGAAATGTTACCGTCTTGGAAGACAACGGCAGCTTTCATTGTAGAACCATAAGGTCTGGAGAAGTAGTCAGAAGTACCACCACCACCGTAACTACCGGTGGAACCTTGACCGTCATGGAGATGACTGATCAACTTATCGGAGCCTGCGGACAAGATTTCAAAGATATCAAACTCACCACAACCAGTAGACCAACAAGAACAAGCTGAGTTACCGTATTGAAGGGTTCTTGGGATCTTAGCGTTCAGCATCCAGATGGCTGGCATGTCACCGTTGAAAGAGGAACCTGAATTGGAAGGCATTTGGAATTCAAATACAAACACCTTTTCTGCACCTGCGAAACCATGGTGGGCAGGTATATCGGAACGGTAGTAGCCACAGTCACTAATGGAAGAATCTGAACATAGGGAGGAGTGGAAGATCATGAATTCGACGTCGGAATCGATGGTGACGTCGCCTAAGGCTTGAGCAGAGGCGGCACCGTTGACACCATCGGAAGCACAGTAAGAAAGGGAGTTACCGAAACATGAAGACCACGTTCCTGAGCCTGCAGAACCACCCTTACTGTTCAGGAAAACCAGTCCGTCGGCTGATCCTGGGGTGAAGTAGGAAGATCTGACCCAGTCACCACCACTACCAGAAGAAGGTGATGAGGATGAGGATGAGGATGAGGATGCAGAAGGGGAAGCACCGGTAGTGGATCCAGAAGAAACAAAAGTGGCTGTATTTGGACCCGGAGCATATGATTGAGAAAGGGTAGAGGTCAAAAGAGTTGTGCCGGAGCTGGAAGCCGGTCCATATAATGGGGCTGGTTGGCCAGTTGGTGCGGTAGAAGAAGAAGGTCCTGCGGGGTTAATGTTCTGGCCGGCTGGAACAGTCTCTGTAACGTATTCGTACTCGATGACAGGAGCTCTCTTGTGTCTGTGGTGGATGTGTTTGGTGGTGACACATGGTGCTGCATCGGAGGAAGCGTCGGCAACAGGAGCATCTGCAGCAGCAGCAGCGGCGTCGGCGTCAGAGAAGTCTCTCTTGGCCATCTTGGAAGAGGCAGGGTAGTAGACACCAAACTGGGCCAACTTGATAGGGCCTCTGAAGTGGATAGAAAGCTCTTCGTCTAATGGGGAGAGAGTACCTGAGAAGGATTTTGGAGAGGAGGAGCACTGGCAAGTGGTTTCGTCCATGTTGGTGACGTCGTTGTAGGACCCGGAGAAGCCGACGTTTTGGTATTGGACGGCGGAGACCGAGTTACAGTAGTAGTTGCCGCCGATGTACTGGCAGCCGGCGTCGACGGTGGATGTGGACACCAACGCTGTGGCGATGGAGTACAAAAGGGAAGTTGAGAATCTCATGGAGATGGACTATAAGGAATGACTGATCTTGTTTCTGTTTCAACGACGGTTTGGCGGGTTATTAAAGAAAGTATTAAGTTAGTTGGTTGTCGACAGATGAAGATGGGATAGCGAACAAGTGCAATGTTCACTTCTGTTGCTGGTTTGCGCTTGTGCAGGTGTTAAGGAAAGACTGGGGTTAGTTGTGTTGCTCGACAAAAGCAAGCTATCTGAGCAGACGAGACGAGACGAGTAGCGGATGTGTCACGGTGGAGCTGAAGAGCAGTGTAAGGCAGGCAGGAGGGGCTTAACCAGGGGAGGGGCGGGCAAAGGAGGAAAGGAGACGAAGGGAAGGAGAGGCAAGCACGGACGAGGGAACAGGGGTCGACGGGAGGAGGGAAAGAGGCCGCCGGGCACAGAGACACACAGACAGAAAGCCGGGAAAAGAAAAGAAACGACCCAGCCTGCGGCCCTGCTCCGTGCACGAGCTGAAACGACACGGGGCAGCCAGCCTGCAGGCATACCGGCCTCACTCCCAGCATTCCCGGACCACCACAGGAGCAGCCTCTCCAGGGGAGAAGAGCACCCTGCCGGGCCCCCCGTCTGCTGCAGAAAGTGGGCAGAAAACCACAACAACAACAAAAGCCTCGACGACGCCCGCAGCAACCGTAGCAACAATACCATGCCAGATGCCGCTGTTACGAAGGACAATGTAGCACTTCCTTGACGCAGCTGCAACAGACACGCTTCAAGGCCTGAAACGGCGTCGCGACAATGCCGAAACGGTCCCAGGTGGCTGGGCCCTCGGGGGGCGCGCGCGCAGCGGGGCGTGCGCTCTTTGTTTTCTGCTGGACGGCGCGGGCTGCGACTTGAAGCCGGAGCAAGCGCGTGCCTTCCTCTTCGGGGGCGTTGTCAACACCGGGGGAGAAAAGGAGGAAAAACAAAAAAAGGACGATCGACTGAAAACGACGGGACGGGTCGATCGACCTGGAGCAAAGCCGAAAAGGGAAGTAAAGATATACACAGATAGGCATATACACGGGATATAGGATGTAGAGGAGGAATCACTGGTTGTTCTGTCTGAAAACACGGTGCTTGAAGTGCTGGACAAAGGCGAGCGGGTGGCTGAGGTCACCGTGGATGGCGTCGTCCGGAAGCTCGTCGTCGTGGTCGGCGCCGGCCCCGAAGGAGTTGACGGGAAGAACAAGCACGTCGCTGACGAGCTTGGGGACGTCCATCTTGGTGAAGTCCTTCCAGGTGACCTGGGAAAAGATGCCGCTCAAAACGTAGTCGTTGAAGTAGCGGAAAATGACGTCGGTGAAGAGCCCGTCACCGGTCCAGTTCATCACGTCGAGGAGGAACTCGTCCTCGTTCTCGTTGCGGATGTGGAGGTCTCCGTCCCGCATCTTGTCGAGCGTGATGTCTGTGATGGCGGCAATGATCTCGCGCAAGATGGGGTGCCCCGGCTTGGCCTGCACGACCCAGTTGGCGAACTGGAGCCGACGCGTGTAGTACTTGCGCCAGTCCTTGTCGATGGGGTCGCTCTCGATGCCGATGATCATGCCCAACTCGCTCGGGTCGACGTTCTCCGGGATCCAGTTGGGAATGGGCTGCAGCGGGTTGGTGTCCACGTCCGCATACACGCCACCCTTGGCAAAGAGAATCAAGTACCTGAAGAAGTCTGCCCGCAGGAGCACGTGCGGCAACGCGTTGTACACCCTCACCACCTCCGGGATGCCCATGTAAAGGTACCGGATGATCGCGTTCGACGTGTCGTCGTTGAAGAACTCGTGCACAAACCCTGGGTTCTTGATCGCCCACTGCTCCTCGCCCCGCTTATACTCCTTGTCGAACTTGTCGTCGTTCAACCCGTACTTCCACGTCTGCCAGATGTACGCCGGGAACTTCTGGTTCTGGTCGTACGGGTACACAAACGCAAGCTTCTCCCGCAGCGTCAAGTCCGGCGACGGCTTTTTGAGCTCGTTGAGCTGTCTCTCGAGCTTGCTCTTGTCTTCCTCGAGCTGCGACAACCGCTTCTCCTGCTGCTCGAGCAATTTCTCCGCAATCTCGTCCAGCTTCTGCGACAGCTCCATCTGGTCGTTCAGCCGCAACCCAAAGAGGTTCGACGACGCATCCTGCTTTCCACCAGCCCCTTCCTCCGCCGACACCTCCCCCCGGCTGCTCGTCCGGGACAGCTTCCCGAAGAACACAATCACAATCAGCACAGAGAGCGTCACTATCACCGCCTGCCTCACTTTTGTAGTCATCTGCATCTTGCTGCAGTGGTATTCCTCTAGGTCTCAGTCGTAGACTCTGCTGCAGGTTTGCTGGCGTCTGTGCCCGGCTCTTCTTTATTCTGCCTTTCATCCCTGTGCAACGCCGCCAACGTCTTTTGCGATGGTTGAGCCTCAGCAATTTTCGCAACTCTCGCTGCGACGATTTTCTCGGCCAGCAAATTCGAGCAATGAATGTCTGCCTGCTACACTGTACCCCTCTGCTACTCCTACATACCGTAATGTCTGCGAGACGTTGCGTCTTCACCCTCCCCCAATGACTTCTTCTGCCATGTATATACGGCGACTCTACAAAGAAGGAACTGACGGCCAGCGGTCCGAGCACACACTGTATACATGTGCGCATGTTCCCGCTTCGGGCATCTGCCCTCATCCGAACCCCGAATACCCCCTAAAAATACAAACCAGCTGCCATTTACCCAGGGGCCCCACCAGATGTGAGCGCCTGACAAACCAGTGCTGTCCTGAAGTGTCAGCTTCCCGACGTGGCAGCACTCTTTGACGGGAGAACTCTTTTCCTCGGAATTTCCACCTCGCTTACGCTTATCTCCTTCGGCGCCTTGCTCAATCTAGGCCTCTCTTTCTTCCTTTGTTACGTGCTTCCTACATACCACACCGCATTCGCAACGGGAACAGTAGGCAATCATTTGCTTGCTCCTTACGGATCGCCCCTGCCCTATCTCCCAAAGCTGGCTGCCTCTCAGCTGCGAGCGAAGTCGTCTCTTTTCGGCAGGAGTACCCGAACGGATCGAGGGTGCTGAAAGATAACAGATAACGGCCTTTCGAGCGATAACGGCTATCAGCGTGTAGTGCCTCTGGGCGTCTTTCTTTATATACATAGGTGCCACTACTTCTGCGAGACCACTCCTACTGCTGCAGCTGCTGTTTCTGCCGTTGCTTCTGCAGCCTTTAGTACCGTTGACGCCCCCACATCACACATAATGATACAGAGAATCGACGTCAAGGAGCCTGTCGAGAGCTTTGTGAAGGCCCTCGAGCAGGACGGCCTGGTTGTCGTGCGGAACTTCGCCAGCGCCGACGACCTGGTTCAATCTCTGCAAGAGGTGCAACCGTACCTCGACGCAGACAAGCCGTGGGAGGGAAAGCTCTTCCCGCCGGAGACTAAACGCTGCTTCCGTCTTATTGGCAGGTCCAAGACGGTCCGGGAGAAGTTCTTCAGCCACCCACTCTACCAGCAGGTAAGCGAGCACTTCCTTGCCCGCACGACGACCAACTACTACGACGACACACCCACCACCTACACGACCCACCCGTTGCTCTCCATGTCGATGACGATGGCGATTGGTCCTGGCGCCAAGGCGCAGCGCATCCACAGGGACGAGAAGAACCACCATGCCACGCACGTAAAGTCCGAAACCTATGTCATGGGCAACGACCTCCTTGTTGGTCTCATGGTGCCTACATGTGCCACCACTATCGAGAACGGAGCCACACAGGTCATCCCGGGCTCCCATCTGTGGGGCGACCACAGACCGCCGTATCGTGACGAGCTTGTCAGTGCCGAGCTCGACCGGGGGGACGCAGTCCTCCTTCTTGGTAGTCTCTACCACTGTGGTGCTAACAACTACTCCACCCAGATCCGGCCTATGCATATCATGTTTCAGTGTCCGGGTGTATACCGCCAGGAGGAGATCCCTTGGCTCTCGTACGACGTGCAGGACGTGAAGACGTACTCTCCGCTTGTACAGCAACGACTCGGCTACGTTTCAAGTGCTCCGAACCTAGGCTGGGTCGACCTCAAGAGTCCCGACTTCCTGCTCCGTGAGGAGGGCGACGAGGTTGGCCACAAGGATCTCGACGAAGCGTAGAATCATGTATTGTACTGTGTCCACTTTCCCTGTCTAGCTGTATACTCTAACCGCTGCTTTCCCGGAGCTGGGCCGTGACTGGGCCTCCCCTCTCCCGCTCCGGACAAATGAAATTTCCCTCACAGGCCGGTCCGTGAAAATTTTACCGTCGGCGGCAGACATGATTCTTTGATAATTTTTTGCTTCTGGCTTGGCTGGGCCGGTAGGGATGCTCCTTGCCAAGCCGGCATTTAAGCACATAAGAACAGTAGCGTGTCAAGAAACCAAGGGAAAAGCACTACAGAGCACCGGAAAAACAGCGACACACAGCAAAAGACCATGGTATTGCTCACAGGCTGGAAAATGGGCGCCTATACTCAGCTGGGCGCCTTAAGTCGGGCTTTGTCTGGCACGAGGGGCAGCTACAGGTTGACCCTTCGCACACGTCTAGCAGATGCAAAATCTGCTCAGAGTTCATGGCGGAGGGAATATAGAAGCAGCATATGGAGAGAAGCAAGTCTCACGAAACCTAAAAGGACACTTTTTGCTGGGGTACATACTTTACATTACAACAAGAGCACAGCACAGCATGATGCGGCCACGAGATACAAGGTCATATTCCGTCAATACACACAGAAAGCAGAAGATGGAACGAACAAGGAAAGACTGGCAGAGGAGGTGTCGAAAAAAGAAAAGGTCGAGGAAAAGGTCGAGAAGAAGAACCTTGGGATAGGTGCCCGGGTGAAGTACTTTTTGCTAAGACAAAACCGGCCTTTCAATGTCGACGAGATTACGGCGTTCTTCTCGTGGATTCTGATGGGAAATTTCATCTGGATCATTATTGGAACAACGACGTTTTTTGGCGTGCTCATATACATTCTCAATTGGATCGGAGACGGAGAGGTGGAAAAGCTTGTGCTGAAGAAATTACTTACGTTTGACAACAAGCTCATGGTGGACTTCAGCGGACCAAACTTCATGGCGACTTGGGAAGACGGCAAGATCAAAATCCGGAACCTGCGGGTGCAGTCGAGTTCTGCGAGGGATAATGCGCATCTGAACTACCAGCTGGACATTGCGGAGATCAACCTCACACTCTCGTCGAGCAAGTGGCTTGACGGGAAGGGGTTGATCGACGGAATCGAGATCGAGGGGTTGCAGGGCGACGTGAACATGCTTGACGGGACGGAGCTGATCCTGGACAACTCATTCCACGACAACTACGAGTTGAACCACCTTAAGGTGAAGCACTCGAAGATCAGCTTCCACAGCGAAACGCTGTTCAACAAGCCATTGGAACTGGTGGTGTTCAACTGCGACATGGGCCGGTTGCGGCGGAAGTGGATGGTGTACGACTTCTTGAACGCCAACACGATGTTTGGCTCGCTCGGCGGGTCCTTGTTCACGTTGCACAAGCGTCAGCACCGGTTTGCGCACTTCAGCGGGATGGACCTCCACGACGAGATTGACGACTACAGCAACAGCACGCTGAACTCTGTGAACGAGAGCCGGCAGTTCGGCAGCACCGACACGGGCCACGCCGGTTCTGGCGGCGGCACGGGCGGCACGGGCGGCGGCACGCGGTTCGGCGGCATCAAGTACAAGGTGAGCAACGACAGCAACGACGGCACGAACGAACACAGCAGTGGTAGCGGGGGAGGCACAGGTGGCCGGGCAGACGGCGATGCGGAGGGCGACTTCTGGAAGAAGATCACGCGGCTCCGGATCGACATGCTCGACCTCTCCTTCTTGAACGAGCACTCGAAGTTGAACTGGATCGAGTCGGGTAAGGCGGAGGTGATTTTCGACATCATGTTGCCGAACGACGACGACGGCCGCGGCGACGGCGGCGGGCCGTACTTTGGTGGGGGCTCGTCCTTGAAGAAGGACCTCAACTTCGAGTTCTCCGTCGACGGCGTGAAGCAGATGCTGCACACGGTGTACCGCAAGTTGACCGACGGCGACGGCGACGCAGGTGCCGCAGCCCGCGGCGCCAGCCCGGCCGAGATGAACAAGTACGTGGTGATCGACATGAAGATCAACTACTTCAACCTCACCGCGAAGTACCCGGACACGCTTCCGTGCTCAAGCCTCACGGGGCTCCCGTACCTCACTGCGAAGGACCTCCAGTCGCTCGTGACGTTCATCAACGACGAGAAGTTCGGGCTCTCGTCGTCGAGGTTTGGCCAGCTCTCGAACGACCTCGGCCACGAGGAGCCCGACTCCGACACCGACGGCGTCGCCGACGGCGGCGACGCCCAGTCCGCCAACAACTACCACACGGGCACCGCCGCAGGCGGCAGCAGTGGTGCTGCTGCCGGCGGCAAAGCCGCCCCCGACGACGCCGACGCCGACGCCCCGGTCGACGTGGACGACCCGGCGGAGAGCGGCCTCCTCCTCCACGGCGACAGCGTGCGCACGCTCCCGCCGATCAAGTTCCGCATAGTGCAGAACCTCAACGACTTCGAGTACCTCGACCTGCCATCGCTCTTGAGCTTCACCAGCATGGAGCGGCCCGACGACGGCTGCGACGAGAAGACGCTGCGCAGCTTCATCAACACCAACAAGTTCATCGACAGCTCCATCGTCGAGGTGCTGGCCCTGCTCCTCGTGTACAAGGACGAGATCCAGACCCGCCTGCTCGACATGTACTCCCGCCGCAGCGGCTTCGAGATCCTCTTCAACAACTTCATCTTGGGCAACCTCATCCTTGTCGGCCTCGGCAGCTTTGTCATCTAGCCGAGCCTCCTGTATATACACCTGTAGACATAGATAACGAACGATACCCCTGCGATGCGATGCGAACCGATGCGACGCGACGATGCGCGACCAACCGAAAAGCGGCCGATCGACCGGCGGCTCGTGCTTTTCGAGCCTCTTGCCCTTTTCGGCATCCACTTGCCCAATTGCCCCGTTGCCCCGTTGCCCCCGCGGCCCCGCGGCCCCTTCCGGTCATTTGCCCTCCGCCCCCTTCCCCGCACCAATCCTGGCCGATCGGCCCAGGCGATATCTCCTGAGCCCCATGGCCCGCCACGCTCGCCCCCCGCGCGCCGTCGTCATCGCCGGCGTCATCGCCACGACCAGTCCGAGTTTCTGTCCTCCGGACGGCGCAGCCGGCTGCGGGGCCCGGCGGGAGCGGGTGTCAACAGCCCCGGCGCAGCTGCTCAGCACCGCACAGCGGGGCCCACCAACTGCACAACACCGGGACAGACGCACAGGGCGGGAGGACTGGGGGGGGGGGGGGGGGTGTCTGTGGGCTCCGCCTGCGCCCTGGTGTGGTGTACTCTGGTGTACTCTGGTGTACTCTGGTGTACTCTGGACCGCACTGCCCAACAGACACGGTCCAGCAGGGCACAGTGGAGCCAGACAGAGACGACACACGGCCAGAAACCCTTCCGACTGCGACAGTGTGGGGTGCTGTGACAGCAGACTTGCTTGCTTCGCCTCTTCGCTTCCATTGCTGCTTTATCCGTCCCGGCAAACGCCCTGTTCTTCCAGCTGCTTGTCCGGACACACACACAGAGCGTGCTCTACAACCCGTTGCTTGGTACCACGCGGTGGATACTTGACTGATTGATTACACACACACACAGCGCAGAACGGCACACCCGGAGATCGCTGCGCACGAAACAGACACACGGGAAACACCCCCGATGCTGATCAACGACAACAAAAAGAAGGCCGGCGTCGCTGCCGTGGGCACCGCCGCCGGCAGCCACGACATGGAACTGGCGGACCCGGCCGACGCCGCCGGCAGGAGGGTCTCCATGCACTCCGCCGACGGCTCGGTGCTCACGTCTGCCCTTTTGCACGGCAGCAGCTTCGGCAGCAGCGGCGGACACACGAACAACTACTCGGCACCGGCGTCCCGCCACCGCAGCTCCTTCGACACAAACGCCAAGATCGGCTCGTTCGCCCACACGAACGACTACATGAAGTCGCCGTACTTGTCGTCCTTCCCGGCGTTCAGACAGTCGTCCTTTGCCAGCGGCGGAGAAGGCGCTGGCTTCGACAACACGAACAGCCTCTTCTCCCAACAGCAGTCACGACCACAGCCCCACGCACAACTACATCCGCAGCCTCCATCCTCCAACGGCTCCAGCATGGCACCGCCGCTGTCCTCTCCCTCCATGATTCTATCCTCGGACAAGCACGGCGCAGACACGAGCAACATCTCGCCCTTGTCTCCGCAGAAGAGCTCTTTCTCAGACGTCCCGCCCTTGTCCCAGGACATGTTCACCTCGCCGCTTTCCAAGCCCCACGAGTTTTCCAACCAACAGGGCTTGAGCTTCCCATCTTCCGCCGGCAATTCCATGGGCATCTTCCCAAACATCGAGGAGCTTGCTCTGGACACTTTCGACCTCTCCGACAAGAACGTCGGAGATGCGGCTTTGCTGGCGCCGCTGCAGAACCAGTACGACCAGCCACTGCATACGAGAAGTTCACTTGGAAGTGTTTGGGAAGATACCGCCAACAACGCCAACAGTATGGGCTTCCAGGTGCAAAATGCCGGCAGCAACGCATACAACTGGGCTTCTCCGCCAACCGCCGATTTCCAGCCTTTGCGGAGATACTCCTATGATGCGGCTAGCGCCACCACTTTTATACCAAACAGGAGCACGCTGGCCAACTACGATTTCAACATGAACATGAACTTGGCCACGAACTACGCCAAGGGGGATTTTAACAGCTTCATAAACAATAACAACAAGGGGAACTCGAACGGCACCGTTGAAAGTACCTTCAATATCACCAGCAACAACAACAACAACAACAACAATTTTCGTCCAATGTCCAACAGTAGCGGCACTAACAGCAATAATGGTAGCAACAGTTACTCGCGGCATTCATCTGTCGGCGCTAACACGATATCCCAATTCAACAACCCAAACCACAGTTCAAATATTATCAGCCCAACAAAGGAGCAGGTTATTCGCAGCATCAACGATGTATCCAACTATTTGGGGCTCCCTTCAACAGAAGTTCTCAATATGGAAAAGTACTTGAGCCATCTCAATACGAGTTCTCTACCACAGTTGACGTACCTGACCGACGCAGCCAACCTATCCAACTACGAGATTATTGCCTGCTGCTTCAAAAACTCCCGTATTGATGTGTTCCACATCAGCCCGATCAATAAGCAGCTTTTAGGCGAAATTAAGCTTGGAGATTTGGTCATTGTTGAGGCTGACCGTGGACGTGATTTGGGCAAAGTCGTCAAGTTAAATGTAAGCATACTTGAGGCAAGGTTGCTACGATATGCACAGTACTTGGGGCGTAAGGCTGCGCTATCGAAAGAGGATGAAAATCATAAGAGGCCCGTTCTCAACTTCCCCAAGCCTGTTATACGCTTTGCCAAGAACGAAGAGTTGCTTACCATCAATTCCAAGATCAACGATGAAGTGAGGGCAGTCGAGGTATGCCAGAACAAGGTGGCAGAATACGACTTAGACATGAAGATTGTTGATGCAGAGTACCAATGGGACATGAAGAAGTTGACATTCTACTACAACTCAGAAGTGAGAATAGACTTTAGAGACTTGGTCAAGGAGTTATTTAGAATTTACAAGATAAGAATCTGGATGTCCAAGCAAGGAGGCATTTGCTAATGGGATCCATTCGTCTGCATATATGAAAACTTTAAAGGGAAATTAGGCCGGAGGAAAAACCGGCTATCATAAAATATTGGGATTTTGAAACATGGGAACGAAACTTTTCTGTTGAAGACAGAGAGAACAAAATAGACTGTCGTACGAAGTGGTGGCGTTTCTTGTCATTCCCTGCTGGGGATATAGAGTTTACTGAATTTGTGTTTTTACTGTTGTTTATTTGGTTTCATTTGATGTGTTTTCATCTATTTTCTTTTTTGTCTTCATTTTCATTTTTGTCCGTGTTTTTTTTACAATGGGATGGATGGCCTTTTTATAGTCGGCTCGCCCGTGACCTTGACTGTGCATTTCTTTTAAGCGACTGGTGCTGTTCTGGGCAGCCCCATTTCTAGAAACATACGTTGTTAGAGAACCTATACCTCTGCTATATATACACATATATACATATACACTTTATACACTACGACACCACACACATAGACCGGAACAGGAAGCCTGCGCGGCAGAAATGATTTCGTGAAGATATTTCTATTGTGTTGACATTTTGGCGACATGTTTCTACCACCAGATGCTATCAGGAACTTACGCCGAGGGTGGGTGTTCACGGCCAAAAGGTTTGCACGCAAGAGCAGACCATTAACAGCATAAGATAGTTAAAAAGAGATCGCTATGAACGACACCAAAGGCAGCAGTGGAATCAAACAGAAACAAACCCACAAGCTTCACATCACCACTGAAGACGACATGCACGCGAGTGGAGGTGGGAGTGGACGCAACAACACGCCTGACGGTGTTGATGGAACGAAACGCCCGAATTCGTCGCTGAATATGGCCGCCTCTACGGTTCATTTGTCAAAGTCCGGTGGAGGCGCCAACGGCAGCAACATGAGCAGCAATGACAAAGAAAGACTGATTGACGAGAAACTGCTGAGCAGCAGAGATCAGGAGAAGCGGGAAGCGCTGGCGAAACAACGGGAGAACTATTTGAACTCGGCATCGACAAGTGGCCTTGAGGGGGACATACTTCTACAGCCGGGAGCACGCAATGCCGGGCGACTGAGACGGTTCAGGCTTTTTTTAAAAAACATCTTCTCTGACATCGACTCACACACGGAACACCTTTTCTACGTGATTGCGGCGGAGATGTTTTTCATATTCCTCACATACACGCACTATTCGTACTTAGACAATAAGAATCGGTTTCTCACGCCAATCGTGATGGGCAGCGAGACGTCGTTGCTTGGCCAGACGCTCACGCAGCTGTTCGACTGGACCAGGGCCCGCACGGCACTGCGGAACCGAACTGTCCACAAGACGCCGAGCGACGAGGAGATGAACTTGACCTCGGCGACCAATGGAACCTCCAACAGCATGTCCACTGGGATGCGAGAGATGCACAGCAGGAACTCGAGCAGCAACACCATCCCGGTGTCCGTGAGCCCTCACCTTGCGCCAGTCTCCGGGAATTCAGCGGTATCGGGACAGCCCTTAGAGCAGATGCATATACATAACCCATTGCCACGGACGATGCTAGCCGCCGACAAAGAGGCAAGTTTGAGAGACCACCTCAAGTTCTTAATCTGGGGCGGTGTGAACGGCTTACTGTGCAGCTACTGGATTGAACTCTTACTTACAGTCTTCCGGGACCGTGAGTTAGTTTGTGTTCTTGTCGACCAGACCGCCGGGACCGTCATCTTCCAGACCTTGTACTCGCTGTACATCTGTCTATGGGACGGAGAGGTCGAAGTTTCCGGAGCCGCCGCCATTGCCGACACAAGCGACTCTTCCCGCAGGACTGTCGAGCTCACATGGGAGAACTTCACCAACCACTACGCCGGAATGCTCTGGAAGTACATGAAGCTCTCCTACCTGGTGTGGCCCGTGATCAGTCTTCTTTGTTTCACCGTACTCAGCGACGAGTGGATTTTCCCCGTGAACTGTTTCTTTGCGACCCTCTTTGGGGTAACTTTGGGAATGTGATCAGGCCCTGCACAAGCTCTTTGTTCTGCTCCGGTGCTGGTCACTGGACAGCTCCAGACAGCATCACAGACCCCGCCCAGCCAATCGGAACTCATTGGCACCGGAACCCGGGCGGAAAAAATGAAATGCAGGCGAGGAAGGCTCTAGCCAAACGTGGAGACGAGACCGCCGGAGAGGAAAGATTGTTGACAGACGGGATGGGTGGGAGGACGAGACGAAGGGGTCCGGAGGAAGGTGCTGAGGCCCAGAACGGTGCTTCCACGGCAACCGAAAAGTGCTTGTACTGCTTGTGCTAGTTCTGGTGCCGGAGTCGAAACGTTTACTGATCACAGAGTATCCGCTGCAGCGTTATTGTCTTGCGGCCACAGCCCCCTATCTAGACCAATTTCCATTTAACGGCATTCTATAAGGCAGTTCAACCGTTATTCGATTACTCCAGCAGGCGAAAAAAGCCGACGTCATCAACCGTTGCACACAAAAACTGAGTCTGCATTCACACTCACTATATCTCTGACAGGTGGTACATGTATATACAGTATAGAGGACACTCAAGAAAAGCATATTTTTATTCTATATAGCAGAGGCTGTACAACGACCAATTTACACACCTCTAGCATATGGTTGACGACACTTACTACATCACACCGCATGAGGCAGCGCTGGCGGTGGTTGCCACCGCCATGAAGAAGTCCCGGCTCCCATTCTACATCCTTTTTATAAACTCTATTATGGGTGCCTTTTTGTTCAGTGCTGGCAGCATGTTGTACGTGATGTGTGAGGCGGGAAGCGCCGATTTGATACCTGGGGCTAATATCTTTGTTTACCTAGCACAGGGAGCAGTCTACGCTATAGGCTTGTTTTACGTCATTGTTTGTGGTATGGAGTTATTCAACTCAAACATTTTATTCTTCTCTGTTGGCGTCATGCGGGGAGCTGTCACCTTGATGGATCTCGTCATCTCATGGATGGTGTCATTCTGGGTCAACTTGGCCGGAACCGTTTTTGTCGTCTACGTCATCTGCTACTGCTCCGGCGTGTTCCGCCAAGATGTCTACGTTGTCGGATCAATCTCAATCGCACACAGCAGGAACTCATTTTCCTTTGCTGAAAACTTGTTGAAAGGCGTTGCCGGTAACTTTTTTGTTTGCCTTGCGGTGTATTTGCAGATCATGGTCAAGCCTTTGCACGTCAAGTTCTTGATGATTTTTCTTCCGATATTTACGTTCGTCGCCATGGGTTTCACGCACGTTGTTGCAGACATGTTCTTAGTTCCTGCGGGAATATTCAATGATTGTGGCTACGGATTTGGCCATTATTTCTGGAAGATAATGCTACCCGGAGCAATAGGAAACATAATTGGAGGATCATTTTTTGGTATCGTCATTCCTTGGTTCTTGCATCTCTATGTTATCGAGCATGACATGAAGAAATTGAAACTTCCCTCATATGAAGAGCGTGACGAGCAACCGATGCTCAACATGGAGTCCAGAGTTGTTCGTGTACCAACACATGTTTCCGAGACCTCAGCTGAATCTCCATCACCCGAGGAGTTCAAACCTGATGTCGATGGTGACAATAATCTTTCCAGAGTTGCAACCATGAGAAGTACATCATCGACCGCATACAATCCTGCTCTGTCTCGAGTAATGAGTTGTGGATCAATACGTTCCCGCAGTTCTTCGAAGAAGGTTAGATCACCTAGAGGTGTTTTCCCCGTTGTCGATATGGGTGAGCCTTTGCAAAGGGAAAAGACTATTGCTTCAGCATATGCACCAGAAGAAGAGCCAAATACCCTTGATCGCCTTGTCGATTCAGATGAAAACAATGAAGGTGAGGAGAGCAGAAGAAGAGGACAGACCTCGCTGGATCAAAGCGTAGACCCAGCTACTGAAGGAAATATTGATGCCGATAGCATCAGTGAAGATGGTCATCTAAGCACATATTCAGGCAAAACTCCCTCGTCGAGCTCAACCAAAAATACCGACGAAAAATACATTCCGAATGATTATGATCCTGAGGCTGATAAAGTGAGCTCAAAGTTGATCCGTGCACTATCCAGAACAGTAACCCGGAGTGCACCAAAGGACTTGGAATCAGGAGAAGCAAGACAGCCAGATGCTTCAAATGAAGATGATGGAAATGGCACTGGATTGGCCAAAGTGCTAACTCACGCTGCGGTGAATTTTGAACATAACTTGGCGTCCGATTTACACCGGGAGCATACTGTGCCGGCACCTAAAGCAGCTAGGTTGGCTCCACGTGCAAGATCTTCGATCTCATCTTCTGATCCATCCTATACTGGAGCTAATGCTCTCCCTTCCAATAGCAGGACGAGTAGGCTATCGAACAATAGATTATTTAGACAGTTCACATTTGGTGGGGGAGGAAACGACACTGACGAAATTAGTCGTCGGCTTTCCGACGCAAGAATCACCAAAAAGGCTGCCGGGATGTCCAACGACATTGCCGGCATCCATGAAAGCACCATCGATAGTGCCGCTCACCGCGAGTCCAGACGCAGGAGCAACAGTGAAGCCAGAAAAGGCAGTACTGCTACTTCCACCTACAAGGCACCTGGATCGAAGTCGTCAAATAACGACGCCACAACATCAACCCCAAGTAACACATGGAGACCTCTCAACTTTGATTATGAGTATGATGGCGAGAGACCAGTGAGTTTCATTAGTGAACACTCAGAAGGCGAAAAAGAGAGTCCTGCTCCGGAAAAAAAAGGGAAGGGCAAGTAGGCTAGATAAAATTAATTGTTGCTTTGTCTTCCCAGTCCCCTCTGCATTCTAACTATATATTTTTTTTGTTTGCTCTTCACTTCTTCCTGTCCGCATGCAACTTTTGATTTGTGGACAACTTTTTCTTAATAATGCTAAAGTATTACCTATTAATATTATTCGGACTCATACAAGACCCTACAATGATGTTCTCCGACTTCTACGTCACAATCAGACAAAGCCTGGCATTTTTCTTCAAAGTTAAGGTATACATCGAGTGCGTTCAGAAATGGCAGCAGATTTGATACAGTGTCAAATGATTCCTCTACTGCTCTGGCGCAGCTTCAAAGATCTCAACTTGGCAAATATTCCGACTTCAACAGTAGAGCAGTATACCAAAAGTCTGATAAATCCATCGATAAACCCAATCGGGAAATACGCGATATCCAGCCCCATATATTAGAGAAACAATTCAACTATCACCTGTAAGAAGTTTCCTTTTAAAAAGAACATCAAGTAGACTTATTCAGGGGCTAGCCAGTATTCCGATTCCTACGCGGTCATACTTTTTCTAAATCTGGAATTAGCAGCGGTTTAGCGATGTATGAAAAGAAGCTTTTTATCACAGGAGCTACTGGTTATATTGGTGGTGAGATCTTGCACCAGATACTGCAATCGTTTCCAACTTTCGAGGTAACTGCGTTGGTTCGAAGTGTCGAAAAGGGAGAACTTATCGAAAAACGGACTGAAAGGAAGGTCAAAACTGTGATTGGGTCATTGGATAGCCTTGATCTTATCAGAAAGGAAACAGAGTTGTCAGATGTTGTCATTAACACTGCTTCAAACAACCATCTGGCCTCATTGGAGGTCATCAAAAGCGTACTCTCAAAGAAAACAAGCGAAACATTATTCATACAAATCTCTGGTACAGGAGTAATAACCGACTCGATGGACCCTGAGAAGTATACCCCAGACAAGGTGTATGACGACGTCAAAGACATTGAGGAAATCAACTCATTAGATGACTCTCAGCCACACCGGCAGGCTGACAAATTGACTCTATCAATAGAGGAGACAAACCCCCAATTTGTCAAGACGGCAATTGTATCTCCGCCTACAATCTTTGGCATCAGCAACGGATACGACAGAAAATATTCTATTCAAGTCCCACTTTTGGCAATAGAGACAGTAAAGGTCGGCTATAGCTTCACCGTTTTTAAAGGAGACACACGTTGGAGTCACGTGCATATTTACGACGTCGGTTCCCTTTACGTGAGTATCATCAAGAAGTTCATTGAGAAAGAAGATTTTAGAAGCGGGCACTTTGGATATTACTTCACCAACGACGGCACAGACTTCACGTGGAAAGAAATTACCACTAGAGTTGTGGAAGCCTTGTATTCGAGAAAATTAATTAAAAGCAAGGAGATCCGGGAATTGAGCCCAAAAGAAGTAGACGAGATCTTTCACTTGCCACCTTTATTCTGGGGTGCAAACGCCAGAACTAAAGCTGAAGCAGGGAGACTTCTTGGATGGATCCCTGTTAAGTCAACCGATTCAGACTTCCTGAGCGCCATCGATACATCTATAGAATACTTGGAAAAACATGGTCTTTTGGGACCTGGAAATCAGTGAGGCCCCTGTGAAGATTTAGTATCATGTTTCTCATGCCAAAAAAGAATACAACTTCTATGTCAGATGGCTTGGATACCTTCAATAGAACTGCTATTGAGATGATTTGTATCAAATAGTTAGTTCATAATTTTTATTCTTAATGTCCTCTATCTACAGTCAAATACATATAGAGCTTATACCGAAAGACTATTTTTTCCTCTTTTTAAACATTGGTATATCCTCTAGTCCAAAATCATCTTCAAACTCGACATAGCTTTGTGGATCATTTGCGTTGTTTCCTTGGTCAGTTGCAAACACCAATCGTCTTTTACCTTTGAAGTTGTAGTTTTCGTCCTCCTCGTCATCAATATCTGCAGCGGCGGCAGCGGCGGCGGCTGCAGATTTCAACTGGGACTCAGACGCTGTACCAATCAGTTTAGGCCATTTCTTAGCAGTATTTTTTCGTGGTGATGGCAGTTGCACGGGCAGTTTTGTAGGGGAGCCTTCTGTGCCTAAGTATATGCGCCTATCAGAATTATTGTTCTTATCATCATCATCAACATCATCAACATCGCTATTATTCAAATCAAAGCTGTATCTCCCTGATTGATCGGCTTCGTCATTTACAGGTTCCTCTGCTTTGTGGAAAAGTCCTCCCGAGACGGACCTTGCATATTCAAGAAAGTTACCAGCAGGTCTTAAGCTCCGAGGTGCAAATATACACCACTGTGTGTCAAGAACGTGAGGAAGCACTCCCGTTTGTGCCAGCTCCCAAATAAAAGCTAAGCTCACCACTGGAATATTCCATTTTTTTGCAGAATTGATTTTCTTTTTCGTTAAGCTCACAGATGCCGTTTTCATATCAGTTCTAGAATTTAGAATGTCATGGAATCTGTAAGTAAATAATTGAGGGGAGTTAACATTGCTTAAACCCAATGAAGAAAGGTTAGCCACTAAAAAATCGCATTCATCTGTTAATTTAGTCTGCAGCGTCAAGTTTAAGTTCTTGATTAATTTTGAAATATGTAAATGCTCCATTTCAGCGAACCCGGTGATGTGTATTTTCAACTTGTAATCTAACCGCAACTTCCTTGCAGGGATTGACCATGAATCGTTACATAGTCTCTCATAATGTAAACATCGTTCAATGAACCATTCATTGACCACTTTTGAGTCCGAAATGCTTTGTAATGCCAAAACCTTTGGGGGGACTTCATCGAAGGTAAAGCTGGACGGTATTATTACGTGTGTAACACTCAGATCATATTCTTCTTGTATTTCTGCACCGTTATTTTTCAAAACAGCAGATAGCTTGGTTGCATGAGAAGCAGTGAAACCAAAACAAGAAAAGATCAACCCTTTAAAGAGACCTTTGCAATCTTCAATTGAGCTACTTTTAGTGATTTCGTTTGACCGTTCTATTAGAGCGTTTCCCATTTCAAGTGACCCATAAATTGGGTTGTGCTCTACAGATGCATAATCAACAACCTTTCTGTACTTTTTGTGCGAGTTCTTTCCAATTGCTGCTGGATTGTGAATCTTTGATATGTCATACAAGGAAGGGTCTAAAATTCTTTGGCAGTTACAACAGTCAATAATCCATTTCGGGTGGATGGCATTAATTTTCCAGTCAAGTGCACTTTCATATCGTTTACCTTCTCGTTTATCAGTGATTAGATAAGTTACTTTGGGAGTCAAAGAAGCGATTGATTTTCCGCCAAAATGGTCGATTAGTTTCGTGATGTAATTTTTTGCATAACATGGATTACCGACCTCACGCAAACGGGACAAGCAGAATAAGCAAGAGTTAAAAATAGGCCATGGATAGTCATCCAGAACTTGAATTGTAAGCTTGGGACCACTGCTCTTGCTGTGCTGGAAACGTTTGTATATATCAAACAAATCATCAGGATAAAGTAAAGTGACATCTGTCCGGTTTTTTAGGCAATACTTTGATTTCGCCGTATTTATATTACCAACTATTAAAACATTGGTATCTGCTGTAAGATCATTCTTAACATTTCCACCCATCACGGCCACCACGCTGGCAACCTGTGCCTTTTCTTTCGAGGATAGATCCGTTGTTGTGAAGGTCACTCCCCCAAAGAGAGTGTTGCTCCTAGAACTCTCATTCAAACCGGGAACCCCTTTAAGTAGTTCCATTCATTCGAAAACCCAATTTTTTCACACCAAATAAGGTTCTTATATTATAAATGATTGGCTAGTCTTCTTGTTTTCTTTCCAGCAGTATTGAGATAACAGTGAAATCACGAAGTGGAAAGGAAGCAGTGAGAAAAAAAAAGGAAGCAGCGCTTGGTGTTGGACGAACAGTGTTTCCGAAAGACTATGAGTGTGCAACTGAGGCAATAGATGGTATTAATTCAGAAGGTATTAAGAAGGCCTGCAAGGAAGAACGTTATCAAACAGGTCTACATAAATTAGGTGAAGAAAAATGTCGGGTGCAGACAGATCTTCACATGGTCAAAGACCACATGGACACCACAGCCACAAATCCAATATACAGTATGTTGCGAAAGTGAGGTATTCAAACAACTTACCTCCACCAGCATGCCCAGCCAAGATCTTGAAGGACGATGAAAATGAATCTAAGGACGATAACTTAAATACACTTGTGACCTCATTTTTCAGAAAAGAAAATTTCAAGAATTTAATCAGATTGAATGACGATTTGGGAATGCCTTTGAACCTGATAAATTTACCACATAAGGATACCGTCAACGGGTTGAAACATAATGGAATGAATATTCCATTACATCCAAGTGATCAACTGATACTTGGAGATCCAAGCAAGACTATCAAGACCAAGTCAGATTCGGTCAGTTTCTTAAGAAGAACCCAATATATATCATCGGATATACAGAACAGTCAGAAGGCAAACAACATGTCCAAAATGAATGTGAAAAAAGATGATTGGTTGGATCCTAAGACACAGTTGAAAACTATTGAGGACATGTTTGAAGCTCCAGCAACAGGCCTTTCGTCCATAAGACACCCAACAAAGAAACACTTGAAGGCCAAAAAAGTATGGAATTTCTTACCAGATACCTCTATGCTTGACCAAACATACTACGATGTTAAGTTTATGAGCTCGGCGTCGATATCCAAGAATAAAGACAAGTCAAAAGATTCAATCAAGTCTATGAATGATCCTAGATTGTTGACATCCCTTTTAAGAGAAATTGAGTTGAACAAAACTACAAAGTTAGTCTCATTTTATCTCACTGATAATGCAGACGCTGAAATTGTTAAACAGAAGATCGACGATGAAACGGAGAATGCTCCTATCGATGACAATGAACTTGATGAGATATTGAAAGACCCATCCAATAGTTCTGTGTATAAAAAGCAAAGGGATTACGATGGCACTACTAAGCCTATTGAACCACTACGCCAACTTGTTATTACATTTGATGAGAAGTCGAACAATGCTTACTATGTACCTGTTTCAGGAAAACTAGAGTTGAAGAAGTGTAGAATTGATCCATATTTGGTTCCAAAGATCAAGGAAATGACGTACGACCAGATTCATATGTTCATTAGAGAGCCGACAAACTCTGAAATCGAAAACAGGGATATTTCAAGAAGCGCTTACGATCCAATGGAGTTTGGTACAGATGAATAATATAGTGGCTATGTAACGGTTTTTTGTACAACCTTTTAACAGCTCCTAATCACTTATGAAATGTAAAGTTTGAAGGTAAATGTTTAATGAAGTTTTGAAGAGTTTTATATAAGTGTAGATGTATTAAAGCAGGGATAAAGAATAAAGTGGCTCATATCCACTCTACTCAGCAGAGTGAAAAAAGTGATGCAATTTGCCAATGATTTATAGATGGATCAGAGGAGGGGGAAAGAGAAAGACAGTAAAAATGTGAAACCCGGATTGAACAGAAATTAACAAAGAAAAATAAAGACAAGACAGGAAATAGAAAAAACAAGAGAGAACTAGTGTTCACAGTGTTCTGTACGTTCTTGTAGTTCCAACACTACCTTTTATAGATCCCAAACCTATAGCTCCCTTTGGAACTGCTGCCACAGAAGAATACATGGATGTAAAAGTTTGAGTCCAACTGATAGAGTATACGCTTGGTACGCTATTTATTGTTGTCGTCATCCAAACAATAGTCGGGGCAGCAGAAGACGTGGTTTTGTGTGTTGGAGTGGCTGTTGTTGTACCTGTGGTAAGGGGCGTGGTAGTCCCTGTTCCTGTTGTTCCTGTTGTGCCTGTTGTTGTTCCGGTAGCAGTTGTTATTGCGGCTGCACCTACCCGCGTTGTAGTTGTAGGTGTTGCAGCAGCTGTGGGGGTAGTTGTTGCAGCTGCAGGGTTTGTAGCGGTTGTAGGGGTAGTTGCTGCGGCATGAGGCGTTGTAGCGGTTGCAGGGGTAGTTGCTGCAGCAGGTGGAGGGGTTGTAGGGGTAGTTGCAGCAGGTGGAGGGGTTGTAGGAGTAGTTGCAGCAGGTGGAGGGGTTGTAGGAGTAGTTGCAGCAGGTGGAGGGGTTGTAGGAGTAGTTGCTGCAGCAGGTGGAAGGGTAGTTGGGGTTGTGGCGGCAGGTGGAGCTGGGGTAGCTGTGGTGACAGCAGCAGCTGCTGCCGGAGTAGTGGCAGTAGTAGCTGCTGCTGCAACGGGAGTAGCGGTCGTAGGGACAACTGCGGCCGGATTAGTGGTAGCTGCTGTTGCAGCTGGGGTGGCGGCCGTGACGGCCGCCGCAACGGTAGCTGGAGCAGTCGGAGTAGCAGCAATATCTGTCGTTACCGTGACGGCAGCACCGACGATGCTTGTGTCGATGACCGCTGCCTCGGCAAATGCAAGGAGAATAAAGTAAATCAGGAACGAGAGTTTCATTTTCTAGTCCAGCAACGTATAGGAATGTAGATTAGCTGTGTGTGACGGTGCCAAGCGAAGGAACGAAGAAGAAATTAAAAAAACGATCGACTGAAGCTTGAACAATAATAATAATGACAGTAGAAAAACAAGTAGACAGTCTTCTTGATGTTCCTTTTGTAAAGCTATATATCAGGATGTGCTATGGAAGTTGGAAAATGCAAATAGCTTTTGTGTTTCTGTGCTTTTCAAAGGACTCTGTGTTTTGAATACAACGCTGCGGTGTCCAAATGTCTTAGTCTGTGTGCGGGTGCTGTTCACCGTGTATCGGTTTTCTTTCTATATATAGACGCAACGGGAACTTGAGGAAACTGTTCGAAATCGAAAGCAACCGGACCGAAGTAATGCTTGTTGGAGAGGCCAGAGAGGGCTGGAGCGCTGTGTGATGAATGGTGAGGTGTAGCGAGCTGGCGGCTATGGCAGAAGACCGTGCTGAAGAAGTGGGACGCCTGTTCGTGCAAGGGAGGAGCAGAGGAATCGCAGGAAGAGAAGTGCAAACACACAGGCGTGGCGGACAGCACAGGAGAAACGCACTCAGAACAGCCCGGCGGAACCTCGGCACAGCACCAACGAGAGAAAACAGGCTGCTCGTCGAGCAACGGAGCACAGATACCACAGAACACACACAACAAACACGTCCACCCACTCTTTCTGCGCTCTGCCACGAGGTTTCAACGCTTCTGCAGATCTGCGCTGCGTCCATCCCTACACCCACCGCATTGTTGCGCGTAGTTTTTCCGTCTCCGTGCCCGTCTGCCCCTCGCGTGCGCCGTCTTCTGTCGCCTCGGACGCCTCCTGTCGACGTCAGCAGCCCCGTTGCCCACGTCAGAACACCGGAGCACCCAAAAACAGCACACGCCTCGATGGGGCGCAGAGATCTTGTCCACAACAACAACAATAACAACAACAACAACAATCGCGTACAGAATGCGTCTTCCGCCGAGAACCCACCGAGGGCGTTAACGTACAAAAAGCGCGTCGTGCATAGCGCCTTCTTTTTTGCTTCTTTTTTGCTTCTTTTTTCGATTCTTTTCCATCTATTTCTGCACTGTTGGACTCGTTTCTTGTTTTCGCGGAGCGCGCTGGGCCGATCGACGGAATCGGGCTGTGCAGGGTATTTTTGTTTGTGTGCCGGATGGGGGTGAAGAAAATGGAGTTGGAGACGGAGACGGAGACGGAGATGACGGGTGGAGACGGTGGAATGGGACGGAAGGGTGGGGCAGCAGAAGCCAGCGGGAAGAAGACAGCGAGAACCGAGACGGAGAATGCTGAAAGACATCTCAAACAACCTTGTGTCGGTGTGTGAGGCGATCATCGCGGACCAGCAGACGGTGCAGAAGTCGAGTGTGAACGAGTACTCCAAGAATGGGAAGAAGTACAAGCTGACGTCGGAGGGGAACTTCATCCGTGTGCAGGGGGAGGACAAGCATCTGATTGTGGCGGAGTCGTATGGCGACTTCAAGTGCAACTACTCGATTCTGGCGTCGTTCCGCATTCTGCAGAACTGCGGCGACGTTCTCTCGGAGTACCGGCAGCTGTCGCTGGCGATCATCTTCACGTCGAGGGAGATCGAGCTCAACAAGTGGTACGACGAGAGCTCGAAAACGTGCTTCATTGAGAACTCGTCGTATGACCCGCTGGCGGTGGAGGATGAGGCTCTGGCGTACATCTCGAACATCGACCCGGACACGCGGTCGCAGCTGGTGTTCCTCGGGTGCATGATTCTCACCGCCACGAAGATCAACTTCTTCCAGACCGACCACAACGTGACGTCTCCGACCTTGGAGGGGTATGCGCTTCGGCGGATCATAGCGGAGAACTGCGGCGAGGCCGCCTTGACCTCGGTCGACGTGTACAACGCGCTGCGGGCCTTCAGCCATTGGTGCTCGGTCCGCGGGATCTTCCACAAGCTGGACATCCCGAACCTCCAGATCCACGACCTGCTCATCCACCGGTTCAAGTCGTTCCCCCAGATACCCTCCTGGATCAAGGATTCTGTCTATGGAAGATACCCCGCCGGGTGCTCCAAAATAGCGCTGGTGAAGAAGGCCCTTGTCATTCTCTCCCACTCCGTCTACGGCCAGCTGGTTCCGCTGCCAAAGGAGCTCGACGTTGACCAGTTCCTGCTGTTATGCAAAGACATCGAAACGGACCCCTTGCGATACCACATCCGTGCCGGCTCGTTGCTGCTCTCGACGAACCCGCACTTGGAGGCAAGCAAGCTCTTCACCCAGTCGGACAAGTGGCTGGAATACGTCTCCTGTTTGCTGCAGGCAGTGGGAAGCTACCACATGGCCAGCGGAAGCAAGCTCATTATTTCAAACAAGATACTCAAAATCAACAAGATCAAAGACAAAAAGGCGTACAAGCAAATGTGTACCGTTGTCAATGAGATGAAGTCGTTGGAGCACTCTCAAGGCCAAAGGTGCTCTGGCGAAGAGCTTCTTGGTCTGATGGGAGGCCCTGTTCCCCATTCGTTGTCGTCGTCGTGCAGGCTCTAAGTGGCGACCACGGAGGCATGGTTTGTGCTCAGCGCAACTTATTTTGTCCCAACCTGTCTCGGCTCAGCTGGCACATTTTTTGTTTATAGTATTAGAAGCAGTCACTTTTCTTTTCTACCTTCTGGGACTTCCAATGATGCTTTGGTCTCTTATTCTGGCTCTGAGCAGTAGCAATCAAGCATAGTTGCAAATGGTAATGTCCCAAACGCTAGTCGTTCTCCGTTACCCACGTTACTTATACTAACACCCAATGTTTCACAGGCGGTGAAAAAAGGACTCTCGTTAGAGGAGAAACAGGTGAAACTTCTTGCCTGGTTTCAGCAGTCGCATACAATGTACAACATCAAAGAGGTAGAGACTATCGCTAGTAAGAAGACGGGCATCAGTTCCATGCAAATCAAAGACATTCTCAAGCTGCTCGTCGACGAGGGGTTGGTCAACTGTGAGAAATGCGGCATATCGAACATCTACTGGTCTTTCCAATACACTAGTATTATAAAGATGACCAAGGAGTATGATAGACTTCTTGTTAGGAAAACTGGCGTTTTGAACAGCATTGACCAGCATAAAGTAGAAATTAAACAGTTGACTGCCGAGAGAACAGGTCTTTCTAAGAAAGAGAGGACAACCATGATTGATAAAGCCTCAAAATTGCAATCGGAGAAGACAGCTTTGGAAGCCCAACTCGACTCTCTTCTTGCCAATACGCCAGAGAAGGTGAATGCTCGTCTGGAAAATATCAAAAAGTTGCAGGAAGCCATTGATGTTCTAATGGACAACATTGATTTGTTAGTCAACTTCATTGCGGATTCGAATCCAGCAGGCATGACCAAGGCCAGCATCCGAGAGTACTTCGGGGTGCCTGAGGAGGATTAACGGACGACCCATCTGGGTGATCTTTCTGCTTATGGAAGAGTACCTATATAGATCTATATTTGATATAGTCAAAGTCAGAATTGTAAATGGAGCTACGCCCTTGGTTCACACAATAACACAGAACCATGAGAACAAACCGAAGACTAAGAAGACCGGATACACCATCAAAAATATCCTTTGGTCACCCTGGTTGTCGTCGTCGTTGGCCACCAAGGTCAAACTCCCCTTTCTTTTGCAGTTGCTGGCAATGGCCATGATCAACCATGTGCAGAGCAACGCCCAGAATAACATAACGACGTTGATGATGAGTCTGACAAACTTGAATGGAATAAATATGGAGGACATTCCACCCAAGGCAATAGGAAAGAGCGCATAGCTGAGTAAACTAATACACTGGAAAAAGCTGAGGCCGACCACTCCGTTTGTCATGCCTCCGTTCTCAAGTTTTTGTTGCACAGGGCTTAAGAGTTGGATGTTGATTGAAAGTACTGCAAGCGAAGCCCATATGAGCGTAAAGGCGGCACTGAATGTCTGACTAGATGCATCTTTTCCACGGGAGTTTTCTCCGCCGGTGTTCAAACTTCTAGTCTGTAGATATGTAATGATCAAACTGAATCCAAGGTTAATAACCAAGGGCCCCCAAAGGTCCCAATCCCTAATCTTCCCCATAGTCTCGGACGTGTATTCCTCACCGCCGGAACCCAAGGATGTCGAGCTGTCACCCACACCACCGCTGCCTCCTATCGAATCCTCCACGTCTCCACTTCCCGGAGAAAATCTGTTGCTTATCTTCTTGACGGCAATCAACGACTGGCGGAGGCGCAATGGCCACAAGATGGACAAAAGCTTATCACCAATGGTCATAAGGTCCCTGTGCAAAGTGGTAAGTACCGATTCGTCAAGCGTGTTTCCCCCGCTGAAAGGTCTCTCCCTTGTTTCGATCTGCACAAACGAGGGTAGCTGTGGTGTAATGAATGATGACAGGTTGAAGAAAGACCCCCCTTGAGAAGCATTGGCATTCGCTGACGTCCCAACAGCGGGTCTTGCTGTGTTAACAGCGGGTTGTGGCTTCGGTGCCTCTGTCTTCTGTGCTTTAGGTGGTAGGTGTGACTTTGGCGCCTCAATGTCCGGCGTGATGAATATATCGTCGTCGTCGTCGTCCATTAGATCGGGGCCCACATGGAAGTTGTCCGTCGTGTCCACCTTCTGGTACTTTGATTTGGAGCTCATTGTCACTCAAATTGCACACTTACAAAGATGATCAATTTATCTAACGCTTAGAGTGGCTTACCCACAGCAGCTGCCAATCGTACCCGTGGTATAGATGTGTTTTAAAGTTCTCTCTCTTTCTGGTCCTCTCTGGCCCTCCCCAGTTCTCGCTCTAGCCTAAAAATGTTGAGGATGCAGCTGCCTTTTCTGCAGCTGAGATCAGTGGATGCCGCTGATATGGTTCAGGCGATAGCAGTCAGCTGCATGCAGTAGCGTAGCTCACTGATGAGTCCGCAAACAACAATGTCTGAATCTAAGAAGACGGCTCTTATCACCGGTACCTCGTCTGGTATTGGTCATTATTTGGCTTTGGAATTTGCGAAAAGGGGGTATTTTGTCTTCGCATGCTCAAGAAAGGCTGAATCCATGGCGGATATTTGCGCTGAATATCCAGGCCAAATCTTTGCCTTCAGCATGGATGTATCGTCTTTGGAGTCAATCAAGGCTGGATATAAGTTTGTTTCAGAGAAGTTGAAAGATTTGAACATTGCAGGCTTAGACGTTGTCTACAATAATGCCGGATCTTCATGTACCTTTCCCGGAGTTGATGTCCCAGATGCAGCATTGGTGCAGTGCATGGATACGAATTTCATCGGGCCCGTAAGAGTTGTTCACGAGTTTTCCAGATTGGTTATTGCGAAAGAAGGAACGTTTGCTTTCACCGGATCTTGTTCCGGGTACTGCCCCTTCCCATGGGGGTCGGTGTATGGTGCTAGCAAGGCTGCGATTGGCCAATATGCTAGCATTCTAGCCTTTGAACTCGAGCCTTTCAACGTGGCAGTGAAGAATTTCATTACCGGCGGTGTGCACACCGACATCGCAGACAAGAGACCATTACCGGCTGATAGTATTTACAATATTGAACCAATGAAACATGCGTTCGAGCAGAGACAGAAGATGTCAGAACGTAATAACCCAATGGAGCCTTCAATTTACGCCAAGAAGGCGATTGATGCAATTGAATATGGCAAAAAGTCAACCGTAGACGTCTATTTGGGAACGTGGTCTATTTTGCCACACCTGGTTGCCATTTTCCCAAGGTCTGTGATTTTGTATTTCTTCAGATTGAAATTTTACTTGACGGACGTATGGAAGGCATTGGCTGAGAAACACAGAAACAAAAAGATTGCATAGAAATGACCGCAGGATCGCTTTCTCTGAAAATATCTAATCAATATCTTTTTATATACAAGAATAATTAAACTAGGAATATAATTCGTAATATACATAGCTCTATGTATATAATCTCAGAACATGTTTTTTGAAACGTTCGTTCCGAATGTTTTGAAAAGATAAACATCAATAGTTAACATAATTGAAAAAATGAACAAAATAACTTTTTTTTTTCTTATTTATTCGCAAAAAACACATAACTACACTAGACTCGTCAATTCCATAATTAACTCGTCTATTCACTTTCGCTCTCACTGTCGTTTTGAAAACTGAAAGCGGTTCTAGGCTTCCCTTTCGAATTGGTTGTGGCAGGATTGCTAGTGGCACCAATACCACCGAATTTCCTGTTGATTTCCGCCAACGAACCAAATGAGGATGCCGATTTCACGGCATTAATTAGGTTAGTCTGCGATCTTTTGACATTTTCTATTGATCGGTCGTCAATCATTTCGTGATCATCATCGTCGTGATCACTGTATCCGTTATAATCTTCATCGTAATCTTGATCATAATCATTTCCATTATCATAGTTGTCTTCTGCATCCATTTGGTCATCCGTTCCCGCTTCAGTCTCAGATTCAGATTCCGCAAACATAAATTTGTTCCTTCCACTTCCTCCATCTGAACGGGCAGAATTATTTTTACTCGAATCGTTACTGATAAAAGATTTGCCACTTTTACCAGCTGTTGACAAATTGCTCTTTTCGCTTTCATCGTTTGACAGTTGAAACAACTGCGGTTTTGAATCTGTTGCTGAACTTCGACGCAAACCTGACGTGTTCAAGTCTAGCCCACTCAAGCCCATCTTGATTGAAGAAAGTGATTGAGAAGATGCATTTCTTGAGCTTGAAGAGCCAATACTACGGGTCCGCTTAAGGCCATCATTAGTCGGTCCATCCATATCACTTCTCTCGATGTGCATAGATTGACCGGTGGTGTCGGTGTTGTCGATATCACTGTCATGTTTATTATTATCATCTTCAAATTGTGGTATATCGTTCATAAAGGAAGCAGGGACATCCACCATAGTGTTATCTGAAACGCTTGAAGGTAACATCAAAGGAGAAGCAGTGACACTGTGAACATTTGGTAAGGAATAACCCATATGACTTATTAAAGGCGAATCGGCTATGTTTGGAGATGTGTGTGACTGATTATCATCAAGATCCATTGTATCTTCAATTTGGCAACTTTCGGGAACATCGTACATTTCCACGTCAGCATTTGCATTGTTGTTAGCGGAGTAGAACATTGGGTTAGATGTATTACTATAGACGGTATTGTAGTCATAGTAGTAGTCGTAACCACGATTGGTTTTCGTATTATGGGAAACAGTGTACATTTTATTGTGTGGGTACTTTGAACCATCACTGGCAGTCCCATCATTACCATAATCATCATTGTCATACTCATCGTCGGAACCAAATTTCAAAGTTGTCGCAGGTAGTGGAGCAATGGTACTCACTACAATAATGGAATTTTGAGAGTTTTCCCTCGAACCACTTAATTTGCCATTTCTCTCATAATTGTTTTCGTGAGGGTTATGAGAAATGTTTGGTTTATTGACAGAGGGTCTCAAAACAAATCCGCCTTCATCTGAGTCAGAATCCGAATCCGAATCATCCATCGCAGCATTTGAGTTGAATTGATGGTCACTTTCATCATCTGCATAATGATCATGGTCTTCTTTATAGGATGAAGAAACCATTTTGGAAACAGGGTAGTCGTCAGATTCATCAGATGAATTGGCATAACCCATAGTATCATCTTGAACATTATCAGCGCGTTCTTTGTCGTCTTTTTTATTGTTCCCTCCCTTGTTTGGTTTCGCAAGTGCAATACATTGGTCCACTCTCATGTTGAAGTGTATGTGTTTCTCCTTCTTAGTATTGGAGTCTGAACGTACTTCAGAAGAGTTTTGCTGAATATGTAGTTGTGAATTTTTAAGAGAAGACTTTTTTTTAGAGTGAAGGGTTTTACTAGAAGCTAATGTTGAATTCGATCTCGAGTTGAGGTTGCTAGAATTGTTCAATAAGTTCATATTCGACATAGTGATTGTTGAGGTTGAAGGAATTGAATTTAACGAATTTGAAGTGGATGGCTCCAGCACTGGAGAGACTGATGATTCGTGTTGACTCTTCAGTTTTTGTTCTCTGTTTTCCAACAAGTGTTGAAGTCTACAATAACTTGCATCACTGATCATCTTCTCGACTTTAGTCTTCTTCTTCAATATGGACTTGAGATGTTCGCAGGAGTTGTTGCCTGTTTTGAACAATGCTTGATTACCTGATTTGTGATGTGCGTCATTGCCATCTATGCTTAGTAAAGTACTTTCGTTATCTCCATTATTATTATTAGCGTTCTTTTTATTATTATTATTATTATTCTGGCTGGTATTATCATTGCTGGTATTATCGTAACTTTTATTGGTATTGTTGTTTATGATAAGTGGAGATTCATTATCCATTGAATGGTTGCGTAACAAGGTAACCGAGCTCATGGAAGGGTTCTCATTCGAAGAAGAAGATGCAAAGTTAGAAGAAGAAGGAGGAGAAAGAGGAGTGGTGGAGTTGGAGCCACTTTTAACGTTTTCGTTGCCTTCAATATTGGAGTTCGAGTTTGAATTTGAAGATTTGATGACCGGCCCATATAGCCAGGTAACATCTGAGTCTTTTGACCAATTAAGGTCTTCGGGGGAAATGGTTTTCAAGCCCAACCTGGTTTGAGCCCATGTTCTCCATGATGCATTTTCTAACCTTGCGGAGTCTGCGACATTTTTCCTCCTTAAAATGACGTACTTCCAAGACTTGGATATCTCGTCTTCTGCCCATTTGTGAGTTAAGTAGTCGACATGTTCATTAGGAGCATCTTTGACGTCTATATCGTCGTGGAGCATATTTGACAGGTTGGACACATCGGTGAAGTCCTGGGAGGAAGAAGTTGGGTTCGAAGAAATAGGCTGGCTATTGCTGTTGTGGCTGTCCGTTACAGAGGAGTAGTAGCCGTTTTCTTCAGAGTCGTGGCTGTGGAGCTGGTTATATCTCTTTTGTTGGTGCTTGGGTATCAAACAGATATTGGACGTCGAGTTTAGGTTGTGGACAGAGGATCCTGGCGAGGATAGCGAGTCTTCAGAGGTGTAGAGGTCGTCGGAGAAGTCATCGCTCTGGAAGCTCTGTGGCGAGTTTTCCAGTTTCTTGTTGATGATGCTGGAGCGGAACAGGTTGCCCGCGTTGCTGCCACTACCAGCTGCATGGGAGGAGCAGCTGGTGGAGGAGGCGGGCGACTTGAGATTCAACCTCGTCAGCGTCTCCTCGGGTATGTAGGTCCCCGCCGTCAACTTGGAGGGCTGGATGCGTCCGAGCGTGGATCGGTTGGTGTTGGCGGAGGAGGGCAAAGAGCCGGAGGAGGCTCCGGAGGAGGACGAGGAGGACGAGCCGGAGGAGTTTGCGGAGCCGGCAGCGGCGGGGTCGACGATGAAGTTGTCGAGCAAGCCCATCGAACGGGTCCGCTTCAGCTTGAACGTTGTGTTCTGGAAGTGGTTGTCGTCGACGGACTCCACGTGCTGCGACGTGGTTGGGCCCTCGTTGAAGACCTCTTTGGACATGGTGCTGTGTGTTGAGTCTGGGTGGCGGCGGAAGCTGCGCAGAGGAGCACTTGTTGGTGCGGTTGCCCTTCTTTTCAGTGCCGATGCACGGTGGTGTAGACAGCGGGCGGACGCCTGGAGATGCAGCCGGAAGAGACGGTGCCACGGAACAGAAAAAGTAGCGGTTTGGCAGGCGGCAGGCGGTGGCAGCTGGCGTGCAAGACGGGTGTGTGTGCAGTGATAGGTGGGGGCGCTGGTAGCGGTGCAGCGTTTAGGGGTGCAGCTGTCAGAGAATTATCCTATACCCAGTGGAGTGTGCTGGTGCTGCCGGGCGTGTTTATGGGGGGCTCAGGAAGGGCACACAGAGACACACAGAGACCGACGACGCCAGATGAGCAGGCCGGAGAGACGGACAACGTACAGTGCAGCAACCAGAGAGAAACGACACCACAGGAGAGCGTGCCACGGGCCGTCTGCATGCACACCGTCCACCAGCACAATGTGGTAATCCGGCTCCCTGCCAGACCGTCTGCCGCTACTAATCTGCCCAGCAATCGCCCGTTCCGCTCAACAGGCCTCCCTTCCTCTCTCCCTGCCTGACTCGGGCGCCTTCCGCAACGGGGGGCGGGCGAGAAACAAGGCGGTGCCCGTGGAGAAGACTGCCCCGGTCGCTTACGTCATCCTCCAATCTCCGGGGCCGTCTCGCCGGCCCCGGCCGTGACTTGCGGAGGCGGTGTGGGTGGGCAAAGGCCCGGGGGCGGCGAGGCGCTTGCGTAAGCGGTTACGTAAGCGACTTTGCGACGATCGGCCCCCGAGGCGCGGGGCCCGTTTCGGGGGTGGCTGGTGCGACGGGGTGGGGGCGTGGCGGAGCGTTGTTGATCTGGAGCCGCTCGTGCAGCGGCTGCGGCTGCCCGTGTGTCTGGCTCGTCTGGCAGAGGGCCCGTTGCCCGCAGGCTCGTTTCCTCCCTGTCCTTCTTCTTCTCTGCCTGCTTCTCTTCTGCCGCCGTTGGCTTCGGCTATGGACGTGCTCACGCCCCCTCTTTGGCCCTCTCTCCACTCGTCAGCTCGTACTCCTTCCAACTCAGTCACTCCTTTACAACTACACAGCACCCCAAGTACAAGAAGAAGCACTAGCACAGCGTCCCTCCAAGCATCAACACGACACAGCAAGCACTACACTACTGCCAAAGATACCACTGTTCGGCGCTCTCACACACGTTCCAACTACTTACATTCCTTACTATTAACACACTTGTGCTCCCGACACTCTAGGTATGTGCCTCTGCCCGCCCCCGGGGCCGTCTGCCCCCGTGGCCGTGGCCGTCGTGGCCTCCTTCTGTTTCTCTGTCTTCGTCAAACACTTCTCAAACACTTTTCCAGTACCGCAAGCCTCGGCACCCGCATTCCTGCATCCAAAAATGGAAACAAAAATAACACGCCCTTTTTCCGCACCGCCGCCCCCTCGTTTATTTTCCCAGGCGTGCGTTGCCATGGGAACCCGCGAGGAGAGAAAAAAAAAGCGTGTTTTTCCACTCCTCCAGGAGCGGCCTACGTAACGAATGCTGCCGACCGGGGCTAGCAGTCGATGAGGTAGCCAGCTGGCTCGACACAGAGACACGACGGAGACAGCGACGCCGAAAGATGGCTCTTCTGTTCCACACAAACCCGTACTAACATCAACCCTTTTTCTTGCTTCCCCCCTCTGCCCTTTGTGCCCCTCAATTGCCAGCAGCCATGAAACTGTCTTACACATCCCTGCTCTCAATCGCTTCGTTGTTGGTCAGCGTCCACGCGTCCGACAATGACGAGGACTGCTCCACAACGGTCAACTACCACATGCACCACCAGCACAAAAGAGCTCTTGCCTATGACTACCTCTATGTCACCGTCACCGTCGATGGCGATGGCAACACCTACCAAGAGTCCGTGACCTCCCACGTGCCAATTCCAACCGTTTCCCAACAGGCTGTCACCCCAAGTCTTTCAGCTTCCTCAGCAGACTCCCAATGGACCGCCTCTTCCTCTTCCGCAGCCGCCACCGCCTCTTCCTCCTCTGCCGAATACGCTTCGTCCTCAGAAGCACTCCCATCAGCCTCATCTTCCCAGGAAGCCCCATCCTCCTCTTCTGCATCCTCCTCAGGCTCGAGCGCCTCCTCCACTCCTTCGTACTCGTCCTCCATGACAGGCGACTTGTCTCCATACTCCAACCCAACGGAAGAGTTCCAAGACGGTGTCGTTCCTTGCTCCACCTTCCCTGGTGGTCAAGGTGTTTTGGCATTAGACTACCTGGGCTTCGGCGGTTGGTCGGGCTTGTATCACGATGATACCTCCACCGGCGGTTCATGTGAAGACGGCACCTACTGCTCTTACTCTTGTCAGGCAGGTATGTCGAAAACACAATGGCCTTCCAACCAACCCGCTAACGGTGTTTCTGTTGGTGGTCTATACTGTAAGAACGGTTACCTCTATAGAACCAACACCGACACTAGCTACCTATGTGAGTGGGGTATTGATTCCGCCAGAGTTGTTTCCGAGCTTGACCAGACTGTCGCCATCTGCAGAACTGATTACCCAGGTACCGAAAACATGGTTCTTCCAACCATTGTTGACGGTGGTTCCGAAAACTACCTGACTACTGTTGATGAAGACAGCTACTTCACCTGGAGAGGTTTGAAGACATCTGCTCAATATTACGTCAACAATGCAGGTGTTTCTCAGACTGACGGTTGTGTTTGGGGTACTGCAGGTTCCGGTGTTGGTAACTGGGCCCCATTGAACTTCGGTGCTGGTTACACTAATGGTATTGCTTACTTATCTTTGATTCCAAACCCTAACAACAAACAAGCTGCTAACTTCAACGTTAAGATTGTTGCCTACGATGATTCCAGTTCCGTTAACGGTGAATGTGTTTACGAAAACGGTTCTTACAACGGTAACGGTGCCGACGGTTGTACCGTATCTGTTACCTCAGGTAAGGCCAAGTTCGTCTTGTACAATTAGTTTCCCCCTAATGTTCCACAATTTCTTGTTCGATTGGCCTTCCTTGATCCATGATGAACACCACCTTCTTTTTCGATTCCAAAATCTCAAACTTTAACTTTCTAACTACTCCACGTTCCTTTTTACCTGAAGTTTGCAACTACTTTTACACCCCTTCCTTTTCAGCAACAACAACTGTTGCAAAAAATCGCAATTTGTATATCGGTTCTTTTTCTTCTAGATTTTTTTTCACAATGTTTACAAATTTACCACTTACCTAACTATACTGATATATAAGCATAGATAGTTAAATGCATACACCTACTTACGCAGATTGAGAGTTGCCCGTAATACGTACCCCCTTCCCCCCACATCTCCCTAATGTTTGAAAGTAAATCAAAGTCCGAGCGTAGTGAGAGTCTGGAAAAATAAAGTTCAATGCTCAGCGAGATAACACGACATTTCGTTTCGGACTTCGTTTTGCTTTATCTTGAAGGCTCAAACAACTCATCGGTTGAAAGCTTTCTTCCTATCAATTAGCAGAGCACATAGCGTGACCAATAGAGAAGAAATATGAGCGTCGTGATGGAACCGGATACAAGACCTAGAATTTACAAATCCTGTTTGATTCGTGTTGGCGGGTTTCAAGATGAGCACGAGGAGGAAGATAACATGGAAGAGAAAACGGAAGAGGAAGGGGCACCAGAGCAAATGGATGACATTGAGGAGGAAGCAGAAGAAGGTGAAGTTGACGAGTACATGCACAATGTGGAAGCAAACGAGTTAGTTAATTCGATCAACCCGTCATTTTGGGAATTGCCCATAGAGGAAGGAGCAGAGCCGCAACCAGAGCCACAGGAAGAGCAAGACCCGATAAAGGGGAAACCGAAAGGGACGGCAAAAGGCAAGGGCAGGACAAGAGAGGCCAACGGCAACTCAAATACCAAGGCCAAGAGCAAGAAAAAGGAGAAGGAATCCGAATCGGAAGAGAAAAGAGTCCCAGTACGTGTTTCGCAGATGATCAACAACAAGTCCAAGCAGAACACGGGCTCTTCCGCCTCGATCGTGAAGAAGAAGCCTGCTACAACGTACGGGAAACGGAAGAACAACAACTTCAGCTTCAAAGCTTACGTGCACAAGCCGCCCCGCTACGTGCAGAAGCAGATCGACCTGGCGAAAGAGGCCGGGGCTCAGCCCGTCGAAGAGGAGGAGGCGGAGGCGGAGGTGGAGGAAGAGGCAGAGGAAACGGTCGACTCGGAGTTCAGAACGCCCGAGCAGCAGCAGCAGCTGCCGCCCCTACACAACCAGCCCCCGGCCCAGATGTACCCGGTCTCCAGACAGGAACAGAGAATCCGAGAGGAGCTCGCCGAAGTGCAAGTCGCCCGGTCCTCTCCAAACATCGATTCCCCCATGGACGACAGAGACGTCGCCCACGATGTCCGGACCCCGAAGCCCGGGCAGTTTCAGCACAACGTTGCCTGCATCCTCTCCTCAAGCGCTGTGGTCGAGCCCGATGAGGATAACGCTGGCCCAGAGCCCTCGTTCTCGGACGAGGCCACTAAGATCGAGGAGCCCGGCAACGACCCTCAACACGCAGAGCACGCCGACCACGGACCCCCCGACCTCGGCAAGCTCAACAGAACGCTCGTCTTCAACAGCTTCGACACCGCCGACGACCCTATAAAAAGCGTTCTTGCCCGCATTGTCCACGAGACAGAGGCACGGGTCGCCGCCATGGAGAGAGAGCTTGACGCCGAACACGAGGCTGTCCTGAGAGACGTGCAACTCCATTACGAAAAGCTCAAGACCGATGCCCGCATCGAAATTGCGCGGGAAATCAACAAGGACTTCTTCTCCACCGGATTACGTCAGCAGGGCACGCGCCACGGCCATCAGAGGCCACCAGTAGCAGGCGGTGCACGGATGGGCGACTGGCCAATGAGAAACGAGTATTATGGCATTATTCCCCACTACGGCAGAGGAAGAGAGGGAGCGTAGGCGAGAGAGAGCGTGGCAAGGCGGTTTGCGGGAGTGAGGGTGAGGAAGGGTGAGGTCGCAGAGGGTGAGAGCGGCAGAGGGCCTCACTATGGGACGCATCCGGCCTGGAGTGTGTTGAGGAATCGAGGTGAAAGAAGTGCACAGAAGGACCTGCTGTTTGCTGCTGCTGCTGTGCTCCCCTGGTTCTGGTGTTGCCTTTGCTTTACTCCCCATCAGCACAAAGTATACACACACGCCATGTTGTCCAGATTGTCAATTAGAAGTGCAAGAAGTCTTGGTTTAGGTATGTCCAGCTAGCGTTTCACCCGGCTTTTGTTTCCTGCATCAGAGAGAAAAAGAGAAAGAGAAAGAGAAGGAGAAGAACCACGTTGACGAAGAGCAGACCCAGCAGCGGAGAAGAGAACCGCCTTCTACGCTTCACGTCCATATAATAAATAGCATAAGCACGCCGTCGCCTGTGTTGTCTTCCGTCTGTATTTTGTATCATCCACACATACATGTCGCAAATTTGTCAGGGGCTGATGATACGATATCCAGGGGACCGCTTCTCTCACTTCGTTGGAAACGCCTTTCTGTTTTCTCCACTCGGTCGGCTTCGTGTCACTCGGTGGAGCACAGGGGCGGAGAATCAGTTGATCAGGAAACATAAGCAGAAATTGTCGTAATTTAATTGGTTCACCGGATACTAACATTTTTTTTCCTCTCGTCTTCATAATCTAGCACAAGCTACCAGACCTATCTCTGCCACCGTTCCAGCTTTCAAGTCCACATATGATTCTCCAGATTTCACCCACTACTTGAACAACTCTAAGGGCTCTTCCGACAAGTCCAGAGACTTCACCTATTTCATGGTTGGTTCCTATGGTGTGTTGGGTGCTGCCGCAGCCAAGTCCACCGTTGAAGCTTTTTTGACTACCATGTCCGCCTCTGCAGATGTTTTGGCCATGGCTAAGGTCGAAGTCAAGTTGGGCGCTATCCCATTAGGTAAGAACGTCGTCGTCAAGTGGCAAGGTAAGCCAGTTTTCATCAGACACAGAACTCCAGGTGAAATCGAAGAGGCCAACGAAGTCGACATCTCCAAGTTGAGAGACCCACAAGCCGACTCCGACAGAGTCAAGAACCCAGAATGGTTGGTCATGTTGGGTATCTGTACCCACTTGGGTTGTGTCCCTATCGGTGAGGCCGGTGATTTCGACGGTTGGTTCTGTCCTTGTCACGGTTCCCACTACGATATCTCAGGTAGAATTAGAAAGGGCCCTGCTCCATTGAACCTGGAAGTCCCACAATACGAATTCGCAGATCCAGAAACTTTGGTTGTTGGTTAAACAGAGTCGAACCTCTCGCTAAAATCAAAGAGTCATAAGGCATCAACAACACAAAAGATCCATCTAATTTAGTATAATATAAACCCATGAAATCAAGATCATCCCAGATCATACCATCCACAACAAAAGAATCCGAATTAAAACATCACTCATATTCTTCATTCATTTCACTTCAAAAAACAAATACACGTAGGAGCTTGTTTTGCAATAGCAACATCTCCTATCAAGCTTTCTGTATTTCGACAATGCCTCGAAGTCTTTTTCGAAGATTTTGCTGACACTGTTCTACATGCTTATTTATCTATTATCTCCCTATAGTAATATATATATATATAACTTCTTATTTATTCTTTAAATATATCAAGTAACGAATTAAACACCAATTGAAGCTGGTAAGCGTCAAACGCATATACTTTTTTCGCACATCATGGATTGGCATCGCAGTTGGAGAAAATAGTTGCAAGCCTCGGAAAAACACGTATCGGATCTAAACCTATGGGAATGGAAGAAACAGCTCAACTTCGAGATATTGTGACCAGGCAAAGCACAAAGGCATCGAGAGCATGGCAGTATGGCAACAGGAGTACAACTCGAACCCCGAAGTTCAGAAGTTGAGCAAAAGCTTCGACAAGTTTACAACAATTGACTGGCCGCTGGAAAGGTTGACCGAAAATCGGAAATACTACGAGGCTTTGAAACGAAGGACGGTTTCCGGTCCAGCGGATGCCATTGATCTTAACGTCGAGGAGGGTCTTCTTGAAAGTGACAGACCAGGCACTGCTGTCACAAATGGTTCTACATCAATGGGCACATTGCATTCCTTGAACACAGCAGCGTACTCTGCAATGTCAATAATCAGCGAAATATCCAACTTGCAGCTTATCAAATCGAGAATATGGACTACTGTACAGATATGGCTCGTTTTGACCATCACCGGGATTGTAATCGGCTCAATTGCTGCATTTCTCAGTGTCTTGACCGAATGGCTCAATAGCTTCAAAATGGGGTACTGTGCGAGCAACTTCTTTCTTGATGAGAAATCGTGCTTGAACGAAGATTGGAGGCATTGGTCAAGCTTTGGGTTTGTATCCTTCATAATATTCACAGTGCTCTCGGTTTTGTACGGCGTTTTTGCGGCTTTCCAATGTCTGTATGTAGCACCAAATGCTGCTGGAAGTGGAATAAGCGAAGTCAAGTGCATTGTTGCCGGCTTTAACCGTCCAGACTTTTTGTCGCCAAGTACTTTGATAATCAAAGCACTAGCACTTCCGTTTACCATTGCCAGTGGATTAGCGGTAGGTAAGGAAGGACCCAGTGTCCATTATGCGTCATGTGTTGGTAATGTCGTTGCCAGGTGGGTTGTGCCGTGGTTCAACGAATCTCCACTACAGTTGTCGGATATTATCACTGCCGGGGCAGGATCAGGAGTTGCTGTTGCGTTTGGAAGTCCGATTGGAGGTGTGCTTTTTTCTATTGAAGAAATTAGTAGTGGATTGAGGTTAAACACTCTATGGAAGATATTTTACACATCATTAGTGGCCATTACAACGCTACAAATATGGAACCCATTTGGAACTGGGCAGATTGTCATGTTCGAGGTTCGATATGATTCTGATTGGATCTGGAGTGAGATCGTGTGGTTCATAATACTCGGAATATTTGGGGGTTTATACGGAATTGTTATTTCAAAATGGAATATAAAATACGTTGCGTTCAGACAGAGATATTTGTCCAATTGGAAATTTAGTGGTCCTTTTGAAGTATTCTGGCTTTGTCTCTTTTCAGCAATTGTTGGGTACTGGAACATTTACATGAGGTTGGATATGACGAAGGTAATGGAAATGTTGTTTGATTCATGTCGTGGGAACGAGGGTAAAACCGATAATGCCATTTGCCTCATTTCTCAAAACGGGTCGGATACGACTATAGCGAAATGGTTGTGGACCTTGTTCACGTTGTTCTATGCAACGATAGTACGTATGATCTTGGTGTGCATCAGTTATGGGAGTAAGGTTCCTTGTGGAATATTTGTGCCCAGCATGGCTGTTGGTGCGACGTTTGGTAAAATGCTTGGCCTATTGGTTGAGGAGATTTTGGGCAAGACTGTTGATGGAGATGGCAATGTAATCGGTGTGCCGTCCGGGACATATGCTTTTCTCGGTGCAGGTGCTGCGTTGAGCGGCATAACTGGTTTGACATTCACTGTTGTCGTCATAATGTATGAATTGACCGGGGCAATCAAATACATCATCCCTACAATGATCACAATTGTCAGCGTTAGAATTGTTAGTGAACTTGGTGGAATTGGGTTTGGTGGGATTGCTGATCAAATGATCAAGTTCAATGGTCTCCCCTTCATTGACACCAAGGAGGAGCATGAGCTAGGTGAGGCTGTTACTGTTGGAGATGTGATGGTGCCGAAGGTGGTTGGTTTGGACTGCGAGGGAATGTACGAGAGAGACATCTTGAAGATCATGGAGTTTGAGAAGCGGGAGTATCCGTTGTTGTACAAGCGGCGCTGTGTTGTCGGAGTGATTAGTCATGCGGATCTATTAGAAATCTTTGAATGTCTCCGAAGAGAAAAACCGATCGACGGAATCGTTGAGGATGGTCAGGAGGCGTTTGATCTCGGGAACCAGTTTGTGCGCTTCATCAGCAAGAAGAAGATGAGAGAGTTGAGCCAAGTTGTAGGCGAGGAGATAGAGTATGGACAGTACAACCAGCACTTTGGCCGTGGAACAGACAACGATGGTGGTAGTGGAGACGGAGAGTGGGATTTCGAGGAGTATGTTGGGTTCGAGGTGTTAAGCATCAACATGAACACCTCGGTGTACACTCTTTTCGATCTCTTTGTTGAGGTTGGGTCTCGAATTGTGTTTGTGTACGACCGCCGCAACGTCGTTGGGATAGTGAGCCGGAAGGACCTGATCCGCTACGAGAACTACATCCACTACAAGGAGCACGGGGACGTTTTTGTGAACGGGAACGACGTAGTGCTGTTTCAGAAGCTCTGGACGGTGTACACGGCGGCGTGGCGGATTCTAAAGTTCTGGGACCGGGAGAGACCGGGGGACACCGAAGGCAGGGGCAGCCAGTACCTCAATCTACGGAGCGAATAATGGACGTTTTCCAACGGGTATGCAAACAAATGGGTACTTTATATTAATAGTCCTTGCACGTCAATCGAGTGATTGACGAGATGTTGATAGATATTATGTGTTGTTTTATGTAAAATATAGAAATTTCTTTTTTAGAGTTGGTGGAGGTAGTAGTAGTAGTGTATTGAACATCTTTTTTAGTACAGGGTGTGTGAGTGAGGGCGTGCTCGGGCGGCGGCGGCGGCGGCGGCGGCGGCCGTGCGCAGACCTAACAAATAACGTCTTGTGTTGCTCTGGAGTTCATCAACAAGGCGACAATCAAGCCGTACAAACCCAAGACTTCTGCAAAAATCAAGATCAAGATCATACCGACAAACAATCTTGGCTGCTGGGCGGTACCTCTGACACCGGCGTCACCGACAATGCCGATGGCGAAGCCGGCAGCCAACCCTGCCAAGCCGACGGACAAGCCTGCACCCAATTGGATGAAACCTGTGTACAACGCCTGTTGCTGCTTCAACGACGACGAGATCAACACAGACACAACCAACCCGTAAATGGCAATGATACCGGCCATAATGACTGGAACGGTGTTCTTAATGAGCAAGTCTGGTCTGAGGACACAGGTTGCACAGATACCGACACCCGACTTGGCGGTACCGTAAGAGGCACCGAAACAGGTGAAGATGATGGCGGCAGCACAACCAATTGAACCGAAGAATGGGGCGTAGACTGGACTGCAAACAGACAAGTATGCCACACGGACAATTCCGATGGCGCCATGTTAGTATGTGTGTCGATTATTATCGAGCCGGGCTGAGCCTGTTCAACTGACCCGGCTAAACTCAGCAGCAAACGGTACATACCAAAGATCAGACATTGTGTGTGTGTGTATATGTGTAAGACAGTTACCGGGTGTGGATCGGAGACGAACAAGTTGGGTGGTGGCGACGGAGAACAGGCTCTTCAGAATAACGGCAACCGTGTGTCCAAGGCAGGCAGCTGGCTGGCTGGCTTCTTTGCTGGCTCCTGGAGAGGAATTTAGGCAGCCATTTTGCAGGGCGGGCGAAAAGCAGCAGCGGTCTGCCAAAAATGGAGCCGATCGGCGCAATAAAGGAAAAAACGGGCCGATCGGCGCAGCTGACGTAAGCAGTTTTTCAAATTGCGTCGATCGGCCTGGTTACGTAAGCGGTTACGTAAGCTATTTTTTTCTCTATTTTTGCTTTTTCAAATCTTTTTTCGAATTTTTTAATTTTTTTTATTTTTTCACAGTTTTTTTTCATGTTTTTTCACTTTTTTTTTCCTTCATGTCCTTCACCACCACCTCTTCTTCTACTGCTCCGTTTTCTTGTTCCCTTCCGTTCTCCAAGGCGAGCTACAGCAAGGAACCTAGACACACACGCAAGCACTACCACCCAGCAGAACAATGTCCGCACCAAACCCTAAGGCGTTCCCTCTTGCCGACTCCGGCTTGAGCCAACAGATCCTCGACTTGGTCCAACAGGCCCAGAACTTGAGACAACTCAAGAAGGGTGCCAACGAGACCACGAAGACGTTGAACAGAGGTATCTCTGAGTTCATCATCATGGCTGCCGACACGGAGCCAATCGAGATCTTGCTCCACTTGCCACTCTTGTGCGAGGACAAAAACGTCCCCTACGTCTTTGTTCCTTCCAAGACCGCTCTTGGCAGAGCGTGCGGTGTCTCGAGACCGGTCATCGCCGCCTCCATCACCACTAACGACGCCTCCGCCATCAAGAACCAAATCTACGCCGTCAAGGACAAGATCGAGACCTTGTTGATCTAAGGACGCTGTATATCTAGCCGTTGTATAGCACCAATAACAATAAAAACGAGATATATGCATATACATGTACATATACTATATACCCTGCAGGGACGTCGCCAGAGCTCGCCAGAGCTCGCCAGAGCTCACCAGTTGCACACTTTTTCGAGGATATCCACAATCGCCGTAGCCTCGGTGCTGCTCTCGATCTGAGGCACAAGCACCCCGTTCACCACCACGCTCGGCGTAACGTGCACCCCGATTGTCCGCTGGTACCGTGTGAAGTACTTGCTGTCCTTGATGACGCCGGTGCCGTCGTTCCGTGGCGGGCCCTGCTCGTCGACACCGACAACCTGGAGCAGTTGCTCTACTGCCTGCCATCGGTCCTCCTGCTCGGCGCCGCTGGCACCGATAGCAGCCCCAGCCTCGCTCCGGAGCAACGCCAACACCTCAGTCGTCAAATCCGCCCGGCTCTTGCGGTACACCTCCGTGTCGAAGAACTCGGTCCCGTGGTCAAATAGCACCCGGCTCACCGTCCAGAACGCCTCCGGGTGCACACGGGCCACCGCTAACGACACCTCGTGTAGCACGCTCGACTGCAACCCGTGCCACGGTTGGATCACGTTCACAAACACAAGGTTGTACTTCTCGTCAAGCTGGCGCTCCTGCAACAATGGCACCAACTCGTCCTGCACCTTCTTGAACATCTTTGCCGAAAACTTGCAGTTGTAATCCAGAAACAGCTCCACCGTGTTGGCCCTTGGCGAGTATTTCACCACGTGCGACGCCAAGAATCTTGGATGTAAGTTTGTCATTGCTGTCTCTTGTCTGTCGTTCTCCGTGCCGTATCAATGGTCTTTGCCTCCCAATCTACTCCGTTCACCAACTCTGTTAAGCCTTCAGTCGTCTCTTTTGCCACCGGCGGCAACCCGTCTCCGCTAGCTGCCCCGCACCCTCTGGTAAGAGAGGGCGGCCGCGAGCGAGACAGATTCGCTGGCTGTCCGTCGCCTGTAACTCTCCCCGACTGCCTTGGCAACCAGAACGGCCATTGCTGGACGGCGCCAGCAGGAGGCCTGTGGGGAAAAGAGAAGGTCTCTCGGTGCCAGCCACCTCATGTCTGTTTCCTTTCTCTCCAGGAACCTTTCTCCCCTGTACAGACGTCAAACCACCCTTTCTCCACTGTTGAACTACGCAAGAAACATGTCCTCTGCCACCCCAGACAAGCTCGATATTGAAATCATCTCCCCAGGTGACGGAAAGACTTTCCCTAAGACGGGAGACCTTCTCACCGTGCACTACACGGGCACGTTGACCAACGGCAAGAAGTTCGACTCCTCCGTCGACAGAAACAGACCTTTCCAATTCAGAATTGGCCAAGGTATGGTCATCCAGGGCTGGGAACAAGGCTTTGCCAAGTTGTCGCTCGGCGAAAAGGCCAGATTAACTGTTCCTCCTCTTATGGCATACGGTGAAAGAGGCTTCCCAGGCTTGATTCCTCCAATGTCTCCACTTATCTTCGACGTTGAGTTGTTGAAGATCAACTGAGCGCTGCTACCGCCGCCGCTTGGCTATCAATCTGCCCTTTACTGCAATCAAACGATTTATAACAGATGCCGCTCGTGCGGCATCGAATATATGTATATGAGTTTTGAATGAACTAAGAAAAAAGTGAAGAAAAACCAGCCACGTTGGCCCCAACTCTCATTCACGTAGAAATAGATGCCCGTCGACAAACCGCAACCGGTCATCGGCAACATTGGGCTTCACAAACACCTGGAACTGCCGGTCGTACAGCGTGAATTCAGGCAAAGCTATCTCAGCCCGTCCCTCCTGGTATTGTCGGTCCACCCGGTATACAAGCTCAATTTTTTCCTGCATGAATGGCATAACACTCAACTGCATGCTCTTCACATAGTCGACAATTTCCACCCCACTCACGGGGTTCAAGTTCGTCTGGTACTGGAAGATCCGGTCTGTCGGGTTTTCCATGATGTACGTAACCACCAGCTCTTCCTTGGATCCGCCTTCGTTCACTACCACCAACATCCGTGGATCCACGTGCGGGAGGTTCGCCTTGTACATTTCCAATCGGTAGTGTTGCACAACATCCTTCATCTCTTCAATATAGTAATCAATCACACACTGAACGTCCACGGGCACAGATCGTATGATTCGCTCGTAACACACAACATCAAGCCAAACTTTCAATTTCTTTTCCCCCATGCTTTTTAAAATCGTGCCGTCGTCTTCGTTGTCCTCTACCTCGGGCGTTAGTGTCAACGTCACATCCTTCGGCCCACGAACTACAAATTTGCACGAGGTGATATTCATCTGCTCAAACGAAACGTTGCGCAGGTTTAACGTAAATAGCCATTTCCTGGTATGCACAGGGATGTTCATGTTGGCTCCAACGTCGAGCATCTTCTTTTCGTCAATGATGAACAGGTTGGGAAATTCACCATGCTGATCAGCTCTTAATTCTGTATGCCATTCAATCATTTCTACTATTTTCACTCTAGCCTCTTTTTTCACTTCAATACTGACTCCCTCGTTCAGAAGTTCGTACTCAATATGGAATTTGATGTTGCAGTTGAAAACTTCATTATCATCACTCTCCCCTTCGATCGTACTCATCGGTAGCCCACTGATCTGTGGCATCTCAAGCACACACGAAGTGGTAACACTTTCCCCTGGTTTCATGATAGCTTGACTGTCAAAACTTTTATCAGTGTGGTCCTCACCCCATTTCACAGCAACATCATATTTCTTGTTCAAAACTCCATCGCCTTTAATATGGACCTTCACAGGGCTGTCAGTGTCTTCATTGACGAACTTGAGAAACACGGGAAACACCCTGCCATTGAATCCAACTCTGTCATATTTGAGATTGCATTTTATTTTGGGGATTTTAGGGAGAACCTCGAATGAGTTTGTTGGATAATGGTTGTTCAAGACCTGATCTTTTCCATCTTTTACGAACCACTTCAAAAATGGTCGGGATGTGCTGTCAAGACCTGCGATATTAATCACTGTGCTGAACTGAACGTCATTCAATGTTCCATTGACCCGAACCCGTGGAACGTAAAACTTTCCAACAACGCTAGAACAGACGTGTATCTGCAGAATGATGCACTTGCGGTTGATTCGTCCATCGATAGTTTTGAAAGCTAAAGGACACGTTATACTCTCGCTGATATCTTTGGAATCACAAGTCAATTCATATAGCACAACCGATTTCGAGTTTTCCTCATTCTCAAGAACATTATTTGCATCATAATTTTCTCCATCATTGGTAACTCTGATTATTTTGAACTCTGAGTTTTCACCCAAATCAATCTCCAATTTATTTATCTCCAGACTAGAAATCATATTGTCGCCCTTATGTCGTATCAGAACTTGCAAGTCAACCCCTTCGTTCATCATATTCGTATACTCTTTGATACCTACGTCAAAGTCAAAAACGCCCTCCTTTACAAAAGGTACACCACTGTTGGTGTTGGCAGCCAAAACTTCAGCATCAGCATCATCTGAGTTTCTTAATTCATCCATCAAGATGGATTGTGAATCATCATTAACGAGATCTAAGCTGATTATTTTTTCCTTCATGAGATCAAGGAAAATCTTCGTACTATCCAAAGCCTTTGCTTTTTTCCAAACAGAATCATTGATAGAGCATAGTTCTATGTAGACTGCCCATGCTTCTCGAACTTGGGACAAGCCAACATAACAGTGAAGAATCTTCTGAAGCACACAACCCACAATAAAAATGCACGATTCTTGTTTATAATTTGAAAGACCAGCAAAGTAATTGTTCACTGCCATACTGTAATTTTTCTTCGAATAATAAACGTCACCTAACAAAATATAAACTCTCGACTCAATTCTTGAGAATTTCCCAGATTTTGCCAGGTTGAAGGAATCAAGGGCGGCAGTTAATAGCATTACCCTATTATCCGATCCACCCGTTTCTTCATGTTGAAGGGCTAAGCCCCGATATTCTGCTGCTTGCAAAAAGTTGAACCCATTTTGTGGCATATTGTAACTATTGTATCTAATTTCTTTCAGTCCAAGAGTTGGCATCATGATCGGGTCAATTGGTATTACGTCTTCGTTTATGTTTTCTAATAGTTCTCCCAACCAGGTATACTGAGTAGACAGCCATTCAAATGTAAAGTTTCTGGGGTCTAACTCTCTTATCTGTTGAACGTGGAAAGTGAACTTCCTATATGCGATATTGGCGTCTCCCAAAACTATGCAAGACCTGACGATATGCATGCACATCACGTCTAGCCAAGCACGTGCCTCAGCATGCTGACTTCGCTGAGATACATGGTCAATCGATCGTAAGGATTGCAATAGTCTGTCGTATGCATATTCCAATAGCTTTGTTGAATAGTCAGTAATTCCCTTCACCTGTTCAAACAATGCCATCTTTATCAAATTTCTTGCTGAAAAAAATTTCTCTGAGTACTGATCGTTCTTGATTTCTCTCCTCTTAAGTTTCTGAATCTGTACGTTAAAAAAGTCGTTAGAATACTGCCTCAACCCTATCATTAGCTTCCTAATAAATACCGTTTGCTCTCGTTTGGATATCTCATCAGATAAACCGTTGATGACAAAAAGTGAGTTTGGATTCATGTTGATCCGTGACACAATGCTCTGTATTCGATCGCTGTCTGTGGTGTTTGCATGCACGTTTATGAGGATGCATACAAACTTAATCATTGTGTTGGAGAATTTGAGCTTCACTCTGTTGACTTCGTTGACCAATAAATCGTCCCACCTCTTGTCTGCGCCAATCTCGTAGAAGGCTATAAACACCGATGGTATATAGCTGTAATACTTCTCTGACCATTGCAGTGGCAACAGTGATCCGTAGAAGTCACCTTCTTTGTTGTATGGGGACAATGGAGATTTTGTTCCGTTCACCACAATCTCGTATTTGCTGTCGGCGTACTTTATGTTGAACCATAAACCTTTCGAGTTCACACTTCCACTACTGAGAGAAGACATCAGGCGCTGTCTTGATTGATGCAGCTGCTGCTTTTGTTTCAAAGAGCTTTTTTCCAGCTTCTGTGACTGCTGTTGCTTCTGTGATGTCTGTCCACTGCTATCCTGGTTAGGCCACCACAATCGATCGTTCACGTTGCATTTCTCAATCAAACTAACCAGACGTTCAACGCATCCGTTTTTCACCTCGTCCAATTCCCTGTCTATCTGTAGTTGTAACCCGTAGTTCTGTTTCTTCCCCGGCCCCGCATATGCTTGCTCTTTAAGCGTTCTAATACGTCGTTTCGGCGGCTGTGGTCTCAATTCGCTTGAAATCCCCTGGAAAACCACCAAAGGCGCAGGAACGGATGTCAGTGAGCGGTGGTACGTCTCCATGTTGATGTATTCTCTATGTTGAGAGTCTACTCTCCTCTCAATAGACTCCCAAAGATCATGCCAGCAAACAGTCTAACCAAATATCCGTATTCAGCAGTTCCAGGCGTTTTGGAGCTGCCCCGCTGCCGGAAAAATTCATGCGACCCGGAAGATGCAGACAGTCTAGAGAAGGAGACGGCTCTAATAGCTGTTTGCAGGTGACAGGTGTCGAATGGTTCGTATGTCCTACACCAATCCAAACCCTCAATAGCATTGTGCCAGAACTGTCCTTCAGATTGCTCGATTTAAAACGTACAAAGAGAGAAAATACGTGTGATACCTGATAACGATTACGATAACAATGGTGGAACAAAGCTTTGCAGTTAATTTGTCTCATATAATTCCCCACGGCAAGCTCTTGGAAGGAATCACCTATGACGAGAGAACAGACACCCTTTACTATATCGACATACCAGCTGGTTCGGTGTTTGTGTCCCCAAATGCGGCCAATACACCTCTTGGGGTTCCAAACAGCTACGTCGTGAGCGCTTCTGTTGGTGTGATTGGGTTGACGTCTGATCCAAATAAGCTCATCTGCGGAGTGGAAGACGGGGTATCCATCCTCGACCTTGCGATGGGTGAAGTGGAAAACGTCAAGGCGTTTCCCAATGGGAATATTGCTGAGGGCACACAGTTGAGATCAAACGATGGATCTGTTGGGCCGGACGGGTCTTTCTGGGTCGGCACGATGGACGACACCGAAGAAAAAAGCTTGGGAAGCATGTGGCTGTTGAAGAACAAAGATTCTGAGCTCAAGGAGCTCTGGTCCGGCGCTGGCATTCCTAACGGCATCAACTGGGATTCGTCAAGAAAAATCGTGTACTGGACCGATTCATTAAAGGAGACTATTTACAAGTACAATTATGATCCTGAGACAGCTGAAATCGATCTTGACTCTAAAGAATCATGGTTTTCCGGTGTTAGCACCCCAGACGGGTCCTGCATCGACAAGGACGGGAACCTTTATGTGGCACTCTGGGGCAGCAACAAGGTAGTTAGAGTGACCCCCGAATGCAAGATTGACATGGAGTGGAAGTTTCCGTCCAAAAACATGACGTGCTGTGCCTTTGGTGACAAGGACTTCAAGACTCTATACGTCACGAGTGCCGATTTAGGTGAGGGCGACGAGCCCGACGCTAACGACAACGGCGCAGCTGTGTACAGGATCGAGCTTGGGGATCTGAACATCCAAGGTGTGCCAAAAAACAAGTTTATTGTGTAACTCCTCTGTGTATGCTTCTCAAAGCCCTAGTTATTTAATCAGCCTGAAGCGATCTTTCCCTTATATTCGTCCATCCAGTTCAGCAGCCAGCCAATGAACTCCTCCACATACTCGTTCTCTTCTATTCCTCCTTCTCGCAAGCCGTTGAGTTTCCGGCTTGCTATCTCAACACGTCCATCCTTGGAGTATTCATTGGTAAGACCAACATCATTCAAAATCTCAATTAAAGACAAGATGTGAAATTGTAATACCGGTGACGAAATATATTCTTGAAATTGAGGGTCTTTCACTAGCATCGCAAGCATTGGATCCTCGATCTGATCGGTTTGTTCCGTTTCTGATTTCACAACGACTTCTGCATCTCCTTCAGCTGGTTTGGCGCTGGTTTCCGCCCGCTTCTTAAGAGCTATATCATCCTTTTCCACATGTGCTGCTGTCTTGAAACAGGCCAACGAACAATACCTGCTTGAACACTTCGGGCACGTGTATTTGGCCTCCGTTTTCAAACAAATATCACAGAGCATGGCGGAGCTTCAATGAGACCTCTTTGCTTGCCTACAACACTTTAATGAGGGCATACACAAGATGCTTGTAAGTCATGGAGAGATGAAAAATTATAGATACGGAGAAAAAAATATAAATTATCAACATTCCTCTTGTCACGTGCGGCGGAACCTGTTCTTCGGGTGATGATGCCTGTATACACGAGTTGTGGAGAACCCCACAGGGGCTAGAACTAGAGGAAAAGGAAGAGAAGTTTTGCAGCTGCATTAGTCGGAGATGAATGTTGACAAAATTGCCATCATTGGTAGCGGTCCCAGTGGACTGGTAGTGTTGAACGAGTTCTTACACACAGCGAAAGATGGAAGTTCCTCGATCAACAGCTTTCGGACAAGTGAGAACAAGATTCCTGTGGATCCAGCTTTTCGGGAGATTGTTGTGTTTGAGCAGAACGGCAGCATTGGTGGAACGTGGAACTACTCGGAAAGTACCGACCCCGCTTTTCCTGCTGATCTGGAGAGCTACTCTACACCTGAAAATCTTAGACCGAGTTTGGATCCTCCTTTTGAGAAGGAACTGCTGCATACCTCTGTGGAAGAGCCACTTCTTCGCTCCATTGCCCCTGGAGTGATGAAAAGCAGAGCACTATGGAACAAGAGTGGTGTGTATGATGACCTCTTTACCAATGTCTCTGATAGGTTAATGCGGTTTTCGTCGGGGTACGACATCGACAGTGGTGCCGATATGAGTGCAAACCCTTATGCTCCTTTCATCACACATAAAGATGTCCTAAACTATCTCGGTAAGTTTGCAGATGCGAATGACCTGCAAAGGCACGTCAGGCTGCACACGAGCGTTGAAAAAGTTTACAAGAAGGGTAACAAGTGGACTTTGGTAGTAGTTCAGCTCGACACCGCAAATGGTATAGAGAAATGGTATACGGAGCAATTTGATGCAGTTCTCATTGCCACTGGGCGGTTCAACATCCCGTTCATTCCGTATGTCGAGAACATGGATAGATTTATTGTGAACCACCCTGACTGTGTTTCGCATACCAAAGCCTACAGGAATACCGACGCGTACGAGAACAAAAAGGTTCTGCTGGTGGGGTCGAGCATAAGTGCTGTAGATTTGCTTCAGTACATGATTCCGAAGTGCAAGGAGGTCTGGCTATCATTCAACTCCCCAAAGGTCACAGTGCAGCCCGCAAGGGAAGCCGCTCCTGGCCAGTGGATGCGTGATATTTTGAACGATGAGAGTGCTGGTTTCCACAGATGTGCCCGTATCAAACGCTTCACCAAAGATGATGGTGTGGAGTTTGAAGATGGCCAAGTTGTCCATGGATTTGACAAAATCCTCTTTGCTACAGGATACCATTTGTTCTATCCATTTCTCGATATACCCGAGAACAGAGACAGCAACTACATTCGTGTCTATTCCGGCAAGAAGGGCCAGTCAAACTATGCACTCACAAAGGCCGACAACGCTTATCTGTACACCTTTACGGTTGGTGAGCCTACCCTATGCTACATTGGTATTGCCCATAACCCACTTCTCTTCCTCACGGCGGAAGCCAGTGCCATCGCAGTAGCTGGAGTTTGGTCCGGTGGCAAGCACCTACCTTCGCTGACTGAGCAAAAGTTTTGGTGTGACCAGAAACTTGAATGCCAAGCTGACGGACTTCAGATGTTGGACGAGCACCAGTTCCAGCCTTTCGCCAGAGAACTCTACAAGTATGCCCCGAAAAATCGCATAGATTTACTCCAGCAAGTTCATGATGACGAAGTAGACGAGTCTAGAAACATTCTAAGAGAGATTTTCTACAAGATCTCCAGGGCTTCTGTTTAACCGTGTTGTACAGCGTAGCGTACAGCAGCAGATATGTAATGATGGAAAGTCACGTGACACAAATCCGTCCGACATGTTTTTTCATCTTTTGTAACCCAGCTTTGCACCACCTACTGGACCTCCAAGCAATTAATTGCAGAAATATTGCATTGTCGAGGACTATACTTGGATTCTAGGAAGGGCATGGATTTAGGGTATTCTTCCTCGGACTCAGATACCGACGATGAGAATGCAAAGAAGAGACGTCATGATGAAGACGCTATAGATGGCGGAAACAAAAAGGAAGAAGAGGTGACAAGTATTGACATTGACATACGGAAGGTGTTTCATCTGCACAGCACGGAGCAGTCGAAAAGGCGCAAACTTGATGACCGAAGCGGTAAAATTAGCCGGGCCATCAGCAAGGTTTTGAACGACAAAGTCGAAATAGATTCGACTACAGGTGATGATGGTGAGCTTGATGGTGGTGAGTCTGAATCGGCGGGAAAAAAGGGGGTGAAGGACAAGCTGGGGATACCCAAGGATGCTGTAGTTGCGGAGCTCGATATGAGTGACTTCTACAAACATAACCAGGAGGAGTTGGAGTCAGGACGGCTAAATGCAGAACGGCAAGCGAAAATAGGCGATATTGTCTATCACCGGGAGGCGGGCCACTCCAACGCGGGAAGGTTGGACCGGGTCATCCAATTCAACCTCAACAACGAGGAGAAAATCATGTACCAGAACAAGGAAAGGATCGCCAAGGAGATGGCGATTGCGAGGGAGAAGGCCAACGCAGGGCGTGGATAGCTTCCGCACGTGTCGCAGCTCTCTGGAAGTCAAGTAGCTCAACTCGCTATTAAAACTATATATGTACACGTCAGATAGTAGGTTATATACGTAAACGGGTCTCCTCATAGAGCGCTTTTCTTTTCTTCCTCGTATTCCTTCTGCAATTGGTGGATCGTGTCTTCGTCTAATGGCGGGATAGGAATGTCGTCAAAGTCGTCCTGGTTCAAGAAGTTGTACGTGTAGGTGTAAATTCCAACCGGAACCGCAATGAGAATGGCAAGGCCAATCATGTTCTTGACAAAGTATGGCTGACGTGCACGTAGTAGCGCAGGCGACATTCTGTATGTGTGGGGCTCGTAGTAGCCGTTGTTGCTCAACATGTTGCGTGCGATAGATGTGAAATGCATAGTTGGGCGTGGATCAGTGGGTGGGTGTTGGCGTTCTTTCTCGGTCTCACAAGCAGACCTCTCACCGCCCCGTTCCTTCCATCGACCTCAGCTGAAGTGGGTGTATCATGATTATTATTATGATGTTCCTTTGTCGCTAAGCGTCAGGTTTTTTTCTCACAGCACTATTTTCTTAGAGGAAAAGTCGGCTCGTTTGCTTCTGCCGGGAGATGCACCAGATTTCCGAGCACAACTGCTGTGAAGGAGTGCATCTACTGCACAACTCTTGTGCTGGCTCTGGACCGTAGACACTGTACACACCTAGCCCCTCTTCTATGTTGTTGAATAGCACAACGTGTATAGCCCATTTTACGTCGACCGACGGAAGATAGGGTTTTTTTTATTTTTTTTCATTTTCCAGAATTTTTTTATTTTTTTTTGTTTCCAATAAATTTTTCACTCAACTAGATAGATATGTTGCATGTTAAACAAAGAAACGGGGGAGATCAGAGCCAACACATCAACCAGAAGCAGATATCACCTACCAGCAGCCCTACAAGAATGACTACCGAAGAAGGTGCAAAGCTAGTCACTGTGATGGTGAACAACAAGCCGGTGGAGGTGTCAGCCCCAGACGAGGAAGAGCTATATCTTGAGAAGTTAGTGTTCGGTGACGCTGACGGGTTTGCCAATAACCTCAAGAACGTCGACAACTTGTACATGGATGAAGAAGAAGAAGATTTCAACACGAATGACATCAACCCGTTCAATTACTCAGATTCTGAGCCTGACGAGTTTTTAGACACATTGGCAAACAAACAGGAATATGGATTCGATGAGATAGACGATGGTGAGGACGAAGACCTCGAGCAGGATGATGAACAAATGGGGAAGCTAGAAGACGACGAGCTCTTCTTCAATGACTCGGAGGCGGACTCGGACCAGATGGATGTGGATCGAGAGACGGGCGATGGAAATGCCGAGGAATCGGAAGAATCGTCGGATGAAGATTTGTGGGAAGATTCAGACGATGAAAGGATTGTCATCGACGTGACCTCCGTCGACAGACTCAAGAAATTAAGAGAGACGGAAGAGGAAAGATTCATACCCGGTTTGGAGTATATCGACCGTTTGAAGGTCCAGTACAAAAACATCTACCAGGTCCCCGAATGGGCAACCCATGAGTACGAAGATGACAAGGTGGAGAATGAGGACGATGATGAGGAAGACGGCACCGGCAAGGGCCTATACGATGATGTGAAGACCTCGAAGAGTCAGGTGATATCGGCATCTTCCAACCCTCTTATGGACTTCCTTGCCCAGAACCAGACATACAACATAACCAATGAGAAGTCCAAGCTGCTCAATCCCGAACACCTCAACATCGACCGTCTTGTCGACGCAAATATTTCTAAACTCTCCAAATCTTCCATTCAGTCAATGAGCTTTCATCCAACACAGCCGCTATTGCTCACCGGTGGTTTTGACAGAACCTTGCGAGTGTACCACATAGATGGGAAAAACAACAGCCTGATCACATCACTACATCTTAGACAATCTCCTGTCCAGAATTGTGTCTTTTTGAAGAACCCAGATTCTGGATTAACGACGATTTTGTCTGGCGGTAGACGTAAATACATGTTCAAATGGAGCATTGATTTGGGGGTGATTGAAAAGGTCACAAGAATGTACGGACACGAAATTAGACAGCGTTCTTTCGAACACTTCAAAGCGTCAAGGGATGGCAGATTCATCGCCTTGGCCGGTAACGGAGGATGGGTGAACATTCTCTCAGTGGCGACTGCACAATGGGTGCATGGCTTCAAGGTGGAAGGCACCCTCATGGACTTTGAATTCACATCCGACAGACTCATAGTAGTCAATCAGACTGGTGAAATCTGGGAGTTCAACATGTCCAATTACAACATTGTCACTCGTTGGACAGATGTGACAGGTATAGGTATCACAAGAATAAGGGTTTCTCCAAACAACAGGTTTTTGGCTGTGGGAAGTAATACAGGGTTCGTCAACGTATACGACAGATTGAAAGACAACAGACTGTTAAAGTCAATAGACAACCTTACGACGACTATCTCGAGTTTGGAATTTAGCCACGACTCGCAGGTCCTTTGTATTGCATCGAGAGCAAAGAGAGATGCATTGAGATTGGTGCATTTGCCATCTTGTAACGTTTTCAAGAACTGGCCTACCAGTGTGACTCCACTTGGAAAAGTCACTTCTGTTGCCTTTGCTCCAAGTGGCGGTTTTCTTGCCACCGGTAATGAGCAGGGGAAGATTAGACTCTGGAAATTGCTTGATATTTGATTTCCCTGAAAACTCAACGATAACTTAATTAGTCTTTTCTTCTTCTACTTCTGAACATAATTTATGTAGATTAATCCCGCAATATATTAAAGAATCCGTGGTATACCCGAATAGGCAACTATTATGCGTTGCCTTCATGCTTCCCATTGCGGCTGAGTCGCTCGCTGTACAGAGAGCCGGGACCTATAATTCAGAACGGTTATCAATCAGGCGGTTTTTACTGGTGTTTGGCACCTTCCTTCGACAATTGCATAGCAATCGACTCTGGCTAAGGCAAGCTGTGCATCCAGTAGAGCAGCTGTCCATTTAGGCTCCGAGAATGCCGCTTGAGTCTAGTGATGTTACTGCTCTCAGCAGCCGAATATTGGAGAAATTGGAAGAGGATAAGTCACAACAGGAATCCAGGATTATAGTACTCATGTACGGAGCACCAGGATCTGGGAAAAGCACCTCCGCAGAGTTGTTGACCAAGGATTTGAATGCAAAGTTTAAAAGGAAGAATTGCAGCAGTCAACAAAGATTTTCGGTGCCCTCGCAACCCTCAGTAATACATCAAGGCAAAGGGAAAGCAAAGACACAAATATTCCAGTACAACGAAGAGTCAAGTATTGGCTCAAAGAGCGAGGAGATACCGTTTGCCACCCACCTCAAAATGGATGGGTTTCATTTGCCTCTTTGTGTCTTAGATGAAGAACTTAAACGTCGAAGAGGATGTCAAGAGTCATTTGATGCCTCCTTAGTTGTCAGACTTGTGGAACTATTGCTTATTGATGACACCTGGTCCGCTCTAAGCATACCGGACTTTGACCATGCAACAAAGGACCCAGTCAATCCAGGTATTTATGTTTCGAAGAAAACCAAAGTGGTGGTTTTTGAAGGCTTATATTTGATGCTCGACATTGATCCGTGGTCCCAAATCTCTAAGATGGTGAAAGATTCAACAGAAAACAAAAATGGAAGTAAAAACACCGTTTTGGTTGCCCACATACGTGGCGGAAATGAAATTGAAACTGCACATAGGATAGCCTTGAGACATTTGCAGTCTGGCTTGGTTGTCTCCTACGACGAAGGACGGAAACGATACTTTGAGAACGATCTGGCTAATGCCAAAATAGTTGAAAATCGGAGTGTCACAATTTTTGATGATATGATCATAAACAATTCTATTAGATTGGCTTTACCCTAACTATAGATTTTTAATACCCTAATAAAAATAAATAAATTTTATAAATAGAAAACCAGAAAAGTATTTGCCCATAGTTGCTTTATATATATCTTATTCGATTCTTTCGGTTTTCAGTTTTCTTCTACTTAATATAGTAGAAGAATTGAGTTTAAGATTAACCACACCATGCTCCAGCATCCTTTGCTCCAAAGATTGATTTTCGAAGTGATCACCTGAAGGGCTACCCTTAGGTGCATCCTCCGGAGATTCTGTTTCTCCAGCATAACCGTCTTCAGGTTCGTACTTTTTCTTGCATTTGAAAACGTAAGGAGTATGTGCTTGGCACTTGGACCTAAATTCTGAGTGACTCAACTTGTGCAAGTAGTGAGCAGCACCTGCCCCATAGCCAGCTAACGGGGTCTTGTCCTCCCACTCGTTTTCGGTTTCGTTGTGGCTATCAATATCAACATTTGTCTCATCATCATCATCATCATCATCGTTATACTCCTCTTCGCCATACTCTTCACCTTCATCGTCACTGGGACCAATGTCACTGTTATTCGCATCTGCAATTTCATTCACTTCGTTTAGCTGGGTAGCATACCCAATCTTAGATAGGTGTCCAGAAGAACCACTTGTTGCACTTGTCACACTTGAGTTCGAAAGGTCTGAAAGGTGAGAAGAATTGGAGGTAATCGAACCAGACCGAATGCTTGGATTCACGTTGAATGAAATAGAGGTTTTTCTGCCATTTCTAGTATGCAAAACATTGCTAGAATCTGTCTCAACTTCTGGACTACCTTTTGAGTTCTTATCATTTCCTCTCTCCTTTTCAGTAGCTGATTGGGTAGATTGGGTAGATTTGAAAGATTTGAAAGATTTGAGTGACTTGATAGAAGGGGCTCTGGTACTAGCTTGGGTTGTCAGTGTCAGCGTTGTACCATGACTATGAACAGGAGAGAGACATGAGGAGGTGGACAACTCAACAGCATTTACTCGTCTCACCATCATCGGACTTTTAATTTTGGTAAGTGAAGTCAAAGTTATCGGATAATCGTCTGTATCTTCATCTATCTCTTCAGAGTCTAAAGAATCATTTTCATCATATTCGCTCCTATGATTAGATTTGTTGTTGACTGGTGCACTGAATCTATGACATCTCAAATTTTCAGCCTGTGAGTCATTGAAGCTAGAATCGTCATCTGATTCAGTTTCCAGATCACTTATACTCTCGGTGTTGGAAATATATCTTGTAGGTTTGCTCAAACACATTGTATCGATCACATCAGCATTTCTACTCGAGCCAGTCAAAGGTATCACAGTTTTCTGGACATCTTTAGCGGTATCAAAAACAAGCTTTATAGCTTCGGCTCTAGGAGTCATAATCTGACCTTCATCAGAGGTAATTTTATGGCCTGCAAAATAATCATCAACGTTAGAATTGTTGATCAAATCTTCACTGAATGCCTTGTATAGTTCGTTATCATAAGTTGATTTGGGAGCATCGTCAGCCGGTGATGACAACCTTGTCAAATCTACCCCTTTCTCACTTTCATAACCAATGTTTATCCAAGGATCCGAAAGCAGTTCTTCGATTGAATAACGTTTGGCAGGGTCAACTGTTAAAAGGTTCGAGATCAAGTTTGTGCAACCGTCTGAAACCTCATCGAACCAAGGCTTTAAAAACTGGTAGTCACCTTTCATGACTTTTTCGGTTATATCATTTGAGTCTTGAGTGTTGGAGTAGAACGGAGGAAAACCAACCACCATTGTGTACAGTACACACCCAAGCGCCCACATATCGACCTTCTTGTCATATCCTACATTCATGTGTTGTTCAGGGGAAGTATATCCCACAGTTCCACATGGAGTCTTGGCCAAAGAGTTAGATGTTTGCAACAATGTCGAAAGACCAAAGTCAGCTAATTTGACAATACCTATTCCTGCGGCTCCATTTTGAATGGTGAATTTCCCTTCATCGACTTTGTTGTCATCATCTGACTTCCTCCGTGCTTTTAGTTGGTCTTCTTTCGACCTCGGCACAAACGTCGAAGGCTCAAAGAGTAAGTTTTCAGGCTTAATATCGCGATGGACTATGCCGTTATCATGCAAATATTTCACAGAAAAAGCAACCTGTCTTATGATGTGGCGAGTCAAGTTTTCGGAAAAGTATGTGTACTTAATGATTTGATTGAAGATTTCACCACCGGCAACGTACTCCAAAAATAGAAAGCAGTATTTCGAGTCTGAAGAATTCTGATAGTTATACAGCTTCACAATGTTTGGGTGGTTCAAATGTCTCATGATTGCAACCTCCTTTAATGTTGAGCTGATCTGGTCTGGCTTCATGTTAGACTTATCAATGATTTTGATGGCTAGGTAACGGGAATCTTTGGAATCGTACGCTTTGTAGACATAAGAAAACGCCCCTTCGCCTATTTTATCGGAGAGAAGATAACGAGTATGGAGTTCGGTGTAGTAGTCTGCCAATTCTGGGTGAATTTCAAGTAGCACATTGATTGAGTCCGGATTATGGTGAGACCGTTCGTAATGTGTTTCAGTAGGAGGAGAGATGGAAGGGCCTGAGTCAGGACAAGAAGTGGTGTCGCCGTTCTGACTGTTGTTGTTTTTAACCTCCTTCAGGTCCTTCTGCTCCTTTGTCTTCCTGTTGATAATATTTTTAAAAAGATCAAGCATCATATGCGAGAAGTGTGTCCTGCTGTATGCAAAATATGTGATAATGGATCAATAGGCAGTTGATAAGTAGTAGTAATAGTGGTAAAATAGTAATAGTATAAAGGAAATGTAAATGCAGAGTAGTAAATTGGGAAAATGTAAATACAGTTGTAATGCTGGGAAGAATTGAAATGAAATAAAGTGAAATGAAATAAAGGAAGAGTGTACTGTAAATATGTGTTATGAAGAAAGAACAAAAAGAATATCAGACAATAGAATGCTATGCAGAAAACGGCAAGGAAAAATGAAAAATCAGAAGCCTTGAGTTTTTGGATGGAGAAGTACGAGCCGTCCGTGACAATGTCAACGACAATGGCAAACAAAGAGCGGTCCTTGTATGGTATGCAGATGTTGTGTCGTAGCTGACGAAAAACACACACTACCACTGTGTTTGTATGTATGGTGACTGATAGATAATTGACCCCTGGAGGAGGGCGTTCGACGAACCAAGAGATGTGAGCGTGTCGGTTGTGGTATGCTGTGTCTGGAGCTGGTAGTGGTTGTTTGTCAGTACCACAAAAGAAACCTCAAAGAGTCCTCTAATCAGCAGAACAATCCGGCTTGTTATTTGTCAGGGCGTCCTCAACATGTAAATAATGCCTCTCTGCTCCTACAACCGCTGAGCTCTCAATCCTTCTTTTTCCTCCCAGTTTTTGCCGAGCCGGTAAATGTGTGCTTACGTTAGCAGCACATCTGCCGGGTACCCTGTGTGCGCGTGGTGCCGAGGCAGGTCTCTTATTTTTTCACCCCACCGAGGAAACGGCTTCATGAACCATAGGAAAAGGTGTTGAAGATAGACTGGTTGGAGTCCGGAGAAAGAAAGAAGCGCCAGTTATTGCAACAGAGCATAGCCAGAGACACCAAGGTCATTAGAAACATAATCCATGTCTGCCGCACCAAAGTTTTTCAAGGTCACCCAGCTCAGATCGACCATCGGGCTGCCAAAGCTATACAAGGAGACCCTTCAATCGCTTGGGCTACGGAGAAGAAATCAGACTGTGTACCATAAGATCTCGCCACAGCAGGCGGGTCAGATTGCACGCGTGAAGGAGCTTGTCAAGGTCGAGCTCTCGCCTGTGTACAAGGACAAGGTGCAAATGAGGGAGGAGAGGAAGTCAGAACCTGGTTTTGTTGTTGTCGGGAAGAGACAGCACTAGAAATGTCGCCTGTCGTGAAGTCAGACCAGCTCGGACGGACTTGTCTACCGCACCGCCGCCACTACCACCATCTCTGTCTATAGTCGAGCACTGCTCCGTCCGCTGAGGCCCGGGCAAGGGGACGTTTTCTTCTTTGTAACATAATATGCATTGTTGTTTGCAGTACTAAAATTTTATAAAATTACACGAATATCCGATAAATAACTCAAGGATCAAAAATAAGAAAGTAACCTATTAGGGGGAATCACTGGCATTTTGCATTAGACCTGCCGTCTACTGCAGTTTCAACTCCTTCATTCTGCGCGTGAGGGGGCTGTCCATCTCTCCACTTAGCGCACCGATGAGGTCTGCCGCGTTGATGTTGAGACCATCTTCCTTCGCATGCGCCTGGTTGCCTTTGCTGAAGCTCCTCATTGCCACAAAGCTGTGCGAATGGTTGTACAGCTCGGTGTCACTCGAAACCAAGCTGTCGTCGACCATCTTCATGATTGCCTTGGCACTAATGGTCATGGAGTTGTCCCACTTTGCGTAATTTGTGTGCTTGTTCTTCTTTGGCTTGCTCACCTGTGTGAGGTTGACTCCCGAACGTTGGCTTTTCAGGGCTTTAACTGGAGAGTTCTTGTTCTTCAATGTTCTAAAAAGAAGATCCTGCTTCTGTGGGGACGATGGGGAGACGACGTTATGCGGGTGGTTCGCCATGACTCTTTTCACGGGAGATAGCGTTATGTGCGCCGTAGCCGGCATGTGCTTTTTGTTGTTGGTCAGCAACCCGTTCGGCATATTGTTCATAGAGCACGGAGGAACGCCTTGGGAAATTAACGAGCTATTGATGATAGACGAGTTTCCCTCCATCAATTCTTCATCCCCATCATCTGCCCCCTCCCTCAATTCCAGTTCCAAGTCAAGCTCGACATCCGACTCTTCGCTTTCGGTGAGATCAAGATCGGAGTTTTCCAATCTGCTGCCCTCTCCTTCGTCGCTTGCATACAAAACTTCATCGTTGAAGTCTTGTTCCTTTGCAGATCCTCTGCCAAGCAAAAATGCATCGCCTTCTTTCTCTTCCGGTGTTTGTATGCTGCTAACAGAACCATCTTTTCCGATAGTTAGAACAAAATCGCCAAACCTTAGCTGATTCTCCCTTTTCATATGGACGAAGCAATTCATTATAGGGTCGTCGTTGCTGGTGGTGGTGTTGCAGCGGAAGAATATATTAGAGCTTGCTGCAGTTTGTTGCGTGGCATTCTTCATAAACAACCTTTTAGGCTCAAGGGTGTTAACTTCTATTGGCTTGGAGTACTTCTTCGTAATGTTTTTATGAATGCTAACATCGGCGGTGAAGTCAACTTTCATCTCGTTCATCTTCATGGTTCTCTGATCTGTGTCAAATCTGCAAGTGTAAAATGGAAATAGAATATCTGTCTCATGCTCGTAGATTCTAGGAAACTTATAGTTTGGTGTTTCAAGCATTTTGTTGCTGCTAGTGTAAGAAGAGCAACCTGTGTTTCTAGCACAGTTGTTGCTGCCGCTGCCACTGCCATATGAACCGACCGCTTTTGGATATCCCCTGCCCATGGACATCATGTTTTCGTTAGTGGAATTCCCTGAAGCTCTCCGGTTGACAATCCTTAACGGTCTCAAGGCAGCTGGGTGAATATGCTGATGCAGCTCTTCTCCTGATCTTGTGCTGGCACTATTGTGCACCTTTAGGTTGGAAATGTCGGTGAGCATTGGTTGTTAAGTAGCTGCCGGACAAGACAAAAGAACTAAAAGAACTAAAAGAACGAGGTCAACACGTAGGGAACAAAATACACAAATAACTGGGGAAGTAATCCTGAAACGAGTGTTTTTGACAGCAGGTGCCAACTTGGCTGCACTTGTAGTTGGGGCCCAGTAGAAGATCAAACGAAAATCTGTTGACGGAGAATCAACTGCTCAATTAGGTTACCCGAAGCAGATAAATGTCAACACAGACAATGTAGTTACCCTATTAGGAAACCGATTAAATTGTGCATCATGTTGCACGACACAAAACTTTGTCGTGGTCCCGTGCAGGAGCGGGTCTAGACCCAAAAGGCTGGGGATCGGTCTAAATTTAGCGATGGAGAAGGAGATGACAAGACTGATTGTGCCTGACCAAGAAAATTGATCGCATCCAGTTGGTCAAAGTAACGGACGGGCAACTGGTTGCAAGTAAAGTATATAATTAAGAGCTTCTTTACGGGAACAATTGGACTTGCAACCCTTTTTTGAACGAACCCAGCGCATCAGCACAAGAGATTCATGTTGTCCTGGAAAAATGATCAGGTTTTGTTGTGGTTGAAAAACTCACAGCAACCGGAGGATGTATTGGAGACATTCCGTGTACACAACATCACTGGATTGACGCTCCCGCTGCTCAATTCAGAAGAATTGAAGGATATGGGGATATCGAACTTGCGACAACGGCTACAACTCCTCAACGACATCAGCACGTTGTTGATCGAGAAAACTCCACACTTAAGCTCTTTGAATCTGAACAATGAGCATCCGCTTCTAGCCGAACTTCAGGCAGCTGTAGTATCGACATCTCTTATCAAAAATGTATCGAAGGGTATTGTAGAGGAGACGTCTTCTCAATTGATTGATAAAATGTCAGGACGAGAGCGAGATTATAGTGAGAGCGATAGAGAAGACAGCACCGACAAGGAGAGAATGAACAACAAGGAGTACAGAACACTTTTGACGAGGATCAACAAGTTGAGAGAAGAAATGCTACCTGTTTTGAAAGAGATACAGGATAAGAAGCCATTACCTGCTCCAATTGGTAGACATTCTCCGAATCCGCTCCACACTCAATCCGTCAAGTATGAAAGTACGGCACTTCCATCAGCATCACCTTCGAGAAGCATGTTTATCGCAAACAGAAGAGCCAGTTCGTCGGAGACAATTTCCTCAATGTCTTCCGAGCAGGTTCCGTTACCACTATACCCCAAATCTATGTCTTCGAGCGCAATCCCACAGAAAGCATCGACTCAGCCAACCCCCTTACCGCATAGAAGCTCATCTCATCTCGCCCAATTGCATGGACACTCGTCATCACCGAATCTGGTTCCTTCCCGTTCTTTCAAACGTATGTCGTCACAACAATCGGAGGTAGCCAATCCAAGTAGCAGCATTCCACCTGCAACACCCGCTTCCACAGATACTTTAAAACAACTACGGGCTAAAACTGAGGACCCATGCTACAAGATTTTGCAAGCAGCTATGCGAAGCCATAAACTTGACAAAAGTGAGTGGCGCAACTACGTTCTCATTATTTGCTACGGTGGTGACAAAGAACGTGTTCTAAGGTACGATGAAAAACCAGTCGTTGTTTTCAAAGAACTTAGCGAACTTGGACTGTCTCCCTCCATGATGCTTCGTCAAGTGGAAGATACTGATGACACGGGATATGTGAATTCTGAAGACTACGAAACTCCTGGCGGAAGATTATAAACTTTTATACAGTAATCCATGTTGTTTACTATATCAAGATATTCTGTACGTTAAAAACTTTCGTGCTACGTCACCTAATATGGTCTGAAGCGCCTCTTTTGTCTCATTTGTTTCACCCTTTCTTGATCCTCTTTAAACTTAGATAGAAGTTGATTCATTTCCTGCTTCTTACGTTCTCTTATTTGAAATCTGTAAAAGTCCTTCTTCTCCTTTTTCTTATTCTTCTTGACATGTGCTTCGTCTTTCTCTAAATCAGAAAGTTTTTTCATGGAACCAAGTATGTCACTTTTTGTTTTCTTTTGTGAACCCACCACCAACGTGAAACCATCTTCGTCGACAATCTCTCTCATATTTTGGACCTCTACTTCCGCTTTCTTTTCGCGTTGCTGGAAATCGATCAGTGTCTTCGCCACTTCTTTCTCTGCGACTTTCCTGTCTATTACATATGGTATCCTTGTGTATCTCTGTAATCCTGTTTCGCTGCTGGAGTTTGTCACATCCCATTCCAAAGCTTTTTTTATCTTTTTCACGCTTGACAAAAACAACTCCAATCCATCACGATCCAAAAATGTAATGACACTGCTTCCAAATGGTAACCTTTCGCTCTCTTCTAGCTCGCATCCGTAGTCTTCATTCGTAAGTTTGCTCAGATTGATGTGCAAATCGTAATTTACTCCAGACCCGTTGGAGGAAACCCGAGAAGTATCTATAGCTTCACGAATAAGTATTTTCTCTATATGTGAGGCATTATTAACCTGGCGGAACAACTTCTTGACATTATCCAACGTCCACAAAGGAAGTGGGTTGATGAGGAACAAAGACTTAGTTGTATCGGCCTGTTCGCTAGGGTCCTTACTCATATGTGGCTTGATGTAACAGAGATGTGTTGAAGGTGGGAGATTTGCCACAGCTGGAATCGCTATAGGCAACGGCAGAAAGCCCTTTATCGGCGTCAAATCAACTGGCATAGCGTTTACTTCTCGTTTGAGCTCGTCTTCACTATACACGTGGTCTTAAAGTATGCTTTTTGCGAATGAATCGGGTCGATCCAAGGGCTAAACATGGTGGAATAGAGTATGATGAAGAGAAAAAAACAAAAAAAACACATTTTTTTTTCACGGCGGTCTATTTTGAAATCGCCTTCTTTTCCTTACTTGTTTTACTATACACACATCTTCGTAAGATTAGAGTCTTTTTGGCCCGTTCAACCGTTTCGAACAGTAAGGCAGCGTTAAGGTGCATAGGCCGGATAAGAAAATACACTAAGAAAGACGATGTCTGCTCCAGCTACTCAAAGACATTGTGCTGCCCCAAACTGCGGTAAAGTTACCACCTCAAACCTGAAATGCCCAATTTGCTTAAAGGCGGGGCTGCATGAATACTTTTGCAATTCCACATGTTTCCGTGGAAGTTTTTCCCAGCATAAAGCTATCCATGCAAAGGCAGGTGTTGACTCTTATAACCCATTCCCTGAATACGACTACCGTGGTACTGTCAAGCCAGCATACCCACTCACCCCAACACGTGCGGTTCCGGAAAGTATCAAAAGGCCAGACTACGCTTTGAATGGTGAGCCTATTTCGGAGCTGAAAAACGATCGTACCAACAAGATTAGAGTTTTAAATGCAGACGAAATTGAAAAGATGCGTCATGCTTGTAAGCTCGGTAGAGAAGTTCTGGATTTGGCAGGTGCTGCTGTGAAACCTGGAGTTACTACCGATGAGATCGACAGAATCGTTCACGAAGCAACAATCGAGCGTGGAGCGTATCCTTCGCCCTTAAACTATTTCAACTACCCTAAGGCAGTTTGTACTTCGGTTAACGAAGTCATTTGTCACGGTATTCCAGATAAAAGAAAATTAGAAGATGGAGACATTGTCAATATTGATGTGTCTCTATACAAGGACGGATTCCATGCGGATTTGAATGAAACATACTATGTTGGGCAGAAAGCCAGAACAAACCCAGATCTTGTTCGTCTTGTTGAAACCACCCGTGAATCCCTAAACAATGCCATCGCAGCTGTCAAACCAGGTACTCCTGTCCGTGAATTTGGAAACATCATTCAAAAGCATGCTGACGCCAACAACGTTTCCGTTGTTAGAACATACTGTGGCCATGGTGTTGGAGAGTTATTCCACTGTCAGCCAGACATTCCACATTATGCTAAAAACAAGGCAATTGGAACCTGTAAACCTGGTATCTGCTTCACTATCGAGCCTATGCTTAATCTAGGCTCTTACCGTGATGTGATGTGGCCTGACGGATGGACATCTACTACTGCAGATGGTAAGGCGAGTGCCCAATTCGAACACACATTACTTGTTACTGAAGACGGTGTCGAGGTATTGACTGCAAGAACTGCATCATCTCCTGGTGGACCAGTTGCAAGAATCTAGGCTCAAAGTGATTTCCTTATTGGATGGGTTTATTCGTGCGATTCGCAAACAAATGTAGAACGATGTAAATATATAGAAATAAACATGTTAATCCTGACAAAGTTAAGGAAACACTAACTGGAGAGTAATCGATAAGGAGAATACGACGGTTTTGTGTCACAAGTGTAAAACGCGGAATGAAAAACGGACCATGCTAGTGATGGTCCTAAAAATCCGACTATTTGGCGTCTTTCTCTCTCCCTTGTTGTCGAGAACAAAGGCCCTCTCAGCTAACAAAGCTTCAAGCATATGACAGTCGACGACGATATGGAAGGGATCAACCCGTATGAGGTTTTAGGTGTTGATCCGGCATGTGAAGGGAAAGATATTAGGCGAGCATATCACAAGCTATGTTTGAAGTACCACCCTGACAAAAACACAGGGTTCCGGAAAGAGTTCGATCGTGTCCAGGTATCTTACATGGTACTCAGTGATTCCAAAAAGAAAGCGAGATATGACCGGACTGGTGTGATCAACCTAGGCTCTGGAGCAGACGATGCAGAAGCAGAAGATTTCGACTGGACAGACTACTTCAGAACTCAATTCGATGCGATCAGTAAAGAAATGATAGACAAAGACAGAGAGGAATATCAGGGAAGTGCAGAGGAAAGAGAAGACATCAAGAAAGAACTTGTTGCCCTGAAGGGAGACATGTCAAAGTTATTTGAGGTAGTGATACATCTAGAGTTTACAATCGAGCAAGAGAAAAGGGTGTTTGAAATCTGCCAAGAGCTGATTGACGAGGGAGAAATATCAGACAAAAGCATTCCAAAATGGAACACATATGTTTTAAAGAGAGATCAAAATGTGAAAAAGATGGAGAGGAAGCGTTGTCGGGAGGAGAAAGCAGCAGAGAAGGTTGAGAAGAAGAGGAAGGAGACTGGGGAGCCGGACGGCAGTCTAGCAAACTTGCAGGCGCTCATAGCTGGCAATGCCAACCGCCACCGCGCAGCCTTTGGAGCTATTGCAGCCAAGTATGAAGAGGAGGAGCAGCAGAGAAAAAGGAAGAGAAGAAAGAGTAAGAAATAGTCCTTGCCTTAGACTAAGATTTATTAGGCAAAGACGCACGACAGAACACTGTGTTGTGCCGCGACAACAGTCTTGTTGCAAACAGTTCTGTTCCTACTGGTCAGTTCACAAGGCTGCGTGGACTTAAAGACTATGTACGAGTAAGTAGAATAGCCTTACAATCATAGCTTTTGATCCAGTATATTGGGAGTTTCATAAGCGCTGAAACAAGCACAAGGATGTACGGAGTATGATGAGTGTATCAAGTTTCCTTTTTCGAAAATAATTTAGCGGATAAGTCTCGGCAACGCAGCGTTTGAAGTTTACAACTCTGGCTGCCTATTTTCCTAAATAAGTGGCTTTACCTCTCTATCTACTTGTTTGGGGGCCGCTAGTCGGCCGCCAATCGGGGATACTGTGACCTCCGCCTAGAGAAAGAATGCTGTCTGGCATTCTGTCTAAGAACTTCCCACGCCTAGCCTAAGCGGCCAGAACAAGTTCTCTGTGGTTTGTGGGCGCAGCCGTACGCCTCTGCCGTAGACTGCAGGGCCGTCTGTGCTAAGTGGCAGAAATTATATAGTAACTGATAGGCCGCTTTTTATCACAGACGTTCCCGCCGGGAAATTCACTGGGTTTCCCGGCAGAGGTGACACCTGCGTAATCGGGACGTTATATTGGCTACTGCTATCTGTACTTCAAGCATTCTTATTGGACCTCGGCACCCAGCTGCTTTACCAAACACTAGAGAGATCTGTGTGCTGAGAACAAGATGAAGCCGCTAGCAGATAAGAAAAATATCCAAAAGTCAAGATAATGGGACCAGCAGATAAGGAGCAAATAGGTTCGCCTGATAGTCAGCATATAGATATGTCACGGTCCCATAGCACCGATTGGCAGTAGAGCTGTTTCGTGTGGACTATTTGCTGAATACCCTGTAGCATTCTTACTAGGTACAATTGTGGCTTGACGAAGAAATAGTTTTAATTCTACAGTCTGAACAAACACAAGGAACAAACTAGCCAACGAACAACAAAAAACGATAATGACAGTTACAGTGGAGTCTCAATTGGTCGGTTCGGCAGACCTGAACTCCAAATACATGTCCAAGTATGAGATAGTGTGTGATATGGGTGAAGGTTTTGGGAAATACAAAATGGGCCCGGATACTGAAATCATGCCTCTTATTGATGTTGCCAATGTTGCGTGTGGTTTCCATGCGGGCGACTATAACATTATGAAACAGATGGTGACATTGGCCAAACAGCACAATGTGAAGGTAGGCTCACACCCAGGACTACCTGACATGATGGGTTTTGGCAGAAGGAGATGGGAAATTTCTCCCGAAGAAATATACAACATGGTTATGTATCAAACAGGGGCTTTGAAGGCCTTCTTGGACGCCGAGGGTATGCCGTTAAACCACATCAAACCACACGGTGAGCTTTATTTCTACATGGAAAGGGATGTCGAAGTAATGAAGGCAGTTCTTAGAGCTGCTAAAGATTTTGGCGTTCCTGTAATTGGAGCCAAAAGCTTTACATACGAAAAAATCGCAAAGGAAATGGGCGTCGATTTGATTCAGGAATTATATGTCGACATCGACTGGTGTGTTGAAGGCAAGTTGGTTTCTGTTCAAAAGTCTAGGCCTAAAAATCCTGAAATAATTTATGATTCTGTAATCGAGGCTGGCACTAATGACAGGGTTATCTCTTTTGATGAAAAGGATGTCCCTTTGAACTTCGGTGAAAATCCTTTTATGTTGTGTTTGCACTCTGATATGCCAACTGCTCTTGGGAACATAAAAGCGGCAAGAAAGGCAATTGACTTGCTAAATTCCAAGAGATCTTAGATCTATACTTAAGTAATTATCTCTTATAGACAGCATTTGCGACATTTAAACAACTTTTCAATTATTTTACTTCTAGGTAACTGTTTGCGGTGCTTCTCCCTTCAATAACTATTCAAGTAGCGAGTTGTCTATTTATTATTTAATAATTATAGTTAAACATGGAATTAATAATTTATGTAAAAAAACTAAATTCTCAACAAAATGGAAATGGTGTCACCTGGATTGACCACGTCCCCCTCTTCTACAATATTCTCTAAAACACGATACATACTATCAGCTGGTGCCTTCTTATCGAGAACTTTGAGTGGTATTTCCATTTTCATGGCCTCTAATATGACGTACACATCAGTTAGGGAAACTGTATCACCCTTTTCAAAGTTGAACTTGAAAACATTTGCAGGCATGGTAGAAATCAGTTTGATAGCATTTGAATTATTTAACAAATCTCCAGCAGCAGATTTGGATGCTTTTGCCGCTTCCTTTTCCTCAGCCCAAAGTTTTTGATCTTCAACTTCTTCCTTTACCAAAACATCAAAGGCCTCTCTCTTTCTGTTTTGAAGTTCCTCGGTTTCCTTCTCAATAGATTTCAAGAATTTAGAGTATTCCGAGAAATCAAATTCTGTTTCTTCTGCTTTGTAAGTTAACCTTTTGGTTAGGAATTGAGTATTCAAATTTGTCAACTCTTCTTCCTCAACTTCATAATATATAACTTGATCAAAGTTCTCTAGAGGCCATGGATTCTTATGGATACGGCAGAAAGTATCCCAATACCAACTTGGAAGTGTCATACCCCAAATCATATACCCACCAGGAGATTCAACGGAATATATTGATTGCGAGACTGAACCAGAGCCAATGGCACCTTGGGGGGTCGAGGTTCGAGCAGGGTTATATTTCGAAGTCAAAAACCTTGACCTTGGATCTGTGTTCACCAGCAACGGATTAGCACATAGAAAAGAAACAGCAACAACAACTTCTGGCTTTCCAACGATGTAACTTTTGAACTCATCAAAAGTTTCAATGCAGTTTGCTCTCATCAAATACTCAGCATTGCTTGGCAAGTATGGGGCATGTGGTCTTTGAGAATGTGTGTATCTTTTGATACAATGATCCAATGCACTATGATTGAAGCAAACAGGTAGTTTGAAAACATGTGAAGGAACTTTTAACTTTTCAATAGCCGATATGTTGGCTTCAATGTCAATTAGCTTCTTCAACAACTTTGCTTTTTCGATTTTTAGAGGATTGAAGGTCACACACATGGCACCAGATGAGCATTCAATCGAATTAAACTGGCCCTTAAGCTGCTTCTCAATTTCCATGGAAAACACATGTTGACGACCGTTATTGAACAGGCTGAACTTTGTGATCCCAAAATCAATAAGAATCATACGCTCACCTCCTTGCCTAAAAGTGACTTGCGGCAATTCCTCTGTCTCTTCACGCCGATATAAAAAGCTGCCTAATTTGGAATTTATAGGTTCGTAAGAATCAAGCTCGTCATATTTGCTGAAAAGGTCATCATTAACTTTAGTTGGACGTGTTGAGGCAATCTCTAAAAATTTTAGTCTCAGCTTCAACAATCTGATAGCATCATCGTAAGATATGAGTTTGAACTTGATAGTACCATTGACAGAAGCTTGTCCGAATCTTCTGAAGTCAACTTCACATGGAACAGAGATACATGTAAAACCTGAGAGGGTGGCACCGTCGACACCAGACAAAACCAAAATAGAACCAACAGTACTCAAACCACAACAAGGATAAGGATATTCGAGTGTATTACTTGGATGACCACCACCATCACCACCGTCTTGTCTGCTAAAATCAAATGCAGGACCATCTAATCTTATTGCTCCTCTGTTAGAATTGAAGTTGACTTTGTAGGCGTGGGAATAAACAGTCTCCAAACCTTTTTCAGATGCAATGTCTGTTGTATCATGGGGGCCACTGATCATACGGACAACAACTTCTTCATTATCAAACTTTGGAATCAATCCAGTAGGTAGCTCATATCCTGTTTTAAAACCGTCAATATCTATATCACATATTTCAATTTCTAGACAGTCACCTGGCAAGAAAGTACGACCTTGGTGCCCACCCAAATTTAAAGCTGGCGTACAACTTTTAGAACCCAAATAGTCAGCAACCCCGGTTAAACCACCTCTTACAGCCATGTAACATTTTGACGATTTATCTTGAGTTTCACCAACATCAATTACTGAACCTTTAGGAACAAAAAGCTCCGTAAACATTGGAACCTCCACCTTTTCATTCAGCATAATATTAAATTTAGCACCACCAAATGCAATGATTGCATTTGAGTGAAATTTTAAAACCGGACCTCTTACTGTAAATTCAAGACCCTCAGTGTTAGCATTGTTGCTTACAATAATGTTAGCAAGTTGCAGAGATAAGTCGTCTGTTGGACCTGATCTAGGAATGCCATGTCTTAATTCTGGACGACCAGGTAAATCTTGGACGGTGGTGTAGTTTCCTGACTCTTCAAATTCGATTAAATTTGGAACGAATAGAAAAGAGCTCAAAAAATTGGTTAATGTATAACCTTTTCTGAAACTTTCACTTTCGAGGATGGCTATACAATATTTAACATTGTTTATTGGGCCTTGTATTTTGGTATCTTTCAAAACTTGAATGATGTTGGCAGCAGTTCTCTCAGGAGACCAAACCATAACCTTGGCTAATAAAGGATCAAAATAGGGTGAGACCTTTCCTCCTGTCTCAATCCAGTGATCAACTCTGACAATGTAGTTCCCTTTACTTGAAGGACCTTGATCCGGAAATTCAACATAGTGGAGAATACCAGGAGAAGGAGCAAAGTCTTTGATTGGATTTTCAGCATACACACGGACTTCGATTGCATGTCCACTGGGGATTTCAACTCCTTGCTCATCATACTTCAAGCTTTTCTTCAAAAGAGCAACGTCAATACCGGAGTTCGAGAGCTCACAATCAGCCTGGGCAAGCATAAAATAGACAAGGTCCATACCGTAGACCATCTCAGAGATACCATGTTCAACTTGTAATCTGGTATTCATTTCTAAGAAATAAAAATTTCCAGTCTCGTCATCTACAAGAAACTCAACAGTCCCTGCAGACTTGTAGTTGATTGAAGAGGCTAGGTTTTTTGAACACTCAGTAAGGTGTTTTCTCAAGTTGTACTGCTTTCCTAACGTCTCAACAAAAGGGCTGGGTGTTTCTTCAATAACCTTCTGGTGACGACGCTGGATCGAACACTCTCTTTCACCAAATGTAACAATGTTGCCAAGACCATTACCGAAAATTTGGACCTCGATATGACGACCATTTTGGATATACTTCTCAACAAACACACCAGTGTTAGAAAAAAGGGAAGCACCTCTCGACTGAACTTCTGCAAAGTTTGTCTCCACTTCGCTGGCAGAATTACAAACCTTTAGTCCCATACCACCACCACCTGCAGTGGCCTTGAGAATAACCGGGTAGCCAATATCGTTGCAAGCACTAACCAACTCTTGTACATCATTGATTAACTCCGTACCTGGTACAATTGGAACTCCTGAATTAACTGCTATCTCTCTTGCCAAATGCTTTAAACCAAACTTCTCAACAGAATCAGCTGAAGGCCCAGCAAAGGCAATACCGGCTTCAGCTAATTTTTCAGCAAAGTTGGAGTTTTCCGACAAGAACCCATACCCTGGAATAACCACGTCAGCCTCGTTGTCAATGGCCACTTGCACAATCTGCTCAATGTCAACATACGCATTTGCACCAATTCCAGATAGCAATACTGCAACATCAGCCTGTGAAACATGCAGAGATTCAATGTCCTCCTTTGGGTATATCGCAATTGATGTGAGACCATACTCTTTGCACGTTTTGATGATCCTCGAGGCGATCTCACCTCTGTTGGCAATTAGCACACGCTTGATATTCTGAAAGCTCATTCTTTCAAGGGTTTGTATGTAATGGTTTGTGGATTTCAAGGGAAACAACACTAGGTAACTGAGCAGCGTTCCGTTTCCTTTCCCGTCAGAAGAAACATTCTACCATAAAGCTAGTTGAAATAAATCAAAGAACCAAAAAATGGGAAACAGTAGAAAGCTGACCGACTTGTATTGAACTTGAAGTGAAACATTTACCGCTAGCGATAAGGTGTAGGGAATACCCGCCACAGCCGGAAGTCCGTTATCGAACAGTTTTACCGACCTGTCTCCGATCCGGCGTCCCGTTTTCTTCACAAGCTCCCGAACCCGCCAGTGTTCCCGCTAAAAAACCCTTTAAATCAAGACCACAGTACCCCAACACGGTTGTTCCCCCCCTCCCCCCCCAGACCTCTTGCCTTCCCACCTGACTACTTTCCAATTGTAACAATGGCTATCGACGAAGACCATCATCGGCCTATGTTCTGCAGACCATCTGCCTGACATCGGCTCTACCCGATTCAAATTAGACGCCAACAAAACCTGTGGTAGCAGGAATTTTCGCGGGACTTATCTGTCGAGTACCTGGGGTAGGTGGCTTTTTTGTGACGCCTCAAAAGCAGTAACAATGCGGATGGGGTGAGGAGGACAACGGTGGGGCCAAGGGCCAGACCCGCTAAGGTGCATCCGGTGTGAGAAACCAGTAGTGTCGATAAGAAACAGATAGCGGGTTACCGTTCACAGCAACCGCTCGGCCCGAAGAAGTGATGTAGATTGTCTGCCATTGCTGTTTGGTTTGCTTCTGTGGTTCTTATCGGCCAGCAGGCTGCAGCGCAGCAGCCTCTTCACGGACACACGCTGTGGCAGTTTCTGAAGCCTGCATCTTTCACCACTATCCACTTATCGCCTCATGTCTGTAGTCTCATAATTTTTTTCCGAACCCGTTGTATATATAGTAGAGTTGTTCTTGGTTCTCTTTGACAGAAAAAACAAGAAGAAAAGAAACATGGCGATTGACAGCCAAACACAATTTTTCAGTCCAAGTGTTGGGTGGGGGATTATCATCGGTGTCGGAGCAGCCTTTGCGCTAGGCATGCTTACGCTTTCGTGGTTACTCGCCAAATACAACAATGAGATTCAGGATTCGGAGATGCTTTCCACGGCAAAGCGTTCCATAAAGACGGGATTAATTGCAAGTGCAGTCGTTTCTTCGTGGACCATTGGTTCAACGCTCTTGCTCTCCTGTACAGACACGTACTTGCTTGGTCATTCTGCTGCTTGGTGGTACGGTGCAGGTGCCTGTGTGCAAATCATTATTTTCGCTGTGGCAGCAATTGAGCTCAAGCGGAAGGCGCCGAACGCACACACATTCCAGGAGATTGTCCGGGTTCGTTACGGCAAGGCAGCCCATCTGACCATGTGTGCATATTCATTTGGCCAGCAATTGTTCTACACTGCCAACCTCTTAGTGAACGGTGCCTCTGTTTTCTCGAATATCACCGGGGTAAGCAAGGAGGGCTCGACGGTGTTGCTGCCCTTGTTTGTTATCATCTACACGTTGATCGGAGGTATCAAGGCGACCTTTTTGACTGACTGGACACACGTGGTGATCATCTACGTGATCATGCTCATGTTTTTGTTTAAGGCATACACGACGTCGCCTTTGATTGGCTCTCCAGACAAGATGTACGATTTGTTGGTCGAAGCCGGGCAGAAGTACCCTGTTATGGGCAACTGGCAAGGGTCGTTGCTCACGTTCCGGTCGATCAATGGGGGTTTGTTTGGATTGATTCTCTTTGGGGCTGGGTGGGCCGCTGCGGTGGACTCGCAGTTGTTCCAGAAGGCGATTGCCGCCAACCCCGCTGCTGCTCTCACAGGTTACACTTTGGGCGGGCTCTGCTGGTTTACGCTTCCTTATGCCCTAGCCACGACGATGGGGCTTGCGTGTCGGGCGTTGGAGATCACGCCCGAGTTCCCAACGTACCCGAACCGGCTATCGGCGGAGCAGTTGAACTCCGGGTTGGTGTTGCCGATCTCGGCGTACACGTTGATGGGCAAGGGCGGGACCGCAGCAGTGCTGGTGATGGTGTTCATGGCGTGCACTGCGGCGTACTCGTCGGAGACGGTGGCGGTGTCGTCGTTGTGGACGTATGACATCTACAAGGCGTACATCAACCCGCAGGCGACAGGGAAGCGGTTGGTGATGGTCACGCACGCCGCGGTGGTGGTGTTCAGTGTATGTGCGATTGTGCTTGCGATCGGGTTGGGCCAGGCGAACTTCGACGTGTCGTTCATCACGACGTGCATCGGGATCATCGTCAACGTGTGCATCATCCCGATGGGGTGCACGTTGTTCTGGCGGCGGATGTCTGCGCTGGGGATGATTCTCGGGACGACGGTGTCGACGGGGATCTCCATTGCCGTGTGGATCGGGTACGCCAAGGCGCAGTCGGGCACGGTGACGTTGGCGGCGTTGTCCACGTACGAGGCGTTGGCGGCGGGCAACACCGTTGCTGTCGGTGTTCCGGCCATCGTGGTGCCCATTGTCGTGTACTTCAAGCCCGCCAACTTCGACTGGAACAAGTGGAAAACCGACATCCACCAGGACGACAACTCCGAGTTCGACCGGGCCCACGGGCTCACCAACGTCCTCAGCGGCGAGGAGCTGACGGAGCTGGTGCTCGAGAAGGAGCGGGCGGAGGACGCCCTCATGATCCGCCGCCGTAACCTCGGCTACGTCATTGTCGTGGTGTTTGTGCTCTTCTTCCTCATTCTCTTCCCGATCCCGCTCTACGGCACCAAGTACATCTTCTCCAAGACGTTTTTCCGCGGCTACATTGTTGTGACCTTCCTGTGGGTGTTTTTCTCCGCCGGCGTTGTCACCGTCTACCCCGTGTGGGAGTCCCGCCGGGGGATCGCCAATCTTTTCCGCAAGATCATCCACGGCGAAACCACCCCGCAGATGTACAGCGACGACACGCTTTCCCGTGTCCAGACCCTGCGGTCCCGGGCCTCGGCGCCCGACCGCTCTTCCGCCGACGCCGATGTCGTTGTCAAAAACGACGTCGTTGTCAAGCTCGAGTCGCTATAGCCCGTGTAGAGCCGTATACTATCTTATATTTTGAAAAACTGCTACCCTCCGGACTTCCCGCCGGCGGCCAACGGCCGCGCCGCCCCCGTTCCCGCCGACTACCCCGGTACTTCTTTCCCCCCCTCCCCCCGACCTCTCCTTCTTCCCGTCTGCTGTCTCGTCCCTGCTGCACCGCCGCTACTCCCTCCCTCTCCCCCACACCCACCACGCCATGAACTGCGCAGACGAAGCCTCCGAAGACGACCACCACACCCACTCCCACTCCCATTCACACACACATCCGCACGGCGACCCCCCCGTCGCCACCACCGTCGCCCAGTCCCTCAACCACCGCATCGACACCCCCCGCCTCGCCGCCTACAACCTCCGCAACCCCCAGCACGAGCTCCCGCGCCTCTTCAAGACCCAGGCCGCCCGCCTCGAGACCACCCCCGTCTTCCGCTCCCACTTCGGCCCAGAGCTCCTCATCACCATCCCCTTCACGGGCCCCGTCAAGCTCTTCTCCCTCCTCGTGCGCGCCGCCCCAGACGCCCCCCACGCCCCGCACACCCTCCGGCTCTACCGCAACGCCCCGCAGCTCTCCCTTGACTCCGTCCGCGCCGCCCGCCCCACCTATGTGTGCGAGCACCCGGCGGCCGCCAGCGCCGCCGCCAGCGCCGCCGATTCCGCTGCTGACACCGCCGGCTTTGTCGAGCACCACCTCCCGCGCCGCAAGTTCGCCGGCACATCCACCCTCACCATCTTCTTCGACCCGGGCCCCGCCGCCGACCCCGACGCCGGCCCGGCACTCGAGCTCTACGCGCTCGAGCTCCGCGGCGACTGGGCCGGCCCGGCCACGCGCGCGCCCGTGGCGCTGCTCTACGAGTCCGCCGCCCGCCGTGAAGACCACCCGGTCGGTCAGACCGCCGACGCCGCCGCCAGCTCCAGCCGGCTCGGCCTCTGAGCAGACGCCGCCCGGACGGCGCAATGCGCTCGCGAAACCGCCGGCGCTCGATCGTCCCTGTTTGTAGACCCCCCAGTAACGTAACCAAGGGCCTCGCACCGGCGACGGCTACATGTTTCCATTCTCGGCAGATGATACACCCCCAGGGCCTCGGCCAGGAGCAGGAGCAGGAGTAGGACGCAAAGACGCCATCTTGCCCTAGCTGGTTTTGCTGCCTCTGTCCCTGTCTCTGTTGCCCCACAGACTGCACTTCTGTGTCTACTCGCTGCCGTCGTGACTCCCTCCAGCTGTGCACACACGTCCTGCCCACACGCTCACTGACACACGCCACGCAGGGATGCAGCCAGAGAACCACACCCGCAACACGGGGTCGCAGAACACCCCGGGGTCGGTGCCACGACCCGTCAGCTCAGAGTCCACGCCGGGTGCCAGCAGCACGGCAAAATCGAGGAAGAGAGCCAACCCGCAGGCGCCCAGCCAGGCGCAGACGTCGTCTTCCACGTCGCCACACTCGTCCTTATCGTCGCCTGCCTCGCTGAAACAGCAGCAGCAGCAGCAGCAGCAGCAGCAGCAGCCCCCTTCGGCCCTCTCCGTGAACTCATCTTCCCCGTCGTCGTCGTCATCGTCGTCGTCGTCGTCGGCCGCAAACTCCTACTTCATGGATTTTGCCCACCCAAACAAAAAGCGTCACATTGAAAACTCCCTAATACACAGCTCCAATGCGATCGAACTCAGCGCCTCCTCCCAGTCGAACCTCAACCTCACCTCCTATCTTGAAGACCACCGCACGTCTCTCCCCTTGCCGTCGCCCAGCGCCTCCCCGATACACTCCTCTGCCGAAAACCTGGGCGGCCCTTCCGACGATACCAACGGACCTTCTGAGACAGCCCTGTCTCCCTCCATGGAGAACAACAACTCCCCGGTTTCCGATACCACCATCACATTATCTAACTCAAACACAGATATCGCCAACAGCAACACAAGTCTTACACAATCCTACCCCACCTCGCAGGCAGATAAGTTCTCTCTCCTTACATCACTAGTTTCGAACTTGAACAACGCATCTCCAGAGGTAAACGCTTTGCTATTCCAGCTACTACAGAAGACGGATAAAAAGGCACTATCCTTTTTACATTCTACGCTCTTTAAGGTGTTGAAGAAAGACTTGATCACAACATTACCTACCGAAATCATAAGTAACATTTTGCAGAATCTCGATCACACCAATTTGTTAAACTGTTTCCAAGTTTCTAAAAAATGGTCAAACGTTATCTCCCACTTCCCGGAACTGTGGAAGAACTTGATATTTAAGGAAAAGTTGATCACTACGGAGGACGACTATCTCGAAGACTACGAACTTATCAAAAACAACAGACCAGATTTATCTGTCGACAAAATCCCACAGCTGATTTACCAAAGACGCCTCCTAATCCAAAAAAGGTGGATGAACACTAACTACAAACCCAAGAGGCTTATTATTCCCGAAGAATCATTAGATATTGTCACCTGTTTACAGTTCGATAAGGACAAAATTGCAGTAGGGTCTGACGCAAATCATATAATAATCTGTGACACAGAATCTGGGAAACTGTTGAAAACTTTGCGTGGACATAACGGTGGTGTATGGGCAATGAAGTTTTATAAGAACACCTTGGCGTCAGGCGCAACAGATCGATCTGTGAGAATCTGGGACATTGAAAGGGGGGTTTGTACTCATATTTTTAGAGGTCACACTGCAACAGTTAGATGTCTTGAGATCATAGAACCAAGACAAATTGGTACCGACGATGAGGGTAACCCAATTATTTATCCTGAAGCCCCTCTGTTGATCACAGGCGCCCGAGATAATGCCTTATACGTATGGAAATTACCAATCAATGATGGTAAGAACGATAAAGTATCAGATGTTCCAATCGATTTGCACGCTTCCAATAACCCTAACTTTGTCACCGTATTGAGAGGTCATACTGCGGCGGTTCGTGCAGTTACGGGTTATGCAAACATTGTCATCAGCGGAAGTTATGACTCCACTGCAAGAGTTTGGGATCTACGGACAGGAGAGTGTAAGTGGATCTTGAAAGGCCATACAGGAAACATTTACAGCTGCGTGTACGACGTGAAACGGAACCGTTGCTACACTGGTTGTGATGATAATACCTTAAGAGTTTGGGATTTAAATACAGGCGAAACGATAGCAATTTTGGAAGGCCACCAGAGTCTTGTCGGTTTGATAACCTCTTCTGATAATGTGTTGGTATCGGCTGCTGCAGACTCAACTGTGAGACTGTGGGATCCGGATACAGGGCAGACAAAAAAAGTGTTCCGTGGCCATCGCTCTCCTATTACTTGTGTCGCAAGCGACGATTACAAAGTCTTGTCTGGTAGCCAAGGGATGTTGAAGCTATGGGATGTTCAAACAGGTGCCTTTGTCCGTGATCTAGCAAATGATGTAGACGGCGCTGTCTGGCAAGTGGCCTTTGACTATCGTCGCTGCGTTGCTGCCATGCAGCGTGACAATACAACATTCATCGATGTCACAGACTTTTGCCCTGCTGAAGATGATCCTTGGGCGCATCCTTCTTCTCTTGCAACGACTAATTAGTCTGTCTTTTACACAGCAGCTACTTTGTTAAAAATCCTCGTATTAGTTGTAGCCGATTATTTATTCTAATTTCCAGGCGCGGTAACATTTTTCTTTATTTTTTTTTCTTTCCTCATGTTTCATGTTCTTTAGTGTTAAATATGAAATGATATCCATCACTTCTTAGAGTCTGAAGTCTGACTGTTTTGACTTTGCCAACATTTGTTGATCCGGTTGAACAGCTTAGTATTGACACATTCCGTGATGACAAAGCAGAAGTCTAAACCAGGAGTGATCCAACGGGATCTTGATAACAAAGTGTACAATCACATTCTCCAATTACTAGATGATAAAACGGATACATTGAAATCGTCTGCTCTATCCAAAGATGAAGGTGGTCTCGGAGATGGCGAAGGTGATAATAGTGGTGCTACGATTGCAGATGCTATAGCTCACGATGTTGGTGACGAAATGGCTCAGGAGAAAGGTAGTCTAGCCAGCAACGGTGTATTCACCATGGCGTTAGCTAAAGATTTACAGTTCGATGAAATTGTACAATACATCAGGTTAAAGGACAAGAGTTTGGGCCGTATGAAGATGGATATACTGCGCAAAAGTATTGAAAGAACTTGGACAGAAATTAGAGATGAAGAAGCAGAAGAGATTTCAACCCTTGGCATAGATCTCGCTAGTACCGGTAATGACGATCCAAACTTTATCGATGGAGAGGAGGATCCAGCAGCTGAACTCATGGAGGTCAAGGACTTGAATTTGGCCAACAAAAATATAGTTAATTTATGGAAAGCGCAAGAGAGCAGTCCAGCAAACAAAGATAACATTGACTCGAATGATCCACTGAATGTAACCTCCAATACTGAAAATAATTTGAATGGTAATAAGAAAAGAAAGGTAAAGGACAAAGAGTCAAAAACAAAGAGAGTCAAAGTGGATAGATCACCCCCAAATATGTCGCTGAAGTCTCTCGGTGGTCTCGATGATGTTTTCGCAGAATTGATGGAAGTGGTGGGGATGCCAGTATTACATCCTGAAATTTACATCTCTACAGGTATTCAGCCACCAAGAGGTGTGCTCCTCCATGGACCACCAGGTTGTGGTAAAACAACAATTGCAAATGCTTTAGCTGGTGACCTCGGTGTCTCGTTCATCAATATCAGTGCACCGAGTGTCGTCAGTGGAATGTCTGGTGAGAGTGAGAAGAAAGTACGTGAATTGTTTGAAGAGGCAAGAGGACTTGCTCCGTGTATTGTCTTTATTGATGAAATTGATGCGATCACCCCTAAGCGTGATGGTGGTGCGCAAAGAGAGATGGAGCGTAGAATAGTGGCACAATTACTAACGTGCATGGACGAATTGACACTGGAGAAAACCGGAGGAAAACCAGTCATTGTCATTGGTGCAACGAACCGGCCAGATAGTTTAGATGCAGCACTTAGACGTGCTGGAAGGTTTGACAGAGAAATAAGTATTAACGTTCCGAGTGAACCGGCAAGATTGAACATTTTGCAACACATGACGGAGAACTTGAAAGTTTCTGGCGAATTAGGATTAAGCGAACTTGCTAAATTAACGCCTGGTTTTGTTGGTGCCGATTTGAAGGCATTGGTTACATCTGCCGGTGTTGCCGCTATCAAAAGAATTTTTAGTAATCTTTCCGATGAAAATGGAAAATTAGTTGGAGGGCTCGACAACGATATTGATGGTAATGACAACAATGACCAAATGGACATAGATAACGATGAGTTTGTTACTCCGTTGACCACTCCACTAACACCATCAAATGCAAATTCCCTCGCATCACTTGAATCACAGTCACCGGTAGTTACAAAAAATCCTTTACTTCCATCAAGCGATTCTGATAAGGAAAGCTCAACTATACAAAAATTCCTTGCTAAACATCCTGATCCTTTAACAGCAAAACAGTTAGAACCTCTATCCATTACTAGGGAAGACTTTTTGACTGCATTGCCAACAATTCAGCCCACAGCCAAGCGTGAGGGTTTTGCAACTGTGCCGGATGTCTCATGGGCTAATGTTGGTGCTTTGAGTAATATCAGAATCGAGCTACATATGGCTATTGTTCAACCTATAAAACGCCCTGAAATTTATTTACGTGTGGGTATTACTGCACCTGCAGGAGTTCTCATGTGGGGACCCCCGGGGTGTGGTAAGACTTTACTTGCAAAGGCTGTTGCCAACGAATCTAAGGCTAATTTCATATCTGTCAAAGGTCCAGAATTATTGAATAAATACGTGGGTGAGAGTGAACGATCCGTGAGACAGGTATTCTCTCGTGCTCGTGCAAGTGTTCCGTGCATTATCTTTTTTGATGAGTTAGATGCCTTGGTACCACGCAGAGACAGCAGTTTGAGCGAAAGTAGTTCACGCGTGGTCAACACATTGTTGACCGAGTTAGACGGACTTAACAACAGAAGAGGTATATTTGTCATTGGTGCCACAAATAGACCTGATATGATTGATCCTGCTATGTTGAGACCAGGAAGATTAGACAAGACCTTGTACATCGAGCTTCCAGACTCCAATGAAAGACATGACATTTTGAAAACTTTGATCAAATCGAATGGTACCCCTGTCTCAAATAATGTTGACCTTTGCAAAATCTCACACGATGAACGATGTCGTAATTTTAGTGGTGCTGATTTATCGTCCTTAGTGAGAGAGGCGAGTGTTATTGCTTTGAAGAGAAAGATATTCATCGGAATTAAAGATTTAGATGAAAGCGTGGAAGATCATGAGGAGATAATGGACGTGGAAGTTACAGCCGAGGATTTCGACAAAGCTCTTGATACAACGAAACCATCTGTTAGTGACAGAGATCGCATGAAATACGAGAAGCTAAACAAGAGATTGGGATGGGATAAGACCACTGTGAATACCTCAACAGAGCCCAAAGATGACGCAGCCGATTTATAAAGAGAATCACAGCTAGAGATTAAATAAACTTTTCATTTGTAGAATTAAACTCATAAATAACTAATAACAACAAGATGAATATAATGAAGATTAGAACAAATATAAAAAAAGAAGTCTAAGGTAGTCTCTAAAATTGTCTATTTTGTGAATGGAGGAGGAGGCATATTAGTGTAGTTGGAGTTATACAAGATGTCAGAAGAAGAGATACCTTTGAATTTCAATGATTCAATATCCACCATATCTTCGTTCAATTCCTTTACACTATTAACACCGAGTAATTTCATATCTCTCAACATTTCTTCTTTCAACAATTGCATTGCTCTTTCCACCCCCGGCTGACCATAAGAGGCCATTGCATATAGGAACGGTCTACCTAAACCAACGGCATCAGCTCCTAGACACAATGCTTTGATGATGTCTGAACCACGACGAATACCACCATCGATGAACATTTTGAAATCTTCATCCTTGATTCCATTTTCACGCAACAATTTACGTGATTGAGCAAGAATTTCGATTGGGGGCATTGCAAAATCCAATTGACGGCCACCGTGATTCGATAACAAGCACCCGCCTAATCCAAGCTCGGCAGCTTTTAAAACATCTTCTTTACGAAGAACACCCTTCAAAACAATAGGAATCTTAGTCGAATTTTTCAACTTTTCCATATCATTCCATGTTAGATTCAAGTATTTGATTGTTGGGGCTGCAAAGAGTGATAAACCGTCATTGACAGATGGATCCAGGGCAGCCCTTATCTTGGAATCTTTTTCTCTGTTACCTAAACATGGTAAATCGACGTTAATGAAAAAAGCTTTTATGTTTGGATAATTGTCTTCAATGTTTTTGAAATATTCAGGAGCATTTTTAAGTTGTTCCTCAGTGTAAAAATGGACTTGATGGAAATTCTCCTGGCCGGGTTTTGCAAACGACATGAAAGTGTCCAACGGGTAAGAGCACTGAATTGGCACCAAATAAGGGATCTTTTCGTTACCCGCAGCAAGAATTAGATTCTTTTCGGCATCTGGATGTGCCATTGGAGATCCTGCAAATGCTGTACAATAGAAAGGAGCATCGAAGGTGGCACCAAAGATTTCACCGCTTTCAGTCGAAGCCTTGGTGACATCGACCAAGCATTTTGGCCGGAAAAAAATCCTGCCAAAAGCATAGTGATTTTCTCTGAGGGAAAACTCGTCATCAGATCCAGTCGAGTAGTAACCCCAAGTACCTAGTGGCAAAACCTGCTTAGCCACAAACTCGAAATCAGAGATATTGAAAATTTGACTAAGAGGGGGTTTGTTTTTGATTCTGTCTTGTCTTTCCTTCTCTAGTCTTTCCTCTCTTTCTTCGCTTGTTTCTTCTTCGTCTTCATCTTCTTCGTCTTCATCATCAACGTCATCTTCTATCACGATAATTCTGCGATTACTCTTTCTTTTCGTATCATTCTTCACAGTATGGTGAGATGCCACCACAAAGGCCGAGACACTCAGTATTATGTATGGGAGGTAAGAAGAACGCTGTTTTTTGTGCTGCGATGCTGCCGAAACGGCAGAAAAACATTGGTGGCTATTCCAGCTAGTCAATCCATATCTTGGAATTACGCCTCTCAGCTTAGAGCTTCTCACACCTTTCAGTAGATGGCCCAATCTCATTGGTTTTATAGAATTTATGCGATAAGAGGCTGATTATGACGTTTTTGCAAGCGGATACAGAGGAAGAACAGCTTAATATAAAATTTTGGTTTCCCAGTATACACGACTAAATGTGAGTAGATAAATCTTTTCCCTGCTGTTTAATCCTGTCCAAGAGACAGGCCTTAACCGTTGAAATGCCATCCTCTCTGGTCTCGGACCGCTTATCGTCGAAGCAGTTAAGGATGTGGGATTTCCTAAAGGAGCAGTTAGCGAGAAAAGAGCTCCGCTACTTAAAAGGGGAAAGATTCCGACATTATTGGTTGCTCACACACTGAATCAGGCATACAATACGATGAAGGAAACACCCTACTTCTTTACAATGGCCAGTTACCCTGTACATGCAGATCGGAGTGGTCTGAACTCAGGGCAATATAGACGAGCAGTTGAGCTTAGAGCCAGAGAAGAAGGGAACCTTGAGATAGTGATGCTAGAAAGAGGGCTGACCGATAGTGCATTAAATTTAGGTTCCTTTGTGGGATTTGACAGTGGTAAACGCCCAACACCGATAACATCTTTAGTTTCGATTCCTTGCGCCTAAATATGGACTTAACTTTTGTGTCACCACCGTAACTTTGTAATGCTATGCTAATGTGCAATTGCAAAACTGTGCCAGTTCATTGTAGATTGGAAAATAGGGCTGAAAACGTATCCCCCATGTTGGCTTGAATTTTGCAGAAAGCACCACTGACTCGGCGTCTCTTTTTGTACTTTACCCCCTTCAATACCTCCTACTGTCACCCTCAGTTGATCAGTTTCCTGACATGGTTGAAAATTCTAGATGCAAAGGCAACGTGGTCGATGCTGAAGCACAAGGAAAGGGAGAACAGCGCCGTTACACTGTCTCCACTTTTGGTTAGTAATCTACGCCATTGTGTGCTTTTCCCTTCTGGAAAAATCTAGATATACTGGTCGGAATAGTTACATTAAGAAGATAAAAAAGAGAACGTTCAGTGTGAAACAAAGCAGCACCATCCACAACAACAAGTGGATGGTCTGTATGTGTGTTGCATCGCATGCGTTGACGTATCTCTCCGCAAGCACTATCTGTTCGTTCATGTCGGGACACTAGTCTCTGTCTTATCGTTTTATCTACCTACGTATTATGTATGTGCTAGTATCCCCGCCGAACTCGCTGGCTCTAGAACAAGCCCCTTGTTGCCCCACCAGTGGGAAGTATACACAGAACCCATAGTGCACATGAGGACGCGTGGAATGTGACGGTTGCCCCTACAGGATCTCACTGCGTTACGCGTTTGCGCCAACAACAAACAGGCGTGCCTCCCCACTACAGACAACCTTAGGAAGGGCTGAATGTATGGGGAAAGAGTAAGAAGGGAGTCACAAGTGAACAGCAGGCAGAGTCACATATAGCCCATAAAGATCAACACATATCCACCAGCCCATGAACTTACAGGTTTCTACTGGCCAGGCACCGCTATCCCCGATGGAGGAATACAAGCAATATGAAGTCACACCTGGACAGATGCAGAAAGACCGTGTGCCCAGTAATCTAAACGAAACAAGCACCAGTGACGCTAGAAGAGAGAACGAAGGGGCCAGTATAGACAAAGCGGTGAAGGAAAATGTCCAAAACATTGGTACTGGTAAAAACAACAGCACGAATAGTAATTACCATAATGGTCAGATAGATTCGAGGGCACCGAATGCAATCATCACACCGGTTTCAGGCGACACATTGTCTACTACAGGCACAGAGAGTTCAAAAGGCGACAGTCCGCAGACGATATCGAACAAAGCGGGCGAGGCTGCGTCAGGGTCTGACTCTTGGAAAGTCGACATCAACCAGATCGACCAAGAAGTGAGCAAGATGCTCACCCAGCTAGAGCAGATTGAGCAGAAGTTTGCGAGCTCCGACTTCGGTATCAAGCGCACCAATACCGAGCAGCAGCATCAGCAGCAGCAGCAGCGTAGTCCAGTGACAACAAATGCCGGCCTGAAGGAAATACACAACCTGATAGACAACTTCAAGTCGACCATACTCAGGCTCAACCTCAAGAACACGCTCGTCAAAAACCAGCTTCTCTCGGTGAAAGACGACTACACCATGGAGCGCTGCATGCTTGTGAACAGGATTGAGAACCTCGAGAAGGCGCTGCGAATAATCCAGGACGAGAACAACGCGGTGAACTCCAGAAACTTGAAACTTATCAAGTACATCCGAACACTGAAAAACGAAAAACTCAAACTGTATATTGCCGAAAACCGAAGACTCAAGGAGCACATCGAGCGACTGGAACAGGAATCTTCTCACAATATGAATGCTCTCAGAATAAACCACCCGCAAAGGTACTCCTCTATCACGTCTCCTATGAATTCGATCACCAGTCCAGTCCCTCCCATTCCCGTTCCAGGCGGAACCTCGATGCAGTATCCCATGGCATACCGAGAAGAGGACGTTGACCCGCCCTATCACATCAGACAGCAGATCAACTCTCCGACAAACTTCAACATGCTCGACACCCTTGGTCGTTTGGCTACCGAGTACTTGCACAACGAGTACCCGGAGGAGGAGCAGGACGACCGCTTGGAACGTGCTTAGCCGACCCTCACCATGCTGAGCACACTCCTCTGTGCAAGCCGCCTATATGTATGTTTGTGTAGTAATCAACAGAACTAAGTGCTAGAAGTTGATGTTTCAATACCCTACCGGGTCAAGCCTTCAAAAACATGTTTGGGCCGATCGGCGCAAAATTTGCAATCGGAATGGTGCAGAGGGCGACGAGGGTGACGGCCGACTGGCTGAGTCGGTCAATATCAGCAACGTCCGTACAGACATGATTAGGGAGCACCGCCGTGGTTGGGCTCTCTGAAGGCATGAGAGGTTCGCTGCAAAAGGAATTAAGCACAGAACCAACAGCATGTCGTCCCTGTTAGAGAAGTCGTTGGATGAAATCATCGGGTCTGGATCCGGTCGCCCAGAACGGAGTAGAGTATGCAAGAAAACATGGACAGATAGATAATAATCTGGACATCAGACAACCTGAAATGGACAATCCTGCCATTGCATTGAACTCATTACTAACAGCCGATTACCACAGAAACGTTCAAGTACCAGAGGAAGAAACTCGAGGGTTTCGAAGCCAGGCAGACGTGGACCACCCGCAGCGAGAAGCTTTCGTGGATCAGTGCACAATGGCAGCCCTAACGAGATCAAAATCGTCAACTTGCACCCTGAGTTGACAACCGAGGACCTCACCCAGCTCATGGAGACTGTTGGTCCGACCACACGCGTGGAAATCAAGTACAACACGCATGGTAAGTCCATTGGGGTTGCCTTTGTTGAATACGAGTTCGGTAGGGATGCGATGGAGGCCATCAAGAGATTTGACGGGCGACTAGCAGCCGGCCAGATCATAAGCGTGTCCAGCACGATGCCTTTGATCGACAGAATTGGTGGAAGGGCCGAACCGCGTCCGAGACGGAGAAACCCGAAGCCTGTGACCGTCGAAGGTAACGGTAACGGCAATGCGAAACCCGACGGCAATCCAAAGCCAAAGAGGAAAGAACGGAAGACCCTGGAAGACTTGGATAACGAGCTCAACATGTACATGAACGGAGAGGCTGGAGAGGTACAGTCCGAGGAGCAGTCAACACACTTGCCTCAGCAGGATGCTGAACAAGCGTCTGCAACGGTGCTAGTTCCTGCTCAAGAATCTGAAGCAGCACAAGTGCCAGCACAGGAGTCCGCCCCTGTTGAGAACGGTGTTGAACCAGCCGGTAATGATGTCGCCATGGAGTGATCGAGGAGGAGAAAAAGTAAAAGAAACAGTGAAACGATAATGATGTATTAATAATAAATAGCGACCGAAGGCCCCGGTCTGTTTCACTTTTGTTTATTATAGTCTAAAATAGTTTTTATATTACCCAATAACAATTACACACAAAAAGGAGAGAGGAGGGTGAAAGAAAAAAGTGTTCTGAAGAAGGACTAAAGAGAAGAGGTAGTAGTCGAGAATAGTATCCAACGGAAAGATACGGATGTAATCTTAGAGTATGGAAGAGTATAAGGTGGAGGGGAATAAGGATAGAGTTCGTGAATAAATAAATGGTAATAATAGTATAATATGATATAATAATATAATAGGGTTGGACATAATAAAAGAATCAGTTAAAAAACAAAGAAAGTGGAGGGACGAGAGCACAGAGAGCAGGGGAGAAAAGAGGGAGGAACAGGGAACGGGGCCAAACTCACAGAATGCAGCACCGGGATCCATTCTTTCCCTCTCCGCAGTCTTCCATCATACTTCGTGTCTCTCCGACCAATCCGCTTCTTCAGCTAAGAGTCATAATAGTCATTATGTGTCAGAGGCTGCTTAATGGGAAGCACCGCCTAAGGAGACGACTGGAGGACAGCCCAAGTAACCCTTGATGGAACCGTACAAGGCGAATTGCAAGGAGGTAAGAGTACCAACCATGACCAATCTTGTTGGCAAACCAGCGAAGGAGCCGAGGACACCCAATTCCTTAGCCAATTGGAACAACAAACCGACGGTGGATTGACCAGGAGCCTTCTTGGTCTTGTTGACCTTGGACAACAAGGTGTCGGCAGGTTGGGAGACAAAGGCAGCCATACAACCGGCAATGACACCGGCTCCTAAGTTAATACTGGTGACAGCAAGAGAAGACAATTGGTCCTTTGGAGTGGCAACGAGGTCGTAGATCTTTTCTGCGGCTCTTTCGTAGGTCAAGAACTTGGCGATGTTGTAAGGAATTTGCTTGAACAAGATTGGGGTGAAACCGGCGTAGAAGGAGCCGACACCTTCCTCCTTGAGGATTCTGGAGAAACCGCCGATCAAACCGTTGGCGAAGGTTGGCTGGGAGACCAATCTGATTCTGGTGGCCTCTAATGGGCACAAGGCGATATCAGCAAAGAATTCGGCAATAGCAGCGGAACCGATGTAGACAGCGTCCTTGTAGTTGGAGGCGGTTTCGTAACCCAAGCTGTCAATGAAGACCTTCTTGAACAACTCGTAACCACCGAACTTGAAGGCACCCTGGATGGAGTAACCCAGGACGGTAGGACCCAAACCGGTCAACAAGGCGCCGGCACCTTCTTCAGAGATGATCTTCTTGAAGGAGCCAAACATACCGCTGTTGTAGACCGTTGGTTCCAACTGGATTCTGGTCTTGACCACATCGACAGGGGTCATGGAACCGTGGGTGATACCACAACCGATGGCACCGGCCAAGGCGAACTTGGAGTAGTCAGTAACAGTGAAGTTTGGGATAACTGGAGCAGTAGACATGTTTTGCGGTGTTGCTAAGGGGACGCTGTTACGAGAGAGTAAAAATCTACACAAAGAACCCAACCAGGAGCCCCCAGACCGCCTCAAAGCAGTACCAGAGCCAGAAACAAGGAAGAACAGACGTTGCAAATAGAGGGGAAGGAGAGACCACGAGCCACGGGAACAACAGTCCCTCTGCTGCAAGCTTTTTTTTCACCCCTCTCTCCCACGTTCGACGATCCAATCGCCGGAAACAGGGTGCTGAAAAGTGCGGGACGCCTGAGGACTCTTTTTTTTTGCCTCAGAACGCGGTTGCGCAGGCAACGCAGCGTCATAGCGTCGGTGCCGGCGATGGCCCTGGCGATGGTTCTGGGGCGGGCAGCAACACGGGAGTTCTGCTGGTGCTTTAGATACAGGCGACTGCCGGATGGCCAGCCCACTGCAGACATCTTAGCTGTTCTTGTTTGTAGGGCCGTTGCCAGCGTCCGCCCGCCACAGGACGCCCACCGCCCCCCTCTCCATCGCCGAGGCAGCGCGGCTCCTGATTGGCCGGCCGCGCGGCCGTGTCAGCCACAGCAACGGCGGTCGATCGGCGTAGAACGGGGGTAAACACCCGTGCACCGCTGGAGGGAGAGAGTGCGGTGTTTGCTCTGTTTGGGTGTCGAAGCGCGGGAGAAGGTGAGGAGCGGGAGGACAGGAGGAGAGAGGAAGAAGGAAGGAAGGACACAGAAGATGAGCACAAGAGAAGAGACAGGAGCAGGCTGCGGACAGGCACAGAACCCCGGTAGAGTGATTCTGCGCAGCACACCCCCTCCAGCACACACACACACACGCACAGCATGTCTGCAGTAGCCATTGAACAATCCAACAAGCCACAGCCTTCGGCAACCATCGTGGACTCGGCGTGGGACACAGCGTTGTCCAACGCCATTGTGAAGACCGGGCTCGGGTTCGGGGCCGGTGTCGTCGTCTCCGTGCTCCTGTTCAAGAGAAGAGCGTTCCCTGTCTGGCTGGGCGTCGGCTTCGGGCTCGGCAGATCCTACGCGGAGGCAGACTCCGTCTTCAGACAGGCGGGCCTGAGAAAGGTGGACGCTTGAGCGGGCCTGCGCCCGCGGGGCGCCGGCGCAGCAGCCGCAGCGGCTGCTGCGGGCGGCTGTCTGCCCCGTCGCTCCACGGTCTCGCAATGCACCACTCTATTCCCCCCCTTCCACCACATAATTCACGCATAGAGCCTCTCCAGGAAATCAACATAACGTGTTATGACACACTTACCCCCAAAAGCAACTAATGCAACTATAAAAATGAATATCGAAAAACAGGAACATGGGAGCCGGGCTGGGGCCGGAGCAGGGACCGACGGTGGGACGCGAACAGGAGCCCCCCAAACCACACCTTGACGGGTCTGGACTGCTTCCCGGACGAGGCGCCTGCCTCTGTCTGTCTGTCTGCCCCACCCCTCCTTCTCCCCCTCTCCCTCTTGTCTCCTTCTGCCACACACATACGTAGATTTAGATCTGTAACCTACCCTATATATCTATCTGCTACCACCTATCCATTCAGTATCCCCTACCCTCTTATTTATTTATTTACATATTTATACACCTCATATGTCGATCTATATTATTTATTCTGCACACAAGCACCCACACCCATCTGGAACCCGGTTGATTCTCCACTGCTCTGCCCGCTTTCCGATTCATGTCTCCACCAGACCCATTGCCTCTTTCGTAAGCATCCGGGCTGTGTCGCACTGCCAGAGCCGTTGCGGCCCCAAGTCAGCGCCAGAGACCGGAGTCGTGGCCGGAGTTGACCCGAGTCACCTGCGCGCGCAGCCAAAAGTTGACTTCAGCCTGACTCTGCGCCCTTTTGTGCACGGCCGTGCTGACTCCACCCCGCCACCAGAGCAGAGTCAACGTTGGCTGTCCCAATCGGGTCTTTGTCCTCCCGGGCTGCCCTTTGTTATGCGTAAACCGTCTTTCTTGTTCTTATCTTGACATGTAAACGGTTATCTATCATCAACACTTCCTTTGGTCCTCCTTTTCAGGCGTATGCTCACTCCAGCTTCCCCCCTCCGTCCTCCGAAACCCTCCAAACACCCTTCGCCAAACCCTCCAGCCCTCCCTCACGCAACACTCACCGCTGGCCAATAATGTGGCGGCGCTTGGAATTTTTTTATTTTTTTCTGGAAAATCCGGAAAAATTGTAGTTTCCCGCAGACAGCCCTAGCCACGGTGACTAACACATGCGTCAAACGCAGAAAAGCCCTCGAGGGCAGGGAAGGAGCCTTCTTTCTCTACTTTCGATCGTTGAAACGGAACTGTCGGCCCGTGTTTGTATAGTGGGGGCTTTTCCAGCACGAAAATCGCCCCCGGATTCGGGTTGTTGGTTGTTGCGGCGAGCTGGGACAAAAGTCCGCCCAGAACCGCCGTGCGGTCGGGATTCCCGCTCTGTGCCCTCGGGGGCCTGTTTTTTTCTCTCCACTGCCCGTGCTCCTTACATTTTTCACTCCTTGTTATCTCTTTGGAACGGGCCATACACTGCTTATAAATATCCCTCTCTCCCGTTTTCCCCCCAGATCCTTGAGGTGCTTGTAGGATAGTTACCTCCCCCCTTTCTTGGCTTGTGGCTTTGTAAATCCCTATTCTTAACTCTAAACACTTCGATCTTCCTCTATCAGAGCAATCTCTTAATAACTGTGCTACCATAGCCAATCCACACAGAAAATGACCAATACCGAACCACTTTACGCAACTCATAACGAATTCAGAAGTGATACCTTCACTGTTCCAACCAGAAAGATGCTCGAGTCCGTTCTTACGTGCACTACCGGTGACTCCGTCTATAAGGAGGACCAAGACTGCCTTGATCTCGAGGATAAGGTGGCGAGGCTTTGCGGAAAAGAAGCTGCGCTATTCTGCTCTTCCGGTACCATGTCTAACCAGATTGGTTTAAGAGCAAACCTTTTTCAACCACCACACAGCATTTTGTGTGACTACAGAGCCCACGTATACACCCACGAAGCAGGTGGTTTGGCAACTTTGTCACAGGCGATGGTGACCCCAGTCATTCCCGCCAATGGCGACTACCTCACCCTGGATGACATCTTGGACAATTATATTCCTGACGATGGTGACATTCACATGGCACCAACTAAAGTGATTTCCCTCGAGAACACCCTACATGGTATCATCACTCCCTACGAAGAAATCAAGAAAATTTCTGCCTGGTGTCAGGAAAACGACATCAAGTTCCATTGCGATGGAGCAAGACTTTGGAATGCAGCCGCCGAAACCGGAATTTCAATGTTTGACTACTGCACGCTCTTCGACTCGGTTTCACTCTGCTTGTCCAAATCCATTGGTGCTCCTTACGGGTCAATCTTAGTCGGTAGTCGTAAATTCATCGAGAAGTGTAACCACTTCAAGAAACAGAATGGTGGTGGTATTAGACAAGCAGGTATGTTGGCAAGAATGGCATCGATTGCTATCGATGATAACTTTTCCAAGCTTCAGATCTCCCACAGCTATGCTAAGGACTTTGGACGGTTCTGTCAAGAACAAGGAATTCCTTTAGAGTCCCCAGTGGACTCTAGTTTTGTTTTCTTGGACTACAAGAAAGTGAAGATAAATCCTCATGTTTACGAGTTAGCATCAAAGAAGTACAACGTCAAGACAATGGGTAACAGAGTTGCTTTCCATTACCAAAACAGCCCAGAATCGATAGAAAACCTCAAACTGGCACTTCTTGAAGCTTACAAGGATTCTCTCGTTAATCCATACTACACCAAGGGGGCTTCCAAATTGTACCGTTCAAGTTCTTCTGGCTCCGATCATACTCTAGTGGAAATGAATGCTATTGCTGAACGGAAGGCCAGAAACTGAAACAACTATCGCACAAAAAACTTTACTAAGCATCCTAAAATTAGAACTACGCTACGGGATTATATTTCCCTTTTTATCTATACATTATGTAAAAATATAACAAGATTCTGACCTAAATGTATATGTTGCATACTGATTATTCATTATGTCTTCTCCTTCGTTGCTCGCATAGCACGAAAAATAAAAACGAGAAAAATGATTTTTTTGGCTTTTGTTGTTTGTCACCCCCAGGAACCACCAGAACGAAAATAGCTTGTAGTAACCTACTTCGGATTCATCGATTGGTCACCCAGGTACAGATATACAGCAAAAGCCAACAGTCACTACAGGTCCATAAGAACCACAGGAAATGCTCATAATATTCCTTTTGGCCTGCTGTGGCATGCTTTGGCTTGCCCACCGTTTTTCACTTCTACTCTCTCTGCCCATAGAAACATCGGTTAAGAGTCTTTCAATACCCATTCCGAAAATACCGTTGATCTCTGTTGACAAGGTGGCAGATACAACAATGGTTTTTCATTGGAATGATGTTTCCTCTGCCTGCAACTCCCATGCAACTCCAGATGCTAGTGGTTATGGATCTTCGGATATGAAACAAGATCGCAAAGACTCGAAAGATTTCAAAGATTCTAAAGATTCCAAAGAATCTAAAGAAACACCAGATTCAAGCTTTAACTTTGGCTCAAGTGCCATTTCTCATTACATCCTGTATATAAATGGAATTGAAACAGTTGCAATCAATGGCCAGCAACACAAATGTACCTTAGATGGTTTACAACCGGGAACCAATTATCAAATTGATCTAGTTGCCTTCAATATGGCTGGTTTCAGATCACGCAGTTCCCCTATCTATGTGAAAACATCTGCCAAACCGATTAAAGACTCTAATATGCAGAGCTTAGAAAATCCAGACAATGTCATCAAATGTCTTCTACATGAACAAGAAAGAGCATCACTGATTAGAAATGACCCCTTCAAGGCATCTATAACGAATGGAAGATCAAGAAGCGGAACAATTGAAGGCGCACATCAGAATAGCAACCACAATAGCAATGGTAGCCATCATCACAATGAGAACACAAACTCTCCAAAGACGAAGCATCCTCATTTGATCGATGATATAAATGAACTAAAATGGATTCTCGAAAGTGGTTTAGAGGAGGTGCAATCTTTAATGAAATCCTACAAAGAAGCAGAACAAGAATTTGAAGAGGAAGAAATTAATTTGATTTCTGCACGCAATGAAGCTAGAGAAAGACGAAAGTACGAGGATAATAATAGAATGAATTTACGTCAAGAAATCAAACTGTTGGAGGAACAACGTGTGAAGGGTACAGGTAGAATATCTGCTGATGAAAAGAAAATCAAGGAACGACTGAAGAAAATAGAAAATTACAATTCTCAGATAGAGAAGTGGAGATTAGAAATTGAACATATGAAAAAGAAAAGAGAATACCTTTTTAAAGAAAATCCAGAAGTTCTCAAAAAATTAGAACAAGATATTGTGACGTTAAACAAGGAAATATTTTCCTCTCAGACTGAGGTTCATGAAGCAGAAGATGAATTACGCGATGAAATTGCTCAGCGTAAACTGTTAGAGAATCAAAAGGTTACAGTGATACAATTATTCGAAGAGATCAATAAAAATATTAACGATGTTACTGGGTTGTTGAGTGCTGAAGGAATGGAAAGTTTAAACAGATTAATGGAATTGAAACCAGAATGGAAAGAGGAGCTATTACGGGAAGTAGTTGAAATAGATGAAAAGGCAGAATCTGATTGGAAAGCTTTGCAGCAAAAAGAGTGGATAAACTTCAACAATATGAAAAATGAAATTGATGAACAAAATAAACTCTCACTTTTGAAGGGAGCACCAAATACCTCTTTGGGCGTGAATGGTGTTTCTGCTGGGATCTCATCAAATGGACTTGAAGGGAATGGGAATGCAACTACGGCTACAAATACTACAAACGTGAATGGCTACCTCTATAATTCAATGCCCTCTTCAAGCAACAATACTGTCAATAGTTACAATAATTTGGCGTTCAACTCTAATTCTATGCGTAGTATGATACGTCCCGGTGTAAGTTCAAGTGGCTCTTTCCATGGAACCGAGGGGCTACCTGAGAAGCCTAGTTTGCCAAATGATTCTGGCAACAATACCTTTAATTCATCCAACAATGCCAACATATGGCCGCTGAATTTATCGTTAGATTCCAGTGGTCGGAATATGATCAACCCTACAACCGATTCACTCGATACTACAACTGTTGACATGCTTCTTCCTCAAAATCTGATTGATGGCGAAGATTTTGATCAGCTTTTTGAAACACAATCGAAACACCAACCTAATAATGAAGATCCGATTATGTCTCCTTCATTATCGGTGAGAGGTCTGAATAAACTGCCCGCATCTTCTGCTTTGGGCAATAGCACGAATTCTGTTTCTCCTAATATTTCACAATTGAATAATTTTGACGTATACCAGGGTGGTAGTCTTAATGGCCTGGTGCTGAATTCTACCCCTCAGGCTAATAAGGTAACTTCTTTAAGTGCTATTGCTAGCGGGAACAACCAAAATAGTATGATGGGTAACTCTGCTCCGCTTAATATGATTGGTTCGCCTCAGTCCTTGAACGCTTATCTTGCAAATTCGGATAATGGACTTTCTTCTAATTTGCTAGACTTAGGACAAGCAGCAACAACTTCCCCATTCAGCTCTAACGCCGCAATGAATTTGGGTTTGAATGGCAATACAGCCAATGGTTCTGATATGGATCCATCAAACGTTGCATTTAACTTGGGCTCTAATATTGGCGAGTCCAACAATCATTACTCCAAGATTTTTGGGTCCCTAAATGGACCAAGTAATGCCACTTTGAATGATAACGGAAACGCAAACCTGGATTTTTCCCTGTCGAGAGCAAGAAGTACAAGTTTTGGCTCTAGCATTTGGAGTAACGGAAATAGTGGTAATGCCAGTAATAATGGTACAGGAACTTGGGGCTCGAAAAATAAGGCTAAGGGCTTCTCATTTTTAGGTGCTCCTATTACGATGTCGTCAACATCTGCCGGAGGTTCCCAGTCAGGACTGGGATACTCTAAAAATCATACGATTATGTCGTCTTTGAAAAATGATGAGACCAATGAGAAGGAAAGACTGCAGGTGAAGGATGATTTGTCTTCATTGCATAACGACTCTAACAGCGATGATAACGACGAGTACCACAATGGTGAACAATCTTATCAACCAACCTCGCCATCATTTCTTAAATCTATGATGGAAAAGTTTGGATCGAGTCCAACAAAAACCATTTCCAACAAAACCATGGAAAATGCTCTTGAAGATCTTGACGACATTGTTGAAGACAAACTAAGCAAACGCACTAATAGTGTAAGTTCTAATAGCAATACCACCAGTTCTGGAACACATCAAAAGAGCTCCAGTTTAGGCTCTTCCAGATTTTTTAAACTATCCAGGAAAAATTCTTTGATTTCTGCATCTCAACATTCTGTGGGCACAAATGGCTCTGGTATTAATAGCAACGGGTTGGGTGTTAGTAGTGCGCTTCTCGTGGAGGAGGAGCCGACCTCCAACGCCAATGGTGCATTGAACTCAGGTAACTCTGGTGGCGGGTTTATGGGACGTAAGCTAAGTTTTGCTTTCAAACGGGATAAAGACCGTGAGAAGGAAAAGGAGTAAGCTGCGAGTTCATTCTTCTATCTATTCTTCATTATTTATAAAAAAAACTCTTTCTATACAACTGATGGCTATAAAAAACATCCACATATATGTTACTAATTGGCTTGACTCAGAAGGAACCGAGTTTCAATAAAATTCATGGCGAGTCTTTATTTCGCTTTCGATTTGATGCTTGAACTTCTCCAAAGATGCCAGATTGGTCGAGGCTCTGAGTTTGAGAGAACATTCTTCTTCATCCAACATTTCGTTGAACAGCCGCCGCCGTTCTTTGAACTTGGATTCTCTTTCGATAATCTTTAGTTCAATCTCGTGTTTGTAGTCCAAAAAGGACTCCATAGAAATTTTTTTCGGGCGTTGGACACCATACAAGTTGTCTGGAAATTCTGTCATTAGCACAGTCATTCGTACTCGTAGAAAATAGTAAAAGGGAATTTTATATTTTGCTTTTAGAAAAGAAAGTAATCAAGAAATACAAGAAAAAAAAGATTACGGTACGCTAATATATACGATATGAGTTTCAAAATGTTGGATGTGAGAAAAAGGGGAGATATCCCTCTTTGGCGAAATGCACCATGCCCCGTCCCTCTTACTGTGCTGAGGCGATAGCCCTGACGATGGCCAAGTAAAAAAAGGCCAAGAACTGTCAAGGCTGGCAGATTTGATATGAACAGAAAATAAAGAGAGTAAGGATTACTCCGACCAATCGACAAAGACAGGTCTTTGTAGTTCGAAAGGATCGGAGTTTTTCAAGATCCGTTTCTTTTCGTTTTCCCAAACATCGCCAATGAGTTCGAAACCCACCTTAAAGTTTTTGTCGTAGATTTCTCTGACCTCACCTTCCTTCTCCTTTCTAACCTCTTCCTGTGCCATCCATTCCATGTGTCTCAAGTCATCATCCGAAGGCTCGTATATGTGCCAGATGACATAGTGAGGAAGTCCAACAACCTCGAGACCCATCTTTTTGCACATCTTGCCCAAGCCTTCGGTTTCTGCATGTTTTTCAAATGAGAAAGCAGGGAAGTGAGCTCCCTTCCTGAACACGGAGGCTTTAGCTAAGATAGAGACGCCTCCTATTCCGTCCAGCTGAAGCTCTGTTCTAGGGTCACCGTATGGATCTCTGAGGTATGCGAGATGGGGTCTCCACGTGGCGAACGCTGGATAACCTTCAACTATGACCGCGTCTTCATCCAAGGACTCTGCAAGCTGGAGACCGCCGTCACTTTCTTGCCACGAATTCAAATCGTAAGGCTGTTGTTGGCCAAGCCAGTCGGGTAGCGGTCTCCACACGTTTGGCACAATTACATCTTTATCATGGGACATGAGGTCTTCAATGATGGTAGGCGGAATGGTTTCCACGTCCACGTCTCTCCAATACACCCAGGAGTGGTGTGGCTTCAAGCTGACGGCTGTCAACCAGTTTCTGGCCTTGGCCATGTTTTTGCGGCGAGGTCCCTGTGCCTCAAAGCCGTGTCTATCGCTAAAACCCTGGCCCACGGCCTGGCCAAAGTCCTTCTCGAAGATCTCGATCTCTCCGAAGGGCATGTCCGGGTTGGAGCTTTCCTGGATGGCCTTCAAAGACTCGTTTAACACCTCCAAGGTCTTGTCCTTGGAGTCGGATACCAGGAAAGCCAAGTCGATTAGGCCGTGGGGGTAAGTCATGTTTGACATGTGGCTGAAGAACATTGGCAGATGTGCTGCCGCGTCTCTCAAGGGCACGAGGAAGAGAACACGTTCGTTGTTCTGCCAGCCATAGGCAGTCGCCTGCACGTCCTGCTTCAGGTCTATGTATGACACCTCCTCGTGCGGGAACTCCGTGAGAACGGGTCGGTAGAGCTCCCGTTCTCTTTCTGTGGGGTCCCCTAGGGAGTTCCCCTTCAGCTCCAGGTAGCCCTTCCACGAGTAGAGCAGGTAGGAGCATGCGAAGAACGTGAGGATGATCGAGAATGCCGATTTCAAGGAGAAACTTGTGTGTTTCAGAATGAGACTGTAGAGCAAGAAGTGGTGCAGCAATGCTGGTTAGTATACATGAAGACGCATAAACGGGGGAGGATCAACGGAGACGTCGTGTAGTCCACATACCCTTCTGGAGGCATTCTGTACGTTGTCGTTCCTGTAGGGGGGTCAATGGAGAGAAGGGGTACGACCGCGTGCTGGTGCTGCTGTGGCCAGGAGAGTGTCTCTACGCCGCTAGGGAGCTGTGCAAGGGGCCGGTCCAAGAACACGCTCCGACGTGTCTTCTGCAGCTCTCTGGCCAGTCGGCCTGGTCAGCAGAAACGTCTTTGGAGGAGGAAAAGGAGGCAGCGAGGCTCTGGGATCGGGACTCGTCCCTTTTCGGACAGGCTGGATGTGGTGTTGAAACGTTCTTACCGGAGAAGGAGGGACAGATACAAAGGGGTGGAGTGTATACATGGCTATGAATGGATGGCGATGGCCCTGGAGGGCTTGCGGATGGGAGGGGGGCTTTTGTGTTTGGCCCGGAGCGGAGGCGGCGACGTCGAAACAGGGGCAGGGCCGGAAGCGGGGCCGGAGCCGGAAGCAGGGCCGGAGAGTGTAGTTGGAAGACGTCTCCTGGGGCCCTTGGCCCGGCGTTTGTTCGGATGCACGAGCAGCCGGCCCCGTTTCTCAAGGCTGGCGTTGTCGATGGTGTGGGACCTGTTGGGCGACGGAAAGCCCGGGTCCCCGGCTGCGGGGTGCAGTGTCGACGAGAGGGTGTTGGTGGCCGTTTTGCGGAACGAGCGTGGTGGGGATCCGTAGGATGGAGACTTTCCCAAGAGCCGGACCATGCCTGGCAGCGGGACGCCTTGGGCCATCTGGAGCCGTTTCTGGATCGCCTCTCGAAGGAAGGCCGGCGTGTTGTCGGTCGCTGGCGGCGGTGACGACGTCGTCGCCGTCGTCTTGGCCAGCAGAGCCGGCTTCGGCTTGACCGCAGGCTTGCTGCGGGTGTGCTGGGCCTGGGCGACCTGCGGCTTGGGCTTCAGCGGCAGCGGCGGCCGGTGGGGTCCGGAGTGCGCCACGGGCGGTGTCGACGTCTCCTGCTCTTTCTGCTGCTGCTGCAGACGCAGCCTGCGTTCAAGCGGCGTCTCGTAGGCCTTCAGCTGGTGGCGGCGGCCGCCGATGCAGATGTCGCTGCGGACGGCGGGCTGCATGAGAGAGTCGAAGGTGACGGCCTGCGGCTCGTTCCTGCGGGGCCGGGCCACGACGTGCTCGGTGTCGAGCCGGAGCTCTTCGACGAGCTTCTCCAGCGACGGTTCTGCTGGCGGCGGTGTCTGCGTGGAACTGGCTGGCGCCACCGGTTCCTCCCTGGCCCGCAACCTGGGCAAGACAATCGTGTTGTCTGTGTCCGCAAGAGCCTCTGCGTGGACTGCGGGTTCGTTTCTGAGGCTGGCCAGGCTGGGCTTCTTCTTTGGCACGAGCGGGGGAACCTTTCTCCTCTCCGGGATGGTCATGGCGTCGGTGTGCAGCGTGATTCCGGGTGGTGCTGGCGCCCGTGCCGCCGTGGCCATCGCCGTGGCCATCGCCAGCGTCCTTGTAAGGTCAGCGGACAGGGAAGGCAGAATATGCGCGAAGGACGGCGAACATGAAAAGCAGCGGAGGTGGTGAGCTTTGGCCCGGGAGGGAGGAGGGAGGAAAGAAGAGAAGAAGGCGGCAAGAGGAGGCAAGAAGGCAGGCAGGCATTGCAGAGACAAGCGCTGCGACCGACAGAAAGAGCAAGACAGCGACACAGCGATGTTGGACTTGGACCGGATACTGGAGGACGTGAAGGAGTGCCGGACGGTGCCGGAGCAGGACGTGCAGGAGATGTGTCTGCTCGGACAGGAGCTGCTCATACAGGAGGCAAACATCCATGTGATCGAGGCGCCGGTGGTGGTGTGCGGGGACATCCACGGGCAGCTGCACGACCTGGTGACGCTGTTCAAGATCGGGCAGGAGCCGCCGGCGAGCAAGTACCTCTTTCTGGGGGACTTTGTCGACCGGGGGTTCTACTCGCTGGAGACGTTTCTGCTGCTGCTGGCGTACAAGCTCAAGTACCCGAGCCGGGTGTTTCTGATCCGCGGGAACCACGAGTCGAGGCAGATCACGTCGGTGTACGGCTTCTACGACGAGTGTGTGCGCAAGTACAGCAGCGCCAACGTCTGGCGCTACTGCTGCGAGCTGTTCGACTACCTCTCGTTGGGGGCGTACGTCGTGGGCAGCCGCGGCGGCCGGGACGGCGTCTTCTGCGTCCACGGCGGCTTGAGCCCGAGCCTCGAGTGTCTGGACGAGATCCGCCTCATCGACCGCAAGCAGGAGGTTCCGCACGACGGCAGCATGTGCGACCTGCTCTGGTCCGACCCGGAGAAGGACATCCAGGGCTGGGCCCTGTCTCCGCGGGGGGCCGGCTACCTCTTTGGCGAGACCGAGACCCGCCGCTTCCTCCACGTCAACGGCCTCTCGCTCGTCGCCCGGGCCCACCAGTTGGTCATGGAGGGCTACCGCGAGCTGTTTGCCGGCGGCTTGGTCACCGTGTGGTCTGCTCCGAACTACTGCTACCGCTGCGGCAACGTCGCCGTCATTCTGCGCCTCGACGACGCCCTCTCCCGCGAGTACACCACCTTCGAGAGCAGCTACACCGCCGACCAGCCGCTTGCCGCCGGGCCCTCCGCCGCCACCAACACTGCTGCCGTCGGCGAGCTCCCCAGCAAGCGCCCCGTCGTGGACTACTTTCTCTGACCCTGTCCTGAACACCCCTCCACCTGTCCACCCCCAACCCCCATCCTCCAACCCTGGCCGCCGTCCCCGAAGTCCCCTTACGTGCCTGTGACGGCAGCGGCGGCCATTGTTCGCTAGCGAAAAACGCAGCCCGGGAGCGCGGCTGGCGGGTCTCGACCGTGCGTGTTGTTGTTGTTGCTGGCGGGCTGCTGGCGGCCCTGGGTGCTGGCGGGTTTGCAACACCCCCCTGTTCCCCCGTTGCTCTTCTGGGGGTGGGGGTGGCGATGACGACAAGAAGTAGGTATGGGTGGAACAGAAGCCGCAGAAAGCAGAAGGAGGACAGCGGGCGTCAGAACGATTTTGGATCGAACGAACGAAAAACACGAGCGGTCGATCTGGCACGAAAAGTGAAAACAAGCTGAAACAAGACAGGAAGTTGAGGAAAGCAGAAAGTTGAGGCAAGTAGAAGAAGCTGAGAAAAGTCGAAAAAGCAAAGAAAAGCGCATAGAAAAGCGCATAGAAACAGGATAGAATACATCCAGACCACCAGACAGCACTAGAAAGCACTAGACAGTATGAGTTCGACAGCCACCTCGACGTCCACGCAGTCGGTCATCACGGCCGTCATCGCCAACGGCGTTGTGTGCGCCGTCTTCATCGTGGGCTTCTTCGCTCTGCGGATGAAGTTCACGAGGGTGTACGACCCGAAGGCGTGCACAGACTTCTTGCCGGCAGACCAGAGACCGGAGCGGCTTCCTCGGACACCGCTCTTCTGGCTGCGGGCACTCGTGGCAAAGAAGCCCGCGTTCATCATCAAGCACTGCGGGATCGACGGCTACCTCTTCATCCGGTACCTCTTCATCATCACCACGTTCGGCCTCGGAGGCATCTGCTTGTGGGTGATCCTCCTCCCTGTGAACGCCACAAACGGCAAGGGCGAGACGGGCCTCAACCAGTTGGGGATCTCCAACGTGGGCTCTGTCGGGCGCTACTACGCACACGTCTTCATGTCGTGGATCTACTACTCGTGCGTCATGTTCACCATCTACCGGGAGTTGTACTTCTACACGAACTTGCGCTACCTGCTCATGGCGACGCCGTTCTACGCCAAGAAGTTGTCGTCCAGAGTCGTGGTTTTCCAGACGGTTCCGGACCAGTACTTGGACGAGCACGAGTTCTACAAGCTCTTTGGCGGCGTGCGCCGCATCTGGGTCGCCAAGGTGAGCAAGAAGTTGAGCAAGAAGGTGCAGGAGCGGGCCGGCTTGGTGGCGAACTTGGAGATCCAGCTCAACAAGCTCTTGGCCAAGGCGGTGAAGAAGAAGATGAAGGCGGACAAGAAGGGCGAGCCGATCGAGCCCGCCAACGAGCTCGTGTGCTACATCCCGCAGAAGAAGATGCCCACGATGCGCCTCACCAAGTACATCGGCAAGAAGGTCGATCTCCTCGAGTACTGCAAGGAGAGGCTTCCCGAGTTGAACATCGAGATCGCCAAGCTCCAGGAAAGCGAGAACAACGTCAAGATCAAGCCGCTCAACTCCATAGCCGTGGAGTTCGAGTCCCAGTACTACGCGCAGTTGGCCTACCAGACCGTCGTCCATGACCAGCCCTTGCACTTCCAGCCAAAGCACATTGGCGTTGCGCCCGAGGACATCTTCTGGCCCAACATGCGCATGTTCTGGTGGGAGCAGTTGGGCCGCCTGTCCGGGTCCGTGGCGCTCGTGATCTTTGTCATCATCATCTGGGCCATTCCCGTGGCGTTTGTCGGTTTCATCTCGAACTTGACCTACTTGACTAACAAGATGAAGTGGCTCAGGTTCATCTACCACCTCCCAAAGGTGTTGCTTGGGTTGATCACGTCGCTGTTGCCTACGATTCTCTTGGCCGTCTTGATGATGTTGCTTCCGATCTTCATCCGGTCGATGGCCAAGCTCTCGGGCTGCTTGACCACCCAGGCCATCGAGTACTACACGCAGAACGCGTACTTCGCGTTCCAGGTTGTCCAGACCTTCCTTGTGGTGACGATTGCGTCGTCCGTGTCCGCCGTGGCGACGCAGATTGTCGAGAACCCCACGTCGGCCTTGTCGCTCTTGTCCGCAGACTTGCCCAAGTCGTCCAACTTCTTCATCTCCTACATCATCTTGAACGGCTTCGCCGTGTCTGGAGGCACCCTCTTCCAGATCGTCACCTTGGTGTTGTTCTACGTGATGAGCTTCGCGCTCGACAACACGGTGAGAAAGAAGTACGACAGATACACCACGCTCTCCACCTACGCGTGGGGCACCACCTACCCGATCTACTCGTGCTTGGCCGTCATCTCGCTCGTGTACGCCATCATCTCGCCCATCATCTCCTTGTTCACCTTCGTGGCCTTCGGCTTGTTGACCATGACCTACATGTACACGCTCAACTACATCGTGGGCATCGGCTCCGACTCTGTCGGAAAAAACTACCCGCGCGCCATGTTCCACTTGATGGTGGGCATCTACCTGGGCGAGGTGTGTCTGATTGGCCTGTTTGTCGTGTCCAAGAGCTGGGGCTGCATTGTGCTCGAGGCCATCTTCCTCGCCGCCACCGTGTTTTTCCACGTGCAGATGAACATAGCCTTCGACAACCTCACCAACGTCTTGCCCAACACCTGCATGCGGCCCTTGGACGGCAAGTCCGAGACCCTTTCCTGGAAGGACCCGCGCCTCATCCCGCGCTACGACGACCAGTACTGGATCGACAAGGCCAACAAGGACACGGGCGGCGCCGACGGCGACACCTTCCAGGAGAACGTTGCCGACTCGCCCTTCAACGACCACTACGCGTTGCACGACCACCGCACCGCCACAGACATCCAGGACGTGATCAACGAGCCGCTGCTCATCGACGGCGACCGCGCAGACCTCTCCAAGCCCAACTTTTTCTGGCGCTACCTCCAGCCCTGGAAGTACTTGACCTACCACGACCTCCAGGACTACGTTCCCTCCTCCTACTACGACTACCCGGACGCCCAGGACGACGGCGACGACGGTCTGCGCCATGCCCACGACTACGACTGCCCCGACCTCTCTGCCACCTGCCCCACCGTGTGGATTCCCCGAGACCCCATGGGTCTGAGCAAGGTCCAGATCGACGACTTTCGCGGCATCGTCCCCATGTCTGACGACAACGCGGAGTTCGACTCCAAGGGCAAGATTGTTTTCCGCGGCGACCCTCCTGTGCTGTCGCTGGACAGCTACGAGCGCCACCTGGAGTCTGGCCGTGGCGAGAAGGGCGGCCGCGACAGCGACTGCGAGGACAGCGGCGCCAGCGCCAGCGGCTCCGCCGACGCCGACGCAGATGCCGAAGAGCCCGGTCCTGCGCCGGACGAAGACGGCTCCATGCGCAAGAACTTCGAGCGTCTGTGAGGGTTTGGCCCCAGCCCTGCCGCGCTGCGGCACCCTGCGTCTCCAGGTGCTTTTCTGCAGGGTGTTTATTCATCCGGTGCCAGTGTTTAATAGTATTTATGTTCAATAGCGTCGAGTTGCAGCCGTGTCTAGCACTGGTGCGCGCGCGCCCGCATTGTTTGCGGCAACTGCGCGCGGCCGAGCGAAAATTTTCCTCGTCTGCGGATCGCGCAGATCGTTCGCCACCCCACTGCGCCACTAGTGCGTGTCGGCCCGAGCAAGCGAAGGAAAGCGTCAGTGCTCTATGCGTGTGCATGCGCGTGCGCGCGTGCGCGCGCATGCACGGGCGGAGCGGCTTTTTGCAGCCGCACAGGCCGCGCAGCCGCGCAGCCGCAGACGCGCGCGCCTGCCGCATCGGGCGTGTTTGGGTTTGCCCAAGACGGATCCTTCGCTCGGGGCTCCGCCATTGTCTGGGCCAGCGGTGCCTCTGTTCGGGGCTGGCGCCCGGGCAGCAGCTGGCACTTGCGGGGACAATGGGAGTGTTGGCAGCAATTAATTCACCGTTTCGGTCGAGCTGTCTGGATGGGTGGTATTGTTGTGTTTACAGATGTCAGGCATTGATTGCGTTTTGCAGCAGTCTGGCACTTTTGGCACTTTTGGCAGGTGTGGTGTTGCCGGGTTGGGGTTTCTGCCCTGTTGCTGTTGCAATACCCTTTTTTTTTTGCTCTTGCTGCCCTGGTTTGCGGTGCTGCCCCTGCTCCCCAGGGTCCGGGTGCCAGGTTTTTATTCCGCTGTCTGTTGCTGTTCTTCTCTTCTCCTGCGCTTCTTCTTCCGCTTGTGCTGTCCCCGGTGGCTGTGGTGGTTGTTCTGCTACTCACTCTTGTGCATCTCCGTCCCCGACACACACTCAGCAAATCACAATGGACCCAGAACAAGGCCTCGGCTAGACGCTGCTGCGCAAGGAAACAAGAAGTTCAGCTTTGCGCTCCAGGGCTCGCTCAAAAACTTGTTGGTGGTTGTCTCCGGTGAGTTCATCGGCACGTTTGTGTTCCTCTGGTGCGCATACATGATTGCCAGCGCCGCCAACCACGACTCGTTCTACGACGCAGACTCCGCCAACCCGGCCAAAATCATCATGATTGCCTTCGGCTTCGGCTTCGGCGTCATGGTGGGTATCTTCTTGACCGCCAGAGTGTCCGGCGGTAACTTGAACCCAGCCGTCACCCTCTCGCTCGTCTTCGCCAGAGCCGTGGACCCGGTCAAGGGTCTCTGCATGATGATCTCCCAGCTCGTGGCCGGCATGGCTGCCGGCGGTGCCGCCAGCGCCATGACCCCGGGCCCGGTCTTGTTTGCCAACACCTTGGGAGGCGGCTGCTCCAAGGGTAGAGGCTTGATGATTGAGGCCTTCGGCACCTGTGTCTTGTGCATCACCGTCTTGATGACCGTTGTCGAAAAGTCCTCCTTGAACGACTTTGCTCCCGTCTGTATCGGTATCTCCCTCTTCATCGGCCACTTGATCTGCATCTACTACACCGGCGCTGGCTTGAACCCGGCAAGAAGCTTGGGTGCCGCCGTCGCCGCCCGTTCCTTCCCTGTCTACCACTGGATCTACTGGATCGGCCCTATGATCGGCTCCATCATCGCCGCAGGTATCTGGTACTTCTGGACCCTCCTCAACTACCAGGAGGCCAGCGAGGAAGCCGAGTAATCCTGCTGCTTTGCCCACTGCCCCTGTATTTCACGATGCAAACGAACCATATCTCCAAGACTAATCAGACTAATACTATTAAAATGACCCTACAGAGCAGCAGCCAGCCGCCGGGAAACCACCACCACACACGCGTAAACACGCCTGTGTCCGGCACCCACGTCCGTCCCTCATCTATACCTGTTTCACCATCACTCCGTCCTGCCGTCCGGCTGCTGCCCGTTTCTCTCGTTCACTGTTATCTTGTATAATCATCTAATCTACCTAATACTAATCCCCCATCTTATTATAAGGCCCTCCCCGGGCCTCCTCTTACGTAAGCGTGCCCGCTGTATTCGGTAACCTGTCGGTGTCTTGGCAAAGTGCCCGTGTTCTGCTCTGTCCTGGTCCTGGTGCTTCTTTCCGTTCTGTTGCAGACAAGTGTTTGGGCCTGGCCCAGCCAGCCCGGCTCTGCAGTGCCGTGTCCAGCTGTTGTCTGCCGGAAAAGGCCCGTCAAAGCACCGACCAGCGCAACGCAGGCTTCGTGCCGAACGGCCGCTTTCTGCCGCCGGCGGGCCCGCCGGACCCACCGGCGAAGCCCGCTTTCTGCGGACAACACACCCGGTGTGTTGGCCTTCTTCTTTCCGTCAACAAGTCCCGTCTCCGACCACACTTGCTCCCATGCTCCCTTTCCGGAATAAGCTTTCACAAGGCCTGCACATCACGCAGATCAGACAGAAGCGGAAATTGTCTCGCGTTATGACAAAGCCGCTACAAATGAGCGGGAAGAGGAACGACGGTGCCACGCAAGCTCGGGGCACACAGACCAGGGCGTCTCTGTCTCAGCACGAGAACAGGCACACAGCAGATGCAGCCACAGACGTTGGGCCAGTTGCTTGAGACCTCCGCCCCGGAAAGGAGGTTTTCTAGCGGCATCAGCAAGTTGGATGCCGCCTTGCCGGGGAAGAACGGCTTCAGGACAGGCATCTACGACATCTCCGGCACGGTGGGCTACGTCGGGCTCGGGGCCTACGAAATCCTCTTCAACGTCGTTCTGGGCGTGCTTGCAAGCAAGGGCAGGGTGCTGTGCGTACAGACGACTAACAAGTTCCCGTGGCTGAAGCTGCAGAAAAACAGGAGGTTCAGACCCGAGTACGGCGACCAGATCGACTGCATCGACGTCGGCAACCTCGTGGACGTAATCGTGCTCTTCAAGAGCAAACGCTTCTTTGACCCCTACAGTATGATCATCCTCGACTCGTTCCCGGGCATGTACGCCGAGTCGATCAGAAACATGAAGGCGCTGATCGGACCGTCGGCCAACGGCGACTACAGCGAGCCCGTGATCAAGTTCTACCAGTCCGCCCGCAAGCTCTTCCACCTGATGCAGCAGGTGTGCACGAACTCGCAGCACGGGACGATGATCTTCACCGTCGGACCCATGGACATCTTCAACCAGAAGGTGCTCATCCACGCCGTCGAGGACTCCGACTACGACTCTACCGACTCGGACCCGCCCGACATGGACGCAGCCCCGAAACGGCCTGCATACATCAACCAGCAGATCTTTGTGCCCACCATCTCACTCAAGTCCGACCTCAACTCCTACTACAACGGCAGAATCATAGTCTACAGGGACTGGGTGCTCGAAAACGCCAACAACGAGCTCGTCTCGGGGCTTGACAACAAGAACCAGTCTGTTTTCGAAAACTCGCTGGCCCTCATGGCAAGCGGCAAGATGAAGTGTCTCCCACATTTCCTCTGCGTCACTTCCAGCCCAAGTCATCTACGCGATCCGGCCAAACTCACAGGCTTTTTCCTCGTTGACAACAACTTCCAGGTGATAGACATCGCCCACACCGCCGTCAACGTCGACGCCGATGGCAACTTTGATCTGGAGATCCCAGATTCCCAGGAGTGAGAGAGCCCTGTATATACCTGCCCTCTGCCTCTTCTCTTTACTAAGCATCTGTAATATACCTCTATAATTAAAACAGCCTCATTTCCTCCCTAAACGCGTGTAGTCCCCAAATTTGTGTCTGTATTTACGTTTTCCTTATAACACACATGATAACTTTGAAAGTCAAAAATACTTTTTCCCCTAGAGACTCGATAATATTATACCATACGAGGCAGCCGTCTTGATGACTTCACTCGACAGAGAAAATGACCTGCTATACCTCACGCCCAATGTAACCTCCAGTGTCGACTTTGGTCCTATCCTCGGAGACGTCATAGATAACCAGTTCCATCAACCAAATGAACTTTTCAAGCAAGATATCCAACTAATCACCAACTTGAGATCCGAGTCGTTTCCCTCCATGATCGAAGATATCAATTTGGAAGTCATCACCAAATTGAAAAAGTACTGTGACTCTGTGACAGCCTTGATCACAATTTTTCCCGATGAGGTTGTGCAATTTCATTGGTCAAACTGCGTCATCAAATCTTTGAATGAAGAAAAATTGTACATTGTATACCAACTGGCTTCTTACTATTCTATTCTGGCAGTCAACGAAAGCAAAAGAGACGAGGAAGGACTGAAGAAATCGGGTATTTATTTTCAATACAGCGCAGGTTGTCTCGAAATCGTGCAACAACTTCTCCACCACACTTCTGTACAATCCTTCCCACTCAATTCAAACAAAATTGAAGCTTTGAAAACAGTAATGCTTGCACAATCACAGGAAATATATCTGCAAAAGGCCAAGATCAATCAATTGAAAGGCTCGATATTGCTAAAACTGGCAATTCGTATTTCAGATTTTTATAACGATGCGATACAACTTATTGGCCAAGAGGTGGAGCAGTCAAATCTACCCATAAGCTTCTTTCAATTGAAAGGTTTATACTACACGTGTTTCTCGTTTAACTCATATTCTGCCTACTGCAATAGAAAGAAAAAGTACGGTGAAGAAATATCCTACCTAAATCAGTCCTTGTATCTATTGATGCAAGTGTCAGAGGCTGAAGAAACGCAGTACTCCAAACTGCTACAAGATGCAGAGAATCTTCGAATGCAAATATTGAGCAAAATTGAAACAGTGAAGCACGAAAATGAAATGTTACACCTACAAAAGATTCCGCCATTTGACACCTTAAAACCGTTACCACGAGCGGAATTGGTCAAATGTTTGGCTCCAAAAGACATGGAGCTGTCTGAGAATAGTAGCACAAACAATCTTTTCATAGGTCTAATCCCTCTTCAGGTAGTTATCCAAGTATGCGAGTATCAAAACAGGTTTAAGGACTTCATCAATTGTGAGCTAGTTACCCCTATCGAGAAGTTGAACCAAAACATTCATGAATTATTCACCAATTTAAACGTTGAGACCGAAATTTCAAAGCTCACATCGAATTCTGATCTTCCACCTGCACTCATTCAATCAAGAGAAAAACTTATGAGAAATGGAAATTTGGAGAAGATAGCCAACCTAATCAGCATTCTCCAAGAGCTGAAGTTGAAATGTCGTTTCAAACTGGACAAAATTTGGCAGCTTTTGAAAGATCAAACGGTTGAAGAGGAAGCTCTGGCAAAGTATTATGGATACGATAAATGGAAACTTGGAGTGCTCGAGGATGATAAGGTGGGTGCAATACTGATAAACTCGTTCAAGATATATGAAAATTATATGAAGCAAAGTGAAGAGGGTGACAGACTTATATGCACCCAAATAGAGGAGCTCAAACCCTTTTTAGAAATCTACGATGATGAAAAGTTATTGAAATCGTATGTCCCAGAAACCAACGTATTAGTACTAAACCCTTCGCTTCAACCGATGATCGATAATTTAAGAGAAGTGTCAATGTTATTACAGAGATTAGAAGGAGAAAGAGTTAACTTTTTGAAGAAGGTAAAGAAAAAGGCTTCAGGGGTTAGGATAATTGACCAATACCGACAAAAAAGTTGTAAACATAGACTACAAAATACATCCACACACACTGATGATTTGCAGAATTTATTAGGAGAAATTTTAAAGGATGAAATACTAAAATTCAATGATGAAGTGGAATATTTAGGAGGTACGAGAGTTGCTCAAGACGATTTGGTGTCGAAATTCAGCGCATGCAACTTGGATTTCATCAATCTCAAAGATCAACTGAAAATTTCAATCAAAAGGAAAGAAGCATTACATGTGTTAGACTCCACATATCAAGGTTTTTTCGAAATCGTAGGCAACCTCATTCAGGGAAAGGATTTTTATCAAAACTTACTTGATAATATTGACGTGAAAATGAATCAGCTGGACAACTTCTTAGGTAAAAGATCTGAGTCGAGAAGATTTTTACAGGAAAAATTAGAGTCAAGTTATTAAACAACAATAATGTAATTATAATGAAAACTTGTATACCAGATTTACTTTTGAGCTTTTTAATAGCGGTCACTATCTGCGAAAACGTTAATTTTTGTACCCCATTTTGGATCGCAGACTCTTCTTGGAGATTCAACGCCAATCTTTTCGATGGCTTTAACCTCTTCGGCGGAGAGGTCAATGACTTCTACGTTTGAGGCAATTCTCTTCGGATTGACTGATTTTGGTAAGACCACCGTGTTCCTGGCAACTCCCCAGGAAAGAGCGATACATGCAGGTGCAACACCTTTTTTCTCAGCGATGGACTTGAGTGTTTCGTTTTCTAAAACTGGGGCACCTGTGGATCCCAATGGGGAGTAGCACTGGACAACAATGTTTTTCTCGGTGCAATACGTGAGAAGATCGTCCTGGGGCAAGCAAGGATGCATTTCAACTTGGTTGCATGCTGGGACAATAGTAATCTCGGGATCGTTTAGCAACTTTTCAATCTTAGGGATAGTGTAGTTTGAAATGCCAATGGCTTTGGTTAAACCCAATTCTATTAGCGGTTGCATGCCTTTGTATGTGTCAATGTAGTTCCACTCCTCAAAGGGTAAAACTTTGCGGAAACCATTCTCATCAGTGGGCATCAATTCATCACCAGGTGGTATTGCAACTGGCCAGTGCTGAAGATAGAGATCGACGTAGTTCAGGTTTAACCTTGCCAAAGATTCCTTCAAGGCTTTTTCTGGATGCTTGCAATCAATGCACCACAATTTAGTGGTGATAAATAGCTTTTCTCTTGGGGTTCCTGTTTCCTTGAGAAAATCGTTGATGGCCTTACCTACTGCTGCTTCGTTGCCGTAAATCCTAGCAGTATCGATGTGTGTGTAACCAGACTTCAATGCCGCCATGACGGCATCGTAGCACTCTTCATCTGTACTCTTCCAGGTTCCCAACCCGACAGCTGGGATTTGAGCTCCGGTGTTAAGCTTAAGAGTTTTGGAACAACTGTTTGAATCATGTTAGTATCATTGTCGGAGAAGTTATCGTCGCCGGATTTAATTTCTTTGAACTTACATCTTTGGAGCAGACATTTTTTTCGTGGGGCTAAAGAAAGCTTTTGATAATTCCGGGTTTAAATTATCCGATACCTTGTAAACCTTTAAGGGGCTTCCTTTCCATTTATAAGCGTTTGTATGCCTTCTCGGAATGTATGATCGGTTGCGATTTATCTCACCTCCCGGAGACCGGTGAGGTTACATATGTGGGCTGTGCTGCGCAAATTACCATTTGTGGAAATAACGAATCGATAATTAACCAATCTATGCGAGAAGACGATGATCAACCAAAATTGAAGACATGATGCCTACAATGAAGTCTCTTTGGTACAAGCAATAGTATTGCAGCTAAAAAATGCAAAGAGTTTTTTCAGGGCTCAATTATTTGAAGAAAAAAATCATTATCATACCTACGATATAAATAGTCATTCGTAATGGACTGAGTCAAGAAGAAATAGTTAAAGGAGAAGAGACAACAACTGGCAATTAAACCTAGTAATTGATTGGCTTATCAAAAACAGACATTGCGGCTTCTTTGAAAGCCTCCGATAATGTAGGATGAGCATGGCAGACTCTGTAAATGTCCTCACATGATGCTCCGTATTCGATCGCCAATCCTGCTTCTGCAATCATCTCGCCCGCATTGGGGCCTATAATATGGACACCCAAAACCTTTTGAGTTTCAGCATCAGCAATAAACTTAACAAAGCCTTCGGTGTCCATGTTGGTCTTTGCTCGAGAATTTGCAACAAACGGAAACTTACCGGTTTTGTATTTAACTCCTGCAGCTTTTAGTTCTTGTTCGTTTTTACCGGTCCACGCAACTTCAGGATGACTGTACATGACAGCAGGAATATTTTCATAGTTTACGTGGCCTGTTCCTAGTTTTATGTATTCTGCGGCGGCAATTCCTTCATCTTCAGCCTTGTGGGCCAACATAGCACCGAAAGTAACATCCCCGATACACCGGATGTGGGAGTATTTTGTCCGGTACTCGGGATCTATGACTACTCTCTTTTTTCTGTCAAACTCCAAACCAATTGCTTCTGCATTCAAGCCCAAAGAATATGGTCTTCTGCCAACAGCGACTAGTAGGACGTCCGACTGGATGTTTTGGACTTTTCCTGTTTCCACGTCTTCAAACTCAATGTCAACTTCGTCACCATTTCTGGTGGCCTTTCGGACCTGAGCACCTAACTGAAAGTTCAAGCCTTGCCTTTTGAGGAATTTCTGTGTAGCCGTTGCCACTTCCGCATCCATTCCGGCACCACCGATGGCGGCTTGAAATTCTACGATCGTAACTTGCGACCCTAACCTCGACCAAACAGAACCCATTTCCAAGCCGATTATCCCGCCTCCAATAATAGCCAATCTTTTAGGGGTCTCTGTTAGTGAAAGCACGCCTGTAGAGTCAACGATTCTCTCCTGGTCGATATCGACTCCCGGGAATGGAGAAGGCTCGGAGCCTGTTGCAATTATGATGTTCTTTGCTTCAATTACGGTTTCTTCACCGCCGTCAATGGGGTCCACTTTCACATTGTGTTCATCAACAAATGAACCGTTTCCCTTATAATAAGTGACACCGTATTTCCTGAATAAGATCTCAACACCCCCAGTCAATTGCTTCACGATAGCATCCTTGGCTTTCATCAAGTTAACCAAGTTTGGCTTCACCTTGCCTTGGATGTCAATGCCTCGTTTAGCAGACTCGGTTTTTACTTGGTGGTACAGGTGAGAGTTGTTCAACAAAGCCTTAGATGGAATGCATCCGACGTTGAGACAAGTGCCTCCGAGACTGCCCCTCTTCTCGATGCATGCGGTGTCAAGACCCAGTTGGGCAGCCCTGATGGCAGCAAAGTATCCTCCGGGTCCCCCACCAATAACGACCACCTCATGCTTTTTCGTGCACGATGGTCTTCTCGTAGTGAAGGAAAAAAGCCTGATATGTGTCTGCTTCAGCATTGCAGGATGCGTGGATTGTTCTTTGAAGTACAGCAGAGGATCCAGCACAGAATATACAAGTACAACAAAGCAAAACCAATTAATGGAGGGCTGCTTCGAGAAAGATGCCAGAGGAAATGGTAAAATGGTACTGATATTTCTCCGACCCGTTCCCAGATTATCCGGCTGAAATAGCTGAGTGTCGTATATCGTACCCGGCGAACATAGCACAATACCTTGCACTCCTCTCGACTTCCAGCGGCTACAACAGCGCTACCGGAAGCAAGCGTTCCGTACAGCCGTTTATAGTTTTGATACTTCTTTCTAACTCACATGGCCTCCCAGAGGCATACAGCTGTGCTAATGGACACCTTCACCTGGAGTCGGAGTCCTAGGACGACGACACACTCCCGGAGAATAAGGTGTCCGACGTTTGTCAGCAGAGAGGCGGGCACAGTTTTACGTAAGTCGGACCAGTTCTCTTGTGGGTCTCTGTATCAATAATCTTCAATGTTGAACTGCATTACAAGTGTCCTATAGAAACTATATAGATCTAAAGCTTGGCACTGTCGCCAAAGATGTCGACACCCCATTCTGGCTTGACGAGACGCTTTGCGGTGGTCTTGGAGACGGCGTCGACGAGGGAGATGTCCTCGTCAGCCAAGTCAACAACCTTGAGGTTGGACACAATTCTCTCCTCGTGGACAGACTTAGGTAGCGGGATGGTGTCTCTGGCAACAGCCCAAGAGATGGCGATGCATGCTGGAGAAACGCCGTACTTTTCGCCGAGTTTAATCAAGGCAGGGTCCTTCAATAGTGGGGCGCCGGTGGAGCCGAGCGGGGAGTAGCACTCGACCAAGATCCCCTTCTTGGTGCAGTAGTCGACCAAGTCGAACTGTGGGAGGTAAGGGTGGATCTCGACCTGGAGGCATGCTGGGACGACGTCGACGCCGGACTGAGCCAAGAGGTAGTCGATCTTTGGGATGTTGAAGTTGGAGATACCAATGGCCTTAGTCAAACCCGCCTTGTACAACTTCTGCATGATCTTGTAAGTCTCGACGTAGTTCCATTTGTCAAAAGGGATGATCTCGGTAGTGCCGCTGGCGGTCTTTGGGAAGAGATCGCCTCTGTTCACCATAGAGACAGGCCAGTGCATCAAGTATAAGTCCACGTATTCGAGATTCAATCTCTCCAACGACTCTTTGAGTGCCTTCTCCGGGTCCTGGACCTCGGAGCACCAAAGCTTCGTGGTGATGAACAGCTTGTCTCTGGAAGTGCCGGACTCCTTCAAGTACTGTGCAACGGCTTTGCCCACGGCCTCCTCGTTCTGATAGATTCTCGCAGTGTCGATGTGTCTGTACCCTGCGTGCAACGCAGAAAGAACGGCGCTGTAGCACTCCTCATCTGGAGATTGCCAGGTGCCCAACCCAATTACTGGGATTGTTGCGCCTGTGTTGAGCTTCAAGGTCTTAGTGGAGCTGCAATAAGAAAACACGTCTGTCTGTTAGTATCTATCGCCTTCGGTCTCTTATCTCGCCGACACGCGGGGGCATTCCCTGACTCTTCTGCACGGTACGTACATTTTTGCTGCTGCTGCCATGTTGTTACGCGATGTATCTGTCTGTTTGATCTAGTTTATACTAATGCAATGCCTATAGAGTGTTAATTGAAGCTGTTACGAGAAAAGGAAGAAGTTCCAGAAACCTTCCTGGGGACGGCGGCAGGCCTACAGCGCCGGGCCTTGTCCCTCGCCGGCGGGCCTCACCTGGCGCCACACTTTCCTCAGAGCGTCCTTGAGCTGGAGGTCCGAACAATTGTACATGGAGGTGATATGTCGAAAGAGGGTCTCGAGGAGGAAAGGATCTTTAGGAGGAGGGGTATGATTGTGGCCGTGGCCGTGGCCGTGCCTCTCTCTGTAGGTGTCGAGGAGCATGGCTGTGTGTTGCTCGAACTGCTGAGCGGGCGGCAGCGGGGTGTGGGCGTAGTCGTCGTGTGCGGCAACAAGCTCCTTGTCGAAGAGTTCCTGGGTCGACTTGACGATCTGGAGCTTGTTCCGGTCCTTGTACTCGTTGTTGGAGGCGACGTTGGAGGAGCTGATGCTCGGAAGCACGTTGGTGTCGTAGAAGTCGACGAACTCGTCGACCTGGGCGTCGCTCCACCGATAGAGGTCTTCGAAGGAGGAGTTGAAGAAGAGCTTCTTCTTGAAGTCGACAAAACTGGGGCTCCGTGCACCGCTGGCAGTGTTCTTGGCGAGACGCAGGTACCAGTCGGCGTACTCGTTCTCGGGGTTGTTGGCGAAGTAGACGTCGGCGAAGATGATGAGCAGGGCCATCAACTGCAGCTCGGGGTGTATGCGGGTCTCGGGCAGGCGGTGGAAGGCAAAGTCGAGGCCAAGAAGGTCCACGCAGTTCTTGACAAGCTTGACGACGCCGAGCGGGAGGAAGAGATTGAGGACGACGCGGACCAAGAGCGGGAAGTAGTTCAGACGGGACTCGGTGACGTGGGCTGCGATGTACTGCGACGCAAAGCGCCCGTTGAGCCGCTTGAGGTAGTTGTAGAGCGTGTGGCCGTGGAAGGTGCTCACCTGCGAGATGGGGATCTGGATGCGCAGGTCACGCGGGAGGCAGTACTCGGCCCGCTCGAGGTGGAAGCTCTTGTCGAACGTCGCAGCGATGTAGTCGCAGAGGTAGAGCGGCACGTTCAGCTGCAGGGCGGCAAGGTAGTTGACGACGCTGAGGTGCCCGATGTCGTACGCCCTGTGTTTCGTGTCCAGCCGTCGGTTCAGCGAGCTGTCGAGCAGCTGCACCCAGATCAACTTCACCACGGATGTGTACAGCCGCCGCTGCTCGCTGTTCAGCGCCAGCTGCTGCGCCAGAAACCTCGTGTTCTTCGCTAGGATCATCTGGAAACACCGTGCCTGAAGCCGCTTGAAGTCGTCTCCGTACTTGCGGGTCTCCACCTTGTCGGACGACAACCGGTTCACCCGGTTCCGCATCGCCTGCGACGACGTCAGCCCCGCCACGTTCACCAACCGCCGGCTGAAATCTGGTCCGCCGCCTCCTCCGGCCCCGCCGGCACCTCCTCCGACGTTCATCATCTCGTCGTCGTCGTCGATCTCGATGTCGAACTGGTTCACATGGCCGTACTGGCACACGTTCTGGCCGTTCACTCGCTTCCACAGCCGCGACGGACAGTTGTCCACCCCACACACCTGGCCACGCACATATCTGGCCATATTCTATTTCCTGTTGGCTGGAGAGCTGGCTGCTGTGGCCCGTCAGAGCCCCGAAAACCGGTAACAAACAGCCCTAGAAACCTTCTAGTTGAAAGAAAATATTTCTGAAAATAATCATCAAGTAGAAAAATTCGAGAAAATGAGAAAATGGACAGGCTTGATAAGCTTCTTCCCTCTGGTTTGGGGGGAATGCAAGACTTCTGGGCGGAAACCTGGCCGGGGGCTTTGCTGACCTGTTGTGTACCCACCGTGCTGACACCCTACAGCTTACTCCGACCTGTCTCTGTCCCAGTAGAAGCCGCCCGCAAAAACAATACGGCAAAGAAAGCATGGACGTCGCCCTGTCACGTGCGGGAAAAACGTCGTTAACTTTTCTCTGTTTATAGAATCTGCGTGACACAGGCATGTGGGAGGTATGAGCCAACTTGGCTGGATGGCTCCCCGGCGTAGCACGAGTTGAGTGTTGCGAAGACAGGACACGGACAACAGAGCGGACACTGAAGGCAGATAATGAGCGTGGCGGCTGAGACAGAAAGCACGGAGGGAGATGGCGAACAGGGTCTCCGGGACAAAGAGCCTGGCGCAGTAGAAGAGGGAACAAGACAGACACACACAGAGACGGAGAGAGGGGCGGGGAGAGAGGCGGAGAACGGCAAGAAGAAGACGTTGTATGACAACGCGTACGATACGGAGGACATGAACACGATATTCAGCGAGGAGAAGCAGTTCCACGGCATCATGAAGAAGTACTGGAACCAGCGACATGACTTGTTCAGCAGGTACGACGACGGGGTGTTGTTGACGAAGGAGTTGTGGTTCAGCGTGACGCCGGAGGTGATCTCGAGGTTCACCGCGAGGGTGGTGCAGCATGTGTTCGAGAGCAAGAACGAGCCGATCTTTGTGATGGACGCGTTTGCCGGGGGCGGGGGCAACGTAAACCTGTTTCTCGAGTACTTCGACGTGGTGTTTGCCGTGGACATCAACCACATCCACCTCCACTGCACGAAGAACAACGCAGCGGTCTACTTCCCGGCGGAGAAGCTGTGCACGCAGTTGAAGCTGCTTCCGCTGAACTGGGTGTACGCGGACGAGACGCTCGCCGAGCATTACGTGGACGAGCACTTCGAGTCCGTGCAGGAGACGAGCGAGCTGGTCGACCATGTCTACGCCAACAAGGAGGAGTCGCAGGAGAGCCTCGACATCCTCAAGGACGTGCGCTTGGACTGCATCTTTGGCTCGCCGCCGTGGGGCGGGCCCGAGTACATCCGAGACAAGTACTACAACCTCAACAACATCCTTCCCTACCCGCTCGAGAAGCTGCTCTCCATTTTCCTGCGCTACACCGACAATGTGTGTCTCTTCCTCCCGAAGAACTCCAACCTCGTGCAGATCCAGAAGATCACCCAGACCCTCTTCCACGACGAGAAGTACGTGCGAGTGCTGCGCATGAGTGTCCACGGCCGACAGAAGGGCCTGCTCTGCTGCTGGGGGCCGGCTTTTGTCGACTTCGACTTGCAGGACGTGGAGCTGTGAGTGTAGACAGCACAGCTGGCGCACCCGGCCCAACGCTGCGCAACATCCACTGTATACGAATTACTATAGATAGACGGCGACCGTTCGTCGGCCCGTTCCCCGGCCACCGGCCGAAAAGACAAACACAGAAACCGCATCTTCTACACCATGCCGCCTGCAGTCCTACCGGGTCCTGCTGGGCCCTCTCCGGGCTTTCTGCCTAGCCCGAGGATGTCCAGGAAGTCGAGGACGAAGACCTCTTCGGCCCCTCCCATGTCATTCGCTATCAGCCGCTATCGCTATCGCTCGCTATCTCGCTATCGGGCGATCTTGGCGATCTTCGCTCACTATCGACGGGGGGTGGGAGAGAGGGAGGCCTGGCAGCTGGATTTGACACAGGGATGAGGAAGAGAAGACGTCTTCCGTGGTGGAGGTTGTAGGGGCAGTCCAAAGGTCCAAGAAGCACTCGACAAGCAAGGAACGGAGCTGGTGTTGCGATGGACACTCTGATGCGTGGGTTGGCGCTACGGAAGGAGACAGTGCAGCTGTTTTCCCAGCTGTCCGGGCTGAGCGGCTACCTGTCGATATCGTTCTGGCTCTTTGCACAGATCCCACAGGTGATCAAGAACCACACAGACAAGTCCGTGGACGGGTTCTCCCTTGGCTTCCTGTTGTGCTGGTTTGCCGGTGACTTTCTCAACCTGGTGAGCTGCCTGCTCAACGACGCCATGGCGTTCCAGATCTTGTTGAGCGGGTACTACTGCGCCATCGACCTTGTGCTTGCGTTCCAATACTACTACTACAAGCGGATGTACCACAACCCGGAGTCAAGATGGTACCACCCGCCGCGCAGAAGAGGCAAACACGCCCGCAGTCCGCGGACGAGCTTGAGAGACAACCTCGAGACATACGGATCCATCGACACAGAGATGATGATCGACCAGCGGATGCTGCAGCAACAGCAGCCACAAGGACAGCGGACTGTACGGACGTTGGCATCGCCAGGACTCAAAGCTACCCCACGAAACCACGTGAAGGGTGTATTCAAGAAACAAAATGCCGGAATATCGAAGCTGGTGACGTCTGCGCTCATCAGCGGGTTCACTAAAGTGCAGGGACTGCCCATAGTACAGCAATACATAGACACAGAGCTGGTACGGCAGCAACAATCGCCGGGAATTTTGGACGGTGGGAAGGAAAACAACTCTGTCATCTATAGAATAGTCCAGTACCTCCTGACCATGGACAGCTACAAGCTGGGGAAGATTCTCGCTTGGGCGTGCACGGCGCTCTACTTGGTCTCAAGGATACCGCAGATCTACACAAACTACAAGCTGCAGTCGACGAGGGGCATCTCGTTGAAGTTGATCTGCTTTGCGCTCTGCGGGAACTTCTTCTACTCGGCGTCTCTTCTTCTGAGCGAGAACTCGACCGTCGGCGGCGATGTGTCCCGGGAGTTCTGGAAGGCCGAGCTCAGCTACTTGATTGGGGCGGTTGGCACGGTGGTTTTCGACTGCTCGGTGCTTGTCCAGTGGTACTTCTACGACTTCCGCAGCAGCTACCGCAGGACGAAGAGCGGCAAGTTGCGGCTGATCTCGCCCACACTGGACGCCGGCCACCAGCGGCACATGCACAGCTTAGAAAACGGCGGCCAGGATGCGGCGAATGCGGCGAAGATGATTTCGATCAACGGCAGACGGTCGACGACGGACCCGATCAGCGTGAGCGCCAGCGTCAAGTCGACGTTGTCGCCGAGCCACATGAAGAAGATCAGCGAGTTCACGCCGTTGTCGCCAATGGACTTTCTTCTCGACGACTACATGGCGAGCCAGACGGCGAACAAGGCGGCGGGCCACACTCCGAGCCGGACGCCGAGCCAGACGGAGAACGTGCTGAGCCAGACGAAGAAGAGCGCCCGGTCGAGCATCCACACGGCGCTTGCGCCGGCGAAGAAGCCGAAGGGCAGCGACAAGGGCGGCGCCCCGGGCAGCGACACCAGCGGCGGTGCCGACCAGCAGCGACCTGTGCCAAACGCCGACGAGGACCTCAACATGTCCATGGACGAGGAGGACGCGGAGTAGAGTAGCATAATTTTTTCACTCCCTAGATCGATTAACCAGTAAATATACCATTTTTTTTCCTATCTGTATCTCAGTTACATAAGCCTATAGAGGGGGGACGGTGTGCCGACGCCGGGCTCGCCATCAACATGCGCATGCGGTCTGTCTCGCGGAGGAGGCGACGTCTGCACAGTGGCCGCAGCCGCAGGCGCCTGGACACACGCACTTCGGTGTGGGACACACGCACACCGACTTGTCGTCGGCGCACGAGCTGCACTTGCACCCGTTCTCGCACTGGCACTTCTTGGCGCACGAGCACTGCGAGATCTCCTTGGCAGGCTGCGAGCAGCCGCACGAGTCTGTCTGTGGGGATTGTGGTTCAACAACGTTTTTGGTAGAGGAGCATCCGCAAGCCATTTTTTCTTGTGTGTGTGAATATATCTTTGTTTGTCTGAAGTGTTTCTTGTCTAGTGAGTCTAGCGAGAACACTCCGAGAACACTCCGAGACTACACAGAACGACCAGACAGAACAGCCCCAGACAACGGGCACGGGGCTCCTTTTATAATGTGTCAAATACGTCAACGCTCAGATCCACCCCACAACGCAAAAAGGACGCAGCGCGTCACGGTTCTCCGCCAACGGTCTTTCCCCGGGGTTTTAGCCCAGGCGAAAACCACGCTGGGGGCAAAAACCCCGTGGCGAAAACCTCGCAGAGCCCTGTGTGGCGGTGCCCGTGGCGGTGCCCGTGGCGGTGCCCGTGGCGGTGCGTTCTGGGTCGATCGACTTGTTTTCTCTTTTTACACCCGTGCACCGTTTCCGGCACCGCCACCGCCACGTGCACCGCCACGCCAGAAATGCTCAGCGCTTACCCGCCTCTCTCGCTGCCTGCCCCGTTTGCCCTCCGGCCTTATCGAGGAGGCGGCTCTGTGGCTGGGACAGCCGGGTGGCCCATTTTGGCCCAATGCGGGCGGAGCAGCGCCTGAAGCTGTCAAGCCTCCCCGGCCCGGGTCTGCCTTGGCTGGGTGAGTGGGTGCGCAGCGTGCTCTGCTCAGCTCAAGCGCTGAGCTTATCTGGAGTTGCCTTGCTCAGCAGCTCTCAGACTTCTTTTGCCTCCGGTGCTTCTCCTGGCTTGTGGTGTCTCTGCTCTTACACAACCCTTCTCTACCCTACTGCAGCCCCACAGCACGGTAATAGCAACAGCAGCAGCAACCCGCAACCCACCCCCAGCCCAATTCGCCCGCCATGAACTTTAAATCGTCGGTCCTGACCTCGTTGGTCTTGATGCTTGCGTCCTTGCAGGGCGCAGACGCCAAGGTGCACAGCGCCAAGATCCACAAGCACCCGCTCGAGGAGAGCTTGAAGGACGTGTCGTTCGTGGACTACGTCGACTCCATCAAGGGCAAGTACATGAAGAACTTTGTGAGCAGCGTGAACGCACCCTACGTCCCCTTTGTCGAAACCATCATGGACGAGGAACTCGAGCACATCGAGAAGACGCACGACCTTCCCTTGACCAACTACTTGAACGCACAGTACTTCACGGAGATCCAGATCGGGACCCCGGGCCAGACGTTCAAGGTGATCTTGGACACCGGCTCGTCGAACTTGTGGGTGCCTAGCGCAGAGTGCTCGTCGTTGGCGTGCTACCTCCACGAGAAGTACGACCACGACTCGTCCTCCACGTACAAGAAGAACGGCACCGAGTTTGCCATCAGATACGGCTCAGGCTCCCTCGAGGGCTTTGTCTCCCAGGACTTGCTCACCTTCGGCGATTTGGTCATCCCCAAGCAGGACTTCGCCGAGGCCACCAGCGAGCCGGGCTTGGCGTTCGCCTTCGGCAAGTTCGACGGTATCTTGGGCTTGGCCTACGACACCATCTCCGTCGACAAGATTGTTCCCCCAATCTACAACGCCATAAGCCAGGGCTTGTTGGACGCTCCACAGTTCTCCTTCTACCTCGGCGACACCGCCAAGTCCGAGGAGGATGGCGGTGTTTGCTCCATCGGAGGTTACGACAAGACCAAGTTCCACGGCGAAATCACCTGGTTGCCTGTCAGAAGAAAGGCCTACTGGGAAGTCAAGTTCGACGGTATCGGTTTGGGTGACGAATACGCCGTCTTGGAAGGCCACGGCGCAGCCATCGACACGGGTACTTCCTTGATTGCCCTTCCTTCCCAATTGGCCGAAATCTTGAACGCCCAAATCGGCGCAGAAAAGTCTTGGAACGGCCAGTACACCATCGACTGTGCTGCTAGAGAAAATTTGCCAGATTTGACCTTCACCTTTGACGGATACAACTTCACCATAACTCCTTACGACTACACTTTGGAAGTCTCCGGTAGCTGTATCTCTGCCTTCACCCCAATGGACTTCCCAGACCCAATCGGGCCTTTGGCCATTATCGGTGACGCTTTCCTCAGAAAGTACTACTCCATCTACGACCTAGGAAAGGACGCAGTTGGATTGGCAAAGACAATCTAATCGTTTATCATGGCAACTCCATGAAGGACTTTCGTTTTATCAAAGAAAGATTCAGAGATTTTCGCACACAATAAAGTAAAAAAAAAAATATAGGGCTAATCTCTTACTCAAAACAACTCACATAGATCTATCTATATTTTTAAAGGTGCCTAGCGCATACGGTCAAGCAATTTTGTTCAATTAACACAAAAAGGGAAAAATTAATATGAATAGATGAAGAAATCAAAAAAAAAATTAAGAGTAGAGAGGGTCATCTTATCTTATCTTACCTTCATCTTACTCATGGGTTATTGTTATTACTAATTATGTGTATATATTTATCTAAGTCTATACATTAAAATTTTTATGTTATTTAAACAACACTACACTTTCCGCACACTAATCACTCACCCCGTTATCATGAACGTCATACATTGACTCGCTTGTTTGGATGCTCCGCAATCGACTCCACTGGCTTACGTTTCCTTTGCATGACATGCACCTCAACTTGTTTGAGCCCCTCTTTCAGTTTCGTCTCAAACAGTTTCCTGTCGCTCTCATCAATCGTCACACGCTTCCTCTCCAAATTCGAAGTAACATCGTCGATATACAACCCAGTCGTGTCAACGATCCGTATAAGATACTTCAACTCGGAGTCGTGTTTCTTGTCGACGAACAACGACAGAACATCACAGTCCCGTAGCTTAATCTTCTTCCCCTTTCCTATCTTCATGCCATTGACATAGCAGGTATTCGTGCTGAAGTCTAGCAACCATACATCGTCGAGACCCATTGCCGGCGACGAGTAAATTCCGTTTTCGTCAAAGCCATTGTTCTCTAGGTTGTAGGGCGTATTGACAATTGAATTCGACGAGGTGCCACTGCTGGTATCCTTTGTTGGGTGTCTACGCTTAACAATCATGCAATGGATCTTGGAAATACGTTCATCGTTCATCTGGACGTTTAAATTGTCCAATCGACCGATATAAAATGCAGGCGTCCCTTGTGGTATGTATATGGTTGATAGCTTTGTCTTGAGAGACCCAGGCTGGATAATCGAAAGTGACATAAATGTTGCTGGAGGCGGTTTCGGCTGCGACTTTATTTTCGATTGGGAATGTGATTGTGATTGTGACTTAGATCGTGCCTGGAGTAGCATGGATTGGCTAGATGGTGAAGAAGTTCCTTTTTGTTGTGGGGTATTCGGCTTGGAAGAAGCCTCGTCCTCAAAGTTTTTATAGTCCATGTCCTGACGTTCCGTTAATGACGATAGTGCATGGGAGTTCTCAATCTGGCTTGTAGAGGCCCCCATAAAATTCATGGAGTCTTCATGCATATTTCTGTCCTTAGGTATTTGCGGAATCTTAAAATCCTTCATGAACTTCCCTCGTGTATTGTTGCTCTTTTTGTTATCAGTATCGTTTTGTTCTAATTTTTTGGGTATTTGCTTACCTACATTTCTTTGGCTTTGTGAAAGATGCTGGGAAAGACTGACTTGGGACGGAAAATCAATGGTTTCGTTGAACCAGGGGTGTTGTAGAGCTTGTGCTGCATTTAGTCTAAGGGCAACATCAACTTCAAGAAGCCTGCTGATGAAATCACAACCTTCAATTGAAATGTCCATACTTCTCAAAAGCTTGTCATGATAATCCCCGTTTGTTATATGCTTGAATAAAATATCTTGTGTTGACCCACTGAAAGGTAAATGTGCCGTCATGATAACAAACAGCAAGCATCCGATGGACCACATATCCACTTTATTTGAATACAAATCTTCGGTAATACGGCCATTTCCAAGGTATCTCTTTCGGTTATTCGATTGCTTCTTCTTATTGGAAATCACTTCCGGGGCAAGATATGCTAATGTACCACAAAAGGTTTTCATTCTGCTCTCTTGCTCCTGACTCTTAGCTAAACCGAAATCAGTTATCTTCACAACAACAGGATCATCCTGAGCAATCATAATATTATCAGGTTTCAAATCACGATGTGATATTCCCTTTGAATGAACGTAAAGTATAGCCTCCATGATTTGTCTAGCAATCTCACGACTTGCACTCTCATCGATTGCTCCATTGCATGCTACAAAATCCATCAAGTCTCCTCCTGAAATATATTCCATCACAAGATAATAATTGTCATCGTCTTCGTAGAAAGCTTTCAGCCTGACAATTCCCGGATGATCTAGCTTTTTAAGAATCTGAAGTTCCCTTGAAACTCCATCCATTCCTCCAAGCGCTTTTTTCTTGGATATTATTTTAGCTGCAAATGTAATTCCAGTTGATCTTTCTATGGCTTTCTTCACGGTAGCAAATGCACCTGAACCCACTATCTCATCTCTTATTATGAAATCTTTATGGACACCTTTATCTTCTAATGATAGTGCCTTCAATGAGCCGTTCTCGTCCATCATTTTTGTTAACATCACATTCGGCAAATGGACTACAAATCTTGCAACATCCTTTTCAATGCCAATGCCAATGGCAATTTCGTCACCTTGAGTAAGAATGTAATTTCGTCCTTGGACTAGCTTCGAGTTATTCAGCCAGGTTCCATTAGTTGACAGATCTTGAATCATCAAATTATTTTCTTGCCTGCTCGATCCGGTACCGTTATTTTGGTTGTTATCGTTATCTATATTCATCCAAAGCTTAAAATGTTTATTACTAATCCTGGTACTTTGTACGGGTAAAAGATATGTACATGTATGAGAATTTCTTCCAAAAATCCATTCTTGCTTAAGGTTCGATATCACTTCATTATTATTATGATTGCTGGTATTATTATTGTCAGTACTGACGCGTATTTTATTACCGTCTTTACTCTTTACGTCGATGTGGAAAGTTTCATCAAAGGTACGTCCAATTAGACGGCATAGCACCCCTTGTCTCACCAATTCATGACCCAAGGGATCGGTTAAAGGATTGTAGCTACTAGGTTGCGTAGGCTGAGTGGTTGTGTCGGGCAATTTTTTGGTTTCTGTTTCATTATTCGGCTGATTTGGCGGTTTAACTTTGTTCATGAATTCTTCTTGATTTTGAATAAAGCTTTCTTGTCCGAAAACAGAATTTCGGATTTCTTTCAAAGGCGCAGATATTATGTTTGTTCTGTATCCAGGTCTCTCAGCCATTCCTGGGCTCAAAAGAGATTTTCACTGCTTTTAAAAACGGTCAGATCACATTTCCATTTAATTTTCTTTTTAGGCCTTCTCGAGAATTCCGATGTACTTGGTTTTCCCCTTTTTTTTCTTCATTACGCGTGTCACCTAATGGCGCAGTAAGATACTTTTACTTGTGGCGCATTATCTTGGAGATGAAAAAAAAAATCGGAAATTTTCCAAAAAATTCATTCTTTGCTTAAAAGAGAAAGTAAAAAAGGAACCAGATAAAGAAGATCAGTAGAATTGCAGAACGCAAAGCCATAAAGTCATACATCGTTCAATATGTCAGATACGGTTGAAGGAAGCAAAAGAGCTTTTGATGAAGAATCTGTGAAGCAAGAGGCTGCGAAAAAACAAAAGATTTTTTATCCTGATGATCTACTAGATGAATGCAAGATTGGAATCACAGAAGAAGATGTTGGTATCACCGAGTTCCTTTGCCATAAAAACTCCAGTACTAGAATTAATGGAACACTAAAGCAAAGATATACTGATTTCTTGGTTAACGAAATTGATGTGGATGGTAACGTGGTCCATTTAACTGACCTTGGATTCAAAGCGAAGGAACTAACTGAAGAAGAGAAGAAGATTTTAGAGGAGCAACAGCGTAGATTAGCCGAAAAAGAAAGATCATGCACCATCCCTGACGATGACCGGGTCAAATTAAGCGAATATTTTGCCGAAGCTGACATAAACGCAATCGTCGGCTTGATGGCAGACAGTGCCAAAACTGTTGAAGTTAGCAAAGTTTTTGACGACAAAGAAGAAAGAACCAAGGTACATAGGTTGATCCGCGAGATATTCAACAATCGTATTGAATCTGTTACCACTTCGAGTAATACTTTCATATTTGGACACAATGCAAACAAAAACCGTAGAAGAAAGAACAAGCAAATAAATAACACTATTCACCATGATCTAGGTGAACGTAAAGACTTTTTACATTTTGCTTTGTACAAAGAAAATAAGGAGACCATGGAAGTCGCAAGTATCTTGGCAAAATTCTTGAAAACACAGGTCAAAAGTGTTAAGTATGCTGGTACAAAGGATAGAAGAGGTGTCACGGTGCAAAAGATGTCGATTGAAAAATTCTCGGTCGAGAGAGTGACAACATTGAATAAAGCACTAAAAGGCTGTAAGTTGGGGTGTTTTGAATATAAGGACTCTCCAATGAAATTGGGTGATTTGAAAGGTAACGAGTTTATCATCACAATCAAAGATGTTGAGAGCGTTGATCCTAATATTTCTGTTGAGGATGCCTTGATCCCAATCTTGAATTCATTAAAAGAAATTGGATTCATCAACTACTTTGGTATGCAAAGATTCGGAACATTCTCAATTTCCACGCATGAGATCGGTAAGGAAATCTTGAAAGGGAATTGGAAAAATGCAGGAGAATTGATTTTAGGAGAGCAAAAGGTAGTAATTCCGGGTTCCATTGAAGCAAGAAAGATCTGGGCAGAAACAAGAGATGCTTCATCTGCGTTGAAGAAGATGCCAAGAAAATGTAGTGCCGAATACTCCATTTTGAGTAGACTTGAAAGAAGTCAGAAAGACGAGAATGGAGAGTTTGATGAAAACGCTTATTTTAATGCCATCATGGGTATACCTAGAAATTTGAGAATCATGTATGGTCATGCGTATCAGTCTTTTGTTTGGAATTGTGTTGCATCGAAGAGAATACAGCTTTATGGGTTGAACGTTGTTGCAGGAGACTTGGTGCTATGCAGCAATGAGAAGATTATGGATGAATTCAACAAAGAGCTAGAGAATAAGTTTGTTGATAACGACGATAGTGTCATACAGGATTTGAAAGAAAGTCATGGATTGAAGGCTAGACCAATAACGCAAGCCGAAGTCGACGCAAAGAAATTTGATATCTATGATGTTGTTTTACCAACTCCAGGATACGATGTAATTTATCCTCAAGAGGAGGCGTTGAAAAATGTTTATGTTGAGGTCATGGCTAGGGATGGATTGGATCCTTTTGGTATGACACGTAAGGTTAGGGAGTTTTCCCTGGCAGGTTCATACAGACAGCTGATCTCCAAAATTGATAACCTCGAGTACCATTTTAGAAAGTACAACGAAGTTTCCGATCAACTAGTACGTACAGATAAGGAGATCTTGACCCTAAAGGAGGAGGCAGAAAACAAGGATGCCGTAATCAAGCAGATTCTAGATGGTGTTCCTGATGGTGAAAAAATCGCTGTCATCTTGAAGATGCAACTAGGTGTATCTACCTATGCTACTATGGCTCTTAGAGAGATTCTACAAGGTGACACTTCTCGTTTTGGAGGAATTGTTAATTTGCAAAAGAAACAGAACTAGACGGGTCTATCGGCCCATTGGCCCCTTTTGAGGGAAGTGGGCACATGAAAATTACCAACGTGGAATGTTATTTATTTCCGTTTTCGGACATTGCTGATGTTCCCCATGTATAGTAGTAACTTCACAAACTGAAACGGTGTCTTTTCGACTCTCCATTTAGGTTGGTATATATATAGAGATATATAAAAGTTTACGGTCCATTATATTGCGATTGCTCTTTAAGTCCAGTTCTCGGACGATTCTTTGCTTCAACAAATAAAAACATACCTTGTTCAAAAGCCGGGGGTTCACAGTACACATTGCTGTAAAGAGAAGAAATAAATTAGAAAAGAAACATACACACGATATCATGTTCCATCATACTTTGGGAGTTCCAAAGCCCAGGAATGACGAAGAACGGGCGTATTCCATTCGTGGACGCCAACCCAACATCAAATCTCAGCGAACTGCTGTTGGTGGGGCGTTGTGTGATACTAATTTGATTCCAACAGACAACACGACCAATTCGAATCCAAAGGCTCAGAAGGAAGAGAGATACAGTTTGAGGAAACTCGCCAGAAACTTACTCTTCAATACCGAACAGGCCCAAGAATTCAAAGATGGTTATGGGTACGATGCGGCAGAATACCAGTTCAACAATGGGAGCTATCCCTATGATACTCACCACAACTATGGCAAGGTGCACTTAGACGGTATGCATTGGAAAAATCAAGGTTATAACGATGAATATGAAGACAATGTGAATCAGAAAATACTGGCAGAAGATTACACTTCCAGAGTGGCCAACAATTATGTACAGCCGGTATCCCGTGACCGGGAGTATACGAACCATGTGAACAGTAAAGCATTACAGAAAAACGAGAGTATAGTCAATGGTAGTGAAGTAGCCGCTAAGATAGCAGACAACAATCAGGATTTCAAAATTGTTGCCATCACGAGCATCCCCAAGAAGATGAGTGTTTCTGCCCTCCTCACACAGATCTACGGAGGCCCATTGGAGAAGATCGACTTGGTGAGGAAAGACAATTACCAATTCTACAATGACGAGAGCTTGTACAAATTGAACCAACCGGTGAACTGGAGTGAGGTGTCCATCTTTCTCCATTTCAACAAAAACGAAGACGCAAAAAGCTTCTACCAGTACTCCAAGTCCGGCCTATTCCGGGTGAACGATGTCCATCTAAAGACGGTTTGGATCCCGAACTTGGGCGAAGAGAGGCTGTATGAGGACGATGAGGACGAGACCCAAAGCCGCGAGGAGAGTCTTTTAGTGTCCAGCTTGATGACGGGGGAGGAGAAGGCGAGACGAGTGTTGGTGTTCAAGCGGCCAATCTTCGACAAGAAGTCGAAGCTGGAGAAGAAGAAGCCTGGGTACCCGGACCCGACGATCAACTACAGCGAGGACTTCGACATCGAGGAGATCAAAAAGGACTTTGGGGACTACGGCAAGTTGGTTGAGATATTGCCCGTTGTTTCGAGGAAGCTCTGTTTCGGGGTGCAGTACTACGACGTGCGGTCTGCCATCCGGGTGAAGAACGTCATCCAGCGGGGCGGGCACGGGCTGGACGGCGACGAGCTCAATGACCAGGACCTCGAGCTGAGACGCAAGTACAACGGGTGGTACGTGTGGTACGGCAAGGATCCTGCAGACCGGGCCGTTCCGAGCTAGACCCCACAATTCGCGGGGCGAGGGGTGGGGCGGACAAAGGCCGAGGAGATCTTTTTTTTTCAGTGGAGATTCCGCCCCAACCTCGCTTGACGCATTTATATATATATATATCCGTCGACCCAGTTGCATGTGTGCATATGTACCCGTGTAGGTGTGTATGTGTGAGTGTAGGCTGGTCAAATACAATTACAAACACAAGAACAAGCACAGGCGCAGGATCCAGACCCAGATCCACTAGCAGGGACATGATTTTTCCAGTGCACACAGCTACAAGAAACGTGGGCGTGGGCGTGGGCGTGGGCGTGAGGTCTGCGCAACGCCCGGCCCCCAGGGCCGCCGTGTGGGCCAGGCGCTGCTACAGCGCCGACAACGTCCACAGCAAAGCGGACAACGACTACTTGCTGCTGCAGGCCATACGGGGCGACGCTGCCGCCAGGGCGCCGGACCGAGACGATCTTCTCAACAGCCCGACCACGCTTCCCCGCTACGACTTGCTCAAGACCGTGGGCCAGATCCGCCGCGAGCTGCTTGCCGGCCGCCCGGGCCCCTCGCCCGCCCGCGCCTACGACGGCCTGGTGGTGCAGTACCGCCGGGCGAGAAACGTGTTCCGCTTCTTCAAGGAGGGACTTCTGAACGTGTGGCGGGTGCACCGGGCGTTGCGGCGCGGGCTTTTCAGCGGCCGCCGGTACGTGGTGGACTACTCCGAGGCGGGCGGCGGGCGGGTCGCGGTGCAGCGGGGCGACTTTGGGCGGGTGGTGGACGAGCTCAGCGGGCGCGTGGCGCTCCTAAAGATCGAGTACGACGCCGGGCGGCGGACCGCGGCCGGTTTTCTGGGGCGGCCGCGGCCGGAGCTTCTGTTGAGCCGGCGCGAGTTTGTGGAGATGGTGCGGGACCGGGCGAACTTCGTGAAGTTGCCGCTGTTCGGGGCGCTATTTGTGGTGCTGGAGGAGTTGAGCCTCCCGCTCATCTTCCTCTTCCCCCAGATGTTGCCCGGGACGTGTGTGCTGCCCGGGGCGCTGGAGCGGCGGTACTACGCGCGCAGCGCGCGGGCGTTTGGCCGGCTGGTGGCGCAGCACTCCAGAAGTGAGAGCGAGTGCCGGGACTTTGTGCAGGCGGTGGCGATGGGCCGGGTGAGCGCGGCGCACCACGAGCTGGCGGACGCGAGGACGCGGCGCGACGTCTGCCACGTGCTGCACTGTCGCGGCACGACGGCGGCGGCGTTGCAGCAGCACCAGAAGATCCTTCTTGCAGACGACTACCTCGTGGTGGCCGGCGGCGGGGTGGGGCGGCTGAGCGACGCAGAGGTGGTGCACGGGTGCGTTGTGCGCGGGCTTGCCGCGGGACAGGCTGTGGGCGGCGCGGCCGTGGGCGCCGGCGGCGCGGACGCCGACGCGGTGGCCGGCTTACGTCAGCAGCTGGGACGCTGGCTCGACGTGCGTTTTGTGCAGCGCGCGACGTGAGTGCGACAGGCCGCGTGTCGCAGGTGACGCCGCTGCGCGTGCCGGGCCGACGGGCCGGGGGCGGCGGCAGAAGATAGCGAGATAGGGCAGAGAAGTCAGGAAAAAGTCCGCGGCTCGTTTTTCTCGGGTGTGAGGGGAGAGAGGGAGAGGGAGAGGAGAGGGAGGGAGAGGTGGTTGGGTCGGGCGCTGTGGCAGAGTGGTGGTAGAAGTTGGGTGTTGGCTGTTGGATGGCATTGTTGTTGCTCTGTGTGCCTGCTGGGGGAGGCAGACACGCTGTTTGTCTGCCGTTGCTGCTGGATCGTTCCGTGTGCACTTCTCTCGTCGGCTGCCCCAGTGCGTCCCCTAGCTGTCCCGACCCCGCTTCTCACACAGATACTTTTGTACATACATACTCACATACATACTCACATACATACTCACATACATCATACACATTCTTCCAGGACACCCTCGCACCCGTTCTGCACACTTCCAATTATACCTTATACACACAGACCCATCGCCAAGGGAACACACACGGCCTCCGCTACGCCTTAGACTTGCATCCCCGCCAGTTCGCCACGTCACGTTACCCTCCGCCTTGCACTACCACACACCGACACAATAGCCAGCACCGCACATTCCCTATATGTCCATATAGCTCAGGTACTACTCCAGCCACACACGCATACTGAACACACCGTACCCCCTCTCCCCCCTCCTCCCCCTTCTCCCACACAATGCCAAGATTAGGGTTCTCCAGCCTAACCCACAAGTTCCACGACGAACACCACGGAGCCAGCAACCACAACCCCGGCAACATAAATAACAGCCATAGCAGCAACAGCATCACCAGCCACGCCTCGTCCTCAAACGTCTCCCACGACGCCCATCACAACTTGCTCAACTTCTCCTCTCCTTCCTCAGAGAACATCCACCACATCCACAACGCCTCCAGCTCCCCCATGAACCACGCCCCCTCCTCGAGGAGATCCTTCTTCGGCCTCAACTTGGGCAAGTCGCCCTCCAACGAGTCCCAGTACTCCATCATGTCCGACGACAATCATCATGTGCATAACAACCAGACCAGTGCCGCCCCCGCCAACCACCACAACAACAACAGCTCTTCCAACCTCACCTCCACCGCCTCCTCCAGCCACGTCGCTGCACCCCCTATCCAGAGAAACGGCTCAAGCTCAATGGTGCAGTTGAAAAAGTTCTTCAGGCCTGCAAGAAAAAACTCAAATGACCATATTCACTCCCCATTGAACCACTCCAACTCCGGCCTCAACAACAGGAGGTCGCCCCACGGACACTCCAACTCGAACTTGAAATCCTTGAGTCAAAGTCAAAACAGCAGCCCCGCTCCGCAGACACCCTCGACACCAACCTTCACCCATGACGCAAATAATAACATGATTGTGAAGACAGACCAAAAGTTTTGGGATGACTTGGAAGGATCTGTCACTAAGAAGTACGGGAAACTAGGAAAAGTTTTGGGTTCAGGAGCCGGAGGTTCTGTTAGATTGATCGTCAGAGAAAGTGATGGTGTTACCTTCGCCGTGAAAGAATTCGTCCCTAGAAGACCAAACGAATCGGTAAAGGAGTACGCCAAAAAATGTACTGCAGAGTTTTGTATCGGTTCAACATTACACCACCCGAACATTATCCAAACATTAGATATTATCAATGAAAATAACCATTTCTATGAGGTCATGGAATACGCACCAATAGATTTTTTCGCCGTCGTGATGTCGGGCCAAATGACCAGATCCGAAATCAACTGCTGCTTGAAGCAAATCACCTTGGGTGTCAGCTATTTACACTCTGTAGGTTTGGCTCATAGAGATCTTAAATTGGACAACTGTGTCGTCACCAAGGACGGGATTGTTAAATTGATTGATTTTGGTTCTGCAGTCGTCTTTAAATATCCTTTTGAAGAAGAAACGGTTAAAGCACATGGTATCGTTGGTTCCGATCCTTATTTAGCTCCAGAGGTGTTAACCTCAACAGACAATTATGACCCCCAATACGTGGATATCTGGTCTGTTGCCGTCATCTATTGTTGTATGACTCTAAGGAGATTTCCCTGGAAAGCTCCGAAGAAAGACGATCCAAGTTTCAGTCTCTATTGTATGGAGGATGATCAACCTCATGATTACGTCGAGAGCGCAAGGAAACATAAAGAATTGTTGATAGAAAGAAAAAAGAAAATAGTACAGCTACAGAAGGAGAAGGAAGAAAAGGGAACGCAACCACAAGCTCCTCCACAAACTGAAGATCCTGTGCAAAGCGTGACTGAAAAGGTCAACGATTTGAACGTCGAAACACAACCCGCTCCCCCTGCACAGCAGAGTACACAACAAGAGAACCCTATGACTTTGCAAGACGAAATATTATTAGGTGACCCAGATCAGGTCGCTGTTAAACCAAAGGTAGGCTCACAAATGGATGAGGTAACCAAACCTGCTGAAAATAAGATTTGCAATGAATCAATCGATAAAAAGGAAAAAGAGAATGAGCATCATCATCATCATCATCATCATCAGGAAGAACCCACAACATCAGATAAACCTGTGGCTAAATTTGATGATAAGGGTAACGAAGTGCCTGAACGCCGTACAGCTGGTGCAACCAAATCTCAAAAACAAATACACGGTCCATATAGATTGATGAGGTTACTACCACATGCGGCAAGGCCTGTAATTTCCAAGATGCTTGCTGTGAAGATCGAAGATAGAGCTACAATGAAAGACATCTTGGATGATGAATGGTTCAAAGAAATCAAATACTGCACCATCGACGAAGATGGCAAAACCATCAACGATCCAAGTCATCATCATACTATAGTATAATATCATCTACGTCATCATCACTTATTATCTAATTATTTATTCATTTATCCATATTCCTCGTGTCTTGATGTTGGAATCGATATACCTCATCTGTTCAAATCTATATAGTTTCTTTTTATCTTTATTTCTAATTGTTTCTTCAACATTTCTTCCATTTGCATCATGTTCCCTCCTATCATCTTTAATTTGTTTTTTTTTGCGTTTCTCTAGTTTTTGTCCCTTTTCTTCTCTTCTCTTACTGTTATGTTTCCACTTGTTCCATAATTTTTTTCTCCTCTTTTAATCACCTTGTACCTCCCTTTCCTTCTCCCGGATCTATATACAGACTTACAAATAGAAACAAATCCATTTCTGAACTCTCCAATAGGTTGCATCTACCGCCGACCTATTTTCGGCACAATTCTGTCGAATTGCGCGGGAAATGCATGCCTTATCTCTGATTAGCGTGTGCAGCTCTTGAAGAACTTGAGGTATACAAATCTAACTTGACTTGCAGTTGCTTCCAAGGGCATATTTCAAGGGACCATTTTTTTGTAGATAGTAAGTATTATCGTTTTGCAGAAGCTAGCCAATTCCTAAATCAGTTAACATCAAAATGAGTCTCTCAAAGAGACATTCACTCTTCTGGACCGAATCCGAAGATAAAGAATCTGAACCAACCTCCACACTTGTTGTTTCCTCACCTAATGGACTTTATGTAGATATCAGACCATTCACTCAAGAATCAGAAGAGTCTACGGAGGAAAATGGTGGGTTTGACTGGTTTTTTGCAGGTTTTGAAATTCCATTTGCTGATAGCTCCAAGGTGGAATTTAATCATGAATTCTTCGACTCAGCATATATCAACCACTATTATAAGACTGGATTTTCTGGAAAAGGGTTCACTATTGGAACAGACCTCGGCGACTTTTCAGACTCGAAAAATCCTGATGAAGTTAAGAGGGGCATCAGAGTAGAAACGGGTGTTCTTTGCAACCCGAAGACGGGAAATGTCGAGCCGTACGTGGAGAAATGGGTCACCTGTAACTCAGAACATACACCAGAGCTCAAATTTATTGGTGACTATAAATCGAAGTTGAGATGCATAGTGCTAGATACAAAAGACGGTGGAATTACTGATAATGAACTCAAAACGGATGCGGTCATCGGCCGCTTCATTGTGTTGGATAAGTGGGTACAAGGTGTGATCTGGGATAAAAGCGTCACAAACAAGACAGACTCTTTAGGTGTTGTACGCTTTTGCGACGAGACACATCCCCTTATCACTTACGGTGGTCAAATAGACAAATTTCCCAAACTTTTAGACCTCAAGCGAGGTTTGAAAGTTGATGATTCTGTAATTGTGGAGGGAGTCAAATGGATTGTCAAGGAGGTCAATAGCTGGTGAAAATGATTAGGACTCAGCAAGAATTATGGAGTCTATATGTCCTGTACGCAAGTTTGCATTTCTGTATCTAAATATTTAACACACGCGTATATATATGACTACACCAGGTCATGGTAAAAACCCTAAATCATTATTAAGTCCCCAAAAATCGTCATTCCCTACTACATCAAACAAGCTGTTGAAGGTTTCCGTCATGCCATTATTCGGTTGAGATGGATACTGTGGTGGATAAGACTTGTTGCTGTCCATACCGTTTCCATTATTTCTATTTGCGGCACTACCGTTAGCGGTATTTTGATTATAAGTATCACCGTTGCTGTTATTGTTATTATTTGTATTATTGTACACCCCGTAGCCATTGCCGTTATGGCTACCATCCAGATGTACTCCCATGCTCTGATAGCCACTCATACTATTTGTACTGTTAGGAAGATGACTCTGAGGGTAATTATTATTGTTGTTGAGATGGTGAGGATGAGCCAGGTTGTGAGAATGGTTATTGTGATTTTGCCCCAGATTTGCTGGGGACATGTTATGACTAAAGCTCATTTCATTCGGGTTTGGATGGCTGTCATACTGGAGCATTGTCAATCCCGTTTGGGGTACCTGTTGTCCACTTTGTTCCGTCCACGTAGAAATGTTACTAATCATGTTTGTTGTGCCTCCCACAAATGGAATCAGATCAGGAATCGTGTTCTGCATCACAAGGTTATCGCTCATGACATTTGTACTCATCGGAGAACTGGTGTCGGGTGAAGAAGAAGAAGTTATAGTAGCGGCGGCCGTGTTGTTGACAATGTTTGGAGAATTTGGGTTCAGAGGAGACCTCAGGTATCTGAACTTATCTGACATTGTGCTGGTAGAAGATAACTCGTTATTTGGGGCAGTTGCCGAATTCGACACAGCGGTATTCAAAGAAGAACTCATCAGTGCCGGCGTATTCAGACTAGACTTGAAAGTTGAGCCCACAAGTGGTGACAAAACATTAGAAGGCAGGGAAGATACAACAGAGTCTGTTTCGGAGTCACATTTAGAATACTTTCTTTTCAGTGATAAATTGTTCATTGCATAAGGATTACCACTAGCTAATCTGATTTCATTGTCGAAAGATTTTGAATTTAAAGAAGAGGTCAGTCTTGTTTGAGGCTGGAGCTGGGGCAGTTTGATAGGAAGGGGTAAGATTCTATTATTAAGGTCACTTCTATCTTGCTCTGCTCTAAAAAATTCTCGTTCCTGTTCTTTTTCATTCTCCTTTTCCTTTTCTTGTTCACGTTGAGTTTCTCCTTGCCTTAATCTTTCCTGTTCCCGCTCCTTGGATTCACTTTCTCTCTTTCTCTCTTTTTCTAAATCTTGCTGTACCTTTCGCATTTGATTTTCTCTCTCCCTGTCTTTCTCATTATCCTTTTGGTCATAATCCTCAAGTCCAGGAGGGTGCAAGAGTAAATGACTCAACCCCTTGGGTATGGCGGATCTGGTCAAGTGGCCCTTTCTTTTTTGTCGTTCCTCATCTTCTAATTTATCAGCATCTGATTTTTCAATGTAGTTGGATTCAATCTGGAAATGCTTTAAAGGTTTACGGAAAATTGCAGGTGGTAACCCTATACCACGGTATAGAATCTCTGAAGAGTCTGGACCACATCTTAAGATTAAGTTTCCAATTGTTGCGTTCATGATTTCTTCAAAAGTGTCTCTAAAACTTAGTGCAAACTTTGTTCTTTCGCTCATGACATAGAGGGAGATCGAGCAAGCACGCAAATCATCCAACCCTCTGAACAAATCTTCGGAAACTGTTGGCCGGGTATGCTTTTTGTCATCACCCAGTAGTTTCCTTCTCATGTCATCTCTATTTCTCTGAAGCCATAAACAATAAATTAGAGTAATTCCTGCAATGAAAACCAAATGAATATTCAAAATGGAAAATCCATAAAAGGTTTTAGCGTGGTAATTTTTAATCGATTGGCAAATTTGCCCTGCAGCCGCCTGACACTCCTTGAAGAGCTTATCATTTGGATCTAGTAGTTCCAAATAGGGCTGAATCAAATGTCTGATAGATTTATAGTAGTAGAACAATAGAGTTTGATTTTCAATACCATTGTTGTTGAAACCTTGACATTCATTTCTCCAATTCTGCAATTCCTGGAAGAATCTCTCCACCTTGACCAACTGGTTTTTGTTGATCGATTTTGAGCTGGCAGTTACGATCGAAAGTTCTTCAATAAATCTCGATTCCAACCTTTTGATTTTGATCGACTGGTTGATGAAGAAAATCTTGCCGTTATTCGGATTGAAAGCCTGAGAAGGTTCATAATTAAAAAGGGGGATCTTCGAGTCCACCCGTCGTTCATGTAAGATAAACGGTTTCGAGATAGAGATTAAGATCGACCTCTCCAAGATGTAGCAGCACCAGAACTTCCTCATTTTCAAGTCTTTCAAGTTAGAGTCTATGTTCTCGTAAGATTTCGATTTGTGCAAGGAAAGGTGCATGCAGCATTGCATTGCGTCGGAGATGATCAAATACAAGTTGTTGGAGTTTTTGTCTGCTCTGATGAGGAAGAAGCTGATCAAGATCAACAACTCGATCTTGTTGAACGCCTCGACGTTATTCGATAGTAGGATGAGGTGTCTCAAGGCCGTGGAGAAAAAATTGAAAGGGTTTGGACCTTTATACTTACCCGTTGATTTATATAGTAAAGCTGATATTGCGTAGATAAAGAACATTCTTGAACACTTGAAGTGGTAGACGTTGAACTCCTCGTCAGAAAGGGGTTGCTGTTGTTTTTTGTTTTCGTAGTAGGACTCGCTGAACTCAAAGATCTCACGTTCGTTTAGGAGCGGGAATTTGTACTGGAGCATCCTGAAGTATAGGCCGATCAAGTTCTTCGAGAACTTCTGGTCGATGTTGAGGATGGGGTCGAATTTGATGAAGTCGTTCAAGTTGTAGTTCTTGAGCACCGAGTTTTTGAACGCGGAAGCGTTAATGCTCATGAAGGTCGCGTAGGGCTGGTTGATGAGGGAGACGTCGCTGTTGTAGTCGTCCGTGTCCGAGGTTGAGGAAACCGAGGACGAATTCGATCTGCCTCTCCCGCCGGCGCCGGCGTCGCAGCTGCCGCCCTCCTCGCCGTCGATGTAGGGCGAGATCTTCTTGTACTTGAGGATCTTTTCGTCGTTGAGGGTGATGCGTTTTGTCCTGTTGTTCTTCATGTCGTTGAGCTTGTTCTTGGCCTTCAGGTCCAGCAGCTTCTCCAACTGCTTGATTTTTTTCTCCAAGAACTTCGTGTAGTCGTTGCTCTTGCCCGAGGTATTGTTGTTTTCTCCGTACCGGGGCGGCTGGATGCACTGGAACTTCGATTTCAAGCAATTGGTGCAGCTCGGGAACCGCTGGTCACACTTCTGCTTCCGCTTCTGGCACAGAAAGCACGACGTCGACCGGCCCTTCTTGTCCTTGATCTTGTCGTTGTCGGGCACGTCTTCCTGCTTGATGCCCACGCTCACTCCGCTGGCGTCTCCGCTACCCTCCCCGTGTTCGTGCGGTTCGTCTGCCGCACTCCCACCGCTGTTGGGATAGTTCATCTCACCGACGCTGATCTCGTTGTTGCTACTGCTGCTCTTGCTGTTCGCCTTGACCTTGCTGCTGCTGCTCTGCTTCTTGCCGTCGTCTGCGTCCGACGACAGCAGCGTCGTCGCAGACGTCGCAGATGTCTGCGACGATGCCACGGCGTCCCTGTCGGAAGCCCTGTTCAGCAACCCCGACTCTGTCGCCGGCGTCTGGATCGAACTCTCGAACCCGCCGCTTCTTCCTCCTTCGCCGTTGTTCACCACGGTCACGGTGTTCGACATGGCTGCACTGTGTGTTTCTCCTCAGGTGTCGTTGGATCCGCTTGGACTCTCCCGTGCTGGCCTTTGTCTCGTCGTCCTGGCTACGTTGTCGTGTCTTTTCAGCCCATATCTGGAGCCGTGCCTCTCGATGCTCACGCCCTTCTCCCTGTCCGTACCTCTCTCCGTTTCTCTGCAACCATCCTCCCCCCATCCTGCCCCGCCACCGCCGCAGAGCCGATGGCGGAACTCCATCCTGGCGACCCCGTCCGTCACCCCCAACCCTGCTCCTTCCCCCGTCCTGGCTCCATCCTGGTGGCTCGCTGGCCTACCATCCGTCCGGCACTCTCCTGCCTCACACACCCACCACACCCTCTGCCGCCTGCGTTATCTTCTCACCCCCTCTTCGCCCGGGCCTTCGCCGCTAACCCCGCACCGCTGACGGGGCGACAATGCTTCCAGGGAAACGGCGCAACTTCTCCGCACCGCTTACGTTAGCAGGGTGTTGTGGCAAAAGCGACGCGTCGATCCTGCCCGAGGAGCAGAGCTCGGGGTACCTAGCTGTCTGGACGAAGTTCAACAGAAGCCGGAGAGCCGGAGAGCTCGAGAGCTGGAGAGACTAGATGGAGACACGGAGTCTCGGAGGCGGTTTCAAAGAGTATTTCAAAATAAACAGTTCTTGTTAGATAAGTAAATAGAGGAAGAGGGGGCAGAGGCCGGCTAGTAGCTGTCGGCGTCCTGCTTTGCTCTGGTCTCGTAGATGTTCAAAGCTTCCTCGGCAGCCTTGACGCCGGAGAGGACCATAGCGCCGAAGGTAGGACCCATTCTGTTGGACGAGTCGCACTCGCTGAGCTCCATGCCGGCAACAATCAAGCCGGGGAAGACCTCCCGGGTGCCCTTGACGATGGCGTCCTCGGCCCGGTTCATGTCCAAGCAGCCCATCTGGTTTCTCTGGATGTAGCCCTGGCTGACAAGTCTCTTGACGCAGAAAGCGCCCATTGGGCCGTCGTGGCCCGTGCAGGAGATGATGATCTTGGCGTTGATGGTGTTGGGGTCCATGCACGACTGGTCGTCGTGGTGCATGGACACCAAGGTCCAGTTGGTCACGACCCCGGCCACTCTGACCTTGCCGTCGTCCGTTGGGCGGGTGATCAGGTCCTCCACACAGGTGGCGTTGAAGAGCTTGACGTTGGGGAGCTCGAGCACCTTGGAGCACAGCTTGGTGATGAAGAGCGCTGCGTGCTTGACGACAATGAAGTTGTCTTCCTCCTCGTACTCGATGCCGAGCTCCCGGATGAACTGGTCGGCCGGCTTTCTCAACACCATGGACGAGAACAACTGGCCGCCAAGGAAGCAGCCACCGCCGACGGCCACGTTGGCCTCGATGATGGCGATCTTGAGGTCCGGTCTGGCCCTGGCGAGGATGTATGCTGCCGTGAGGCCGGACGAGCCGGCGCCCACAATGACAATGTCGGACTCGGCGTACGTGTCGAGGTCCTTGAAGTATCTGCGGGTCATGGCCCGCGAGACCTGGGACTCTCTGATGGGCTCGAACTTGAACGTGTCCCAGTCGTAGACGGCTGCGGTGGCCTTGGCGACCTTGGAGTCTGTGTTGGGCACGTTGAACGTCTTCAAGGAGATTGGGGCGGTTTCCCGAGTGATGGTGCTGGTAGCAGTGGTGGAGGCCCTGTGGTGAGAAAAGAGAAGCGGATGTTAGTGTCGAGCAATGGAAGCAGCGGGTGATAGCGTGGTCGCACGTACATGGTGGTGGTGTCTTGCTGGTGTCTTGCTGAAGCTGAGTGCTTTTCTGTCGATGCGAGGAGAGCAGGAACTTGCAAAACCCAAGCCAGTCGAGCTACAACCGGATTGGAGCCAGCAGCAGAGCGACGGAGGGACCGTGCTTTATAGCACGGCAACCCAGGACCCCGGCCACGGGACGCAGAGCCAGCTCGGACCCGTCTGACAACTACACGCTACCCGCAGAGACGGGAAAGGACGCAGCAGGAGCCAATCAACTGTCTGACACCGGGGCTGGACCCCAAAAAGACCGCATCGCCCAACCAACGACGTTCCGAATGGAATCATGTTGTCCCGGCTGGCGGGTCTCACATGTGTGTGTGCTCCCACAGGTGCAGACACAGCAGCGGCCTCTTGCCAAAAGCGGCCCCTGCTGCTGCGGCGTGGGAGGACTGTGCACCGGAGCTGTCAAAACCGATGAAACGCTCGTGCCCCGGAGGTTTACAACGCGTTGCTGCTGCGGCTGGGGGTGTGTGGCATGGCAGCTACAGCCCGACTCTCCCCAGATCCCCTCAGGGTGAGTCAGCGCCGCCCCGACTCTGCTCTGCTTTCCGGAGGGGCCGCTTCCCGCCGCTTTCCGCCGCTTCCCGTACCACTCCCCTTATACCACCTCCCTTATACCACCTCCCGTGTCCCTCTGTCTGAAACAAACACACCATCCCCTCCTCCTCCCCCCCCCCCCCCCCCCCTCCGACAGGACAATGCGCCCTGTTCCACCAGCCCCGGACATGGCAGCCTCGCCACCAGCATGATTCACTTCGGTCCGGAAAGCGGTCCTCCGTGACTCATCCTGCTTCCGCTCCGCCCTCTCACCCTTCTCACTGGGCAGCCCGCGTAACGTGGTCGCGGCTGAGCCACTGCAACGCCACCGGGTAGAGACTGGCCACCTTGGCCACAAAAAGCTGCGCCACCGACGCGTCGGCGGGTTGGGCGCGGCGGGCAGCGGCGTCGGCGTCGGTGTCCACAAACACAACATTGTCCCTGTCGTAGGCCTCGACGAACTCGCCGCCGCTGAGATGCACAACACGGTCGGCCCAGCGGCCAAGGCCATCGAAGATGTGTGTGGCATAGATGATGCAGCAGCCGCGGCGGTCGGTCTCGTCGTACAAGAACTGGAGGAGCCTCTGTCTGACCAAGACGTCGAGGTCGATGGTGACCTCGTCGAGAAGCAGGAGGTCGAAGGGCTTGAGGAGACCCATGCACAACTGCACGCGTCTTCTCTCGCCGTCGGAGCAGCGGTTCATGCGCCAGCGGGTGTCGATCTCCAAGAGGTCGACAAGCTGGTCCCTCCTTTTGCTGTAGACGTCGCCGCCGACGCTGCGGATCAACTCGTCGACGCGGATGTCCCGCTTGGTGATCTCGTTGTTGGCCCACTCGGTGCCGAGGTAGACAATGGTCTTGTCGTTCAACATGAAGTTGCTGCGCAGGTCGAAGGGGTTGACGCCGAAGAGCTCGATGCGGCCGCGTCTGACCAGCTTCTTGCCGGCGAGGATCTTCAACAGCGTCGACTTGCCTGCGCCGTTGGGCCCGACAAGAAGCAGCTTGTCGCCCTTCTTCAGCTGCACATCGATGTTGCTCAACCCGAGCCGCTTCTCGTCGGGGTACTGGAACGTGAGCTTGTCGGTGAAAACAACGTACTCGTCCGACATGTTGTGGTGTGCTGGCTGCGCCCAGCTCCGCCGCAGCGGACCAGCCCCGGCACTGGCTCCCCCACACAGCCTCTCTCTGTGCTCTTTCATGTAGGGCCCGTCTGTCTGTCTCTCGCTGCCACTGCTTACTTTTTTTCGCATTTTCGCATTTTCGCATTTTTTTTTTCCGTTTTCTACCTCTATCCATCCGTCTTCGATCAAGATAATGTTTCACTCGTCTTCGAAGCAACACCTAATTGAGTCCGACTTCTGCGCTCCACACTTGTCCATCCTGCCCCTGGCATCCACTGTTTTGGCGTGCTACACAGCTCACAGCAAATGGAAAGAAAGAAGCTTATTGAGGAGTCGGTGACACGGGAGATTGCAGGGGTCAACCCTGTGGTGGCCATTCCGTATGCTACGTCGGTGTACTCGATATCGTTGACAAGGGGCCCCAAGTGGCTCTTCACGGGCGGAGAGGATGGCTTGATCCGGAAGTTTGACTTCTTCAAGTCGGTGGAGGGCAAGTCGCTGTTGACGGTCTCGCAGAGACACCAATTGATCGACTCGATTCTCTTCAACGGGATGATATGCTCGTACTGGGAAAACGAGATCCCCTACTACAAGTCGGACCTGTCGGGCAACAAGGCCGGCTCGTCGTCACTCTCCTCGGGCAACGCGGCGGCAGCGAAGAAAAAGAACTCGTCCACGGACATGAACTCGTTCTTCGAGCCGAACCTCAGCCCCGTGTACTCCTTGTGCAGCGACCAGAACGGGTTCTGGTTGTTGAGCGGTCTACAGAACGGCGCCATCACGCTCCAGTCGGTGCGCTCCTCGGAGGGGACCATCCAGTGGTACTTCAAGAACGCCAACGACAAGACCGTCTCGAGCGAGGACAAGCAGTACCACCACTCGAACTCGGTCTCGTGCATCGTCACCAACACAGAGCAGACGAACTTCCTCAGCGGCTCGTGGGACAGGAAGATCCTCAAGTGGGACCTCAACACGGGTAAGAACATGAACTGCTTCAACCGCTCCACGGGGCAGGTCTCTGCGCTGCAGTACCGGCCCTCGATCGGCACCGACCTGCACTGGGAGGCGACAAACGACGACGACGACGATGATGACAACAACAACAACAACGACGACGATGACATGGGTTCGCTTTTTGACGATGACGACGACAACGACGGCGCAAACGAGGACCGGAGGGACAAAAGCGACGCGGCAAAGAAGGAGGCTGCCGACGAGCCCGGCCTCGAGCCAAAAGAGAAGGCCGCCTCGCAGGAACCTGAGGTCCGCAGAGACATCCTCAAGCTGCAGCGGGAGTCGCTCCAAACAGGCACCTACGAGGGCCAGCGGGTCTCCGACGACATCTTCCTTTCCTCCTCCATCGACGGCTCCATCAACATCTGGGACGCGAGGATCGCCCCACGGGCCAACAACGTCGAAAAGATCCCCGTTCCGGCCAGCACCCCGCCGTGGTGCATGTCGGCAACCTGGTCCGTCGACGGCGACTCCGTCTTCGTCGGCCGCAGAAACTCCACCGTCGAGCAGTACGACGTCCGCTTCCCGACCAAGGTCAGCTCGCTGCTCAAGTTCCCGAGCGCTTCCGGCAGCATCAGCTGTGTCCGCACCCTGCCCAACAGGAACTACCTTCTCTGCGGCTGCCAGGACAACATCCGGCTCTACGACCTGCGTCTGCACGACGCCCCGGCGACAGCCCCAACCGCCTCCGCCCCCTCCTCGAGGAAGGTCTCCCGGATCCCCTTCACCATTGTCCCCGGCCACAACGGCGGCATCCTCAGCGACCTCTACGTAGACCCGACGTGCCGTTTCATGGTTTCCGCCAGCGGCAACCGTGGCTGGCAGGGGAAGCCCAGCGACTACGTCTTCATCTACGAGTTCATGTGAGGCCCCAAGCTTCAGGGCCCAGTGCCCATGGCCCATGGCCTTCGTGGCCGTCCACGCCGTCGGACCGTCACCCCGTCACCGCCGTCACCGGCCTCGCGACTACCCCGCGTGGGGCGGAGAACCGCGGGAACCGCGGCGGGGCGGGGGAGGCTCGAGGGCATTTACTCCGACACTCCGAAGCCGGGGATGATCGGCTGGCGCTGAAACTGGCCGGGCGGGGGACGGAGACGGAGACGGAGACGGTTGCAGCAGACAGGCGGTGTGTATAAATACACAGCAGGAGATTGGTTCTTGTGTCAAGTGCACCCCTCGGTCGTCGCCAAGTGTTAGCTCCCCTGGCGCTCATACTGGAAAGAAAACCACCAGCTAAAACAGGCAACAGCGGGAAGAAACATAACCACAGCCTGATCAATCACCCTCCTTCCCTTTCTCTCTCTGTCTCTCTCTCTCTTCCCTATGAATATCTGCCGCAGCATCAAGTGCAGCCACTCAAACCCGCTTCACGCCACAGCGAAAAGACTTCTCTCCACATCGGCGATGAGACGCACCACGACCACGCCCCAGGGCGACCTTTACAAGCACCAGAACGACTTGCCCCCTCTCCCTGTCCCAAAGCTCGCCCACACGCTGGACCTCTACAAGGAGTCGATCAAGCCCTTGTATCCGTACGGGGAAAAGGACGAGGAGTTTATCAAGTACGCCAAGATCATCGACGAGTTTGCGACCGGGACACAGGGCAGCGGCCTACAGTCGAAGCTCGAACGCTTTGCCGCCGACAAACGGAACTGGCTCGCAGCGTTCTGGGACAACTACGCCTACCTCGACTACAGAGACCCGGTGTCGCCATTTGTATCGTACTTCTTCAGCCACAGGGATGCCAACACCGCCGTCGGGAAGGACCAGCTTCTCAAGTCGGCGAGCTTGACCCGCAAGGTTCTCGAGTTCATGGAAACGGTCGAGCACGAGACTTTGGAACCCGAGCTCATCAAGGGAGCGCCCTTTTGCATGGAGAGCTTCAAGTGGATGTTCAGCAACTGCAGGGTCCCGGGCGAGTCCCGCGATTACAACCTAGTGTACGACGGAAGTAAAAACAGGTTTATGATTGTCATCTCCAACGGCCACATCTACAAGCTGCAGACGCACGACGACGCAACCGACAGCATCTTGCCGTTCAACGCGCTCTACTACGGCTTGGCCGAGGTCTTGAAAGACTCCGAAGCTAGAGGGCCAAATGAAACCCCGGTGGGGGTCTTGACCTCCTCCAACAGAGATGAATGGTTCAGCAACTACCAGAAGTTGAACGAAATCTCCATCGTCAACAAGGTCAACTTCGAAGATATCTTCAAAAGCTCCTTTGTCCTCTGCTTGGACGACTGTCTACCCAACACTATCGAAGCTAAGTCTAGAAACTGCTGGCACGGCAATGGTCTCAACAGGTGGTTTGACAAGCCGCTCCAGTTTTTTGTTGCCAGAAACGGAAGCTCCGGCTTCTTGGGTGAGCATTCCAAGATGGACGGCACACCCACTTTGAGGATGAACGACTGGTTGGTTGGAGAGATGTACAAGCTTGACATCGACGGCAATGTCGCAAAGCCGACTACTGTTCCGGCCATCAGGCAGATAAATTTTGAAATCAACAACGAAATCTCAGAAGCCATCAAGACCGAGACTGAAACTTTCAATGAAACGGTGAACAGCTTGGACATCAAGACCTGGCAGTACTTTGGATTGGGTAAAGATGATATCAAAGCGTTCAACTGCTCTCCGGACAGCTTTGTCCAGATGTTGATCCAATTGGCGTACTACAAATATACGGGTACCTTGAGACCAACATACGAGTCGGCCTCAACAAGGAAATACTTCAGAGGCCGGACAGAAACCAACAGATCTGTTTCATCCGAAGCATTGCAGTTTGTCAAGGACTGGGAAAACCCCTCCGTGCCTGTGCAAGAGAAGTTGAAATCATTCAGAGCCGCCTTGAAGTCCCACGGCAACTATATCAAGCTAGCTAGCTCAGGACTCGGTGTTGACCGCCATTTGTTTGGTTTGAAACAGATGATCGGTGAGTCGGACGAGGACTCTGAGGTGATCAAGCAGTTTTTCGACAACCCGATTTTCAGCTACTCCCAATATTGGTACTTGTCGACCTCCCAGTTGAGTTCTGAAAATTTCAACGGGTATGGATGGTCGCCTGTTGTTCCGGAAGGGCTCGGATTGGCCTACATGATCAACAGAAAGTGGTTGCATATCAACATTACAAACTACAAGGAAAATCCATTTGGTTTGAAGGTTGATGAAATGGCATACTTCTTAACTTTGAGTGTTCAAGAATTGGCAGAAGCACTCAGAAAGGAAACCGTCAAGGCCAAACTCTAATTCTTTCTGGTTCTCCTTCTTTTTTTTCACTTTATATATATTACCCTTCTTCGATTCGTTTTAGTGTTTTAATTTTTTCCTCCCTCTTTGACGACCGACGGTTATGACATACGTAGACATAATAACAAATGCTCATTAGCCTATTGCTTGACGAACGTAGGGAGTTGTGTGTGGCGCGTGGCGTGTGGCGCGTGGCGTGTGGCGGTGTCGCTACATGAAAAAAGAAAAACCGGGTTCTAAAAAAATATTTTTTCTATCACCTTTATTATCTACTACTAGAACACGCAAAGTTGTGATACCGGAGATCCCAGTAGCGGCAGCAAAGAAGAAAGGAGCCATGTTTAAGAGTAAGAAAACAAAGCAGCAGTCTCTCAATGTGGTTGACAACCTTCTGTCGAACTACTTGCAGGTGTCAGACAAGAAGATCTTGAAAAGCAAAGAGAAGGGACAAAAAGGACATGCTGCCAGCAAGATCCTTGAGCTGAATTCGAAGCTAGGGAACTTCAAGAAAACCAGAGAAGGGCTGCGGAAGCACAAGGACAAGGAGAGGAAGATGAGAAACAAGAAGATGAAGGGAATAGAGAAGATCAACGAGAAGATTGTGCGACAGAGCAAGCTCGAGAGAGGAGACCGCGAGGTGATAGACGAGATAGTGAGCGCCAAGTTGGCGGACTTGAAGAAGATCGACCTGGTGAGCAGAGATGAGGATCTGCTGGAACTACAGAACGACATTTTGACTCTGACGGGCGGCGAGAGCACCAAGAGCATGCTCAAAAACCTGAGAGACAAGCAGTTCTTGGAGAGAAAGAGACGGACTGCCGAAAGGGCCCGGTTCGAGGACAAGGTTTCCCGGGGGGTTGTTGCCGTCGGGGGGCTCACCCCGGGGCTTGCGCAGCCCGACGGCGACGACAGCGACGACAGCGACGCCGACGACCAGAGCGCCGACGACGCCGACCAGGGCGCCCTTCCAGCCGGCTTCAGGGACGATTTCGACGAGTTCCATTAGTTTTGTATACGTATATTCAGGTAAAGTCAGACTATATAGCGTGCTCGAGCTCTCTATCTACAGACGTGTGTTGCAGGCCCCCGGGCGCTCAGTTGCGCTCCTGCACCGGCTCCTCCGCGGGCTTCCCGTCGTTCTCGAACGGCAACTCCTTCCGGGCCTCGTCTAGCAGAGGCTTGATGCCCTGCTTCGCCAGGTGCACGTCGATGCACTCCTTGTACTGCACCCAGAAGTCCTCGCACTCGTTGTGCAGGCCCTCTCCTTTCAAGAACTTCTCCGAATACCACGAGTTGAAACAGCTGTCGTACTTCTGTTTCAAGTCGTTACACTCTGGCGCAAAAGACGTCGACATAAGATTTCCCATTATTTCACCTTGCTCTCTGCACCGGCCCGCCTCTTTGCTGTCTGGTCCTCTCCTCTCTTGCATATGTAGCATACCCCCTGCCATTGGCTCGTCTCTTGGACTCCCGTCACCTACGCTTCCGGCCCTCTGTTTTTTTTCGGGGCAATTCTGGGCCGATCGTCCCAAACCGTTTTTTGCCCTGCCTTCTGCACCGCCACAAGTGTGTGTGTGGCGCAGTCATCTGCGACACGGATTATGTCGTAAACGCGACGCGTCACATTTCTCCCGGCTCCCGCCGCAGGGACAACTAAAAAAAGAAAACACGCTTTTGATGCTGTCCGCGAATATGAATGTCGGCCCCCTGAATTGTGAAACCGTGTTTCCTTTGTTGTCGTGGGCTGCATTAGTGCAAACGACGGTGTCGGAGAGCAGGTTGGCCCGGGTTATGACCGTGCAACGCTGGGCAGTTAGAGTGCTCTGCATTGCCTGGTGAACCGTAACGTAGTGCAGCAGAGGACGAATACATGGCGTCTTGTTGCTTCTTTCCTTGGTGTTTCTTTTCTTTCGTTTTCCGTGTAGATCCAGGCTGTCTGGCGGATTTGAGCACAGCATCAAACTAGTTGAAGACACAAGGAGTATCCTCTCCAGCACTCGGAACAAGCACGAGAGCACGAACAGGACATCACATACCCGCTGGACCACTGCCAGAAGAACCAAAGTATACGAATATCGAGTCAGTTGGCTAACCCTTACTCCTGTCGATCGAGAAGCTGTGTGCAATGAGCATTGGAATTCTCTTTCTCTTGCTGCTGAGGCTATCGGCGACACAGGCACACCCTTCCGTGGGGTTCCCGCTCAACGAACAGCTCCCGGATATCGCCAGAATAGGCGAAAACTACCAGTTCGTCATCAACTCGCAAACCTTCGAGTCGGACAAGGGCGAGGCAATCCAATACCAGGCCCACGGCCTACCCGACTGGTTGAGCTTCGACTCGTCCTCCCTCAAGCTGTCTGGCTCTCCCACCGGCAATGACACAACAGGACAGGTGGACTTCGTCCTGGAGGGCACAGACAGCGAGGGGAGTCTCAACAAATCATGCTCCATCTATCTTTCCGACCAGCCGGCTCCGGTCATAAACGCAAATGAAACCATCATTGACCAGCTGCAAAAAATGGGGACCACAAACGGCTACAAAGGTATCATCCTAAAGGCCCAGGACACATTCAGTTTCAAGTTTGACAGCGATACCTTCCAACTCCCCTCAAGCTCCAGTAACAAAATCGTGGCCTACTACGGTAAAAGTGCCAACAGAACATCCCTACCAAGTTGGTGTTTCTTTGACGCAGATACGCTAACTTTCTCGGGCACAGCACCATTTGTCAACTCCGTGAACGCACCTAGTTTGCAATTCGACTTGACGCTGATTGCAACTGACTACGCAGGCTATTCTGCAGCCTACTCCGATTTCAACATCGTTGTTGGGGGTCACGAGTTGTTTCTCAACGCTTCAGGCGGGTTCGATAACATTGTCAACACCAACCCTGGCGATACATTCTCGGCCGAGTTACCCATTGAAGACGTGTATTTGGATGATAAGCAAATCGAAACAAACCAAATATCTAACGTTGTCGTTTACAATGGTCCTTCGTGGGTCCATGTGGAAAACAACACACAGCTCACTGGTACAGTTCCCTCAGATCAAACTTCCAACGTTGTTGTCAATGTTACCCTATTCGACACCTACGGTGATTCCCTATTCATGGATTTTGACATTAATGTTGTCCATGAGATTTTTGCGGTCGATTCACTTTCAAATGTCACTGTGTCTGATGGGTCTCTATTCCAGTACACTTTACCCGACTCTTACTTCAAAAATAAAACTGCCACTGACCTCGATGCCGTATTCAGTGATACCTGGTTGACCTTTTACCACTCAAACAACACCTTCGTTGGGAAAGTTCCAGATGATTTCAAGTCCACAGTAATTGAACTCGATGCATCTATGAATAGCATGAAGCAAGTGAAAAAATTCTACCTTACAGGGAAGCCCAAAATTTCATCTTCTTCTTCATCAAGAATGTCCTCTTCCAAAATGTCTTCCTCTTCGAGAAATTCTTCGTCTTCGAAAATACCTTCTTCCTCAAAGATTTCATCGTCTAGGTACTCCTCTTCCACTCTATCTTCCTCCAGCACTATGAGCAGTTATAGATCAGCTTCCAGTTCGGCTACCGCTGCTTTTTCTTCATCTTATTCCGCTGCCTCGGCAACCTCGTCATTATCCCCTTTTTTAAATCAGAACAAGAATTCTGACGCTGACACGAAAAAGAAACTAGCAATTGGATTAGGAGTAGCTATTCCTATTGTCGCAATTCTTTCAGCATTGTTACTCTTCTTTTGCTGTTGTGCTAAGAATAGAAAGAAAAATCAAGGAGAGGAAGGTGGTGACAACGATAAGCCATCAGGTTCTGGAGCTCTGTATTTGATGAAAGAGCAAGGATCATCCAATGCTACAGTAACCTCTGCCCGTGTTCTAGCAGAAAAGAATTTGACCAACCTTGAAAAGGATAGCGATGCATCTTCGTATTACTCAGTGGCACAGTCAACATTAACAGATGGCTCTAACCATAACTTATATCAAGCTGCAAAACAACAAGCTAGTACAGATCAACTTTTGACGGATCCAAATAGCTCTACTAGTAATAACAACAGTGGGATATTCAATTCGTGGAGAAGATCGTCAAATGGCAACCTGAAAACAAGAGACTCTTTAGGCTCTTTGGCCACTGTTGCAACTAACGAATTGTTGACCGTCAATATGATAAATGAAGCCAAACTACGAAAAAGTCAAATGATATATCCAAAAATGTCAAAACTACGAAATATAAACAATAGTACTGATTCAATGTTTAATGGTGAAGGCACTGATCTTCTTGCAGCCAACAATAGTTTAGCCACTCTAAGAGAAGAGGTGAATAAAAATCCTATCTCTAGAGACGGATCATCGCAAACGATTTCGTCATCCGAAGCTCAATTGGTTGGTTTTAACGACAGTGGATCAGTGGCTAGAAAAATTCAGAGAGAGAAGAAATCATGTCAGGGTGAATTGTATAATATAGGTGATGATGATGATTTTGGAGATAACATCAGCAACTGATAAGTGATGACGGTTAACATTTGTACTATTTTGAAAACGATTTTTTTTCTATTGCTTTACTCTATTTTTTCTGCTAATTTTTGATTACATTCCTTACTTTTTTACTTCCTAATTTAATCTTTAACCTTTACTTCATGAGTTTACTTTTTTTGTTCGTTATCTTTCCAGATATCCTGAAACTGCTAGTTCACTTTAAATAATTTATTTCTGTAATTATGAATGTAGAGACTTTAATGCATACATATATCGATATTATATACGTATATATATTCAGCAGTTTAATCGAGTTCACCAGAATATTTCAACTGCTGAGCGTACGCAGCTGTTTCGTAAGCCCTTCTTCTGCCTTGCACGTAATCCATCATTTCACCATAGGATTGAGGAATGACGGAAGAATAGCCGGGAGAGTCATATCCCTCGACGTCTCTTGGAACATAGAAACTGTAGACAAAAGTCCCGCTTTCTGTGAAAGCTGAAGCGTCGCTCAAAGAACGGACCTTGGTGTCAACCTTAACTTGAATCATAGTACCAGGCACAGACAAAAATTCATGCGTGTCTGTACTTAAAGAGTTTGCAGAAGTATCATAGTCTTTTAGTAAGTCGGATAAAACTTTGGCAGAGGTCGAATCTTCGTTCTCATCATGAAGATGTTCTGTGTAACAAACTTCCGCATTCATTGAGAGCACACAACCGACAGGAACTGGCGCCTTGAAAGTAGTGTTGTCCAAAGAAATGAATCTTGGATAGCTTCTAGAGAACGCACCTGCGGCACAGTAAGCTAATTCGAAAGTCTGTCTCAAAAGGTATCCACCGAAAATAATGCCATGTCTATTTCTATACTGAGGCTGTTGAACTTGGGTGGCAGAGACCCTTGTGTTCTCCATCAAAAATAGGTTATTAGGTCTCTCGTTGACAGGGATGGAAAACAAGCGCTTGGAGGAGTTGTATAAACTGTGAATCATCTTGGATTCATCTGCTGTTGGTGGAACCTTGTCGAGTGAAGAGGTCTTAGCTCTCAGTTTCTTGGCAGCATTGTGGGATTCAGCTCTTCTGAAATCGATCCATTCCAATTCCGAGGTTGGGAGTAGCTTGTTGATTTTGTGTGCTTTGTGGGTGGCCGGGTTTCTGGCAACAAAGGTGAAGTTGGCAGAAAGAAAGCATTTTTTCGAGTCCTTTTCAACAATGGACGGGCCGATGGACTCGTTCTCTGGCAAGTTCTCCTCGTATGCAAAACCCTTGATGCAGATCTCCATGGACGAGTTACCGGTGTACGTGACGAAACCGACAATCAAGAAGTTGTACTTGTCTATTTCGTCGATCTTCTTTGTGACGTAGATTCTGTCGATGGAGGCGGTGACATTCATAGGTTCTGCAGGCTTGCAGTGCTTGGCAGCCACTCTTCCGGCCAACGCGTCCAAATCTTGGAACAGGTGACCAAACCTCAATCTACCCGGCGCATTGATATAAAAGTCTCTCAAGAACAAGTCGTCCTTGAACGGCAACGTGATGAAAGAAAACGAGTCTCCTCTGGTCTTTTCCATGACTCTGGTCGTCTTCACGTCATCAATGGTCAGAGAGTCGATGTTTTTGCCCTCTTTTTGTCTCTGGTTTTTCTTCTCCAAGATCTCCCACCAGGTCACCCTGTCCTTCGCCTGGATTCTCTTCTGGAAGTCAATCGCATCCGCCAAAATGGTGGACGTTGCGTCTGCCGCGTCCTCCGGGTAGGTCGAGTTCTCGTTCACCTTATATGTGTTTCTCGCAACAGAAGACGGCTTCCCGCCGACAGCGTCAGCGGCCCCGCTTTTCGTCGAGTTGTGTCTTACCGCAGACAAGTAGCCCTTCTGGATCAGCCCCAAGTGCGCAACACACTTCACTCTATTGATGGATAGCATATTATGTGTTTCTAAATGTGCCTATCTACCTGTCTATGTCTCTGTATGTCGTCTGTATGTCTGTCAACAGGTCTGCAGAATGCCGCCTTATTTGCCTTTCTTCTTATATCGTCTGCCGATTCGACTTTCTAGCTCTGTATCTGCAAAACAAAACAGTGTCAAAATTTGTACAAATCTCTCTTCGGTGCATTCACTGCCGAACCCCAACGGCCCTCCTCCCTCCTACTCCTCTTTGCATTTCGGAAGATAGGTTCCGAAAACAATGCTGGTATCGGCTAGCGATGCCAGTCCTCAGGTGCTCCGCTGCAATGTTTGGCGAGCCGCATTTTGGGTCGATCGACCCAAAATTGCTTTTTTTCCCCTTCTCCGTCACCTGCTCTAGTAAAAAGGCAGGCAGAACGGTTCTCGGCCCGTTCCTGGATGGGGGGAGGACTTTGGCAGGTCAGGCCAGACAACCCCAGCCTACTTGTGGCCCCGCCATGTGTGGCCAGCCGCCCCGAACATCACCACCTGCAACTGCCGCCGCAACAACGCCAGATCAGACGACCGGGCTTCGGCAATCGGGCGATTACGTAAAAACGAGCAGAACACGGTCGTTCCGCAGGGCCAAACAGGCAATTTCGCCGGCGCTACGAGCGAAACGATCGTACAAAGCCAAAACACACGATTTGAGGGCCCGTCGTATACGAGCGAAACGGACTTCTATATAACGTACGAAGCTGTCTTCATGTTTTTTCAATTTGGGCCATTTGTAGCATGTTTTTTTTTGTTGTGTTTGGCTTTCTGTTTGTCGGCTGCTCCCCCTGCACTCACATTTAAGACGCTTTGTTCGCCCCCAAGTCACTGTGGCTACTGTTCCTGGAAAAGCTCTCTTGGACTGTCTTTTCTTTTTTGCTTGTTGTGGACCTGCCAAGCTTCTCACTCAGCCAGCTTGAACTAAAATACCATGGATATTGTTCTTGAAATCTTCGACACGTACGTGTTCGATAAAGTCTATGCGACGCTGTTGCCTGCCGCGTACAAGGTGTACATTCCTGAGACGCCGGAATTTGTCACAAACGCCTGGGACACCATCAACAACAGCACAACGGCCGCTATCTCCTTCGCCGAAACAAAATACCCTGCGTTGAACAACTTGGCGAAACTAGGTCCAAAATGCACAAAGGAGATCTACGGCTACAACTCCAAGTACTACTTCTTCGATGAAAGCCTCTACGCCCACGCCTCCATGCTCCCAAGATACAACATCATCAGACAGATCATGTCTCTATTTCTAATCACATCTGTTTTCGGCTGGCTACTGTATTTCTCTGTGGCTTACTTGTCCTACGTCTTTGTCTACGACAAGACCAACTTCAACCACCCAAGATACCTGAAAAATCAAGTTTACATGGAGATCAAACAGGCATCCACTGCCATTCCTGTGATGGTTCTATTGACAATTCCTTGGTTCCTGCTAGAGCTTCATGGCTACTCAAAGCTTTACTGGAACGTAGATGAGTCCACCGGTGGATGGAAGGCTATCATCATGCAATTCCCAGCCTTCATTTTGTTCACCGACTGTGGTATCTATTTTATCCACAGAGCTCTGCACTGGCCTTCTCTGTACAAAAAGCTACACAAGCCACACCACAAATGGATTGTTTGTACCCCTTTTGCCTCCCATGCATTCCATCCTGTTGACGGCTACTTCCAATCTCTGCCTTACCACTGGTATCCCTTCTTCTTCCCATTGCACAAGGTTTCCTACCTATTTTTGTTCACCTTTGTCAACTTCTGGACCGTGATGATCCACGATGGTGAATACCTGTCGAACGATCCTGTTGTTAATGGTGCAGCTTGTCACACCATTCATCACCTGTATTTCAATTACAACTACGGCCAGTTCACCACTCTATGGGATAGATTAGGTGGTTCTTACAGAGAGCCAGACGCTGAGCTATTTGACAAGAACAAGAGAATAGACAAGAAAACGTGGGCCAAGCAATCCAAAATGATGGACCAAATCAGAAAAGATGTGGAAGGTAAGGACGACGATAGAGTTTACATCTCTTCAAGTTCAAAGAAAACCCAGTAGTTGATTTTCTTTTCAAAACTTATACACTTGTACATTAATTTCAGTTTGTGGAAATTGTTCACACGGATCTGACGCTTATGCTTTGGTCATCTGGTTGGTTTAGTTTGGGTGATTCATGATGGGAGTTGGAGTATGAAAAAAAAGATCGAAGTATGAAGAAGAAGGCAAGTATGAGGACTTTCCACTTTTTTCGATTTCAATTCTAATCAGAGTTTTTGTGTTATTGACTCTTTAAACTTATAAAATTATGTAACGACTCTAAAATATATTTTAGGAAATAAATCACGAGAAAAGGGCTCATGAAAAAAAAACACTTGCTGACACTCTGACCCGCTTTCCCTAAGTTGCTCTTTCTAAAATATTTCTGATCTTTTGAACAATTGCGCAGCATTGCTCTTCGTGATATCTTTTGCAAACAAGTTGTAATGAAACTGGTTTACCTAACTGGTCGTCAAGGTTAAAATACTTCCAATTCTTTTCATCCATCGAGTTGATGAAATTATCTCTGATAAAACCAGTGTCATTCTGATCAACTTTACCAACGGAGAACGTCATTGCAGTGTAATCCAAAACATTCAACGATCTAGTGTAAAAGTTGGAAATCTGGTCACTTTCGCCCTGTTTCCAGCATACTGTTGAATAAGTAGGCATGATGAAACAATCGATATCTTGAAAGATTTCATCAAACTTCACTTGATACTCATATTTGAGACCTACTTTGTTTGCAAAGTCTGATACAGTGTCAACCTTACCTGGTCTAGCAAAACATTGTTGAAAAAGTTTAGAAAATGGCTCACCACTTAGCTTGCAGAATTCTTCCATTTCTTCAAAATTATCGGTACTATAAAGACTCAATAATAGCTTACCCAAAGTCGAAAGTTTGACAGGAATTTTTTTTTCATCTATTTCAACACATTCGAAATTACTATCTGATTTGCTCAAGGTTTCTTTCAACTTCTCAATGTTGTTCAAGATTGGCGGGTGTGGTAAAATTTCACCATCCCACTTAAGGAATCCTATTTTGATCTTGCTTTGTTCCTCAAGTTTACTGCTATTCCATTTGAGCGGAATGTGCTTTGGATCGACGTCGCATAGAGGGTGGCCTAAAATAACGCTTGAAACCAAAACCAAATCGTCTATATTCTTACAAATTGGGCCGACAACGGAACAAACACCGATTTGGTTGGGATAGGAGTTTGCAATATCCAGGTAAGGAAATCTGTTCGAGCTTGCTCTTAGACCATACAATCCATGGACGTAACTTGGGATTCTAATGGAACCTCCGATATCGGTCCCCAACCCAATGATGGATCCCCCACCGCCAATTAATGCACCTTCGCCTCCAGAGGAGCCACCACAAGCCATATGCCTGTCCAAAGAATTGTAGGTATCGCCCAAATTACTCGAGGTCTCCCCACCTAACATTGCCATAGGAACAGTTGTTTTGACATAAAAAACTGCACCTTCGTTTTGCAAGATTTTCGCAATCAAGGATATATCATTCTCGGAGCTTCTATGGGTTATCTTCTTTTCAAACTCTTCTGAGATGTGTGGCGCAATGTAACCAATTGCCGTAGTGATCCCTGGTAAATTTATTTGATCTTTCAATGAGATAGGAATCCCATGTAACTTACCAACCATTTTTTTATTCTGGAGAAAATAAGCATCTAGTTCTTTTGCTTTTTGAAATGCCAAATCATAGAAAATTTCGGTGCAGCAATTTGTAAGTTGATGCAGCAAAGCAGATCTGTGACAGAATGCGTATGCGATGTCATATGCAGTTAATTGGCCCACCTCTTGTAACCGCAACAGCTCAACTGCACTTTTGCTTGTGATTTCGTTCTCTTCACTTGGAAGAATTCGGTTGAGGTACTTCTCTGCGTTGGGCTCCTCGTCAGCTGATGGAACCTTTGCTAGTATCCATTCGGAGGGGATTTTGTCAAGGAGGCTTTGAGCCTTTTTTGCAGCTACCTGCTTGTAGTCTTGGGTCATTTTTCTTCTACTATTTGCTTCTGTGCTTCTGATTTGATCACTGTTTCAGAAAGTTTACACAACCGACTGTTTGGAAACACGATAGAACAGAAAGGAGAACGAGATCAAGAATTATTATGACCTAGGCTTAGAACTAGAACGGGAACTAGGACTTTAGTTTATATAAACGAAAAATTAGGGCGATATCAAAAATAAGGCAAAGTCAGGGCTAGAAACAGAGTTTATGTCGTGCTTGAAATTAGAAGTAGATATACAGTTGATGGGTATTTAAAATACAAAGATGTAGTCGTACATGATTGAAGTAGCTCCGGACCGGCCATTGTGGTTGTCTCTGATGCCTCAGTTATAGATACCGGCGCCATGGCATGCCCAAAAGGGGAAGGCCCTTCGGCAAGAAAGAAGCCGCTAGCTGACGTAAGCGGTCGGTGGATTGACAGGTGTCCGTTTGTTGGGCGGTCAGCTTGTCGGCACTAGAGCACCAGACAACTGATGTAGACCACAAACATGCCCGAAACGAAAAGCAAAGAGTTGGCGTTGAAAGGTTCAAAGAGGTCAGTAGGCTGGAACTCTAGCGGTCCATAAATGCTCTGCACTTTTGGCGGCAGGGTCGAGATGGTCTCAATTATGGAAGCTGTTGCGGCGTTGAAGGGTGTGTCCGCCCGGTCCGCCTGCTTGCTTGACACCGCCCTGTGAAACTCATCGACGGTATGTTCGGAGAGCGGGTAGCCCAGTTGTGGGTAGCCCCTCGACTGGACATGTTTGTTGTAGTAATAGTTCACCAGGAGAAACACCACGGCGATGAGCGGGACGGCGCACCTCCGCACACTGTCCTTCAGAGCTGGATGCTGGTGCCGCAAGCGGGAAATTCTTACTGCCAGGCTTGGTCCTGCGTGTCGCTTGCTTGGTTCCATGTGGTTGTTTGTGAAAATGAGGTGGGGGAGGAAGGGCAAGGAAAGATGGGCCACTGTAGTTGCTGAAATTTGCCTGGTCGTGGAAAGAAAGGTCGAGTAGGCACTGGATCACAACGAGGTCGGCTGTCTCTCTTTTCTGTGTTTGTTTCTTTCACAAGGCAAAACCGTTCGCAATCCCCCTAGCACCCTTGGGGCCAAACTTTATCCCTTCCGGAGGAACTGGTTTTCAGACCGACTGACTGACAAACAAACAAACAAAAACAAACAATGGAACCGAAACGAGAAAACCGAGCGAAAAAGGGAAAAAAATGAAAAAAAACATTACATCACCGTCACGTGCCGTACCCAGACTCTAATTCGGCACTCCAATTCGGCAATATCCTGTGTATCATCTTCTACCGGTTCAATGTGGGCTTAACCTTAGTCAGCGTCTTCCCGTTGCTGCCTCCTCCGGGAAAGCAGCTCAGACATGAGCTCTGGTGCATCGTCCAAGGTGCTGTTGGTGGTGTCATACCTCTCGCCCGTGCTGTCGAAGGGGTCCTGCGTGTTGGCGACGGGCTTCCGCATCGGCTTCTCCTGTGGTTGCAGGGAGAGAATAGGATGGTTCTTCATCATTTCGGAACGAGCAAAGTCAAGAGCCTTTTGTCTGCCTTTGTCAGTACGGAGAAGCTTTCCTCCTGCCCCATACTTGGGTGAAGACGGAAACCTTATACTAACTTCCTCCTCCTCTTCCTCTTCTTCTTCTTCCTCTTGCTCGTCTTTTCCTCGGGTTCTTGTATCTTTGTTGGTCTCGCTCATGCTCCTGTCTCCCACCTCATTGCTACTCTGACGCTGGTTTCTTCCGTGGGCACTACTTGGCCGGCGCTTCCGCTTCTTGGTATGGCCCGAGGTAAACTTGGACGACTGCAGCACGGGAGGCTCCTCCCACGGCGGCGACTCGTAGCCAGCCATGATTTCTTTCACGTAGCTGTTCGCTAGATTGTCTTCTGAGGGTCCAGTGTTTTCTCTGTCGCCTTCTGCCTCTCTTTCCGGCGTATGTGCTGCAATGTTTTGCTGCTTCAGGTGTTTTCCCGTTGACTCATCGTCCGCATTCATTCTGAAATCCCTCAAAAAAGTCTCTGTGCCAATGCTATTGGAATTATCTTTGAGATAATCGGGAAGTTTGTTTAGCTTCAGTGTGGTGGCAGTGTGTGTTACGCTGACGTCCTTCTCACCGGCAGATTCCAAGTTCTGTTTGTACCTGTCCTTGATATCCTTAAACTCAGAAAGCTCGGAGGTAATGTTGTTTGCACTCCTGTTACGCTCAAAATCACTTGACTCTCCAGCCCTCTTTAAATTTTCATCTGAATCCCCTGTCCGGTCTTGGCTATTGTCACTGTCATTCATCTGCTGTAATCCGATATCCTTCTTGGTGAGGATGTTGACATTGGCGGCATTTTCAAAAAATTCCTTGATGTGGCTGATGTTGTTGTAGATTTTATTCGAGTTTTTGTTGAATGCTTCAAGTGACGGTATCAACTTGTTGCTCACAATGTTGTTAGACTGCATCAAATTCTCGTTGATTTTCTGCAGGTTTAACGTTATCAACTGCTCCACTCGGTCTACTTCGTCCAAAACTCTTTCTCTATCTGTATTTTGCTTGATCGAGCTAGACTCAAAATAAAACGAGAGCCTAGGCTGTTTATCTGTCCCATCTTCGTCCACTTCAGTATCTTCTAGCTCTTCTGGCTGCTTTCTCCTCTCGCTTTTCTGCCTAATTTGGTATTCCTTTCCTGGCTCATATGTCCTTTTCATGCTAGTTTAATCAATTGTTCTTGCAGAGAAGAGAGCCTTCATTCTATTGCAACTTTTACTTGTGAAACAGCCTTGTTCAATCCAACACGGTGACACGAAATAGTATTTTACCAGAGAAGCCCAAATTTTGGCCATACCACCCCCAACCCACACAAAGCGCGTCTTATTCTTTTCACCTTCGCAGATTCCATGTACCACACTACTTCAAAGATATCATTCAGTGAGTGTTTCTACCGCTGGAGACGGCTTTTCCGCTTTAGATAGTTTGATAGAGCAGTTACGGCTAACATTCCCTTTGACTGTCACTAAACAATGGTAGGTTTGCCTTTTACTTGGAAAAAGGTACAAATGCCAAAAAATAAAAGGTCGTACCCGGATTCGAACTGGGGTTGTTCGGATCAAAACCGAAAGTGATAACCACTACACTATACAACCAGTTATGCAGCTTATTTTTGCTTAATACATTATAGCCCCCTGTCACAATTCTTGAATTTTATATAGTACGGTGGTAATAAAACTATATCAGTGTCTAATGACATGACTATACTTACCAACAAATAAAATCTACATAAATGTGTAAAACAGAATTTATTTCATTTATGCTTGAGCAGTAATTCTGAAATATCAATTGAAAGAAAAGTGAGTCACGTGACTGAAGTTCCTCTAGAACTGCGCAATTGAGCCGGGCTGTGTACGAGGGCGCGTGGTGCAATGGTTAGCATGTCTTCTTCCGGCGGAGATGGTTGCGGGTTCGAGTCCCGCCGTGCTCTTGTATTAATTTGTTTTTGACAGATTGATTGTTATTTTTTTTTATCCATCTGTTTCATCAATCTGTCTTTTGCTTACAATAGAATAAACTGTTTTTGCTAAGAAAAAACTTGATTTTATGAGCTATCCAGAATATTTAGAAAACGTAGAAAATAGTGAAAGAAAAATAAATATAAATTGACCGAAACTTTAAACTAATAAAACAGCATTGACGACACCGTCTCTGTCTGGTTCGTTTGTAATTTGTGCGTATTTACCCCAAACAACTTTACCACCAGCGGTAACTAATCCAAGTTCTGATACATTCACTTCAATAATTGTACCCTTGGTCAATACACCCATCTGAGTGTACATTGGAGATTGTGGATTTTTCTTGACAGATAAGATTGGGAGTAACACAGTCACTCCGAGTTCAGGGTGTGTCACATTGGCTTTCTTTTGTCTTAAGGCAGATGGTCTGATGATTCTTTCCATCTTCACAGGTCTTCTCGTGAACCCTTCTCCAACGAAGGTATGTTTCGTGATCATTCTCTTCCAGGATTTGGATTTTGACTTACCTGTCCTGATAACCTTGAACATCTCTTCCTCGCTGATACCTCTTACCTTAGGCAATGGAACAGAATATTTATCAGCCTTTTCCATTCTCTTCTGCTTGATGGAGGATGAAATGGCCTTGGCGGTATTCTGCTGCTGTCTGTCCAACAAATAGGTAGGTAAAGCTTCACCGTCATCCTCCTTAGGCTTGGATGGTCCCTTCAATTTACTTTCTTCATGGGCCTTAATCTTCTTCTTCATAGCAACCTTCTCAGCGTAACGCTTCTTAGCGAACTGCTTACCCTTCCAACCCTTCAAACTCTGTGCATCTTTGGCAATTCTATGGGATTCTCTAGCCTCTCTCTTCCTCTTTCTTTCATCATGATCTAATCTTTTACCATGCTTTTTGATATGCTGTTCAATATAGTCGTTTTGAGGCATATTGGATTCACTGCTGCAATGATGCTTGCTTCTTGCTCTTCTCTTTGGCTTCTCTCAAACTAGCTGTTGAAAGAAACCTTTGTGAAGAAAAATTAAGATAATCAATCATTTTTATGAGAGAAAATTTTTTTTCAGGCGCTATTTTTTTCTTTTCCTTTATTCATGTTTCTGATAGAGAGCTTACACTAATAGCCATAATGAGTTCCAGGTTTTTAGTTAATTAGTTCGACTTACACAGTTTGGTGGCCACTATACATCATTCTAGTTAAAGATGTCATCTCAGAAAGATGCGCTGCTAGACCAAATACTTTCCTCGATTACTGACTCCATCGACTCAACATCAACCGTTGTTGAAAAGTTAGAGGAAGAGTTTAGTCTGAAAAATAAAGATGAATATCCAGAAGTAGTTAGAAACTTGATAAAATCTGGAGATTCAACTACATCCAATGCCTTGAACCCTGTCTCATTACTTTCTTTGAAAAATTCGGCTTTGCTTGGATACGTGACAGATTTGGCATTACTTTTGGCTATTCGCTTGGAATCAATCAAAGAAGAAAAAAACACCTCCAATAACGAGGAAAACGTTCTGAATTCGATTGTCACTAACCGTGTTGTTCTCGAGAAAGGAATTAAATCATTAGAAAAGAAAATAAATTATCAATTAGAGAAAATGGTGAATGCATTCCATAGGAGAGAAAAAGAACAGAGTGATCTTGAACATAAAGTGAAAGAACAACAAGAGCAAGACAGCTCGAAGGAAGAAAATGAAGAGGAAGAAGAAGAGGAAGAAGAGGAAGATGAAGGCCTTGGTTTCAAGCCTAATCCATCGGCCCTACTATCACGCGGAGCAGAGAAAGGGCGAACTCCGACTAAAGATGACATCGTTGAAGAGGCTGCTGAAGATGATGATCAAGGGGAGAAAAAAGTTGGAAAATATAAACCTCCTAAGATTTCTGCTGCAGCAATCAATGACCCAGATAAGCAGCTCAAGAATAGAAAGCAGCGAAACTTACAGAGTATGGATGAGTATCTTCAAGATATAAGTGAAGCTCCAGCTACGGAAAAGTCCATTGGTTCAACGATTATTAATAAAGGTAGAGATGTTAAGTCTAGAAAGCAAATGGAGAAAGAAGCCGAAATTCAACGGTACGAGGAAGAGAACTTTACCAGACTTCCAGCAACCAAAACAAAGGAAGATAAGAGAGAAAGAGCGAAGAGAATGCGCAATGAGTTCTTTGGTGAAGATTGGAGTATGTTTGATAATAACATGGATATAAATAGCAACGGAAATGGCAGTACCAAAAAGAGGAAGAGAGTGAGTGCTTGGGAGAGAGCAAAGCGTAAGATTGACGATTGACTGGTATAAAATGTATACAGGCTTAACATGAACACATTATATTTTTAAAAGGTAAGCTATCATAGTTCAGCGTAGAAATAGTGAGAGAGTAAATGGAGTTTGAAAAAATGTAAAAGTGAAAGTAAAAGTAAATAAGAAGAGAGAAAGACAAAGAGGGAAAAAACAAAAAGTACAAGAAACTTTACAAGGGATATAACCAACTACTTTATTTTCAAAGCACCAACGGCTTAACTACTGCTCAGTACCTTCTTCTTCATATGTAAAAATAAAAGGAGCAAAGGCTATCAAATCCTCTACCACTCTTTGCTGAACATCCAATTCTTCTTTCGAGTTAAAATCTCCACCCAGGAGATTGTTTGCCCAAACAATTGAAATATTCTTACTATCCATCCTTACTCTTGGCATTTGAATCAAACGTTTAAAATGCCCCAATAAGTCCCTCAACGTGAAATAGTTCGAGTCAGGGAGCTCGAAAACGAGTTGGTGCATTTTCGTTTGTCTTTCTGTCTTATCACTTAATTGAGCAGCTTGTAGGTATACATCTCGTTGTTCATTAGTAAGTAAAGGTTCAGGTAACATTGCAAAGAATCGCTTCATCAAAGATGCAATCAAGTAAACGTATTCAGAAGAAACGTTGGTAGTATCCTGAGGTTCGAGAAGAGACAAGTTCTCTGGATTCTTATCCAGTGCCACTTGTAACTCTTCCAAATTAGCCTTATTTGGACTCAGCCGATAAACACCTTCCGAGTTAGAGCCATAGGTCTCTATCATAGTAATACATTTCGTGACAAACATTGGAACTGCTTCCTCATTGATATCCAACACTTCTAGGGGTAGACCAAACAGTTTTCCTTCCTCTGAGGTGGAAGCAGGGGAAGATTCTACCGGGTTATCGCCATTATTGAAATTAATACTGTTATCATTGAACGAAGAGGTAGATGAGTTGGCGTTGATTTCAGATTCCACTGGTCGAGGACCATTGAGCAATGGACTATGGCGTCCAGGATCCAATGAACTATAAGCAGGTGGAGCCTTGTTTTCTAAAGAAGGTATCGGAGGTATTATTGCATCAGAATTTGAGCTAGCTGGTGATCTGAACTCAGACTGTGAAGTTTGTGTATTTTTAGTTGGAGAAGTGAAGGGTGGAGATAAGTTGGAGTTTACTGACGTATTGAAGGTAGGATTGGAGTTCATATGTGTTGCAGGTTTTGAGTTGATATTATTGGTGGTACTTCCAGTAGCGGTGGCAAGTGCTTTGTTCGTAGTTGTATTGTTATTCGCTTTTCCACTGTTGTTTGATAATGTTGCCGCTGTTGTTGATTTGGGCTTTGGTAGTATTCCACCAACGATTGGATGCCTCGTGAAATCAACAGGCTCCAGATTCTCGTTTGATTTGACTGTTGAACCTTTGAGGTAGTAATAGAGACACTTTTCAACGTCGACGCTTGTGGCTATTTTTTTCATTGAGTCTGAACCATTGATAGGATTGATCTGATTCCCCATTCCAACAACTAGACTCTCTGTATAAATGGAGTACTTCTGAAGCTGAATTTGCATTGCATAGTCCAATTCTACTATTAGGTTCTTGAAATCGTTGGCAATATTGGGTCTGTGGGTTTTTATCAACACGTTCTTCAACCTTTGTGAAGTGTTCGCCTTTTTGTTATATTCGTCTTCGGCGTCTTTGATCTTCGACTTGAGGTCCTCCTCCTGTTGAGAGTTAGTTTTTCTACCTTGCAAGGTAATCTTTGTTTGATTCTTGTCTGAATTCCTTACCTTCTCAAGCTCCGAACATAGATTCCAGTATTTATTTCTGGCCTTCTTTGCCAAGTTTATTGCATCAATTACTTCCTTCTCTGCTCTGTTTCCCTTCTCCTTCAACTGTTTTCTCAACGTGGTGAAGTGGTGGGCTAAGGATTCCAGCTGGTTTGAGATTGTCTGCAACGCAGTAATGTATGGATCCCTTACTCCATTGACCTTCTCATCAAACTGGATCACCTTCTGTAGACTCTGAATGAACGAACCCTGAACAATCAAGTTGTTTGTGACGATCGAGTGGTTGCAGTGGTTGGTGGTCCGGGCAACTTCCTTCGAATATTTCTGCTCATAATGGCACTTTCGGGTCACATACGAGGAGAACTCTTCACATGCTTTCACACTTTGCTTGAGACGCTGGGATAGTATGTCGAAACTCGAATCAGATGCTAGGATGGCCTTTACTCGGTCATCCTGAAGTAGTTCGGCGCTAGAGGGGGCGTTGGTGTTGCTCATGACTAACTACCAGCTGCTGCTGATACTGCTGCTGCTGATGCTCTCTCTGATGACAGGATTGGCAGAGATGGGTCCCAGGGACAGCAATACGGCAAGAGAGTCAAGAAGACTGGCAAACACTCAAACAAACAAACGCCTGGAAATATACCCGCTCGGGCCACCACCACACGAAAAATGACAGACGGGCCGACTCACGGGTCTGTTCTGTTGAGGACGTGCTGCTCCACTTACACGAAGAGGATGCATTTGCGTGTTTTATTGGAATCATGATATCTACAAGATTAGGGTTGGTATAGGTAAAGACCCAGGTACTATGAGACTTCAGAACAGGGGGAAAGAGAGGGGGCGGAGGAGGCTGCGGCTGTCATTCTGGCGACAGCCTTGAGATGAGCATGTCCCGCTCCACGGCGGTCTCTGCAACAATCGATCTGTTGGAACCAGAGATGATTATTTACGAGCTCGGAAAGGTCGATCCGGTGGTCGACGTTGACCGTGAGCAACTGCAGTATCAGACTGTCGACGGGGCTCTTGTTGGCCACGTACTGAGGGTCCTGGTCGTTAGCTATTCGGCGAACCGAAACGACGGCGTTCTCGAGAGTGGGGTGCCGCCTGTAAGAGATAAATGCTTTGTCGTCGTGTCTGGCGTTCTTCCACTTTTGCTTCGACACGTAGAACAGATTGATGAGCAGGATCCCGAGAGACCACACATCGCATTTGAAGGAGTCGTACATGAGCTGGGCATGGATCTCCGGAGCAGCGTACGATGGCGACCCTGCCATTCCGTAACCGACGTTCCCCATCGTAGCAGATCCAAAGTCGAACAGCTTGAGGTCACCTTGAGGGTCGATACCGCAATTCTCAAGCTTGATATCTCGATGTCCGATGCCGTTTGACTGCAAGTAGTAAAGGCCTTCGGCAACCTGTTTGAAATAGCACAACCGGTCTGCCTGGTCCAGCATGGGGCCATACGTCGTGTACAGTGCCTGTAACGTGCAGGGGAGATACTCCAGAACAACACAGAACTGCTCGTGTCTCACCCGGAAGGACTCCACGAGTCTTACCACGTGATAGCCATCGTCGACTCCTTTGTGGATCTCTACCTCTTTCCCGATCGCATTCATATCGTCGACATCCTTCAAGTTCTTCTTTACAAAACACTTCACGGCATACACCATATCATTGCTTTCATAAAGAAATACTTTGCTCGAGATCCCCTGACCAATACCTCTTTTCATCTTGCCGTACTTTTTCACCGGAAAACTGCGGTATACGTTGAAAAGACCCTCACGATTGCCACGACCAGCAACATTATCGTCCTGTTTGATTTTCTTTTCCCTCTGCAACACACTCCTCACCCATCCCATGCTGCCTTGTTTCTGCACAACAGCCAGTTCTGCGGAATGTGGCGAGTCGCAGTCAATAATCAACGGCACAACGTCTTCGGAATTTCTCTTATCGGCAGGCGAAGCAACTGTCGCACCACCTCTTAAGCTTTTCTTTTGTCCCGCAAGAGCACTCACTATACATCTCGGAATAAAGAGCCATAGCACCGTTCAGGAAGAAGCAGTGAAGCCACAGACCCGAGATTGCTATTCTCCCCAGTGATTGTTTCCTCATACTCGGTAAGAAAAACAAGGTTGGGGGCCTGGCACAATGGAGAGTCTTATATACCCGTCTTGTGCACCTGTGACTTCCTTATCTTTGGTCTCCGTATCAACAACTTCAGCCGATAGATGCCAGGTTAACAGCAGGAACTTGTCCCACCTGGATGATATATACAAGAACAGCATTTTCTCTCACTCATTTTCTGCAACACAGAGCCGGCAGAACCAGGATGGCACAGAGACCCGACAGAATTCAAAATCCTCAATAGACTCTGATATCTCAACTGCTTCCACAACATATTCCAAGTCTAGGTCAAACTCAAACTTGGTTACTCTTTCTCCCTCTCTGAAAACTGCCTATCTCATCAAAAGAGGCTCCTTCAAAAAACAACGATCGTTTTGCAATTCGATAGAAGATACAATTTTCGACAGCAGCGGGTTTTCTTACTTTTCTCATAGATCTTCGATAACATCAGTAAGTTCTGTCGAAGGCAATGGCCCACACCCACTCATGGTACCAGAGTCCGTCATCGACGACGACGAAAGTAATAAAGACAGATTCTTTACAAAGACCAGCGAGGAAAGTGACAACATAGACTACGCTTCCTACACTCCACAAAAAGAGATACTGAAGCCTCCTGATGAACAAACTCCATCAAGCCTTAAAAAAACTACAGAGGGGTTGTTACCTTTTTTGAAAAAACTGCATGGTGCTATCCAGAGATCATCAAATTCCTTTTATGAGCTGAAGCTCGCTCAACTAAACTTGAGATCGACTGAGGAGGTTCCCTTGGAGACTTTTGCGCAGAAATTTGAAGCTTTGCCTACGGCACACGAGAATGTTGACCTGAATCCAAATCTGGTTGACTCAGAGAATTTTCTTCCTCTTCAGCTGTGTGGCAAAACTAGGAGAATAAGGGAACATCGTGTCAATCCTTACTATTTGCTACAGTATGCATTGGATACCTCAGTTAGAGAAAAGAAATTGCTCAATTGCATTCCCAATGAAGAATTGGATATCTTCGATAATTTACTCTTGGAGAGATACTCAGAGTTGTCCGAATCCATAACTTTTCCTTTGAATGAACAAATTTTTGACGAGATGTTCTATTTGAAACTCCAGTCTCAACTACAGTTTTTCAACAATTATGAAAATGTTAACGATGAACACATATACCATCTTAAGCTGGCTTCGATAGCGAGATTCAAATTATGCGCAACCATAACCTTACCACCCCGTCTGGATGACGTCCCTAGCATCAGTTCTCTAATTGATGATATCTACCCTACCGCCTCATTGGATACTTGCCACGTACCTTGGTTAAACATAATGGATTTGAAGTCAGGAAAGGCTATCAATCGACTTACTCGATCTGCTGGCCTCTTGAAGGGTTCAAATATTCAGTATGTTTCAAAAAAATGTTCAAGCAAACGTTGGGTTTGCGTGAATAATGATCAAGTAGACAAGCAATTTATGTAAACCACTTAAATAAAATTGACGAGAATACATCTGCTGGTCAGGTGTGTCTTCATGAATCTGAAATCTCTGTAACTTCTCCGCTCGTGTCCGTCAAATCAATGTTCTTTTCCTGAGAAACGTCGGTCGCCTCATCAGCTTGTGTTTCTTCTTCAAGGATGACACTGCTATCCCTACTAGTCTCCTTCTTGCCTGAATTTGCAGTAGCTTCGCTAGTATCCTGTTGCGTGTCAGGCCTAAAGCTCCTGCCTCTTTTATTAAACACCAGCGAGTCATCTGTGGTAGAAGAGACATGAGAATTCTCCAACGGTCGAGTTTCACTTGTTTCAGCAATCATTTTAGGGGTGTAATTGAGAAGTTTCATACGTTTATTTCTCTCTCTTTGCATCCAGTCCAAGTCTTCATCATCATCATTCATTTTCTTACCCTGTTGAACTTCTTCTTCCATCTTAACTCCTTTCATATCATTATCGAGATTGTCAGTTTTCCTTTTCCTTGTACTGGTGAAAAAAGTATCATCCTTACCATCCATTTTTTCCACCAACTCCCGCTTATCTTCGAGTAATGAGTTTACCAAGGGAAGAAAATAATTGGTTATTCGATTTTTCATCAATCTAACACTGTTACCAAGCTTCCCTATTTCCTTTTTGTCGTTTAGCAGATTAATCTGATGCATATATCTCGTCTTTTCCAATTTCCATTTCTCTTCCTTCTTCCTATGCTCAATGCTCTCCTTATAAAAACGCTCCAAATCTTCTACAAAAAACTCGTCAATGTCTATGGTTGAGTTTTCTGTCAATTCCACCTTAAACAACATTTTGAATAAGCCTAAGTGCAGAATCCTTATCGACCAAAAAAGCCTTTCATCAACCTTTACAAGCCCAAACTCGTAGTTTGAACCATCGTACTTTCCATCCATCAACAGGCCGTAAATCCATACGTGCATTTGACCAAGTCCAATTCCCTTGGCTATTCCATCCTCTGTTACTTTTCTTATCAAGTGGCCGTCAATATGACCTTGATATTGCACGAAGTCTTCATTTTTTGGAGCTAAGATATCAACCCATATGATAATATTTCCCCAATTATCAAAACTCTCATTATCGGTTACTTCGTGCTTGGCCAATCCCCCCCTCATGTAGGACAGAACAGGATCGCTTTTATCTTGAACTTCATCTGACAAATTTCTTTTTAAAGTGGGATCTGCATTGGTTATACGGATTCTGGTGTAAAGCTTTCGAGATTCAGTTGTAGTTCCTAAACTTTTATCTTGATATTCAGAATCACTTTCTCCGGAAAAATCTCTAGTGAATACCACTCTTGAATTCATTCCTTCATTAGAATGAGCAGCGCTGTTGACTATTCTTGTAACTTTCAAATAGCTATTTTGTGTATCCTTCTCCAACTACTTGTCTTCAAAGGCGGAGCCCGCCCTCAAATCGACTCCGCAATTGTTCGAGGACCAAAAAATGGTTTTCTTTTGCTCCTACAAATCATCTGCCATTTCGGAGAACTCTCGGCTGTCGGCAGAATTTCCCAATGCGGAAGGTTTGCACATTTGACGTTGTTCTATATTTGTTGCCTACATGCTTTCTAACTATACAAAGTAGTAATACATTATCATTCCAAGCCCCCGACAATAATTCCCATCACATCATTGACACGACCCAAAAGATTATCTATCTCTTCGATGTAGACATTGGTCTCGTTGGACTCTTCTGGTTCTGAAATTCCCATACTTAGGCTCAAACTCATCATTTTGTTCATGCTCAGCTGTGAAAGATCAATAATTTTCAGGAGCTTTTCGCCGGCAAAAACACACTGACTGGCACCATTTGCCTTCACAGGTGATACGTTACCATTGTCATGCATTGTCATCATCCCCAGTCCTGTCACGATATTGTCGACGTTAGAACTACTGGTATTGTTGGAAGCGGTCGTGTTTGCGTTAGTCAGTGTGATATCTGCTTGTTCCGAGTCATCCGATGTTGAAGTGGTTGAGCCATTTCTTTGTTGGTTTTCACTACCATGTTGCACAGAATTATTAGATTGGTGCGTCTGGTATTTAGTTGCCGATTCTGTAGACATCTTTCTTTCGTTAAAGTTAAAGTTATTAGCGGCAGCATTTGAAACAGCGGTTGTATATCCATGCTGATACGTCTTCATGGAAGTTTGCGAGCCCTGTATATGACTAGCCAGACTAGTACTACTCGGAAATCCAAATGGGCCTGGATTGACCGTACCATTATCGTTTACATTTTCTTTTTCAGGAGTAACGATACTGGTATGGGGCTTTTCGGTGACTGGAGTCATCGCCAATGGTATTGAGGACACAGCATTTACATCAAATCCAAACTGATTTTTCTCTGAGCTATCATGATTTGGGAGTATACCCTGGTTCTGTTTTGATGCAAAATTGTTATCCTTGTTGAAGGTACTCGGGAAAGCCGACATTGTTGCAGATACCGGAACTGGCATTTGTATTCTCATCTGAGCTCTAGATCTGATTGAAGAATCAAGCATATCGGAATTTGAAGAAGTTGCTACTGGTGCAGTTTGCGGTCCACCATGAGAGGCAGATGCGTGGGATGTTGTAATATTTGCTAAACCCTGTGTGCCTTGGGTTTATGTGAGTTATTTAGCGGCTGTAGTAAAGGCTGCGAGATACCCACAGGCAAAGGTTTCATATGAAGCGGACTAGATTGTTTTGAGGGGGAAGGTTGGAGATTGGTATTGATATTGTCTAATGCTTTAGCAGGTGATGGAGTTCTATGAGAAATAGAAAGAGCTGGCTTTCTAGCCGGTAGAGGTTGGTCATTTATCAGCGCCTCCACCTTTGTGTTGTGGTTCATAGCAGTGACTGTGGCTGCTCTCGATCTCTGCTTTTCCCTTTGCTGTATTTCGTTTTCGATTACGTCCATATTTGGTATTTCAATTGATATTATTGGTGAAGTGATGGGCTGTCGTAGCTGAACTGGTGCTGGCACGCTATCTTGAGACTGTTTAGGAGGCGGAATTGATATTGAGAGATCTCTTTTTTCGTTATCAATATCTAAGATGTTTCCGTTACTGCTGTTAAAGACCTCAGCAATGTTGGTATCATCAGTGACATCAGAAAAAAGCTGCAAGAGAGATTTAGGAGCCTCTTTTTTGATCGGTGTATCCATGTGCGAGTTCATCATCGTGTCTTTCTGAGTTCCGTTTGCCGTCAACGTTACCTTGCTGTTTTCGCCCATTATATTGTTCACCATAGTGTTTCCCATTGTGAATGTCCTGTTGTAGGGAGAAGTTGTGAAGTCCCTAAAGTTAGTGTTAGTCTCAAAAAATGACTCGTCAAATTTGTCATTTTCATCCGTTGCTAGGTTGATATCATTCTCAACAATATACTCCGCAGACTTCAAAGAGTCAAAGTCCCATTTAATATCATAGTTTTCTCCATCTTCAAGGCTCAAAGAGGTTTCAGCCAGAGAGCTTGCCGAAGAGCCAGCATGATGGGGCTTGAAGTGATTTAAGTCGCTCTGCTTAGTATTTAACGTGGCACATGGCTCATCTTCGATTTGCAGTGTGTCTCTCTTCGATTTGGTGTCTCTCCAGATCAAATATTTTCCAATAACTTCCTTTAGGAGTACCGTTGGCAAAGCTTTTGTGTTCTTAATGAACTTTGATCTCAGTAACTCCTCAGCATTAGGCCTCAAATCTTGCTTTTCTTCCAAACAAATGGCTATGATCTCCTTGAGAAGTGGCCCATATTGTCTGCCCTCCAATCTTGGAGGCTCGTGCTGCGTAATAAATTGCATAGCTCTCAAGGCATCCTTGTCACTGTAAGGCGGGTTCCCTGTGGCCATCTCATATATAGTGACACCCGTGGACCAAATATCTGCTTTGGAGTTGTAGGTTGCACCTTCTGTGATCACTTCTGGTGCCATCCAGTAGGGTGTACCGGCCATTGTTGTTCTCTTCAAGGCGGTGGACGTCAATTGTGCAGCAACGCCAAAATCACACAACTTGACTTTCCCGTCCTTGCTAATCAAGATGTTCGCCGCTTTGATATCTCGGTGGATGACGCCATTTTCGTGGATAAACTGCAACGCTATCAAGAGCTCCCTCGTTACCACAGCAATGTACTTTTCCTGCAATGGACCGGGCTTCAACAATGTCCTCACTGAGCCACCAGCGCAGTAGTCCATTATAATCCACAATTTGTGCCCATTTAGGTAGGAGCCATAGTAGTGCGTGATGTTTGGGACATACTTCAAGTTTGACAAAAATTGTATCTCCTGCTGTATGTCTTTCACCTCCTCATGATCTGTGTCCAGGTTCAAGATTTTCACGGCAATCAGTTGCTTTGTGTCGATGTCAAGACCTTTATGAACCGTGCCGAACTTCCCCCGTCCGATTATTTCCAAAAGTTTGTACTTCTGCGAAATCGGTCTCTTGTCTGCCACCATCTCAAATGCTTAGTCTGTGCAGGTGCCTCCAAAGATCCATCTAGAGGGCTCTATTTCTGCCTCAAAAGTAGTAGGTAGACCATGAAACATGATAAATACCAGGCAGATCTTCAACACGCCTGCCCAACAAGAGCCGAGCTTTTGTCCGACGCGTCGATTGCGTCGATTGCGTCGATTATAGAACTTAGCGAGCAAGGGCTCTTTACTCTACAGCCGGGTAACGGCAGCCCTCCTTGTCGTCAGGATGGAAAAAAGAGGAGGAGGAAGGAGGTCGGAAGATGAGGCGAGACTTCTGGCCAGTTGAAGACAGCGTTGCAGCGGCACATGCAGCACGACTGAGAGCTGGATTTGCCGTGTAACCTCAAGAAGAAAGGGAAACAACATGCTGAAAAGTATACATGGGCCATCTGCCTTTGGTAGACTGCTAAAAGACACCAAGATCGCCCAATTACAGGCCTCGATCGGTAGTCGTGAGCTGAACGCCAACAATGGATTTCCGACTCACCAGGTTGTCGAATCACCAGCCTCATCATTCTCCAGAAGAGACTTCGGTTTGAAGATGAGAATCCCAAAGAAAATCAAAACACGGAGAATCATTGTGAACGACCTAGACAACAAATACGGATTGCCAAACTTCGAAACTCTCAACGGTGATTATTTCAAAAAGCTGAGATTCCAAGAACTGGGTATACCTGTGAATGCCACATATACCCAATTTATCAACTCCTCGAACTCCTCTCAGAACAAAACTACCACAACCCAGAACCCGCTTTTCGCAAGCTCTAAGGAGTATTCATCCCCACAAAACATTGCGGGCTTGTTGCACATCAAGAACCAACCGCTAAATTCAAAGCAGTTCGCTGAAGACATCAAACCGCAATTGAAGGCCTTGAGAAAACCTTTCTACAAGTGGCTCGTGAAAAACCACCCTGAAAGCATCTCAAAGAAGTCTCTCTATGATGAGTTCAAAAGATACATCGAGTTAGAGAAGCCACAGCTTTTCGGTAACTACAAGAACTACATCCCTTCCACATATGCCGAAAAACTTTCAGGTACTGGAGGTTTGAGTTACAATTTGAAAGGAAGACTTTTCCAAACTCCAAACGGGCCAAAAACTTCCAGAGTGGTTCCAGGAAGAATTGTTTCTAAGTACTCCAACTACACAAAATGTACAGTTGGTGGTTTCGTCGGAAACGTCGGAAACGTTGCCGCTAATAACAGTTATGTTGAAACATTGGCATTACAGAACAGGTCCATTGAAGATGACAAATTTGCTAGAGAGTTCAAAATACCTGCAACTGTTGTTAACGCAACTATGGTGTTGGACAACAAGAGTTTGGACTTGACGGTTAATCCTATCAAAAGAGCAAGTAATTTTGGAAAGAGAACGATAACCAAAAGAAACCCTGCTGAACAAAGTCTTGCTTTCTCGAGCTTGATGAACTTGCTCAACGATAAAGAGAAGACTAGCGATAAATAAATTCCCCACCATTTCGTGTAAATATAGACTTCATTTATAGATAATGAACGTGAAAGCCCTACTTGACCAGAATGTTTTTATACCTATATACATTTAAACGCGTTAACCACGGCTTTGAACAAGAACCCAGATATTATTAAATACATGATTTAAGTATAGTTTCGGACAAACATGTCACACCAAAATTTTCGAAATAAGCAACGCAGTGGCAACTGAAACATTCAGGGAGTCGACACATTCGTTCATTTCTCTACCATTAGTCACAGCAACCAAATACTCAGATTTGTTAATTAAGTTGGTGCGAATACCGGTACCCTCTGATCCAACAACTAGAATTACTGGCGACTTTTGTAAAATGTCAGAAATGAAATCTGTATCAACTTGTTTACTCTTATTTCTTGAATCATTTGGTGCAACAGTGGAAATAAACACCCAACCATTCTTTTTGCTTTCATCAAAAAAAGTAAGGGGCTTTCCGACTTTGAACAACTTGCTGAACTCTATTGCACCAGAACTTGACTTAGCAACCACTGGTGATAACGGAGCACAGTTCCTTTCACTAAAAACCACAAAATCTACTCCCAAGAAATATGCTGATCTCAAAATTGCACCAACATTATGAGGATCTGAGATTTCATCCAAATACAAACCAAGTGGGAACCTCTTACCATATGAGTTGACAGCAATCTCTTCAGTGCTTGAATCCCCAACTATGTCATTCAGGACCCTGACACTGAAATTATCTTCTGTTACCTCAGATCCCATTGACTTTATGGTTTCTATTTCCATAGGCCTTGTTTCGAGTACTATACCATTGTGCACTGCATTGTCTGTTAGAATATTAAGTTCCTGTTTAGTGGAATCTTTAACGTTGATATTGAGTTCCTTAGCTAATTCCATAATTTCGCTGAACTTGTCAGTATCTTTTGGACTGTGGAGGTACAATTTACCGAATCTTTTTCTTTTATTAGATTTTAGTGCTGCGAGGACAGCATTTGTACCAAATAAATGATCAATAAGCGCATTCGATCTTCTTTGTTTTAACACGTCTTTATAATAACGAGTTTCTTCATCTTGGCGAACGTATTCCATGCGCTCCCTTCTTTTCTTTCTTTCGATACCCTCGTATCTCTGCTCCATCTGTTCACGATGAGGTTTCTCCAGGATATGGTGGTGGGCGTGCTTTCTTTTGAACCATTTCTCCTTATCTTGACCATCTCTTTCCCATGCTTTTTTTGGCACATAAGCTGGCATGTTTCTGTCGAAATTCACACGTTTATTTGGCATCTCAACTCTATTGCTCTTGAATGGTGCCTTAATCTGTGTGGACTGCTGTCTCACCTGAGAGAGCACAGATCTTTCTAAAAGTATGACTGGTCGGTTTAACATTGCTAAATGAACAGTAATCAAAATGTTTTTTTCAACTTCCACCCCTTGTCCTTTTGTTTTGATAGGGACAAGTATCAAGTTCATGTAAAATGATTATATTAGAATTCAAAACTTTTCATCTCTTTTATGAGAAAAAAATTGTGAATTATTCTAAAAAAAGCGAGAAAAATAAGAGTGAGACAATCTTTTTGACGCATTAGAGCATTAAATGTGAAAATGCCTATTTATTAGGGCATCTCGGATACCTTTGAGATGAGCCGAACACTAAACAATCAAGTCCTACACATTTTCTAAAATTTAAGAGCATGAGCAGTACATAGAAACAAACAGGGCTTTTACATATCCTGAGAACTAAAATTCTTTCCAAAGTTACCCTCACCAAGTAATTGAACTTGAAGGTGGCGGTGGTGGAGGTGGTGGTGGGGGTGGAGAGAACGAAAGGGATTCATGGGCTGAAAGAACTTCATCATGAGGATGGCAATTTCCATGATGTTGCTCCAAATGGTGGTTGTGTGTGTGACTATGGCTACATCCACCGTCATGCTCGTGCTGATGGTTCGGATTTTGGCAATCGGGACGGGCTCTATTCTGTTGAAGTTTTCTCTCTTTTCTTTGCTCCAATAAATACCGCTGGTACGTTTCCATTTTCTCGTGGTGATTGGCCTTTTTTTGTAACCACTCGGTCAAAAAAACTGGTATTTCTCCGTAAACAATTTTGTATTCGCATAACTCACATAACCAGGCATCACTGTGAGAATTGCCAATGTATGTGTTTCCAATTCCATTTGTAGCGAGAGAGTTGTTCGAATTCTTCTTTTTCTTGTTTTTCTTTTTCTTTGATTTTTTTGTAACCTCCTCATTCAATTGGAGATCTTGAATCCGTAGCTTTTCCATGCACTCCCTTCGCAACTTTTGTTTCTGCTCAGGTGTGGGATCAGTGTAATATTCCAATTTCGGGGTTTCTCGTCTACTCCTGTTGATCTTCGACTGTTTAGCGTGCCTGACTTGACCTTTCAAATTAGTACTTTCCCTTTCTTCATCTTTGTGTTGTGCATTGTGTGGTCTGGAGTGTTGAGTTTCAAATTGCTGGTTCTGCAATTGCTCCGATGAATTTTGTACAGAATGCTGATTGGCTTTTGAGGCGTAAGATCCGAACTCTGCAGAATTTGATAAGCCTTCAAGTTGTTGCATATAGCGTTCTTTATACTGCTCCAATTGGGACGTGAACGTGTCAATAGATAATCCTTTTTTATCTAATTCTTCATCTGAAGCAAAATTTGATTCCTCAGCTTTAGGCAATAAATGATGATTATTTTCAAAAGATTTGGCTATTGCGCTAGCAATATCTTCCTCTAAATTGTAGTCTAATTTCAATGTTTCCAGCGCTTTGACAATTTGGGCATTGATTTTAGTCTTTAGAGCATCTTCACTTCCGGTGTGGATCAAATTCCCATTCTTATCGTACTCCAAAGTCAACTTACACGACTCGTCCTGACTGCTAGAACCATATTTTTCATTATTTTCGAAATTCTTGCTTCTATCACTCGGATCCTCGATCTGTTGAACACCATCAAAAAAGTTATCAAATTTCTTGTGGTGATTTATTATTTTTATCATTTGTTCTGTGTATTTGTCGGCTGCCTCTTTCGTTTTAGCTTCGTACTGGAGAGAATTTGGATTTTGCCCATTGCTCGGCGAATCAGAAGTAGTTTCTATAGACACGGATATATCATTGTTGACTTTCAACTTCTTCACACTGCTGCTGTTCACGCTTTTCAATAACTGGTTCATATCTGCATCTATTGGTGAATTCTGAAACAGCGGCGGCAAAGCTTGTTCATTTTTGACCTTCCCACTTTTTATTGCATCTAGGGTGGCTTTCAGTGTATGATCATAGATGGACAATTTTTTTTGTATTTCCAGTTTTTCTTCTTTCGAAAACCTGGTTAAAAAGTTCATGTTTGAGTCTGCAATTGAGCTAATACTGTTTTTTGCGCTTGAAAAATCGCCCTTTATATCCGAGTCAAAATTTACATCTTCATCACCTAAAATGGCAGTGTCCTTTTGCATCAGTAGCCCTGCTGCCATGTTGGCCATAAAATCCTTTGATGAAAGAATGTATTCTAGCTTATCTGCCTGAGACATGGATTGCAGATTCTCAATTTCTGTTGAATTGATGAACTCTTCGAGTTTTTGCACATGTTCCATCGCGGACAGCTCGTTGTCCTTTTGCTTCTGCATCATGTCCTCAGAGATGGAGCTACTGTATTAAATGTTTGTCTCCGCCGTTCTAGCATTCACTACTCATATAGCACACTTTCAAGAGTCTGGGTTTCTTCCATAATGAAACGTTGAAGCAAGCAGAGGAAGGAAAAAACGGAAGCTGGGAAAAAATTGGAATGTAATTACGTCAGCTGGCTCATCAGCTGGCTGAACTCCTTCCGGTTGTTGCTGAGCTTTCTTTTGATCTCTGCAACACACAATTTGTGTAATTTTCCACAACACAAAATAAGAAGTTCACGTCCCTGATGATCGCATAGCTGGAAGAACTCAAGCCCGACAACTGACTCTTCAATCAGCTTCTCATCGTGACTATTTCTTTGCGATCGTCTTCCCCTCGGCTGTTTTACGGTAGTGCCAGAAGTGTCTGCAGCCTTCACTTTTGAGACTGTGTCATTGATAATGCCTATCACGAGGGTTGAAAGGTCATCTGCTTTAATATTAGCAAATTCCATTATGCTGGTGCCATGTAGTCGTGTTATGATGGGGTGATTGATGAAGCGGTCGAGGATGTCCTCCCAAGTATTGCCTTCTTTTGCATCATAAACTAGCTGGCAGAGCAACAATTTGGTGTCTGTCGGATATTTATCCAGGTTTAAAGTTTGCTCGGCTGGCATTGCGGCTCTGGAGATGGCTGTGAAAAGGTAATGAAAAAGAAGGAAAATGAAGTGTCGAATGTGCTAATCAGTGGAATACATTCAGAATGTCTGTTATGTGCAGATGCTGGAAAAAAAAAGAAAATAGGAAAATTTCACGCGAAGGAATCAAATGTTTATATCGCAATTATCCATTATCAGTAACACCTTTGCACGGCCACATGAAGTCTTGTCTGTAATCAGGATCGCACAAAGCGAAAACACCCTGATTTATCCTTGTGATCAAGCTGGTGTGATGTCAGATCACTTTCACCAGGAAAATCCACGTTCTGAAATTCTGCACGAGAGATCCAAAATACCAATTCGGTCCGAATCTTCTTTCGGTAGTCCAGAAAAATGCGATCGGGTTGGAAGAGAAAGCGTCCACGGAGCCAGCACGTCTCGAAAAAGGAATTCGATGATGGCATACCCGCTGCAATCTTCAAGACTACCCATACCCATTAGCTCTTGCAACGACCTGAACTTCTTCTTGAATGATCCACGTGCTTCCACGAGTAAGATATCTAGAAATATATACAGTTCAAAGAGATTGTCTTTGGTTCATACTCAGTCGGACAAACCCAGATCGGATCATAGGCTCAGTATGAATGCAGAGAATTTGATGCCGGCAAAAGAAAACATGGTGCATCACTCAAATTTGCCCAAAATGTCCAGTTTATCGCTTGATTCAAAATTACACAAATCACCTAGCCTAAAATATAGCTCAGACACACCACTTAAAGCGAGAGCAAATAACACTGTATTGTCAAATCAGAATATACAAACTCCTAGAAAATCCCAACTAAAGTTCAGTTACATTACCCGGTCAAATCAAAAAGCTTTTGGCTCCGAATCATTGCCAAGCTCCCAAATATTGAACAGTAACGCTAGTCGTAACTCGTCTGTTACAAATATATCCCAAAATTTTAGCAAGGAACGTCGACTTTCTGCTGCATCCTCAAGAGCAAGCATCAGCCTAGGATGCAAAGGTAAAATCAAAAATGTTCGGGAACTTATTTCCATTATTCGAGAAAGTCCCACCTCGAGGTCAAAATTTGAGCTGTGTCAGCATACCTCTTCTTCGGTTCCCGATGAAGAAGATAGAAAAAAGTTTTATCCTTTCGAAGACTTGAGCTCTAAAAGGCCTGACTTATTCCAGAAATTAACTATGTACGAGCGAATTATGCAGTACCCACAAATATATTTTACAGGCCTCCCAAAACACCTGAAAGTCAAGTCAGATTTGAAAAATCCAAAATGTAACTATGGGTTTGATGACAAACGAGGGAACTATATAATATCAATAGGGGACCACATTAGATACAAATATGAAATCAATTCGACTTTAGGAAATGGAGCTTTTGGTTCTGTAGTATCAGTATCGGATCATTCAAGCAAATCTAAAATAGTTCTTGCTTGTAAAATAATCAAAAACGATCCTCGATGGTCTTTGCAAGCAGTAGAAGAAATAAAAATATTGAAGAAGTTGAACCATCCTAATATTGTCAAGTATGTTGAACACTTTACTTTTAGAACCCATATGTGCATTGTGACAGAAATTTTGGCTATAACCCTGTATGAGTCAATTCAGCTGACTAACTACAAAGGATTTTCCTTAAATCTAGTTAAGAAATTTACGAGGGAGATTTTGCAAGGTGTCGCATACCTCCACTCGAACAATATAATTCACTGCGACTTGAAACCTGAGAATATAATGATCTCAGGTGATGGTACTATCAAGATTATTGATTTTGGCTCTTCATGTCATACTGATAGCCTGAAGTATAGCTATTTACAATCCAGATTCTATAGGGCTCCTGAGGTTTTGCTGGGAGGCAGGTATGACACTAAGATGGATATATGGTCCATTGCATTAATTTCTCTTGAAATATTTGCTGGAGTGCCCTTGTTCCAACCGCAAAATGAGTGGGAGCTTTTCAGTTTATGTGTGAAGTTTTTGAATATCCCCTCAAGAAAATATATTTTGAAACTACGAGCGGAGATTGAGACGTTGGGTTTTGTTGGTGCAGAAAAACGCAGCCAACAGGAAGCTTGCAGTAATACGATACTCTGGAAAGCATTCAATTCCAACGGCATTATGAATATTGAGTATATCAACCACAAGATACAGCATGTCAAAACGGGGCATACTAAGCAACTGAATCCGGGACATGGGAGCATCAAAAACTTTCTTCGAAAGCACGCTTATTACGGGGATACCACCGCCACTTTTACGATTGCAGAAAAAGAAGCCGAAATTAGCCGATTCTTGGTTTATATAGAGATGTGCATGCTTTGGAACAAATGGGGAAGGGCTACCGCTGAAGAGTGTCTACAACTTGAATTTTTCACTTGTTCCGAAGAGGCTAACTGACCTATGGCCGAGGATGATTTTTGTATCGTTTATACCGATAAGGTCAAAGTAGCGCCGGACCGCTACCGGAAATGGTAATTCGAGCAAATTCTCATTTTGCGAACATTGTGCTCAAGTATTTGCTCGTTGCAAACTTCCATCCAAACAGTATAATTTCAAATGTACCAAATGGTTTTAGCCAACACTGTGTGTCGCAGTCATTTATAAAGAGGAATATAATTTCTCTGAATTTTAAAAAACACGATTCAAAGTAAAAAACTAAGTAAAAACGTAAAAGAAAAACCTTCCGCTCCAAAGCTCTTTATTGTTACTCAACAAAAGAAAAAACAAAACAATAGCTCTCATCTTTTATAGTGAAAATGAATATCAGATCCACAATCTTACTTTCACTGTTGACTTCTAGTGCAGAAGCACACTTCCGTGTTCCTTTTCCTGGAGAAAGAAATGCAACCAATTGGGATACTCAAACCATATCTCCATGTGGCGGCGACAATGCTGTAGTTTTTCCAAGGTATGAATGGAACCCAAAAGGTTCTCCGGTCGAGATAAATTACCATCACATGTACGGTGTCGGTGCTATCTACTTTTGTGGCTCAGGAAACTGTACCACAGGTGCTGACTTTAACGAGCTAATATACGAACCCGTGGACCAAACAAAGGGTAACTTTTGTATTCCAGCAGTCCAATTACCAGAGAAGTACAACAAGATAAACAGTACTGGTGTTATTCAGATAATTTATGGTGCACCTGGCAAAGAGGATGGTGAGTACGACTTCATGTACAACTGTATTGATGTCGTGGTCTCCAATGATGGCCCAACTTTTGACGGGCAATGCTCTAATTCTACGGAATTTGCTGAAGCTGATACTGTTGAGATAAGATGCCGAAGCCAATCATGATCGAGGGATAAGAGATAAGAATCTTATCATGATAAGGTATCTTAGGGTTGAGATAAGATGCCGAGGCCAATAAGGATTGAGTGATAAGAGATAAGAGTCTTATCATGATAAGGCATCTTAAGTAATCTAAAACTGGAAAGTTAGCCGCCATGATAAATGAATAATGGCAAGTTTAACCGAAGGTGTAAGTGTATAAATACAAGAGGTTTGTCCCTTGTATTTATGTTTGAGAATATTAGTTTGTAGGCTAGTTATATTAGTTATATATTAATAAGCAACAAACATAAGAAAAAGTGAACATTTACAATGGATATTCATAATAGAATAGCTAGATTACAACAGATACACAAGTTGCTGCATTGGAAGCTAAAAATGGTAACGAGCAAATCGATAAGATTTCTTCTTTTTCATACTTAGCAAAGGCAATTGACTCTACTGCATCAGGTGCTTCTGGAAATTTTTCTGCTGCTACAACAACCTCCATGAATATGGGTATGGGGGGTATGTCAGACATGGGTGGTATGACTGGAATGGGTGATATGTCTGGTATGGACATGGGTACTACCACTACAGACAAAACTTCTACTTCAGCCTCTACGGATGCTACTGCCGTATCGACTAAAAGCTTTAAGCTTACTACTTCAGCACCAGCATCAGCAACAACTTCTGCATCGAAAATGCTGACATCAGCTCCAGGTTCTTCTTCTACCAAGGTTTCTACCGCTGGTGGTAACACACTCTCCAGCGCCCCTGGCTTTATGATTTTGGCAATGCTTTTCTTAATCTGATCTTTCTCGCTACTTTTACGGTAATTATTTTCCCCACGTGTACGCGAAGACAGACTGAAAACGTTTTTTTACGTCTGATTGCCGAGCCACATGCCACTAGCTTATCCTTTTTGGGGGAAATGAGGTCTGCATCCAATCAAAGGGGAAGAATAGGTAAGCTTTGTGCTCACCATTATATAATAAAACATTTGCATATTCTGATTCAAAACTTTTCACCTCAGAATGATTTTGGATTGGTTCTGCACTGTTCAGTTAATCTTTACAATCCATCTATTTTTCTTCTTGTATTAAAAACCTGTTTATACAATATTTTTAGACTCGCTCCAAACGAATTGTCTAGCGGTACATAATAGTCTCCTCACTGGCAGCTCAAAATAATAAGCCGAGCAATAATGGATCCTGAATATGTAAAGCTCAATGATCTCAATCCTTTTGAGGATACAAATGAAATCAGGTCCAGAGATTATGAAGATGATGTGGAGTCGTCAAGCCCGAAAGCAAATCAGTGGTCTTTGAGGAAAAAACTGAAACTTTTTGGGTCAATAATAGGCGGTTGTCTACTGTTTTTGCTGTTTCTACTGTTTTTGAAGAACAAGGATACAGACTTGAGAGAAGCGAGTACGGCAGCAAACCAAGAAAAACCGAATTATCGACTTTCGCCGGCTGGCTCAAAAAGTTCAGGTTTTGATGAAGAAGGTATTGTTAATTTAGCTCAGAAGGGAAGTGAAAAGGAAGATAAAACAAGCTGGAGATTGGATACAGCAAACAATTATACCTCTGATTTGAACTATTGGAGAAATGACTATAATAAACAAAAAGAAAGGCATTACTTTTTTAACATTACCAATATCTTGAAAGTGGATGCCAATGGTGCAATTAGAAACTTGACGGTAATAAATGGCCAATATCCAGGTCCTTTGTTAGAGGCAAACTCTGGTGATACAATTTTCTTGCACGTTTTCAACCAGATGGAAGATGAACCAGTCAGCTTCCACTTGCATGGCTTGTTCTATCCTAACAATACATTTGATGATGGAGCATCATCAATCAACGTGTGTCCTATTCCACCTTCAGGAAACTACACGTATAGAATTCCAGTTGGCGAAAATGAATACGGAACATACTGGTATCATTCACATTGGAGCACTCAGTATGCAGATGGTGTTTATGGACCTGTTATCCTTCATTCTCCAAAAGAAGATGCCAATCTTACTTCTTATGATGCTGACCGCATATACGTTGTCAATGACTATTATTATGAGAATGCTGATACATTATTGGATGATTACTTAGTACCGGATAATGAGAACAGTGAACCAAATCCTGATGCGGGCTTGATTTCGGGAACGTATTCTCAAGCTTCAAACTATCTAACACTAGCAGACAATGGAACCGCATACAAGACTGCTACTTATTATGACCCAAAATTGACTTACAGAATCAGAGTTGCAAATGTTGGTTTTTTCTTACCTTTTGAATTCTCGATCGATGAGCATACCTTGTCCCTTGTTGAAGTTGAAGGTACATTGATTGAACCTTTTGAAACCTCATATGTAGATGTCTCTGTGGGTGAAAGATATTCTTTTTTTGTCAAAAGAACTGTGGAACGTGACGCTTATTGGATTCATGCAAGATTCAATACCTTCTGTCAAGCTTCGAATAATCCAGATTTCTCAAGCGACGTAATGGCAATTGTATCCTATAATGATACCTATTCCGTCCCAGAGAGCAAAGAAACTTGGAGTTATAATGGTGGAACCCCGAAATGCTTGGACTTTCCTCAATCAGAATTACGAACATTAAATGCACAAGTTCCAATGAATAAGAACGGTTCAAACAGACCTGATTTGTATGTGGAGTTAGATGTTACATTCTTCAATGGGGCATACCAGATGACATATGGCTATTTCAACGAATATACTTGGAAGCCGATGTCAAATTCTTCTACGATGCACGAGCTTTTATTTAATGAAAACTTTCAAAACGATGCGCACAAGTCTAACCAACAAACATTTACAAATAACCAGTATGTCTTGAACTTTGATACGCGTGGTATGATAGTAGACTTGTTGATTAACAATTTTGATGACGGTTCACATCCCTTCCACTTACATGGATATAAGTTTTGGGTTCTAGCAAGCTCAGAATCTGGCTCATTCTATCCAAGTTTTTACGAGGATCATCCAGAACGTTTGGACTTGACCAATCCAATACTTAGAGATACAGTTAGCGTGGCGCCTTTTGGGTTTGCCGTCCTTAGAGTGGTTATTGACAATCCAGGAATATTTCCATTCCATTGCCACATTGGATGGCATATTGAAGCTGGCTTGTTGTTGACAGTCAACGCTTTGCAGAGTGAATGGTCACATCAAAATTACTCGAAGGAATGGGCCAATATGTGCGGCTATGATTTTGCTGATCCTTATCTAGTCGCCACTGAAATTAATTAGATTTATTACTTAATACAGAAATACTATTACGTATTCGGTTTCGTGCGGCGAGTAGTTTTCAAACCTCGTGACTGGTTGACAAAAATAGACACCAAGTCACGTGATTACGATAGCTTGAGTTGACTTGGGTTTATGTTCTAAAAGCCTAATGCACACATGTAGTTATAGCGAATAGGCACTAAAAAGCAAGAAACTGGGAGAAACTCTTATGCCTGAATTGTAAACATTTTTGATGAAACGATTACCGGTAATATTGGTCTACTCTGCATCACTGCTGCTTAGACTATCGCTGGAATAATGATTGTACTTTTCTCTTTCGTTACGCATACTTTTGATGTAATCCAGTCCAATCTCACCTCTGAGAATTCTTCTCTCCTGTTCGTCCTCGCTAAGGATTAGCTGTTCATTTCTTGCTTCAGCAGCGGCATACCCGTTACCTTCAACATCATTACCATTGTCTTCCTGGTCGCTAGGAATATAGTAGTTCTCTTTCGTAGCGTTTCTTTTTCTCCTGGTAGTTGGAACGTAAATGTCACCAATGTCTCTCTTCTCAAACTCAAGAGTTTTGAGAATTTTCTGCGCTCTGCTAAAGTTATCCTGAGGGGTGGTGGATCTCTTTCGGCTTTTCCTTCTCTTCGCGTCTACGTTTCCTTTCTTTCTTGCCGCTTTGCCATCATCATCATCGTCATCATCATCATCATCATCGTCATCATCATCAATATCTACATCACTATCATCATCCAGACGACTATAGTCATCACTATCGTCATGGGAGCTGAGATTTGCTGAGCTGTTATCCTCATAGTCTGCCATACTATCTATATCCTCATCTTCAGAGCTGGGTATAACTCTTTGCTTTTTCCGGCTCTTCGCCCTAGCATCCCCACCACTACTTTTCCAGGAGGACGTTTCCTCCACGGTAGAACCTTGCGATGCTGTACCCGGTCTACTGATTGGAGGAGAATTTACATTGACTTTCAAGTTCTTCAGTTCCGAAGTTCCTACCCTGAGCTTGGATTTGGAATCATCCACGCAAGACTCAGAGGATTCAGAATTTGGGCTATCTGTGGGTGCCAAATTAAAATTTGCTTCCACTTCAACTTTTTTGGGCAATAGAGCATGATCGGTACTCTTTGAGTTACGGGAGGAGTCTACTCCGACATCTTTCTTCTTTGTTTGGGAAGCAGCAAGCGGTTGTGTCACAACAGTACTAATTTGCTTTTTGTCAACGGAAGCGTTGTTCAATTGTGCAGCCTTCACCGGCGAAGCAGGAGATCTGGCGTGGTGCGGCTTTGCACTTTTTCTCACAGCTGGAATCGCTACCGTAGCATCTGTCGGGTATTGACAGTTTTTCAGCTTTTTTCCCGTACATATGTCACAAGGCTTTTGCTTATTGCAATACTCACTTCTGTTTTTTTTCGAACATGAGATACAGCATATTGAGTAGGTATCCCTGTAAGGCTTTTGATTTTTCGGATCGAGTTTGGCTACGACAGCGGTGGCTGTGGAGCCATTGTCTGAGGCTTGATTTTTAGCGTTTTTTAGCTGGGTGTTCGCGACAAGAGCATTGTCGGAACTATTACCGGAACTATTGGGCAATGAGATTTTCAGTCTCCTAATCGGGGTTGAAATGGAGGAGGAAATTCTGGTCGATGTCGTGTCTATTGTTACTCTTTTGGCTGGCTTTTGAGGAGAACCATGCTTAGATGGTGATTTTAGCGCAGATTTCAGGGCAGGTTTCAGTCGCGGCCTTAAATCCAAATTCAAGGCGGGATCAGTCGAGGATGAGGACGGAGATTGGGAAGCACGCGTAGATGTATGTGAAGACGATGAGGGAGGAGTCGATGCGGCGAGCGTTTCTACTACGCCCTCTGTCTTCGCATCGTGTAGATCTTGCTTCTCTTTGCCTTTTTCCCTGTCATCTGCGTCGACCGTTGTTTTTTTCGCTGTGATTTCGTTTTTCGGTAGCGCTGCTGGTGCATCTTTTGTGTGCGCTGTGTGCGCTGTGTGCGCTGCGTGCGCCAGTTTCTCGTGTTTTCGCTGTCTGATGCTTTTTACCTCGTCGCTCCTGTCTGCTTGTGCTCCATTTCGCTCTGCCGCAGGCTCTGTTTTGGCGGACCCGCGGATACCTTTCTTCTTTGCGGCGGCGGCTGCTGCTACGACTCTACCTTGCGCCAGCACCTGTTCCAGCTTTTCCAGCTCGTCCAAACTCGACTCCGAGTCGGACGAGGAGGAGTCTAGCACTATCGGTATGTCGTGTGTAGAGCCGAAGGTCGACCTCGTGAGTCGCTTTCGTTTTGTCAGGGAGTCCTCCTCCGCGTTCACGTGTGAGATGCCGCGTTTGAGCCTCGCTGCTGTCATGTCTTCGTTGTTGTTGTTGTTGCTGCTGCTGCTGCTGCTTCGGTAATTTCCTATTTTTGTTTTTCCAACGTGTCGTTTATCTGGCACACTATGCGTCCGTTCTCCTGGCTGTAGCAATAGTAGTCGTCACTCGGTGAGCTATACACGCTAAGCTACTTTACATAAAAATACAGTGTGATTGAACTGGCGACCTCGCTGTCTGTCTCTTTCTTGCAAACAGACAGTTCCAAGGACAACTGGGATGCAGTCGACTGCGTATGGCTTCACGTGTGTGCGGTGTGCGGTGTGCGATGTGCTCTGGCCTTCGTCGTCCCCGCCCCGATCCCCCTTTCTCCGTCGCCGCCGTCGTCGTCGTTCATTCCAGCTGAGCTTCTTTTCTCACATCCACCGCTACGGCGTCCCCGCACACCCGCTCCGCCTCCCGCCTCGCCTGATCCTGCGGGCCCCCATCTACAGGTCTCCGTTTCGACTCTTGTCCTCAGCTCAGCGTTCTCGCGCCTGCGCGCCCCGTCGGGCCCAGCCCTGCCCAATCGGGCAGTTTCTCCGCGGCCGGGCCGGCTGTTTACGTTTGCCCGGAAATAGATGGTGCCGGCCTTGCCGCCCTTTTTTCCTGCCGCTTTTCTCTTTTTTTTTCTCCCGCCAGCAAATCGCAGTGGAGCTGCTGCTGCCGCTTCCGCTGCCGCGCAGCTCGGCCGTTTGGTAGGTGGAAATTGGCAGCGCCGGTGCGGTGCAGAGAAAGGCTGGGGTGGGAGGCAGGAAGGGCAGGATGTACTGCTAGACGACCTCGTCCGGCACACAACGACAAAGCACCACCGGCTCTTCCTGCTTTTGCGTGCACGTCGTGGACCGGATTCTCTTGCCACCTTCCGAAGTTTGCACTCGACCACACAGACCGACAACCCTCTATCTAGCAGAAGCTTGCACAGACGGAGCCCTTCGACCTACAGACCGCAGAAGCCATACAGAACATCTCCGCAGAGTAGAATAGCCCAGACACAGCGTCTCTTTGCTTTGTTCCCCACCCACTTGATTCCTCCGGTGCACCCTATATCGAGATACTCGTATACATTCCCACTTCCCAGTCACACCATTGGCTGTCCAAGCATCGCCTAATCACTCGTTAAACGGAGCCCCTTACAAATACCACACCAGCCATGAAATTCTCCACTGTCTTGACTACGGCCTTGCTTGTGTCCGCTAGCAACGCTGCTGCGCTTCCTGAAGCCGAGGCAGACGCCAAAACGCCAACCACCACCGTCACCACCACCCACACCGGGCCAACCACACACAAGTACGGTAGATTTAACAACACCCATCACGAAACCACCAAGACCACTTCCACCGGTACCCACAAGTACGGTAGATTCAACAACACCCACCACGAAACCACCAAGACCACTTCCACCGGTACCCACAAGTACGGTAGATTCAACAACACTCACCACGAAACCACCAAGACCACTTCCACCGGTACTCACAAGTACGGTAGATTCAACAACACTCACCACGAGACTACCAAGACCACTTCCACCGGTACTCACAAGTACGGTAGATTCAACAACACTCACCACGAAACCACCAAATCCACTTCCACTGGTACTCACAAGTTCGGTAAGTTCAACAACACTCATCATGATGTCGCAACCACTACCGTTTATGAAGCTGATGCTGCTCCTGCAGTTGCAAGTCCTTTCATAATGAAGAACTCAGTTATCGGTTGGTCTGTTGGTGCCGTTGGTTGTGCCGCCGCTGCTCTTTTATTATGATGATATCACACCAATGGTTGCTTCTTCATTCCACCCTTTTACCGTTTCCTACCCATCTTTCATTCCTTAATCACGCAAAAATTTGTTACACTATATTACCATAAAAATATCTAATTATTAATTTATCAACTTAACTAATCCCCAACATCTTATATAGTACATATCTTATATACTTTTTCAAATTTAATTTCGTTCTATTTATACCGGAGAGGAAGGCGCTTTGCTTCTACAGTGCTCTACAGGATATTCTATTTCTTGTTTTAATTTAGTTTTAATGTAATTTTAGTGAATATAAAAGAAACATAAAAATGAAACAAACATTATAGTATTAAATGTGAAGTTGAGAAAAGAGTTTGAAGGCTAAAGTGAGAAAGGAAAACGTTAAAATATATATAAAAAGAGAGTTCTATCGGTAAAAATAAAACTCAGAAAAAGATAGAAAAGAAATGAGGTCAAAAAGTAAAAATAAGAGAAAGTAACTAAAAAATAGAAAATAGTCAACTACTATAAATGAAATAAAGGAAAAACATTTGTTGCACTGAAAAAATGGTTAATGCTGTTGTTGAAGAAATGTGAACCGTTTAACCACTATCATTTTATTAATTGAAGTTGAATCCACCGTCTGGCAGTTTCGATTCAACACCAAATCCAAACTGTTCACCATTTTCTGCAATATTAGGTTGCATGTTATCATAGTTGAGCATATCGTCTTCTGCTTCATCACCAAAGTATGTATCGATAATGTTGAATGCTTTATCATAGATTTTCTCGTTAACATTGCTTTGACACTCAAAAATCTTCTCTGCTCCACCTGCTTCTTCAATGAAAATTGCATTTTCATTGATATTAGAACCTCTTGATTCTTTCTCAAGTTCTCCAACCTTGAGGATGTTTTCTAGCGCATCTAGCGTAACTTCGATTATCTTATTATCGGCAATAGAAAGTAAATCACATAAAGGCTTGATACAACCTTGGGAAACCAAATATTTGATTTGATCAGGTTTCGACAATCCACCAGACGATGCATTAGAGATTGCCCAACATGCCTCCTTTTTGGTTTTGTAGTCCCCTGTAGTTAATAGCTTGATAATTTGGGGTATTAAATTGGCATCAATTACAGCTTGAATTTGATCAGGGTTTCCTGCAGTGATGTTGGAGATCGTCCAACAAGCTTCTTTTTTAATAGATTCCTTTTGCGATCTTAACAAAGGTCCCAATGCAGATAAAACTCCTGCATTAATGACTATTTGTGTCTGTAAGTCAGTTCCTGTGACAATATTACCGACTGCTCTTAATGCTGGAGTTTGAACTAGTGCAGATTCGTGTCCAAGTAACTCAACTAATCTTTTCGGAATTCTAGCATCACAGACTGCTTGAATGGCTTCTTGAGTACCGTCTGACAAGTAAGAGATTGCCCAACATGCATCAATTAATGTTTCGACATCGACACTGAAGATAAGCTTTGCTAAAGTTGGTAAAGCACTTTTGACAATTTGCCAATCAGGTTGAGGGTTCTTACCTCTGCATAAGTTTGACAAGGTCCAAGTTGCAGTTCTGATAAGAGACATCTTGGATGATTGGAAAAGTGATAATACTGGATCCATTGCATTTGACTGCAAAACATAATCTCTGTAAACAGATGAATCACCAGCAACATTACCCAAAGCCCAAATAGCTTGCTCTTTAACCTCAGGTGAAGGAGAGTATAAAAGTTGAACAAATAAAGGAACGGCACCCAGATCAACAACAATTTTAGTTTGCTCACTAGAACCTGAAGCAATATTTGTCAACGCCCAAGCTGCCTCTAATTGCAAAACCTCTGGCCCAGATTTCATAAATTCAACAAATTTTGGCACAACACCAGATTCAATAACTAAGTCAATAGGAGGGTTGTTCTCCTTCGATAATATTTGTCTGAACTTGATTGTTGCTTCAAGTTGATTCTCTAAGTTGCCTGAATTGATTTTTTCTACCATTAGTGGCAATTCCTGCTGAAGCTGGGTGTAGAATATTTGGTCATTGTTGTACTCGTCAGTTGAATTTCCATCATCATCATCAGATTCTGGCATAGCATTCATGTTGTTTCCGTCACTTGCTACAAAGTTTCTTCTCTTGGAAAGCATCTCCTCTCTTTTTTGCTTTCTCAATTCAACTTGCTGTGTTTCTCTCCTTCTTCTAACTTCATCCTGCTGGAATCTGTTCTTGTTCTTGAAGTTTGCCTTTCTGTAATCTGGCACGTATCTAGAAGAGTCTGCAGATTCCATTGTTGGTATGATGTCCTGATATTTCTCTGTGCCTTGTAATAACTGCAACCTGAAAGAAGCAGCAAAGCAAAGGACTTCTATCCTTTTTTTCGTTTCAGTTTTTTCGTCCTCAAATTTTTTGCCACAACAAAACGGGATCCAAAAACTTTTGCGCTGTCATGAATTCGAAAGCCCAATAAGTGATACATCACTCAAGAAAGAAAAATTGAGAGCTTGTAACGTGGAAGGGAAAAGAGGACATAGTACTTCATATAATCCACTTAGTTCACAACAATGCAGATACATTATAGTATACTCAAAAGGTGTGATAGAATAAGGTCAATATCGCTGCAGGGTTACACCCGTTATACCCCTCAGCTGCGTTTCACACGAAATTTTCATGCTTCTGAGAAGGGCCTTGAAAAGATTAAGATGGGAGAAGATCAGAAGCAGTATTTTGTTCCGAATGAAGGTGAAGACTACACAATTAAATATAGAACTCATGGTACGAGTTTTTATTCTTTGAGACTGGATAAAAAGTACAGATTAGGAAATCTACCAATTTACCAAAATCCTTTGATCAACTTTGTTATTGGTTCTAAAAGATTATCTCTTGCTTTTGGCGCAATCGGATGCATGTTTGGGTACTTGATGGACAGGACAGGGTTAGTGTATACTGAAATCTCACAATTGGTGGCAATTTTTTCTTTGCTACCGTTCCCAATTGTTACATACTTATTTGAACCTGTGGTTTCACGAGTATGGAGAGTCTATGATACAACTAAACCTCAAATCTACGAAAACCTAATCCAAGATGAACAGCTTATTATAGAAAAGTTGAATTGGAACGGGTTCAATACATACAACGAATTAGTGAGAGTTGACAGTCTTTACGTTCCTAAAGATAAGAATGATTACAGAGGCCGTTTTGGATATGCTAACCTTCTATCTGTTGACAAGAAATTGAATAGTACCAAATTATACTACATTAATGATGGTTTTACAAACGAGAAAATGGAAAGGATACTTGCGTTGGCTGAGAAGAGAAGTGGGGTAAAGGACTCTGGTAGGTCTTTTTACGGCTTTTAGCATATTGAATTATATTTGAAATAAGTAAACATGTACATAGATATAATTTGACGGTTGAAATACTAAGCCTGACTGCGTCAAAGAGAGTTTAATGTCAAATATATCATATTTAGGCTTCAGAGTTCTTGACGTTAGATTCAGCAACAACGATTTTGTACCTCATGTCCTCACACGAAGTTTATTAAATCCTCTTTGCATCAAGTATATCGTACAACCAACAAACCTAAAAAATGCCATAAATGCCACAATATATAGAATGACGGAAAGAAAAATGAAGGTTTGTTTTGAAGGTAAAATATCATTGCTTTCTTTTTTATTATCGTTTTTATCGAATTGGGATAATCCACCTGTTTCAGTTACTACTGCGACCAGAATAAAGTTGCTGAACATCCAAATAAGAACAGTCATAGATCTAAAGAATGCAAAGTAAAATTTATTCTTTTCCTCGGGATCTATTGAGTTGTCGTCAGAGCTTGAAGGATCAGGTGTCATTAGAGTTTTTACCATTTTGGAATAGCCATCATCTATTTGATACTTTGTTGTGGGAATAACAATTTCAAGCTCATCTTGATTTCCTGAAATCCCCTTCTTTGCAATACCCAAATCAATAATTTTATCCTGACCTTTGGTACCCCATGAGATGTCGTGAATGTTGCAAAATGCATAAATGTTCAAAATATTGACATATGCGGGTGATAATAATAGATACTGCACAAAACTAGTCAACATATGGACAGGTTGTAAAAACATGAGGAATCCTATGAAGTATAAAACATAAGTTGATAATATTGCAATCATCAAATTTCGGAATTGGGTTTCGACAAACAAAAATTTCCAACTGAATCCACTTTTACTATCATCTAGAATCTGTTGAATTGACTTCACTGACAGCAAGATAGCTGCAAATATCATATAGCACATTAGTACTGCAAAAAAAATAACAATTATCAGATAGAAGATTTTGGTGCCCTGAGGTTTGTTACCAAACGACAAGACGAAGGTTGTAGTAAGTGATGCCATATAGAGCCAAAGAAAAAATACCGACAGCACATTTCCTGGCGGGAAACCAATGCTTGATTCTGCCAAGTAACAACTCAAAATTCTGAAGACCAGGAAATATGATCCTAATGAAAACCATGACACTAGCAAGTTCAGTAATTGGTAAAAGAATTGAATTTGCAGTGCCAATTTTCTTCCGACTGAATGACCTGTACGCCAAATTTTATAGAAATTGCAAACTGAGTAAACGGCTGCAAAAAATGAACCATTTAACCATCTTCTTCTCTGAGAAATAAAATCATCCAATTGTTCTGGGACATCTGTGTATGCACCGGCTGTATTAATATATTTTAGAATCCAGTTAGAATTTTTTTTGGCAATCAGTTCGAAACATAAAATTCTATCTTCTGCGAGATACATATTTGCGTTGAAAATGCCATCATCATTGTTTTTCTTCAAGTTTTCACCTTTCAAGTATTTCTCCAAAGGTTCACCAATTAATGCTTCATATCTATAAGCAGAGAATGCACCGGGTAAGACCGTGACAAAACCGAATACGCTTTCCATCGGCTTATCCAAAATATTTGAGGTTTTGTACTCAAAGTTCTGGGCTGCAACTAAAGGATTCAGAAGTAGTCTCCAGCCTGTTCCAAGACTTGCCTTAATTTCTCCGCAGCTGCCAGCAACTTGTGGATCATCCTTAAAACTTTTCCATAACTTGTATAATGACTTACTCTCAGGTGCAGTACCGACGTCCAGCAAAATTATAACTTTAGGATTTAAAAGTGGAGCAAAGGCTTTGAAGGCCCATTTGTGGGAGTTGATTTTCCTTTGGTTTTGTTCTTTCAAGCAAAATATCATCTGGACTGGAATCTGATTATCTGTAGTCAACGTGATATGATCTTTGTATATTTTAGAAATTCCTACCATGGTTGTGTATTCGTAAATGTGGGAAACGACGTCATCATCGTTAATTCTGTTTTTGGCAAAACCTTCCTGATAAACTCCCAATGCTGCTAGTAGAGCTTTTGATCTTGGGTTAATTTTCTGTCTTCCGTCACTGACTATGCAAACCACAATTTTTTGCCATGCATTTGTTCCCCATGTTGAAGAATGCTTCAGATTGTATAAATATCGTATATTTTTGAAAACACCTTTTAAAGTTCTAGCAAGTAAAAATTCATCTTCATTGTACATAGTGACGACAATCATCAATTCTGTTTCTCTTGGTTTTGTATAGAAATTTTGTCTCAACGAAAACTTTTCCTCCTGATAATATTCTGGTTCAGCTGTACACGCTTGAAATCTCATAAACAAGAACTCACGGTCTTTTTCAGTCAATGGAACTTTGTATTTGCTTAGAAGAATTTCTGAGACAGGGCAATCTAGGACTAGATTTCCGTCTACCATACGTACCTGCTTGGTTGCGGAATTCGTGCCATTATTGTCTGCTGCCATTTCTGGCTGATGCTGACTATCCTTTTTATCATAATAAAACACTGTATCTTTAACTGCTTTGGCGTTTTTGAATGCAGTATCTCTTCTTTCAAGGCTGACCGAAGATGCGTTACTGTTTTCCTCGACAGAGTTTGTACCATCATCAGATGTGTATTCAGCTTCGAAAGGATTATATACATCATATGGCATGTTGATTGGATAGTATGAGTTTTCTAGCGTTGGAAAAGGAGTAAATTCGTTGTCCAAATCATCTGTCGCTCCATCTTCATCAAACGCATAGGTATCGAAGACAGAGTTTGTTGTTGAGTCGCTTCCTACTTTTTGATTGCTGCTTGCATGGAAACTGCTGCTGCTGCTTATATCACTGAAGGGATTGTCACTATTTTTTCGAACGGGTCGCAACTCAGTAGGATATAAATATGGGTATTTGGGCTGATCGCTTGTAACAAAAGGGTTCTCATTCACTGTATGTGTCGAGGTCAATAATCGTCGTGTCGGAGAAGGTGAACGAGATAATGCATCATCTCCAAACGTAAGTACAGATGGATGTCTTATGGGCGATATTGAGTGCGACCTAGAACGCGCTGTCAATCTTTCTGGCGAGTAAGAACGACTTGGAATATGAAAATATCCTAAGGTATCTTCTGTCGTTTCTGGTGTTCCACCACTTCCGAGTCCTTCCACACCATTATTCATGTGATCATTTTGTTTTCTGGCTAACTTTCGAAAATATCGGTGCTGCAAAGACTTCTTTTCAATCCCATGACTGTTTTCTGCCTCTGGGCTAACGTCTTGATCCATAGTCAACTTGCTTGTGTCTCTTTCTTTCGCAGAGAATCAGAACTCGTGATTCATGCAAGCACAAACTGTAAACAAACACGTTTTTCCACTTCATGATAAACTTTACGTAAGCACTCGCTTAGATTTCCCACCTATCTGACTCTTTTTTTTTTCAAGCTGAAGCGAGAGACAAAACTTTTCACTTCCTTATCGAAGACGTTGCTGGGGCCTCAGCATTTAATTAAAAGTAGGATGCATTTCTTTTACACTACTGTTATCCTCATCTAACTGTTTATATTTTCTCTTGTCTTGTATCAGAAGCTATAGAATCTAGCAGCAAATATGGCATCGTCAATCCCAGGTCCTGTGCCCCTCCCTGACTCTCGTTATGATCTGTCAACATACATTGGCAGAGTCAAACATTGTGCCGAGATTTCGGACCCTACCATGCTTCTTTCATCCAAAAGAGACATCGAGGAATCAAAGCGTCTTATTTGGGACTACAGAAATGGTGTTATCCCTGAAATGAGCCCAAGGCTATGGCGTGCCAAGAAAATACTCGACTCTACAATTCATCCAGATACAGGTGAGACTGTGTTCTTACCATTCAGAATGTCATGTTGTGTGCTTTCGAATTTGGTTGTTACAGCTGGTATGTTAACTCCGGGTTTAGGCAATTTGGGAACTGCATTTTGGCAAATTGCCAACCAGTCATTGAATGTTGCTGTTAACACCGCAAATGCAAACAAATCACACCCTCTGACGACGAAGCAACTGGCTACTTCATATTTCCTGGCAGTCGGCGCATCATGTGGTGTAGCACTAGGATTAAACTCTGTTGTTCCAAGACTGAAAAACGTTTCTGCCGGTACTAAATTAATCCTGGGTAGATTAGTGCCTTTTGCCGCTGTTGTCTCAGCAGGTGTTGTCAACGTCTTCTTAATGAGAGGCCAGGAGATCAAAAAAGGTATCACTGTTTTCGACCAAGATGGTAATGAATTAGGTACTTCCAAGAAGGCAGCCTTCCAAGCTGTTGGAGAAACTGCTCTTTCTAGGGTCATCAACGCCACTCCTATCATGGTTGTTCCACCCTTAATCTTGATTCAATTACAAAAATCCGTTCTCAAGAATAAATCACTTGGAGTTCTCACTTTTGCAAATCTTGGTTTGATCTTTTCTACATCATTAGTTGCCTTACCATTTGCCTTAGCCGTTTTCCCACAAAGAAGATTTGTACATGCATCATCCTTAGAAGAGAAGTTTCATGGCTTGAAAGACAAGAACGGAGCTGAAATCGATACTGTTTGGTTCAACAGAGGTATCTGATTTCAAGTGAAAAGTCAGCAAAACCATACTCTCGTCCTTTTTTTCTGTAACATAAAACAGACTGGGAATCCATTGTTTTGTATAATTCATGATTATAGAGACATATAATTTTAGATAATAGCTTTGTACAATGTAATAATACCTTGATACATGTCAATACAAAAATAATTTTTTCACTGCGAAAAAGCTAAAAGCGGATCTCCGATATCGCTTGCTTTCTCGCTTTTCTTTCTTAAAGTGTTGATTCGGCTATACGATTAAAACCCTTCATTAAAATAAGATCAAGTTTCGGAGATTAAAACCTAGGCTTCTAACCGTTCTCATCTAGGTCATACACATGGTGGTCAAAGGAAGGGGAAAGTTTCCTCCGAAGAAAACACCTGAGCTTCCTTCTCCTACTCCAAATATCACAAAAATAGCGTCTTTAACCAAACAACCCGCCTCGGATAAGGCTCTTGAACTTTTACATGAAGTTGCTACTTTGGTTTCCCCCATAATGCATCACTATAACTTTAAAGTGAATCTTCTGTGTGAAATGTATCCAAGGAATCAGGGCTTGCTAGGATTGAACGTTAACAGAGGTCAAAAAATTTGTTTACGACTCCGATCTCCCACTGATAGTAAATGGTTTTTAGAAAGAGACGAAATAGTGGGGACAATGTTACACGAACTCACCCATAACTGGCATGGTCCTCATGATGCTAAGTTTTATAAAGTTTTAGATGAACTGAAGGATAAATACTACGAATTCCAGGTTACACAGTCAATGAAAAATTCCAGTTATCCAAATAATTTTTCTGCCTCAGGAGCAAAGGTGCTAAAGCCAATGTCTACAAAAAAGTATACTACAAAAGTGAGCAAACTGGGTACAGGAAAAAAGTTAGGTGGTTCTGCAGAAAGACTACCTTTAAGGAGCCTAATGCTCCTTGCTGCCGAGCGACGATTGAAGGATTCCAAAACATGCAGTGAAAATCACAAAGAAAAGCTCAACGATGTTCCTAAGGATTCAGAGCTACACTTCATAGATATAATTTCATTAGATTCCGACGAAGAGTGCGATTCTCAACTACCAGGAGATAATGTGAAAGATAGCCAGCCTACCACCGAAGCAAAAAGAGAGACTGTGGAAAACTGTGATGTTATATGCATTGACTAAAACGTTTCTACTTACATTTTATTATTACAGAGCATTTGTATAGGAAAATTAAGACTTTAACTATAGAGGATTACCCGTAGCTTTGATATACTTATCGACTGGGTCGTTATCAATATCGTATTTCCTTAACTTACGTATTGCTTCTCCAGATATAACTTCCCGTAATCTTTTGTCATTTTTGTACCATCCTTCGAGCAAAAAAATCATTTCCGAGTTCAATACACCGCTAAAACCTTCAAACTGTTCATAAGTAGTGCTTTCAATCAAATTCCTTAAGTTATAGTACAATTTGCTGTAAGAAATTCCGCTTTTAATAAATGAGTTAACCACGGTCCCCGGTTCAACTTTCTGCTTATCACCCAAATGCGTATAAACACTTTTAAACATCAAACTGAGTAAGCTCATTATAGGAAAAAGTTTATCCACATCTTTGAGTCTATCTGCAATAATGGCAAATTTGTGGCTCAGATCAGTGAAAAACAGTTCATTTTCATAATTTGGTTTTCGTTTATACTCAATGTACCATTTATCAAATAAGGATTCCCACTTGCTCAAAATGTCTTCGAAATTTCTATAGTCAGATAACTTGTAACTAATCAATGCCAACTCATAATAGCCTAGTGGGTCAATATATTCGTTGTATAAATCATTGATTGTTAAGATTTCTCCGTCTAACTGCTGTTTAGCTATATTTTTGGCTAATTCTCCAATTCTTGAGTCTTGGAGAATTGTAAGCAATAACTCATCTTGAAGATTTGATACTGAAATCAAATCCGAAATTCTAGATGCTAAGTTTGTGGTATCATGCTTCAAGAACTGTGTTTCAATACCTTGGATAAAACTATTAGCCACAGAAAGGAACTGGATTCTATCAACAAGTTTTATATCGAATCTTGATAATGCCAATTCGTAGAGCTGGTTTGCAGCTTCGTAGTAATCACCTTTCTTCGAATAGTACATCCACAGTAACTTACTCATCTCTAAATCCTTTTGAGACTTATCCTGCAAAAATTCCAAAATGTAAGGGGTATCGATATACAACAACTTCTCACTGACTCCGTTCTCAGCAAACCACTTATAGAACTCAAAATGAAACATTTTGTCCTTGTAATTCAAACAAATTTTATAGCACTCATCCCTTATTTGCGAGTAATAGGTTATCAACTGGCCATTGCCATCAACAAACACAGGTGAGTTAGACTTCTGCATGTCACTAACGCTACCGTTACCAATCAAAGTAGCATCAGAGGCTTGCTCAAGACTGGAGAGCGCTTTCTTATCAACATCCAGTAAAATTTGAAATACAATGTTGTAAAGTTTTAACTTCCGGATAAAGCTATTTTTCCTGATTGGATCACTCACCATAGACAATTGCAAATCACTTTGAAATTGGGTAGCAAGTTTGACTTGTTCGGGAGTATTAGCTATATCCAATAAGAATTCAACAGCATTAGGATAATATCCTAACTCTAAAATAGCGTTCACACAATCTGTAATCGCATCTTCTGATAATGAATCACTGCTTTGCTTCAATAATTTGATCGAATTCTCGAGATATTTAACTTTCAATTCCTCATCTTTGACATCAGAGTAGCTTTTAGCTTTCTTCAAATTTTCGATAGCTTTAAAAATCAAGACATCGTCTGTTGAGCAAAAGTATCCACATTTTTCCTGCAATGTGTTTGCCACCAATTCAACAGAGTTTCCTTGTGAAATACTTCTATTGATGATGCAAGATAAAAGCTCTTTAACTAACTTGGAAACATTACTGTCGGATTTGGTAAAGAAGTCACTGAAAGTAACACAACTTAAATCTGCTTGCAACTGAAGAGGTAAGAATGATATGATACTTTGAAAGTTTTTGTTCTCTGATTCAAGTCCATCTTCTTCAAGCATTACTGCTAGAAAAGACAAACCCTCTTTCACGATATTAAGATATCTAAAAATAGAGTCAAAGCAAATCTTTTCTGCCTGAACACACACTTCAGTGGCTTTTTCTTGCCATGAAGTTGTCTCGTTCTGGTTGCTGAAGTCTTTGGACAATCCTGGGATGATGTTCTTGTTTTCTTCCAGGAACTTGATCATAATCAAAATTGAACATAATAAATACTCAAGCTCCTTACTATTAATGTTCAAACCACTCAAGATTATTCGTTTATTTATTTTCAGACTTTTAACTGACTTTTGATCTATGTAACCCATCTTATCAAATTTTATCTCGCTTCTAAGCTTGAAAACTTCTTTGTTCCAAAATTGACGGATGAGTCTTGAGAACAAAATTAGCACAGCAAAAAATCTATCACTAGGCTCGACATTATCAATTATTGCTGAGTGGGACTTATCAAGTTTAGAGTTCTGACCTCCGGAAATAAAAAACTTGGTTGCTATGTTTCGGAAAGATTCAGATTTGTCATACTTACAGGCGAGATATAAAGCAGTGGAGCATGCTTCATCATAGCCATATTTGTAAGCAAACTGTTTGAACACTCCGTCGTTTAAGGAGTCCTCCAAAACCAAATCTGGTGTCCTATAACGGTAAATACCGATACCAAGGTTTGTCAAAACCGCAAATTCCAGTGGCTCTGCGGTATATTGTGATGCAAATTCGTTTGCATACCCTTTAGGTTTTTGGGTTGCATTAAAAGACTTGGTAATCTGGACAATATCAAACACATTGGTATGGTTGTCAACAATCTCAAAATCTTCCACATATTGGGATGATTTTTTGAAAATTCCGTAGTCAGGAGTACTGGTATATAAGCCAAGTTCTTTGCTGTGACCAATAAAAATACCAGGGGATATGATCAATGTTTTTATTGTATTGTTCAAAAGCTGGGATTTTTCTTGTGTCTCTTTCAATTCTTCGGCAGACACCAAAGAAGACGAAAAAGACTTTGTAATTGACTTGTCAGCTGTTGCTTTATTATTAGTGGATGCCGTATAAGAATTGGAGTTCACGGGTGCTCGCTGACTATATGCTGTGTACGAAGCTGTAGGAGCAGCTTTAAGATTTGGATTTTGAATGTACATATCGTTTGAAATTGGCTGGTTTTGGCTGACCATCTTTTCTTTTCTTTTCTCAATAGTTTGGTAGAGTTTCATGTCAATTGGAGGAAACTTTACAAAGTTTGTAGTCAAGGTTATCCTGTCTCCATACAAAGTGCTTCCGTTGATGTAAAATCGGCAACCATTTGACGCAACAGCAACCATAAATAAATTAAGGTTTTCAAACTTACTAACTGGATGAATGTTGACAATTTTCAAGTTAGATCTGAGAAGGGGAGAACGAATGTTGATTGCTGTGGTAGATAATTCCTTCAATAAATTAGACACCCTTTTGATGATTGGCTGTCCCAGGGAACACTGACCGTTTTTCACATGTATTTTGTAGGATTTGATGATTGATTTGGAGGACAATGTGTAAATGATGTTTCTAGTCTGATCGATTTTCAAATCAATGATTGATTCTGCATTTGAATTATAGGACTCGCCATTCAACCAGCTCAAGACGGGTATATTGGGCAAGGAAGAAGCGAGAGAAGAGTTGGTGAGGCACTCCTTAGTCACAGATTTTGAAAACCATTCATTAGAATTGGAGTAGTTTAGTTTCCATAGTGAGTCTTTGGATCCGGCACCACTGAAAAGAATGTCTCTTGTTTCTTCGAAAAACACTATTCTGTTTACTATCAGTCCGTGGACAGACACTGACATCTTTGTGTTGGATATTTCCAGCTTTTTGGTTGCTAGGTCATATTCCAGGGCCAAAAGTCTGATCTCCTTTGAGGTTGCGACTATGAGAAGATGATTGACAGAGGAAACAAAAACATTAGGCTTTGGCTTGGCCAAAGAGCACGCAAGAATGGTTCCATTGAAATCATCAATGACATCAAACTCCTGGTCGGTAAGAGAAGCGTTATAGTTCCAAATGTACAACTTACTATCAATGCTTAGCCAAGCTCTCTTTATTTCTGGAAATATGCCCATATTCGTAACAAGCGAGTCGTTGTTATGATCCAAGAGTTTTTCGGGTATTCCGTAAAAGTTCACTTTTTCAAACCTACTAAACGAGGATTTGTTCTGGTTGGGATTGAAATTGTAGTTGTCAATCATATACATGGACAAAATCTCATACAACGTTGGAACAGAGTTATCCTTCTCAATTTGAGCATTGATGCATTTATAGGCCAAATCTATTGGAGATGAAGTAGATAGCGGCAAGTGGTTCAAGTCTGTTAGCTCCGTGTCTTTTTTGTTCGGGCCCACATGGCTACTTGACTGCACAGAGTTGAAAAAAGGAAATGTACCTATGTAATTCGAACTCATCTGACGATTAAACGCATTCTTCTTAGACGCCCTCTTCACCTGAAGCTCCGATCTTTCAATCTTCATATCGTCACCGCTAGCCGAGTCAACAGACCCGCCAACGTTCTTGTTCTTCTCGGTAACCACGCTGCTCTTGTTGTATAGCATTTTATCTGTTTTTATTGGCAAAGAGAAATCATCTGGTGAGTCCAATACCTTGGAAAATCGGGACGACATGGCATAAAAACAGCACAATGCCTACCCCCAAAAGTCCTTACAGATGAAGTTGCTGAATAGAAGCTAGTACACTGCCTCTACGCAACGGTTCAGCAACTCCTACATCTAAACATGTGCATCCATGTTTGAAGTTGATGTTTCCAATACATGGAAGGATCCGACCTGAAAAAAACCAGACCTCAATGTCCCGCGGTGCACGGGTGTTTAACCGCTCGTTCAAAAGTGTGGCGTCGGTCGGCCAAGCTAAAGCCGACGAAGGTGTACAAACATGAAAGTACCATTAATAATCGGGATTAAAGACTGTCGGGGAAGATGGAAACTCGTGTTGGTGGCGGTACTGAAGACGAGAGTTGACAGAAGAAGAAACAGCTATGGGACAGAAAGATTTCCCGGAATTGTCGCAAGACCAGCTTGAAAAAGTGGTTTCAGATGTGACCCAGTACGGCTTATCAGCAGGATTGGTGATGTATCCACCAGCTCCATTTTCCAAGTATGCTCCAACACTGGCGCCTATAACTATCTTTCCCACGCCTTTTCCACGTAAGCAATTTGAAAAGAGTTTGGCAATTGAAAAAACATATAACAAGCTTTATGCAGGAGTGGTTTCCGAGTACAAATGGTTGACTCATATTCTCAAGGACTTGGCCGTTCACGATAAAGATTTCACTGGAAAGCTATGGGATTGCTATCTGCAGGCGTTGTCGAATGGAATCGTTCAAGACGTTTCGCTGGCATTGGTGAGATCTGATTACATGTACGACGAACTTTTGAATGAAATAAAGCAGGTCGAGTTCAACACTGTGAGTGTGTCCTTTGGTGGGTTGAGTCCAAAAGTAGGTCGTGCTCATAACTATCTAAACAAGGTTGGCCTATACGGACAGATTTCAAACGAGGCCTACTACAGGGATGACGAGCTTCCTGTCAGTGAGAGTGATGAAAACTTGGCCAAGGGTTTGTACTCCGGCGTCAAATACTACAATGACAAGTATTTATCTGGAGAAAACAAGTCGATCGTTTTAATGGTGGTTCAGCCCGCTGAGCGAAATGCGTTTGATCAAAGAGCAATCGAGTACCACTTGCTATTCAAATACAATACGGTCTGCAAAAGAGTGGATTTGCCAGACGTTTTGTCATCGACAGAGATAAAGTACCACGACAAAAACAGGCTATTTTATCAAGGTTGTGAGGTATCGGTTGTTTATTACCGATCTGCCTATGGACCCTCCGAGTTCGAAATGCCTGAAACCTGGAAATCTAGAACCACATTGGAGTGCACTCTAGCTGTCAAGTGCCCTTCTTTGTTGACTCAATTGAGTGGCTCCAAAAAAGTCCAGCAGTTGCTGACCAGCAAAACTGTGTTGGCGCAGTTTTTGGACAACAAAGAAATAGCTGAGATCCACGACACCTTTTGCAAGATCTATCCTCTTGATGACTCTGAAGATGGAAAGTTAGCGAAGGAACTAGCGTTTTCAAGACCTCAAGACTTTGTGTTGAAGCCTCAAAGAGAGGGAGGCGGAAATAATATCTACAAAGAAGATATTCCAGTGTTTTTGAAAAATCTTCCAGAAGCTGACTGGGAAGCTTATATTCTGATGGAATTGATACATCCTAAGAATCACAAAAACCTCATTCTTAGAAATGGAGAAATATTAGACGATGGAATAGTGTCAGAGCTAGGTATTTTTGGCAGCTATTTGTTTGATGAAAAGTCCGGAAAGGTTTTAGATAACCAAGTTTTAGGCCATTTACTTAGATCCAAAACTAGCTCAAGTAACGAAGGCGGTGTGGCGGCTGGTTACGGTTGTGTGGATAATTTATATTTATACTGATTTAAAAACATGTCAACAATAGGAACATTCAATAAAAACATGAACAAACTTGTCTTGTTCAGATTTTAATGATCCTGAAAACTAAAAACTTAAAGCCATGAAAAGGTCAAGGAAAAACAAAACCGGCACGAAATGAATATATGAAAGCTATGAAAACTGGTGAAGAATCAAATAGAGGACTCCTTTAATGACCACCAACCAATGGTCGAAAGGCCGAAGGCTGTCAAGAACTTAACGTCTCTAGAATTGAGATTGTCACTCTGTTCCTTGCGCTGTTCCTTTTGTTGTTGTTGTTGTTGCTGTTGCTGCTTTTGTTGCACCAACTTTGCACGGTCTTGTAACTGACGTTTTGCGCTTGCAACCACATCAACCTTTGACTGATCATGAGCTTTATTTAAGATTTGAGAGATTGTAGATTGCTTGATAACGGACTGTTTGATAGCCTCAGTGATTGTGGCAACCTTTTCTCTGGTTTGTATATCTGCTTTCTTGGTTGCTTCACGTAATTTGAGCTCCTCAGCCTCTTTCATCATCTTATGCTTTAATTCTGCAGCCTTTTTCTCTGCTTGAAGCTTAAGCTCTTCTGCTTCTCTTTGTTTCTGCTGCTGCATCTCTACTCTCTTTTCCGCAGCCTTTTTCTCCGCCTGCAACTTGAGCTCTTGTGCTTCTCTTTGTTTCTGCTGTTGCATCTCTACGGCTCTCTTTTCGGCAGCCTTTTTCTCCGCCTGCAACTTGAGCTCTTGTGCTTCTCTTGCTCTTTGCAGTCTCACTTCTGCTGCTCTTCTGTCTGCTTGTGCCTTTAATTCGGAGGCTTTCTTTTCGGCTTCTCTTTTCTGAGCTTGCAATTTCAATTGGGCACTCTTTCTCTCGCTAGTTTTATCAAGTGAGAGCTTGTTGTCAGTCATTTTTCTTTCCTCTTTATATCTGGCTTCCTCAGAGGCCTTACTTTTTTGCACTCCTGTTTTATCCAATTTTGCCATTTCTGCTGAGTGTTTAACACTCTGTGCCTGGCTGCTACCATTGGTTGAGGCAGAGTTATTTAATGGTGCTTTTCTGACTTCCTTTGAGTCACTAAATTTTTTATGAGAGTCCATTAAATCATGCTTTTTCTGACGCCTAATAGCTTCAGCTATTTTACTTTCTTTGATTTGTTTATCTAGTAAAGAGAATTTGGGATTTGGAGGACTCAGTGAACTTGCGTTGTTACTGCTAATATTGGTAAACGATCTCGAATTCTCGGCGCCAAACTGGTCTTGAGAAACTAATCTTTGAACGAGGTCTAGCTTTCTCCCCGATACCTTCAGCCCTCTCTTTTTGCACTCCATTTTGAGTCCTTGCAAATTCATTGTGGTATATCTTGACTTTTCAGAAGATGAATCTAACAAGATAGTTTCCTTTTTAGCTGTTTGGTGAACATTCCGAATGGCTGTTGTTGAAGGTTGAAACAATTCCCCACAAGTATAAGAATATGTTGACTTAGCCTGAACTTGGCCCTTGAGTGTTGCTGCCTCTTGCTGGTATAGCAGACGCAATGAGGGAAGGGAGCGAACTGTTCTAAGCATTGTGATGAAAACTTTTGTGTCTGTTGCTAGATTTTATTAAACCAATCCAAAAGGTAAGAGGATCTCAGGAAAAAAATAGAAAAGCAACTAGAAACCTAAGATTAGAAAATCTGACGGGTAATATAGCTTTTGTATAGCTCAGTTAATACACTGGCTGATGATAAGAAAGAGTAAATGTAAATAAAAATAGTAAACAGAAATTTGCCATTTTGTGCTAGCTTTCGCCCATGATGTGCAGATGTTTATTTGTTTATGTTTTTCCGCAAAGGGTAATAAAAATATTTTGATCAAAAAATTTAGGTCATCACACGAGTTTCAGTATGAGGCTTGAACATGTTGCCATCCAAAAAGTCAAGTATTTGACCGGAAAGTATTATAACCTACTCAAAATAAACCTTTCTCGTAGGTCCTGAAAGAATAACCACCTAGGAAAAGGATGTTGAAAATGCAGCAAAATAGAAACAAGTACGTTATTAGACCAAATTATTTTACTACAGTTAATGTAAACCATTTTCATGGGTAAGTTGTTATACAGTCATCACAGCAGGCAGTTAAATGTCTGTACAGGGCTTGCTCATAAGTGCATTTAAGCATTTTTTGGTTTGAAATGTAGTGAGGAAAGTAGGCTAATCCTGACACGTAAATCACGCAACCTGAAGTGGCAACTTCGAAAAGACACTTGAGCAGTTGCAGCACAGTATCACTCTAATTACTTTCAGACGTATCGAGAGGTGTAGAGCTTGCTTCATTTTGTTTACAAATAAAGTGTTTATAACCTCAACATTTCTCCAGCCAAATATTGTATGAGACCTTTTCAGGTAGATGAAGTGAATTCCTCAATAGAACTAGCTCGATCTGGATTCTAGTCAATATTAGTGTAGAATATTGTGCCTTTTGCAATACCATCCGTCATTATTGCTCCTGTTACCATCTTCATGTTCATGTTCTTGTTCATTTTCATTTCCATCTTCGGTACTTCGGGGTCTTGTCAACGCGTGCATGTGTGATTACGTAAACAGATAAAGGAAAGTTTGGGTGGCTGAGAAAAGGTCAACTTCGGTCGGCTTTTTAGTAAGTGAAATAGATTGACAGTCATGTCATTGCTGACTATAATTGTCCTCGCAAGTCAATAATACCAGCTTTATGCGATGTCAGGAACTACCCTAGCCAGGTCAAATATATACCCAACGGATGAAGATCTTTTTATTGCATACTCGGAATCACTGCCAATAATATCATCCACACCTTCGATTTTGAAAAGCTCTAACTCCTTGTCACCAGAAGAAAGAGATTCCCATCCTGCACCGCCTGCGTTTATTGTTCACAGTGATATCTCTAAAACCCACACTTATGCAGATGATCAAATTATACCATGGCGAAAACTGCATGCCAAGCAAAGAATTGAGGAATCAGCGTTGCAATCTTCACTAACTTCTTCCAACGTGATGAAATTTTTAGTTAAGTACAATCGATGGCCAATTATAATAACCTCAAGTATCATAATCTCTTTTTTAGCAATATTCTTGGACTGGTCGTCTACTTGGCTTAATGATATTAAGTATGGATACTGTGAGACCAATATTTTTGATGTTCGTGAATCATGTGGAGCCGAAAAGTGGCATTTCTATGGATCGGGCCGTTCAAGCATATTACTAGGGATTCTCAAACTAATGCTGATAACCTTGGTTTCAATTGTTTTGGCACTCATTGGCTTATTCATTTCCAAAACTAGTTTCTGGATATCTAAAAGTGGAATCAGCGAACTAAAAATGATCATTTTAGGACACGTCAACAATGAGTTTCTACAGCCGTCAATTATTGTCAAGAAATTTATTGCTCTAATATTTATTTGCTCTTGTGGTGGACTTCTAGTTGGTTATGAAGGGCCGTTAATACACATTTCATGCGGTGTTATTAGTTTTGTCATTGAAAAGTTCTCGTCATCTTCTATCTTTTTCCAGAGTTTGAACAACGAAGCAATCAAAAGAGAAATCATATCGATTGGATTTGTGATTGGAATATCCCTAGCTTTTGGTGCTCCTATTGGAGGACTATTGTTCTCTATCGAAAACTTGAGATTAGGAACAAGAGTGAACACCCTTGCTTGGAACGGGTTCGTGTGTTCGTCGATTGCAACATTTATTTTAGTCGAAATTCATCCCTTCAAAAGAATATCAATAAATGAAGCATTTAAAGTTGATATTGCGAATGGTTGGATTTTGTTTGAGACACTACCTTACGTGTTTGTGGGTTTAGTTTGTGGCCTTTTATCATTATTATTTTGCAAATTACACATGAAATTGATTGACATCAGGGCTAAATTTAAAACTTATGACGCAATGCCGAAGATAATCTACAAACTTATTAATAACTCATTCGCTGAAATTTCATTACTGGTGCTCATCACCCATCTATTGACCTACCCCCTAGAATTCAGTCCTTTAACACTAAATAACATCTTATCAACTTTGTTCTATGATTGTGATGAAAACTTACCAAATGGTCACAATTTGTCTATATTCCAATATCAAAACAAGCTCTTTGCACTTGCATACTTCTTTGTTGTACTCTTCTTTCTCAGCAACTATTCATATTGTTTGGATATTCCCGGAGGTATGCTTTTACCTTCTTTAACCATAGGTGCAACTTTAGGACGTATAATTGGTGAACTTGTTCAAATAATACAAATCAAATCTGGCTCTAACATTTTTTTGCAGTGCTATGAGGAAAACAAGAAATGTGTGTCGCCAGGTTCATATGCCATCGTTGGAGCTGCATCTTTTTTTGCAGGTTTCACCAACACTTCCGTTGCGGCTGTTGTGATTGTTTTTGAACTAACAGGTGCTGTAACCTACTTAATTCCCTTGATGTTAGGTGTTGTTATCTCAAAAACTGTTGTTGACATATTCGGATACAAAGGCTTTGACGAATTGTGGCTCATGAAAATCAGCAAGACTTACCTAAGTCCCGAATTAACGGAAACAATGAGCTTGTCCCAATTTTCCGAAGTCCCTATATCAGATGCTATAGGTGATTACGATCCTCATATTTTATACGTGGATGATGTGTTATTGACAGTTAAAGAATTATCTGAGAAACTAGAAAGTGTTTATGATGAAAATAACGGGGGAAATATTTCAAATGATGGATTTGTGCTTTTAACCAACAGATTCAATTGTAATCTTGTGGGATGGATAAACTTCAACGATTTGAGTCAAATTTTGAAATCGAGTAATTTTGAAAGTGAAAGACTAGTTTCATTCATGACGACGTCAAATGAGATGAAAAATGACAATATTATAGAACTGGATTCTAGTATTGTTCCTAGCAATGAAATAATCAAGGTCAACGCCGAATACTCGTTGTTATCAGCCTATGAATTAATGAACCGGATGTTAATCACCAACATCTTTGTTTGTAGCGACCAAAGAGACGGTTCTGGGTTTAAAGGTATACTAAGGATGGCAGACTTGGCGAAACTAATAAAAAAATAAGGTTGTAGCAAATTTTATAAAGCAAAGAGCAGAGAGATTGATTAAGGTGTGTGGGGTATACTTTTGATGTCTTACATTTGTATTTCCTGAAACGTTAGATTTTAGTTGCAGTATCTTCAACTATTGTTTCATCACCAATTTGACTTGCTACGCTTTCATTCATGTTATTTATTTCATTTTCTTTCCCAAAGTTAGGATCAATAAACTTGTTAATTTTTTGGTGGTTGTTTTTTGTGACATAAGATAAGAAGTATTTACCCTTTTTGATTTTAGAATTGTTACATATCAATCCCTCAACATCAACTTTGAAGACGTTGTGAGAAAAAGATTTATGGGTCTTCAGCGAGAATATACCTTGATAAATAAGAATGGAAAATGAGTTAACAATACTCATCTGAATTGATTCATCTGAAGAGAAATCATTTAGGTCATAACCCAAAAGCACTGCGGCCTCTGTTATTGATTTCAAAGAAGTTTTCTTGTTGTGTTGCAAAAGTGTAATCAATTTCCTGATGTTAAAAATTATCAGCATGTCAACAAAATTGATGGTTCTTTTATCAGGAAGGCAATCTATGCAGGTAAATGATCGAGAGTTGTCTGAGGTTACTGAATAACAAACTTTATGCATAATCCTATAACATGTATCACACTGCACGATAGATGAATATTGTAGGTACATCCTTGATTTGCAGCTGCATTCGATCGACGGTTCAGACTCCTGCACAGAAGGGATCTGCGTAAACCCATCATGTATTTTTGCATCGTAGTTCTTTACGACCGTGTACAAATCTTTGGTAATTTGTGAAACTTGGGAATCAATCACTTCTGGAACCTTGTTTGAGACGTTATAATAGCTCGAACTTGAAATACTAAATGGGTCTAGCTTCATAATCTTCGCATTTTCGAAATCAGTAGTTGCTAAATTTGACAGAGAAACTAATGAAGTGCTTATTTGATGGTGAACAGAGTTAACCTCCCCACAATTTGCAATAATATCATGGTAAACCGGTAATGGTATTTTTATTGACGCTGAGCTTTCATCTGAGCAATCAGTGAAATGATCTACATGGTAATCAGTTGGACATCGATCACTAAACAATAATCTCATAAAAAGAAATCTTTTTGGTGGGAGTGCTGGTAGGGATTGTGTCAGCAAGATAAACCGTTTGAGGAGTTTGAATATTTGAAGTTTAGTTATCTCTTGTGGAGTGAGTAGCACTTCTTCGTTGAAGGTTATGGATTCGTTTGATGAATCGTTGTAGTCTACATCAAAATTGTACGACTCGTAAACGTCAGAAGGATGATTTTCATCCAATACAATGGATAGGTTAATAGATCTCAAATACCGTTTATGCAATGCGTCAAAAACTGAGGTATCGATCCAGCGCAAAATCATGTCTGCCTCATCGGAAACTCCTGCTTTTATTCTCTTGATTTTGATCGAATCCCTTTTGGATAAATTAGGGCTAGCGGGATCTTTGGGTATTTCAAAGACGTCGTCAATGAAAAACTTGTCGGTGAAAAACCCACGTAGGAAGGCAATACAAGAGACAGACATTAGCAACAAGTCAATGATTGTTTGCTCACTACGAGAAGGTGTAACCCTTTCAGAAGCTCTTTTCCTGTAAATGAAGTTCTTCATTGGCAATACTCTAATGTTCTTATGTCAATTGCTCAATAGTTCATTCCAAAATATAATCTATATTAGGGGAGAAAAGAAAGGAAAACTTGTAAGGAAGAAATATTGGAAGCAAAATGATGAGCCTTACTTCATTACAGGTTAGATCCATGGATGCACGTGACCTAGTGGTGGAGCTAATTTTCTTTTCCGTATCGGTGCAGAAAGAAAACGGCGAGGGGAAAAGGGCGTGGATTTCCATGACGTTCCGGCTTTAAATTTTCAACCATGAACATCGAGGATGTTGAATTCATGAAATTCATTAGGCCTTTGTTCAGTAGAAAACAACATCATATACGCTATTTTGTTCTTGTTTACATACTTTTTTCAAAGAAAAGCTAGACTTCAATCAAGACAGTTAGCAACAATTCATCATGCTTTCAAGAAATGCGAGGAGTTTACTAAAGCGTGTGACATCAGCACCAGCTTGCAGAGCTGCAACCAAGAGCAGTTTTATGCCAGTAGTTCAGAAAGTTAGACTCAACTCTACACAGCGCAAGCCTGCTGAAGATGGAAAGGCAACATCAACCAACTTATTCAATGATGCAGACCCAAATCGGAATCATATGTTTGAATACTCATGGGGTACATGGTTGAAGAACGATGAAATCGAAAAGCAAAAGAGACTGACCAAGTTCTCGATTCAAGGATTAAATGACCTGATTAAAAGAATCATCAGCATTGAGAAATCCGGTGTTGTCAAGGAAAAGAATCCCGATGAAATCAAGAGGATTGAGAATATAAGGGTGCTGTCTAATAATATCGCACATTTTTTCAAGGATTCTAAGAATGAGAACAATATCAAGCAGATTGTTTCGTTGCATGAAGGTAAGCACCACAGAATCTACAGAATAGAAATTGAGGGCGTTGAAAAGAAATTGGTTTTAAGATTGCCATACACTCTCCATTCTCAGTTGTTCACCAAGAGAAAGCTTGAGAGTGAAGTTGCCACGATGGATTTTTTGACCAACGCCTTCAACTTGAACATTCCAAAGGTTCTTTCCTATAGTGGAGACTATGACAACTTTGTTGGCCATCCGTTCATTTTGATGGAATATGTTGACGACGTTGAGTCTTCGTTGATGAAGAAATGGAATCCACTCATGGAGAGCAAGGATGACCGTCTAGATGATCCTGAGGCAATCGAGAAGTTGAACGAAGTCATTGAGCCATTGGCCGATTTCAATAAGATTGTTAGCGACTTTGTTTTCGATAACTACGGATCGATCTATTTCAAAGACGATTGTCCCGAAAATTTGGAGAAGGTTGCATATGAGAACCAGGATAGATGGGTGATTGGTCCTACTGTCGAGACTGCATATTACAGAAACAAACAATATGTGAAAGAGGAGGATTTGAACAAGTACGTTGGGCCATGGAAGGGTTCGGAACCTTTGAAGATGATCAAGGACTTGGTTGAATTGGAGCTTCACAGTTTGAGGGTGAGACTGAGCTTGGTCGATAGCGGTAAGGTCACGACGGATACCAAGGAAGGGCTGGAGTTCTGCATCAAGATTTTCGAGAAGTTGGACAAGATTGCCGGGGAGATGTTCAACTTGAACGAGAACGAGACGTTGATTCCCAACTTGAACGAGCTTCTCAAGCCAAGACTCTTCATTGGGGACTTGGACCCTATGAACGTTTTGGTGAGAAGCGGGGAAAAGGGCTACGAGTTTGTTGACCTTGAGAACAGTGTTGTGAAGCCGTTTTTGATCAGCAGCTACCCGAAGTTCCTCGAGTACAACGGGGCGAAAATCTTCAACTTGAAGGACGAGATAGAGAACTTCGAAGCGCTGGACGAGATCGAGCAGGAGCAGTACAAGTTCATGTTCAAGAGGACCAGAAACCAGTTTTTGTGGGAGGTTTCCATCAACAAGAGAAGCAAGGACCTTGTAGGCGTGATTTCCCCCGTGATCAAGCTGATCAAGAACTGCTACCTGAACGTGCTGAACTTCAAGCAGCCTAAGGACTCGTTGTACATCGAGAACGGGTTGATCGAGATCTCCACCATGTGGGACAACTACAACGAAAACGGCGTTGTCGGCAAGTTCAAGGGCGAGAAAAACCCAATCAAGTTCACCGACGACGAGATCAAGGAGTTCACCGACGAGATCAGAGACTACGAGGCCGAGAACAGCAGCAATCCCTTCATTGCCACCGACGGCTGGGTGCCCCAGGACATGTTCAAGAGGCTACAGGACCAGGGCATGATTGTCCGCGACGACGAGAAAAACGAGTGGGCCGTCGACACCGAGAAGATCTTGAAATGAGCCCCGCCCTCCAACCCTGCCATCAACCCTGCCTGCATGTGTATACTCCAGTAAATATAGCCAACCACTCGATAACGACGACAAAAATTGTCCCAATCCACCGTTCGGGCCTGTAAAACCGTTGGTTGATCCGACCCCGCTGTGAACCGCCTGCCGTCTGCGCTTCTATTCGCCATGCGCCTGGCCAGACCTCTGCCGAGCCTGCCACAAGCACATCCTCCACGCACAGACGATAATGGAGTCCGGCTGTGCGGCTGTGCGCGGCCGTTCCCGTGCTGCTGCCGTCCAGACGGGTCTAATGCCACAAGCAACGCCAGTTGGCGACAATGCAGGATGCCATAACGCCGGGTGTGGTGGCCAGGCCAGGCCCGCAGGCCGTGGGCCGAAGGCCGTAGGCGCAACCAGTGCAGATTGCAAACGCAGCGCAGCGCAGTCGGTGACGCAGTAGCGACCCGCGGCTGGCAATGCCCTGGCCGGCTCCCCGAGGCGCGCGCACGGCGTCCGCACGCGTGTGCCTCTCGGGTCAACTCCAATTGGCTTGCGCTTATCCGGAGGGCATTAGGCCCGCTGAAGGGCGCCAACTGAAGGGCATCTCGTTGGTGTCTGCCGGCCCCTCTGCCAGTGTGTCGGGCATGGCTGCGGCAGTGGTTGCCGTTGCGGGTGCTAGGCTATCGTTGGCAGAGCCCGGGTCCCTTATCTGAGAGAGGTATGCCCCCGGGGCTTGAGCAGAGGAGAAAGGGCACGCACAGGGAGGGCAATAGGCATTCGCCGGCGGGCAGGCGGCGAAGCCCTGTCAAGCGGGCGCAGGCAGCAGAGTGGACGGCTGGCGCCACAGGTCCCCTCGGACAGGGTGTGCAGGGATGGCCAGCGGGGGTCACAGGCGGACGCTGTAGGCAGTGGCAGCATGGCGGGACGCACGCACGCAAATCCGTTATCAGTGAGGAAGAGAATTTTTTTCTCCTTTTTTCTTCGTTTTCGCAGATTAGATTGTTATCCATGGTTTTCCGGGGCTTTCCACATGGCTTTTCGTGCATTGTGGAGCGTATTGTCTTTATCGAACTTATCTGGATTTCTATTGCCAGTCGTGGTGCGTCTGCTGCGATTAGAAAGAGAGATTGGTCTGCTGATAATGCGTAGCAGCACTAAAAAGCAATTTTCACCTCTGCCCGTCTTGCCTTATGGATGTGCTCCCTCTTTGATGAGCACCGTATATCTCGGCTCTGGTGGCGGAGAGATGCTGCCGATGCCTGGTGCAGCATGAATCTATAAATTTCAGTGCTTTCCCTTGCTGTATTTCTTTCTCTCCGTCTGTGTCTCTCAGCCTTCGGTTTTCTGTTGCACTCTCTTCTCTTTTCTTTTTTCTATCTTCCGTTTCATAAGACACTTAGCACATACTCCCTCAGCAATGTCCATTGAAAAAACATACGACGAGAAGGACATGGTCGACACCTCGGTGTCGCCAGTCCAGGACTACTCCTCGAAGCAAGGCGACGCTAACGGCTACGTGGACCCTTACGCACAGTTTGAGAAAGAAGACAATGGCTTCTTCAGAAACTTCATCGACGGTTTCAAGCCCCTCGACTTTGGTGAGATCGACCCAAACCTTTCCGACGTTGAGAGAGCCAACTTGATTGCAGCCAGAGCTCCGTTGAAGAGATCCCTTAAGAACAGACACTTGCAGATGATTGCTATCGGTGGTTCCATCGGTACCGGTCTTTTCGTGGGTTCGGGTTCTGCCCTTGCCACTGGTGGTCCAGCTGCCTTGGTTATTGCGTGGATTTTGACCGGTATCATGATGTACTGTACCGTCCAAGCATTGGGTGAATTGTGTGTTGCTTTCCCTGTGGCTGGTTCCTTCGTTCAATACAACACTAGATTTATTTCTGCCTCCTGGGGTTTCTGCATGGCCTGGAACTACGCTTTACAATGGTTGGTTGTCTTGCCTTTGGAATTGGTTGCTGCTGCAATCACCATCGATTACTGGAATGCCGAGATCAACTCGGCTGCTTGGGTCACCATTTTTTACTTCTTGGTGCTCTTCATCAACGTCTTCGGTGTCAAGGGTTATGGTGAAGCCGAGTTCATCTTCTCCTTCTTGAAGGTTCTTGCCATCGTTGGTTACATCATCTTGGGTATCGTGATCAACTGTGGTGGTGGTCCAGAAGGTGGCTACATTGGTGGTCAATTCTGGAAGAACCCAGGTGCCTTTGCTGCTGGCTTCAAGGGTGTTTGTGCCGTCTTCGTCACCTCTGCATTCTCCTTCGCCGGTACTGAATTGTGTGGTTTGGCTGCTGCTGAAACCGAAAACCCAAGAAAGTCTTTACCTTCTGCTACCAAGCAAGTTTTCTGGAGAATTGCTCTCTTCTACATCATCTCCTTGACTTTGGTTGGTTTGAACGTTCCTTACACCGACCCAAGATTATTGGGTAACTCAGGTGCTGCTGCTTCTCCATTCGTCATCTCTATCAGAAATGCAGGTATCAAAGGTTTACCTTCGGTCATGAATGCCGTCATTATGATTGCTGTCTGTTCTGTTGCTAACTCCTCTGTTTACGGTGCTTCCAGAACCATCGCTTCCTTGGCTGACCAAGGTTTTGCCCCAAGAATCTTCGGTTACATTGACAGGGAAGGTAGACCATTAGTCGGTGTTGCTATCTCCATGATTATTGGTTTACTTTGTTACTTAGCTGCATCCTCCCATCATGCTGACGTTTTCAACTGGATGTTGGCCTTGTCTGGTTTATCCTCTATTTTCACCTGGGGTTCCATCTGTGCTTGCCATCTTAGATTCAGAAGAGCTTTGCAAGTTCAAGGTAGAGGCACCGACGAACTTTCTTTCACTTCTCAATGTGGTATCATTGGTTCATGCTTTGGTGTTTTATTGAACTGCTTGATTTTGATGGCTCAATTCTGGGTCGCCTTGTTCCCAATTGGTGAAGCAGCAAACCCAACCTCTTTCTTCCAAGTCTTTTTATGTGTCCCAATTTTGATTGTTTGGTACTTCTTCTGGGTCTTCTACAAGAAGGACTACAAGTTCTTCTTGAGATCAAAGGACATCGACATCGACACTGGTAGAAGAGAAGTCGACTTGGAGTTATTGAAGCAAGAAATTGCAGAAGAAAAAGCTTTTATCAGATCCAAGCCTTTCTACTACAGAGTATACAAATTTTGGTGTTAATTCAAATTATACTTTGAGTTCTATATACTGACAAAAAACCTTCAGTTCTTTATATATATCGTTTCCTTCTTTTTAATTAAAATTAAATCAAATTTCATTTCAAAAACATTTTCTTGAAATCTGCTATGTTTGAAGAACGAATAAATAAGATTTATCGAGATATGAATAAATAGTCGGTGGGCATATAAAAAGTAGTCTCCTTTATATGTTTTATATAGTGTGACAAAATGTTATTGAAAATGGCGATCGGACTGTAAGAACAGCTATGTGTGCCGATTTCTCATTTGCAAAGTTGCCAATAATGGAAGAATAATAGTAGTGTAACAGAGTAAAATGATATAGCTGATCAATCCAATCAACCTCTTAATCAATTCCCTTTGTCAACTCTGGCCTGCATTAATGACTGTTCGCCTTCTCTACCGCCCAAGTCTTTGTATAAACCTTCGTATGGGTAAGATCTAGGCATGTTCGGTCTTTCAGGCCAGATATCAAAAGCGTAGATGCTGTATGCAAACAAACCCAATAGACCAAAGAAAATCGAAAGTTCTCTCACTGCAACGTGGTCTTTAACTGTCTGAAAATGGTCCGGAGACCACATATCCATGTAATCATGGTATGGGTGGATCTCTTCACCGAAATTGACTCTATTTTGCTGATCATCATATTTAGCATATGGGTCTCTGTATTGTGGTGGCACATAGTTTTCTGGGGTTTTGATGCCAAATTGCTTTTCAGCATCTGGTAAAAATTTTGGTAATCCGTACTTTGCTGATGTTGAATTAAATCTCTTGAAAGCTTGCACTCTCAGGAGACTAGATTTTGTTAGTATGGATCTAGAGAACATCTTGAGTGTGTGTGTATGTGTGTGTATGTTTCTGAAAGATGTCAAACTGAAGAACTGATCTTGCAGGAAAGATATCGTGATACTCACTATCTGCTATTGCAGTACTGTTAATTCCACTGTGTCTACATATTACTCCTCCAATCTCAGCCAGACAACAAAAAACTCAAGCAATTGAGGGGATGGAGGAAACCCCTTTCTGGTGCACGGAAGAGGTGGGTAAAGCACAAGCAGCGACGCGTCGATTGTGGCGGTACTTGTGTCAGCATTGTCCTCCATCTTCCTACTTCTCCCAGTTGCTCGCCCAATTTGGCGACTTTTTTCTCTCTTTGCTTTGGCTTTGCCCTCGGCTCGATCCATTTGCCAATATTGTCCTCTGCAAGACCGTAGCCGTTACATTAAATTGTTCTTGTTTTGACCTTTTCCTTACCTGAAAATACTCCAATCTGGCCGCAAATTATGGATTCTGAATCTCCATGTCGAACATTCTATCCTCCACTGAATTGAAATTGCTAGATCTACTTACAGATTCGAATATATTGATAGATGAACTCTATCATCTTCAGAACTTTCAATCAATTACGAACTATAATCCCAATCCTGACAATATAATACTAAATAAAGATTCTCAAAGTTTTGTCAACTTCAAGAATGATTTAAATCTGGACATATGGCCTCAACCTGGAAAGAGGCTGACAAGAAGGATATCTGTTGATCAGAATAATGTTGCCACAAAATTGAAAAATAAACTATCGGGTCTTCTCGATTCACGAATAAAAGAAAGGTTAGAGTTGCAGTCGAACGATAAAAATATTGTCAAGCATGATCAGAACGGGAAGAAGAGAAGGTCGGAACTTAACTCTGTTTCTAAAAGTCCCAAAAAACTCAAACTATCAAAAATGATAAATTTGAATTTAACCGTCAAGCCTCAAATAGTAACCCACCCAAGTCATATACCTACTCATTCCTTTGCATCGATTGACGATCTGTTCGCTTCATATAGGAATGTCATTGAGGATCCCACACCAGAGATGGATGCGAAAGACTTTGAGGAATACATTAAAGCTCAATCATTACTAGTCGACAAAATCAAAGACGCTGTAAATAACAAGCACCTACTTTATATTGATTTCAACGAAAATATCTTCAAAAATGTTCCAAGCGGTATGCGTGAACCAACAATGATTAAAAGAAATCAAAATTACAATTTAAACTACTATAAACCTACAGAAACACCATTTAGAATGAAAAATGATTTAACTCATTATGATCATTTGTTAGCTCAGGGAACAAAATCATCCAAATTAATACATGACCTACGTACTACCAAAATTCAAAAATGTAAAAGAATTGCACAGATGATTGAAGTGCATTTCAAGCGATTGTCACAGGAAAAAGATAAACAAGAGAAAGAGTACAAGAAGAAAATTACTCGATTAGCAAGAGAAACCGCAAAGGAAGTGAAGAAAAAGTGGTTGATAGCAGTCAAGGCGTACAAGATTTTGGAGGAACGAGAGAGAGAACGCGAGAGGTTATTAAAATCTAAAGAGCAATTATCCAAGATACTAGACCACAGCACTAAAGTGTTAGGGGCTCAGCTAGTCGGTAAAACGTCAAACAATAACTCCAGTGTTGAACCCGAGAAGAATAGTGCTCCAGAGACTGATGAATCTACGACAGGTACTAGTAACGACGAAATGTCAAGTTCCAGTGATTCTGAAGCTGAAGAGGATAATGAAACCAATGTTACAGATAATGCCACTATACCCAGTCATAAAGAAGAAGAAGATGATAATAAATTGAGTTTGGAAGCATTGAAAGAAAAGTACAGTTTCTTGGATAGGTCGGAATCTCAAGCTGCTGACATTGTGAAACTAGATCATTCGGCCCATTCGGCCCATTCGGCCCAGTCTTTATCTTCGTTGTACAATGAGAAGGAAGAAGCCACAATCGAATCTAAGTCATGCATGATTGATCAGCTAGATGAGAATGAAAGGGCTAAAATGTTATCTAACAGTTTAGACGTCAACTCAGTCTTGAGCGACGAAAGCAACTCATTATCAGACTCTGATATTGACTCATCTTCAATGTCCGATTTTGGCAGCGATTCTGAGCTAGAAAACGTTCCGAACTTGAGATCCCTATTCTCTAACAACAACATATCAGACTCAGATGATGATGAGTCTGTATATAGCGATAACGCTGGTACTGAGACACCGTCTTCTTCCCCAGAACATACTGCAGAAACTGCTGTTGGCACCGATGATGACGGAATTCCAGATGTTACCACCCCAGCTTTGTTGAAGGGTCAGTTACGTCCATATCAGAAACAGGGTCTAAATTGGTTAGCTTCCTTATACAATAACGGTACAAATGGAATTTTGGCAGATGAAATGGGATTAGGTAAGACCATTCAAACCATTTCTCTTCTATCATATCTTGCATGTGAGAAAAACGTGTGGGGCCCACATCTAATTGTTGTACCAACATCTGTAATGTTGAATTGGGAAATGGAGTTCAAAAGATTTGCACCAGGTTTTAAGGTTTTAACATATTATGGATCTCCTCAACAGCGAAAAGAAAAGAGGAAGGGTTGGAACACACCGGATACTTTTCATGTGTGCATAACCTCTTATCAACTTGTGGTGCACGATCAGCCTATTTTTAGAAGAAAAAAGTGGAAGTATATGATATTGGATGAGGCCCATAATATTAAAAATTTTAAGTCTCAAAGATGGAAGGCACTATTGAATTTTAACACTGAACACAGAGTTTTACTTACTGGTACTCCTCTTCAGAACAACATCATCGAACTCTGGTCCTTATTATATTTTCTTATGCCTTCATCAAAAGAAGGTGGTATAACCATGCCTGAGGGATTTGCAGATTTGATGGATTTTCAACAGTGGTTTGGAAAACCTGTTGACAAGATCATTCAGCAGGGTGGTGATGACAAAGAAACAAGAGAAACTGTCAATAAATTGCACCAAGTTTTGAGACCTTATTTACTAAGAAGGTTGAAGCAAGACGTTGAAAAACAAATGCCAGCTAAGCATGAACATATCGTTTACTGCAGGCTCTCAAAGAGGCAAAGGTTGTTGTACGATGATTTCATGAGCAGAGCACAAACTAAAGAAACATTAGCTAGTGGTAATTTTTTGAGCATTATCAACTGCCTAATGCAACTTCGAAAAGTTTGTAATCATCCTGATCTATTTGAAGTTAGACCTATTTTAACCAGTTTTGCTCAAGATAAATCGGTTGCTTCCAATTTCGAACTTCAGAATCATGTCGTTAGAGGTTTATTGAAGCAGAATAGTCAGGAAATCGTTGATAAATCTTTTATCAATCTGATTTCAGGCTTGAAGCGTTTTGATCTTGAAACTTCGTACCATTTGAAGACCATAAAAGCTTTGAACGCATCAAACATTTTCGAAAATAAAATTGACGAATTGGAAAAAAAGGTTGAAGGAAAGATTCTAGAGCCTAACTTTAATGACTTACAGGTTTATTACGAGTACGTATTAAATAAAGAAAACACGGATTTGTTGGAAATGATGCGTCACAGAAAATATGTTAACGACTTCAACTGTAATAAAACGCAACTAATCTCCTCCAGTGTGATTGATATTTTAACACTTCGAAAACCAAGAAATCATTTAATTCAACTTCAACGTTTGTCATTGGTTAAAAGCGTTGATACGAGGTGCTCTTTGATGAAGGAGATACTAGAAAAATATGCGTTTGTTACTCCTAAGGCTGTCTGTAACAATATGAATGACTTACTCTATCCTACAGACTTGCAACAGGAGCTTAGACATGATTCTCAAACAAATATCATCGAGAACCCTTTTCACCAGATACAAGTAAAATCATCTATTGCTTTCCCTGATAAATCATTGTTGCAATATGACTGTGGTAAGCTTCAAAAACTAGCTCAGCTTTTACACAATTTAATTCCTCAAGGGCATAGAGTCTTGATATTTACTCAAATGTCGAAAGTTTTAGATATTCTTGAACTATTCCTTAACTACCATGGATATACTTACATGCGTTTGGACGGTGCAACCCGTATTGAAGACAGACAGTTATTGACAGAACGTTTCAACAATGATTCCCGAGTCAAGTGCTTTATTTTGAGCACTAGAGCTGGTGGACTTGGTATCAATCTAACGGGTGCAGATACTGTTATTTTCTACGATTCGGATTGGAATCCAGCCATAGATAAGCAGTGTCAGGACAGATGCCACAGAATTGGACAAACTAGAGATGTTCACATCTATAGATTCGTGTCCGAGTATACCATTGAAGCTAATATTTTAAAGAAAGCAGAGCAAAAGAAACATCTTGATAATGTGGTTATACAAAAGGGTGATTTCACAACCGACTACTTTAGTAAGTTAACAGTCAATGAGCTGTTGGGTAAAGAAACAGAAAACATAGAAACAGATGTTGAAAACAGTGCAAAATCAAACGGCACCATTTTGAGAAAAGGACAAGATTTCACTAAAGCTTTGGAAATGGCAGAAGATGCAGAGGATGCCAAAGCTGCTGAGATTGCAATGCGTGAATCTAATGTTGATGTAGAAGATTTCTCTGATAGTGAGAAAAATACCAGTTCAAGTGTTACCGAAACTAGTGAGTTCAAAGCTGATAGTGGTAACCAGAATAGCAACACTGAAGGTGTAGAGGTGGAAACTTTAGCACGTCGTATTGTTGCACGTAAGGAAATTCGTACGTACAAAGATGATGTCAAACAACCAAATGGTAAATCACATGATCCGGATGCGGTTGCGAATGAAGAAGATTATAGCAAGATGGATAACCCAGATACCGAAGCTGAAAACAAGCATTGCGAAAAAGCAAACGAGGAAAGAGAGGGAGGAGAAAATGATGGCGATGAAAAGGGTGGTGAAAACGAAAGCGATGACGGTGAAGACGACGGTGAAGAAGACGATGAAATTGGTCATATTGACGAGTATATGATTCGTTTCATTGCCGGAGGTTATTACTTTGACTAACTTACTGTATTACTAGAAACTCGTTAACCATGTAATTTTATAAATTCAAAAACGTTACTCAAAATGATTTAGCTAAGAACCAGCCAATCAAAAAAATCACAAGGTAGCAGACATACTCTTTGATTTTTTGAATGGGGATTTCTGGAATAATCTCCAACATTTTCAAGCTATTCATGTTAGCTTGGGTGTAAGGAAAATATCTCGCTTTCAAAAGGATTTCGGCCCATAATGGTTGCTTGAGGACTGCTCTTTCGTGGGTAAAACTGTCTACGGTCCATTTGGAATGATAGTTACCAAAGCCACTGCTACCGATTCCACCAAAAGGTGAAATGAAGCAGCCAGCAGACATTAAGGTTTCATTCACTGAAATTGAGCCGGATCTTAAGTACTTTTTCAGGGTTACCAAATCCTGATCCGAAAAGGAGAACAAATAAGCAGTCAATGGACAATCGTGAGTTGTAGCGACTTTCTGCACTATTTTCTGAAACGAGCCACTGTATCTCATAATTGGAAGGATAGGACCAAAAATCTCGTTTGACATCAAAGGATCGTCCCACGAAACGTCTGCTACAACTGTTGGCTCAATAAACAGAGATCCTGCAAATGTCTTTCCACCAGCTATGACCTTACCCCTAGTTTGTTTGATTAAACCATCCAACCTGAGAAAACCTTTTTTGTTAATGATGTGAGTAAAGTCGGAAGTTTCATCAAGCTCAGCATATGTAGATTGATAGCTCTGCAATAATGTTTCAAGTACATCGTCGTAAACTGAATCTTCAACTAGTAAATAGTCTGGAGCAACACAGGTCTGTCCTGAATTCGTGAATTTACCCCATAGTAAGCGATCCAATAAAGTTCTGATTGACTTCTTATCAACGTTGTTCGTCACAAATGCAGGGGACTTACCACCCAGTTCAAGAACGACTGGGGTCAAGTTCTTACTTGCTGCTTCATAAACTATTTTTCCCACATTTGTAGAGCCTGTGAAGAAAATTTTATCAAACTTGCACTCATTCAAAAGATACTCAGACTCAGGAATTCCCCCATTGACAACAGCGACTTGATCTTTCGGTAAAGCGGCTTCAATTACATTTTTCATAACCGTGGAGAAATTTGGTAGCTGATCAAATGGCAACTTCAAAATAACATTGTTGCCTCCAGCGATTGCTCCAATTAATGGTGAAATTGCAAGAATCAGTGGATAATTGAATGGTGAGATAATCAAGACTGTACCTAAGGCAATTTTTTCAATCTGTATGGTTAAAGTTGAGAAGTTTATTGGAAGCGAAGATGGTGAGGTTGGCTTGAGAACAGAATCCAGATTCGCAAGTACATTGTTTAGTTCAGCAACAGCTTGGCCGAACTCGGTAAGGTAAACCTCCATTCTGGGTTTGTTAAAATCTTTCTTTACAGCATTCGCAATTGGCTCAAACGATGCTGATAAAGAATCCCTGAATTTCTTTAAGAGTGTCTTTGACTCGTCTTGGGAACGAGGGCTATTGGCAAAGGTTTGTGTCAAAAGCGTATAGCTTTTTTCAATATCGCTGAGATTGGCAGACATTGCTGTACTTTGTTGTTGACTGTGTCAAATGATAATAAGTTATGGTGCCACGGTGGAAGGAGGCAACGCTTTGTTGGTCTTAGAAAGATCGCTGGCACCATTCCCCCAGATGTACAGAATTAACCATGGAATCCGAAATTAGAATCTGCATTCTCGGAGCGAGTAACAAATCATATAGGAAAATCATTGGTGTGCATAGATTTAATTTATTCTGACGCCAATTAGCCCAATTCTGGCATGAGTACAGAGAGCAGAATCAAGAGCACATGCTACTAAGAGAGTTAAATTGTCTTACATGTGTGCGATGCCGGTTTCTAGGCCCGTGTAGTATGAGATTATGAAGGACGATGATCCACATCGAACCCAATATTACGAAAGTTAGATAAGTTTGCGTCTTGACCCCGAATGTTACCGATTTACTTTCAAGCTGAAGCACCTTTTGCTTTCCTAACTATCAAACCGTTTTCTGTTTTTGATTTACACTAACAAAGATCTCAACATTCCCCCAGCAGAAATTATCATTTTGCTAGTCCATCTTTTTGTTGTTCAGCTACTTGCGAAACAGGAGCTTAAAGAAAATTAATGCTAGCTGAGTCTTGTCATCCATAGATCGTTGGCAACTGCTGAACAGCATATATAGGGTATGTCATTGGCTTAAACCCGTGTTCGGTAGATGGGGCGAAAATGTGGAAGCAAAAGAGAGAATTGATCGGGGGATTGGGCTCTAATCTGGCGTCAGTATGGAGCGGAAGAGAGGGGCTATGGTAAAAAATTGAACTTAAATTTCCTAATTTCCTTCATTGTTCTCTCTTAAGGCAAGTTTTCACCGCCATCAGTCGACCTATCCTCAAAAGCTAGTGGCACAATGCTTAAGAGAACCAACAAGTTATATCAACTGGCGAAAAGTGTTTCACGTTATGTTCCCCCAAGTCAACGTGCAATCATACAACATAAAGAATATGCCAAAAGTAAAAGACAAAGTGATGTTCTAGGCAAGATAGTACGTTATGGAGCTTTCACTTTGGTCAGTGGGTCAATATTAATGTATTTATGGCAGCCTTGGAATCCGTACTCTAAAGAAGTGAGTAAGGAACTTCGAAAAGGTTTGTGGGAAGAAAGAGATGGGAATGAAGACTACTTGAACGCCTTGAAATACTATTTGAAGGCGATGAAAGTCGCTAAGGAGAATGAACACATGGACCAGCTTAGCATGCAATACACAGGAATTGTTTTGAAAGTTGCTGAAATGTACCAAAATTTGAAAATGATAGAAAACTTGACTGCTACCTACTACAATTTAAGCACATTTATTTTTGAGAATTTGATTCACGGAACTATTAAGGATGACAATCCGGAGAAAGAACTACTGATAGATAGAGATTTGATTGTCATTACTCGATGGGCCATGCTAATGCAGAATGCAAAATCCAAAAATTGGGTTTCGGACGTTAGCAACGAATTGCGTGATAGGATGGCGTTCATTGAAAATAATGAGATGCTGAACGATTTGCCCTGGATAGCTACCGATCCTAAAAGCAAGAAAATCAACACGAATGACCTTATTGATATATGGGCTGAAACGAAAGTAGACAGGTTTGGTATTAACCACACGAAAAAGACCGAGTGGATTGAAGAAAATATAAATTCGGAGGAAGGAAAGCAATATCTTGAATGCTGGGACATTATGAGATCTTTTAAAGATAGGAATTGGCCTGTGTGGATTGAATCATATTTAAAGCTTCGTGACTTTTATGCCATGCTCCAGATGAACAGGGGAAATACTACCTCTTGCATTCAAATCCTACAAAGTAATTTGTTATGGTCTACGGTTGCCGGATTTGACAATAGCGTAAACAGTACGACGCAGATCCATAATCTTGCGTCTGCCTGGTTTCAGCTTGGTCAGCAAACAAATGACAAAACTGCTTATGCTAATTCTAGAGCAATATATGAAAAACTAATATCAAAGGTGACCACAAAAGACCCAATTTTACCTATATCATATTACTCCTTAGGTGTATTGGCACTGCAGTTGGAGGATAAAAAGTCGGCAACTCAGAATTTTTCCAAAGCGAGAGCATTAGCAGTTGACTTAGACCAGTTACAAATTGTAGATAAGATAGATGATGAGTTATTGAAAAACTTGAAAATTAATTAAAGACATGGTATATTACCCCTTTTTTCTTACCAAATAAATTTTACTGAATGAGCAAAAAATTTTGGTATGAGGCCAACAGGAATCGAACCTGCAACCTTTCGATTTGGAGTCGAAAGCTCTACCATTGAGCCATAGCCCCAACCAGTTCCTAATTTTGACTAAGTGCGATTCTAATGTTATGTACTTACTTGTTTTAACTAGCAACGTTTTTAACTAGTCAGTATTTTATTGGGAAGAAGCTGTAGGAGGAAATCAATTTCTTTGGTCCTTTTTTCGAAGGTAAATTAATTAAAATTTTTGTGTACAAACTTTTAATTACAATTAAAAAAACCAATCAAAAGTTAACTTTTAACGCAAAATAGTGAAGTAAATTAAGATTAGGGTTCATAAGCACTTGGTTTTGATCCTTCTAAATCATCCCACATGCTTACTAGGACCACACGCTCGTCCCCCTCAAACCAAGGCTCTCTACCGTGTGATACTTGATAATTGTCTACCAAAAGTAGATCGCCCTCTTGCCATTTATGCAAAAACTCTATCTCTCTTGATATTCTGTTGACCACCTCTAAGTACTCGAAAGAAATGACTTCGCCATCATCGTATGTAGAGGGCAAGTAAACACCGCCATTCTTGCCGTGATATGGGGGCCTCAACGCGTCAGCATCTCTTGAAGTTCCATATCTTCCATTAAGGCCGTTGAAAAACACTGGCAACTGTGTTATAGGGTGTTTGCGAAATGCAGGAACATGTTGTCTAACAGTGACCGACCCGTCTTCGTTCCAGCTGAAATCATCGGTCAACCGCTTAATTTGTATTTCTGCCTTCCTCTTCTTGGTTTCAAAACTATCACTCTCTTCTATTTCTTTCCCAAATGAATCAAAATCTTCCCAGAAAAACTCGTTGCCTTTTGTTACGGTCGACTTTTTGGTCTTGGAAGGATAAACCTGAATGCTCGTCAACTTCTTCTTTGACAACTCGTGAATAAATTCTGGTATCTCTTCATAAACCTTAGAATAAAACTCATTTGAATTTGCTATCGGTGAACCTCCCCCTCCGTGTTTTGGTACCTTTTGAGCAAAAAAGTGAATGTTCGAAGGGAAATGAGAGTATCTGGCGTATTCATTATGTTGATAAAATCTTGTGCGGGGCGGTCCTTCGTTTGCAGTGTAAACATTCTCTGCCTTTTTGAATCTCTTTCCAGCTAAACCGATCTGCTCAAATGGCGTTCTTCCTCTTCCTGTTTCAATGGCCGTAACAAATTCGGAAAATGCTTCGCTAGAATTGTCCCCAAGCCCTCTCAACAGTACTGCTCCGTGCTTGGTGAGTAAATCCGTGAACTTTCCGCCACTTGAAATTTCATACAAAATTTCAGAAATTTGTTTGCGATCATTGATGTCAGTGGCCTTGATTTCCAAAGCTAAAGGAAAGACATTTTGGTTGATAGTCCTGGTATTTGGAACTTCAATACTTTGAAATTCGACAGAAAAACCGCCTTTGGAATGTTTAAAGTTTTCTTCACTTTGAGCCACCATGTTTTGCCGTTTTGGAATGAAGAAACTTAAAGTTTCTATTGATCACACAAAACAGATCTCAGCGTTGTTAGGCAGCAAATGCAGAACGTTATGTATTTATCGGTGAAAGGAGTAAGCGAAGCAGCACAATTTAGAGGTAGCTTGTAAAACTACCATTAAAACTGTGGCACCCGCCACAATAAGGCGGAAAAGTATGGAGACTTGCCTGATGGATCTTATCTGGTGACTTCTTTGTTGCGAATCTCTCAATTAGCTTTTAATTTAGTTTTTGGGAAATAAAATAGCAAACAAATTAGGGTTTCAACCGTTAAACGTTTAACGCCACATTATTCTCTCTAAAAATGGAATTGAAGAATTACTCGAGGAAGTTGGTGTGAAATACTATCCAGGAGGTATAAAACGGATACTTATCAACCACTTGCGGCTAGAACTTTATGTCCATTGGAATTGTTTAAAATTTCGAGTCTGGAACATCTATCCTAAAATCTATTAAACAACGATATCGAAAATGGTTTCAGTCGTCAATAAGTCTGAAGATCACATTAGTTTTGGGACAGACGTAGTCACTGAAATCAAAGGTGACGATATCGAACATGTCACAACAAAAGTTGAATCTTTTCAGGAATCGGATTCGACTGAACCTGTTCTGCAAAATACTAGTTGGAAAAGGTTCATCTGGGATACTTGGGGTCATCCAGATAAGAAACACAAAAAAATTATATTCAAACTTGATTCCACCTTGTTATTTTTTGCTTGTGCCTCAACATTTGTTAAATATTTAGATAAAATCAATCTAACTTATGCTTATGTTAATGGATTAAAAGAAGACTTACATATCAATGGAAATCAGTATAATTATGCAAACACAGGTTACAACATTGCAAGTATGATTTGTGGTTTTCCTGCTGCTTTCTTAATGGTTCAGATGAACAGTAGATATTTTTTAATCTTGATTGAGTTATTATGGACGATTGTTACCTTTTGTCAAACTGCTGTTAAAACTCCTACGCAACTAATTGTTGCAAGAACAATTTTAGGCGCTTTTGAATGTGGCCATTATCCAGCACTTGCATACATTCTGGGAACATACTACAGTCCTCTAGAGCTAGCAAAAAGGTCTGTTATTTTACAAGCTACCACATCTATTGGCTCCTTTTTTGGTGGTTATGTTGCATCTGGAGTTTATACAGGTTTGAATGGAGTGAACGGTCGTGCTGGCTGGAGGTGGGTGTTCATTATTGACGGAGTTATTTCCATTGGGCTTATTCTATTCCAGGTTTTTTTTTCCCCGATAGGCTTTCAAATCGAAAGCCAGACTTCATTTTAAATGAAGATGATATCCACTACTTGAAGAAAAGACTACCTGAGCAGCAGACCGATAACTATAAATTCACTTATAAGGACATAATTAGCGCCTTGACTGATTGGAAAGTTTGGGGCTTTTGGTTTTTTGGTGTGTCACAAGATATTACATCGTTGACGAACACCTTTTTCTCTTTGTGGCTAAAAGCTTGGAACACCAAGAAGCCCCATAGTTACACAATTCCTCAAATAAATCATTATGCCTCAATTATCTATGCGGTCCAGACATTTGTTGCTCTTGGAGGTGGCTGGATATCAGATACCCTACTGAAAGGTAATCGTTGGTTACCAATCGCCATATCTGGTTTTGTCGCATTTGCGATCAACATTTGCTTGGGAGCTACTCCACTTTACCCTCACAACAGGGCATTCAGATTCTTTTTGTACTGTAACACAGGGTGGGCTTTGGGCACTGCAGGTCTATATTGGGCATGGGCACAAGAAATTTTCAAGGATAATGTGAAAAAAAGAGTGATTTGTACTGGTGGAATCAATATATTTTCTTTTGTTGCCAACAGTATTTGCAATAATATCTGGTATAAAACCTCAAAAGGTCCGCACATTACAGCAGGTTACTATTTATCTGGAACATGTGGGCTACTCTATTCCCTCAATGCTTTTTTGCTTGGATTCGGAGACCGCAGACGGCTGAGGGACGTCAGAAACAGTTTGATCCAGTAAAGAAAAAACTAAGTTATTTTAATGGTGACCATCCGAAAACCAATCTCATTCTCTTCAAACTTTTTTGAGCTTTGCCGTGTACTCTTTTTTTTCTGTGATTTACAAACTTTTCAATTTTAGCATGGGCACAGATAGAAGAATATGAGACAAGAAATGCTGTTAGGCATGAAGTCTGTATGTATACTTCACAGTATAGTTAAACGTAACTTTCAGGTATTTATGGTTCCAGCTAATGATTAAAGATGAAATTTGTACCTCAAAAACATAATTTATAATTAATCTATTTTCTTACTTTTAAATGTTCTAAAAAATAGTTAAAGTTGGTTCAATAAAAGTGACTGATTTTCAATTCAAGTGTCTCTTTGTTAGAATATGATTGATACTCGTGAGAGAATATACATTTATCTACGAGGTTACTTAAATCAGTAAATAAGTAAAACCCTTTACGGCCAGCTATCAGGAGAAACGTTTTTGGCATCCAGTGGAATCTAGATTTTTTTTGATCTGCCTACTTAAAAAAATGTGGATAACACATGTGAACCCAGCCGGCATAACATCGAGAACTAGAATAAACTAAGAAAGACAAATCAATTGGCTATTTCATTGTCGCCTCATAGTACTCCGAAGGGCTTAAATTCAAATAATAATTTTTCAGTTTGAGTCTTTCCTCTTCTGCTTCAGGAGACCAGCTTTCATACTCTTCCTCAGTCTCCACTGGTCTTTCCGCCATCGTCGTAATTCGGAACGCATGTCTGGTTGATGTAGCATCCCAGTCAGCAGTCGCGGAATGAACAACTCTCCTATTATCCCAGATAACAACAGTATTCTCATCCCATTGCAGTCTGATATGTGCATCAAGACAAGTCTTTGAGTGATCCAGAAGAAAACTAAGTAAATTGTCACTTTCTTCTTGCTTCAAGCCTAAAAATCTTCTTGAAAAACCACTGTTTACAAACAATGATTTTTTTTTCAAAACAGGATGATACCTAACAACAGGATGAATACTGTCAATAACATGTTTTCTTTGAATAGCTCCAATAAGAGCTGTACCATTTGCTTGCTCTCTGGAAGAATGTAAAACCCTTAAGCCTTCTAGTTTTGTTTTTAGTAGTGGAGAAAACCTATTATAGAGCTCAACGGAATCAATAAATTGAGTATCTCCCCCTAAGCCAGTTTCAAGCATAACCAAAATGGTAATACCTGGAGTCTGATTTTCATAAGTGACGTCGGAATGCCATTTGATACTGTTAAGGCTATCTGAAAATATTTTTTCCTTTTGATTGGGGTCATTACTTTTGTAAACGACGTGGAAGTGAGGATCCTCAAGAGGTGCACCAGAGTTGGCATGAACATCTAATGGACCATAATATCCACCCCATTCCCTAAGCTCCTCAAAACTTTTGTTTTTAAAGTCTTGTCCCTTTAGTGCAACTACACCTACTTCTTCAACAAGCAAGGCCAAGTCGTCTTTTTGTTTGTTTGTTAAGGTACTTAATTGAATGCCCTCAACTACTAATATGGGAATTCTCGCTCCAGTATGGCAAAAGGGGTCTTTTGTGAAAAACGTTTGTTAGCGAAACACCCTCTCGTGAAAAATGCCGAAATCAAGAGGCCCCTCTCGTGAGAGCGCTGCTCGAAAACGACCCTTTTGTGATTAGTATGGGGAAAAAATCGGGCCGGCGAGCTTGCCGGAGGGGGAATTTTCGACGATTTTTCCGTTTCCTGTTTTCTGACGGTATGTGGTCGGTGTTCTTGCTGGACTGGAGCTAAGAAGAATAGTAGTCCATTAAAGCAGCACACACTACAATGGACAGTCTACAGTACAAGTGAATATTGCGATTATCATGGGAGTGTCTTTGACACCGTTAATGATGTGGTCACAATGTTGTCCTGTCTGGATCAAGAGACTCATTTGAAGACAGCTAGAAGACAATCCTGCCTTGAGCATTGGGAGACGTACAATAGAAACAGCAGTGACAGTAATGTGGCAGCCAGATGGCTGTCTGTTGTTGTGTGCTGGCTGGACAGGGGGTACCGGGAGAGTTGTCCAGCGCAATTGACCTGTTAATGCTTAGAATATTACCGCTGGAAATTGAACTCAGATCAGGTGATGATGTTAATAGATGAATGTGAATTCTTGGCAACTGAATTGAGTGGATGTCCGATAAAAAGATTCAAGTATAGTCTGTGATTGAACACTACATGCAAGAGGAAGTTATCAGCACACTATTCGACGGTTGAAGCGATCAAGTAGTAGTTCAGAGCTCAATCCATGGTATATTCTGCTGGTTATGAGGGACTGGAAAGACATTTATTCACAACCAGTGGATCAGCAATAGGTTCCCATGAAGATCAGCGGACCATTTATCCGCCTGGTTCACAAGGACTGTCTAATTCAGAATGTGACTATGGGGATCGTTAGGAACGGATACGTACAAATGGCCAGTGCCAGTAGTGGAAGAAGATAAGTTCAGGCCTTCCTCAGTTCGATAGTGTACAAGTAGTTTACAGAAACAGTGCTATATTGAAGAGGCAGTTATGTTTTGTTTTGCTGGAGTTATCGAAGTAAATCAACTGTACAATCTGGATGGTCTTTGATGCTAGCCACTGGCGAGTTAGGGAGAAGATAGCTGGTAAGAAACGTTCAGGTATTGGACGGAGACTGGTAGTTGAAATGTTTGTTTACTGATTACGAACTAATGAGAGACTTGATATTAGGCCTGATTTGTCGTTGAGTCGGCAATTGATAGGGCGGGTGTTCGTTAGCTGGACAGACATGCTATAATTTAGAATTGAAAATTGAAAAGCCTGTACTCTGTTGTGTTTGCAGAGAAACAATTCGAGCATTTTGTGGACCTGGGCAAAACCCAGCTGGCCAGTAAAACTTGAGTTTGTAGCTATTTAACTAGAGAATATTTCTAGTTGCTGAGCTTGGTGAATGATAAATTGTTT